AGACCGGTACTCTGTAATGGACTTAATATATATATATATGTATATATATATATATCTATAGTCAAGATAAAGTTAACCGTCGCCGATCGGCAAACGGTTTGGTGGAGAGGCGCTGGAGGATTTGTAGGTCACAGCAGGGTGCTGTGTCAACGCCCATGTCCATGGGTGTGGTATGGATGTGCACCGAGTGTAGTGTGTGATGTGCATCGAGTTAACGACGCATACTCGAGTACTCTTCTCTGCTCTGCTTAGGCAGCCTGGTCCCCTCCACGCTGCGGTATTATTACTCCAGCTGCGTGGCGGGCATGTCCCGTTGCTGCATTCGAGGTGGATCCTGTTGGAAGGATTTGGATGGAGATACAGTATGGAGATGCTTTCCACGCAAAGATATGGCCGATTCCCGTACCACGTAATACTCTCGGCGGTTGTTTTTCTTCTCTTTATCGTCATCCCAGCCAACGGGCAGTTGGTCCATCCCGCTCATGTTCCAGTTGGCACCAATTGCTGGCCCGGGTAAGCTGCGTAGTATGGATATGTCGACTCCGTACCGCCGTTCCCTTGCCAAACCCTGCCAAAGGAAAGTGGAATATGTCAATAGCCATACCGGGAATAATAGGGGCCCCCGGTTGTTTGCCATTGCGGGTGCCCGTTGAAGGCTTGAGGCTTGAGGCTTGGGGCTTGGAGGCTTGAAGCTGGTGGTGTACAGAGTATAGAGTACAGAGAATGGGCGTTTGGCTTATGCTAGGGCTGATACCGCTATCACTCGGCCGATGGGCGTTTGGCCCTCGTGCGTCGTGCCCCCGTGCCCTATTAAACGTCGGGATGATATAGATAGGGACACGCAGGACTCGTGGCTATGGGGAGTCCTCGGTGGCATGCTCGCCATCTGCTTGGATCCTGCGGGTATTGCGATTCCGGCCGCTAGAAGAGGCAGAAGGCGATGCCACGCCGTGCTTGTCTCGCGCGCGTAAAGAGGATTTTGGCCTTCGTACGTAATCATCGACCCTCAACATTCTGAGTCCGAACAAACCGAGCGTGGTGTGGTGGCTTGGGAGTCCGAATCGAATACCCACCGATCTACGAAGTATGAGTATGAGTATCGAGCCTGGCAGCCAACCACCGGGTCCGGGTCCGACGGTCGCTTTGCCGGATTGAAGGCGACACCGGCTTACGCTGCTCATCCACGCGCGATACGAAGATCGATGTTGATATCTGGTACGCAGGTTCAGTACTGTAAGTAGCTAGGGAGGTACGAAGTACGGAGTGTTCCGTAGAGAAATGCCTGCCAGCGCAGGATGTGCCTTCACCACCTGCGTGTATCTACTACCTACCGGTATAGGTGCTGTACATGTACATGTACGTATTCTGCTGTAGGAGAAGTCGGTGTCATTACTTGCCGCCTTACCTTCAGGTACCTCCTCGGTTTGCCTGGAGCGTCACCAATATCCCTTCTTCCGCGTGTCGAGAGCAAAAACACCCAAACACGCGCATGCTTGCTATACACACCAACGAAGCAGGCACCAGGAACCATCTCGGGGTTTCCTCAGATGCTCTCTCCTCAGCTCTAGTTCGTCAATTGCCCAGATCACATGTGTGAGAATCTTACTCGAGTGCGCCGATAGCTGAAAAATAGTCCTTCTGGCACTGTGTATGGGCCCAGCCACCCGACAGCCTGCCTTCGGCCTTCCCCCGGGGGGGATTGATACTGTAAGGGGCATCCAGACGTATCACACCAGCCATTTGGTGACTGCGTGGAACCCTCGTGGGCGCCATCTCACCATGGCTGGCTGGCGGTGGGTATTTGCATTTGAGTTTGCACTGGGAAGAGCTCCGCGGAAACCCTCTTAGCCACCAGCCACGTGTAGACCAGACCGCCCCTAGGTACCTATGTAGGTAGGTAGGTAGGCAGCGATTATATTGCTCGATGCTCTACTCGAGTACCTCCGTACGAGTACTACGCACACGACTTATATTGCGAACTGTACGAAGTATTCGCTACCAACTACAACGGACAGAGTGCTTGCTTGCTTGGTACTGTACCTTACCTTCCAAGAGGTTCGGATTCGGGGCCCGCCTCGGCGGGCAGCTTACCCTAAATTCCCGTTGCAGATATGTGACGGTTACTGGATACTCTCGAGTGTCCTGAACGTGGCTTATCGCGCGGCTCCATAGATGGCCCATGTTCTTGCGAGGAGGATTGAGCGAGCTTGCCTGCCTCGCATGTACAGTAGTACAGTACATCCGGAACCTGGCAAAGTAAGCATTTTAAGTGCAGGCTAGCGCTATACTGTGTCAGGAAGGTATTCCAGAAGTGGCGTCCAGGAGGAATATATATCGGCCGAAAAAGTAGGTGTCCCGAGCAGGCCCGTAACTATATACTATATTCGACATTCGACATTCGACATTCGATGGCAAAATACCTGGGAAATATTATTAGCTCTTTTAGGTACATATGTATGTCTTGGATGGCGCAATTTAATTCTCCGTCATCTGATTGACCTCGTTATTCCCGGTACTCGTTGGTTTCCACTTGCTAAATACCATTTCTAGAGCGCTGGAGCTCTACTCTACAAATTGTACTGTACAGTACAGATCAGCAGCATGGGCAATGGAACTCTATCTCCAGAGGTATCAATGACAATCAACCCAGAACCATAGGTTAATAACTTGGCTTGACGATGTGATGCCAAACAAGTTCGAAGAGCTCCACGCGTTCCGGCCGAGGGTCTGTCTAAATTCCGGGGGCAGTTCCGTCTCGCTTTCTGAACGATGGGGCAAATGTGGCGCTGCAACGAGGACTCCATCCATGTTTAAGCCTGAATGAAATTCCTCCGCAAACTCTCCACCTGCCTTTCTCGCCGCGAGATATGCCATTATTCGAGCCTTGCCACCGTTTGCTACACCGGCAAGAGCCACGTTTCGGCCATGCCCCTCCTGCCCACACCCACCCCCCCCTTTTCCCGCATGTTCTCCCGTCTCGCTAAGCCCTTCCAGAACTCGATGCTGGCTCCTGCCCTGGTTATCACTCTAGTTTTGATCCCCCTACTCCGGATCGAGTACAACGTGTAGGGTCGTACATATTAAGAGGATTCGCGCCCTTGACGATGTGCCATGTGCCATGAGCGGTTGGGTATCTGCCATCCACAAAATATTATTATTCGTATGATTGTTCCAGGGCAGAAGGGGCCAAGGCGGAGTTCCACCGCTGTGTATGATGTCAATACCCATAAATAGGTCCGTGGCCAGCGGCTTGATGTCCTTTACAAGGCAGAGCTTGTTCTAAATGGGTTTCTAGCAGCATGTAAATTAGCGATCTCATAGAGCTCGCTGAGCCTGAGCTTGGGCAATCGGCAAGGCGGGTCGATGATGCGGTTATGACGGCCGTCCACGGCTCTCTAAATGGGCATGGTGTAGTGGGAAACGGCGACTTGATATGCCGAAGCAGACGAGCAGATCGTCATGTCCGGGCATTCATTGACCTACAGAATTCGTATCAACTTCGAAGTGGCCCCGTCTTGAAGAAAGCATATGGTCTAAAAGGCGGAACGGTGAAAAGAGCGGCAAATTTGGGCCTGGACAGACGGCTGAAGTTTCAAGGTTGAAAATAGTCCTGCTTTATCTCTGGGGACTTGAGCGTCCTCGAACTCTACTGGGCGAGTATAAATAAAAAGCACACACGAGTCACTCGGAATTGTGCCATCATCTAGATTTAGTATTCTTGGTCCCGAGTTTCAAGCGATCGGCTTTGCAAGCTAGAATAAAGAGCGGAAATCTGCTCGTTTCGGCGCGGGCTGGTAAGATCGCGAGTTGTGACATACCAGAAACAATATACATAATTGTTTAGCCTAAGACTTGATCGAAACTAATACGGGAGAACTTGCGTCCACGGACCCCGCGGGCTCGTAAGCAGTGCGCAATGTCCGCTGGCTCCTTACCACCGTTGAGATCAACACGGGGGAAAGTATGAGGTAAAAATAGTAGATATTGAAAAGCACACTGTACGTACTACCAAACTGCGGAGCACGACGTATTTGATATTGTACTGCATCTCGGGCGAGTAGAACGATGATCGTACCCCCCATTTGTAAACAATCGATCGCAGCGCGAGCCACGTTCTCGCAAAAAATCCTTCGTTTCATGCTGCGTCGAAGTGTCGAAGGCACTTCTTACTGTCACTGATCTTCTGGATTTGTTGCTTGGCAGCATGGGCACCACCACATGGCTGTCCCTTGCAAAGTCCCGGAAGATGGATACGATGGATTAATAACCGTGGTGAAGCTTCGAGTCTGGGACCCTGATCGCTGTGTCAGCGGGAGGTGCCACGGCTCATTTCGAGCTTCAGTCAGCTGCTGACTGGCTGTTGAAATGGGCTGGAGACAGGGCTGGAGAAAGGATGCGGATCCGCATGCACTGTCATCTGTAAGGACGAGCTGGCAGTTGGCTAAGTGGCAACTAACCCGGGCAAGTCTGGAACCTTAATAAAGAGAAGAACCTTCCAAAGTAGGTGTCGAGACGCAAATGCGGGAGAGCGACTAGAAGGATTCGCAGAACAACGTCTTCCCCTCGATCGTTTGCAAGGGGGAGGGTCCTCTGAAGTTTCTATTCTACCAGCTTCCATGTGGCTTTTCCAGACGGAATCCTGATGTGCCATGTGCGAATAGACACATTCAATCGAAGGCCAAGGGTATTTCCACGTGCGGAGCATGCACGGTGAGCAGCAACCTTGAAGGAATTATCAGGATCCCCCATCAGCGTAAGTAAGATCCCCCGGCATTTGGCATTTGGCGTTTGGCGTTTGTCGTTTGTCGTTTGTCGTTTGTCGTTCGGCATCGGCATCGTAATCTGTACATGTATCAATATCTGAGAGTGACGAACGATTAGATTCATCGGTGGGTGGTAAACGGATTGAATCTCGGCCGGTATAAGATGTTCGCTTCTCGCTTTTCGCTTTTCCGTCCTCTGCTCAAACTTCCACCAGCCACCTTCTAAGTTCCAGCATTGCTCCACGAAGCACGAAGAACGCAGTACTTCCTATGGCGTATAGTACTGGCATGGCAACAAATGCTGCTCACGCCTACGGTAAGCAAGGTTACTCTAAAGAAAGCCATCAAATCTGGGATCATGCTGGCTAGAGGCGCAGACCGCCCTGGTTTTTGGTGGCTCTCCGAGTACATACTCGAGTACGTACTGTACATACTTCGCGGTTGAGGTTCGTTGTGTAAGCTGACGGTGTTCCCCAACGAACCTCCGTTGGGCTGCCCTTGACCGCGTGCGTAGCATTGTGTGCCACCTCCCTCAAGGTTTCGTCCGGAGCGCTGCTCTTCTGCGCACCCTCGGGGCGCACTCGAGCACAGCTGTCGCCCATTGTCTCCAGACTCAAGAGGAGGGGGAGGGGAAGCGGCGGCAGGCATATACTCGATTCCGTAGGGATGGTTGAAGCAGCCGTTGAAATCCAATGCTGTAAGGAGGCAGAGAATGCGAATGTAATCCTCCATCCCCAGACTCCCAGCTCGAAGGAGCCGTTATCATCATCACGGTACAGTAAGTCAAGCGCAGGCACTGTATCCATCCATGGCGCCCTCTTCCATCTCACGCCTCGTACTGCCGAACCGAGTCGGGCGAAAGATATTAATCCTATGTCGCGCGGAGCTCCGCCAGGGATCATGATCTCGACTGCAGCACAACGCTGACCGAACATGTACATGTACGAGTAATACAACTCTCGTAAGGCCAGTTCCTGGGCTAGATGGCCCGGGGCCGACGTGCTGAGCCGTACGGAGAAAAGAGGTGCGATGATGTGCTGTGGTGTGCTGTACTATGCTGTGCTAAGCTGTGCTGAGCTGATGCTGTACTTACTTTGCTTGGTACGACATCCTGATATATCATGGATGGGAGGCGCCGCCAGTCCCTCTGCTGGACTTGGAACTGTATCCATATAACCAACTGCCGCCAACTCTGGACATGCTCGTTGTCGCCGCGCCTTAAGACCAGAGACAATTCGACGCAGTAGAGGAGACAACACCATGCCATCCACCATGACAGAACCGTCCAGTCGAAGCCGCAACGCCACGCGGAAGGCTCCCAAACTCCGAGCATCTTGCGATGCGTGCAGCTCAGCTAAGGTACGCTGCACTCAAACCAAACCGTCGTGCGCTCGATGTTATAAGCACGAGATGCCATGCGTATATGGCATCTCTCGCAGATCCGGGAAGCGCAGCGCAGAAAGCTATCAAGCTATGAAGAAGAGCGCCGAACTCGACACGCACGCCAATGACCGCGAAATGGCATTTTTGGATGGTTCTCTCACCATGGACCCTGCAGATCTCACTAGGTCCTCATCATCTTCATCTTCGTCCGTCAGGATGGATATGCTGAGAGCTGCGCACGTGACCGACTCAGGCCTGCGCACACCACCAGGGGCTTCAGGGGCTTCAGGGGCCTCGGATCCTTTAGACATGGACTTTTTAAATTCGCCTGCCTCTATGGAAACTGGCGATTCTGAATCCACCATGGACTCAGCCGGGCTGGATCAATACCCGTCGTCTCCAGAAGACCCCTGCCCAGATCTCCCGGATTACTTGAAGCAGCAACTTAAAGATTGGGCATTCGATAACATGTTCCTGCCCAATCTCCTCCCGACCCCCCAGATTTCACCCCGGGGTTCTCTATGTCCATCCATGTTTGAAAAGTCCGAACTGCATATTCCGAATACTATGCACCCATATGACTTCTCGGTACCTCATGAAGTGGAAACACCCCAATGCTTCAAACCGGGCTCAATCTACTCCACTAGCCCCGTTTCCGAGCCCGAGTTTGAGTTCAATCACGATCAAGATTTCTCAGATGGACTTGTACCGTCAATCGAAACAGATAGCTACTTCGATCGCCAACCGGCAGCCCCCAGCCACACGACCGACACGTCGCCAGGCAGCTCATCGTACAGCTCTCGTGCTACGGATCACCAAGCTTCGGCTGCAGAAGCTTGCCGGTGTAATGAAACCATCATTACACATTTATCCCTGCTCCCCGAACATCATGAAAACCGCTCTTACGAGATGGAACTTGCGGAGCTGCAGGAATCGCTCAAGCTCGGCTCTGACGTGCTGAATTGCGTCTGCGCTGGCAAAGACGACTCAATGACCTTGTCAATGAGTCTGCTTGTTTCTCAGATCGTGTCCGTTCTGGAGCGCCTTTGTCGTCGAGCAAGGGAAGAGGAACAGAATGACGGCACCCCAAGCACGCGGGGCAAAACACATTTTGATGCCGAGCGATTCTCCTTGGGCATGTATCAGATTGCCAAAGAAGACGAGAAGAGACTCAAGCAGGAGATGTTAGGGCTGCAGATTAAGAAAGTTGAGTTGTTGATCATGTGCTCGAGGGAAATGGTAAAGGGATTGATGGGCCAACGACAGCAATCTCGCCGCCAGCCAGATACCCAGGCGCTGGTGTCGGAAAAGCTATTTAATTACCTTGCCGAACATGTCAGGAACGTGAGGGCAGAGTGGGATCCAAGGAATAGTGAATCGTGAATCATAAAAGTCGGCTGGGTTTGGCAATGATTAAGGGCGGAATTTACTGGCAAGGGCGTTTGTTGGTCAAATCTCGGTGTGTCCAGCGTCCCTGCACCAAACAGCAGAATGGGTCAGAAGTCCGGACACTGCTAGTAAGTATGGCCTTCACCATTTTATCCAGTAAGATAGGATTTTAACAACGTGTATAGCGGCAACCACTTGAATGGAGAACCTTCCACCTACAAGTGGTGTTCGGCCATAAAAATATAGGTTAGAGGGCGCTATTACACAGACCGTCGTCAAGAGTGCAAAAGTTTTGGTATGATATGATATTAGCGCCCGAGACTTTTGCAAATGAAGCAAAGTAATAGGCTCGGTCGATCTGGATTTTTGAACTTTTATATTATAGCCGCATGGCTTAGAGGAGGATGGTGGCAACGTACAAATATACCCAATCTTTGGAAAATATGGCGTTATTTTTATTAGAGAGATGGTTTGATTTTTAGAACTAACCATAGACTAAGAGAGCTCAGCTTCTGTGTTGAAACAGAGAATATACCCCCATGGCACACCTGAAAATAGTATCGTTACTGCCCATCAAATGCAATATACATGACGTTGCAACCGGCTTTCTATCATATAAGACGAAAGAGTGGTACAAGAGTGAAGTCATAGGCGAAATTCGGTGTCGGATAACTTTCGGCCCATTGCAGATACACAGTGTAAATATATATATTCGTATCAGGGTATCGTATTGGCTGTGGTAAGCTTTAGTTGTAACTCTTCGATTGTCTATATAGTCTATTTGTGCGCTTCTTGTGATGTCGTCAGTTTGACTCTGGCTTCAGCAATATCCTATGTAAGCACTACCTTTAAAGAGTAGTAAAATTGTCGAGGGCATAGTTGACTGCCTACGCGTCTTACTTATTCTATTATCCTACGAATATTCCACTTTGACTGCCTTACTTCTACACAACAGGACAATTTGAAGCGTCTAGAAGCATGATTGGTATTATAGATATCTCCGGCGTAGACGAAGAGACGGGAGCACTTATCGTCCAGATCCAACTAGAGGATAGCCAACCACTGGCAGAAGAACATGGAGGCAAGGGCAAGGCTCGCGAAGGCTCGATCTCCAATTCCCAAATAGCCTTACACTATACGCAAAAGACCCAGAACGGAATACTACCCTCGTAGCAGATATGTAGATAGCAAAGAGCATTGTACGGGCTTGCTAGACGGACAGAGGCGCGCTAGCAACTATACTGTTACAGGAAGGAACAGTCTGCGACTATTAATGCAACTGCTAATCGACAAATAGCTTGTCCACTTAGCACTGTAGTGTGACGGCCTTAGCACTACTAGATGCTAGTACCTTTAATGCAGAACGCCGGTGGCAAGGTGCCTACCTAGGGTACCTTAGGTAGTATTTAATATCTAGCTAGTGTACCCAGGTAGGTACCTACGGTAAGTAATTAGTCATGCCCCACCACCTAAGATACCACATACTAGGCTTACAGCACGCGAACTTGCGAGCCGTAGAAGTGCTGGTTAAAGGTCGTAAATAAGTAGGTAAATAAAGTTAAAGTACTTTCCCCTCTATATTTTATTCAACAATCTAAATCAAATTAAGCAGGACAACTTGGAGCCTGAGTATTTGTCGGCGTTTTCGGAGGCACTGAAAACAGGTAGAAAGGGTTGATTGATTCTAGTAACCGAGTGGAGAAGAAGTCGTCCTTGTTATACACAGACAAAAGTGGCCCGGCCATATTTGCCACATGTGACGCCCCACGTGGAACTCCTGATTCCAGCATCGCCACAACTCAGCGGGTGTGGCTCAGCGACAGTTATCCAGACACACCTCTGGTGCGTCACCACACCTGGAGGGTCGTTTATTAGTGAGCATGCAGGTTCCAATCACTCTTATGCGATTTCGCCTTTGTTTCGCGATGTACAATGTCAGCGTCTCAAGAGCTCATTTGTTTTCCGATCAAGTAATATACCAACGTCTAGTCCGTACCATTACTATGGGCCGACACCACCGTTCATCTAGCCCTAAGCAGCTTTCAACATGGAATTCCCAACGCTCTCCGACACCAGCCTGGCTACTCACTGTCCGGAGACAGCTCCGAAACCTTCCAATATCACTTATCGATGATACAGAACTTGCCAAGCTACATGTTACTCTCCAAGAAGAAGATGAGCTTTCGATTTGTCCCACGCTTGGCACTTTGAAGAAGATCGAATCATTCTGCACAACAGACGCCTACAAAGGTCACTCAGGGGTTCTACCCCGTCACCTACGAACTCGTTTAAACTGGGAGAAGCAGTGTGCGGCACAAACCGACGCAGTTCTCACCGAGTTAGTAGTGGAGCTAGGAGACCGCCATTCGGTGAATCGGACGGACTTTTACAGGTGAGTTAGGATACACACCCTACCAAGGCACCATTGCCAACATGTATTATAGACACGAGCACACGCTACGCATTACCGGCGATCCATATACGAAGGGCGTCAAATCAAACTTGACCATACGTGACTTTCAAGGCGGCAACTCGATTTCAATCATCGTACGAAACAGGCGACCTCACCAGTGGCAGCTCAGTGCGACAGAAGTTTACACTCTACTAACGCTAGCTGATGAACAGCGGAAGGCTCGACCGGATTCTGATGTCTATAAGGTATGTTTCATCACTACATCAACCCCGTTGACCGAGCCTCTCTGACTGTTCATTTAGGTTCACATTATTGTAATACAAAACTACTGGGCCTATCGACTCTCTGCAGATATACCTTCTTCGTATATCACTTCGATCATTGCTAGCCATGTCGAGATTAATGGGCACATTGCTATACGTCGAACGCCATATTTCAACGTTTTCGAGGAATTTGGGCTACAAGCAATATTGAGGGCATTCTTTGAAGACTTTCCTTTAAGTACATTGAGTACGGTGCCGCCTCTCCCGCCTGTCCATTTCCCTCCCCCGGTGGGACGCAAGTATAACAAAGTGCTAGAGGCTTCGTCAATAAAGCAGTCGAAACGACGCCACAGGAGTAAACACAAGCAGCATGTGAGGGAAAGGAAAAAGTAATTTTCTGACCCGGTTCTGACATGCTAATGTAAGGAGCTAGTTGACGATACTAGTAGGGATTTTACGGTATAACAGAGCCAGACTGGAACAACCTTGACTTGCCGTCGAGTTAGATAAACCATCTTCAAGCGTGCCAACCGTTGATCATCACGTTGCTATAGTTCGACATCCAAATCCTACTTGTAGGTTACAATACATCCGTTCTAATCCTATCTACTCCTACGATCAAGAACATTTACAGCGGGCTATTAGTTGTCTCACTTGCACATGGAGGATGACTAGGGAAGTGGAGGGCAACTAATCCGCGGGATACGATTCAGCTACATGATAATTAACAAACGAACCGAGGGACCAGCACGAAACTAGGACTTTGAGATACGGGATGGTACTAGCAGTGAGGGTGCTGCAAGATGGGTGTGATGGCCAAATTTTCGAGGATGACAAGAACAGAGTGTACAATACTATGTAGGTGGTTTTATATTTCATCGGCTACCATTCATGACTTGAATTGAGTAGTACACGTACCAACTATAAATCTTTGGCTCTTGATTCTAAAATTGTCGAGGCTCATTAAACTCCCTCCTCTCTTCTGTGCCAGCGCTTTTGCTTCCTCACACTCAACTGTCAGTCCTTCTATCCGGCGCCCTCAAATTTACCACTCATCACCCAGCCTTAAATACCAATCCCGAGGATCAGTATTCCTCTGCTTGATATCCTTATAATGACTTCACTCGACTGTCACTGAGGAAAGACTAACGGGATGTACGAATAGGCTTAATGTAGAAAATGAAACGTTTCCCGAGGGGCCATCCATACTACATTTCCTTTTTTGGTTTTCTAAGCAACCAAGTTTCACAGCCTTTAGGGTCTCTCTGCGAGCCCTGTGTGAGACTGCGGTGAGACTTGTCAACTGTTCGACGAAGCAGAGGATCTCTAGCTCCCATAAAAGATACACATTTAGAAACTCATTCCAATCCGAAGAATGTCTCCCCATCAACGTCCCGGCTTCCACTATTCACCCACACCACGGACACACTATATTTACCATACTGTCCTTCCCATTCTGTTTGCAATCAACCCTAGCGTACCTCACTTATGCCCACTCGGGCATACAGTCCTCCTTCACAACATTTATCAGCCCGGTACTATTCCAAGCTAAGACAAGGCTCTTCAGATAAGTCTTTTAATTCTGCGATCTTTAAAGCTCTATAGCTTCTCTCCCCAAATCGAAGATGCTGGTAGTTATTGAAGACGACCTGAAGATTGCAAGTAAAGCCGGGGTTAACGGTAAGAGAACCCACTAAGAAACATTTCCTGTCGAAGATGGCGGCCGTAGGGATATTCTTTTCTCCGATTCTAGAAGAAAGGTGCCGACGATGGGTTCTATGGTTATGAAATCCCGTAAAGAGATACTGGAGGTGTAGGTGCGCAGTTTAAGTAGCTACGGGGCGATAAGTCGGGGTCGGTTGGGTTACTTATTTTGGAGTAAAGGAGTGTGTAAGCAAAAGTCTAGTAGGATATTTCAATGCCGTAGGGCTCTTGTTCGAACTATAACGTTCAATGGAGTCACAATAGACCCCTTTAAATGGTTCGGGTCTTGATGGCTTGCTCGGGGCAATATGCAATTCCTTATACGAAATGCGCAGTCGCCGGAGAGCTCATGAGATGTCTCGTTGCAAAAGTGTTGAAAATACCCCATAGTCTACTCCATTCTCATATTCCCATACAGCGGTGTTGGTGATTCTAATAGCGTGGAGGAAGCAACTTCTACCATTGATTTTGGAAGAATCGCACGCTTCTAGATATTTTCGAGTTAGCTTTCCTGTGATACAGGGTCAGGAATATATGCACTACAAGCCTGATTATATTTGCTACATCTTTTTATGTAATAAAGGTGCCTGCTAATGTATGTCATAAATGTAGTACGCCTTACCGTCCACACCGCCCGCCGTGCGGGTACTTGTAGTGCTAAGATAAGCTTGAAAGGTTTGTGAGCAGAGAGCAACGCCGGAAATGAAATACATCCGGGAGATGCTGTCTAAGGAAGGCCATAATTGTAGTTCTACACACAATTCATACCATCCTATCTGTACGTCTCCCGCTATCCCATGCAGGATCCCTAAGCCCAGGACGCCATAGTAGAGCCCAAGATCCCCGTAACGCCTTCCCACCTTTCATCTAGAACCATTTACCAGTGATGCTCCCAAGAACGAGATTCCTTTTCTGCTTCGAGGCATACTTGCTGACATCCTCCGCCCACCCAGCGCTATTTTCTTGCACTCTGTCCATGCTATCTCCTACAATATTAAGTCTTTCGGTCCTTTCATTCAATTGCCTCGTCATGTAGTCTCCCCAGCCCTCCGTCTGTGCGCCAGCTCTGCTTGGCCCGCCAGAACGGGCAGCCCGGTCTTCATCCGCTGCTGCTGCCAGCATACGCTTGCTAGGTGGGCGATCTGGACCCCCGATGAGCAAGTCAAGATCCGTTGGGCTCACATACTGGGTTCCTGAAATCCATTGCAAGTTCGATATTGTAGGCCGAGGTGGGACTACAGCTTCTGGGTTGTACAGATTGTCCTGAGTGCGGGGAAGAGGTTGGCCGGAGCCCCATGCACTAAGCATAGCAACTTCTGAGGGGCCTGTCCAGCCGAAAATATCCCCTGACGGTGTGACGATTGTGCTTGATATTCTCGTCTTATCGAGCATCTCTATTTTAGCCGCGCTTATCTCCTTCAGGGAGGGGATCGAAAATGCTCGTGCCGTACCATCGCCGAATATGCCAACAAGCGCAAACCCGTGACCCTCGAATTCGGTGATGGAGGCAGATTCACAGAAGAAGTCATCGAAAGCCTTGTGGGCTCCCTTGGCTGTCGCCGGCTTGAATATTCTGACTTCTGATTGAGTGACTGTCCAAGAATATTAGTAGTGTAATCCTAAATAGCCCGATCTATAAAGTCGTTGATGATCATCAATGCAGGACCTGACTTACCAACGAGAAGTGTGCCATTAGTCTGCTGGCCAGTTCGCAGAGCTCCGACGGTTGCTCCAGTTGCCGCAGCTATCCTTCCGGTGCTAGCGACTATAGGGTTGATAGATATAACACTATCACCAAGCGCTGTTACACCAGCAAATTGAGCCGTGTATCCACCATTACTCTGTGGCAAAATTTTGAACGTGATGACTTTGCCAAGATTTGTTCCCACGAAGCATGCAATGCTCGAGTAATTATCACCTTCAAGAGTCATAACACCAAACTCGATGACAACCGGCCAATCTGGTTTTGCGGAAGTTTGACTGCTACCTTTCTTTATGAAGCTACTACGCTTCTCGGATTTGGCGAACTCGCTCATGGAAGCACTGAATATGACAGCCGGGCCGCGGAGATCGATGATAGAGAACATCCCGTTCTCAGTCCCCACTCCGACAAAACCCACATCGGACATCTTAACTGCGCGTATAGGTCCTTGATTCGTGTCGTAGAGCACGAACGGCTGAAGGCCTTCCTTGAGGCTAGGCTCTGCACGGCTCTCGATATCTGTAAGGCCTCCGGGAGTAACCTCAACAGTTGGTTGTGATTCTCGACCGTATCGTTTATTACCGCCCCAGCGATACATCACAACTTCACCAGTCTGGGTACCAATAGCGAACTCTCCAGTTTGAGCTCCCAGGCTCATGGTTGTGATATTGACGTCGTCAAACCGGCCGAGAGCCCTGGCAATATCGACTTGTAATGTGAGAGTATTTTCGACCTCGTCCCCTCGCCCAGCATCCCATAGACGGACCGTGCCATCACCATGTGCCATTTGAACGATGTTTCGTGATTCGTACTTTCTCAACGGCTTGATACCCTCGGCACCACCTTTCAACAGCTGCGGCCCTTGTTGCCGGTTTTCTACCATACCAAGCCATCGACCGCGATCTAACGGAGTCACTGCTATTGAGGTAACAAACGGATGAACAAATGATACGGATGGAGGAAGAATATTGGTGGGTGAGATAGGATAGCCACTTGGAAAGCTCAGTGTAATAAGCTCTCCAGATGTGAGAAGCGCGAGTATAGCAATAGGATCCTGAGCGCCGGCAAAATGAGGAGAAGAACGAGGGATAAGACAGAAATTGACGACCTCCGCGCCTGGGGGCGTTGGGAGGAGACGTTGGCGTTTGCCCTCGAAATGGTCTGTGAGGACTTGCCATGATGATGTTGCATAGACAGGGGTAGGACCTAACTCAAAGAATGTCATCCCCGTTTGTGGCACGGTTGTGTTAACACCTCCTGCTACGAGGATTCCCGTATCATCCGGATTCTCTTTTGCGCACCAAACTATCCGAGCAAACGGTTCTTTCAAAGCAAAAGTTTCGGCATCGTTGGAATTTTTTGAACGCTTTCCTGGGATGTTGACATTTGTATCAGTTAAAGTCCTTGCCATGACAACACGGCCATCCTTGGGATCCCAGATGACCATAGTAGCGTCGTCATAAGCGGTTCCTACGAATGTTCCCGTTGGGTGCCAAAATACCTGTGTTAGACGAGGGCGCCTTATGTCTCCCATAGACATGGGGTCTGCGGTCCCACCTGGGGCTCCAGATGGCACCTCATATTGGAAATATTTGATCGGCCTGTTCTGTTTGAAAGAATATATCACCGCGCCTTCGGTGTATCCGATTAAGAGCTGGCCGATATCCCGAGGGTGTAATTGCATAGATACAACCGAGAGTAGTCGAGATCTTGGGCTCTTCTCACGCCAAAAGTTCGGAAGCCGAAGCGGTGCTGCTTTTTCTCGATCCAAATCATACGCGATGACATCCCCGTTTTGTAACCCTATCAAGGCCCAGTCGATCATCGGATCAGTGACCATAGCTGTCACTACTCCCGGCGGGGCATAGACTGCCTGCTTCTTCCCTGATTGCAAGTCCCATATTATCACCTCGTTTTTTGAATCCAAGCTGACAAGTCGGTCGGCAACGAATTGGAGGGCTTTTACTGACGCCCGTCGAGGAAGGATAAAGGTAGCTTGGACACGGCTCTGGCCGAAGATGTAAATTTGGCCGCTGCCAAAGGTGGTCTCATTCGTACCTATTGCTAGTAGAGACTGTACCGGGTCGTATGCTAATGAGCTGGTCGTCAAAGATCAGCAGCCATCCCAGACATTCCAAGGTAATTCCCAGCGCAACATACCCAATTTGCGAGTTAATACCAAAGCGAGCTCTGTCATCGGGAGAAAACAAGCCTGGTATAATACCGGCCGAAAGGTCATTTTGGATGCCGGCCTGTTTCCCACGTAGAAAGGCTGCCATATTGCCAGGCGGTTATAGAATCTAGGATCTGTGTAAGGTTGGTAGGTAGAGATAGAGTGAAAGGATGGAGGGGTCTAGCTAGAGGCCAAGGCATTACGAGTACAAACAAGTACGTCTGCCTCAGGTTTCACATTGCCAATATCAGCGCCACATATCTACCTAGGTAGGTGGTTATCGCATAGGGACAATAATAATTACACATCGAACGTTGTCTTGTTGTGTTGAGGTTACGAAGTATGTCCTGGACGCAGACCATTGACGGGCTGGACAATGCTACTTGTAACATCTCAGTGGGGTGAGGCCCGTGTCAACACGAAGTACACTTCCAGTTGCCATGTCACATGTGGGATCTCTTTGTCGAATTAGCCACAAACCATTCTCTCAAGCCCATTGAAACCCTGAAACTGGAGTTATGGCGTTATCATTGTCGGGTTCTCTCAGATTCATTATGTGTCATTGAGCTTTGTTTGATGCGTTGTGCCTGTCTTGAGTGTACGAACAAGCCTCTTTGTCCACGAAACGAATAAATACCATTCACTCACCGCACTTCAGCGAAGTATGTATTTGTCAATTATATTTATGCCACTGCCATTTACATTACTACAAACATCAAAACCCCGTTTCGAAATGACATCTAGAGCGTCAGCTTCTCGGTACCCCAGAGGTGGACAGCCCGGCGCTCCATCTAATGACAAGGAGACAACCTGCGACTACTGTAGAAGAACGCTACATACCCCTCCATTTATAAGCTTCATCCTCGATAGCAGTCCCACGGTCATACCAAACTACACCCTCGACCGCTCAATTGCACGATGCAAGCACTGCGATTATGTCGCTGCATGCAAGCAGTCGATCGATGCTGAACTGCTACCACCGGCATACGAAAGCCCAGTCGCCACTATCGAACGTCACATCGCCATGGCAGAGGGGCTGATAGCTGATGGGATACGGAGCGAGGAACTACGGAGGACGTTGCCGGCGATGAAGAGACGGTTGGCGGAAGCTATCAGAGAGAGAGATCAGAGATGCGAAGCTGCTTGGAATGAATTCTGGGGGATTTGGGGAAGGTGAAATTGAAGTTGAAATTTTAGGACTTAGGAATCCTACGGAGCTTTTAGCAGGGAGTTACGGGATCGGTAGCCCTTTGAGACATCGTCGTGGCTTGGGTGGTCTTCAAAAAGGGGTGCCCGAAAGTCTTTGTTATTCGGGTGGTTCGACACCAAAATGGTTCTTTGATGGCAGCCGGCAGCAGTTGAATGAACAAGGCCAACCATTCCTAATAGGTGCAGCATGGCTGCCACTCCATCGCTCGACGCGTGGTGCACTCCGTAAGTAAACCACGAGGCCCTCGAATCGATTGCTCGTTGACGCTTGCCAGATGTCGTGTCGTATCGTAGGTGTCTGTTTCGCTGTTCATATTTCTCCGGCCCAACGCATTCTCATGCCACAGGCCGCAGGGTAAGTATCAGCGATGACTCTGCTCTTTCCTTCAATTTCCCCTCCAAGACCTGCCATTGAATAGACGTAAGCCAGAGTGAATATGAAGGATTTTTAGTTTTATGTAACGAGAGAAGAAGAGTTTGAGACTCGCTTCGCTTTTAGAGGAAAATTTACGACTGATCATGTGACTGCAACAAGCGTGGGAGCTATGACGGAATGAGACTAGCCCCAGATTACGCGGGCGTGCTGACTCGGCGGGGTCAGATTTGCGGTGTTGCGCCAGCTTTGCCCCTCCATTTGGGCATTATTACTTCAAGACTTCAAGTACGAAGTACAACCCTCTGTGACGACTGGACTGCACTGGACTGCACTGTATGAAACCACCACCTCCCTTGAATTGAACCTCCTCTGTCGCGGCCCACATATACGAGGTACTGTTGCTAAGGCCACCCAAATAGTTGAATTTCGCCATACTGGTCCTACCACAAGCTTGCGTTTTACCCACAAAGGAGTAATCTTCCCATCACCCCAGCCACAGCCACACCAGGTCATCATGGCACCAGGAGGACCACCAGGCGGCGGACGTGGCCGCGGAGGCAAATTCAAGAAGTTCACTCGCGGTGGTATGCATCCTCTTGATCTTAATTACACACATCCATCTTATTAATTCCCTCAAGGTGGCAAGCACTTCTCCAAGAACCTGCGACCCCTCGATGCCGATGGAAACGAGATTGAGGAGCGCGACCCCAATGCATCCACATCCGAAGAGGAGGAGGACAGCTCCGAAGAGGAGTCATCCGAAGAGGAAGACGCCGACAAGCCTGCCATGACCCGCGAAGAGCGTCGCGCCGCCGCGAAAGCCAAGAAAGAAGCCGCAATAGCTAAGAGGAAGGGTGTTCCCCAGCCGGGTGATCTACCTTCCAGCTCCGAGGAGGAGAGTGACGATGACGATATGCCCGCCAACCCGAACCACTCGAAAGCCGCACGGAACCAAGCTAAGGCCGCGCCCGTCACCGTGGAGCAAGTCGCCGAGGGCGTTAAAGATATGGGTGTCGGCGGCAAGGGAAAGAAACCAGCTGCAGAGTTGAGTCGTAGGGAAAGAGAGGCTCTACAAGCACAACAGGCAAAGGAGAGATACCAGAAGCTGCATGAGGCTGGCAAAACGGACGAGGCCAAAGCAGATCTCGCGCGGCTGAAGCTTATCCGGGAGAAGAGAGAGCAGGAGGCTGCCCGGAAGCAGGCCGAGAAAGAAGAACGTGAAGCAGCAGATAAATCAAAGAGGACTGAGATTGACGCTCGAGAGGCGAAACGGAGAGAGGCTGCTATGGGGGGACCAAAGGGGAAAGGCAAGGCGAAGAAGTAGATTCTCAATTTCCAAGCACCTTTCATGTCTTGACGGCCCTTAGTCTTACTCAATCAATGTTGAACTTGGAATGGATTTCGATGTGCCTACTTCTCGCTTGTTGTTTCTTTGTCGAGTACCTAGCATGATGTAGTATGCAATGTCTGATGTCAGTTATCGCTCTCAATCTCTCGATATTTTTCCATATCTTGACCACTTAAGAGTACCTAGGTACCCTCAGCATTGCTTTAGTTCAAGACATACCCAAGATATAGCACAGTAGCGGCACATGGTATTATCTGCACATAAGTAAATTATACATAATGTTCTCGTATTCAGAAACGAAGCCTCTAATATTCTATTTGGTGTACTCGAGCACGACCCACGAAGTCGCAGACCGCATAAATCATAGTGTACCTGTCCTCCTAGTAGTCCCCAATAGCCGACTCGTTTAGCAAACTATGGGAGCTACCTGAGTTGTTCCCTTCAAGATTGCCTGCTGCTGAAAACTCTCACTTGGCGACAACCTCCACTTGCCATTCACTTTCATCTTACACAACGGCGCTTCCCATTCTAGTCAAAATAAAATGTCCAACCTCCCTATCGAAATCCACAAATCAAAAAAGGAACGTGTAAAGAGGGGAACAGTTCACCAAAGGGAGAAAAAAATAAAATTGAAGACTACCGGATTTGAACCGGTGACCATCTGGATTTCCTGCGTCGCTTTAAAGCGAGGACTGGAATCAGACATGCTACCACTACACTAAGCCTTCGTTTCTTTTAAGGACAGGAAGTGTTAATTAATGTTATACGGAATGTATGTGGAGAGAATGACAATCATACGCGTCTGTAGGCGAGTTTATATCACTTCGGTACCGGGGATTACGTAGTTCTACTCTAGGTGGTGATTTTCATATAGTGATGTTTTAGGATGTGCGGTTTTTTGTCTTTACTTGCTCTCCTTTACAGACGTATAGTTCCCAGTGGACGTGGAGTCGAACTGATCAGGGAGAACACATAGCTATACGATCTTGTGGCAAGTATCCCTGTATAATAATTCTTGTCTCTCAATATACGTGGACTTAGCCTTGGTATCGGCCAAAATCAAAGTGGCCTATACATGGTGCTAATCTAGATAAATATTTCCCATGTTAAAATAAACAACAACCGGATCTTACAGGGTTTTAAATTTGGGTAAAAGCTACATAGTTTAGTATTTCTGTTTCCAGACCTTCAACCCATCCTCCAGACTCGCAACAAGACTCTTACTCACAGCCATTTCGGAAAAGCTCACCCTATCCGGCCACCACTCCAGCCACCCTTCAACTCGGGCGCCCTGCTCCGGATCAAGAAGTCCAACACTGACATCAATCAACTCGGGTCTTTCGTCACAATGCCAGAAGACAGTTGCCCCGCACCCGGAACAAAATTCCCTATAGATGCCTTTCGAGCTCTTATACTGCTTGAGTGTCCCCAAGTTGAATTCTAGCGGGGCCCCATCTTCCTTGAAGATATTGCACTTCGGCACAAATGCCCATGGCTGGATCTCGAATCCGGAAGCACGACGACAAGATGTGCAGGTGCATGTTCCCGCGAGGTACTTGGTATCATCAGCCCTCAGCCACCAGGTCTCGTTATTCGGATTTTCTACGGCAGAGGAGGTTGAGTTGTGGTACGGGACCATGAGATCCGGAAATGGAGACCGCACGGTCTTCGAAGCTTCATTAGGCGGAGTGATGTAGAATTTAACTCCCCCGCAATGACACTCTGCTTTCAACTTTGTCGTTTTCCGAGGTGGCTCGGGTAGTGCCCGCATCGCTGTATCAGGAACAAGTTGTATATCTCCACTCATATCCTGGGACATCCACCGCTTTAGATCACTCTTTGTCCCATCAACTGAATCTGAAGCCACAATATCCTTGAGCCATACCGAGATCCCTCCATCCAGCGTGCCACCAAGCGCCTTGGAGCCCGTCCATTTTACCAAGCCCTCAGTGCGGTCCCATGTGCCGGTGGAGAGATGCCAGGCTTTCTTTGGCGTGACATACACAAGAACATGTGCGCCACACGTCGAGCAAAAATATCGCGTTAACACGTCAGACGACTTGTAGGCTGTGAGACTATACTGAGTCGGGGAGATGGTTTGGTGAGGGGGTACGATAATGTATGATATCCCGCAGGAACCCGAGAGACGGCGGCAGATGGTGCAAAGGCAGAGGGCGCGGGGCAGAGGGAGGAGAGAGTTGGGGTAGTCGGCCTGGAAGGTGAAGGCTTTGCAGGCACAGGTTGCGGTGATCGTTGTAGCCTCCATATTGACGTGTTGACGCTTATTTCAGGTTGTGCGAGTAGAGGGGTCGAGTATTCATATCAATATATCGTGAGAGATGTCAATCGCGGTCTGCAATATCAAATCCGAGAGGGGTTCGGCATCCTAGTAACAGCACGGCGTGGAAATTCATCCGGCTTGTAATCCTATTGCCTCCTTATTATCATCACTTGATCGGGTGTTTATCGAAGGTACCGAGAGGGGCCGGGTAGTGTAGTTGAAGTTCCAAGATATCTGGACTCTGTAGTACAGTCCACCTACATTCTAGTCCTAGTCTCCATTGAGACTCCTTTGCGGGGAAATGTTAGCCCCTTTACTGACAATCTAGCAATGGTCAGCCGATAGAAAACGCGGCCAAGGCCAAGGTCAAGGTGAAGGGAATTGAGCAAGTGCGTCGATATGGCGCCGAAGACTCTTGCATTCTGCGTTACCGAGGGTGTTATAAGGCTTCCTCCGCAATCGCAATCGCAAGCTGGTTTTTTTGTTTGTTATTGTTTATTCCTGCGCCGGAGGAAACTCGGGAGGCTGATCGGGATATCGGCAGCCTGGCGCATGTGGCTCGTGCGGCCGTGGCGGTGCAATTCTGCGGCGCCGCCCGCATTTCGTCTCCATCCAAAATCCTTGTTCGCCTCCTTTATACCTGCTTGGTACTGGTACTGGTACATCTAGATCCTCTAATTTCAAAAATCACGATATAAACCCAGAATACGCCCGCCCAGGCCCCGCAAGTGCCGTTAGACTACTGGCCTTACTAGAGCCGCTACTTCCGCTGTCATGTACAGTACGTGCTGGAGGAGTGCTGTACTGTACATGTATGCATCACACCGAAGAGTACACGCCTGGTCCTTTTATCGACTTCTTCTCTTAGCCCTTTGGGTCCAACATCAAATACATCAACGCAGCTTCAGAAGGCGCTGAAGTCATGCTAGTGCAGGACTACCAGTACTGGATACAAAGCGTTGTCTCTTTTTCTAGACCCAACAAGACGTTTCGACGAAATATTTCTTCTGCGATTGCAAACGAGTCATGCCACTATTTGCCACCTGGAAAGTTCCAGGCACGGTACCAGCCCCGGCACCATCCTCGAACACCTCGCCGATGATCGATTCAATCTAGTGCCGTTGTGCCGTAGAATTACGTCGCCAATGTTTAAAGTTAATAGGTTTGCTCCTAGTTCTACCGGCCACGGCGAGGTGCTTAAAAAGTGGCTTCCGAGTGGCTGCAAAACCTGTTCGGCTGGGGCAACCTAGTTCTTTTATTTTCTGTTTTGAGGCTTTTCATATCGTACCTGCGCCTTGTCTTCCCGTGCTTCGGAACGCGTGCCGAGCTTTGATATATATCTACCCAGGGCCCCAGGAGTTTGTGATAGTTTTAGAGTTGATACTCAGTCACCCTTGCTTCCTCCATACATTTTACATCATCCATAGGAAGCCTACTCGGGTCAACCAAACATGGCAGGACATCACGATTCGAGCCGCATATCGGACCACTCAGAGGATTCTGATCAACCACCACAATCAAATTTACAATTTCACGACATCACACAGAGTATAACAGCACCGAGACCCCTGGCACACGCCCAGACAAATGGCACCGGAATCAGCCCTACACAAACCAATGGATCACGTATCCAACGGAATGAGACTCGTTTATCTCAAAAGTCAAGACGGGCGTCAAAGGCGTCACGGGATCCTAATCTCGATATCAATCTGCCCTACCGAACTTTGACTGCAACCGCCAACCTCGAGGAGTACATTGCGGAGAAGCCCGAAGGAGAAATCCAAGGGCCAGTAGCACCAGATGGAAAGCACCAATACAAACTCGTCACGTTCTTGCCGGATGATCCAGAGAACCCAAAGAATTGGTCCAAGGCGTACAAGTGGTGGTGTACGATGGTGGTTGCATTAACTTGCTTCGTCGTAGCATTGTGCTCCTCTGTTATCTCGGCGGATATCATGGGCGTGGCGGACGAATTTCACAGATCGGAAGAAGTGGCTCTCATCAGCATTTCGATATTTGTTGTTGGGTTCGGAGTCGGTATGTTACCATGTCCCAAAGTCTGAATATTTAACTAACACTTAATAGGCCCTATGATATTTGCTCCACTTTCGGAAATTCTCGGTCGTCGAATCATCTATGCAACCACCCTTTTCGTGGCTGTAATTTTCATCATTCCCTGTGCTGTAGCGAAGAATATGGCAACCCTGCTGGTTTGCCGTGCCATAGATGGTATTGCATTCTCCGCTCCTATGACGCTTGTTGGAGGCACTTTGGCAGACCTCTGGAGGACTGAAGAACGAGGTGTTCCCATGGCCGCATTTTCGGCAGCTCCATTCATCGGCCCGGCAATTGGTCCCTTGATCGGTGGATTCCTCGCTGATGCTGGGGGATGGAGGTGGTTATATTGGATCCAGCTCATTTTCGCTACTGTCTCATGGGTTCTGATTACTTTTACCCTCCCTGAAACATACGCACCCACGATCCTCGCTCGCCGCGCGAAGAAACTCCGTGAACAGACTGGAGAGAAAGAGCATGTTACAGAGCAAGATATCGACAAGCGCCCCCTTAGTGAACGCCTCCGCGTCTTCCTCCTCCGGCCCTTCCAACTCCTCTTCGGCGAACTCATCGTCTTGCTAATCTCCCTCTACATGTCCGTGCTCTACGGCCTTCTCTACATGTTCTTCGTCGCATATCCCATCGTCTACCAGCAAGGAAAGGGTTACACCGCTGGTATTACAGGCTTGATGTTCATCCCCATCGCCGTTGGGGTCCTCTGTTCAGCTGCCTGCGCACCCATCGTTAACGCTCATTACCTCAAGATTTGCAAGAAACACAACGGTTCCCCCCCCGCAGAAGCTCGCCTCATCCCCATGATGGTCTCTTGCTGGTGCATCCCCATTGGCCTCTTCATCTTCGCCTGGAGCTCGTATCCGCACCTCTCCTGGGCCGGCCCAGCATTCGCCGGTTTTCCCGTCGGCTTCGGCTTCATCTTCCTCTACAACTCCGCGAATAACTACCTAGTAGACTCCTACCAACACCAAGCCGCCTCCGCACTTGCAGCTAAGACGTTCATCCGATCCTTCTGGGGCGCTGCTGTTGTGCTGTTTACTGGACAGATGTATGCCCGTCTTGGGTACCAATGGGCTAGCTCTCTGCTAGCGTTCATCAGTTTGGCTTGCTGTGCTATTCCTTTTGTGTTTTATTTTTACGGCGCGAGGATTAGAAAGCGCAGCAAGTATGCGTACAGTGGGGATGATGAGGAGACTTTGAATACCGGCAGCGGGAGAGCTACGAACCAGGAGCTGGAGAGAGCAATCAGTTATGTCAGTAACCCTTGAGGGGTATGGCCGCTGAATCCGCCCCGCCAATACCTAAGCACCTGCGGTCCTCGTTCGGGCTGATTCAGGCGACAGTGGGCTTTGTTTGCTAGACTTGTTTGTCTAGACGGTCAGTCAGACAGAAATGGTCATGATAGTGTGATCAATCTTGTGACGTCACGTCCCCACTTCATCCCGGGCTCTAGAGATTTATCAGCCGCTCTAGTCTTCATGACGGGTAGCTTCATAATCTACTACGATATAGACACCAGTGTGAGGTGTAATTTTGCATTTTCGATAGATACCAAAGATTAATTTTAATAGTTTTGTTAGGAGTTGGATAGGAGCATAAGCAGTACTGTATATATCAATATATTTATATATTTTTCAATTATCAAGATGTATGTTTTTAAAAGTGTGTGGGAAGTGTGTTTTTGATGATAGTACTTATTTTAGATTTATACTAAGGGGAGACTACCAATAAAAGGCCTAGTTTAGAACAAATAGTTCCTACTAATGCAGACAACGCCCGCTGTCCCTCCTATAAGTCGTTAGAACAAAAGTGGTAGGTGTAGTACCTCGCCATTTCCAAGATAGTTTCCCCTTCACCGGAGAACAAAACCCGAATAACGGATCAAACAGCGCATAGAGCATTAAAAAAGATCGAATGAATGGGAGCTTGTATGTAGGAGGGAAGATATTGAACTTTTAGCTAGCGCCATTATCTATCTAATTGATAAGTGTCCTCGTTAATTCATGCCAGTATTAATTATACTAGCCTCAAAATGCTTCACAGCCATGACGCCTGTGGCGCTTCAAAACTGCCCGCCCTCTTGATAGTGGCAAGTAGCAGCATGGGCATCTCTACCTATCCCTACCGCAGCGTTGGTTCTCTTTGGAGTAATCTCTTCCGCCGGCCAAGATAGCGCGGACGCCTGCGCCTCCTGATAGCAGCTTCAAATGAGCGCGTAGAGACCCCGCTAGCTTCCTCACCTCCGAATATCGATACTCGAGCTCCGCGCAGAATCCATACTCGGTCTCACCGAGCTGCTCGAACTTCTGCGTCTTCGATCTCGTTGCTCGTTAGGGCTCATTGGGTTTAAGCCCGATTGACGAGCGAACAAATTTAAGATATCTGTTAATGAGACCACGCCTGTTAAACGCCCCGATATCCGAGCACCAGGCAAGGCGGTTGCCGAGACAGCTGGTGCGAAAGTCCCGGAAAGCAAAGGGGACGCGGGAGTTGATGAGATTGGAGATCCTATGCCGCTTCCGCTTTGGAGGACTGAAGGGGCTGCTAGCGGCGTGGCAGGGTTGGAGGGAGATGGTGATGATGATTCGACAACCCACATTCGATGGGCTCTTGTAGCTACTAGTTTTGCTACTGTATGGGCGAGAGTAGAGTAAGGACTGACGTGGAAGACTACATGTTGTTAGGATATATAGAAATATGTTGGATTATCCTAGATATGCTTACCTGGGAAAGAATCCTTTCCATCGCCAATACCACGCTCACTAAGGATGACCGAAACAAAGTGGATGCATGAATTTTTCAACAATGGCAAGCTGGCAGTACTGGTAAGGAGTTTGACATCGGCGGTTGAGATATTGCCAACAACATTCAATGCAATATCAACAACAGGGACGCTCGTCAAGCCTTCGTTGCTCATTAGTTGAAGCGCATCGGTCAGGGGCTTGTCGCCACTAAAGGCATGTCAGTGTGCCGTAACAGTAAATTCGGGGTCGGCTTACTTGATGGCAATTGTTGAAGGGGCCCCGATGTTTAGCTCCTTCAAGATCATGGGATACAGCTGATCAATAGATGGAAAGCTACTACCATTGTCCCACAGAAACTTGACCAGTTTCCACTGACTTAGGATGCCGACCACTTCGGTGGTGCCTTCGCTACAGACGAGGATCCGATGCATCCCACTTCCAAAATGCCCCATCGCCTTGGAGAGATTGTCTGATTCTGATAATGTGAGCAAGGGCTCCTTCTTCGCCAGGTTAGTAATATCCCGTAGCGGGATAGATTCGCCCTCACGCGCTCTCCTGGCCAGGGAGTCGAAGTCTTCCAATTGGCTTTGTTCCGGACTTGCCAACCCCACGACAACTAGAAGATATGCATTGAGGTCGCTATAGTCGAAGGTCCCACACGCCGTGGTTTGATTTGCATCTTCGCGGAGCAGGATCACATTTGGGGGGCCGGATTGTATTAACAGCTGATTTCGGTTGCCCCGGTCAGTTACTTTAGCAGCCATGCCCATGCCAATGGGCCGACGGATGGTGGTGGGAAACGGGGGGCACATACACTGGTAGCTTGCTGGACATCCATATCCAGCTCGGCCCATCGCACTTCATGTTTTTGCACCAGCTCGCCAACGCGTATCCTCCGCCAATCCCTACCAACAAACCTGGGGTCGCCGGTGTTGTGATTTGGTGGGTGATTGATGAGGTCCTGAAGGGCAGCCTGGGTGAAGGACGGGTGCCGCTGGGATCGCGGGGAGTGTCTGAGACTCTCCACAAAGCTTGACCGGTGGCTAATGGGGGTTCCATTCCCATTTTTGGGACTGGCTGTTTGCTGGCGTGCCGGGGGATCCAGCAGCGGCGGTGGGCTGAGGTCGGACATCGTTGGGGAGTTTGTTGCTGTGCGAGTGTGCGTGCGGGTAGGTGATGTATCGTCCCTCTATGAAGCAAGGTAGGCGTGTATTATGGTGCGATGTATGCTGCAGCAGCTACCTGGTGATCGGACGGGATATACGTCGTACGCGGAATAGCAGCATGAAGCGGTGCGCAAACGGGTGGTAGCGGTCGAAAAGCGTGCGAGCGTGAGTGTGAATGAGGATGTCAATGTCAATGAGAATGTTCATGTGCATGTGCATGAGGACGAGATATGATATTGAGAATTGTTGCGATTTGCCTCGTTTGCGAGAGATGTCATTGGGGTTCATACCGAACCATTGATTGGCTTGAAATGGCTGTAAACGGGCATTCAATGTCATAAATGCCATTATGGGCCATTATTGGCTATTCTGGGACTGCGGGGTTGTGGCAGCACGTGACGCGGAATACGGGAGTTGCTTTTTGCGTTCCGTTCCGTTGCGTTGCGGTGCGTGGCGATAAGTTATCGAGTATCAACAAAACAAAACAATCATAAGAATAATAGTAATAATAGCACAAGTACTGTACATGTAATATATCAACATCAACAATAAAGAATATCAAGAATTAAGAAGAACAAGTCAATCAAACACTACTAGTTCATCTCAACTCAAGAGCCATGATGTGATTTATTGGCGTATGCAGCTGCCATATGCCCGTACGCAGCGGAGCCTTTTACCAGGTCCATTTCGTGCGCTGCTCTGCGCTTTCAATTCTGCCCCAAGGGACTTCGTACTGCATGAAGCATAAAGCATGAAGCCCACAGGAAACAGTTGCAATGCCAGCGACGTGAAACCCTTAAGCCATTCTTCACAACCAGTAATTCCGGGTGTGCTCAGCACCTGCAGGGACACTGCCCTTCAACTCCCAGAGAGCTTCTGGAGAGTTGGCGGGCGTTTGTTTATTATTTCATTTCAAATCCTTTCATTTCATTGTCCACCGCCCACCGCGAGCCTGGTCCTGGTAGTCCTAGTATCATAGTGTAAGGTTGTCGTGTTTTCCCTTCTCTTAGCGAACGAAGCGCTTTCAAACTCTGGTCCCGCGCCGAAAAATAATTGCTGGCAAACTCCCCCCCACCACGCATTGAAAACGCACCTCCTCCATCCAAGCCCCCCTCTGGAGACAACCACCCCAACTCCAACCACAGCTACAACAACTACTACTACAACAACCACAACAGAAATATCGCCTCTTGATCCTCTGTCTTCTACGTCCTAGAGAGAATCTTCCCCGGCCTTTTCAGACGGAACCGCAGCGTTGCGATCCAGGCGTGCCATCATTTCCTCCCTCTAAGGCGCTTCGCGCTTCGATCAGCGCCATCGCGACCTCTCCCCAGCCCGCCAACGAGGCCCTTTTCTGCTCGCATTCACATTGAGCCGCCAGGAGGATGTCGGTTCTCCCAGCAGAGGTTCATGCGCAGCTTGCGCAGCTGCTAGATGCCCTGCAGTCTTCGGACAATAGTGTGCGGTCCCAGGCCGAGGAGCACTTAGCAACGTACTGGACGGCGTCCAAGCCGGAGATGTTGCTGATAGGCCTGGTGGAGCAGATCCAGGTCTCAAATGACCCCACGGTAAGAAGGATGGCCCCGTAATCCTGGAATTGGCCGAGGCGGATGAAGTGCTAATTCACGAATTGCTCTGTAGACTCGGTCTTTTGCTGCCGTCATCTTCCGCCGGATAGCATCCAAATCTCGCAAACTAGCTAATGACAAGAGCATCGAGCTCTTCCTTTCTCTCCCCCAAGAGCAAGCCTTTGTCATCCGCCAAAAGCTGATTGAAGCCCTTGGTTCGGAGACAACCAAGACGGTGAGAAATAAAATTGGTGATGCTGTTGCAGAGATCGCCAGACAATATTCGGATGGCAGTGAGTGTTCCGGAGCTAGTCTATTCCCGTCCCTGCGGCTGTTGTTCAATATACGGACCGGCGACTGATTTGGTACAGAGGAGCAGTGGCCGGAGGTTTTAGGGGTTCTTTTTACCCTCAGCATATCGCAAGAGGTTGGACAACGAGAGATTGCATATCGCATATTCTCCACAACCCCTGGAATAATCGAGAAGCAACATGAAGATACGGTGCTGTCGGCTTTCACCAAGGGATTCAAAGATGACGATGTCAGCGTATGTCGCCCTATCCCTGGACTTCGTAAACACCACTAACTCTGTGAGCAGGTCCGGCTTTCAGCAATGGAAGCATTCGCATCCTTCTTCCGCAGCATCCCTAAGAAATCACAAGCGAAATACTACGCTCTCATTCCCGAGGTTTTGAATATTCTACCCCCTATCAAGGAGCACCAGGAATCGGAGGAGCTCACGAGGGCCCTTGTTTCTCTCATTGACCTCGCTGAGGTTGCACCAAAGATGTTCAAGCCACTGTTCCACAACCTGGTCTCATTTAGTATATCCGTCATCCAGGATAAGGAACTCTCCGATCAAGCGCGTCAAAATGCTCTCGAGCTCATGGCGACATTTGCCGACTACGCCCCAGCCATGTGCAAGAAGGATGCGACCTACACAAACGATATGATCACCCAATGTCTAAGCCTTATGACTGATATTGGTGCTGAGGACGATGATGCTGCTGAGTGGAATGCTTCGGATGATGTATGTATGATTCAAACCCGGAGCAATTTGCTGGCGACTAATAGCTGTAGATGGATCCCGAGGAAAGCGACCTCAACCACGTTGCAGGCGAGCAATGTATGGATCGGTTGGCGAATAAACTCACTGGACAAACTATTTTACAACCCACATTTACCTGGCTCCCTCGAATGATGCAGTCTGATGCTTGGCGCGATCGACATGCGGCTCTCATGGCCATTTCAGCCATCTCCGAGGGTTGTAGGGAGCTGATGGAAGATGAACTCAATTCTGTTTTGGCACTGGTGGTTCCAGCGCTTCGTGACCCGCATCCCCGTGTTAGATGGGCAGGTTGCAATGCGTTGGGTCAGATGAGTACGGATTTTGCTGGTACTATGCAGACAAAATATCACCAAACCGTGGTTCCGGCCATTATCCCCGTTCTAGACTCACCCGAACCCCGTGTTCAGGCTCATGCTGCTGCGGCTCTCGTCAACTTCTGCGAGGAGGCAGAGAAGGAGATACTAGAGCCTTATCTCGATGATCTCCTAACCCATCTTTTCCAATTGCTCCAGAGTCCTAAGCGCTATGTCCAGGAGCAAGCCCTTTCTACAATCGCAACCATCGCCGATTCGGCGGAGGCTGCCTTTTCCAAATACTACAGCACTCTGATGCCGCTGCTCTTCACGGTTTTGCAACAAGAAAGTACGAAAGAACTTCGGTTACTTAGAGCAAAGGCTATGGAGTGCGCCACGCTCATTGCTCTCGCAGTTGGCAAGGGAAGACTGGGCGAAGATGCGATGGCCCTAGTTCAAGTCCTGGCCAACATCCAGCAGGGCATCACCGATGCCGACGATCCACAAGCTCAATATCTCATGCATTGCTGGGGCCGAATGTGCCGAGTCCTTGGTGCGGACTTCCTTCCCTTCCTTCCCAGCGTCATGCCTCCTTTGATGGAGCTTGCCAGTGCCAAGGCGGATATCCAGCTCCTAGAAGATGATGAACAGATCGATCAAATTCAACAGGAGGAAGGTTGGGAACTTGTCCCCCTGAAGGGTAAGGTTATCGGCATCAAGACCAGTACCCTCGATGATAAGCATATGGCAATCGAGCTTCTCGTGATCTATGCGCAGGTTCTCGAGGGGGCTTTTGCACCTTACGTTCCTGAGGTCATGGAGAAGATCGCGCTGCCCGGACTCGCGTTCTTCTTCCATGACCCAGTTCGTGTTGTCTCTGCCAAGTGCGTGCCCCAGCTTTTGAACTCTTACAAGAAGCAATTCGGGGCCGAATCGAACGAGTTGCGGGGCCTCTGGAACCCAACGATTGAGAAATTACTCGAGGTCCTTAGTGCAGAGCCGGCCGTCGATACCCTTGCGGAGATGTACCAGTGCTTCTACGAGTCAGTTGAAGTTATCGGCGCAAACTGCCTTACCGCACAGCACATGAATGCCTTCATTGATTCAGCCCATTCGGTCCTAGAAGACTTCAAGGAGCGGGTTAAAGCCAGGGCGGTGGAACAAGAGGAGGCCAACAAAGAGGATGGCGATGAAGTGTCGGACGAAACTCTCTTTGCTATCGAAGATGACCAGACCCTTCTTTCCGATATGAACAAGGCCTACCACTGCATTTTCAAGAATCATACCACGGACTTTCTGCCAGCCTGGGAGAGACTTGCTGGGACATACGAAGCTTTCCTCAAGAGCCCAGATCCTACGCAACGCCAGTGGGGCCTTTGTATCTTGGATGACGTTCTCGAATTTTGCGGCGAGCACAGCTGGAAGTACAAGGACGCTATTATTGAACCCCTTGTGGCTGGCTGTCGCGATGCAGCACCGGCAAACCGTCAAGCGGCTGCCTACGGCATCGGCGTTGCTGCTCACAAAGGCGGCGCCGCGTGGTCACAGTTCTTTGCTCCGGCGGTTGAGCTGCTCTTCGAAGTAACGCGAGTCCCTGATGCGCGAGGAGACGATGCCGTGTATGCGACGGAGAATGCATGTGCAGCCATTGCGAAGATCCTCCACTTTAATGCATCCGCCATCCCGAATCCGCAAGAAGTGATTACTCAGTGGGTTGACACGCTGCCGGTCGTGAACGATGATGAAGCGGCCCCTTACGCTTATGCCTACCTTGCCCAGTTGATTAACCAGTGAGTAACCCGTTCTGGTTGTTCCATTTCATGTGTACATGGCTAACACGCCCCTTAGGCAAAACCCCGCGGTGATGTCACAGGCTGGTAAGGTTTTTGGGCTCATTGCTCGGGCATTGGAAGCAGATACTTTGCAAGGACACGTCGGCCCCAAAATGGTGGAGGCAGCGAAGTTGCTCCTGGGCAATGCCGGCTTAGATCCCGCCCAAGTCCTCCAGCAATTGCCTCCTGAAATGCAACAAACCGTACGAGCCTATTTTGGGTAACGCGGGCATGATAAATGATGGATGGTAGGCTGTAACGGGGCCGGTTGGAATGGGTTGGGTTGGATTGGGACGGGGTTCCCGAGGAACATATGAAGGGGATGCGGTTGATGATAGAATGCTTGATACCAAATGCGCAACACGTCGATCTCATTTCATTTGTTTTGGGGATGCCCTGGATTGGCGGGGGAAGCATGATTTAAGGGTAGCATAGCGACAGCAAGATGGTTGACCGGACGAGGGCGAGGGCGAGGCAGAAGTCGCCGCCTTGTCGTGATATGATGTCTCTGGAGCGCGTCGAGCGCTACCACCAGCTGTTGCCAGATTCCAATGCAAATAATAATACCGACATATTAATGGCTATTGATTGGTATTGGTATTGGTATTGGTATTGTTGCTGTGCTGCTGCTGCTGCTGCTGCTCCAACTGTACACCGTAGAGTGCCTAGGTACCTAGCTATATAATGATTTTATACGGTTGGCTCGATTTCAAGAGGTTAGCTAGCGCCTGGAGCTGACTCCGGGGGATCTGGGTTGTTGTGATGGCATTCATGAATGGCATGCTCACCAAGACCGTAATCGTGTTGATGCGTGCCTGCTAATAACCAAGTAGTGCGGACTCTCAGTGGTGGCTCTGGGTCTAGATAATGCCTTCAGGGGCAATGGAGGGGTAGTGTACTGTACATGTACATGTACATCATACCATGACTACGCGCCTTTTATAAGGTACGTATATGTATGTAGGTACTATACCTAGGTAGGTATATTAAAGCGTGGTATACGACGGCGAAGTAGCACTGCAAGTACATGTACAGTACGTACCTCGTAGTACTACACACCCTCCCTTACCTTTATTAGGGGCGGCATCTAAGAACGAGTACTTCGTACCTGCTAGCTAGTACCTTAAGGCTTATGGGTATATACCGTACTCGCACCTCTGTCCCCCCGCCACCGCATCCGAGTGCGACGGGGCGCCTGGACTGCTGTGTGCTGTGTCCTGGGTGATGTGTCGCCCCGCCTACTGCGGAGGGGCGAGGTCATCGCCTCATGCCCGTAGTAATCCCAGTACAACTACAGCTACTACGTACGTACAGGACCTACAGTATACACTACCTATCTGTCCATAGGTAAGGTAGGTACTGTAATATCAACGAAACCTCCTCCAGTCACCCTTCCCACGACTCTGGCTTCGGCGCAAGCTTCGCAGCTTCAGATATCGACCCTGAGCATACGATTGACTGCAGATGGGGTATTGACCAAGCAGCAAACGCGCGTGTGAGCTGCGAAGCTACGCATTTCACCTCGGGGCCCATGGTGGCGGCCATTCTTTGTTCAGTCGTCTTCTGGCCCTGACCCTCATACTCGATACCTCCTATACCCATGACTCGGCACTACGACATTCCATATACAACCGCCGCGGAAGTCGAACCAGGCAGATGTTATCATCATGAATGGTTTCTTCGGGGCGCAGACTTCCCAGCAGGATCTACGGGCAAGGCTGGCGCAGAGGAGACGACGGAATGGCCACACTCGGCCGATGAGCATGCCAATGGTGCTGCCAGGATATTCGCCACAGATGGGGGAATCTGATATGGGCATAGTGGGGGCTATGGGAGGTGACTCGCTGGACGACATCATCATGTTGAATGATATGGAGATACACCGGCGGCAGAGTCTACCACACTACTATCCGGATCAGAACGTCGGCGGCGGGTCTGTGATGATGGGGTTTGGCGCGAACAACAGCAATGCTGCTTGCTTTCAGTTTGGAGGCCCGGTCTCAGGCCCTGGGAACGCCTATCTAAGACGAGAGCCTGCCGGTGAGATGGGGATGCACGGAGGTTATACAGGGATGCCGCCGGGTATGGATATTCTGAATGATCAGTCCATGGACTTTAACTCCTTCCTCCATGGAACGGATGCGTTGAATATCGGTTCAGGTGCTCGAGACTTTCCACCAATGCCCGCGGATATGGTGCATGATATGTTTAGATATGCACCCATCACTATGGACGCTCTATCCGAGGATGATGCTGCATTGCAAATATATCCAAACTCCGATTTCTCACAGCCATTTGGAAATGCCAATTTAGAGAGGATGTCGAATGATTTCATGATGCCAATAATGCCCGAGCTCGCTATTCCCGACGACTCGATGATGGCATCACCAACGAAGACGAGTATCAATCAAAATCCTGCATATATTCCCCCCCCAAGCTTGAGCATGATTCCGTCCCTTTCACCTCAAAACTCATACGGCCTTGTAGATTCGGCCCCATTGGTGAAGACCGAGTCTAGCTCCAAGTATCCTGATATATATTCTTCTAGCGGATTTGATATGTTAGGGGCATTGGTAAAGGTCGCTACGAGGACCAACCCGGAGATCGACATTGGGAAGGTGGATATGTCCTGTGCTTTTCTTGTCTGTGATATCACTCAAGACGATTGTCCTATCGTGTACGTCTCGGAAATTTTTGAGCGGTTAACGGGATATACCAAACACGAGATTCTAGGCCGAAATTGCCGCTTTATGCAATCGCCGGAAGGCAAGGTCCAGGCTGGCGTTCGAAGAGAGTTTGTAGACAATGACTCTATCTACTATCTTAAGAGGAGAATAGAGGAGAAGAAGGAGGCGCAGCGCAGTGTGATCAACTACCGGAAAGGTGGCCAACCTTTCATGAACCTTCTTACCATGATACCTATCAGTGGCGAAGATGGCGATGAGATCAAATATTTTGTTGGGTTCCAGGTAGATCTAGTAGAGAAGCCAACCTCGGTGCAGGGGAAGAGTTCGAGTGGCCTATATACCGTGGACTATTCGCAAGGCATGCTGCCGAAATATGTTTGGTCGCCCCCTTCAGCTCAAAGGGATGACGCCCAGTTAATCAGTCGAGACGATGTATCGGCGGTTTTGAGTTCTATTTGCCACACGGAACCCGAGCTGACGCAACGAATGTGGGATAAGATGCTGTTAGAGAACACGGACGATGTGATACATGTCCTTTCTCTGAAGGGTCTCTTCCTATATCTTTCGCCGTCGTGCCAGCGTATCCTAGAATATGATCCTTCCGAACTTGTTGGTACGGCTTTGTCTTCTATTTGCCACCCTAGTGATATCGTTCCGATCATGAGGGAGTTGAAGGATACATCCACCGGAGCATCGGTAAACGTTGTCTTTCGAATACGACGGAAGAGGGGTGGCTACACATGGTTCGAAAGTCACGGCTCGTTGTGTAGGGAGCAAGGGAAGGGCAGAAAATTCGTTATTCTGGTCGGGCGGGAACGACCCATTTACACTCTTGCTCGACAAGATATCGAGGCTGCAGGCGGCATTAGAGAAAGTGAAATCTGGACGAAACTATCGACGGCTGGCATGTTCCTCTTTGTGTCGTCAAATGTACGAACCCTTCTGGATCGGTCGCCGGAGGACCTGATCGGAACCAGTATGCAAGTGCTGATGCGTCCCGAATCGAAAGTCTCATTTGCCCGATCTCTGGAGAAGGCAAGGACCGGGAAACGGGTCACCCAGACGCACGAGATACTGAACAAGCGAGGGCTCGCCTTACAAGCGCAAACTACATTGTATCCTGGAGATGCTTCGGAAGGTCAGAAGCCAACATTTCTTGTAGCCCAGACACGGCTGCCAAAAACACCGTTAAGGGCCATGGCGCCAGGAGGATCTCAAGGGAACTCAAAGCTGCCTTTAACAAAACCTCAATTAGAGAAATCTACATCCCTTGGCTATCCTCCTGGGTTGACTTCAGAGCAGCTTGCTCACGATCCGCTAAGTTCATCTTCGTCACCTCTTATTCCCGGCCAGATCACCAAAGCCGGCAACCATGGTCTTGCCATAGGGACTCAAGATCGAGCCTTGGCATCCGAGAACAACATCTTTGACGAGTTGAAAACAACCCGCTGCACGAGTTGGCAATTTGAGCTCCGTCAAATGGAGAAGAATAATCGGTTATTGGCTGAAGAATTAGCGGTTCTGTTATCGAATAAGAAAAAACGCAAGAGACGCAAAGGAGCCGGGCCTCTACAGAAGGATTGCGCGAATTGCCACACGAGAGCTACACCGGAATGGAGACGGGGACCCAGTGGACAGAGGGATCTGTGTAATAGTTGTGGGTTGAGGTGGGCTAAACAGGTGAAGTCAGAATAACTACCGCACGTATATATCAATCTAACCACCTGCCCCTCCCGCAGACTGGCCGCGTCTCCCCGCGCAACTCCAAACATAGCGGCGGTGATGCAGCCTCCATCGCTCATTCCTCTCCCTTACAGAAAGAAGCCCCACGCACCGCCTCACTGTTCAATACGCTCGGTATGAATTCCAATCCCAAGGAGAAAATGGCTGAGGGTACGACGGGCGACGGGCCAGCGAGGTTGAAACATTTAGGCATGCCAGTTCGTGAGCAGAGTTTGGGGTTTAGGGATGGCGGGAAGAGGCGAATTGTTGTCATTAAAGAGGGGGAGGAGCCTGGCGATTAAAATTGGATTTAGCGATTTTAAGGCATGGGACGATACCAATACTCACGTACCGATAATTTATTACACAGGACGGTAAAAGCAGATACCACAACCTCGGCGAAGGTCACGAAGTTATACGAATAAAGAAGAGCCTGCATGCAGACTCTAAGTTTTATCTTACCTTATATATTCTTTTCTTTTTTCCCTATGGTGCCAACGTACTTTCATGTGCTTGGCTACTCTATATATATAATATCCCCCTTACAATTGTACCGAGGGGTTACTTTGTACGTCCTTCGTACTCGTGCAGCCCACCAAGTCTACGAAGGACAATGTTCCTTAGTAAGCGTCGGGAGGCTCCCTGGCAGCTAAGGAAACTGATACTATTTGCGCAATGCTTTGGCTTGCTTACTGTTCGTGTTTCTGCACATGTTAAAACCAAGGGTCCTCCCTCAACCCTCACTACTCAGGCTCACATCTATCGTTGGCGGAGTGACTATCGCTGCCTTATCCGGCGGGGGAGTCTGTGACCTCTGTGCAGGGAAGGACATGGCTCTATATTAGGGGTTACTCCGTGCGTTGCTCTTTGCTCGTTGCGAGTTGCTATATGTGTTACTTCGTCTTGCTATTGTTACTGCTATTTGCTCTAAAGACACACCGTTTGGCTTGTTTATTACTTGTGTTCGTATACCACGTTACCTTCCTACCTTCCTTCTCGAGTTCTATGCCCCAGCCACCACCGCCACAAGGCAGTTTTGCAAGACGGCGTTTGCTGTTTGCTGTTTGCTGTTTGCTGTTTGCTGTTTGCTGTCATTGCAAGCCACATTGTACCTCTCCTTCGCGGCGACAGCCTTTGCTATGCTTCGTACTTACAAGCTACCACTTTTTGCTATATGACCTGGCCAGCGCCAGTTGATTTATATATATTTATTTACGGTGATAACTCTAACTCCCAGTCCCCAGTCCCAGCCGCAACGCCCGTCATGTGCTCTGTGCCGCCACCCAAGGGCAAGGCTTGTTGGAGATCTCGACCGGCGGACTGATTGGTGGTGCTTCCTCGGTGTCTCCCCGCCGTATGTGTATCAGATGCGGCATCCAGGCGACCGTCTGTTCTGATGGTTCAGTCTGTTGTGGCGTTTGGTTTGTGGGGTACTTTGTAGCTAAGGAGTTAGGGAGTAGGGGACTACCGACTAGCAATAATCTGCTGTGATGCCCAGCGTCGACCACTGCTAAAGCTCCAGGCCACTCAAGCTCCCCAAGCTCCTCAAGTTCCCCAACACCCCGAGTCTTAGCTTTCTTGCCCTCGGCCTCTGGGATGGCCTCCAGCCGGGCCTCCTTCGAAGCTACCACAGGCAGTTCGGTATTATTCCCCCCGAGCAGCCTCCCAACCGACCTTCTGGGATCAGCTTCAGGATAAAATGCGGGTGAAGACCGGCATACGGCCACACTGGACAGCTGGGGGCTGCCCCAGCCTGACAACGTCTGGCGTTTGCGAATCACCCGAGTGGGCAATGCCCTGGGCCCCTGTGTCCCCGTTCCCCTAGCTCTCCACATGGAGGTTGGGGAACTTGGGGGACCGTTGATCTCGTGGGCCTTTGTGCCGAAGATGCTGTTGCTATCCTGGCTCCAGAGACACGGGGATCGTAGAGTCGGAGGGCCAGCAATTATATTTGTGCGACTTGCCAGAGTCAAGGTATAAGTATGCCAGGGGAAGGATCCGGTTTATTTTCCCCCGGCCTCGACGCGACTTCGATTCACATCTGCTGCTAACCTTGATCCATCACCATCTCGAGTCACCGCCCTCGATAATACCAGCAGGGCGAACGAGAGTGCCTCTCTGCCTTTACTGACCGGAGATCCTGGGCCACAAACACTATATCAGATCACAAGTGAGACCGTAACAAGATACAAGATGGGGCTCTACAAACGAAAGATCACCGTGTCGGACGATACCGTCACCTCAGCGGTGCACTTGACGCTGAGGCAGTCTCTCGTTCCGAATTTCTTGGGTGAGTTTGCCTCTACCCATCTGGCCCCCAAATTCAAGTTATCTCGGCCGCTAACCTTTTACCCACAGTCACAATTTTATTCTTCCTATGGTGACTGCCGCACTTCTTTCAAATCCACATGTGACAACCTTGCGAGGAAAAGAGCACAAAACTAACTCCTTCCTAGGGGCTTCGCATACGGCCTCCTCGATGTCCTTAACCCACATTTTCAAAAGTCTCTCAACATCACCCCATCAAAAGCCTCAGGTCTCTCCGCTGCTTACTTTGGAGCCTATTTTCTCTGCCCACCAACCATCAGCGGCTGGATTCTCCGGAGATGGGGTTTCCGCGTAACGTTCATGTGCGGTCTTTGCACCCTCGCCGTAGGATGCCTGCTTATGTGGCCGAGCGGACTGAAGCATTCCTTTGGCGGCTACTGTGGCAGCATGTTCGTTGTCGGTGCCGGGTTATCCACCCTCGAAACGGCCGCTGACCCATTCTTATCCATCTGTGGCCCGCCCAGATACTCCGAGATCCGTTTGAACCTCGCGCAAGCAGTTCAGGCAGTTGGTTCATTCCTGGCGCCCCTTTTGGCCTCTCGGGTGTTCTTTGCCAAGACTGTTGATACAGAGCAAGGGCTTAAGAACGTGCAATGGGTATATCTTGCAGTTGCAGGTTTTGTGGGCTTGCTCATAATCCTCTTCTTCCTGGCGCCCATGCCCGAGATCACGGATGCAGATATGGGAACCCAGGAGATGGAAATTGCAGAGTATGATCCTGGACCATTCCGCAAGCAAACCAACCTTTTCCTTGCGGTGTGGAGTCAATTCTGCTACGTAGGAGCCCAAGTGGCTGTTGCAAATTACTTTGTGAATTTCTGCGAGGAGGCTGGAAAGGACGCGTCTACCAGTTGTAAGTCATCACTTCGTCTCCTCTGCAAAAGGGCAACATAGGTAGTGCCTGGAAACACATGTGCTAATCCAACCCCCAGCCGACATCTTTGCCGCTGCCCAAGGTCTTTACGCCTTCAACCGATTCCTCGCTGGGGGCCTGATGACCATACCCGCTATCAAACCCCGCTACGTCCTTGCTACTTACCTTGCGATGTGTTTCGTCTTCATCCTCGCAGCCTCACAAAGCCACGGCAACGCCTCAATTGCCATGCTCTGCCTTGTCCTCTGCTGGGAGTCGGCGTGCTTCGCCACGATCTTCACACTTGGTCTGCGTGGTCTTGGGCGGCACACCAAGATCGGGGGCTCGTTAATCGTCGCCGCTATTTCAGGAGGTGCTGTGTTCCCGCCCATGACTGGCGCGGTGGCTACACATCTCCAGAACACGGGAAGTGATAAGCCCTTCCATATGGCGATGTTGATCCCTATGGGAGGATTTATCTGTGCATGGATTTACCCGTTGTATGTTAATATCTGGAACAGGGAGACGATGGATGTACGACGTACGACGGATGTCGGGATCGCGCCGCCGCCCACAGATAAGGAGTATGATCTTGGGCAGACGGATTCGCATGCGGAGAAGGCGGCCGAGGTCTCTGCAGTGGAGAGTGTTAAGACGAAATAAATGCCGTGGGTATCCTACCAGAATGGGGAACGTTGGATATAATTTAGTATTAGTTTCGATACCGTAATTCTACTAATGAAGATATTGATGCAAATTCGTGCTCTATGAAATTGTGAGAACTACCACCCAAGTAGGTAGTTCAGAGAGCCAGATCAGCACAGGAGGAGTGGGTATTTATTTCTTAATAATCACGCTCAGTCCAAGATCTCCAAGTGCCTGTCTGCATTGCATACCTCTCTCGCTCCAGTACATGTCCATATCCATGTACTTCCCCGGATCCATCCTAACGGAACACCAACTTGATGTGCATGTTTCTGCTCCCATGACCCGTACCTACGGGACATATACCTTGTACGAAGGGATATAATCCGGAACGTATTGGGGGAAAGTCGGGAAAGAAAGCAATCAGTTCAGGGCAAGAAGAAGAGATCTTGAACTTATTCCGTTGGTCCACTATCAGGGCTTTTGGAAACATGAAGGTTCGACGCCGGTGCTACAGTTATAAGCACTATTAGGGCGCGAAACCCCAATTTGACCTAGAAGAGTATCCACCGGAGCCAGGAACTGTTGGTTTAATCACCCCATTCGGTAGGGTGGCTGGGTTTGTATTTATCCCTGGTGTTCCTCTTTTGCCTTACACTTCATGATATCTCGACACGCAGATTTTCAAATATATATTATTACTATTAAATATGTGGGATCTCTTCTGCTTTGAATCTGTTTGTTTAGACGCACGGTGGCTGATCCTCAGGCGGGAAGGCCCGCTCGGCTCGCGCTAAGCTAACACCAGGGATTGGCGCCGGGATGCTATTTATGGATTTTGAGGGGCGGGCATGCTTTTCATGTGTTTATTAAGCTTGTGCGACTATATATTCTGTAGGAAATTTCTTTTGTGCTACCTTCTAACGTGTTTATTAATCCCTGGATAGGCACGCGCTCGCTCTCGTGTATCGACGTTTTAGAAGCTCAAAAGAGGGGTCGAGATAGGGTAGCAGGATAAACATATGTCTATGTCTAGCTGTCCAGGACCAAGAAGCTTCAAGTGAGGCGGGACAAAAGGAGAGCAGAAAAGGAAGCACCAAATCAATTGCTTTGCTTGCTTTTGTAAGTTCCTTACTTAATTTTACTCAAACAATTTGAACTCTGCTGATACGTTGGCCAGGCCTTGGCTTTGAACTGCTTGCCTAGCTCAGCAACAGCAACAACCAAACAGAAATAGCCTTTGCGCCGCCATTTTGGATTCAATCCAACATGCGTTTTCATCTGCTCCCAGCAGTGGTATGGCTGGCCCTGCCTCACGCTATTTTGGCACAGGATCCAGTAGTCGGCGCCATCCCCTTCGACCAGCTGCTATCGGACCCGGCCGGTTTTGGGTTTGCGAATCGGACTCCCAGTTTTGATGCCCAGGTTCAAGAACTAGAACAGATGGCGAAGGCGGGGAATTTGGGTTTAGATAAATGCCAGATCGCGGTAAGTCGTCGAATAAGATAAGCATGCTTAGGGTGCTTAAACTTGGTCCTTCCCAACGTCCTCATTCAACGTCGACCAAAGGGATAAGATGGAGGTAGCTAAGACATGTTCGCTAACCAGAAAATCTCGAGGATAGTGTGCCCTCTTAGAGCTACTTGTTCCACCCAACGTTAGCTCTCCAGCCTCCCCTGACTACAAGCCAGTCAAATACTGGTCCGTCCAACAATCCGAAGTGATCCCAGCATGTCGAATTGATGTCGCCTCAGCACGGGACATCTCCACCGCCATCAAAGTATCCAAGCTAACACAATGTCCCTTTGCCGTCAAGGGCGGTGGCCACGTAGCATTTGCGGGTGCATCAAGCATCCAAAATGGGATCTTGATCAACCTGGCGAATCTGAATACTGTGTCTGTTAATGAGGATCGTACCATAACGAGTGTGGGGTCCGGGAATACGTGGATTAATGTGTATAAGATACTTGATCCACTGGGCCTTTCTGTGGTAGGTGGTAGGGAAGCTAGTGTTGGTGTGGGAGGACTTACGCTAGGTGGTAAGCTATCCTACTCGATTTCGTGACATAGAAAAGTCGAGTCAACTACTAACAACAAGATATAGGTGGAATATCATACTTTTCTGGCCGATATGGCTGGGCATGTGATAACGTGCTCAACTACGAAGTTGTCCTCGCCGATGGTAGCATTGTCATTGCCTCCCCAACCTCTGAGCCTAACCTCTACTGGGCCCTGCGCGGCGGCTCAGGAACGAACTTTGGAATCATCTCCCGCTTCGATCTCGCCACCTTCGAACAAGGCCCACTCTGGGGAGGCAGCAAATACTACTCCATCATCTCCAATGCTTCCCTCGCTGAGGCGTTCTCTAAATTTGCGGTCGATGCGCCGACAGATGACTTTGCGCATCTCTATATTGCGTTTGGCTATGCGGATTCGTTTGGCGGCTTTGCTGCTGTTTCGGGACCGACCTATGGGAAGCCTGTAGCTGATGCCCCAATTTTTGATGAGCTGAGCAAGATTCCTGCGTTGATTGATGCAACTGGGCTTAATAACATAACCGCTTTGGCGATAGCGCTCGATCAAACCGCCTATGTTAGGTAAATATCGAAAATCTCCAAAATATTATAAAGAGAAACTAATAGCTTCTGTAGGGAAATGTATGTACTCTGTTGTTCTAAGTGGGAAATATCGTTCTTTGTTTAATGCTAATTGATATAAATAGGTTCAGAACGGTGACGTTCAAGAATGATGCAAACCTCATCAAACAGCTAGTCCAGATCTACGTGGAAGAAACATCCACAGTACTAGATATCCCCGGTATCCTTCCATTCTTCTCCTTTCAACCAATATCCCTCAATATCATCGATAAGATGAAGAAGAATGGGGGAAACGTCCTAGGCCTTTCAGAGGCTGATGGGCCCTTAGTTAGTAAGTTTCACCGCCCGCGTCCTGTCTCATGCTGTGGAGGGAAACCAAGCTTATACAGTACCTCGTAGTTATGAACGTCAATTGGGGATGGTCGGATGCTGCAGATGATGCCAGGATCTCTGATACAGTACTGAGGTTCTTTTCCCGAAGTATAGCATTGGCAAAATCCATGAGCTTGGATCATCGGTTTATTTATATGAATTATGCGGGTCTTGATCAGGGTGTATTTGCGGGTTATGGAGAACATAATCTTGGCAGACTGAAGGATATCCAAAAGAGGTACGATCCCCACGGCGTGTTTACGAAATTGCAGCCGGGGTATTTTAAGCTTTGAATTATAGCTGCACTTGTGTAGGGGAGAGTTGATTTTGATCTATGTCTTTTCGAGACCGGATTTCTAGAGATTAGCTAGATGAGTGTATTGGTTTCATGAAAAATTGGGGGACCACAACACCAACTGTCGTTGCTGTTGTAACTTGTAATGTCAAAATGAAGTGAGAAACGTTTTGGCAATTAAAACACTCAGAGCCGGAAGCTATTTTCTCCATGCAATCGAGTTTTGCTAGCTGTGCTTCAGGTGGCTTTATTGGCTTTATTCCCTTCACACGTCACCGAGCAATAATTAGTCGAAGCTGAAGACATCGCGTTAGTCATATTACAGGTTAAATTTCATATTTATACGATGTGTAACAAATTGACCGTTAGTTCCTTGGGGGATTTAGGAGATTGAAATCTAGTTAGTCTTTAAGTCAAGAATATAGGTGTTGGGATTTTGTGCCATATATTTGTGTGATAGGCAACAAATTGCTTGCACCGTCTCCTCTAACAGCCCCATTAAGCTCCTACTACAAAGTACATCTATAATATATAGCACTAAAAACGTACATCTCAGGAAGTCTTCGATTTACTTTGCAGATCTACCTTGAACGTGCGATTCTGCGAATGCCCAGGTAATTTAGCGGATTGTGATTATTTTTATTGTTTTCTACCACTTCTTCGGAGCACCTACAACGGTCCTAGAAAAGACCGCACTGGCAAGTGGTTCGGGCGACTTGGCCTTCTGTTTGGCTTGAATGCCTATTCTGTCAGTGACTGGAGTTGCGTCGATGATATCATCAAACTCATCATCATCGCCGTTATCAGAATCAGGCTCTATATCTGAATCTTCCTTCAGGGCTACAGGGCGAGAAACCTTCTCTAGAGTTGTCTTCTGGCCGATGGCTGCTGGGGTTGAAAATGGTTTCGATGCCAGTACCTTGCGTCTTAATTCCGCCATCTCTTCTTCGTCGTCTTCATCGTCTGATATGTCTAGTGGGTCTCTGTTGTCCTCCTCCTCGACACCAGCGTTGGCCTTCTTTAGGGGTTTCATGCCTAGATATATTCCATCTACCTCCTCACTTCCTTCAACCTCGTCGTCATCGTCTTCATCATCGTCATCATCCGAGCTCTCAGGCATCCGGTGATTCGTATTCCCACTTTTCCATATATCCACCTCAGCGCCATCCTCCCCAGCAGCTCTGCTATCCGAATATTCTCTTTCCAGTCTCGCCATCCAGTTGGCTTCGGCCTGCTTGATATCCGCCTCATCCTTACACGCAGCGTATCGTTTTAATATAGACGAGTTTATCTCAAGGAACGCCGAACCGTAGGAGAAATGTGACAAAACCTCTTCTGCCCACTCTGGATGACCACAGATGTAAAACGCCGCCCCCAGCGCTTCGACACAGTTCAGCCTCAACGGTTTTCCATAATTGACACTATTCGCAGCAACCAGGTATGGCAGTAACCTCTCACATTTCCCTCCAATCTTGGCCCATGGTACCTCTTTCACTCGAGCCCATGAGCATTCCACAACCGCCGCTCCGTGCTGCTCCATAAGTTCGCGGTCAGCGGGGGATATGGTATGCTTCGCATTCGGGCTGATGATAACGCCGGAGTGCTTCTGCCCTATATGAAGATCACGCATGAGGCCCATCTTCATCAGCTTTTTCCCTGAACATCTCTTGGGATCGCAGTGACCTAGGTCCCAGCATGCTGCTTTGAAGGAGGGGCGCGATCTCGATGCGGGGTTGTCGCCATCCTCATCGCCACTTCGTGGACCTCTGGATCTTGGGCCGTTGTTGTATTTCTTTCCTCGGGATGAGAAGTTGTCTTTTTTATGTCGAACCATGACGGATGGACTTGTTAAGGATGGTTTTGGGAGTAATAGGACGAGTTTTATGAACTTCAAGAAATCGGCGCGGCAATATCATCTTCGCTTCGTCAGCGCACCCCAGCCGAGCATCTGCGGGTACAATTACAGTACTGGATCTACTGCTCGCAGCACATAGTTCGTAGGGTTGAACTCCCCCACCATCCGCGTCGCTCTTCCTGCCAGCTTGCCCTACATCTAGGCAGCGTCTCAAACTTCTTCGCAGCAATATCTAGTGGTTATAACCCCCAGCAACCTCCAGATGGAGGCAGTATCTGCGCGGATGGCGGCCAGAGACCGGTTTGGCGCCATGGGCGACCCAGGTCCGTCGCACCTTCAACGATATATCCAACAAGCCTGCAGTCCAGAGAACTTCGAGCCCAATCTTGCTCTAAACCTCGAGATCTCGGATCTAATCAACTCGAAGAAGGGCAATGCGCCGCGAGAAGCTGCCGTAGCTATCGTCAACTACATCAACCACCGAAACCCGAACGTCTCGTTACTCGCACTCAACCTACTAGATATATGTGTCAAGAATTGCGGATACCCTTTCCATCTTCAGATCAGTACCAAGGAGTTCCTTAATGAGCTAGTTAGGAGGTTCCCTGAGCGTCCGCCGATCAGACCTACGCGGGTGCAGCAGAAGATCCTAGAAGCTATCGAGGAGTGGAGGGGGACGATATGCATGACGTCCAGATACAAGGAGGACCTGGGGTTTATCCGAGATATGCATAGGCTACTGAGTTATAAGGGGTATGTGTTTCCGGAAGTTAGGACGGAGGATGCTGCTGTGTTGAACCCAAGTGATGTAAGTTTCTCTGTCAAAACTACATCCTTCGGTTTCTGACAGGTATAGAACCTTAAATCGGCGGAAGAGATGGAGGAAGAAGAGAGAGCAGCCCAGTCTGCGAAACTCCAAGAATTGATTCGGCGTGGTGGCCCGGAAGATCTACAAGAAGCCAATCGACTGATGAAGGTTATGGCAGGCTACGATACCCGACACAAAACAGATTATAGAGCCAAGGCCGCGGAGGAAGTTGGAAAAGTCCAGCAGAAGGCAATGTTGTTGGAAGAGCGGTTGGAGGCATTCCAACCAGGCGACAAAATGACGGACGGTGATGTATATGAAGAGCTGGCTTCGGCGCTCCAAAGCGCCCATCCAAAAATCCAAAAGATGTGCGAAGAGGAGTCTGATGACCACGAGGCGGTGGCGAAGCTGCTTGAGATCAACGATAGCATTCATCGAACGGTAGAACGGTATAGATTGATGAAGAAGGGTGATGTTGATGCAGCATCCAAAATCGCAAAAGGGACGCTTGGGACGAGCACGGGCGTGGCTAAGAACGCTGATAATGAGCTCTCGCTGATCGATTTCGACCCAGAGTCCAATGCAAGCGCACCCGTAGAAGTGCCTGCTCAAGGGCCGGCTGGCAGCGTTGAAGATGATCTACTCGGACTTTCACTGGGAGGCGATAAAGGTTATGGACAAGGGGGTGGTATTTCCCTTGGATTTGGGAACAATACCAGTAAGTCCCTAGAATATCGTTTCCTTGAATCATTGCTAATAGCCTCAGATATCCCAGGTCCAGCTTTAATATCTTCAACAACGGAATATAGCACAGCAAGAGGGCCAACTCCTACTAGATCTCCGGCTCCCCCATCAGCGCCTGCGGTTAAGCCTGATTATTCTGCATTTTCAGCGTTTGGACCACCACAGCTTGCCTCCAAGCCGGCCACTCCTCAGCCATCTCTATTCCAGCAACAAGAAGCAGTCATGGCTAGCAAACCGCAACCCCCGATCTCAGCATCGGACCCCTTCGCAGCCTTGGCGTCTCCTGTCCGACAAGCAACCCCGCAACAAGCACAGCCGTCAATGTTCGACTTTGGGAACCACCAAGCGCCCGCGCCTGCTGCAGCTCCTGCAACAGATGACGACGAATGGGCCTTTTCTTCTGCCTTGCCCGAAGGCCTTCCGCCTTCAAACACTATCGAAATCAACAATACCGCTCTCAATATATCATTGCATGCAACACGAGAGCCTCAGACGCCCTCCATTATCACGATGGCATTGACATTTTCAAGTCGATCAGATGAGCCAATATCCGAGCTGACGTTTATGGCAGCAGTAACAAAGGTATGTGTTCATAAGCCCCTGTCTTATCCAACTGCTACCAAGTAGCTACACTAACTAACAAAAACAGGGATACTCCCTCAAACTCCAACCACAAAGCGGGCGGAGGCTACAACCGCATGAGACAGCGGGGGTCAAGCAGATCATCTATCTAAATGGGGCGGAACAGGGGCAAGGGGAGTCGGTAAAAGTAAGGTGGAAGGCGTCGTATAGGATTGGGGCGAGGCAGGTCAATGAACAGGGAGAGGTATCCTCGCTTGGGATTGCTTGATACGAGTTTAAAACTTAGATGAAATTTATCACCAACATGATGATTATTACGGTGTGCTTTGGGATAATATGTATTTTACTCCTTTGGTGGGTATGCTACCTTGAATAACAACCTTTCCATGTTTCCTTCCCCAATCATGTTTTGAAACTCTCCAACTAGTTTTGGTTCAAGAATGGACGGAAATATTCACCGGAGCCAGCATGGTATCATTTCTGGGAGTTTTATATTTTTCTTGCGCCTGGCATCCTAAAACCTAAGCCTCTCTTCTATCGATACTTTTCTGGTAACGGTCCATGGAGTCCTAAGCTTTGATTTACCGGCAAGTATAACCGCCGTCGATGACGATATCAGCACCGGTGGTGTAAGTGCTAGCATCGCTGACAAGGTACACATATGCTCCCTTCAGCTCCTTCGCATCGCCATCTCGTCCCATAGGGATCATGCTCTTCCAGAGAGCCTGTGTCTTCTGATCCACGAAGTCGCTCAACCCGGTATCGATATAACCCGGGGAGATGGAGTTGACGCGTGCAAAGTCCCGCCACTCGTTCGCCAGCGAGCGAGCCATGTGGATGCACCCTGCCTTGGCGACGTTGTAGCTGGTCTGCTCCTGGGGGAAATTGGCAATGTGTCCGGACATGGAAGCAGTAATGACGAAGCTACCGGTTCCGCGCTCCTTGAAGTGCTGTCCCACGGCCTTCGCACAGTGGAATGTGCCATTCAAATCGGTCTGGATAACCTCGTTCCAGTCCTGCACGGATCCGTCAAGAATGCCACTATCAGCCGTACGACCTGCGTTGGCGATGAAAGCATCGATCTTGCCAAATTCCTGGATCACCTCCTTGACAAGCTTCTCCACGCTGTCGTAGGATCCGATATCGAGCTTGTAGGCCTTGACCTTGACGCCGTATGTGGCGGCCAGCTCCTTCGCGTTCTTCTCGCCGCCCTCGGGACGGGATGAGTAGGTGATGGCAAGGTCGGCGCCCATCTCGGCGCAGCCGCGGGCGGCTTCGATTCCCATCCCTCGAGGGCCGGAGGCGCCGGTGACGACGACAACCTTGCCCTTGAGGCTGAACATGTCCATCAGGGAGTTGGCCTTGGGGATTTCGATAGGCATCTTGAAGGTGGGGGTTTGGTTTTGGTGGGGTATGTGGTGGTGGTAGCGGTGAAGGCTGTGGTGGTCTTGGGGAATTGTGATGTGTGGTGGATGTAGGTTGGATTAGGTTGAAGAGAGAACAGGAACTTCTCGGGGAATTGGTATGTATGGAGGGGTATCGAGCAAGAGTACCTAGGTAGAGAATGGGCACCAGGAGGGGCGCCCCTCCCCCCCCTTATGTAGGCGTGAGCTGTCCACGGCCTGACTCGAGGAGCTCCATATCGTGGTCAGGGGCAACGGCGGTCCTGGCAAGGAATGCAATGAGCGTCCTCGTAAGGTGGGGGAACGCAATCCGTCATCGGTTTGGACATTTCCGTGTGCTGAGATCGGGCTCTGGGCATGCGATCCAATGGCTGCCAAAGCTGTGTACTTGTAAGGGGCTGACCCAGCATTAGTAGTGGATTACCTACCTTAGGGCGTCTGGAGCTGTTGCCTCCTGACGCCGCTAGATAATGGAGCTGCAACGAGAGACGTTTGTTGGCCGGGTTGCTGTATACTTGGTAGAACATGTTCGTAGCAAGTGACATCATTCGCTCCAAGCAACAGCAATAGCCGAATGGCTGCTGCGGGCTGATTACCTAACACCGCGGCCACCCCGGTGCTGGTTGGTCGATACGAGTACCTTGCCGTGTCCGTTTACAAACACGCTTCGTATCATAATATTGCAGTATCATAATATATTTCTAAACAATGGGCTCCGGTGGATGCCTACCTAGGCTCTCGTCCCTGTGCTGCGGTTAGTAATGATTATACGAAGTAATCGTGATCATGCCATGGAACAGCGGTGAAGGGACAGGACTGGACGGCCATGGCCTCGAAAGCTAGCTGCTACCTTGCTACGTACAGATACGCATCTTCTACTGTACATGTACATGTCCTGTACGCGGTCTCAGCCAACCCCTCCATGATCGATGGATGGGAACTACTGCAACTTGGCAAGGATCCGACAAGCAGAGCCCCAGAACCTACCGAGGTATGATAAAGGTAAAGGCCAGATTCGAAGGCCCGCGACGATTCTGCAAAACCTGACAGTTTAAATGCGGCAAGTCATGTGAAAGTTCAGCACCATGCTAATGCTATAGTCTCCAGTTCATATGACTGTCGCCACCCAGAGAGCACGATAAGGATACTATCAATACTGTACTATCAGTACTATCAACCATGCATATCACCGTGTGTCTTGGAGGAAATTAAAGCTAGGTAGGAATATGGGTGGGGGGGCATGTTTTTGCTTCAGTCGCCTTGTGCTCAGCATCACTCGACAAGCGGGCCAAATTAGTTTATTAGAACACCGTGCTAGAGGTTAGGGTTTGCTGCGGAAATGTCCATTGCGATCCTACCGAGTGCTTCAGCGATTCTCATCGTGCCTTGCTACAAATACTACCCACGCGCTCACATTAGCCTCTGAGTTTAGCATTTATTCGCCAGCCCAACAACCGCCAGCATGGGACTCCCAGAAGAAGAATCATTCAACGAGAACATCCCCTTCGTTGTCGAGATGCCCCCTGAGCCCCCGGCAGCACGATTGCCAGTGCCATTGCCATCGCCATCGCCATCTCGATCTCAATCTCGCCCGACTTATGGGTCAACATGGGTTGGCACCCTGCTCGATGTCCCTCAAGATTCGCCTATCCAATCGGCCCTCAATTACATATCCAAGGTTATGTTAATGGCTGTGTTAATTGTTGCTGTGGCTATGGTTACGATCGTGTCTATCTGTACATCTGTCTCCTCGGTATGTCCTAAATCATCAATCATCAATCAATCTATTACTTTGGTTTAGACCGGCTGGGCAGAGCACCTGGGCCCCCTGCTTTTCCCGCCTTTATTTGTATCTATACTTGTATTTTTCATATTATTGACCTGAACGAACATCTAAACATCAGTAAGCATCCATTAATCATCTACTAATCCAATACTGTAAGTTTTAGGCAGGAAGCATACAACAGCCGAAGTCCCTGCCGGTCCCCCTCGCTACTATGGTGGAGCAACTACAACCATTCAATGGTATTCGCTTTTTGCCTCCAAAACGTATTTAGTTGTAGCATGTGGGTAGGTGGAGCTGGCTGAGCTTCAGAGCTCCTGGAATTGTCCCCCGTGAGGCGCGTTTACGTGATTGAGCTCCAGCTCTTGGAATACGGGAAGTTATCCAAGGACTTGGAGCCTGTCGTTTGTCTTTTCATTTTGTCTTTACACCTACAAATACACTTGTTTTCCCACATATCTTTGGTTCGTTGTCTTGACTGTTGATTGCCCTGATTATTATACTCCCTTTTGCCACCACCTGGGTGAGCCCTGAATTACCTGACGACCCGACGGAGAGACTGTACCCCTCTATTATTGCCCACGACGCTAGTCCCCTACTCCAGAGGATCCAGGCCCCTTCTGCTTGCGGTCCTGTTGTATGTTTTACACCTGTTCCCTCCTTTGCATACGTACGGTCTTTCCTGCCCCATGACAACATGTGTCGGAAGAATCATTCAAAGAGAATACCCCCTAAGACCCAAGAAGCACGATCGCCATCTTGCTCGACTTATAGGACAACATCGATTGGCACCCTACTCCTGTCCTTCATTTATACATCTATATATGGCTATGCTCAGTGTTTCTGTATTTGTGGCTGCGATCGTGTATATCTCTATAAACGGTATGTCCTCAATCATCTTTAAAGCAATATAAAGGCACGCTTTTTTGTACCTGAGCTGCATGACACGTTACTAAATTTAATACAGGCAATCTGATCTCGCTAGCCTTCCTGGTTCAAAACTCGCTACAGCAACTGGCTGGTAGAGACATATTACCAGGTGATCAAGCAGAGTGGTAGGCAAATCGCGTTTAGGGATATTAGAATGGCATAAACTTACGGTGGGTGGATTACCTCAATCTGCTCTAATAATACATCCTGACTTGTTGCCTAGGGCGGATTCTTCGCATCAACCCCTGTGCCATTTACATTGATGACCCAGGTTATTACGAAACTATATATTCCAATCGAGGGGTCATTATTAAGGCGAGTTATACGGTGGGCCAATTTGGAACCCCAGTGCCATGTTTGGAACTGTCAAGCATAACCTCCACCGCCAACGGAGGTCTGTCCTATCTCCCTTCTTCCCAAACCGTAAAATACTAGAAGATAGTCCGCATATTCAGTATCATGTTTACCCATATAATCTGCACCGAATCTGGACCTCTCTAAAGTCCACTTCCGTCTTTGGACCGGAGTAGTCGCCGCTCTCGAGCCCTGAGCACACTGATGGGTCAGCTTGATCATACTTAGGGGGATCCTCTTCCGGCTCCGTCGAGAATCGGTTACAGTTGCCTTGGTATCTAAATATAAATCTCAATGCCTGGAATACAGTCAACTTTTCTTACCGAGCAGGTAACCGATTCTGGCTTCCCTACCCACCCTTTCAAAGATGCCGCAAAGAGACAATCTGGATCTATGTTAGAGAGAGCCGCACGAAACCGTGAATATGGCAGAAGTGCGGCAGCGATTATGTGAATAGACTAAGTGCTCTTTAGGAGTGGAGCTAGGCGAACAAAGTTTATCATTAGACTTTGCTATTTGTAATTCTCCCCCTGCAGAGCTACTAAGCTTCTTTACCTTTTCATCGTCTTAGCCTACTATAACTACAGTCTATCTAATTCTATGCAACTGTGTAGTTGGAGCCCTAGCTTGCCAGAAAGACTCACACCTCCAACCCCTTAATAGACAAGTTATTTCATATTGTCAAATAATTACCACCAAAAGCCTGTCAAAGCGCTACCCGAAGAAGACTAAAACACCCACAGATTGTATTAACAATCCTGCCTCTCTAGACCTGTAGCTAGTCGAGTTTATTAATTCGGTCCTATTTCCTTAAAGTACGTATCTCTTTATATTCCTTTATAGTACCACTAACTTTAGTATTAGGCGGTAGCTAGCTATCCGACGAAGGCAATTTCTTACCTTATCTACTTCTTTATCCGAGTCTATCTTTATCGCCTTCATTCAGCGGCAAGGGCTTCGTCGAATTCACTACTCTCTGTTAGTATAAATATATATAATAATCTAGAGACACTTAGGTAGGGCATGGAATAATATATTAATATGAACTACGTCGACTTGCCTTGTAAACGGTGCGAAGTAGAGATATAATCTATTCAAGATAAGTATAACGAAACTATACGAAACAATCTCCCAATCATTATAACTACCCAAATATAGCATCCTGTATATCCTTCGTCACATGATCTCTACATATCTCCTTCTCGTGCTGTTTTACATGATGCCCGATGACCTTATCAATGGTTTCTTGGAGGGATTTTGAATAGTCTAGTGGAACAGCGATCTGGCAGTATTTCGCTTCGGGACTAAACGCCTCGGGACAGACCAGATAGGTAAATAGCGTCGTATAGATCTGCAGTAAACGAGTTCTCCCGCCAGGTCAAAAATGGCCCTGGACAGAAGCGGGAAGTCATCGTCCATGATCTTAAAGGTGGCCGCAGAAGACAAGAAAATCTAAGTATAGAGCTGACTACATATAGCCGTCAGATCTAACGTTCTTCTAACGTATCTCTTTATATCATTATGCCTTCTCTCCTAAATAGTCAAAAGCTTACTCCCTCTTTAAAAGTAATATAAGTAAAAGAGCTAACTTTAGAGTTTAAAGTAAGTTTATTTAATATTTTAGTAAAAGTAACTTAAAGTATAGATTAAGATAATTAATCTTAATTATAAATATATAAGTAATTTAACTAATTATATTAGTAGGGAGTATTCTAGGGCATATAATAGGACAAATTATAATATTACTCAGCTAAATTCGTAATATATTTTATATAATACTTGTAAACAACGTAGGAACTAATAGGAGTAATGAGCTAAGTGGCACCCTGATAGTGTAGGCGGTGGCTGCCAGACGAGGGGATAGGCGTGGGCTTATGTCAAGCCTGACTTAGCAACCTAAACCATATACGTATTTCTGACAAAACCTGTAACAACACCAAAGCACGTGCAGGCTGAACCTGGCGAGCCAAGGTTTCTCGAGTCAACAAACCTCCTACTTGAAACCGCCTGAAGGCTCCTTGGTAATTGGCATTTCCTTTATACCGTCGAGCTTTCCCTTTCCTGCTTGTATAATTTGAATTCTGTGTGTGGTTCCTTTGTAAAAAGAGCATCCTGAAAATGAACCTAGATGTCTGAAGGATGGATGTTTGAATGATATATGACAAGACGGGATGTAGGCGATTGGATTTTGAGCAAATGATAAGATGCGTGTCAATTTTGTTGAATAACGAGGATATCGTCGCCTTTTGCTACATCCTTCACGATGAAAAAGTCCCTCAGTAGGGACAGTACTCTGCGACTACATACGTATAGCGGCAAGTAAAAGTCCCCATTCCAGAATTGGATTTCTGAGATGCCCTCTGCAATAGCTGTTCTTGCCATCTTCGGTGTAACTTTATTCGAAACATTCATAGCAGTATTCTGCTAACGGGAGCTTGTGATTCCGGAGCCGGATGATGTACGAGATAGGCTGTCAATTCGGCCACTTAAGCATCTCGTAGCTCGCGTTAATGACATACTTTTTTATATACTTCAACTCTTTTTGAGCGAATCGAAGGATTGGAGCTGAATGGGTTACGTACCACCTGGGAGGCGGGGCGCGGTAAAGCAACGAGTAGCTTTCAATTGATCGAGAAAGTGGTGCTTACTCTGTCATAACGGTCGAATTGTCGAATAGCTAGTTTAATGACATATTTTGTTAATAGAGCGTTCGATTCGTCGATAAGCTATCTGGTTATCATTATTGTGCCAGCTGCAGATGGGCGTATTAATTTGTATATAGATTCAGTTATAGGAGGATACACGTAAATATCATGTAATGACAATTTGCTTTCGTCGACGGGCCGATTGCCACTGACTTATTACGCCGCATTAAAATTAAACAAGTACTTGGGCATAATGATCTAGAAATCCAAATGATTATGGGCTTCCTGTCGGCCACAACCCCGAACACCTGTTCATCTGATAGCTGCCATGGGCCGCAAAGAGTAACAAATCATGATTCGCATCGATAGCAAATGCCCGTCAGGCGTCGATCGGAGAAGCCGTGCAAAGCATTTGACACGACAAGGGCTGTTTGCCTTACTATATTACTTTGTTTGGAGTCCCAGTTTCGGAATTTGGAATGTTCGCCACATACTCAGATTGCTTGTTGAATTTCGTCGTCTTAGCTTACCCCGATGGTTATACGTGCCGCAAACCAAGCTCGCGAGGCCCCATTAGAGAGGTTATACGTGAGTACGTGCCGCAGCGCAAGCTCGCGATGCCACATTTAGTGGTGATACTTATTAGTGGTTATGCCTGAGTACGTACTCGAGTACGTACTCAAGTACCCCGTAGGCGGGCTCGCGAACTGGGGTCTCACAAGGCAATCCGTGCCACGCCGCGAGCTCGGGGCCCTATCTAACTGGCCATTGCCAAAGAGCAGGAAACATCCTACGTACTAAATATTCCACAGCGACCGCCGGTCGAGATATCGTACGTACAGCACAGTAGACTTCTGCTGTACTGTGTAGTGCATCGCCGAATCTGAAGCAGGAACATGGTGTTTTATGATCTCGTGGGCTGTGTGTTTGTATCTATAAGAAGGGCTTCTCTCCCTCGCTGAAGAAGAAGAACCATCTCAATCATCTCTCACACACCAAGAGCCAACTGAATCACACTCACTACTCATATCCACCACCCTCGTTTTTCAAAGCAACCAACGAAGTCTACTACCACACCGACAACATGGGTCTCTTCTCCGCCTCGACGATTGCCCTCCTGCTTAGCGCAGCCATCTCCTCCACCAGCGCCCAGAGCATTGCGGGCGCCCCTGCCGAGGCCAACGCCCGGCTCACCGCGCTCACATACAGCGGGGACTCTTGCCCACAAGAAACCCTCCAGTCCGAGTTCGACCCCATCCTCGGCGTTGAACGAAGTCACGTCCAGGGCTTTGCATCCACCATGGAGGGCGACAGAAGGCTACGTTCCAAGTTCTGCCAGGTGCACATGGAGATGACAACTGATCCGGGATGGAAGATCACCGTGAAGTCGAACAGTCTTCAGACGCAGGCGCATGTAGCGGTGGGGGAGGGCGTCACCGCCTCGTATTTTTCCACCTGGTTCATGCCGGGTTCCTTGACGGTGAGTGCACTTGCTTCCTAATAAAGGCTTCACTCTACTTCGGCACAGCAGAATATATAGAGGTCGAAGATACCCGAACTAGGCTAATCCCGTTCTCACCAGGTCGATGTCGTGAAGCGGTTCGAGGGACCACTCGACGAGATTGTGTCTATTGCTGACCCAAGCCCCGAATTTGATGGGTTGCAGCCAGTGTCCGAATGTGGAGGTGGACAGCTGATGGTCACCCGCAGAATCGGTCTTTCAGGGGCTGGTACCGGAACCATGGAGCTCTTTGGCGACGCCAGTAACGGGGGCCCGATCAACGCAGACTTCGTGCCGTGGGCGGCGTTGGAGTTCGTGAAGTGCTAGAGTATAGGACGAATGCAAAATGCACAGTCGTCTGTGAGGTGATTGTCCTGACGGTGCTGGAACCGATCATCCCCCTCACATGTACCCTCACATGTACCCTCACTTCATGTATAGTTAGCCTTAGATTGTCCTTCATATGTCAAAGAATGAGATCAGTTGTATACACATGAACTAGTAGCCCCCTTGCATATTTTATGATAAAAACGGCCGAAGAAACTCATCGGTGGTAAAAGGAGCCTCCAAACAAAGCCTGTCGACAGAAGTCCAGGCCAGCGCAATGCGGAGTCGTACTACGGTAATTTAAGAAGAAAACAGGGCTGCAGCATGAAATGGTAAGGGTAGTAAAATTTCTTATCGTGCGTATATAGATAAGCAAGGAATATCTTGATTAGAAACAAAAATACCCCTGAGAGGGTGTTAGGGCTGTAAGGCGGGGATACGGGAGACGGGAGGCAGTGCTTGCAATGGCATAATCAAGTAACCTAAACTCCGCAACCTGACAATACCCCATGGACCTTGCAGACCCGCTTATATAAAGGGAGATATTATTTATTAAAGTTAGAAATATAATAAATATAAGAACTAAATAATAAGAGTATTCTCTTTCAATAAAGACTAAAGTTATATTATAGTATAAAAGAAATATATCTTGAGAGATTAATAGTCTATTTTAGATCAGGGGATATTATTTAAATCCGCCTTGAAGCTAACTTAGTCTCCCTAAATATAGTTATATAAAGTTAATAACTTTTATACCTTAGAACTAAGTAATAAATAAATAATAATTAGTTATTAGAAAGGAGAGTAGGAACGTGACTAAGTAACCTGAGTAGAGGGAGAGGCGAGGGTGAGTGGCGCGTAAGGAATGTGTCCAACTAAGAAGTAGGCAATGCGATCCCAGATGCCTGATGGCATGTATACAGCACAATAGGAAAAATATGGGGTACGCATTTGACAAAGCATGCCTTTAGCTAATCTGTAAACACAAAGTCTTCAGCTGTCTTGTAGTAGCATTGCACATTCACCCCTATCCACACCCACTACAGTATGGCTCATTTACAATCCCCCCAAGAACTCCAGCCAGCTCGGATCAACTGAATATACACCACAATGAGGCTGTATTTCCTAACAGCTTCTCGTTCAGGCCCGAACGGAGGCTCAACAACCCAGGGGCACCGATAAGCCAAGGGAACTTTCCAGGTACCTCAGTTCGTCCAGCAAAGTGATGCGCGTGTGTCTTGAGATGCAAGTGGGTTATGCGGAGATGGGGATGGCAATTGCAATGCTGTTCAGGAATTTCGATTTTGAACTTTTGAGACGAACCGGAAGGGCGTCGTTTGCGACTTCGATCAAATTACGTTTGCTGTGCATCTAGATAGCAAAGACGTGAAAACCATAGTCAAACAGCTCTAGAAGAATAGGAGCCCGTTTTACTGATGTGCAGGAAATGGCAATTGAACTGGAAGCCCATGAAATTATCATTTTGCCTATCTAGTCCCGCCCTAAAGTCTGAAGCGCAAATGCCCCATTCAAATATATGGCTTCCACTGGTCCTCGCACCATTGCCAAAAGCGCTCGGCCTGACCTTGCTCGATAGCATCATAAATGTCCTTTCTCGGAAGGGTGTGGATTTGTCCCCAAGGGATAATATACGCCCCCTGTTTCTCCATCGTAATGTCAGGCGAGAACGCCGCGTAAAGCCCCGTGTACGCCCCAAAGATCGGTGGGTACAAAATGCGATTCACAAACAACATCAACAACTTCGATTGCCCATCATAGATCTCTGTCTGCAGGTTCCCAGGATTCTGGACGACGCCTATAATCCCCTCATCACCCACTCGTTTTGCTGTCTCGGTAGCGAGGAACCAATTTCCAGCTTTTGAGGCTGCATAGTCCACCAACGGATTCTTCCCGCCGCCCTGCTCGAGAAGCTTGAAGTCGACTCCGCCGTTGGGTGAATATGACTCTGCTAGGAATGAACTCGTCCATACCACACGCACGCTACCTCTGGGAGCGGATTTGGCGGCTTCTCGGAGCTGCGGGAAAAGAAGCTGTGTAAATAAGAGGGGGCCGATGCAGTTTACTCCTATTAGCGCTTCGATATTCTGTTCGGTTTTTGCCCCGACGGGCCCCGCGCCAATGCCAGCATTATTCCAGATAATGTCGAGCCTAGACTCCTGCGCTGTGAAAGCAGCCACGGAGGCCTTGATGGTCGCCAGGTCGCCCAGATCAAGGTGGAGAAACTTGAGGTTGCTTGCGAGAGACGGATCCGCAGATGTGATCTTCGTGATTGCTGTTTCAGCGCGTTCTTGTGAGCGACTCGCCATGTAGACGGTCGCTCCGGTGGGATAGAGCGCCTTGACGAGCTCAAACCCGACCCCTTTATTCCCCCCTGTCACGATGAAGACCCGGCCGGGTTGCTTGGGGACATCTTTGTCGGTGAAGGTTGGTGCTGGTGGGAAGAACTGCGCCAACATGCTTTTGACTGAATCCATGATGGTGGATATATATGTGGAGGTGCGAATCAATGAGGGATAGATGTCGCCGACTGCAGAGTAATTGTGGCGCTAAACACCTATGCTCGAGTGCTTTGTATGCTCCACTAAGTGCAGAGATCGATGATGGGATGTATATGCTTTCGAGACTGAGGTTGTTGTGGTCTGAGGGTGAAACTCCTACTGTAAGCTTACATACCTCCTTAGGAGACGCAGTAGTTGCGAGGCCGGCTTACTCGCACTAGGAGATCGAATGAGCGGCGAAACGAACCTGGGTACGACCTTACATATAGACAAGACCCTTGATGAAATAATACTTTGCACAGTACCTAGGTACATAGGTCAGCACTACCAGTTATTTATTAACACCTCCCCTTACGAGCATCAACTAGATACAATCGCAATTGCAACTGTAGTAACAGCTGCTGATACCGTGCGCATGTGGCTATAGGCTTGATGCCTACCTTACCTAGGTAGGTAGGCGGGTTTTGTGAGATACTAAGTAGGGTGCCAACCCACGTCTTGCCGTACATCGTGTTAGTCGGGTGAGCTTGCGATCGCGATCGGGACCGGGACCTAGTTATCTGTACTGTTAATGCACAATTTCTTGATAGAATTCGAGCTTCATTTTAACTCACCTCATATACTTAGGCTTCAACATCTGAGATGATTGGTGTATAAGCTGGAACGAATTACTATTTCTGGTGGCAACACATCTGAATTGCTTCATAATGCATATGTGATTGGATTATTCGAGTTGAGGGCGAAGGTTTTGTCAAGATTGTAGCGGTCTGAAAAGAGGGATTGGACTAATTGAATTTTGGTTAATAAATTGAGTGGAAAACTCCTATCTCTGGACAAATGAAAAATAGATCAAATGACTAAAAGTTAAAACCATAGAGTAAACTAGCCTAGTACCCCCTAAAACTGCAACTTTCGAAGCTAAGTGTCTTGAACTAATGCTATTTTCTATTGAAACAATACTTAGACTACCTCAGCGCCTAAGTAGTTGAAATAGCTGGTAAAGCATTCAGTTACTTCCGACTTTTGTAATAGGAATTATGTGTCGTATAGAATTCACAGAAGAGAATTCTGTTATAATACATGTAGACAGAGTATTTTGAAACTGTCTCTCGGATACGATTAATTTAATATACTCTGTTATTAATATTTTAGGAAAATCTCGTGGTTTTACCATTATATTAGTTCTACTAGTAGTATATTTAAATAATTAACATCCAGGGCCTTTGAAATAGTTAGGAGGTTATAGTAACAACTTGACAATGTGTACGTATTTCACAGTGGAGCATGCTCGGCATTTTGTTACATGGCCTTGGTAAATACCCGTTATCAAAGCCCCTCAGCATACTCCTCAATCGGGCAAGATCTGTTAGCTGATTTGAAGTACCGTGCCAGGATAGTAGGGAGTGTTATATGAAGTATGGAGTATATCCGGGTTATTCTTTGTCCTACATTGATGGCAAAGAGGAAGAAGCGGTGCGGCTAAAAATGCATGGCATATATTGCATGTCAGCACCAGCCCTTGTGAGACAGCCAGCGTCTTTGCATATTAAAGGCTACCTAGGTAGGGCCGCTAAGTGACGTGATTTTGAGCTGGTCTGGTACATCCAATGGTATGTATTGTGTACATTAGGGAAGAGGTGTTAGAAGCTGCTCCACATCACACTCCGAGTTGCAAATTATACCCTGAAGTGTATGACTGCGGAGTGTTCTGATTTGATACATTAACGACTCGAGAACAACTGTACAACGATTTGTACCTCAATACCACCAGAATTTGACACTCTTGGTAGCAGTACTGCTAGGATAGCCAATTGCTCTAGCGTTATAATACTTCATAGATTTGACGAAATCGAGTTAGTTCGAGGAGTCCCACAAGGTTAGAAGAGCTGAGCAAAATTGAGGCCGTGGAGAGTGCTAGATGAAGCAAATGAGATCAGGGTACAGAAAGAGGTGAGGATTGGGGACCCACATCATCTATACTCTACTCTTTGTGTAACTTCAAATGCCAAATGCTAGCAGTCTATACCCAGTGGCCGTCAAAACAGAGCATATCTCAAACCATTGCCACCCCCACCGGAGCAAGCAATTGGTGGAAGTCTAATAGAAAGACAAATTAGGTCCGCTCATTCGGAAAAACGGCAATCTGCTCATAATACCAACATTGCGTATCTGGTGCTGCCACTCCCAGCTCCACTTCAAATACCGAAAATGTTCGGCAGTTTGCTTCTGCTTGGGGGCTGCTGAGACAAAGGCAGCTAGGTCAGATATGCCAACTGTTGAAAAGGATGGTATAAAAGGGTGAGATTAGTCTTGTTGACTCCTCAAAGCATCTCAAGGGTTTTCTATTATAGAGTGATACTCGCAGTTAAGCACTCGACAAAGAGAGATGATGTTCATCGTTGAAAGCTGGGCCAGATTCATGAAAAGTGATAATGGCCGTCTTACAAACTTTGGTCTTTGGGGGCTTTCAAAGATCTCTTCGTTCATCACACTCTTGCTTGTCGCGTCAACAAGCCGCGCTATGGATGATCATTTGAAACGGCCCATCATGCTTGATCGATCTGGTGGCTTCCAGATTGGGGGCAGCGTTATCAGCAGCCCCAAGGGTCCCAACCAGACACTTTCCTGCGATCATGGATATATGGAGTACTTCATTCCATGGACTCCACGGACGACAAGCCTTGTGATGTGGCATAGTTCGAGCACCCAGGTATGGCAAAACCGCTGGGACGGCGGGGAAGGGTACAAAGACATGTTCCTACGTCGCAATTATCCCGTCTACCTGTGGGATGGGCCGCGGGTTGGGCGCGCCAACTGGAGCTGCAAGCCGATCAACTATGTGCCGAGATACCAAGATCAGCAGAACTTCAGGTCGTGGAACTTCGGTCCCTCCTACATGAAGTGGTGGCCGGGCGTGCAGTTCCCGACCAACGACCAGCATGCGTGGCAGCAGGCGACCAGCGCCCGCTACGAGGAGTTCGACACTGTCGAGAACGTTCAGCTTCAATCAGATGCAGCCGCCGTTGCCGCCGACTCGGGCAAGCTTGGTCACAGCATCGTATACCTCACCAACTCCGCAGCGGGACTGCGAGCGATGATGGCGACGGCCAAGAGTAACTCGAGCAACATCCGAGGGATCGTCACGTACGAGAGCATAGGGTACGTCTTCCCTGATAACATCGGCATCAAGCCCGGCCGCGGCGGCTTTGGCCCGTTCGTGGTCCCCCTCGAGGACTTCAAGAAGCTGGCGCATGTTGCGGCGATACAGTTCGTGTGGGGTGACCACCGGGCAGAGTCGTTTCCCTACGTCCAGCAGTCTCGACGCGTCGCGCAGCTTATCAACAGCTACGGGGGAAATGCAGAAGTCCTCATGCTGGGGGACGATGCGGGCCTCAAGGGAAGCACGCACATCGCATTTGCGGACATGGACAACAGCAAGGTCGCTGGTCTCCTGGACAGGTTCCTGGAGGAGAATGATCTGGACGGCTGTGTGGGGGAAGAGTGGTCGAGTAGGTAGGGCTGGTACTACCTAGGTAGGTAAGGCAGGTAGGTAGGTACCTTACCTTACCTTACATAGTAGCAACATATGTGTGGATGCAAAATACAATCTGCGCCCTCAGACTCAGACAAGAAGATTTCTGGCTTCCGTGATCCAAACCTAGGTAGGTAAGAAAAGGATGTTGTTGACGGCGACGTAAATAATAATTAGGGGCATTTCCCGGCGCGGCCCGGAGTCAGTGGCCGCCACCAACTAGCCCCCCCCCCCCAAGGCCTTTGGTGACAATACGAAGCACAACAGCTACATAAGATAGGTATCTATTGTTCTCCACGTATTGTACTACTCCGTTCCCGTTCCCGTTCCCGTTTGCCTTTGCCTTTGCCTTTGCCTTTGCCTTCAAGTCCTACGTTCTTTGTTCTGCGTTCTGCGTTCTACGTACAGAGAATTAATAAACTCCAGCGAAGCCATACAGCCCCATAACACCGCACAGCATGCCACTATCCGCCCAAGCAACAGCCAAGGTGATGGCCAGGAAATCGACGCGCAGAGATGCTCCTCCAAGGGCTGCAAAGCCAGCAAAGCCAGCAAAGCCCACATCGATTGTGGCGAAGGTGAAGGCGAAGGCACCAGCAGGGACTCCCGCAGCAAAGAACCCTACCTCGGTCCCACGTTAGTAGTCCCGCCTTGCTCTGCACCTGACGGCCACCAGGGCATACTCGTCTCGTACTAACAATGTAACGTCTGATACACAGTACTCGTGCCGCCGGTAGTTCTCGCAGCTCCCAAGCCAAGCATGAAGCGCCCCCGGCCGGAGGAGCCTGCCCCACAACCGTCCAAAAGGCTGAAACCCGATCAATCAATTAGCTCGCCCCCATCACAGAAACTAGACGTCTTCGTCTTTGGCGACGGCGAGTCTGGTGAACTCGGTCTGGGCCCAAAGGCGATTGATGGAAACCCTCCTGTCAATGTGGAGCGTCCGCGTCTCAATCGGCTCCTTGATGCCGGCGCCGTCGGGGTCGTCCAGGTTGCAGTGGGAGGGATGCACTGCATATCATTAACCCACGATCAAAATATATATACGTGGGGCGTCAACGATAATGGTGCGCTTGGCCGCGACACGACGTGGGAGGCTCCTACGCGGGACATCGATGGCAATTCCGATACCGAAGAGGAGGATAGTGATTTGAGCCCGAAGGAAAGCACACCTATTGCCGTGCCAACAGATGAGTGCTTCGGCAAGCATGCGAAAACCTACGTCCAGGTTGCCGCAACTGATAGCGCCAGTTTCGCCCTTGCAAATGATGGCTCTGTCTATGGCTGGGGATCATTTCGTGTAAATTTCTCGATTTTCTATTCAAATCCCTACCTAGCTAATGAGTGTAGGGAAATGATGGCGTCATGGGATTTACTACCGCGGATGCTATCGACGCCGCAAAGACCAAAATGGACAAAAAGAAGTTGCAGCCAAGGCCCATTCTCATCCCCCACTTGAAGAAGATCAAGTTTCTTGCTACCGGAAGCGACCACGTCCTCGCCCTTGACCATAAAGGCGACGTCTATGCTTGGGGTTCAGGGGAACAAAACCAACTCGGACGCCGTATTGTCCAGCGAACTCGATTCCAGGCCCTTACGCCTTGCCGATTTGGCCTATCAAAAATAAGCTCCGTTTCTTGTGGCGCGTATCATAACTTTGCTATCAATGCAAAGGGCCAGGTGTTTGCTTGGGGATTGAACAATTATGGCCAAACAGGAATTGCGGACGGAGCTGGGGAAGGCGATGCTTGCGTTATGAAGCCGACGCTCGTCGAAGCCCTTAAACCTTACAGGATCAAGGCGATTAGCGGTGAAAATCATCATTCGATTGCTTGTACCGAGGACAACGAGGTCCTAATTTGGGGACGCTGCGATGACTCTCAAGCTGGTATTAAGTTGGACACCTTGCCTAAAGATGACGTTATGCTTGATAGTCGCGGTAGGCCGCAGATTCTGATGAAACCTACTATTATACCAGGTCTTCGGGCGGTGTCTGTTACCGCTGGGATCGATAATTCGATCGCTATTACCCAAGAGGGCAAAGCATATTCCTGGGGGTTCTCGGACAATTTCCGCACTGGTCTTGGGACACAGGAGGCTGTGGAAGCCCCTACGTTTCTAGACAACGCTGATGTGAAGGGGAAGCGATTGACCTTTGCGGGATGTGGTGGACAGTTCTCAGTGCTTGCTGGCCCGGCTTTACTGGAGGGCGATTACTGATTGCTCGCGAGTGGCGTTAAACATGTTGTGTTGAGGAGAGTGTCATTGGGCTGGGGAATCATTTTACGCGGAGGGCATCGACTTAGAGGGCCTTTTGTAGTGGCGCAAGGTATCTGGGGCGATTTTCGCAAGCAGGCATTGACCGCCGCCAAGGGGCGATGATTACAACAATGGGGGGCTTAACTATATTATGAAGCGTGTCTTTAGCAGACGGCAGATAAGCCTCCTGTTTTATAGAACAACCAAGTTGCAATAAGTCTGCAAGCTGCTTACCTGCATACTGTCTCCATTGAACCCTCGGTCCTGACCAAGTGGCACCAACAGATTACCTTCAGTTTGTTCTAGCGAGCATAATGGAACGCATAACATATGTCCAGATAGAGCCATGGAATGGTAGTGCCTCCTGCTGCCTATGGAACTTGTCGTCAGTCAGCACTGCATAGCCGTTTGTCATTGGCTCAGGAGATGGACAATTCTTTTCCTTGGGTGCTTGGGGTTATAGTGTGCTCCATGACTTATCAAAAAGTGCCCTTTCTTTTGTTTCCGTGAAGTTCCCCCCCATCCGTATGGTCACGAACTCTATTCTACTCCGATAAATAGGGATGCTTGCGCTGTCCTTCGATCCCTTTTCCTACAAGAATAGACTTCCAATGTACCGCGTTTTTGTGATCCTATCATGTCTTGAGCCTGCCCTTGTCAAACCTTGGCTTCGTTGGCAAGTGTCTACATCGCCTTGCTTTAAAAACCCAATCGTAAAGTTGAATTTCAAATTAATACGAAGTAGGCATATTCAAAAAGACGGAATTGCCAGTGTGGGTGGTCTGCATCACTAATCTCCAACATCCAACCTTAAATGCTGTTGATCGTTACGATACTCACAGCATCCGGCATTTGCAAAATCCCGGCCAATTGGGTGTGCATAATGACGACACATGCCCTTTATCACCTCACTCACCCAAGGCCATTTGAGTATGGCTATTGGAAACAGCAAAAGTTTATGTTTGATAGTTAATCGCAATGCTCAATTGCGATAGCCGCCGGGATTCTCTTGTTCCGGTCGCTGTCTAATGCGACCGATTGTTTCGGCCTAGGGATCTACAAATGAATGAAGATATTTACTTTCTGTCCAGGGCCTCAAGCCTCAACCGTATGGACTATTCTGTTTGGCCCATACGGAGAGGTTCTGTTCCGAGTGGCTATTATCATGATCGCGGTCGGCGTGGTGGGTTACACCTGGCGTTGAGTGGTTGATGGTTAAATACCGCGAAAACACCAACCGTTGGTGGTGGCTGAGCCGACCTGGTACATTCCGCTCACATCGGAAAGTGAAACCACACAGATTCCCCTCACAACTCCCCGTTCTATATTCGTATCCTCGAGGCGCAACTGCTGGAGAGTTTGCACCACAATTCACTAACACGACAGACTTTGACGCCTGTCAAACGCACAATGGCCGCTCGAAAATGGGATGCCTATAAGAGCCTGAATATTACGGGTCGTGATAGCTGTGGTATGACTTGTGTCGGAATGAATAGATTCGGGAAACGATGTCGATGGGATATTAGCGCGGCATCCTATGATAAGATTCGAGTCATGTTTGATGCGATGGAAGGACGGCCCCCGAAAGAAGCTACCAAATCACTGAAGGAACTTGCAGTGCTAAGTCTCTGCCTAGACTTCCATCAAAACCAGGCCAACAAGGTGGTTGATCAATGGCAGAGTGCGGTCAAGGAGGCTGCGGCAGGGTACGAGAACAGGATGGGGCTGAAAACAAAAATCCAGGTACTGGAAGAAAATTTAGGCAAGAAGGAAGCAAATTCAGAAGAGCTACAGAAAATAGTCCAAGAGTTGCAAGCCCGAGTTAGAAATCAAGCAGGGCTTCGAGATCGACAAGCCGAGATTGAAAGATTGGGAGTTCAGCTTGCAAATGAACAGGCGAATTTGACCTCGGTGACAAATCAATGGAGGACAATGTGTCAGAAATATGAAGATCAAGAGATACGGACGGAAGAGTATCGCCGGGCCTTTCTTGAATCAGACCGAAAGGTAGGAAACCTGGAAGAAAAAAATGCCGAAACATCACGTCAGCTTGCTGGTGAAAAGGAAGTACTAAATCTGGCCACGATCCAATACAAGAAGGACTCAGCCACATCCATTGGGGTCATAAATCGGCTCGTGGAGGAATCATCTACCCGGACTATCGAATACCAACAAAAATTATCGCAAAAAATTGAGATGATTCAAAGGACCGTAGCAGAGAGAGATGACCTGCGTACTGAGGTTGAGTCCTTGGAGCTTAAGCTTGCACAGTTGAATAAGCTGTTAATTGAAAAGGGCCAAGAAAGCGACAGAAGTACAACTGAGCAAATGAATCTCGCTAGGAAAGTTGGAGATCTTACAAAGGAGTTGGATTCAGAGTCGAAGGCCGCGAGCAAGTACCAATCAGACTTCCTCCAAGCCCTGACCCGCCACAATAAACTCCTCGAGGAGGCAGCCGACCTTCGATTGCAACTCGATGCTGAACGACAAAAGTCATCTAAGCTTGTCTTAGAATTAGAGCAAGCTGAGACTACTCGTACCATACTCAGCAACGACAAAACAGTAGCTCAGTCGCAGCTGCAGAGGAAATATCAAAAGTACGAAAAGCTCACGGCCAAGGTAAGCCAATTGACGACCGATCAGGCAACACTTTCTACCAAATCCCAAGCACTACAAGTCGAGTTAGCGTCAGAACACGAAATATCTGCGGGGCTACATCAGGCATTGGGCACCACGAAGGAGGATCTCTTCATCATTAAGCTAGCTCTCGGAGAAGCCCAGGCTAGCCTCGATAATTATGGCAGAGACAATGAGGAGCTCAAGGCCTCAGCAGTCTCAGCTGCTGAGAGGGAGACGGAAAATTTTGCGTTAATTGCCACACTAGTAGACCAAATCGAGTTCTTTAGGAGCCATCCATTCAAGGCCTTTTCCATCAGCATAGGAGACACATGTAAGAGGTGGTCGAAGGCTACGGTTGGGCGTATAGGGGGCGTAGGATCTAACAAGAGGATCATTGGTGCAAGTGACCCAGAAGTTAATTGTCCTGCATAATTTGATGGAGATTGGGATATCAGATAAATATCATAGAGTGTGGCCATATGGGCTGGCGTTTTTTGGTAACTGGGAATTTGAATTTTGCGCCGGGAAGTAGTTCTATGAACTTCGCGAAGGAAGTTCATGTGCCTTTGCTTTAAAGACCTTGGGTTATAATCACTGTATGTGTTTGTGGATGGCGATTAAACGGCAGGGGATTCCAGCCGGGTTTCTCGAGGCAATTTGGAAAATATATTTATCGCAAATTTTGCTGCTGTCGCGAGAGCTGCGCTATATCAACGTATATGAGAAGGAGTGGTGCTCCACGGGTGTCCACAATATCTTTTTGGAGTATTGGAGCTTGGTACTATTCCCAGATGACAGATGGCAGACAAGTCAGAAAATCGAGTCCGGGATTATCATCAGGCAGCTCAAGTAGAAGGCAAAGGTATAGTCAGGTTGCGATATCCTATGGATTTAACATTCAACTCACATTGGAGACAAAGGAGCAAGTACAGCTACTGCCTATTTAGTCGAGTGTCTAATTTTGGATGCCTGTGCTTAACCCAAGACAATAATCAAAGACAGTAATAAAATGCTTAACCATTTGTTCTACTGCCAGAGACTGCCACGACTCTGCCACGACTTCCGTCCTGATTGGCGTAGGTGCAATGCGCAGTACACGTGATGCGGTTGGCATCTTCGGTAGACTGAAGCTGAAACCTCATCGTCAAATACCTTCATCTCACCATCAAATATCCGAATCTTACAACGCACTATTATGCAATATGGACCAAAATCAGATAGCTCTACGTCGCTGACATGGCTGAGGTCTTCGGTATTGTGACGGGTGTTCTTGGCCTCCTACCGCTCTGTCGCGGTGAGTTGCTAATTTTCATCCCATGTGTCCCATCCACGGGGTCCTGACTGATTCGGGCAACAACCCAGATGGGCTAGGGATGATCAAAGATGTTTTTGGTGCCCCAGGTACGCTCCAGCTCGCTGTTGGAAGACTTGAATTACAGCGGGATGTAAGTCCATCACGCCCTACGTGGCTATTACAGTTGGATACTCAAATAATTGGATACGATTAGCGGTACGATGAATGGCGCGATATCTGGAGGGATGAAGATGGCGAGAAAGATCTAAGGTTTGAGGCTTACGCCAAAAGTAACCCTGCAGCTGCGAGAAGAGTCTTACGACAGTTGGCCCTGCTTTCGCAAGTACTGTTTGATGCCAGATCACTTGAGGAGCAGTACGGTATTAGGCCGGATGGGAGGTCAAATCGAGTAAAGCTCCACTTTCTTGGCCCAAGCTTCTCTATTCCTCATTAATTGTGATATTTACGAACAATAGGATGCGAAAGATCTATCTCAGTTTCGTTTAAAGAGCGGACAGGACCTCACGATTGAAACTCAGGGCTCGTTTTTGGAACGATGCAAAACCAACATGTCCTTCATGAAGCGATGCCGCTTCGTATTCCGGAAGAAAGAAGCTTCATGGAATAATCTCATCGATCTGTTGAAAGAGTACAATGAGAATCTTACGATGTATGGGCCTAAATTTGAATTGGAAAAAATGCTCAAGAGCGAATTTGAAATGTTAAGACAACTACAGCTTGACGAGCTACGACGCCTCGCAGAAGCATCAGCCTACGAGCACAAACATTCGTTACCGAACAACAACCATGCAGTGAGATATCATAGCCTTTCTCTTGCAGCGCAATTCAGTGCCGTTGTCAAGTACGAAAGGCCTCATGCAGCATTCAAATTCTCGATGCGAGACTTCAGACTCGACCCAGCGTACATTCTCTCGTCCTCCGGCTCATCCACGATGGCATTACTCTTTGATTATCCAGTGAAGAAGGAACATCGAGTTGTGCTGATTGAGTGGATTGATGGGATTGATCGAGATCAGGAAAGGGACACGAGGATCAAAACTCTCATGTTAGCAACTCCTAAACCTGGACAGCTGCTACTGCCAACTTGCTATGGGATGGTGGAAGACACTTTTGCTGGAAGATTCGGACTTGTTCTTGCCCCCCCAACGCATATACGCTCTAACCTTCCCCCAATACTATCCGCTGGAGCTATATCTCAGAAGCGGATGCCGGTATCGCTGAAAGAGCTACTTGACAAGGTACACCCTTCGTGTGTGCATATGCTAGATCTTGGCATAAGGTTCCGCCTTGCAAAGAAATTAGTGGGTGCTGTATATATGATGCATTGTGTTGGAGTACGTATAAACCATTTCGTATATCTAACTTTACCCTTTACACCTTTATTCATTAAATGCCTTATATTCTATATTATCTACCCCTGTCTCGATATTAGTATAGTTGAAAATACTGACATTTCGCTCATTTAGTGGGTCCATAAGTATTCTGGCCCTCGAAACTTTTGTTTGTTCGACATACTAACACGGTTACAGGAACATCCGTTCAAACTCCATTCTGTTCTTCCCCGCAAAGAATAAGCCTTCAACTGGCCCTCCGGGTCCGGCATCAGGATATCCACAGCCAATTGGCTATGACGAGCCTCTCTTCGTTGGGTTAGGCAGCTCGCGGGTAGATGATGTTATCGATGATCCTGGCGACTACTACGATGACTTGCATGAGCCAAGACGCCACGACTGGGTAGTAACAAAGCGCCCTGGTGACATTAACCTCGACTACTATCAACATCCAGAAAAGCGGCGGAATCCGTCCATGCGTTATTCGCGAGCGCATGATATATATAGCTTGGGATGTGTGCTTTTGGAGATTGGACTTTGGAAGCCATTAGATCGAATAGTTGAGATTGAGGATGGGGACTTTGAGAGGACGAAGAAGACGTTCCAAGGATTAACAATGGAATTAGACGGGTTGGTTATAGCTTGTCGTTTGGTCTTGTAATTTTCGAGATTTACAACTAACTTGATGAGTAGGCTCACAGGATCGATATACGGCAACATAGTGCGAAGTTGTTTGGCAATAAGCACTCGCGAGCGAACTGAATCTGAAGCTAGACAGCTCTCAAAGTTTTGCGCGGAAATCGCTGCCACTCTCGATAAATGCAATGCTTAAATAGGTGAGTTAGGCTACTGGAGAATTGGATTAACGTAATGGGACGATACTGATCCCGAACTTAGCCATAGCCGCTTTCTATTTCTAATTACCCCGTTGCGGATTAAGCCCAACGAGATTACTTCTAAAACCATCAAGATATCTGTCACTCATGAAGAAATAATTTCCACCTACTACCCTCCCCCCCAACCCCTTTATGTCTCGAGCACCAGCATTACCAAAACATATAAATCCTGTCGCCTGCCGCCAGCTTCAAAATCCTCGGTTGTTAATTTTCGAATGATCAAAATAACATATAATGCTTATCCAGGGGGTCGTCTCAGAGATGCTGGGCAAGCATATGCACAAAAGACTGACCTTATATGCCTCACCTTACCATCTCGCCGGTCGTTCACATATTTCTCGCATGACTGATACCTGGCCACACACGAAGCATCTGGTGCGGCATTGGTGGCCGCGGCTGCCGCCTTACAGCTCTATCATATACCTCTGCGCTGGCGCCTGATGAGATCATGAATGGCCCCCAAGAGCTAACAAATTAAATACGGGATTAACTGCGAATTGAAGAGTTCAAAGAGCTATGTAGAGCTATGTCTAATGGAGTTCTTGCGATTTAAGAGGATGATGTGGCCTTCAGTAGAATGACGAAGGTAATGAGCACAGGCAGAAATAGGCATGAAATAACGGCCAAAAGTACGTGAAACGTAGTGATACCGATCTAAATACCGAGCGTGTTATTTATTTTAATAGCAGACTTCTTTGAGCGATCGCAATGACATTGCACAGGTATAGTGGAGTTTGGCTTCGAAGGGGATGGTACAACCTGGACAACCTTTCCAGGCATTTTTAATCGTTTTGTGTTTCCACATTTACCGCTCACTGGCCGCTGAAACCTACTCTTCTAGTTTGGGACATCCTTTGCTATTTTCAATTCTACTCTATGCGGTGGCTAGGGGTTAGTTCGGATGAATCCGCATTAACGGCCTGCCCCCGTAGCCTGTTTACCAGACACTAATGTTCCCAGCTCGTATCATTCTCTCTGACTCTTAGTCTCAATATGAGTCGATATTATACAATCTAGAAGGGAAACCTCCCGGTCCTCGTCGCGATCTGATATTTAAATAAACCCCCCCCCAGAACCTACCGATTTCTCCTGCATCTCTTATTCCATCATTTCTCACTCCATGCATATTTGGTTTTCCTCCGTATCTATGAATGATTAATCACCCAAGCTTGTCTTCAAAACCCTCCACTTTGAGGTCGAAATAGCGCTTTTGCCCCCATTTAGGATACGACAGGACGGCGTGGAATGGATACTTTGAACAACCCTCTGAAACCAAATTTACATCTACAGGCTTTGAAGGCAATTCCATTCTTATCCAAATTTTCACTTTTAAAACTAAACTTTTGACGGACAGTATACGTTGTGGTAATATAATCCTCCAGGGTTGCAGCTCATGGAAATGGATTAATCAGTATGGTAGATCCAAACCCGAAGAACCCCTCGTCAATACATATAAATCCTACCACCACCAATATTACCAACCACACAACCACAAAGCCCACCGCCTCACTCAGTGGGTTGCAATCAAAGCCCGTCAACAACATGGCCACCAAAGTTACCCCCTCGATTGCTGTTCCCACGATAATAAGACATGCAACCAATATCGAGTCTACAGACTCTACAACGGCCCCCTCTAAGCGTCGTGACGTCCGCCCTTTCTGGCGAGTGAGTCCTCCATCTAAGGAAGTTGACCTCCTTAATGGCACTCTGCCTTTCGGCCCCCCTGTATATAGTCCTACCACTTCAGCTGATAGGAACAAAATACAAACTGATGAGCCACATACGCTCGGTGGCTTACTCCCCCCAAAACATCGCAAGACGCGCTCAGCACTGCCAGTGGAGGCCTTGCTGCCGCCGATTGGGAATCCGCCTTTCCATCCTCCTAATAATAACCTTGATCTAGGGCCAGGGGATGATGCCGTCAATGTAAGAACTTCTGGGATATTTCTTGGAGTGCTTTTCGTACTACTTTTCTTAGTGTATGTGGCGGTTTATTATATGGTGAATGGGAGGACGAAGGGTTGGGGAAGGTTAACAGTTTTTCTAGAGGGGTTACGGGAGAAGAAGGTTGAGGAGGAGGCTATTGAGGCGGTTTAGATTGACCACTAACTATAGGTTTGGTAGTCGGTAATTCTTGTTGCATGGACATTCCAACTTCGGACCCGCGCGCATTCTTTTAGGGATCTTGCATCGACTGGGATCCTATATCCGGAGAGTGCTATTTTAATAAATGTTCCAAATTGCGTGTCCTGCTGTTGCCCTCAAACCACTTCATCCCACCCCCCCTTTAACCTTGCTTTGGCGCTTTCTCCCAGATCGCTTAACCCTTAACCCCTTGGTTTCTTTCAACACCCACCCCAATGCCAAGGGTGCTCGAATGCAGATCTTCCTTCTCAGCCAGCCACCTATTATTGTTTCTTTCTTAACGTGATATCTTTTGGAATCGACCGTGCTCCCTTACCTTGCTAGACCAGAGCGACGTCAGCCGGGACTCAGCCCTACCAGCTCCTACCAAAAAACAATTCGTTACCCTAAAATTAGCATTCGTCAGCTACGAGGTCTCAGACTACTCAGGGGCTCGCCAACGGGTAGAAATTTGACTGCCTGCGGCACCCAATTACCACTTATAATAAACTGCCAAATATACCTCCGCTTAGATCGCTTAGATCGACTTGTTGATTGGGATAATCAGTAGGAATTCTTATATATACCCCTTAAATAAACTTGTTCAAAGTCAATTATTACTCTCTATAGTAATTAGTATAATACGATATAATAGAATAGCTTATCTAATATATCTAAAATACTAGAATTACCGACGTTGTTTTATTCCAGTTACCCGACTTATATACTTATTTGCCTATATATAGCTAGCTTTTACCCTATAGTATTTAGGAGGTTAATTAATATAATTACTTTAATTCTATAACTTACTATAACTAATTAACTACCTTGCTTTTTATATACTAATTTAACTTTAATTATCCAAAAGTTATAGTCTCTAGAAAAGACAAATTCGAAGTTACTGTCGAAGCATAGCTACGTATTTATAATAACCTAGAAAGATTCACTTCCTATAAGAAGGGAATAATATCCTCCTTAACGAAACTTTAAAGACAAGAGCCTGGATAGGGAGGGGAGCAGGGAGACAAAAGGAAGCAGATAGGAGTGCGGATAGCCCTAAATTTGTAGTTCGCCTTCTAGTAACCTATTCACCCAGGACGCCGGGCTGCGTTACGGTCTGTACAAAGCCTCCTTTCTTAAGCCCCCTGCCCTAGAGCGAGCAGGCTGTTGTTCTTTGTACGTGTACTCGCTGTTAGGCATATTCGACATCTATATGCCACTCATCTATGGCGAAGGGAGTGAAAATGCGTTCCGCTGGTTTCGACAGGAGATTGATAGTTCGAGTCGTAGGTTGCACTGGGAAATATTGAAAAATCTTCTTTCTAACGCACCTTGAAGGTCCTAAGTATGAGAGTGCGTGGAAGGGGTTCGCAGATGCTATAGCGGAGAGGGATAAGTGTGAGGAGGAAGTCAAGAAAGTAAAGAGCGGGTTGGAGTGGCTGGAGTGGAAACGGGAAAAGAATGTGAAAGAATAACTGACGAGATTGAAAGACGTAGAGAAAGGCAAAAAGGGTACAAGTCAAACCTACGCTAGAATATTTGTCTATAATCATTCTTCAGATTCCTATGAACCCTCTTCATCCCAAAGAATTATCATCCACTGCACTCTCTTATCAGCTGAGGCTGGGAGCTACCCCCTCCCCTCGTAGTACTTCAACCATTGAGTCGAGACCCTGTGACAAAGCCGACTTCAGTATCGTCTCCCCGTAGACTCCTAAATCAACACCCGCTGCCACAAGAAACTTCACCATATCAGTATGCTCAAGGTGCACCGCCGCATATAATGCGTGGTAGCCCATCTCAATGCCCATATCCTCGTGGCACAAGTCGGCGCCGTGACCAAGCAGCTTGCGAACAATGGCCATACTTCCTGAAGCGGCTGCTATAGCAATCGGATTACTCCCTTGTGTTCTTTCCTCATCTCCGTCAAAATTCGGGTCGGCACCTCGTTCCAATAGGAGATCAACGACGTCTTCGTGGCACCTTCGGCAAGCTTCGACGAGCGGGTTTCCAGCTCGACCAGAGATTCCGCGGGTATCGGCCCCAGCATCGAGCAGATGCCGCACCATTTCGAGGTTTCCCAAACGGGCATGCTTTGCTAGGGCACGAGATAGCTTGTCGGGCTCAGAGAAGAAGCTCTCAAGGTACTTATACACCTCGACATCCCTCGTAACCCATTGCGCTAAACCAAGCGCAATACCTATGCTGCTACGGCGATCAACGCTTCCGAACGCTTCACCGACAAAATCCGTGCTGTCTGGTACGGCACGTGAAGGGGGGTATACGGCCAGACGAACCATGTCTATATCTCCCCGTATTGCGGCCCCGCGGATTGAATCTGGTCCTACCTTCCCTCTCCAGTTGTAATTGAACCCAAGCGCAGGGTCAAGACCTTCCATCTCGGGCACGTGATCCTGGAAGATTTCAAGCATCTGGGCGTTCCCTGCCCATGCAGCGAGTTTCATGGGCGAAGAGAAGAGATGGCTATTGCTGTGGGGAGAGTGGCCTTCTTGGAGCAGCCGTTTCGCTATAGGGACGAGATTTAGATACGCCGCGGCGCATAAGAGGTCTAGGTCAGGGCGCGGTAGCTCTTTCTCTAGCTTGGAGTTACTGCCCGGGTTCGTGCCCTGTTGCAATGCCGGCCAGCAGAGAGTTTCGATTGTAGCCCCCACGTCAGCGCCGGTTTCTTTACAGACACGCTCAGCAACGAGGCGGATATCGAGATAGCGGCGCTGAGGAGGCTTGGGGACTTCGTTCTGAACTCTGTACACGAGATAGGAGTGCCAGAATTTGCTGGCTCCATGATCGTTCTCGATGTACCAATCGGACAAGAGTTTCTCTGTGTACAAGGGGTCGAGCAGTCGCGACTCAAAAATTGCAGGCTGGATTTCTTGGGAAAACCGCTCTGCGCAAAATCCGTTAGTTGCAGTGACAGGGCTGAGAGGAGCAAGACATACTGCATACAAGCCTTAGCCTAAAAGCTCTCTTAATTCCACGGGCGAGAACGGCGTGAACCAATATTTTAGAGATGAGCTCGGTGGGGAGGTCAAAGAGGAGCATCCTATCAGTTGCTGTGGTGGAGCTTATTTCCTGGATTGCCCAAAGTTTACTGACGAGAAAGGTGATGAAATGGTAAGATGGTAAGCTAAGTCGGGTTGAAGATCGGAGAAGGGACACAGGGTAAACTTATACCGTCCGCAGGATCAAAGAAGGCAGTGTTATTGGTCGTTTCATAGATCACAAAAATAATCATTCAAAGCAATGTATAAATTTAGATTCGCAATTTTTAGTGCTGAGGTGCTCGGCCTCAGCCTGGCTGCGGCGCATGCGGTACGAGAACCAATTTCCAGGGGCTTTTAAACCCTGAGCGCCAAGTGGCCAAGGAAGCTTATTGTCAGCGCCGAGCAACGCCGACAATTTAATCAGGACGACATCAAGAATAGCGAACACAAGGTAAGTTAGGTACGAAACGAGTGTGTGTATTCTAACATCTAGACGGGTACATGTACAGTACATGTATGTACAGTACATAGAACAACAACAAACTCCCCAATTGCAATCTACGAGGAACTGCACCCAAAATGAATATAAGAACACCGCCACCACCCCTAAAGAGACTATTCCAGCTCTTGACCATTCTGGAGTCATCGGTAATCGAGTCATCCAGGCCTTCCTGTCTATGCAAATGTGATATCCACTAGAAAGTGTTAGCATGGTGTTTTGCGCAAAAAGCATGAACCAAGAAGGAACAAATATAGGAAGTACAGTAATATCAAAGAGTGAATAGATGGAAGGGTTGCTTACTGTCGAATTGTCCGGCAACGTTGTTTCCAGAAGCATCTTTGTGGTTACTAACTTTGAACGAAGTGATACTCTTGCCAACACTAAACTGCTGTCTGACTTTGTCCGCTCCGATACCAAATGGGGTACCAAGGAGGGTATTAAACCCGTTTAGCTCCGTACTACCTGTTGCAGCAGAAGCCCTCACAGTGATATCAGCTGCATTAAGTGTCGGCTTATTATTCATCTTGTAGACGCTGGTAATTGCGTTCCTGGTATCGGTGTTTTTGACGTTGTCAACGTGGATAAGTGACAGATCTTGAGGGGTCTTGCCGGCTTGAGTGAACAGGTTCATCTCAATATCAGCGAGGGCGAGCTTCTTGGTTGTATCAGCAGGTGCATCGTCCTTGTTCCAGGCCTCCATAATGCCGATCGAGTTCTTGTCCGTGTTGATGGCGATTACGTCTACAGGTAAATGACCGCCCTCGTAATTTGGAGTCGATACATCGGTCACTGTTCCCCAATTTGGGTCGGGGGTTGATCGGACTGATTTGGCGTAGTCGTACCGGCCGACCTCAAAGGGGTTCGGGACGTCCTTAGGAGGGTATATCTTCAGAATAGGGGCTGGAACCTGAGAAACAAAATGTCAGTACCTGCTTTCTCTGAGAGGGATTTGATTAGGCTGATATTTTGGTACAAACATCTTTCGGAGCAGTCACGACGCCAGGCCCCTTTGCCGCTGGTGGTGGTGGTGGAGGTGGTGCTGGACGAGGCTCAGGCTCAATCACTGGATCTGGGTCCTCGTGAGGGATTACGATATCAACTCTGCTAACAAGGTCATGCAGAGCATCCTGGGACGTTTTGGGTCAGCTAAAGTCGCAGCGAAGACTTCTGGAAAGGACGTCTTTCAAGACTTACCAATGGTAATCTACGCTCAGATAGACCAGTTGGTGCCCCCCTAGCACTGGGGGGTAGGTTCCCAAGCCCAAGAAGAGCAACTATTGCTAGAGATGTCGAAAAACGCATGGTTGATGACGGCAAGATCCAGAGAATATGTTGAGGGATTAGAAGATATGAAGAACGTGTTGAGGGAGTACTGGCTATGAAAGTTGAATGATGTAACGTTGTTGTGGATAGAAATTCTAGACGTCAGAGATGGAAATTCTTATATCCCAATACTTATTACTTCTCTTTACCTTTCATATTGATTCCACCGGCAAGGGGAGCAGTTCAAACTCCTTAGGAACAAATTCATGACTGTAAATAGATCCTAACATTCCTTCGAATCCAACAATCTTCCACTTTTAGATGTAAGAAGGCATAGTCGTAAAGACTTTCTGCATAGCCGTGTTGTTTACTCTCCGTGAAACAACAGGTCTGGGATTATTCTATGTCAACCTTACTTCAACGGCGGCGGAAGGAACGAGGGACGGCTGGCATGAACTAGCAATAACACTAATAAAAGAAGCCTTAAAATCCTACTGTCCTCGAATGCCCGAGGATGTCCAATTTATCCGAGAGCTGTTCTATTGGATCACCCTTGCCTCATAACTCACTACTAATAAAATGCTTGAAATAGTGTAGATAAACCTGATCCGTGTGAGCCTGTGCTACTTATTAGGTAACTTCTTCCTTGGCGCTGCATGGTTTCATCGGAAATATCACATGCTTGTCCTAGAACTAAATTTAAGTTTCAAAAGCCAGAATTCTGAATGCCTGCTAGTGGTGCATGGGTAACAAGGCCCAATGACCTCAGCCGGTTCGAGTTTTGATTTACCTTGTTTCAGCTCGCCACTGCTGGGCGAAGCATTGCGGTGCAAATGCGGTGGAACATCTCCTTGCTAGTCGTACACGCGTAATCCTGATGGCTGCATATCAGAGCCGCCGGCGGTTGCATTGAACCTCTGATTATTGGTGATTTAGGTTCAAGTAAGCAGGTACGACATCCTCCATTTTCTACGCTAAGGTACTAACGCCACTGCTACATTTATATGAAAATTTCTAATTCTGGTTTTACTGGGCCTCTTCCTCTGAAGTTTGGAATCCTATAGATCTGATAGGATGTTGAGAGTGTAATTCTAAATGATTTTACCGCCCAAGCGCTGGCCGCGGAAGATGACTTCTAAGAAGCTCATGAGAACCGAGAGAAGGTGTCAGAATTGTGCCGCAGAAACAAGCAGGGCCGCAGTGGGTACTGCTATGACCTGATCCTTTGATCCTGCTCATCTCAGAACGTAGAGAGCAAATCAAACACTCGAAGGATTTCATGATTTATTTTAGGACTGATATTCAGTTAAATCTTCTCTATAAGTCAACAGTGTTTCTCGTTATTACTTGAATCATTCTACCTACATCAAGTCCACAACACTTCATCACAAGTCTTTCTCTCATTAATTGCTCCTGTTGCTTCCAACACTCCTTATACAATAAAGTCACAACACTACATCATCACCTGCATCATCAATCGTTTTACCACATTCTCCAACTCGCACTCCCAGCACCCATTACATCAATCCGCTTTTTGATTAACTACTCAACGACATGGCGAATTTCCTCATAAACGCTGCTGGTATAATTGCAAGTATTGCCGTTCCTTTAGCACAATTGGCAAAGGAGGAACAGGGCGCAACTACTAGCTTTTCAATCGGCATTGGCGGCGCAATCGGAAATTATCCAGGTTTCAACGCGGATGGTAGTGTGCCTCACGTGGCTTTCTGGGATGTCAATGGTGGCAGGATTGGCCAGTACAAGGGCGACGCAAATGGCCACCTTAACCAGAACTTGGATTGGTCGCAGTCTATCAGCAACGATCAGACAGAGCCCAAAGGGTCCCCCGCTCAGCCAGAGTACATCAGCGTAGTGGCGGAAGAGTCAGATGCAGTTTGCATATCCTACATCTATGCCTCTGGAAACGGGGCTCAGTATGCCTGGTACGGTGATATGGGTTGGACTTGTGGTGCCGATTGGCATTACAGCAACTTTACCGTCGGAGACGGCCATTACCAACCAAAGTGCGTTTGGATCGATTCTGACCATTCCAACGGTCTCCGATTCCAAGGCCTGAGCCTTCATTTTCCGGACTTTACAGCCTCCCAAACAGGACAACAGGATGAATACAACAACAACTTGGATACGCTTTGCAAGAGTGATCCAAGAATGAAGTTCTGGCCAGGCATCGTTCCCGACGATGAGACACCAATTTTCAGGCCGCCTTTGGTATACAACCCTGATGGATCGGATGCCAACCCCAGTCTCGTCATCAACAAAAGCAAGAGGAGTTCTATTGAGTCTTCTCGTCCATTCAAGCGAGCTGGTCTACCAGGTCGACACCTTGGTGCCGGTCACTTAATTGTTAGTCATTTCGAAAGTCACAGCGCGAAGGACCTTTGTGAGAGTGCAACATCCATTGGCGCTGATTTTGTCTCTATGATTGAAGGAATATATTGCGATATGGCTGTGAAAGAATGGTGGTACTTGTGCTCGACTTCGATGGTAACTGGCTGCTTCGACCTCACCAAAAAGGCAATGGTGGGAAATGTGCCAGGGATTGCGGCGAATGGAACAGCCACAGCCATTAACGGGAGAGTCATACAAAGCAGAGACACTGCATCAGGAAGACTCATTCCCGTTAAGTCTTACGACACATCGGTTACATGGGGCTAGAATTCCGAGAGGCTTTGGTTTCTCATTACATGGTGATCACGTGTTTCCTTCGAGTTATGGAATCGGGTTTTCAGTTTCAGTTTTCTAGAATTTTGAACACTTTGTACGCATACATGTAAATCTCTCGAGCATTGCCTTATTTTATCAAATTTTGATTTACTTGCAATTCATCCACCAGGTTCCATCTTCAGTGATTGGTCTTGCGATTAGATTTGCCTTGAAAGTTTAAAAGTAAACAGCACGCGTTTCTTACACCTAGTTGGAAAATGACAACAATAAAGATGACATTACTGGAAAATGAAATCCACTGGCAGTAAAATGACTGGAGACCTCTTACCAAGCATTAACGTATAGTACACGTTATAAATACACCGAGAAAAGACTATATCAAATCTCGGTATCATATACGCAACCACAATTATTTGTGCTATAGTGATCTTATTGATTTTCACAAGACAACCACTTTCCTAGAAAGACTTGATCACGAGCATTTTTGGTTGAAGGCAGACACCTTGAGCTCAGTTGCCACTAATTGGCAATTGTAAATAGCTTACATATGCGCATTAACTCCAATCACGAAAAGGACCCCAACCGCCTGTATTTAAAGACGGAGAGTGCTTCTAATTCAAGATATGCGGGATAAGAGATTCCAGTCAGAATGTTACAGATACAGTTCAAGGCAGAATGATATAATTATAGTCATGGCAAGTGATCCCTTGCAGCGACAAATATCTAGGGAAGTCAAACAAGCGCGCTATACCTATTGGGATTTGGGGGCCTAATAATAACTCTTGCAGGCGAAGGATGTTCGAATCGCACAACTGTCAACAGGCAGCGAAGGATTTAGGCCCTAGAATATGAAACTAGGTAACGTCGTTCAGGCTTACTCGTATTTGACGCCTTCCGGAGACCCGAAAACGCCTGATCTCTGATTCCTTCTGAGGGTTAAGAAAATTTACTATCCAATTAGAAGGCACAGTCGGCCCCTTTTGGAAACCAAGGCTCGTATAAAACCTTCGATCTGCAGACGAGTGGAGCCTGAGGAGGCAGGGAATACGGAGTAAGCTTTCTTGGCCCCTTGGCAGGGGCACAGTGAAGTTGATAGGCGGACATTAAGCTTCCTTGGCACCTTGGCTGCGGCGGGAGAGGCGCAGGGTCCCCCGTCCATCCCGAGCCAGTACCGAGGTACTTCGTGAATTTAGCCCCCCCGATCGATCCTCTGGTTATTATTAGGACCTATCGATTCTTCTATAGTGGCAGTGTCTTGACATTTCCCCCCTCGTTATTTCAACACCTTCACCTTTGATCCTCACCTTTTCAATTAGCAAATGCAATTCTGTTCTTGCGCCCACGCGCTACTCGCTTCGTATCAACTACATTTCTTTTACTACTCTCAATACAGCTACCTTGTATTCCTCGATCTTAGCTTTTATTTCTAACCCAATGGTGGAGTTGTCTCAACTTATCAATTTTGACCAGCATTCTCATCCAGTATTGGAGATTCCGCCGCAGAATCTCGACAATGCAAGTTCCAAATTGGCACTCGCATCAAGCGTTATTTCACTGGTGGTGTCTTCGGCTTGTGTGATGTTTGCAGTTTTGTTTTGGCCAGACGGCAATAGAGTGAGCAGTTTTAAAGCCTATGAGCTACTTTCTATTTATTTGATATTAAAATTTCTATATCTCGTTACTCGAGTACTCGAATCCATCTCTGCACACACTGTTTTCGATTCGCGACGGAATCATAGCTAGAGAAAAACTAACCATAAAATAATTATACCATTAGACATACCTAGCATCTTCTATCACGAGTCTCACCTACGTTCTACTGCTCAACGTATTCCTATCCTTCGCCGCTATGATATATCTCCAAGTCGCACAGCTACAATCCTCAAAATTTGACCTCAATTACCGGGGCATGTACGGAGCTTACGACAAAGGAATCTTTGATTTCGAATCTTGGGAGTGCCAAGTTAACGGCTATAAGAATAGATTTCCGCGCGGGGCATGTAGGAATGCAATAGCTGGATGCGTTGCAGATATCCTCTGCTGCATTGCTGCCGTTGGCGCCTGGGCATTACGGAGGGGGAGATATGCAATTAATCGGGTGGAAAATGAGAAGATAAGTAGGAACGAGGTGTGGCTTAGTGAGAACAATGTGGGCAATGAGATACAGATGGACTAAGTTGAGCTTTGAAGACCTGAATACTAGAAATATCCTAAGGAAAGAGGGTTGAGACCCAAGTTAAAAACAAAGTAAAATTATACAACACAAATTCTTACTACTAACTAGGAAATCTCCAGCCATTACCTATAAGAATAATACTTGTGAAATACAGCAACGCACTAGTATAATTAACCTAACAACAAAAGAGTTGGTGAAGATGAAACTGCAGACGGCCCTGTCGACCCTCAAGAACTCAATTCAATACTAGGGTCTATTACAGAAATACAAGTATTAGAAGTAGATATAATACCTTCTATTTGTATCCTAAGTATTATTATATTATATTGTTCCTGACTATTCCCCTAAAATGTTTTTTTAAAATATAAAACCTAAATTAATAAAGACTTCATTACTTAGGTAGTTAATAATATATCTATTACTCTTACTAAGTTGAGTTACAAAAGGCAAAACTGTACTTCTTCCAATCCGAGATCCATCGCCTCCCCATCCATTATCCCATGTACATAAGCCTCACCAACGAGCTCAAATTGCTCCTCTCCAACTCTTCGTAACACGTACGGAACGATTGCCCCAAGAATGACACAGATTTTATCACCAGGCAACGCGTGCTTTGGAGCCAGTCCAACGTACCCTTTCTCTGACATAAATGGCCGAACTCCATAAAGATATCCCATTGCACCGTCATATTTGGAAAATGCAGCTTTTTTCGCCTCGTCATGGTAGCCGGAATTATTACCGTACATTCTAGCTATCACTTCGCAAAGTCCATCCTCTGCCGTCACCTCTGCCCGCCGACGGGCGTATCCGTGGTATTCTTGGTCAGCACAAGGAATCCTCCAAAATGCTTCGTCCCAGAAATTTTGATCTTGTATTAGTGGCTTCGGTAACATTTGGGCTTGTTCCAAGAATTGCTTGATCTCAGTCAGGAAGGTTTGTACCCCAGGCCAAAACCAATTCGCTGCTGGCTGGGTCCATTCTTCCGTTCCGAGTTTCTTGATCGTATCCACTGTAAATCCTGACATGACTATATTGTTTGACTTACACAGAGAGCTTTGCGTTGAAATTTTGACCTCATTGTCCAAAGTCGCATTGAACAATGGCTTCCAGGGAGGCGCCCTGGTTTTGTAGGAGCCATAGGGTTCTCGGAGAGGGACACTGAAGTCGGGGACCCATGAAGGGAGTCCTGGTTGACCCTTTGGAAATTGGCACCAGGATAGGATGTCCGTGTAATTGTGAGTAAGCAGAGCTTTTGCGACTTCTGTGTATACCTCATGAACTTCCTTCTTGTAATCTACCTTGATATCAAGTACTTCCTTGTCTGGTGCAAGACCAAGAATGCCATATATTCTGTCCCTAGGATTGGTAGCCTTCAAAGAATTTGAAAACAGACTTAAAAGCTCCATTAACGACGAATGGTAAGTGGCAGTCTGCTTTTGATACCTCCTTCGAGATCCGATGAGTCTGCTCGTAGCAGCTCTGCGGCCAGCTATCTGGAAAAATTGCGTGAGGAGAGGTCCACGGATAGGGTCCGATTGATCGGCAGCAGATGAGTTCCTTGAAACCAAAGTAACATGCATCCCAAGGAAGAGAATCCCAGCACACAGCTGAGGGAAGTTCAATCGCTTCTCGCCACATGCAATGACGAGATCAGAAGCTACCGAGAATTCTTGCACAATCCAAGTTCGTTCCCAGTAGCTTCTTTCAGTAATACACTGTATGGCTAATTGCGGAAATTTCAGGTCCAGGACCTTGGAGAGGTTCTCGAATGGCTCTCGGACGCTAGCAAGAAGGCCGTCGGGATCTGGGTCCCAGAGTTTCAGCATTCTATCTCGGCCAAGTTCAAGCATGCCTGCGTGAATTGCATCGTCTCCAATACTCCCAAGGGCCTGCATTCCAGTGTCACTGTCGTCAGCGGTACATCCAAGCCATGCAAAGACAGAGGTTGCTGCCTTGTAAATATCCGTCATCCGCATGACTTGCTCGTTCTTTTCGGAATTGTCCTTTTGATTGATGCATATTGCATCAATCCAGAGACGAACCGATTTTTCTTTTTGCCGGAGTTCGGATAGGGCGTCATGGAGGTTGACAGTGATCTCGAACTGTCGGCCGCTGATAAGAATTGTCCGCAGAGGGGTATCATTTCCCCAGGTGTACGATAGAGCCGTATACTCTGGCTTGTCAGTCCAGTTGACAGACTCTAAGCTGCCCTTAATCAATGCATCATGCTCCGTCGGGTCCGTCGAATTTTCAACTAAGGGTGAAAGTGTGAATATACGAATCTGCTCTTTTGCACTGAATGGGATGGCATCATAACTAAACGGGGACATGACGGGCGAATATTTCTGCCTTTGATATTGGCTTTGAAGACAAGATATGGCTCATAAATGATTGTTGACGGGGCGCCGTCGTGTTTAAAATATAGGGAAAATTCGAGGGTTGTTTCAGCTTCGCTGCAACCCCGGGTCAGTCTGTATGTCTCACATGTCGGCCACACCGAGCTCCGTTCTGTAATGTCTCAAACGCCTCGTAGTCTCTGATTTGATTGTGCTATTTTGGCTAGCTGGTGCATTTAGTGACTAGCATTTCAACCTGAATGGAGAAAGCAAACGTCCCAGTTGGGCGGCGCAAGGCCGCAGTCCACGCCACAATAAAAGCCTCAACCCCGCTACTGTTCTCGATATCGACTCAAAATTATGAATTCGGGCCCTCGGTATATTCTTTGAACTTTATTCGGACTTAATTGTACCAACCCGACTGTATTCACAGGACTATGGGAGATAGCTATATTATTTGCACAGAAGCATTGTATATTGGCCGCGTTTGACATCCTCAACATTCCGAGCCTTGCCAGGCTCGACGCTGAGCACGGGCTTCCCTCACTTCCCGGAGGAAAGAATGCTAGTATCTCAAGCTACGCAATCGGGACCGCTTTTACGTTGCTTGAAAGTTTCGAATATGAATTGAACATTTGTTGAGTTGGGTGATGGGAGTTGGAGTGGTAAGTGCCGGTGCGACTCGTGTAGTCGACCAATTCCACTCCATACTGTCTCCCAAGCCTCCAACACCTTCGGCGATCCAGTTTTCTTAGTAATTAGTATAGGATATAGGATGCTGTGCTATGTCTAAAATACAACCAAAGTACAGATCCTACACAGAGTTTTCAACAAGCTCATATACTTTGGCATATAAGCAAAGGCTACTCAAGCTAGTACTTTACTTATAATATAAGACAGCTCCTATAGTATTAGTTAGAGGATCAGTCAATTTAATTACTATTACTCTACTCTAAATAATTAGTCTAAACCTTAATAGTAATAGGCCTCGGTAGTAATCGCTAGCTCGTAGTAAACTAAATATTTGAGTATTTTTTTATACTAATTTAGAATCCCCTTAATTTATATGCTAATCTTTCAATACTTTCAAATTATTATAATCTACCTATTTACTCTCTAAATACTCTAAATATATTAGTACTTACTACTTTAAGACTAGCTATACTAGTATAAGTTAATATTATTATTATTTCGTATAACTTCTCGACATTAAGTTACTCTAATTACTAAAAGCTTGACTTTAGGATAAATCCGAGCTATTCGAGAATAGCTAAAACTAAGGTTGCGAAGCTTATAGATCCGCGACTGCAATTAAGGGCTTAATTCCGCCCCGCGAGCTATTATTACTATTATTTTTGTTGAAAGAATTAAAGGGGAATAAAAGGGGCTGTACAAAGCGGCATTACAATAATAGCTTAATTAGGTATTGGGGCTTGGGCCGTGCCAGGAGGGGGGGGTGGGTAAACTTATGACACCCCACTGTAGTTGCCTACAACTAGATCAGTATACTTCCTTACCAGCTTCAAAATGGAGGCAGGGCAAAGAGGGCCGTGGTCAAAATATAGAACCAATAATGAGATGTCTTCAATAAACTCTGCGCTGTTCTTAATTTTTAGTTTATCAAGTCACAAAATAACCAAGTTGCCAAAATTAGAGGCAGCAGTAAACAAAATTCAAGGCCATTCCGTCCACTCGCAATGCCCGCCGACACAGTAGGCCTTCCCACAGCTTTATCGACGGAGCATCTAATCTCCGTAGACCCCGAAGGGCTGTCGCGTTGCGTTGAGGTGTTGAACGCCATCTCAATCCACATTACATCCAGCCTTGCCTCCGTTCCGTTCGGCATTCTCCCAGCCCACTGCCCCCCATTGCTCCACATATTTAAAATGATCGCACTCGGAGCATCTGGCACATTGATATTCGTGCTCGCCGCCATCTCACCATCAACATACCAAGCGCTATGACCAGGTACCCAATCAAGGCGATGTGTTGTCCAGGCTGACCACTGCCTGCCCGCTTTCATCGAGACGTTGTATGATGAACCAGGATTGATTTTGTTGGCAGAGTCAGTGGTGGGTTGATTCGAATAGTGAACGTTGTTTCCTGGATCCCGTGTCAAAATCTCAATGTCAGACTCGGAAGTGTCATTGTGATATGTGAAGATCCCCGCAACAGCTCCTGAGGCCCCATTTACGCGGACTGACGCCCGAATGGAAGCGTAGAGGATGCTCTTCTGCGCGAAATCGATTTCGGCTGCCAGTTGGGAAGAGTGTCTGGTAGCTGAGAGGGTGAGGTACGTGGTGGGCTCCTTCAAAGAATCATCGCTTCTAACTACGTTGCTATTAGTCTCTCCATCTGCCTACAATTTGGATATAGATATTACCAATTTTTACATTAGAAGCCGTATAGTTCCATGAAATTGTGTCCTCCCCAGTCACTGCTTTGGCCTGCTCCCTGATTTCCCAATCGCGACTCCACGATGAGTCATTAACGGAAAGACTTTGGACTTGAGGATCCCAGCGAAATGCGTTATTTTGCTCTATAATTGTTTCCTGGAGGCTACGAAAATCGTAGAAGCGGTAATATTGGAAAGAGTTGGCGTAGGACCCGTTGATCGAGAAAGTTGTACAACCATCCGCTCTGGCAGACGCGGCATAAAAGACCGCACAACATAGCAGGAGAGTTAAACGTGTCATTTCGTGGATGACGAGAAATCATGAAGGGAGTGAAAACTCCGAAATCATGGTCTAAAAATTTGCAGCCCTGCCCTTGCATTCACTTCCAGCGTATGCTGCATTCATAAGGACTTTCCGATATATCAATAACAAAAAATGCAGATGCCCGTGTAGCACTCCCGATGGCGGCGAGATAAGAGATGTGGCGCATACTAGGACCAAGCTGAAAACCTGGAAAATCGATCTGGCCAGCACAACCTAGGGCTCGACAAAAATAGACAGGGACAGCCGTATTTCAGCCCTACTAGTACGCCGATGCAAAGGCCTGGCCAAATCCTGCTCCTACACGTTTTCAACTTTTCATTCCAATGCATTTTGGTTCTCAATGCCTTAGGTTGTTGTAATGCAGCGCCTATTCTCAAAGCTATCTCCAATTAATATTTAAAGTGGTGTAAAACATTCGTGTCTGCTCATAGTCTCATGGATCTAGTTATAAAGATAAAATTATAGAAGCGCTATTTCTTAACATTCTGCCAAACCTGCCGCGCCTTGTATAATGTGTAAGACTCGACAGATATCCTCGCAAGCAGTAGCAAGCGACTTCTCTGCCCTGTAAGATAGCTCTGATTCTGCTCTTGAAGGATCTGCCACACACTTCGCAACGTCTCCCTCTCTACGCCTGACTTTCTTTAATGGTATCTGTCTCCCAGATGCCTTTTCCATGGCGGCTACAACTTCCAAAACAGAGTGCCCTTCCCCGGTCCCAAGATTCAGGGCTCTGAATCTATATTGACTGTGAGGAGCGGCAGCTGCACGCAGCGCGGCGACATGGCCTCGTGCAAGGTCAGTGATATGGATAAAATCACGTACAGCGGTGCCGTCATTTGTCTCCCAGTCCGTGCCGTAGATATTGAGGAAAGGTGATTTTCCAGTCATGACGTTCACGACGCTTGGTAATAGGTTTTGAGGATTGCCACGGGGGCTCTCACTCAGCATGCCCGAGGCGTCACAGCCGACAGGATTGAAGTATCTGAGTGCAAAAATGGTCCATTTTGGGTCTGCAGTTGCCAGATCGTTGAGTATGGCTTCGCACATCCATTTGGTGCGGCCGTAGGGGTTCGTAATGCCAGTGCTACCGCCTAGACTTGTCCTTTCTTGTCCCTGGGAGTCGACGTATGATGTCCTTTCGTGGGTGCACCTCTCTTCCCGTATTCGAAGGCTGTGTTCTGCCTCCAAGTTACCATAGACTGCGGCAGACGAGGAGAAGATCAATCGCTTAATGTTGAAGTCGCTAAGGACGCCGCAAAAGTCAACCAGACCTCCGACATTGTTTGAGTAGTATTTGAGAGGGTATTTTATGCTTTCGCCGACAGCCTTGTATGCGGCGAAGTGGATCACCCCGGTAATACTCGATCGAGGTATGTTGGCATTGGTCTCTATACCCAGAGGTTCTATCCGTGACTTTGATGGTCTAGAGTATTTATTGAGAATAAGCCGGAGTGTTTGCTGATCTCGGTAGTCGGCCTCATAGAATTCGATTGAAGGTTTTGTGCAGCTGGTCTTGAAGTGCTCATTGACGAGGGTGTGGAGATTATCCAAAACGCCACGGTAGGAGTTGTCTAAGCTGTCGATTATGATGACATTAAATCCTTCCTTCAAAAGCTCCCATGTGGTATGGCTTCCAATGTAGCCCAATCCGCCGACTACCAGAGTATATTCTTCATATTGAGCCTGAGAAGCAAAAGAAAGAACTGGCTCGGTGTCGAACAGAGTAGATGACCTGGTGGCAGGAGTACTGACCGGCGAGCTGGAACTGGATGTTGACTCTGTTGATGATCTCGGACTTGATAAACCAGACCTCAAAAACTCTGCCATCGAGTAGCTGCTATGCAAGTATGGAGTATAACATGCAACAAATTATCTATGCAAAAGTTTTGGTTGCACCTGGCAATATATATCAGTGAAGGCTCTATCTTCCAAGCAACATGCGACTCTCCTATAGTCAGTATATACCTGCCCATCCCAAGTAACTCCCTTCGTGAGCGCTAAATTCCTAGGGCGGCTGAGGTTGTCAGGTTTCAACGGCAATATTCTTGTCTCACAGACTCTCACTAAAATCGATTATCAGAACGCTTATTTTGGAAATAGTTCCTTCTGGCCGTGTGCTCTCGGGCTTGTTGTGCCATATTGGGCCTAGAATTCAGGCCTCTCGAAAAAGGAATATCGGCAGTTGCCGTCGAATGCTCTTGTAACTACCAAATAGCATCCCGGGCGTCCACATGAAATCCGAATTTTCAGCAACTATCCGTTGAGACGGGAGGGCACGTCTCTGCCCCAAAAACGCATTGATATCGAGATAGTCGCGTTATGAATGGGTTTGGGTCTAGGCATGGGGGAGGCGAAGGCGAGAACATCCCCCCAAGCAATGGCTCTAAGTATTTCAGTATTAAGGTGCGCTGTCGCAAGGCTATCCCCACCACAGCAAACGCCACTGGCAAGTACTATTGAAAGTCGTGGTGCTGACCACGGCAAATCTGGTGATGACGATTACAATCCGTGCCACGTATTCCAATTTCTAATTTAGCCGTGTTGCGTGTTTGTTTTTCTGATATCCTCAGAAAGCCCCCTCCGAAGCTCTGGAACATGACGCCTTAGTCTGTAAGAGGCACCTGTACCCTATGCAATTGATTGAAACTTGCGGGATCGAAAGGCAACTAGTCGATATCATCAGGTCGCATAGGAACGGTCCAGATGATATCACGATGTGACTGAAGGAGCGCCCGTACGCAGCAGAGTACCCGTACGTAGGGACTGCAACTATCGACGTGAACAGCCAACACGGAAACCTGGCATGCTCTAGACCGAGACCTCGGACTGGGGCATGCAAGAACACGATACCACATGCTCAGCTGCATCTTAATTCCCCACGCGGTCTTTACCTCTGTATGTTGTGTTGGGATTCGATGCTTAAAACTTGAGAAACACGAATAAACAGCCAGGCAATCCACGTACGAGTACTCTACTGCTGGTGCCCGCCACACGTGGCTTGGGCCGCTTGGCCATGGCGACGGAAAAGAAAATCGGCACTATTGTAGCCTCGAGTAGGGCTGAGCAGCATCGCAAGATTGTCAATAATAATAGTCATAGTCGGGATGTAAAAGGGGGGATCATGTCCCGACTGGGCTGCGGCTGAATATTGACGCAGGGGATCCGAAAGGAACTTTGGACCTTAGGACCCCTACTGTACCGAGACAGACCTCGGCCATGCCTCCAATCGCCCACGGAAACCGCCCCCTTGTGAAACGTGTGCATTGCTGATCAGTTGCGTTGCTTTTCGTGCCCTCCAGGGCTTCCCTCCATGAGTCCATTCTACGGCGACAGCACTCCTTGGCGAGGAACGATCGATCTCCCGGCTCCCGAGTCCCTGGAAACGCCAGAGGCAAGCTGAAGGGCTAGCCACATACGAGTACGCCTCGCTCGCATCGTACCATCATCTTGGGATCCAGATCAACCATAAACCCCGATTTGGACAGGCATCATGGTGCAAATTCGCCGCCTGGGCAATTTCCGCTCGCCAATTCAGGTGGTGGACTTGAAGGGAGAGTCGACGATCCTATCGCGTATGGTCGCCCGCACTAACAAACAGTTCTATTTACAGACAGACTATCGGGCTGCCAGCACCACGAACGCCCATCCTCTACAACACCGGAGCACTCCTCCATCCCCAGACTAAAAGGCGCCATAATGGCAGCCGGTTGAACATCGGGAGCCTAGGCCCCCTAACGCTTGCGCCATACGGATACAATGTGCAGAAATGCGAAATATCCAAATACACGACGCCTGGGCCGTTCCGAACCACGAGTCCCGGTGGCGGTTCACAGCGACTAGCAAAGCCACGCATCTATGAAGTGCATGCGTTAAAAACAAACGAAATGGGAATGTCCGAAAAAGGGTCCGCCGTTCTGAGCTTCAGCTGCTAGTACGAGTAAACCATCCAACATGCGCATTATCCCCTCCCGAGTGTTCATGATGTTCGGGACGTTCGTGAGAACAATGTCTTCTGATACGAAAAAAACAACCGTTTTTGAATACTTCTCTTCACCTAACTAATGTCTCCATTTTCCGACTTTTAGACTTCTCTCCGCTCGTTTTGAAAGGTGTTGGTAAGTCATGCTATACCTAGAAGAGAGAACGAGAGTTGATAAAGCCCAGGCTTAGACTTAGACTTCCCCTCCCGACAACTGCGATAATGTCGACCCCAGCCAATGGTTCAAGCTCAAAAAATAATAATGATCAAACAATCACATTCGTTCCACAATATGACGCCCAAAAGAATCCGTCCATTTCGCCCTTTGAAGAAGTTTCGGTAAAATCAGAAATCATTACACCAATAATCCCACAATCTTGTTCGATGCCCATCTCGCCAGCATCAGCGCTACTACACGGGCACAAGTCAACATTTCATGCGAGTAACAAGGGCGCTGAGAATTCTTGGTGTGGTTCTCCGGCGCCTTCCATTTATTCAGAAGGTTCCGAAACTCTTGGTACGGTCGGGCTACAGCGTCCAGTGCCCCTCCATCGACGTTTATGGCAAAAATATCGCTCCCAAGAAAGGATCTTGCCGCAACATAGTGGCTGGTCGAGCCCGACACTCGCCGGCACTCCTCGCTCACAATCTGGGAGTGGAGATTTCGTTCTCTTGAGTACAAAAAAATCCCCAACTCCGGGGACTCGAACAAAGTCGTTTTTCCGAGCTGTGAGGGATGCCATTTTCAGGCATATCGATCCCAAAACTGTCTTCGAAATGTTTGATTTTCGGGAGTTGGTGTATCCTTTCGGCCTTTGGAAATACACGGTACTTCTCCTTGTGGGATGTGCCATCGCCGGCGTCGTTGTCTCGGAGCATTATTTCCACTGGATAGAAGAATCTATGGAAATCACAAGAAAAAACATGCTGCCTATACTAGTTATTGTCATTGGTCTTGAGCCACTGATGATCTCAATCGTCCTCCTCGTTGCTAGAGTTGCAAAACTTGAATCCGGATCAGGAGCTTTGCCAAGCGGTCCCGGAACAGATGAAGAGGACGACCCGAGCATTTTGGAGAAAATCACCGATCACCGCACTGCGCTCGTAATCCCATGCCATAATAGCGACCGGGAAGCCATGAAGAAGGTTCTCAAGTCTGCGTATCCTCACTTTAGGCCGCAAGACATCTTTATCGTCGATAATGGGCGGACAAAATACCCTCCGGACGATTTCCGTGACTTTATGCGACAGCAACATCCGGACATTGTGTATATCTGGTCGCCAATCGGTAGTAAAAACGCAGCACAGCTTGTTGGGGCGTTGGCAGCCAAGGACTACGAGTTCATCATGACAGTTGACGACGACGTCTCCATACCCGCCAATTTCCGCGCTCCGATTGATAAAATTGACAATCTAACAAAAGGTGTTGCTTTTCCCCTTCGCGCCATCGATGCTCACGGTCGCTCGCCACTTTTCATGGTGGCATGGCAGGATTGTGAATATAAGATGTCTGGGCTCAGTAAGCTGGCGGAATCCCGGCTCTGCGGAGTCTTGTATCCCCACGGTGCTGGTTGGTTCTGCGAACGCAACACTCTAATTGACCTGATCAGCAATTACCACTCTCTCGACTTCATTGCCGAGGACGTGAACACAGGCCTCTCGATGCAAAAGATGAAGAAAAGAATTGCATTTGATTCTCGAATTGTACTAGAAACCGAAGTTCCCACTACGCTCATTGGCCCTGGTCTGAACTGGTGGCAGCAGCGTAAAAACTCGTGGGAAATGGGCCGGCACGGTCGTCTGTTAGCCTTTGCTGGAAGGTTGTTTCTCTCCTTCAATGGCCAGACCACAATCCAAGGAATACTGGCTCAAAAGTTCATTCATTGCTATGCGATCGCCACGGTTGTGGTGGACTGGGTCCGGGTCCCTGTGCTCGTGACAATGGGATCAAACTTAGCATTCTGGCGACAAGCTCTACTCCTCAGCCTCGTCTCAATTCTGCCACTCATGGCATTCAAATATATTAGCGCGAGGAGACGACCTGACTTGCAACCTGGATTTTGGGGGTGTTTGACCTATCCCTTCTACAAGCAACTTTATGCCCTTGTGTCCATCATTGGGGCGGTACGGAGCGTGGTCCATTATATCGGAGGCCATAAATTGCCAAAGACTGTTCGCCAAATGATAAAGAGCAATGACGAACGTGCCTTTTGGACGGATCCTCGATTTGAATCAAACCCGGGCTTCCTAGCTGATGAGGGCGAGATGTTGCAAGGGGGCTGGAGTGGAGCGACGTCAAGCCAGGTGACTGTGGTAACTGTACTCGTAAAGTAGGACGCACAGTTAGTCTTAGAGAAAGGTCAGGATTGTATAAAGTAGCTTAAAATGCAGAATATCGAGGAGTGTTTACCTTTTGGACAAGCATTTGCAAGTGATGTTCCATGGAGGATGAACAAATGCATCGAGAGTTTGGCGACGACGACGAGCCTGGATGTGGGCGGCGTCGTACTCGTACTCGTGCCCGCGCTGGGCTGGGCAACAGCTTGACACGTGACTTTACTCACATCCACTGAATAGCACTATAGGGACTGTACTTACTTCGTACTTCGTACTACTTTAGATATCAATACAACCAAGATGCTAGACACTTAAAGTTTAGAATCTATATTAAAAATATACTAGGTCATCTTAATCCCAGCCTACTCGTGTGATTGTGGCGGTTAATCCCCCGCACAGGCCTTGGAAATGTACGGGCACTACTATGTACATAACCCTCTAAGGCACCCTATAAATTGAGCGAAGGGTACGCTGAAATGCCCTGTAGCGTGGGTGGTTGCACAGTGGATAAAAGTAATCTGGGCCCAAACTTCCGAAGCTCAGGCTCCATCCAAACAACTTGTCTCCCTCCAGAGACAGGGAACGGCATGAGGATACTCCCAAGCTGCTCCTTCTCATCTACAGACAGCTGATCACTTTTCAGTTCACTTCAACGTGCTCGGCAGCTGTGGCCCCGGGAATAGGCATAATTTCACCGCAAGCTACCGTATTAAAATGGGCGCGGATCCAGCAGGCCAAACGCCTCTGAGTTTGGCAACCTCGTGGACCTTGTCGGCCAGCTTGAGATCCTTGGCGAGATTTCGAGCCATAGAAAAGGTCAGTACGTTATTCTTGGAAGTCCTCCCATCGAAGCGTCCCTCGATTACATTCGCAGATTGACCGATTTAGCAGTTCAGCACCGCCACCTTCGCCTACCTTCTCGTATTTCTAGACTCGCTCTGATGAGAGATAAGACCGTAAGGATATACAATATAGTATACACATGCTTGGCGGTGGCATTTTGGTTCTTGACTTTCACTCGCCCGGGGAAAGACCCATGGGGAAGTATACCGGCTCGCGAAAAAATAACCTCACCGCTAGCAGGAGGAGATCATATACCTCGTATTTCATTTTTCATATAATGCAAAGTAAAGTGTACGTGTAGCCGAGTTTATCAACATCCCCTCTTCATGCCGAAATCTAAACAAACGGGTGTATCGGATGGGTATCAGAAAATCAATGAGCCATGACGGCATCAGCGTGCTGGTGTCCAACGGCGTCACCCGCACCGTTTGGCTTCTCGCCGCCATCCACCTCCATGGCCTCATCACCATCTCCCTCAGCATCTTCCTCTTCCTCAAGTTCCTCGTCCTCACTACCGCTGCTCTCGGCTTCCAGATCCTCGCTGCCAGCATCCTCATCGTCATCAGCAGCGGTAGCTGGGTCGACATCAGCCACAGCCATCTCGGAGTCTTGAACCATAGCATCAGGGTCGGCTGCAGCTTCCGCCCCTTCTACAAGCTCTTCCTCCTCCTCTTCCTCGGCCTCTTCCGCGCCATATTCTTCGCCATCAGCAACCAGGTCAGCCTCAGGCTGGTCAGGCGGGAACTCGGCGGGGGCAGAGGCATCGGAGTCCCTATACGCACGTTAATAGACGACTCAGATAAGTGTAAATGAGCGAACCAACCATTTAATGGCAAATCGAGTCACCCTAGGCTTCTCAGCAAGTATATTCCGGCGGACTTTCTCCAAGATGGGCTTTGGTGGGGGATCAGCATTGAGCTCATCAGAGTCATATTCGTTGTTGACGTAGTATCCAACGCGCACAAATTCTCGGCTGTCATAGGCGCACGTAAGAAGGATGACGGTAACACCGAGGATTTCAGCGTCTGGGATCCGTGACGTGTTGGGCGGGTCGGCCTCGAAGATAAACTTGTTCACCCCGACGGGAATTGGGCCGACGAGAAGAGTATCGAGCTCTTGGTCGTGTTCATCGCTGCGGGCGCTCAGCTCAGCTGGGAACCTAGGGAACGTCGGTGTAAAGGGGGGACTTACGACGTAGCAGATCCAACGTAGGTCAGTTTCCATTCGAGATCTAAAGCAAGGAATGTCAGAAAGCAGAATACCATTATCGCATATCGACGTACCTTTCTGCAAAGTCTCCAAGCACTCGAAGGTAATCTCAAACTGATAAGAGTCGCCGAATTTGGCTGGGTTGTTGAGGACGTTGACGCCCAGTAGAGAAACGACCGACATCTCGACGCCTAGATTTATAGCCCGGTATACTGGATGTGATATTTGAAGGACTTGCTGTAGTATCGATAGGTATTTCGAGGTTGTTTTTGAGTGGAGATGTTGTTCAAGTAGAGGAAAGTAGCTGGATGGGGGAAGAGGTTCGAGGGACTTCCGTTTCTCAGGCGACGCGGTTGGGTCGCGTTAATGGGCTGCGAAACTTCCGTGGGGAACGCGATTTTAACGCCTGTTCCGGCCTCAGGCTGCAGTACGGTCCGACCCACGTGACCTGACACACTAGCGCGCTATTGTTCGCCGCAAACACTGACAACATCACTCTCCAAGTGCCTCGAGTGCCCATCCATCCAAGTTTCCGCACCCTCATTCCACACATACTTCCGTAGACTCTGCACTGCACACATCGACGGCAGAGTCTCTATTGCTCATCCGCGATTGAGGTCTATCACATCCCACCATCCCACCATACCTCGCGACACCACTTGCTAACAGCGCGCGCAGCCGTTTTCCAACCGCAAAGCCGAATCACCTTTCCTATCGCAAACAGCTTGTCTTCACAGCGATCCTTACGATGGCGGAGGAGGACGCAGAGATAGCTCTCTTGCATCAGCTGCAGGCGGGACAAGAGAGTGTGGCTTGGGAGAATAGCGGAGCAAATGGGGTCGAAGAGGCCGATCTACCTTCAAATACTGAGCATAACAACCAAGAAGTCAAAAAAGAAGTTGCTGCAGATGATCAAGTTCTTCGTGCTTTATCTCCTTCAAGCGCTGATAATCTTTCTGATGGTGGCGAATATGATCCATCTTCTGTTATACCAAGCCCCGCGATCGCTGTTACTGCTGGCGAGGCTTCTAGGTCAAGCTCGCAGTCATCAATGCGCAAGCGGAAGACAGTCGGGGGTTTCATAGCGGATGAATCGGATGAGGATACCGATACATCGACACCAGCACAGAATTCAACCAACCTGCTTCAACCACCTGCATCTAGCACCCCTAAGCGCACCCCTTCCCCATTGCAGACATCCGTCACCCAGCGAGACTTACAAAGTCCTGCGGAGAATCAAGATGATTCGAGGGACGCTGCAAATTCAGCAAATATCCCTTTTGTGAATCCCAGTTCCGCTGGACTACCCACTGTGCAAGCCCCTGGAACTCAGGTACTTACATCAGCAGGTCCAGCTGCTCAAGCAGCAGCGTCTGTCCCAAAAGCCCGCCTTCCAAATGACAAAACAGGTATACTTGAAGACAGAATCAAGGAGGATCCACGAGGGGACTTGGATGCATGGTTGTCTCTTATCAGTGAGCATCGCAAGCGAAACAAGCTGGACGATGCTCGAGCAGTCTATGAGCGGTTCTTTGCAGTCTTTCCTCAAGCGGTGAGCACCTCCACACCCTTCTATATCATACTGCTTTGCTGACTTCAATTAGGCGGAAGTATGGGTCGCATGGATCGAAATGGAGCTGGACAATGAGAACCGGAGCGCTGCTGAACAAATATTCGGCAAGTCATTATTGACTGTCCCTAATGTCCAACTTTGGTCGGTCTATCTGAATTATATCCGGCGGGTGAACGACCTGACGAACGACGTCACGGGCAACGCACGGGCAACAATATCTCAATCATATGAATTTGTTTTGTCCAATATTGGCATGGATCGAGATTCTGGCAAGATATGGCAGGAATACGTACAATTCATCCGTAGCGCGCCTGGCCAGATCGGTGGCAGTAGTTGGCAAGATCAGCAGAAGATGGACCAGTTACGAAAAGCATATCAGCGTGCCATTTGTGTTCCTATGTCCAGCGTGAACAACTTATGGAAAGACTATGACCAGTTTGAGATGGGTCTGAATAAGATGACGGTAAATTAACCCATTATCTATCTCAGAGTATGTCCTAACGCCTATTTTAGGGCCGCAAATTTCTACAAGAGAAATCTCCAGGGTACATGTCCGCACGAAGTGCCAATACTGCGTTGGAGAATGTCAACCGAGGTTTGATCAGAACGACTCTGCCCAAGCTGCCCCCCGCGCACGGCTTTGACGGAGAACATGAGTATCTTCAGCAGGTTGAATTGTGGAAGAAATGGATATCATGGGAGCAAGAAGATCCCCTCGTTCTGAAAGCTGACGAGATGGAGGCATACAAACAGCGCGTTCTATATGTGCTCAAGCAAGCGATTATGGCGTTGCGTTTCTGGCCCGAGCTATGGGTCGATGCAGCAGAATGGTGCTATAGCAATGGGCTAGACAAGGAAGGGGACACGTTTCTGAATGATGGCATCTCTGCAAACCCCGAAAGCTGCCTGCTCGCATTTAAAAAGGCGGATCGTCTTGAAACCACCTTGGCTACCGAGGAGGCTGGGAAGAACTCGGCTGATCAGGGCGCCATTGTGCGTGGCCCTTACGATAAACTCCTCGACACTCTCTACGATTTGATCAAGCAACTGAAAGTGCGAGAAGCTCGAGATTTGGCAAAACTCGAAGAATCCACTGCGCTTGATGCGTCGATCAGTGCAATCATCAGTAAGGCAGAGGATGACGAGGATGACGAGGATGAAACCGAAAAGGCGGTTAGAGAGGTTGATAAAGCCAACAAAACGAGGGCAATTCAACAGGGCTATGCAAGCCAAGCGCAGCTTCTGTCTCGAACTATTTCTTTTGCTTGGATTGCCCTGATGCGGGCTATGCGTCGGATTCAAGGCAAAGGTGCTGTGAAGGATGCAGTTGGTGGTTCCAGACAAATCTTTGCAGATGCCCGTGCTCGTGGCAAGATTACTAGTGATGTCTATGTCGCTAGTGCGTTGATTGAACACCATGTCTATAAGGATCCCGCTGGCACGAAGATTTTTGAACGAGGTGCTAAGCTGTTCCCGGAGGATGAGATATTCATTTTGGAATATTTAAAGCACCTGTTATCAATTGGTGACACTACAAGTAAGCCCATTTCCAAAAATTTAGCTATTACGCTAACAATATATAGATGCTCGTGTCGCCTTTGAGACAGCTGTCAGCCGCCTAATCCAAAAGCCCCAGCTCGTTTCGAAAGCCAAGCCTTTGTACTCTTATTTTCACAAATACGAATCAAAATATGGCGAATTATCTCAAATACGAAAGTTGGAGCAGCGAATGGCCGAACTGTTCCCCGATGATCCAAAGCTTCTACGGTTTGCCTCGCGATATAGTGCAGAGGGCTTCGATCCCACTGCTGTCCGCCCCATCGTGTCGCCCGCCACCCAAATGCGGCCGAAAACTGGCCTCATGCCCTCAATTGAACAGCATACTTCGGTGCAGAACAGTCCCCGGCCACAGTTTGTTCAGGAAAACAGCCCCCGACCGCAGTACCAGCCAGCCATCAATTCTCCAAAACGCCCCTTTCCCCTAGAGGACCTTGAAGACCTCAATCGGCCCCGTAAGCTTGCTCGAGGGGAATCTCCTCTGAAAGGCGCTGCAGGAAGACGGTTGGACCAGCAGAAGCGGCTTCAGCAGCATGGAACTCCCACCTGGCAATCGAATGCACCGCCATTTGTGGTTCCGCGAGACATCACATTCCTTCTCAGCATCATCCCACGGGCTGATCTCTACACATCCACAAAATTCAATGCCGAGGCCATGGTCCGATTGCTGAGCCAGACGCATGTTCCTGACTACAGCACCTGGAAATCTTTGCGGGACCAGCCCCAACCGCAGCGATATGATGGTAGGCCTTCCACGAGTTACACCGAGCCTCCCCGTCCCCGAGACCAGACTTCATATAATTATGCCGGTCAAGATGACAGGCGCACTGCAGACGCTCATTCTTGGCAAAGCCAAGGCTCTTACGGCGCTTATGGCAGTGCCCCAGGCCCAGCCGTAACTCACGGAGGTGATTCCTACTTAAGGCCACCGCCCCAGGGTATTGCCCCGCAAGGACTTCCTCCTAGACCAGACTCCAGTGGTTCGGGTTATTATCAGTCGGGTATTGGCGGTGCTCCTGGCACTGGTAACTGGCAAACTCAAGGTCCTTTTCTGTCGCCTGCCCATACTTGGTATTATCAAGCTGACCAGTTTGCGCCAGGTTACTCTTACGCTCGGTAATTGACGTTGGGCAACCTCCGGCTCGATTCTTCCTCAGCTGTTTTATAAATCAACAAACGTTATCATTCATCGTACCTTGAAAATTTCGGAAGCTACAAATGGCATGGTGGAATGCAGGTACGGAGACCATAATTACCCCTCGGATTCGATATTGGTCGTCCCTCCTGGTCGTTTCTCTCTTTTTCTCTTGATATCCAGCATAAATCCTTGTTAGGACAGGGCGGATATATCACAGTGTGCACGAGGAACTTACAGCTCAGTCATATCCATCTTCACATCACAGCACGGCGTTTCGGCGGTAATTGGTCCATATGAAAACAGGAAAGCGTTAGATGCCTCTTCCAATATGGGTGTATCATAGGAGTTGATAATTTTAAATGCGATGATCAACAAACAGCAATGGACTCTTTGACTGCAAACTTCCAGTAATGGCTCGTGCGTACTGGTTTTCTCCCATCTCGCTCTCCATTCTTTCATCTACGTGTATGTTCCTACTTCCAGTGAGCTTGCTGGCATGCAGCTGTTAGTCTTCAGCGCTTAGGCTTCAGCTCTGTGCTTGCGCTGTATGCTTAGCTCAGATATCTCATACTGTAACAAAACAATGATGGTTGCAAGTGACTCCAGGGCATTCCTATCGCCCACGGCTACCCCCCCTCTGTGGGAAGACAGATCTACTGATCAGCTAGCGAATAAAGACATGTGTGAAGATTCCCTACTCAGTTTCCCTTCCTACATTCATCCCACAGCATGGCTGTTCTGCACACTTCGGGGCAGCTGCTCCTAAAATAAAGAACTCATTCCCCAGTAATCACCAGCTTATACTAAATCACTTAGCAGTGTTGGCCGTCACACCGACACCAGCCCATCCAGGTGATCCAACGTCGCCATCGCCATCGCCGTTGTCGCTTGCCCCCAATCGGGATCCAGCAGGAAGTGCGGCCACTACAGAAGGTTTGTTTACCTTTTTGCCGCTTCGGGTAACGCTCGTTACTCCCTCTTCCTTCCAACACCTCGATCTCAACCTCAACCTCCTCAACCTCTTCAACCTCTTCAACCTCTTCAACCTCTTCAACCTCTCCTCTACCACAACACACAACACAACACACAACACCCTTTCTACCTCCTTCAGAATAGTCGCACGTCAAGTTTCAATTCCCCATCACAAATACCGAAGTAAGTATTCCATTCCTATCATCAATTGATCGTGGATCGGGCCCCTCTGTATGATTTCAACGGCATGCCCCGTTTGAGACGCGCGTACCCGTTACATCGCGTTTGTCTCCTTGCTTTTCATCTCACCTTGCTTGATCTATAGCAAGGCCAATTGAACTCAGCCATTGAACAAACGGACTCTCTGACCATCGTTGACGCTTGCCACTAGGTTTGTGGTGGTGGTAACAAAGGTTCAGCCTCAACCACATTGTCGTCTACGATCCGATCACCTTTCTCAATAGTAAGTCACTACCACCTCCCCATCTTCCTCTTCCTCCTCCTCCTCCTCCTCCTTCTCTTCACCTCTTCACATTGCCCTTGCATCAATACTCAATCCGTGGCTACAACCACAGCTTACAATCCCCCCTGTATTCTGCCTCGATCTTTACACCCCAGCTAGGTTTCTCCAAGTATATGTAATACGTACACATACGTGGATCCAGTGCTGACCTTCAAAGTCCCTGCAATTAGCCAGGTTATCACCTTCGGTCCACACCTCTCCGTCATGGCAGGCAAGAATCCGTTCGGCCCCGGTCTTGGATATGATCCTGCTAGGATGACCCAGAGCGAGAAGCCCCGCGTCATTACCAACTCCCGAATTGAGTTGCCGCCAGACGCATATCGCCTCGAGGGTCAGACTGTAAGTTTTGCTCCATTTAATTGCATTTTATTACATTTTACTCGTGCGCGCTTTTTTTTATCGTTGGTGTCCCTCCTGTAAAGTTTTGACGCAGCAATGCCTGGAAATGTCCACCTCCGACCCCCTTCGGCACAATCTCAGCATGCCTTCGCTCCAAGTGGAAAGTTACACTGAGCTCTTTGGCTCCTGAGGCCCCCCAACTACTGTCACCGTCGTCCGAACGTGTTGCTGTCGCCATGCTCAGCAAATATACTGAGGCAACAACCACATCATAAGGCAGTAGCCCCATCCTCAGGAAGTATAAAAGGCGTTCCCGTCACAGCTCCACACCTTCTCCAAACCACAACACAAACACAAACACCAACACATCCACATCCAACACACGTACACACACTCCTCCATCCTATACATACAGCTCCCCTTGACTACCATCACCACAACAACACAGATTCTATCACATCATTCTCTTTATCTACCATCAAGCTTGACTTGATACCCAAACCTCCTCTGCTCTCAGACCACCCTGCTTTTCAACCTTTCCTCCCTACTTCCTCACCTTCACGTTTTCTAACTCCGACCATTCACCATGGAGCCGTTTAACTTTCGCACCTATGACAAGGAGACTAACACCTCAACTTGGAAGTTTCAGGATTCCGAGTTGCCAGCCCGCCCAGGCTTCAATACCACTGGCAAGGGTATCCAAATCCGAGTGAATCAGTTCAAAGTCACTCAGTTTCCGAACCGTGACATCTATCAATACGATGTAAGTTGCCATATCATGTACTGCTTTCTGTAAATATTAACCTGCAAACAGGTTACTATTGGAGGCAGTGATGAAAAGATGGGCAAGGTGAAGGCTGTTTGGGATTCCAAGCAGGTGCAGGATCGACTGAAGGCCCTTAGCAAAGGTGTACCATTCCTTTGGGATGGCAACAAGCTTGCTTGGTAAGGATGATATTCACCATACTCAGACCTGGCTTCTGACCTTGCTAGGCATACTGTCAAGATTCCAGAGCAGCGATTTGAGGTTAATCTTGATGCCGAAAAGGGCCGTACTCCTCGCCCAGGCAAGGAGGACAAGTGCATGTTCAGCATCAAGTACACCAAGAACGTTCGTATGGCGGCTATCGATGCTTACATTTCACGCCAAGCTCCATTCGAGAGCACTTTGCTGGAGGCCATTAGTGAGTCGCTCTCTGCTGTTGCTATCCTTTTATTAACTTTTTCCAGGCTTTCTCGATCATGCTATGCGCCAGTTCCCATCCCAGCACTATATAACTGTGAAGCGCAGCTTCTTTACCAGAGGTGGAGGGGCACAACTTCTCGATAACGTCATTGTTGCTATGAAGGGAGTCTACTCTTCGATGCGCCTGTGCAGTGTAAGTGTAACTTCGATCTCTCTGGGCTTTAATTTATTAACGGTCTGTTAGCCCAATCCTTCTTCTGGTGGCTCGGGCACCGGGTTGGCCGTGAATGTGGATGTTGCCAACTGTTGCTTCTGGATCCCCCAGGATCTTCATCAGGCTGCGCGCAACATGTGCAAGGATAAGAACCGCGGTCTATCTTATGAAGTCTTCCGCGATCTGCTTTTGCCTGTTAATAGCAAGGCAGGATTGACTTACTCCGATACTTTCAAAGACCTTCGCAAGATGGCCAAGCTGAAGTTCAGAGTTAAATATTACGCGAAGAACGACACTAGTAAGTATTTCTCTTACCCCTTCTTCGATACTATTATCTGACTCAACTTTACAGGGGCCAGTGAGCGGATCCATACCATCAAGGGTTTTACCTTTGAGCAGAAGCTGGGGAAGCTAGGTGCAAATGCCAAAACCGTCACATTCAAATTGAAGGATAGGGCCACAAACACCGAAACCGAGATTTCCGTTTATGACTACTTCAAGAAGAAATACGATGTCAACACTCAATACTGGCAACTCCCTTTGGTGGTTACAGCTAGGGATGGAATGTTTCCTATGGAGGCATGCATTCTAGAACCCTATCAGAGATATGTCTTCAAGCTCAACCCCGACCAGGTAAATGAACATCCTTACTTGGTTTTTGACAGACCTTTGCTAACTATTGAGATAGACATCTAGTATGATTAAATTTGCCGTCACCCGTCCTCGGGAGCGACTCCAGGCCATCCAGAATGGTATCAACATGCTCAAATGGTCACAGGACCCATGCCTCCAGCATTATGGTATTAAGATCGACCCTCAGATGACAACAGTTAGTTTTAATACTCTATCTAATTGCCTCCACGTACTAACATAAAATTAGACCAGTGCGCGCCTTCTCCAGAACCCGGAGATCGCCTTTGCCGGTTCCAAGCTGAACCCAGGTACCCAAGGTCGTTGGGACCTTCGAGGCAAGAAGTTCTTACTTAGCAACACCGAACCTCTTAACTCATGGGGCTTTTTCATTGTTGGGGGCGTTAAGGCATGTGATCCGCCTACGCTTCAAAACTTCATCAATGTCTTTATCCAAACCTATATTGGGCATGGTGGCAAGATCAAGAACAAGCATCCGGTTATCATCCCTCAGCCTGATGGCCAGGATTTGGGAGATGCGATGGCCGCCGCTCGCTATACTATTGGTAATCAGGTACAGGCCGCCCCTCAAATCATGTTCTTGATCCTTTCAACTCGCGACTCGTTCTTGTACCAACGCCTAAAGAGAGGCTTGGAGTGCCGCTTCGGGTTAGTCTCACAGATGATGAATATCGTCCATGTCAGAAAGGCTCAGCCACAGTACTGCTCCAACCTTTGTATGAAGGTCAATGCGAAACTTGGTGGGACCACTTGCAAGATCATCTCAGGTCCTAAGCCTGATTCCCCTGCCTTCCCTAGACCAACTATGGTTATTGGTATGTCTTTTGCACTTTAAGCATCTGGATCATGAAGCTAATTCCTCTAGGTGCTGATGTTTCTCATCCTTCACCGGGCAGCCCTGAGGCTTCTACTGCTGCTATCACCATGTCTTTCGACAATTTCGCCTGCCGATACGCAGCAGCAGTACAAGTGAACGGTTTCCGGGTCGAGATGGTCACTAAGTATAATATTGATCATATGTTCATGGACCTTTACAATTATTGGGTCAAGAAGCATCGTCGTGCTCCTGAACACATATACTACTTCCGTGATGGCGTTTCCGAGGGTCAATATAGTCATGTTCTTGACCAGGAGGTTAGCTTCATGAAGGCTGCAATTGCTCTCAAGTACCCTGATTCAAAGAATGTAAGTAGCAACGCCCGCGCAATTTATTGCCTCACTGACGGTGATACAGATCAAATGGACTGTTGTCATATGCTCTAAGAGACACCACATTCGATTTTTCCCAAAGGAAGGCGACAACCAAGCTGGGGACCGGAACAGCAACCCCCTTCCAGGAACTCTTGTCGAGAAGGATGTCACCCATCCATTCGAATATGACTTCTGTAAGTACACCAACACTGATAATGAATCAGGAAAACTGACCCAAGCTAGATTTGTCTTCCCATTCGGCCATTCAAGGAACCGCTAGACCAGTTCATTACCATGTCATTCTTGACGAGGCCAAGCTTGCACCCAACGATTTCCAGAATATGGTCTACAAGCACTGCTACCAGTACATGAGATCGACCACCCCGGTGTCCCTCTGTAAGTTTCGGGTTAAGGTTATGAACGAGCAAAACTAACAGACTATAGACCCTGCTGTGTACTACGCACACTTAGCCTCCAATCGTGCCCGCTGCCATGTATCTACCCCAGCTTCACAGGGTCCCACTGGCGGCCAGAAGTTTGAGGAGGCCCGACAGGATGCCGTGGTTCGTAAGGCCGCTGGTATGGCTCCCTCCCGTGCTTCTAAGGATGATACAGTAAAGTCATCCGAGGCCAGACCTCTTGTTCCACTCGGAAACCAGCAAAGCAACCCAGAATTGCTTGAGAATATCCGCACCGGCATGTGGTACATTTAAGCAGCTTCCACGATCACACGGTCCCAACACGAGTTTTAGCCCTTGCTATTCCTCCGTTACCCCGTCATGACTTTCACTTCTTTCATGTTTTACTATTACAACTTTGATCTTTGACACCTGGCTGTCAGCAACCTCTTCCCTCGTGCCGACCCCGACTTTGGAAGGGTTAGTTTGGGGGGGTCTTGAGCTACGGACTTGTGTATTTTTTTCGATTCTACACTTAGGAGTTCACGGAAGTCGCAAGGACTTGGTGATGGAAGATTATGATTCATAATGGCGTTAAATAGAAGTTCAGCGATGAAATGAAACGATGCTAGCAACGGGTTGGCTTGGCTTTAGCGAGACAATGAAATGAATTAACTACATGTCTCTTACTTGATGACCTTGTCGGTAAATATGCAGGTTTTGGACAAAGAGAATGTGCCCGAGTTCAGCGAAGGCATCGTTTAGCAGCTCTCTAAGTTGAGCAAAACTGTATGTCTTCGAAATTCCTCCACACTTAATCGGTTGTAGGAGAAGACTTAGAGAGTAATTTCTAGGGAAGGAGAAGGTCCAACGATTGAAGTGTTTCGTCTTCGAATATAGAAATAAGGCAACATATCAATTAAAAGTGACTCGTATTTCTCTAATTCCATGTCTTCTTCGACATAACCCATCCGTCTCTCCATTCATCCTATGTCCGACATTCAATTGGCATTTCGCGCTACGTCCTCACTATTTTCCCCCAGCTAATACATAGCGGGCAGGTCTTGGTTAGAACTCCACACATCCTTGGCGGAAGGGGATTATGATATTGCATCTACCAGGGAATTATAGAATACACCCAAGTGGAAAGATATTTGACGGAATTATATTCATGGAATTCGTTACAAAGATACGTCGAGCTAGCTAAGCGGAGAGAAATAACATGTTCCACGGGACATGAAAGAATGTCTGCATCCGAGTTTGTCCAGTCTACCACGGGTTCATAAACCCACTCGAAGACAACGCAGACCTAACCAGCGGCGATCTTCCGACTTGGGTGGATATTGCCCTGGTCCGATAGTGCATCTGTGCTGTCTTGCTTCTGCTTGGGAGCTTTTGGTTTGAATTGAGAAGGTCCCTGGGCAAGCTTCTTCGCAGCAAATTTCTCGCGTGCGAGTTGGATTGCTGATTTAGCTGGCTTCGTCGATGAATCCTCGGTAGTATCAACTATCTGAGATCCCGACTTTTTCGCCTTCTTTCCTTGCTTTGCACCTTCGTTCTTGGTTGCTGTGTTCTCGGAGCGAGAGGTAGACGGTTGAGGGACAAGTGAGGCGGCGTGCGTTTTTATCTTGTTCACCCAATCCCCTCGTCGGCGGTTAAACAGGTCCATGAACCAATTCCTCCACACGATTCTTCCGGTGAATGAATCACGCAATGTGGACTCGTGGGTTGTTAGGCGTTGAGCTACGCGTTCGGTGAGTGTGAACAGAGAGGATGTTGAGGCTGTGCTAAGGAGGATGGCGTCGAGTGTGTGAGAACCGGTTGCGGAGAGAGCGAGGGTTAGGGCTGGATCCTGGGCCTGTTCTTGCTCCTGCTCGGATGTTGATGATACTGTGGAAAAGAGCAGAGCGTTAAGCAGTTTGCGCCGGAAGGTTGGGGGGGTTGCGGCTGCCTGTAGGGCGGATTGGAGGATGTGGGAGGTTGGTTTGTAGATTGCTAGAGTGAGGAGCACAGATGGAGAGAGCGCCAGGAGTGACGTTTGGAGGAGAGCGGAGGGCGCGCCGGGGAGGGCGAGCATGCTTTGTGCTAAGAGTGAGCCGTGGGTTTGTTGGGGTGTTGGTTTGGGGATTGCTGGTGTTTGCGGCGCCTTTGCTTTGCTCGTTGCATCTTTTTTCTCGTCGGTATCTCCAGCTTCAACCTCTTCGGCGGGGGCTGCGGGGGGAGAGATGATGGCTTTCGTAAGGGCATCGATGTCGTCTATACACGACATCTTCAGGGCAAGAGTAGAGGGATCAGAGCCATAGGCCGAGGCAATAGCATCCGTCAGGGACTTCACAGACTTCTCGGATTTCCTGGTGTGGCATCTCTCAAGCAAAGTTTTGATAATGACAGTCCGTGACCTCTCCACCAATCCCGCAATTTGTGGGGTGATATTCTCCACCGCTTCTTCCAGATCTTCCTTGCTCAGACGGTTGAGTACGCGAATTACCGCGTAGCTTGATATTTCATTTCGTGCCAGACTTGCAATCCGCTCTTTAAATGTAGTCCGGTAGATCTGTTTGAACAACTTGCCTGGGGCATGTGAGCAGATTGTTTCGAGGAGGCGAGAGCCTATAGGGTCATAGAGAATGCCGTTTATAAAGATGGAAGAGGAGCCTTCGGTGCCTATATCGTCGGGGAGAAGCGCTGAAATGATAGTTTTCTGTTCGGCGTTGCTTCCTTTCTTAGTGTTAGGATTGGTAAGTTCCAGCTCGAGGAGCAGTTGTAATGTCGGGTTGCCTGTGGGATGTGTGGCAAGGACTCGGATAAAAGAAGGATCCATTGTTGCGATGGTGTCCGATATTATCTTTTCGACGGCGAACTGGAAGGATTCGGGAACCACTCGCTTGCCCAAAGAAACCTTTGAAGGGGTATTGTCCATGTTGGCAATAGCAATCTTCTCTTTCTTCTTGCTTTGAAGCAGAGAGTTGGTCGATGATTGGTCCAATGGCCGTCCAGATAATATAACCAGCAGAACCCTGAGCGTATGGGACGCGAATCGATCCGTCAACAGGAACGACATTTGCCCTTCGAGTTCATCCAAGGTAGCAAGGAATAGACTCTCCATTGACGCGTTGGCCTCGCCCTCATCTTCTTCCTCATTCTTCTTCTTCGGTCCACCCGCAAGCTCCTCTGTAACCACTGGCGCAGATTGAATGAACAGAGTCTCGCAACAATGGCTTGCAAACCGATGCTGCACCAGATGCGCAAAATTCCCCGCAAACTTCTCATATAGCTTCTTCTTCTGCTCTGAAGTGCTCAACAGTATCAATCTCTCCATCAACCGTGAACAAGACTGGCTACAAGCGAGCTTCAATTCCTCGGATTCCGCCTCGCGGTATACATTCTCGAGGAAGAGAGTCCGCTCTTCGGCCGAGGGGAAATCGTTCAATTCGAGGAGCTCGTCCGCCCGCCGGAAATATTCTTGTTCTTCATCTTCCAGCATGCCATAGAATGGGCGCTCGGTGCCAGCAGTGCCCTCGCCAGGGCCGCCTTCAGGAGCGGTAGTAGAGTTGTCGAGACCTATAAAATCTACATCTTCGGGGAGATTTTCAGGGTCCTGCGATTTCTGCCTTTTGGGCTCGTTGGTTTCGTCTTCACCATCTTCTCTTTTTCTCTTTTGCTCCTTTTTCTCGCTTCTCCGCCCTCGGCTGTGTTTGTTTTCCCGGGGCATTGTGAAGTCTGCGAGTGGGTTGCGGTGTCGTGTTGTGTTGTGTTGTGTGCACGAAATTGCTCGGGGGATATTTGATATTTCCTGGTTGAAACTTTTTTGGTACCTTTCGACGCGGGCGGTGAGAGTTCCAGCGGCAGAATTTAGATACCCCACATCACGTGAACCACCCCCCTTTTAGACGAAGTCCAGAAGTACCTACAGAAACTCTATTTGTCAGTCTATGGCCGGCCGATTCTCTCATTCCAAGATCCATCTTAGACTGCCCCCGGCCAGCGGATATCAGCCTTTGCGATGAAATAAAACTTAGTGTTCTCCAACACTCCGGCATTATTACTTAGTAGGGTTGAGTTGCTTAATACTGGCATTGTAATGTACCTAGTACTTATCATACAACTCCTAGCTAGCAATGCTACCACGAGCAATGTATCTCCCCCCCCCCCAATACTTAAGAAAAAATTAATATATATTTGCACGTATAGCATTTGTAACATCATCTACAATAATTCGTCTACTTATTCCCTTAATGTATTGATGAGTTGGTTTTGTGAAAGAGTCGGGGTTAAGCTGACAATAATCTCGCAGGTTTTCTCGCGCAGTTCAAAACACAACGCTACTCGTGCTAAACCAAGGCTCAGCATAGCAATCCGTATCTGGCGTGCTATGGCACTGGAAGTGCTTCCCCTGACGGCAGCAGAGCTTCGTATGCCGTGGTACGCCATAGCTGCTACCATTTGAGTTGTTTCCTTGCAAATTTCTATATTTTTCGTGCTGTGCATGGCGTATTACCAACCAGCTTTAGAACCATCTTGGGAGATTTAAATTCGGCGACGAGCTAGATAAAGTCAACTTGCTTCCGAATGCAAGCACAATGACTGATACGGTACAATTTCTGCGCATCCACCTCCATAGAAGGGTTTGAACTCACGCGAACTGTTGGTGGGGTTGGTGGGTTGTTTGAGGTCGAATATTAGCTTCTCACTTATCGCGTCCACAAATTGCCAAACACGGCTTGATTGGTATGGGATGGGCAGTATAGCCTTCTAGGTAGGCTTTTCCAGTTCCGATCATTAGCCCCGTGTTTTTGGACTGAAACCTAGGAGCGGCTGCCATGGTCACGCAGGGAAGAAAGTCGCGGCCTATTAGGGATAAAAACCGACATCAGTTAAGCATTGATCGTTGAGCTACAGGGGACGATGCAGAAGAACCGGCACAGGTTTCTTCCTGATCCGATATGCCATGGAGCGATAAAAGTCTTGGATTTCCTGTGGTGCTATGAAATGAAATATGTCAGGCAGAGCAGAGCATGATACTGTTCATGGCTATCCTAACGCTTGTAACTGCCCGCTACAACATGCGTGTGTCTCAACGTCGAGGCTGCTATTTGGGCTTTTTATGTAGCATAACGGTAATACAGAACAATAAATGATACATATAGCGAAAGGATGAAAACGCACCGACTCCTCGCAGGTCCAACAGCCCTTAAACGAGCAACATCCTTCGTAGTCTTGCAGAGCCGGTACGAATTAACGCCATGGAAGTAATTGTACGTCGTACTCCATACTACTAAACGGATCCAGCGCATGTCCGAACGGCTTTACCCACCACAGACAGATTCCGGTCGAGGCTGGGAAACGGTTCGTCGGGGAATAATTCAGCCTCTAACGCGACCGGCGCCGCTGATCATCATCAATCGGCCGATGGTGGAACGTCGGCATCGACATCGACATCGTTGGCCAATTCGCTGAGGGCTCCAACCCCAAGGTTATCGTTACCTCCGCCAGCCCCGTATTCTTGGGAATACGGAGGTTTCTACGACTTCGAATCCCAAGACCCGAAGGCACGGGCGGAGGAATAGGTAGAGTGCTGTACTGTACTTCGTACCTTGTCTTTAATAGGAGCTCTCCGCCGGACGAGTCTACCAGTAGCTCCCTTCAGGTATGCGGCGCCGGCACCAGCAGGGCAGAATCTTGACAGAACAAATTAATACTCGAGTAAACCCGGGCCTCGGACCTCGCCCTTGGGAATCCCGGTTCTGATATATTAATACTTCGTACGTAGTATTACGGAGGATGGAGCATGGCACTACTCGTACGAAGTACCACCACTCGATGTCTGCAGAGCACAGTACGTACTGCACCTTGAGTATGTTGGTTTTGGCTGAGGTTCGGCGGTCTCCAGACTCGCGGAAGCTGCACGATTGTGCCGACAATCACAATCACATTCACATTCACATTCACCTTCACCTCCACAATCACATTCCCCGAACAGTTGGCTGTTGCGGGCAATTTAGTTATAAGCAGGCTGACGCCACTTCCACAGAAAGGCGCTGCTGTGAAAAGAAATAGAGGAAGCGGCACGCCGGCAGAGCACAGACTGGTGCTACGAAAGTACTCTACAGAACTGTGCTTAGTAGCCACCGGAAAGTTCAATCTTATCACATCTCCAACGGCCGCCTCAAATCCTCCCTTATCTTGTCTTCCCTTTCTTTTCCCTCGGAGTGCCGATCTGGATAAAAACCCTCCTCCTTCCCCCCCCCCAGCAACGCAAACCCGCCGGGATAAATCCCCTGCCATCCCAATCCCACCCCAACCTCTCTCATCGTCCTCCTCCGTCCTCCCTCGCGACAAACGTCAAACAAAACACCGACCATGGACAACCCCCAAAAAATCACAATCACAATTTGCGGCGATGGCGGCTGCGGGAAATCCAGCATCACCCTCCGCCTCGTCCGCTCGCAATGGACCCACGAGTACGACCCCACGATCGAGGACTCCTACTCGCTCACGCGGCGCATCGATGGGCAAACGTACCATCTCTCCCTGACCGACACCGCCGGCCAGGAGGAATACCGCGGCATGTGGGCGTCCTCTAATCTACGATCCGACGCGTTCTTGCTCGTGTATGATATTACGAACGAGGCGAGCTTGGCCGTGTTGGATGAGTTTAACGAGTTGATCGATATCGAGGCCGAGACGAGGTTCGACACCTGGCCGCAGAATAATAACACGAAAAGCGGCAGGAAGGGAGAGGGCCCCGTGAGCCCTATCAAAATTGTCGCGGGCAACAAGTGCGATCTACAAGAGAGTCGACAGGTTCCGGCGCAGGTGGGTTTGGAGTGGGCGCGGAAGCGGGGATGTGGATTCATGGAGACGAGCGCGAGGAATACGGTCAATATCGAGGAGACCTTTGCGCTGATTGTCAGGAGGGTTGTGGAGGCCAGGAAACAAGCATTAGGGGGCCCTGCTGCTGCTCCGCCTGGCGATGCTGAGGGGAGGGGCAGGAAGGGAGGCATGGGTCTGGCGGGGAGGAATTTGAATATCGATGGCGCGTTGGGTGCTCAGCGGGGGGCAACAGCGCCCTTAAGTCCGCTACCCAGCGGAGCAGAGAAATCGTTCCCCCCGGAGGATGGGAGTAACAGACGACTCAGATTCAAAGGGTCATGGAGGAAGATGCTGTGTTGGTGAGGGGCTGTGCCTATGTTGGAAGCAAGGTGTTTGGGGTTTTTTGAAATTTTCAATGGGTTACGACTCATATTCTAGCGTGCTTTCCCGCATGGAGTACTTCTTTTAAAGATGGAATGGGCTGGGATAGGGAAGGCTGGCGCGGGAGTATATATGGATGGGCGGATGGATGGATTTGGTTCGGATTACCCACGCTGTATAACTTACGGAACACAAGACTTACTGGCCTCATGGCCGCATGCTGGATTGGAACGGCCAGGATTGGAGAGGCACTTTTTTGGGGAGAGGAACTCGGGCCGAGGGAGTCGAAAGGGGGACTGGAAATGAACGGAGAGATCGGGAGGCCAGGAAGGAGAGGGAGGTTGGAGATGCACAACGGCATCGCCCGAATTCTATGTGGTGGATGATACCCCACGGGGGTTCGTACATCCTATCGAGATATATGTATAAGCCGGGTGTGGACAGAGGAAACCCCCCATAGCTCAAGAACACAATTTACATCAATTCCCAATACCTCTGTCTCGTACTTCTTACCAGAATCTGGTATTTATCGTTACCCAAATAAACTGTTTTAATCATTATCGAGCTTCTCCCCCTCCTACATGACTTTCTTGCCTTGTGCTATCTACTCAGCAATGGGCAAAAGAAGCCGCCGTGTTAAATGTAGTTAGAAGGGGAGATAGGAGTTCTATGCATTATTAAAAGGCGAGATGGCTCTCTATAGAAGGGAAATGGGGCCTCTCCAGGCCAGGGGATAAGTCCCCAGTTCGCAAAGCATGGCGCAATCTTGATCAACGTCGCTGCACCTCCACACCTCCAAGCCAAAACTCCTGAGCAAACCTAAGTAAATCCTCTGAACACCACAGCACCCAGCCAAACCAAGCCAGCTCATCTATATTTGATGACTCCCCCAACCCCCGAATCTTATTTCGTATACTGTTTCGTCCAGTTCTTCTGCTCTCCACATCTCAGTTCTTCCCCTTGCCCTCGACCACCTGCTTAAACGCCTTGTACTCCTCGCATCTCACACTCTCTGCCGCGCCCCGAAACCTCACGACCTTCAAATCCTCCACCTCTCTCCACTTATCCCGTCGCCCGCCCCACCCCGCCTTCCTCATTAAACTCACAATCGTCTCCTCTTTATCCCAGCCTTGCTCAACCGCCACGTCCGGCAAATAACACGCCCCATACCGTCTCCCCTTCGCCGTGAAACTAATGCGGGTGCCGTGGGTCCCAAGCTCCCAATCCATGGCATCTTTGGCGTCCTCGAAGTCTGTTAGGAGCGTGACGGAGACTTCGAGAGTGGGGAGCTCGGACCGAGTAATTGGGTTAAAGCGGTGGTCTTTTAGGGCTGAGGTTAGGGCGTAGGAAGCTAGACCTGTCGAGAGGGGGAGTGCCTCAAAAGTGCCAATGCAGCCGCGGAGGGAGCGGTGGTGGCTTGAGGAAGACGAGATGGTGTTCCATGTTACCTGTGGGGGTTTGTGTTAGAGATAATTGCCTAACGAACTACTTGATGAGAATAGATATTCTACAACAGCGATTTGACATACAAAGAGAGGGGATTCATATATTTCACTGGGGCGGTTGTTTCGTTTCGGATGCACAGGTGCAAACGAAGGAGTAGACGAGGGAGTTGTCGCGGGCGAAGAACGACTCAATGAGAGGCTGCCCGGCGTAGCAGGCGTCGAACTCCCACTCTCACCTGAACTGGAAGATTTACGACTATCCAGATCTGCCAGGCGCTGCACCGCGGGGTTGCGGGGAGCGGCTTCAGCTTCCTTATCTTTGGGTGGTGTATCATCTAAGGAATAGGTGGGGGTGGACTCGTCGAGAGTTTTAACATATTCGGCCCATGAGGATTGGACTTGCGATAGGGACATTGGCGTGCGCTTGTCGAGGGCGGCGCCCAGGACTTCGAAGCAGTAGAGACAGTGTTCGACGGTTGCCATGGCGGAGGGGAGGTGGGGCGGGGTTATCCGTAGGTATGCCAAGGTGAAATGGCTTGAACGACAGGCTGCTGATGGATCATGTATTCCTCGGCGAGATGATCTTGGATTTGCGAGGCGATTTGGAGATATGGCTTGCGGCGCAGGGAGAGGCGAAGGGAGAGAGGGCGAAGGGAGGACGTCGAGGGAGAGGCTGAAGAGAGAAGAGATCGTGGTCTCGACGGCGTCAAGGTTTCTCGGGAAGTGTGGAGTTTGCTGTTTGCGTTGTGGAGTTGGCGTTCCGCAGCGCAAAAAGGCTTAGCTAAGGCTTAGCTAAGGCAAGGGTATGGCGGGGCATGTTGCAGCCTAAGGCGCCAAGGTCACATTGCTACCGATGACTAAGGTACGCATGCCTCGGTATGGTATCGATCACACGTGACCTCCCCGTTGCCCTCGGTGCCTTACCTAAGGTAGACAAGGTACCTCGGTACCTTGAGGTTATTCGCCTCAGGCACAAATTCATCAACCCCTTAACCTCCTTAATAAGCTCCTTGACCTCCTTAACCGCGTTTCCCCCATCAAACCATCAACAACACCAAAACAGCCCAAGACCAGCCAAGCAGTGATGCTGCCACCACCGGATAGTGGAAGTGTCAATCATTGACTCGTCTGGACTTCTGGATCTCCGCAAGACCCGCCGATCATGCCCTGCATGAAGCGCTCTCTCGGATGCCAGCGCTTCCACCCTCGGCGCATGGGCTGTAGCTCCCAAGGCGTCTCAGCCTCGTCTCAGAAGCCCGCTGCCCGCCCACCCGAACTCTCCTCCTTCGTTACACGCCCCACCAATGTGTCCAGTCCCAACTGACGGATGCAATCAAGCATCGTGCCCTAAATATATGTGATGGATGGGCCAATGGCAAGCCCCCGCCGTCCCCGTGGGGTCATCCCGAGAGAGATGTCTTGTGGCTCTTGGGGCTTATCCGCCGTGGCAAACAGTCGTGTGGAACAGTAGCGGTCGCACGATTCCGTGATCACCACCAAGCGAGAGCTTCCGTGTGTAAGTGACATCTGTTCTGCTACACTCCCGGCTCCGCCTTAGCATCAATGACCCGGGCATTTGTTCTAGGCCAGCTTGACACCGGGAAACACAGGTAGGGCCATGCCGTCTAGACTTGCTTGGCGATACAAATACAAATATCAGCATCCCATTTCCCATCTCATATCTAGTCCCGTCTCATTCTCTTCACACTTCTTCTCATCTGAACTCGCTCAAAACAACCGCTCCTTCGTTTCTTCTCTCGCTTCCTCCATTTCATAATATCTGCTAGTCAGTTGTCGCCGGACGACCTTACTCTACGCTCCCTTACCCAAGTCGCCAATTCCACCGCAAACATGCAATTCACACTCGTCGCTATTCTTTCTCTCGTGGCTGTTGCCTTTGCCGCTCCTCTTGATAGTATGTTGTCCCTGGCATCTCGATATATTTGGTTTTCAAGGGGTCGCAATCTCTACCACCTCTACACAAAGAAAAACCCCCGTTGCACTACTTCGCATCGAGCCTGGACACAAACCTCTCCAATGTATATGCGGCTAATACTTTTTCCTACTTCCAGCTCGCGCTCCCCAGATCGCGACCGAAGCTGCCACCATGAGCGACGCCAGCGGAAATGTAGTCAGCTTCAACACTGCTGGCGTCCATCAACGTACGTTGATCTCCATTCCCTTTTCCCAATACAAATACCCTCAAATCCATGAACCCTCTCTAACTAGAAAACCAAATAGCTGCCACAGATGCTGGACAATAAGCACCTATTCAGTGGCTAGGGTGTAATGTATAGAAGGGGCATGGAATTGGGGTTCGCAGGGGATATGTAATTATTCATACACAACAAGGAATCGATGGAGTTCACAGATTGAGACATTTGATGCATTTGATGCATTTATTTTGCCTGGAAGGGAAGGGCGAAGTGGACTAAAAATAAAAGGGAAAATATGATACCCGGCAACCGTCCATCCATTCATGCTACCGTCTCCTCCCATATTACCCTTAAGTGCTTTACCTTTTGTTTCGTTTCATTACACTCTGCTCCAGCACTGGGAAAGTTCCGAAATCTAATATACAGATAGCGTCGCATCATACTACTTCCAGGGCAATGGGTCCCTAGATATTCCGCACAAAATTCGAGCGGGATGGGTTCATGGCATGGGATTTACCCAACCCCACTCCCCCTATCTTCGATCACACTACTCGGGGCCAACAGGTTCTCACTAAACACTTCAAAACACATAAACTGATCCTACCCCGTCATATGCGCACTTGCAATTACAGAAGAATTGAAGAGCAAGAACTAAAAAGCATACAACAGCAGGTATTCGCTCGTAGTCACCCACCCAACGACTAATCTGCCGATCTGAGGCATTCAGCTGGACGATAGTTAGAACGGCGCCATCCCGCCTAGCAAGTAAGCATCGCCGCCCTCAGGATGTTGATGCCTCACGATGTTGCTGCGTTAGACTCGGTCACGGCCACGTCGTGGTCAATTTTCTTCCTTTTCTCTAGAGCAAACACCAGCAGGGCGGCTTCACAGGGGACAGCAGGGGATCACACATGCCTGTGTCCGAAATCTGTGCATCTATAAAAGATCGTGGTCCCCTCGTCTACACTCCGTAATTGTGTCTCTGACCAACTCATTTCCGGGCCGAAAATAGGCGCCATGATGCTGCGACCTACTTAGAGGCCGCCGAGATTCAAGGGGAATGTTGGTGTTGGGGCGGAGTAGAAGGAGTAGATCACGACAGAGAAACGGTCGCGGGACGGTCACTATCCAGTTTGGGCTGGATTTTCCAGGCAGGGCGTACTCGAGTACAGAGCTAACTAGCTGGCGCTCATCAGATACTAGGCATCATCGACGCGATAATTTCCGGATGTGATTCTTTATCGAAAGATATACGATTTCTAGCATTTCAGACAAGTAGACAAGAATGTTTTGTTGTGTTAATACCTGTCGTAATAAGTATGCTCATACTCCGTAATCCTGCCGATGTCTTTTGGACGGCTGGCTTCCGTACGAGTATCGCTTGGGCGAATAGGAGAGTACCATGGCCTGGATAACACAGAGGTCATCGAGCAGGAGTTATTCAAACTATAGTACGCTCTAATGTTTGTTTTATTTGCTACTTCCGAACCCGAACGTCGCTGGCTATTTGGAACTAACGCCCTGTACCTATGTATCTATATATCTATATGTGTGAGCGGAAGCGGAAGCGGGCACTCTTGTACTATCATGGTCCCATCAACCCCGACAGCAAGCACTATCCTGTTTCTATTTCTAACTCGCGAAAGCACTTATTGGGATCGCCAAAATACATAGCAGGAACTTCAATAATTCAAAGTGCCCAGTCTCTCAACATAATACACTCATCTTCTTACTTCGAACAAATTGCCTGACCACGTCCATTCAACCTTGTTACTAAATACCATTCATAATGCACGAGCGTATGCGCTATGATGATATCGCCTGGGAGAGAAGTGAGGCACAGTTCGAGGCCTGGTCCAAGAAGTTTTATCAGGAGGACATATTAAGAGAAATCGGCAACTTTATGGCCAAACATCGAGGCGGTGTTCCCAAAGAGCTTTGCTCTCCCGTTGCGGGAGCCTTCAATGTCTGTCTTCAAATGAAGTTTGGAGATGGTGGATCAGCAATAATACGGTTCCCCCAGCCGGGCAATGTCAGGTTCCCTAAAGAGAAGCTCCTCAAGGAAGTGGCCGTTATGCGATATGTGGCCGAAAATACCTCGATACCTGTGCCGTTTGTTCTACACTACGGCATGGCAGACGAATCGCCTGCCGGGATGGGCCCGTTCATCCTAACGGAGCATATTAGACATGAGCACAATGTCACAGCTGCGCTCAACACACCCGGTTTCGTCAGAAAAGACCGGCCGATCCTCAATCCCCAGATACCAGAGACAGAGCTTAAATTCATCTACAGCCAAATGGCCGATGTCCTGCTCCGACTCTCTCAGCCCTCTTTTAGTCAGATAGGATCAATAGGAGAGGACGGTAACGGGCGGTAGTCTGTGACAGACCGCCCAATGACTTTCAACATGAACGAGCTCGTCTCGCTCGGAAATTTCCCCCCTGGAAAGCTTCCATCTACTGTTTTTAAGACTTCATCGTCTTATTTCACAGCACTTGCTGATGTCAACCTTATCCACCTATCAACTTAATGAAACGATGCAATTGATTCAGCTGAATATTGTCGACGCAAGTACGTTGCGCGACACCTGTTCCGCAAATTTGCCAGAGATGGCCGCCTTTCTAGCGCTCACAGCCTAGATGCAAACCCTTTCAAACTATTCTGTGATGACCTTCGCCCGTCGAATGTACTTGTAGATGCTGATTGCAGGGTCGTTGGTGTTATAGACTGGGAATTCTCATATGCTGCCCCTGCCGAGTTTACTTACAGCCCTCCCTGGTGGTTGCTTATTGAAACCCCTGAGAAATGGCCTAAAGGAGTCTCAGATTGGGTGAAAGAATATGAGCCAAGGCTTAAGACCTTTCTGGAAGAACTTACCGCGAGAGAGGACATTATGATTAGCGACGGAAGTCTGGCAGAAGACCAGCGTTTGTCAGGCCGAATGAGGGAGAGCTGGGAGTCAGGGGCATTTTGGATAAGTTATGTGGCGCGGAAGAGTTGGGCGTTTGATATGATATTCTGGGAGCAAATCAACTCGAGATTCTTTGGCGACAATAGTGGGTATGAGGACAGAGTCAAGCTACTTTCTCAAGAAGAAAGGGATGGCATGGAAGAATTCGTAGAGAGGAAACTGAATGATGCTAAGACGCGAGATTTAGATGACTGGGAGAAAGATGAGGCCAACAGGCTCACGTCTGCATTTATCTCGACATAGATAATCTTGATTCTATTGTAGCTCAAACAGCGGCTTGAATTGCGAGATGTGACTGAACAACGCTAAACACCCTTTCATCCTCATTGACTCCCAACTTGTTGCCCACAATAGCACAACCCTCATTGCGGGCCCAGCATTAGATGTTAATAAAGGAAGCCGATTCCTTCAGACTCAAACGCACCTGACGGCCATGAATAAAGATGATGGCGTCGCCAATCCATTTTGTATTTGGCCAAGGCTTTTTGCCATACCAGATTTAATCTCAAGTCTCGCTGCTTTATAAAACGGCGTCTTGAGCCGGAATACCTGTAGCTATTGCTTTTGTTATCCTGGCCCACTTGCATTCCTGCTCAGTGTCAAATTTGAGGCCACTTGGAAACTCGTCCCCCTATCTTACTGTCAAAAATACCATGTATCACAAGTTTTAGGCCTGCTGTGGCAGTTTCATATCTCTTCCTAATAATCAATCACGTTTCACGTCCTTTGAATCAAGAGCATATATTATAAATATTTGAAGTCTCTCCGGCACAATAAAGCTGTGAAGTGGATCTAAAAATTTCCATATGTTCGGCTCCCCAACCTCAGCTATACCTATGCCAGAAAAGTAAGAAGAAAAAGAGCGCCACAGGCGATAGAGCGATATCTAATTTTACACATAAAAAAAAACAAGAATTTAGTAGAACTATTGCAATAATTAGACCCCGGTGTAGCAAAAGTGCCATAACCTTGGGCCAAAAGATTCTCATCTCCGCGTCGAAGCAATAAAGGGAAAACGATAAGTGATCGCCCCACGTAATCTGGACCCATCTGTCCCAATCCACTAGCACATTTTGATCGTCGTCGTCTTTCAACCACCTAGTGCGAACCCAGGCGGGAATACGTCGTCGGATTTGCCCTCGAGCCCACTTGTCCCAGTCCATCTCCACGCATTTCATCGCTTGATCATATTTCCACTTCCACACGTTGTTCAATGTTCCATCGTTTGCATAAGGTTCCTTGGTTGCCCAGGCCCGCCACCTCCCAACGACCGCTAGAGCGCGCTCCGGGGTAACTTCATACCATTCACCATGTTCTGTAACCTCCGACCTGCCGCCTCCCTCCTTCCGTTGATCAAATATGTGTCTTCGTTTACACTTTCCACATTTGAACTTTCTCCGTTCATTGGCAAGCTCCAACTGAACCAGCCTTTCTACCATTGAATAATATGTGAATTTCTTGCCATTAGGATCATCGATGCGCGTGGCAGTAAACTTGCACTGTCTAGCCCATTGACATCTACGTTTATCTGGATCTAGCAGCGTTTTCCCAATTTTCATGTACTTAGGAGTGGATGGAGATGTGAAGACATAGATATATCCGGTAGGGTTGCTGGATGAGTCGGATGACGGACTTGCTGTATTCTTCGCCTTTTTTCTCCGGTCTTCACGGTTGAGGACTACCTCGAGTATCTTAAGTTTGATGCCATTACCAGTTGTTTTTATCTTGTTGAAAGGTTCGAAGTCCGGAAATTCTTTTTCGAGGGCTTGCTCCAAATCTTGTTCTGGGGTCCGTGCGGTTGGCTCTTCATTGGGCGATACTAAGGTCGTATTCACTGGGGTTGGTTCCTGTGGTTTTGGCTCCTCTGATGCTAGGTTCTCTGGTATCCCTTCGATAGATGGAAGCAACTTTGTGGAAGGCACATTGTCCCCGTTAGCACCAGATTCTGCGGCCATCTTTATAGCGCTCCCCATTGGGTCGATAGAGGTGGCTGGAAGGACCTTCTGGAAGCCCAAACCGTGGAGGCCAGTTCTGGCAGTAGAGCTGCCTTCTAAACGAGGTGGGGCTGGGACTTTTTGCAGGTGCCCTGTATCATCAGGACTCAAAGTGTTGGAGTCCTGTACTTCCCGGGCTTTGGCACCGACGCCGTCCTCCGTAGTCACATCCAATGATAACGCTGGCTGCGATGTTGAAACATGTGTGCTTTGGTGTTCGTCTTCATCAATGGCTATTATAGGAGGGGAAAGTGTAGGCTTGACCTGGCCCGTTCGTAGCATGACTTTCCTTGACTTCTTGAATGACGGAGAATTGGCCAGTTCCTTGCTCAGGCCCAAGTTGTCGCCAAGAGTTAAAGTTCCAAGCTTGGCCGTAATATCTTCCATGGGGTCATCAAGTGACTGCTCTCCGGTGTTCTGGTATATTGCCTGAGCTGAACTGACTCGAGATTGTGCCATTCGCGTCGGAGGCGATGATGCAGATTTGCCATATAAGCCACCCGTTTGCCTCCACGCCATACTCTGCTTTTGGGATGGGAGTTTATATATGCTATTGTTATTAGTCTTTTTCGACGATGGGAAGTAGCCTGGGTTGGACATTGCAGGTGTGGCTGGCGTTGCTGGGCTGATCGAGTCGTTATCAAAGATACTCAGGTCTGAGAAAGCAGAGCTGAGGGATGAGCCAGAAGCAACCGAGTCTGGCGATGGTCGAATTGGGGTTTCCATTGCGGGCCGTCTGGTATCATTACGTTCAGGAGACATCTGCCTATCGTCTTTCTTGTCGGGGCTAGGGAAGGCCGGGTTTCCTGCTTTCGTGGAGAAACAGTAGATAATTCAACTTAGATTACAAGATCTGAAGCCTTGTTCTTTCCAGTTTGCGATGCAGATTGGTAAATGTGATGCTTCAACTGCGATATTCGTTGATATTTGTTTAGAGTGTATATGTATGGCCGTCGATTGGAGATCGCAAGAAGGTTGCTCAGAAAACTACAATCGAATCGGCGCTCCGTTGACATATGTAATAGATGGCCTAGTCCTACACACTCGCATTGCCCACCCGCTGCGGTCTGATAATCAGCCACATCGCGAGCAGGTAGTGGATGGACAAACTCCAGTCCCTGTCAGTTGGTTCAAGGTAAATCATATGGGAACCAACAATTCGGCAACTAAAGGGGCAGGTGTTCCGCTCCCAGCCTCCCCAAGCCTGAAGCAAGCCCGCATCTATCTGTCTCGGGTTACCCGATGGCGGGTCGCAGCTCGACACCCGAAACATGGAGATTATAATGTATTTCAGGTCTTCAGCATGCAGGAGGTTCGAACTGCGCCACAAGCTGGTGTGACTGGCAGTGAAGCTGAGTATGTTGCGACTAGGATACCGTGAAGAAATTCGACATCGATCTTAGGGCTCTTGCGAGGATAGGGGTGCCTAGAGGCCATTGCTTCTATTTCCCAACGTCGAAGTAGGATACTTATACTTAAAAGCGATAAATGCGAGTGAGAGTTTGAGTGGCTTTGGCGTCCAGGAGGGTAGCGAAGACTTCGCTTGATAATAAGCTAGAGAGTATAGCTGACCGCGATTCTATCATTTCTAAAGGCGGTGTTTCGTAGATCAGAACTGTTGCGTGTGCTAAAACTAAATCCATGCTTCTTGCGTCTCGTGATCATTGTTAGTATCCTAGCTTCGTGTACCTAACGTCGGCTCTTTCACCTCCAAGTTAGTCGCTGGACTATGTAGGTCGATTCTCCAACAATTATGGTGGCGTTCTCAACTTCTTTGCAAAACTGCAATCTGTTAGCTGGATGTAACCTCGTCGTAATCGGGCTAGGAATAATACAGGTTCCGTTTCTGTCTCGAGTAGAAAGAGGAGTGCACAGATTGATTGGGACTGATTGCGAGTTCGACATCAATTGACGCCAGACCACAATTGCAACCACTTGGTTGTATTCTCGAGCCTTGGCCTCCGAAACACCCAGTGGTTGTATATAAATATCAAACGCTGTTGAAAGCGCTTATAACCTTAGATAAAACACCTAAAACCTAAAAAAAGCAAATGGTGGAGGCCAGGACAACGAGGTCAATGCCAGTTTGACGGATGGCCTAGGTGAGTGTAGGGCAGTGATTTAGTCGTATGTGACGGAACTTACTCACCAACTAACTTATATATCACCCAAATTGCTATTTACGCACTAGTAGATAAGCTCCATAGTGTCCCTAGGCACCAATAACCGGGTCCGTTCCCAGCAGGTTTCCAAAACAGTCTTATATATCTTATCCAAACCGTAAATTAATGTTATAAACCTGAGCCAATCTCCTCAATATCGCCAACCAAACGATCAATCGTTTCACTTCTGGTCTGCGAGTTGACCACCACTCTAAAAAAGGCTCCTTTCTCCCCGGGGGCATAATCAACCATAAACCCTTTTCCAACGAGCCTTTCCACAATACTACTGGTGATCGTACTATTTTCCTCCTTAATATCCCGCAACACTCCTCCTGGCGCATAGTAAAAGCAAACTTGCAAACACGGTGGAGGATTCTCGCTAACCAGCACAAAATTCACGTTCTTCTCAAGGAGGCTCGCAAAATACGAAGCCATGCCAAACGCATGGTCAATTTGCGCTTCGAACCCGGAGGAGCCGTAGTAGATCCAAGCTAGAGCAAGCTTCAAGCTGTCGCCACGACGTCCACACTGCAGTGTCAAATCGGCCAAGTCCCAAACTTCTTCATCCGTGGATGAGGCGTGGAACAGATACGCTGCAGGTAGCGTATTCGCGGTATGAAAAGTTCTCATGTCTTTTCCAAGGAGAAATGAACATGTTACTGGAACTCCCATCATTTTATGCGGATTTATGGCAAAGGAATCTGCTAATTCCGCGCCCTGCAGTTTATGCTTCTGCTTTTGAGAGAAGATGACAGGGCCGCCCCAGCTGCCATCTATGTGCAGCCAGAGGTTGTGCTTTTTACAGATGGCAGAGATGGCAGTGAAGGGGTCGAATGAGCCGAGGACAGTGGTTCCCGCCGTTGCGTTTACGTAGAACGGCGTTCTATTTTCGGCTTTTGCTTTGAGAATTAATTCTTCTAAGGATGATGGAACCATTTGACCCTGGGCATCGACAGGCACGCTCCAGACGTTGTTAGTGCCGAGACCGCACATCTGTGCGGCTTTTTCGAGGGAGTAGTGCCCGTGAGCGGAGGTAAAGAGAACGAAGTTGTGAGTGCCATTGCCAGTGGTTTTGGATGATGGGTAGAGGTTGTTGCGCGCGATTATTATGGAGGTGGTATTGGAGGCGCTGCCGCCTTGGGTGGAGATTCCGCCAGCATAAGGGCCGGCAAACCCGAAAGCTTTTGCTAACGTGCGGCAGGTGGTTTTTTCAATGACGGTGAGGGCCGGGGAGACTTGGTAGACGTGGAGCTGGGGATGGTTAGTGAGGGAGGGAGACGGCGTGTGTGGAGAGAACTTGCATTTGTGTTCAAGACGGATAGCAGAAGTTCGGAAATAACTCCAACCTAGGAAATATCAGTATGAATTGTAGTTTGGTTTTCTCGAAACATACAGCATTCGTAGTAGCATACAACTTATCCATAAACCCTTGATCCCACGTATTTACACTATATTTAAGCACTTGCTCTACCGTTGCCAAGAGGCCTTCCTTCCCTTTTCCGTCCCCTGGGAGCTCAAAATTCATAAGGCGGACCAGCTCGTCAGGCTTGTGGTATTCCACCAAAGTCGTCCGAGGAGTTCCTTCATGATGCTTGGGCTCTGCTGGACCCGCTTGGTCTGCTGAGCTGACAAAAGGGATTATCAGAGATTGAACGGCTTTTAGCAACTTGAAGGGGTTAGTATTTCTCGGCTGTACTTCCAACTATATAAAGTTGCGGAACGTGGTATGAGAAATGCGGATGCACTCACATCATCCACCTCGTCCGCCCTATTTACCGCGACAGTGTCACGAGGAGGGCCATTCGAAAGTGGCAAACTCGATCCGTTGGATGCCATTGTCAAATTCGTAATTTAGCAACTCGAAGTGGCAAAGCAAGTAGGTTTTAGAACAGATATGAGGAGTATTTGAAGGAATTGCTAACAGCTCAAACTTGGACGGCTTATTTCCAACGGCTATGAAAAACGAAAAGCGCCAATAGAATGGCGTGTGTCCACGTGATGGAGGCAAAAATTCGCCTGCGGGTTGGGAAGCTTGAATGTGGCAGGGTAATGAAATTGTGTATGTTTATTATGTGAACACGAAGCGTTGTTTGTGTGCCTGCACTACAAGCTCTATGGAAGAGCGAAATATATTTTTTCGACTCCGAAGACTTCCGCGTCCAACCCCACTGTATTCCGGGCAATAATGTTACTCCGGCCCGACCGTCTACCATCAAGACCCTCGACCGATAACTCGCCGAAGCACTTGGCATAGGTTGGCTAATGATATAGATACATAGCTAGGTAGGTATATATATATATATATATGGGTACTCGAGTGCTGTAGTTGTGGAACTTGTGGAACTTCTTGTTCTCGTACGGAGTAGTCTGTGTTGGAATGTTGGAATAAGGTCCTACCACTACTAGCAAGTCGATTCGACTTGCGAGTCATGGTTGCAACACAGAACGGTTACTTCCACCCTGACTGGAAAATGGAATATAAACCCATCTATTAAGCCTCCCATTGAAATCAAATGAGAGCCGTTTGCTCCACTGACGAGGGGGAGAGGACCAGCGGGGGCGCGAAATCAGGAATCCCCGGTGATGTTAACGGTTCGTCCTTCGTAGCCTATTGGGAATACACTTTCTATCGTCTACATATCATCCATCCCAGGCATGCCTTGCATACCACCGACTTTCGCCCAAAACCTATCGAAGTCCACGCCCTGGTCCTCAAATAGCCTCTTTGCTTTAGCCATCGTCTCCTGCTGTCGCTCCGGCCCAAAGCCTCCTGGTTGGATAGATTCAAATTGAACAAGCTCAATCCAACGGAAGAAGAGATTCTCCTTCCCCATGGCGGTCAACTCATCCTTGAAAGCGACTATCTTTCGACGCCCCTCCTCTTCCTTCGCACTGCCACCAGCAGCTGCACTTTGTATGACCACCCAACCGAACTCTTCACTGTGAACCAATATGGTTGTCTTGAAATCGCTGAAATTCATGTCGTGCTTGTCCACCAACTTGTGAGCCAAAATCATGAGCTTCCAATCCAAATCCCAATCTTTGCTTAGCATAAGGTATCCTGTTTTCTCACTCATCCACATAGGGTCCACTGCCTGGTAGACATTGCTCAAGAACAAGTCCTGACCTGTGCCTTCATCCAGCACATTTTCTGCGGCATTATACCATCTTCTGCTCCGTCTCACAATTATCTCCTTGTCCCTAAATCCAACCCGCAACCTCCACATAACCGGGTTCGCAATTGTCTGGCCCAAGAAAAACGCTTTCGGCCAGGGCCAGACAAACGAATAAATCAACAAATCTACCATAAAGGTCATACTACGGCGTAAGATTTCCGATTTTATCTCGTTGAATGGCAGGTTCGCCGTGCGCATCGTAGTCTCGTTTGTTTTGCCCATCAGCGAGGAACATATCTTCATGTAGAACGGGCCAACGATGGTAATGCGCCATACTATAAGTCCAATGATAACAAGATTCATAAGGACAGGTACGGCGAAGATATTGCGTTTGAAGTCGCGCGGTTTCGCGTCGATGTGCGTGATATAGACATGGCTCTTGGAGAGGTTTGGGAGGAAAGGTTCGAGGTGTTTCGGAGAGGGTTGAAATGGCTTGGGAGGGTCGCCTTTTGATTGCACCTGTATCGATGCTGAAGCCTTTGAGGGCAAAGATGGTTTGCTCTTGAAAGCTCTGGCCTTGCCTTTTGGAGGCATTGTTATCGTTGGCCTTCCCAGAATCGTTGTTGTTGCTTTATTGTATCATTTTCCATGTGCTAGGATCAAGCTCCGGGTGGATGCAATGGTCTGGCATCTTCGGCACATTTAGGCTGCCGGACTCTATCTTCTATCGTCCAGAATTTTATATCTACGTAGTACTACCTACACGCCACGCAACTCCTCCTTGCCAGCCACTAATTCATCATTCAGCGATGAGAAGTCGAGGTTTATTCAGGGTCAGGGCAATATCCATGACTGCCTTGCAGCGCCTATATGCTAACTACTTCGCAGGAGTCACCGAGCACTGTCTGCGCGTTTTGCGCGCATCAGGTCCGGCAATCTCGCCGTCCGGCGCATATTCAACGTCGTTTCCTGCAATCTTCTCGTCCAGCATCCAAACCTCCTAGCGAAGCATCTTGTCTGCAAGAAGAAGGGAATGATGCAGATACACGGTCCAGTCCTTCTACGTGGGGGCGTCCAGCAGCTGCGCGAGGGAGTAGGCTTGGGCCGACACCTTCTTGGGGCCGACCTGTTGGAAAGGGGGGAGTGCCACCTCCGAGTAGCTGGGGACGACCACATCCTGAGCCCAATGGCATATCTTCTGCCTCCACGCCGGTAGCACACGGGAATCAGACAGCCACGACTCCAAATCTCTTACCTCATGAACAACGAGCCAGGGAGTTAATGCTGGAGAATACAAATAAAGCACAGCAACGACCCGTCATGATCCCTAGAGGACCAGGGCCGGAATCAAATCGAGCTGGCCGTCCTGTGGTTATGCAACGTACTCCAGAAGTGGAGCTCGAAATTGCGCGGAGAAGTTCTAGGAGGGAGGAAGCGAGGGCGATGCAGTTGCTGAGACAGCAACGCCAACAAGAGGCTTCCAATGGCGCTCCACCTAACATCCGGAAAGTGGACACTGACACACCATTTTGGCCTGCTTCCAGGGACACTCGTTCCGGGGGAGAAGTGCGACCTCAAGGAGGGTTTTCCAAGAGGAATGCTGGACCTATAATCCAAAGAGTGGGGATTCTAAATTCTCCTGAGCCGCCTTCTCAGACTGCTTCTGGGGGCACTCGTTCTTTAACAAAAGAGCGGCCTCAATGGGGCCAATTGAGACGGAAAGCCGAAGTGGACCCTCAAGAACCTGTTCAGTCGGGAGAGAAAAGCTTTGATAAAAGCCGGGCTCAAAGAGAGGAGCAGGCCAAGACAGCCCGATACACACCTATATTCAAGCCTTCAAGCCGAGAGCAACAGCCTTCAGATGAGTCGCGGAATGACGATTCCTTCCGTATAAGCAGAGATAACATATCAAGGCAGAGTTTTAGCACACCAGAACCCAAGGAGCCCGTGCAACGAGATACTAATGCCTCTATGGACCGACTAAAGAAGTCCAGTGCGCGATTTTCATCAGAGCCGTCCCCCGGCTACAGCAATGTTGCAAAGGGCAAAGATAGAGACAAGGCAAAGAGACGTCAGCAGTTTGCATACGACATAGAAGAGGAAGAGGCGGCTCGCGAGGAGGCTCGGAAACGCACTGAATTGAAGAAGCAGCGGAAACGCGAAAAAGCGGCGCGAAAGCCTGTTCCGATAATGCTACCAGAATTCATTTCGGTATCCAATTTAGCAATTGCGCTGAGAGTCCGACAGGAGGATTTCATTGAGAAAATGACGGAGCTGGGTTTCGAAGAAACAAACCATGACTTTATCATGAACGCTGAAAATGCAGGCCTCATTGCGATGGAATACAACTATGAGCCAATCATTGACCGAGGCGAGTCTGAAAATCTGACAGCGAGAGCCCCCGCTCCCGATCCGTCTATACTACCACAACGACCCCCTGTAGTCACAATTATGGGCCACGTCGATCATGGAAAGACGACCATCCTCGATTACCTACGCAAATCATCCGTTGCCGCAACCGAACATGGCGGGATTACTCAACACATTGGTGCCTTCTCCGTACCGATGCCCTCGGGCAAAACCATAACTTTTCTCGATACACCAGGTCACGCTGCATTTTTGAGCATGCGTCAACGAGGTGCCAACGTTACAGATATCGTTATATTGGTGGTTGCAGCGGATGATAGTGTCAAGCCTCAAACTATCGAAGCTATCAATCACGCCAAAACAGCCAAGGTCCCTATTATAGTCGCTATCAACAAGGTTGACAAAGAGGAAGCCAACATCGAGCGAGTCAAGCAAGATCTTTCGAGACATGGGGTTGATGTTGAGGATTTCGGTGGCGATACACAGGTTGTTTGTGTCAGTGGTAAAACCGGCCAAGGCATGGGTGAGCTTGAAGAAGCTGCTGTAGCGCTGTCCGATATTCTAGACATGAGAGCTGAAAAAGACGGCGAGGCCGAGGGGACTGTCATTGAAGCAAGTATCAAGTCTATGGGCAAAGTAGCGACTGTGCTGGTCAGACGAGGCACTATGCGTCCCGGTGACTTCATCGTTGCAGGCCAGACCTGGGCCCGAATCCGATGTCTCCGCAACGAAGCTGGCATTGACATCGAGGAAGCTGGTCCGGGAACGCCGGTGGAAATCGATGGCTGGCGTGAACAACCAGTTGCTGGTGATGAGGTGCTTCAAGCTCCTGACGAAGCGAAGGCCAAATCCGTTGTCGACTATCGGCTCGAAAGGGAGGAGCGAGAGAGGATGGCTGGTGACATGGAAGCTATCAATGAGAGCCGCAAAGCCGAACAAGACAAACGTGAGCAAGAAAGACTAGAAGCTCGTGCTAAAAAAGAAGGAGTTGTACTTGAAATGCCAGAGCAAGAGGTTGGTGGACCGAAACAAGTCTATTTCATCCTCAAGGGCGACGTTAGTGGTTCGGTCGAGGCTGTCATCGACAGCATTGCGCAACTTGGTAATAAGGAGGTTCAGCCACATATCCTCCGTTCTGGTGTCGGTCAACTGTCGGAATTCGACATTGATCACGCCGCTGTTGCTAAAGGGCATCTCATCAATTTCAACACGGAGGTGGATCCACATATTCTAAAGGCCGCCGAACAAGCCAAAGTCAACATTCTTGATCACAACATCATTTATCGCCTTGTGGATGATGTCAAAGCCGAACTTAGCAAGCATCTCCCGCCGTTGATCACACAAAGGGTACTGGGCGAGGCGGACATTGCGGAGGTTTTCTCAATTACGGTCAAGGGACGCAAACTGAAGAATGTTGCCGGATGTAAGGTCAGGAACGGGACTATTGGCAAGAATGCTAAAGTCAGGGTGATGCGGAATGGCGAGAAGGTATTTGATGGTATGTGCTTCCTTCCTCTCTTGATATGACGACCCTAACTTAGAGTTGCGTAGGCAACCTTGCTTCGCTCAAAAACGTCAAGAAAGACGTGACAGAGATGAAGAAAGGCAGCGAGTGCGGTATGGGATTTGACGGCTGGTTTGATTTCCAAGTTGGAGATCAGATCCAGGCTTATGAGCAGAACGAAGAGAAGAGATATTTGTGATATATCTTAGATTTCTCTTCCCCCTCTGCCAGGACCGGCCCTCTGTTGATCATTCCTATATTGGGAGATTGGTTATCTTCAAGGAGATATGGAAAGATGTTCGCTGTACATATAAAGTTTGCCGCATAGATGGCGTATACAGGCAGCATATAAGGGGTGCGCATGCTAAGCTGTTAATACTCACCTGACTAAGTCCGGGTACACTGTATAATATTGTTATATGATAGAATTTTACCTTTTCACCACTCAGTATATATCCCACAATGTAATACACGCGGCGCAGTGCCAGTGCTCTCTCGAATTAGCAGGGTGAATAGTGCGTGGGTTGCGGAGCTGGATTTCCTAGAGACAAGATATGATGAGATAAAGATATAATACAGAAAAGGAGTATATCGATAACGTGTCACGTGTCACGCCCTCCCTTTGACTGATATTACATAATCATTTAATCCTTCACTCACTAGACTTACGTGCCGTATCTCTTATAAATCTAGACATATTTTTCTACATAGGCCATCTCTCGGTATAAAAGTTGTCTCAGCCTCTTTATATTTATCCCGAAATTTCATTATCGATCAAAGATGAGCTCGTTCTCCCACACAGGCCCACACATTGTCCGTCTCGACGGCCATATATCACCAGTGCCTCATTTTCCCCCAACCTTCACCCACACATACACCTCCTACGATCGCACACCACCAGACACCCAAACTATAATTTCTCGTCTGGCTGACGCCAATGTAGCTATTACTACTCGAGTGCCCATCTCGGCAGAGACAATCGCAATCTGTGCCAAGAGGAAGCTGAAACTGATCGCTGTGCATGCTATTGGCTATGATATGGTCGATTTGAAGGCGTGTAAAGAGCATGGCATCAAGGTTTGCAATGTGCCGGCAGCGAGTAATGAGGCTGTGGCGGAGCATGCCATTGCCTTGTTTTTTGCTGTTAGAAGGAGAGTTGTCGGTATGTCGGTTTGGCAATTCTTAGACTTTTGTGTTGTGTTTTGGACAGTTCTCTTCTGGAAGTGTCTGGAGTTATGATGTATCAAAAAGTTTTGACAGTTATAAGATTTTGCAGTTATATGTTTTTGGCTGTTAGTAGTGTTGGTTGACTTCGCGGATGAATATGCGAATACAAATGTGTTGTGACTTTTTTACCCCTATCCACGGAGAGGGGTTTTCCCAAGGGGTAGAAAAACGGCCTCGCTCTCAATTCCTGTCCCTAGATCCAAGGCATCTACTAGAATATGCAGACTTATTAGAGCTATAAATTAATTGCGAGACTAGTGATCAGTATTTGAGAAGCAATGTTTCCTTGCCGTACGTTCTAGGAAACTAAATACAATTGCTTTTTGAGGGAGCGGGAAATCTGCCTTAGTGAGATTATAGACTCTCTTGTTTATCTTAATTATTTATAGTCCGTTCCTACGATTTTTAATTCATGTTTTCTAGCGCATCTAGGCCTCCTTATCCGAGAAAGAAGTTGACTTGTCTGCACCGACTAACCTAGTCAATAATAGACATGCACAACCTCGTTATCAACACTAATGAGTGGGCCGAGAAAGGGAGCCTAGCTTCACACTTTGATGGGGTGCCGGTAACATGCAGACAGGAAGTCGTGGGCATCATTGGAGTCGGGGAATTAGGTTCGTCTCCAGATTTCATCGCTTGCCTATCAAAGAGACCAACCAAGCAAGCACTATCTGCTTAATCTTTGTACTACTTTGCTACTTCACATGGCTCACTTTCAAGCAGGTAACCGCGTGGCCAATATCTTCCGCTCCCTCAATAGCACTGTCCTTCTCTCCGAACGCCCCTCCTGTCCACCAGCCTCCACTCGCCCAGGCCGTACTCCATTCGTCACCGTCCTCGCGGAGTCTACCGTTATAATTATCACCGTCCCACTCGCACCCACGACCCTCAATTTAATCTCCACCACCGAACTGTCTCTCATGAAACCTGACGCCGTCCTTATAAACGTCGCTCGCGGTGGCATCGTTGACGAAGTAGCTCTAGTCAAAGCATTATGGAACAGGAAGATCGCGGCCGCGGCAACAGATGTATTTGTTGAGGAGCCGGCGGTGAGTGAGAATAGTGTGCTTATTAAGGCAGCGAAGGAGGATGCGTTGAAGGGAAGACTGGTGTTGAGTCCGCATTTGGCATGGTTTGCTAGGAGTAGCGTCGAAAAGTTGCGAGTGACAACGGCGACAAATATAGAAGTTTGGGCAAGGGGCGGGGATGAAGGGTGGAATATGGTAGACTTGGAGTAGCTTTTATAGATGGGTTTAGACTATGGTTATAGAAAGAGACGAGGAGGGTCCTGTATACACCGATAGCTCTCGACCCAGCTAGCATGGGCGTCCGTGGCTGTTGCGGTCAGTATTGTTTATACAGTTTTAAAAGAAGAAATTAGTGCATGCTTCAGGTGCCTTTGGGAATTCGTCTCCCCATATTGACAATATCCTAGAAACCGTCACTTGGACATCTCCAACTCTTAGTTACATTTCATGGAATGGATCTTCTAGCTATTCTAGGCCCCACAATAGAAATATATGTTTCGGAAACAGAAGTAGGTTTTAGGGCCACAAATGCCTGCTGGTTTTAAGGAAGGGAGGCGGCGCAGCTATTGTTATTTTGGCTATTCGGTTCCTTTTATAATTTCCCTCCTGTCGAATAAGAACTAATAACTCCTGCCCTAGTCTCACGTTAAGCGTTAATGGATTTCTATGTTATGGCAACTCGGATTACTTGGTCAAGTGGTGAAAAATCAATCGCCCCATATACACTCAATTGTCATTCCAAGGATATAATATAAATCCAGTTACTAACATCTCACTACCCACTAGCAGGGAAATTTATTGCCCTCAATAAATTGCCTTTCAATATGCATATCAAAACTAGTGTCCATTCATTATAGAGAGGCATAAATAATTCATTACATATCCGTCAATTTCATTATTCGTTAATAGCAATAAAAAGGATGAGTTTAGCAACAGAGTCATGACATAGAACCATCCATCTCCCAGTCGCAGTAGACCATCCCTCCAGCTCAATTCCAAAACAGCCGCAATCACATGAGGAAAAACGTTAAACAATAATTCATCGTGGAACTTCCAGAACGGCACGTAGACAAATATTCCGGACTTGAATCGCCAAATAAAAACAAACGACTACCTTACCTTCCATAGCAATTGATCTTGCATAACGTATATATAAGCGGATATGGGCCCGCTAATAAGCTACTCTCGCCCACCCAGTACCTGTCTGTTCCACCTCAGCTGCTTCAAACTTGAGACTTATTACTAGTAAGGCTGCGAGGTGTCCCCAATTCCTTAAGTAGGACTTCTCATGTCCTGTCAAGGTATCACATGTTGGTCGTGGAAGAAATTAGTACTCCTGCGGAAGACGTATCTTGTTATTCCACGCGGTTTCTGAATCCATCACGAAGGTCTTGTAAGAGCTGGGAGCGAGCTTGCCGATGAATTTGACCTTTACGTTATGCTCCACTGTGTAATATTTGGCGTAATTGATTCGGGATGCGGGATCTAACTTCTCACGAGGGGTCTTTGGTATCATTTGAATGGGCCGTTTTTCGAGAGGGCTCTCTCCTGGGAGCGGTTGGGGGGGCGAGTCTCCGGTGTAAATCATCGCATGCTCTTCGCGTTTAACACCCAGCTTGTTTGTGGCTTGGCGTTGGTAGGTGAGTATCGGCCTGCAATAATACATGTCAGAGTCACACCTTTACTTCGTATGGTGGCCGAGTGGGTAGATACTAACAAGCATTGGCAGTGACCGTGGTCATTAGCAATTATCACAAAGCGTCGGGTTGTCGTATATACTTGTTCGCCAAGTTTGGTTTCGACTACTTCTTCGGTGATTTGCGTTGCATTGGAGTAATTGCCACCCATCGGCTCCGACCAGAGGACTTTGATCACCTACACAAAATGGTCAGAGCGCTTTCAAAACATCTCAATGGAGACATGTACCTGGCCAGGTTCGAAGCGTTTGGAATGATGGATCCTGAAGCCTGTGGCAGTTTAGTAGAGGCTAATACAAAGGTGTGAGAATAATCCTGGCATACTAGGATCGAGCCTCTCCTCCGATCCTTGGGTGCCTTTAATGACCCGATCGGCTTTTGCTTTCAATGCTCCACTTTTACTGCTTTCGCCTGCTTCTGACGGTTGCTCACGGCCTATACCATCTCAGCATTGAATTCAAAGCTCGATGATAACATACCGCTGCTTGAAACCGGATTGGTGCCAGATAATCCTGCACTTTTCGATGTAGATTGGTACCAGGGGCCGGTTGCCTTTGGGGTAGTTGAATAACTGCTGAAAGATCCCATTCCTGTCTCGGAGCCGCCCTCGTAGTATGCGGCTGAGCTACCTTGTAGCCATCATGGTCAGCATGGATTTATCCCCATGGCAGTGAGAGCTTTGCTATACCAGATACCGTAGTTCCCATCCCACCATAGTTGATACCGTAATTGACGGTTTTTGCTGAAGACGAGTATGAATAAATACCGCTGTTGGTATTGATGGGTATTGGTTGGGACCCTGGGTAGCCTGTGATTATATGAATTAGCTCGGGACATTCGGACTGGGGCTAGCAACTACTAATCACCTAGAGTTGACGAACTTGACGTGTACGGGATAGTAGACAAACTTCCTTGAGACGATGACGAACCCGAAGCCTGTCCGGATAAGGTGGTGTTTCCTAGCTTGCTTGACAACGCTTCAACTGATTCCCCGGCCTGATCCGGTACTGCATATTTATAATTTGAAGAGTCGCCACCCGCGGCACTGCCAGAAGTAGTACTTTGGGACGATGATTCGGATGGAATAGTCCTCGGGGCGCTCTCATCCCACTTGTATTCGCCTGTATTGCTTACTTCGGTCAGGGGGTCCTATACAATAGATGTTGAAAAGAAATAAGGGAGGCATGCTTACGCTTTCCATTCACGTCCCTGCTCTGGTAGTAGCGCATACTGGTCTGGTCCAAACTCCATTCGGACCATTCCTCTGAAGGGGCCTTCTCCCTGGACTTGTGGTGGTGCTTTTTAGAATGTCTTGAAGACATGGTTTCTTCCGTAGCAGCAGTCACGGGGTTTGGCTGATCAAGTTTCCGCTCCACAGGCGGGATAAGTGCCTATTCCCACAGAGCGATCCATAGTGGCATAGAGGCCTGCGGCTGCTATCAAATAGCCATGTAGGGCAGAGCCGCAAGAGGATTTATTTAGCTGTTGGGGGGAAGACGCTGCACACGTGTGACATATCCGTTTGAAGCATCCGCAACCCGCATATCTCGAGCCCACCACCTCAGAAAGTCTGGCTGGTGAAGCTATTCATGATTGGTGTTTGCTGACGAGAATTTATGCAATGGAGCGGCAGCCGACCAGCGGGCAAGGCCGTGTTGTTCTCGGAAATCATCAACTCCCCCACGTCCAATCTGCTGGATCCTTGACCATATCAGCGGCTGGTCTTGCCGCCTGAAGGGAGGGCTCTTTTTCGTCCAAACAGCCAAGCTGCCCTATGTTCTGCGAGGCTTGGAGCTTGGAAGGGCCCAAAAGAAGGGCGGACTAGCGAAGCCGTGGCGTATAAGAGTCCTCCCTGGTTTCTCTGTCGTGGGATCACCTCCTTCAAAGACTTTCCCTCCAACATGAGAAGGCAAAGGAGCACCGCAGGAATGCCGCTCTTCCGGAAAGTCCTCCATGAATCTTCGTACGACACGCCGTTTGTGTCACCACGCGTTCTTCATTCCACGCTGACAGCAAGATACACCACGGGGCTCGATAGGCGCGGCGCAGATGGCGGGCTTGTATTTGTGGAAATGGACACACGATGGTGCGGGAGCAAATAAGGCAACAGGGACAGAGGCTACTACAAAGTCATCGATGGCGACAGCATCAACGGAGTCGAGCACTGAAGCGAACCAGACCGGCTCGGTTGAGGCAGACGAAGTCGAGAGTATGCCACACGGTTTGGAGCTGAACTCTACGAATCTAGAGACGGGCTGGGAGCCTATTCATCAACCGCGGGTCGGGCAGTTTGGGGACCAGCAAAAGCAACAGCAACAACATCACCAATTCAACAACCCCAAGACAGAGAGAGATGTCGAAGCGGTGAAAGCGACGAGAGAACCGGGACCACCACTGCCAACGCCACCAGCAGCCGGCCAACACCTGCAGCAACCACCATCGCCAAGGACTCATATGATCGCCTTGCAGGAAGGCAATCCGCATGGTCGTCCGGCGCTGTCCTCTCTCGCAGGGCCATTGGAGCGATATTTGGCTCAAGATGACATGAACGACACAGAGTACGATGCTGCCCGGATAGAACAGGACAGGAGGAGACTGCGAGCTTTCCGGCCCAGCGTCTTTAGGAAAAGGGCGCAGGTTCAAGCGAAGCGTAAGGAGCTCCGAGAAAAGGCAGAGGCTAAGACTTTGGCAGAACAATCGTTCATGAAGTTTGTGAGAGAGAATATTGTTGTTCCCGCATCCCTCTCACCCAGCCCCGTTCCGACGTCTAAAAGCCCAGTCCGAGGCCTAGAGTATTACTATGGGAAGCTCCAGGCTAGTCAAGACGAGTATGGCCCATCAGAATATGAGTGTTATAAACTCGAGGAGTCCCTTGACGACCTGGAATTTGAGCTGGCTCAAATTGAGGGTCGTTTGTACAACTACCCACCCGAGGATTTCGGAGCACCTGGTTCTAAAAGCGCCCTACCCCCTCAAAGCAAGAGCTCGCCATCCAGTATATCTATCCTGGACTTCTCTTTTGGAGACCCGCAAGATTACCACCCTCTTCACGCCAGCTATCTCGAACGACTCGGCGATCTAGATCTGGCTAGGGAGAGATATAACAACACAAGGCACGAGCGAGAGAGTCTGGTTTTGGAGCAAGAGTTGAAAGCACGCGTCGGCCTTGAGTTTGACGAAGACTTAAAAAGATTTCTGGCAGAGCTACCTCTTCGGGAGGCCGCTCTGCAAACCGAGATAGCTGGGATTGAGGCAAATATTGATCGGTTGAGAGTCCAATGTCTCGACGAAGGCATCGATGTTGACGAACCCAACAATAACAGCGTTTCCAACGATGGCAGCAGTGACTACGCAGCTGTGGATAGTAAGACTGTCCCTACCCAACACCTACAAAGTGACATCAGTCATAGTATGTTCCCTCTACTACTTCCAGATTCCGATGAAAAGAAGGCCAAACTCGAAGTCCTATTTACGGAGTTTGATGAAGCCAATAAAGGCCATAGAATCAATCGCTGGCTTCTTTATAAGCTTCAGACTTCCCCTCTGGAGGTCGATCTCCTCGCACGAGTTTTTCTTCACGTTGTCAATGTTTTTGACTTCAGCAAATGGCCCACTAATATCCGTGATTGGCAGCTCAGCGTGTTGTCGATGTGGGAAAAGGACGGAGCCAATATACCACCTGAAGCCTTCAAATATACACAAACAACCAGTTTTGCAACACATCCATCGGCCGACTCCCCAACGGCACAACGCAACCATAGGACGGTGAAGTCGCTGCAGATCTCAGATATACCTAGTAACCCAAAAACATCGCGGAAGATCAGAAGCGCTCCTAGCTCAGTCGATGCCAGGAGAATTACGCTGAGCGGCCCTGAAGTCAGTAGTTTTATGCTAAACTGATTTGTGTTAGGGTTCGAGACAGGAGGGTATACCGGTTCTGCGTTTGGAGTTACAGGCTTCACGAACTACTAGACTATAGACTTCCCCTCTCACTTTACATTCTTCTTATTTTTAGCATTCCTCGTATCTCGTTGCTTGGATAGACATTGGCATACCCTTAGTATACTAGCCTAACTTCTATGGCGCATTTTTCTCTGTCTGCCATTTCCTTGCCTTGCGGAGTATAGCGTTAGTGCAACCGCGCAACTTCCTCCGCCCCTGTTGAACCCATACACCGGCTTCCCGCTGCAAGTTCAAGGAACAATCTCACATGCGTTTTCGTTTACTTGTGTCGAGTTATTAAAGCAGCGAGATCACCTCGGAATTGAGTCACCCGTAACGAATCATCACAGCCCGGGCCAACCGCATATATACCAGGTCCAAGCAGACATCGGAATTCAGGCTCCATACAAGAGCAGCAAGAACCCGATAGGAAGGGAAGCCATCCTCCGGGCAGCCATGTAGTAGCAAGCTGTCAGAGATATCGCCCAATCGCATTTGTGCAACCACACTCCAACCAGAAAACTTGGTCTCACCGCTGCAATTTTTGGGCTGTTTTTAGCCAATGATGTGCTTTAAATCTCGCATTTTCCCACAATTGGGTAGATATGGCTTCTCGTGCACCCCCCAAATAAGCAAACATCTTGTCTTATCACACTCTTCCTTGGCGTCACGCTGTGTAACCCACACGTACGGGTAGCGGGCCGTCTAATTGCTGAAGATTGAGGCAGACTGAGCGACTGGAGAGCACCAGTCGGGTTTGCTGGGGATCGATTTTGTTGTGCAGGTGTCGGCCAATTTACTTCGTAACTTATATAGCTTCGTTCCATAGTATGCAGCCCAATGTGCGTTGTGTGGCTTTGGTGCTACATATTATTCTACCAAATTATATGGTTTTGTCGAATAGTATATGATTCCAATTTAATTACTTTGCCCCCCCCCCCCCGGTGACAGTGCTGCATATCCTCTGTTGATCGAGCACCTTCAATTTATGTTCGTTGCTTATAAAAGTTGAACTAGCAAGCTATTAGGCCAGGCGCTGGCTTGGTGTGTTGCACCCGACGCTTGAACTGGCGCAGACCAGGCCTTATGATGCAAGCGATACCAAAACCGCGTCTTCCCAGACGAGAGTGCGCTCATTCCCATCTCTAGTATCCGTTATACCATGCAGCTTCTCAAGACTCTTGGTAGCACAAGACCGCCCACCCCTAAAATGTCGAATTCCATACTTTACCCTAGACCTCGTATAGGAGTTTTCGCTAAGAAGATCTTTACCAAGAGACTACATTTCGGGAACGAAGTATATGTTCGATCTTACCTAAGGTATAGGTACTATGTTGCTCGCCTAGTTGCCCATCACACAGCCGTCGATGTCAACCGACACCACAAAATATTAGGATAACATTGCGAGGACCGGCTCCTGCGATGAGGTTCTTAATGTCGACCAAATATATTTCTTATTGTTGCCCTAGTTCCCGCCGCTTGCGCCTGGTCAACATCGGAAGATACGAAGGCGTAATAAGTCTTCTGCGTATCCAGAACAGGAATAATATTTTCCTATTCTCGGCAATCTTGGCGCGGGGCCTTCATGCTATACACAGATCAGAAATAATTCTCCACAATGCTGGCGGGAGGTGCAGGAGGGTTTAGACCGAGAAGGCCCAGGCTATGACCTTCGCGAGTTCAAGAAGTTTGAACCCGCTACCGGAGAATATATCAAGATATCCATGCCATTAAAGCTGGGAAGTTCTGGCCCCAATATAATAAGACCTCTGTTTCAAATGTAAGACCGTGAATTTTCCCGCACTACATTACTCTTCGTCTCTGTCAAGCATGTACAAGTGACAATTACGGCTTTGTGGTTATTAGCTGTAAAATATCAGACCGCATCTTTGAAAGACAATGCTTCTTCCAACTAGGCAGGTTTATCGAGGGTGTTGACCTTAGAGGGTTTGCGGATGATCAAGGGTACTTTAGAACCTGATACTAAGGAGAAGTGTGTTGGAGCGCTCAACGGAAGCCATTCTGAGACCTTGGTCTTTTTTTGGCCGAAATAAACCTGGAAATTAGAAAGCCGGAGAGTTTTCGAACGAAGATGTTGGCAGGTGGCATTTATGATCAGGTTCAATAGCTTCAAGGAAATGATATGGCTATGCCCTGTTACCTGGCAATCAATTAACTTGAGCGGACGTCTAGAACCTTATTTATGGTTCAGAATCACAGCGTATGTGATTTACTCGTTTTCCCGCTTAAATGCCGAACCCATTGAAGTGCCGAAAATTACCCGCCAATTTTTACCCCCCTAACCTCCACTATAAACAATAATAACTTCACCAATACATAATAATTAATTATCAAATCAATTATAGAGGTTAATAAGAGTCTATATAATAAGTGCGTATATATATATAATTAATCAAATCGCTGTAGTAGTCGGATTTGTCGTCCGTGGCGGCCAAGTCGCACAGGGAGGTCAACTACCCTACCTATCTCTGTACTCGACTCAATGCTTACATCACCACCTTTTTCTACTACTTCCTGGGCTTTAGCAGCTTCCAAGGACTTGGATCCCGGTTTTTGAGCCTTTTCAGCTGTGTTTTTAGCCCTGGACCCGAGCTGGAAGTCCTGACTTACTGCCTTGGCTTGAGCCTGAGCAGTACGCCTACGCTCTCTCTCATCTTTTGCCTCTTTTCGACTTATCTCTTTTTGTAAAGCTTCCTCCACCTGCCTAGCCTTTTTTGCCCTCTTATTCTCTGCCTTTTCAGCTTGTTCAGCTTGTTCCTGTTCCTCCTTGGCCCTGGCACGTGCCTTGGCAGCTAGGATCTCCTCTGTAGAAAAGAATTGAGCTCCCCCAGTTGCTACACCACTCAAATCAAGCCTTTTCCCACGTGAGCGCTTTCTCTTTTCATTCTTTAAAGACTCGATTAATCTATAGATCATATAGTTATTAACTGAGTCCCTAGCAGCTAGCTCAAGATTAGCTTTAAATAGCTTTTTAATAAAGTAGGTAGAAGCGTTCTTATTAAACTCGTGCTGGAACCTCCTAAAGGACTTTGCCGACTTTGGTGTTTTAAGCACTTTGGCAAGGGACTCCTGCTCCTGCTCCTGATCCTGATCCTGATTAAGATCGGTTTCTTTCTCCTGATCTAGTCGTCGTAAAGTGCCTAAAACAACCTCAGGGTCATATGGAAATATACTAGTGTCTTTCCAGGCAGCTTGCATATTCGATTCGGTAAAGGACTTCATCCACGCCTTATAAAAGACCTCCCAGAAGTCTCTTTTTGACATACTCATGAACCCAAGACAACCTATCACTTTATCATTGAGGAAAATCCTATACGCTGTTCCAAGTGGAGAAAATACACTGACGTCAAGGAGCTGGAGCTTGTGAGTTGTATGTGGAGGTAGTACTATTACAACAATTCGGTGCCGAATACAGTACTCCAGGAACTCCATATTGACGTAGCTAGAGTGGCCATCTACTAATAGCATGCGTTTAGCCCGTCCAGCTCTCTGACGAGTCCCTAGCTCAAAGACCCTAGTCAACTAACCCATCCCAAAGGAGTTATCACTCCACCTATTAGTTGAAGATCCAAAAAAGGCTTTATCCTCAGATATAAGAGTATCTGTCCATGAGTCCTGAAAGTCGAAATTAGATCCCTTATAAATGAGGCAAGGTGGGAGACACTTCCCAGTAGCAGAGATACAGGCCAGGAGAGAAATAAACTCCCTACACCTATCCTGATTAGCTGACCGGATCCGGGCTTTTTCATATACCTGCCTGGTCATAATTCGACGGTAGATCTTGCCAACTCCAATAAGAAATCCCTTCTCATCCCAATTGTATAGGTTGTCCGCTGTAATATTATGTTCTTCCATTTTGTCGTAGAGCTAAATAAGTTATTAGTAATAACACTAAAACAAGAAGTATATGTAACGTACTAACTTGAAAAAGAACTCAAATAAAGGCAGATACTCTGCCTTCCGTCTCTGATTGTCTATATTACGTAAATAGACACTTTTGAGCTCGTCGCGGTGCCTCCTAACAAAAGTACTAGCCCAGTTCTTATTGACGTAATCTTTGATAATCTCCTCAGCCAGATTCCTGACTATTCTAGGAGTTGGAGGCATTCCACGATTAGTCAACTAGTGGATACGATCAATTAGGACTCTCTCTTACTCGTTGGTAAGCTTTTGATACTTTTCAGACTAGTAATCAGCCCTGGAGGTAGTCTGCTTTTTGAAGCGTCGTCGCAGAGTGGATTCGACGATACCGTAGCGTTGTGCGGTGGCATTTATATTTAGATGCTCCTGACTTTCAAGATCAGCCAGGGCATCCTGAAGTATCGATTCGCGCTCCATTTTTGGTGGGAAGTGATGCCGGGTAATGTATTTTTTAGTATTATTAGTGGGGTAGGAGGGGAATGGATCTTCGCTTAAATCTTCGGCATTTCATCGGGTTCGGCATTTAAGCGGGAAAACGAGTATATCAAGAGAGTCTATCTTGTTAATATACCTCCCGCACAATCGCGAGTTCGCTATTCGGGAATAGTAGGGAATACGGAGTACTGCCTAACATTCGCTCAAACATATCCCCGTATCAGCCATCACTCCCAGCGTCTTCTTCCACATCCGCAATAATCCAAGCATGTCCTTCAACAGCAGCCCTCCGGGGTCTCTGAGAGCTAGTTTCTCCCAGGCGGTCCAATAATCCTGCTTTGGTTTTACAAGTGTGGCCATCCTAAAGATTGGTTATACTTTCAGCAGAAACCCGTACGAGACAAAGCACAACCACCAGTATTGAGTATTGACAAGGAAAATATATCCAGTATTTATATCAACAGAACAACATTATAAATCCAAAAAGAGATAGTAAGGATAACAATTTCGTAGGAAGGGCCTAAAACTTGTCATTATTATAGATAATAGTAGATGGTGAAGCGGCTCGCCGATTAAGCGCGAGACAATGACGACGAGAATGATTAGTGGCATAAATCAACTTGAAGGTAGGAATATAAAACAGGTTGGAAGAAGATATATATTCAAACCCGAAGCGAACCACCAATGGGCGCCCGACTCTGTGCTGTGCTGGACTACCAAGGCAAATAGAGCCTTAGCATGACAGATAAACCAAGCTGCTGAGTCTCATTGTTGACCAACCCAATCAAGCATGCGGGATACAAATAAATTCTGTGAATATATACCAATTCAAGTTTACCAACATGAATTAGGTGCAATGGTTTGTTGAAGATGTACGATATCTTGAAACATACATATGGTAGGTGTATGGGAGTATCACTAAACTCAACTTAAGAACATGAAAGGTTTGGGGCGCTAATCATTCAATATATCATGATATATAGCGGGATATTGGCTAAACTCCATATGGGAGTGGCGGCAAATGTTGACACATCACCCCAATCGTTTCGTCCACATCCAACAGCCTACTATATCCATGTCTTTTGCTCCATTTCAACCACCTTCGATAGCCTACTAATAAACTCATGATCTCCGCCTATTACCTCGCCTTCCAGCTCTCTCGGCTCTTGATCGTCGATGCCAAGTCCTATTTCAATATTCCCCTGCACTGTAGGGCCCACAGGTAGTGGCGGAGAAAAGAGTTTAACCGAAGAGCGGGCCTCTGTGGGAGACATAATAGAGTGCTTTGGAGAGCTGGACTTTGGTATATATGTAAGTCTAGATTTACTTGGTGACGCTCGAATAGATTTTGGTTTTGTCGACGGACCTCCTGTGGAAGGCCGAGAAGCTCGTGGAGGCGAGGGCAAAGGTTTGGAGTGTATATGGTGAGAGGGAGACAAGGGCGGCGGAGATGGGGCTGGCGGAACAGCACTTGGTAAGTTCGATTTCGGGGCCAGAGATGGGTTCGTGGCCTGATCGGGAGCAGTTGGCGGGGTATTGGGGGTATCGGAGCGTGTCATATGACGTGACTGCCGTAACGTTGGCTGAGATGCGGAAGCTCGAGGGCGGCGATGGCGCTTGTTGCAGTGGTCAACCTTTTGTTGGAGCATTGCGTTATGCTCTCTTAAGGCGTTGACAGTTTGTTCAGCAAGAATGGCTCGTGAAAGCAGCTTCCGATTGTCACCTTCGATTGCTGCTATGGTTTGGTCTATTAGTTTTATAGCGGAGCGTGACTAGGACCAATTAGTTAAGGGTGATTGAGTTACATGGAAAAAAGAGGCTGTACATACTGTAATGGTAGAACTCTGGAATTCCAACTGGGAACCTGCGAATGCTGATCTTTTTGAGAGCATCGGGACCGGCGAGGTGTCCTCCAGTTCAGCAACGAGGGAAGAAAACGTTGAGTTCGGTGACTGGGGCGGCTGACCATCCGCTATCTCGAATACAGTATCAACAGCGGACCGTGGAGGGGTTAGAACCTCAAAGAAAGGCTTTTCTGAATATCGGACTGAAGTGCTCCCGCTCTTGATCTTTGGGGTTCCTTGACTGTTGACGCCAGAAAGCAATCCGGCATCCTCACATGTAGCCCGTTGTTTGGGCGCCTCTGCCCTCTCACCCACTGCTGCCTCGACGACTGGATGAATAGGTTTTGAAGATGACAAAACCTCGGCCGAAGGAGTTTTTAAACGTCGAAGTGATCCAATGTCCCATTTCTTGCTCTTTGGGGGTTTTTGGATTATAATCCTGGACAGTGATTCGACATCCTTGGGTGGCGAGTTTGTCCGGTTTAGGTAGTCACTGGACTTCTCTGCCTTGTATTTCCCCTTCATGCTGGGGGCACTTTCTCGAGAAAATCGCCCTGGCTTCCACTGTGTAATGACATGGGAAACTGTAAGACGATGTGAAGTGGGCGGTTTCGTTTGATGTCCATTAGGGACATTCCCCATTTTGCAATCCATCTAAGCTACGTGTGACAATAAATACCAAAAAATAAGCAGTTGGTAGCAGAAGATAGAAAATCGGATTCTGAAATTGGAAGATGGTGAAAAAGAAGGTGGAAATGGTGGCTATGTATAAAATATACCAGAAACTGGCTCCCACAAGGCCCCAACGAGTTTTGATTATCAGCCAGTCACACTTAAGTAAGCAACGCAAACGTACAAGGGTAGATATACATATATGATGAAAATTGTCTCCGGGAGTCGCCGATCATCCCGTCTTTGGGGGTACTTAACACCAACTGTGAAGGGGTGAATATTATTTTAAGGTCGCGTAGAGATCATGATTCGCATCATCGCTGCAGGGACGTTCGCACAGAATGACCCAGAGCGATCCTTCTTCTTACCGATGGTAACACAGCCTAAGCCATAAGCTGGTGAACACTGTGATTCGGCAGCGCTGCGGGTCGAGAGCGGCCTACACGTACACCTTTCTACGAGGGGGCTGTTCACGAACTGTTAGTTGGAACTTTGCGCTACTTGGAAGCGCCAAAATATAGCACCAACAGCCGGGCATGCGGCCTAGGCTGGCCGTCACAATGGTGCTAAAGGGCGCAGCGAGCCACGCGTGTTAGAGATAGATTAATCAATGGGGACACATCGTCTCATGTTCTGCTGATCGTCCTAAAACATGGTATATACGCCTCATAGCTAGGTTGGCTTTGGGCTCCGTCGAGGTGTTCTGCAAACCCCGTTGGAACCACTGCACCGCCTATACTGTAAATGCTCGGGAGCGAGGAGCTTGTATTCATATATATAAAGTGCTTCCCTCCGCTCAGAGCCATGGTGGGCAGTTGGTAACGAAACTACGGAGTGAAGAGTTATTCAAGGAGCTTGGGGTGATATTGCTGTCAGTGCTGGTGGGGTCGATGTCGATGTTGGTTGTGTTGGTGTTGTGTTGGTGTTGGCAGCTTCCTGGTCCCGGCGGCTGTCGACTGCGGTCCAATTTTTATGCACCGGGACGTGCCGCGGCCCGCTGTTAGCGACTTACAGGCGGGCGGGTTTCCCGACAGTATGTCTGCCTTGCTCTGTAGGTAAGGGAGGTATTTTGCCTCAGGAACCTCTATTCCACAATTTTGTTGGCTGTTGGTCGCTGAGGTCATCTCCCGCCCACCAACACCAACCCCCCCATCTAGCATCAGATAGACAATCGCGCCTAGTCCCTGGCTAAGATGGAGTCGTCAAGGTCGTCAAGGTCGTCAAGGCACGAGAGAGACAGGAATCGGCACTACCGCTCCCGATCTGCTTCCTACGATTCCGGGGAAGAACGCCGTCGACAAAGACGCAGAAAGGAAGCCGAGCGCGAAACCGGTGATCGGCACGGCGATGAACAGCCTGATAGGAGGCACAAAGGACGCGATGATGGGAACGGAAAATACGACGACGGAGACAAGAAGCGGCGGAGTTCTCGTAGCCCTGCAGAGGGATCTTCTCGGCGAAGAAGAGATCGTTCCCCAGCATATCGAGGTCGTGGCGAAAGGGATACCAGGTCATCAAGGGAAGGCTCTGCGACACAGATGAGTCGAAAGAGCAAAGGCCCACTTCCATCTCAGGCCGCGTCATTTCAGCAGAACAGGGACCCTTCGAAGGAAGTTGCGGTTATTGGCGATAACGACGTGCCAGAAAAGCAGAAGCCAAACTTTGCCCCAACGGGTCTGCTAGCAGCAGCATCGAATTCAATCACCCAAGCTGATGGTACATCGATCGCTCTCAAGTACCACGAACCGCCTGAAGCTCGCAAGCCACCTGCGAAGGACGAATGGAAGCTCTTTGTATTCAAAGGCCCTGATATTCTTGAAACGATCGAATTGAGCACTAGGAGCTGTTGGTTAATTGGTCGAGAGCTGTCTGTGGTGGACATGGCCGCCGAACACCCGAGTATTAGCAAGCAACATGGAGTCATTCAGTTTCGATATATCGAGAAGAAGAACGAGTTTGGGGACAAGCTGGGCAAGGTCAAACCTTATCTCATCGACCTCGAATCCGCCAATGGCACATCACTTAATAAGGAGGAAATTCCTCCTAGCCGATACCTGGAGCTACGAGACAAGGACATGATCCAATTTGGACACAGTACGAGAGAGTACGTTTTGATGTTGTCCCCAAGGATTTGAGCAAATCGAGATGTTGCTCATATGACGATTGCCGCTGATCGTTTGGTGCGTTTGAACTCGAGCTCGAACTCCAATCTCAAAATTCCAGCTTCAGCACGAGATTCGTCGTTCAAAGGCGAAAAGGCGAAAAGGCGCCGAAGCCGGCATCGGTACCAAAATGTTTGCGGCTCTGGAAAGGCGGCGCTGTCTCATCAACAGCAGTCATCGGTGCTCGTGAGTCACTCTATCAAATGGTGGTTCGCCTTGATCTTCGTTTCCGCTTCTCGCCTCATCTGCTAGGCGTTATCCAAACTGATGGCCGCGTTGCAAGCGTCATTGAAGCCCCGGGCTGCTTTAGGCTACCGGAACGGGTTGAGCGACGAGTCTTCTCACCGAGTCTTCTCACCGAGTCTTCTGCTACCGATTTCCGCCGCGATATACTATTTGTCACAATGCAATCCGGCCTTTCCTAACAGCAGCCGCGGTCTAGAACAGGAATGCTCGTACCGGGCCAAGGCATGTATTGGAGTCTTTACTCGGGGCGTATAGCGGCTCCTGTCGTGGATGGAGGATCCGGTGCAAAATTATGACAAGACAGTGGCTTCCGGGATGGAAAGTTGAAACAAGCGTCTTGAATTCGCTCACCAGCCCGGACCAGGCTTAGTTGGCCTTGCGTGATATGTACTCCGTACCTGCGTCGTGACCACGCTTTGTTTCCCGCATTCAGCCCTATTGCCCTTCAGCTAGCTTGGTGTTTTTCTCGGGCGGAAGAGGTCGCAAATGCCGACCAGTAAGCATTGCCACCGTCCGGCCGGAAGAGGGACGATTCCTGCTAGGAGCCTCAAATACATCGCTGAGGAGGCTGAGGAGTTGGAAATGGGTGTTGCCTATTTTGCTCGGTATAGGCAGAAATATGAGCTATGATACTTTCGCGTGTGCCTTACTTACGAAGCACCCTGCTTGCTTGCTCTCATCCAGGTTGAAGGAAAGGAGGCTAAGCTTACGCGTGTCTACTCTGCTGTCTACTGTCTACTGTCTACTGTCAACTACTATCTACTACTGTCTGCTATCCACATTCTACCTCATCTCGTCCGCCTTCTTCGTGCGATGATTCAGATCCGGTGGAACGGTGGGTACGAATGGGGGAGTGGGTTCTGGAAGTCCCTGTTCCTATGATGATGTCTCCTACGTACAGTACTGTACGTTTTGTCTTACTACTCCTTCGTGTTTCGTGCTTCGCCCTCTGCCCAGTGCCCAGTGCCCACAGCCGCCCCCTATTTTTATATCCCCAATCCTGGCTGCGCATCGACGCCACCCGCCTGATCCTGGGTTTCTGGATCCGCTGAGGCTGTTGCCGGGGGGGTGTTCCCCGGATACGGAGCGCATATATACATGGGCTACTATTGTGCATTGTGTATGGCTATTCGCTGTGTCATCTGTACGAAGTTGCTGGTGTGTTCTTTTTGGTACAAGGCCCCCAGCGGGACATGCAGGCAGCTGAGCAGCCAAACTGCAAAGCTGCACTCCCCGTCACATGCCCTGTGACAACCCTCCCACTTCCCCCATTTCGCGCTAAAACCACCAACTGTCAACTATCAACATCCACATCAACACCGCCATCAACATCCACATCAACATCAACATCACCATCACCCAGTGTCAGCGGCAGCGGCAGCGGGCAGCGTCAAGACAATCAACTACCGCCGCCCTCTAGCCCTATCCTGCTGCCCCTCGGGCCACGCTCTACGCAGGTACCACTCCACGCCTTGCCCCAACCCTCCGATCCCTTGCAGCTTGACCGTTCGCGTGGCGCATTGCTGGGCGCCCAGGACCCTTTTCGCCGTGTGACTTGACTACCCACGTAACTACGAGTACCTACGACGACAGAGAGTCCCAAGTCCCAAGTCCCAAGTCCTCTTCGCCGCGTGCACATTCTTCACAACTACCTACAGTCAACCTGCGCACACCGAACCAAAGTGAAACTGGCACTCAACTCTCCCAGTCATCCTCGGGCGCACAACTGCTGGAGCTGGACCAACGTCGGAGACCATAGGCGTCAACGGTCTCCAGGCCAGCACCGCGGGGCGCATCGCATTACTCACTTGCCTGGTTACGTCGGTCCTTCCAGGGTCATGATCGCGTCCGACTCCGGATCTGGTCGAGTATATAAGAGCCTCTCCCAGGCCCTTGCTTGCGTCGTGTAAGATATCATCTGGAGACGATACAACAAAAGGATGGTGAGTTCCCCTTCCCTCCCTCCCCCCTCCCCCCAAAAGAGAAACGTTTTTGCTGGACAAGCATAAGCCGCCGTGCTATCTCCCTCGCATGGTCGAGGCTGATCCGAGTTTTGGTTAAATATAGGGCACCGCAATCGATCCAAAGGAAATCAAGCGTTTCGAACTCACGGAGGTGTACTCCCACCCCGACGCCAAAGTCGATATAGTACTCGTCCACGGTCTGAATGGAGATCCGCACAACAGTTGGACGTCCACACATGGCGTCTTCTGGCCCACGCAGCTACTACCTGTCACACTGAAGTCGGCGAAGGCCAGGATACTGGTATATGGATATAATGCAGACGTATATGCATTTGGGAAGGGGGGTGCTAGCTCCGATATGATCCATCAGCATGCGCAGACACTCCTAGCCAACCTGTCATTGGAGAGAAAGAGTGAAGAAGCTTCCGACCATCCGATTATATGGGTCGCCCATAGTCTAGGCGGTATATTAGTCAAAAGAGCGCTCAACCTCTCCGATGACCTGAAAGATAAATACGCAGATGATTTGCGCTCCATCGCAGTTTCTACCTACGGCATCATATTCCTGGGCACTCCCCACACTGGCGCGGACCCCGCGAAATGGGGCTTGATGCTGCAAGGGATGGTCAACGCCTTGATGCCGAAGAAGCTCGTACATACGGAGGATCAACTTGTTAAAACGCTCAAGACTAACAACGAGACCCTGCAGAATATCAACCTTAAATTTCTCGAAATATATCAGAAATTCAGGGTCTATATGGTCCACGAAGGGGTCCCCACCGATCTCAAGGGCACCAAAATTTTCATTGTCGACCAGCTTTCGGCCAGCCCACAGCTCCCTGGTGTGGTCTACTACGGTATCGAAGCTACGCACTCCGGCATGTGCAAATTCGAGAGCAAAAACTCCCCTGGGTACTCGAATATATCGGGTACTATCAAATCTTGGGTGGAGGAATCGCCAAGGGTCATCGAAGCCCGACGCGAATATGAAAAGCAGAAAAGATGGCGAGATAAAAATGACCAGGCGGCTGAACTCTTAGGGTACTATGTAAGTTGTCCCCGGTCACCGACTGCCAGAGTGTTCCGATATCTAGGACATGAACCGTCGGTGTCACAATATTTAGCACACTCGCTGACTATTTTAAGCCGACAACACCTCAGGCCTCAAATCCACATACACCTGGTACGTCGCGCGAGAATATCCAGCCTGCACAACCTTATGTCCAGCCGGGTCTAGTAGAAGCTTCACCGCGAACAAGGTTCGAATTTGAAGCAGCCGAGGTGGAGGAGATGGATACTGAGATGGCGGGCAATCGCTGAGTCCGTCCAATATCTGTATACTCCTACTACCAGAGCCTCTTAGAATTGCATGGAGTTAGTTGTACATGGTGCTTCAAGATCTCGATTGCTTATCCCATTTCCCAAAATATTAGCGGCAATAATTTCATGTAGCTTCTTTCATTTTCGGTGGCCGTCATCAGTAGCGGATGCGGGCTGATGCCTTGTGTAGATCCTGCGAACTCAGTAAATAATTCAACGATCATGGTCAAATCCACTGTCAGTATTGAACCTGACGAGAGCGAGCCAAATCAGTTCCTTATAAAGCCATCCGGATTTCGTCCTAACTCCCTCTTTGTTGGCCGACAAAAGGAGCTCTCAGATATGCACAAAATGCTATTTGATAAGAAGAGAAGGTCAGAAGGAACCTCGGCCATCTTGATTCAATGTTTACCGGGAGGTGGCAAGTCCCATCTAGCACGACAGTACGTATATGACCACAAAGACGACTATCCCGGAGGCATCTTCTGGCTGCGTGCCAAGAGTAAAACCGAGCTCGCTGCCGGCTTTTGGGACATTGCAAGAAAGGCAGTCCTAAAGGATACCGCTAACAAGGAGGATATTATTTCTCCTGAAGATCCACAGCAGTTCATCAAGATTGTTAAGAAATGGCTCAATCGCCGGCACGATTGGCTGATGGTTCTTGATGGCATCCACTTCGACGATTCTGAAGCTCTGCGGAAATTCATTCCGGACAGTACGAATACCAGTCTCATATACACCTCGACCGAGAAATCTGTGAGCAGAAGCCATCATTTCATGAACCCGCAGATTATCAGGCTTCCTTTACTCTCCGCGAGAGAGGCACAACAACTTTTGCTTTTGGAGTTGGACAAACGAGAGCCATTCTCGAAAGATGATCTGAAACACTCAATGGAGTTGGTTCAGGCTATGGGGCTATTGCCTGTTGTCATACACGCTGTGGCCCAACGGCTGAAATTGACAGATGAACCTCTGTCAAAATTTGCGAGGCGTTACGCGTCAGAGCCAAGATTGAGTGGCCTGGGTGCTTATAAAGCTGTTGTTGACCAATTAGAGAAACTTGATGCCCGCGAGGCTTTGAACCTCATTCATATCCTATGTTTCTACAGTCAACATATTCCGGTGGAGATGATATCACTTGGCCTGAAGGCACTTGATGTTCCCGTAAAAGCCTCCGATCCGTTAACAGGGCGCTCTCTCAACAACACTTTCCGGTATCTCAATATGTTCGCTCTCATGGATCGCAACGAGCCTGAACGTTCGATCCATTCGTCTCAAAGTTCAAGAAGCAGCCGAGATATGCTTGCTGACAATGTTGATGTTATTAGACTTCATGGTGTGGTTCAAGGCTTTTTCATGGATACGCTAAACGCTGACGAATCCCTCCCTCTATGGCTTGACCGAGCCGTCAAGGTCTTCTGCTTTTCATACAACAATGCAAATATCCGAATCACGCGCAAGACCCACGCTGGCCTTGTCGAAGACTACCGCCTTTACGAAATTCACGGACATCGTCTTCAACAACATCTAATGAAATACCAAAAGAGGTATCCTATGTTGACAGAGACGCATAGAAATCTAGACCAATGCCTGCAGGCAATACAGGTCGAGATTGACCGAAGGACTCCGGAGTCATCTCAAACTATTGCCGGAGGGAAGCCTGACGCGTTTCAAACCTCCATCTTCGATCGAACCAGCAGCTCCTCAGATACAGGGCCAGAAACTCCAAAATTATATGACAAGTATCCGCCTGGGATGTCACCATGGGGATTTGATGCCGACCAAGCTCAGCTTGAGTCCCCTTCAAGCCTAACCCATGACATGGAATACACCAAAATGAAACAGGATGCTGATGCTCATGCTCATGCTCATCGTGGCCTCCTTCATGTGCCTCCATCAGAAGATGACGGTTACGACAGCGATAGAGAAGGGTCTACGGCAATGACATTACAGCCATCACAGCGCACCATCCACCAAGAAACGCCACTCAGTCCAGACGGACCGTGGGTGGTTGTACAACCTCGTCGATCAAAGAAGTCCGAACGGCTCGATCTCCATCGGACAGTCAAGAGAATGGAGAAAGATCGATATCGAGATCGTGCGGGTTCCTTCCGTTCTCTAAACGCTATTGACCCTAGAGTCAGTCATGACCATGCTCATGGGTATCTACAGAAAACATTACCGCGCGATCGATCTCGTGGCCGAATATCGGGTCAATCCAGCGCAGAAGTCGCTCTGACGCATATCACTCATACCAGTCCGCCACCTCCCAGAGAAGGAGGCGCGATTCGAGATCAATCGTTGTCAGTGAGAAGGCCTTATATGCTGGCTGGGACTGCCTCGTATGCTTCTGCTGTCGCTGGTCCAACGAGCATTATCGGAATCCCTAGCCCTATTCGAAATGCAACGGAACCACCTGGCAGTTCAAGTGAAAGTATTTGCGGTTCGGCAGTTGCATCGCTGCAGAAGTTTCCTGTCGAGGTGGTTTCACAGGCTGCAACACCACGGCAATCTTATACACCGATGCCCCCATATCCCCCGTCCCCAGGTCTCTCATATCAGAATTCTTATCATCTTTCTGACGGTGCCTTGTCTGAGCTTGTGGGACATAGCGCCTTGGAACATGGGAACTACTTTCAACAGAATAACCAGGAAGCCGCCCAACTATCCGGAGATGCATATCCGTCAAAGATCTACCCTCGTATGACAGGACCCATTCCTGTTGAATCCTATACCGTGCTATCCACATCACCGCTGAAGCGCGGCCTTCCTCATGATTACCCAGCTTGGCATTCCCAGGGGTACTCAGAGAGCGCGCCTTCCACAACCCAAGTGCCAGACCACGGCCGGGACTCCCATTTCGCTGCCCTGTCTCCCCCAAATCCTCGCCCAACAACATACTATCCCGGGCGGCCTGAACTCTCCTTCTCCAGCGCACCGAACCAGCATGATGGAGGCTACACTTCCCAGCCCATGTCTCGAGATCCTTCAGGTCAAACAACCCACTCCGATCACTCCCATCATTCTGGCGGTGCGCCTTCCGAGAGGCGCAGAGGTAGTAGGAGACCAAGTGTGGCGGAGACGGAGCCTTTGCCTCAACTTCCGGTGTTTAGTCCGAGGAGTCGGCCAACCAGTTATGAGGTCTACGAGCGGATGACGGCGCATGACTTGAGGGATGGATCAAGGAGGGCCGAGCAGGAGAGGGCTCCAGGGTATCCTGTGAGGAAGACTCCAAGGCTTAGGTATGCGGGAGCTGCCACTGATGAGGGGATGGAGGGTTGGAATGGGGGTAATGAAAAGTACGCTTCTCCATCTTCTGTTAACTCCTCCCATCTGTTTGCAAATCTAACAGGCACAAACAGTCTCCCACCCCCACGACGGCATTTTAACCCCACTGTACCACCCTTCACACCCAGCCTCGCCCTTGCACTGCCAAAGGCTCCCTCTTCAACCCGTGCCCATTCGGCGTCGACCTCGCCTCATCACTCCAAATACCCATTCGCAATTCCTCAGCCTGGCGCCCCTCATTCTTACAGCGCCCCTCAATCTAACATCGCCTCAGCCTACCCTTCTCAACACTCCTCAGCAATACAATCAGGACACCCCTCCCCAAAAGCTCTACAAAGCTACAACCTCAACTCCAGCAACCAGCATCACACCAGCAATCTCCCCCATCCCAGCCCCTCACAATCACACCCCTTCGCTCTCTCTCGCTCCTTCACCAACCTCGAAGAGTTTGACCCCATTACCCCATTGCAGGGATATGCAGCGCCGGAAATGGGGCGTACTGGGAGCGGAGGGGTGATGGTGGGGAATGGCAAGGTTATTGAGTTTGGGGATTTTCCGGAGAAGGTTGATACGAGGGAGGCGAGGTTGAGGGTTGAGCGAAGTTGGGATGAGAGAGAGAGATCGGGACAAGGCAGGAGTGGAGTGGTCGGATTGGGGATTAGGGAGGTGAGAAGGTAGTGTTGTGTTTTTGTTTGTGCTTGAGGCGTTCGAGAGGACTGATAAGGAGTGTGTGAGATTGAGGTTTGCCTTGTGCTATCGATCGATTATACCCCTCATTGTTGTTCGTTATAGGAGTTTGTTCAGATGGCTGTTGAGTTCTGGCGCTATCCTTGGCTTGGTTTGAAGGATACGGGACACTTTCGCATCATTGCTTTTGCTCTCCGATTGTTGCTTTTCCATTCAGAATTTGTTTTCCTATCAACTACCCACATACACTTGCGCATGCATATCTAGATTAGGCATTGTTTGGCATGGGATAAAAACTGTGCGGGATTAGCATTAGCATTTGTATTTCTATTTGCGTTGCATAGCAGAGCATGGCATTGCCAGGTTTGGTCAACAGGGAAATTGGCGTTCTTGGTCTGTTTTTCTAAAGGATTAGGGGGTATTAATGGGATATGGAGCATTGGAGAGACGAAACGAATATAGACTATTATTGTTGCTTGGATGTATGTTGGATGTTGGATGTTGGGATGTTGGGATGTTGGGATGTTGGTTTTAGAGAGGTGTCTCCATAGTACAAGTGACGTAGCTGGCTGTGGCTTGATAAGTAGCTTCTTAGCTCTTTTAATTCACATGTTGCTATCCACCCCACCAGCCCCTTATTAATAGAGTGCAAATTTAAAAGCGGATAGCACAATACAAACCTCGGTACGGAGTACGGAGGTACCTGTTAGCCTAAGGGTAATACACCGACCAGTTGGTAGGTAGAGGAGTGGTTACCGCCTGAATCGAATTACTTCGTACTGTCGTCGCCTCCTCAAATCCACAAATCTGCAAATCTCGGACAAAATTTTGCACTTTTTGATTAGCATTGGACCATTGGATCCCCTGAATTTGTTCCAACACATATCCAATCACAACCACATCAGGTCCCACTCAATAATCTTATCAGATGGTACTCGTACACGAAGTAAGAGAGAGAAAATTACACCGCTCAGCCACCCAACCCCGCCAAGCCCACCAGTTCCATGCCCAAACGCGCCACCTACCCCGGCCAAGACGCCAAAGCGGCGCCAGAGGAAAGTAACCACTGATAACTTATAAGAAAGGGATTAGTGTGTTTCCTACACAATGAAGCGTACGTACCCCTTTCGACGGAGGGGTCAGCGTGCTTCTGAGAATCAATCTTCTGGACAGGGGAGAGTCGCCATGGGCCTTTGCGGGATTCTGGAGAACCATGCTGAGGGTGAAGATCATTATGTCTGTATATATATATATATTTATATCATATCTCGACGAGACTTTGAAGAAGTTTAAATTTACGCCTTGACCAGAAAAACGCCGTTGTAGCAAAATATGCGTGTCTCCTTTCTTCCGCGACCGGGACAAAGAGAACTATGCCTATGTTACTATTACAAATGAGAGTATTTCATCTAGAGCCCTGTATGGGCTGTCGAGAGACGTCGTCGTCGACCGCCTCTATATACATGAAGTCGGGAAAACCGGGGCAGGATATGTATCCCGTATCAAGCCCAAGGCCACATTGCCCTGTTTCCCTCACTTCTTATTCCTTTCGATGTTTAAAGATGTGATAATATCGTGCCATGCACCTCCCGCTAAAAGCATTGAGCTCTCTGATGCAATCTCTCAAAATCCGGAACTCCGCGCCTAATGGTTGTGAGGCCGTCGAATATGTGCAAGCGCACGTAGGGTACCTAGGTAGGGTAGGTAGGTAGGTATGTACAAATCGAATTCGTGTTCGTGCTGTGGTATCGTCGAGTCGCGTTGCGGACGACCTTGTTCTCCTGGCGTCTTCCACTGGTGCCAATTATCCCTCCCAGCGTCGGGTTCCAAGTCCCTCAATCACTGAGCCCTCACCATCTCTTCATTTCGGTAAAGCTGGCCTCTTGCTTTCTACAGACCCCGACTCCTGATGGTCCTCATAAATATACCGCATGCCCCTCTCTGTAATTCGTGCACACCACGGATCCACATACTTCGTCCAGTAATGCGCCGTAGTATAAAGAATAACAAACCAAATCGGCAACAGTGTAAAAAACCGTACGCTCCCGCAGATGGTCAAAGGAGGGCCACCTACAACACTGCCATCTTCGCGGGTAACGTTTGGAGGAAGGCTGGTCCCGAAAAACATCCATACGAGCAATGTACGGAGCAGCGTGCCGTGGATGAGGTATACAGCGAAGGAGTTTTTGCCAAACCACAAGAGATATTTATTCGACAGGACGTTCTTCATAATGGAGGAGAAGTGGATTCCGAGGGCGATAAATTCGAGGCCGAGGCCGGTGTAGAAACGGGGAACTTCGCCGTTTACTGGGAAAATGTAGGCACCCAAGTTCTTCAAGGCGAGAGACCAGTGCATCCATTCAGCTTTTTCTTCTGGGTAGGAGGCGAGGATGAGACCGATGGATATCAAGACCGGGGCGAGGACCCGGGCAGGCCATTTTCGAGCTTGGCACCAGGCGATATGAGTTGGGTTTTGGGAGATGTCGCTGAGGAAGACACCGAAGAAGAATTGCATGCCGAAGGCCGCTGGGATGACTTAGTATAGATTCCCTTTGATCCAGCGAGGGGAGACTTACAGTCGGTACTAATGTAGTAGTAAAAGTAGAGCGCGATGGCAATCATCATCCGGTATTTTGGTTTTACGAAAACAGTTGCAGCGATCATCATATACACCATCATACTTCCCTTCAACAGCGGTTGCAAGGTCCATTGATTAACATCGTACGCATTCCACGATCTCGTCCATGTCGTAATAGTATCCATAACCAGAGAATGCAACGCATTTCCAAAATACGGGATCATATTTGGCGACGTATCACGAAGCCACCATCGATCTGTCCGATTTGCAACCTGGAAGACACCGAACTGGCAAAGAAGCCATATAATCGTCGTGGCAAGGGTTGTTGGTAGAATCAACCGAGGTACCCGTCGCGAGGCGCTCTTCGCAATTGACACGAGTGCAGCCTCTGGAGTTCCGGCGTGACATTGTCGAATCGGCTTTAGGGCGCAAACATATCCTGTTACAAGAGAGAAGATGGCTACTCCGATTCTGCCTTGGATAATGATGCGGAGGATGGGATATTGGAATATCCGGGGACTAGCATTTTCTTCAGATGTTGGCTTGAATAGATCCTCATCGAAGGCGCGGGCGATGTGCGTGGTGACCACCAGAAGAGATCCGATACCACGAAGGCCCTGTAAAGTTCAACGTATTAGCGGATGAGGTCTATTTGTGTGCTTCCCAAGGTTCCGGTATTGTGGGATAGAGATAGAGTTGAGCTGGACAAAGTAATTGAGATGAGAAAGACGTACATCCACCCACTTGACATTCTCCTGTCTGGCGCTCATTCTCGCTTCATTAATACAATGATGCCAGCATTCACAAAGTCCACAGGCTCTCCCAAGGTGCAAGTACGGATAGTTATCAAGGACAGTGTTAGGTCTCTGCTGCAATCGACGAAAACCAAAGGAAGGTGAGGAGGAGAGACTCCGTCAGGGGGAAACTAAGCGAATGTGAATTGAAGATGTTTAGGAAATATAGTAGAGAAAGGACAAATCCACACGGAGCACAGAGTACACAGAGTACGGAGTAAGGGTACGAAGAGGTCGTACTGGTGGGGAAGAACAGAAGACCAACAAGTGCTAAGTGCTAGCAGCGGACACGGATCACGGCTGGAGGCTCAAGACCCCAGCATGGCAAGGAATAGCCAGGTCTCGCAAGGTATCGCAAGGTATCGCAAGGTATAGCCTGGAGCCAATTCTGAATTAGGATCTTGGGAGGGAGGGGGGTTGGGCCATTCGAGAGCGTCGTCAGCTTGACGAGCTCGGCGCTCCGCTGCAAAGGACTGGAGAGACTGGGGAGAGAGATTGAATGCACCCGGGCATGTTGCATCTTGCGGTTTGCAAGGGGTACGTACGACGACGGAGGAGGATGATCGGCTGGAACATTATTTGGGGGGGTCTTGCATCAGCCACAGCTACAGACTTGCGGCCTCCAGCTTTCGGCCAGTCTCTGGGCAGCAAGATCACTACCCCAAAGGAGGCAATAATCACCATCTCCCGGGTGGCAACCTGAGGACCGACAACCGCTGGCAGCCAGGGGAACTCTGGAAGCTAAGACGGCTTCGAGACGGCCAAGCGCCAGCGCAAAACAGGTGGCGAAGGAACTGAGAGCCGTGGAGCGGGCTTCAACGCATTCCGAGGTATTCTTGTTATGCAACGGGGCCAAAATGCAAGGCGGCGGATGTGCGAGTCAGGATGGGCCCAAGGCATGAAGAAACGCAATCCAGCACTGTACTCGTCTCGTGCTCTGTACTATCGCAGGAATGGTGGGAGGACGCTATTGCGAGATGCGGTTGAATCGTGTTTCGCTTGTCCGCGTGTCCTGACCTATTTTCATATCACCGTCCTGTAGTCCTCGGACTCTACAGTATCAAGTCAGAATCTCGCGCCTGCCGCACGGATGCCAGGTTCCGGGTGGCGTGGCGCAGGAACTGGCGCTGTGCTAGCACGAGTAAAGAGAACGATGCGGAGTACTTGGTACAGACATTAATTATTATTATTCATTATTGTTGGAGAGCAGAGGACGGTCGGTCGGAGGAAGCTATACCGCATCCCCCGTGGTGGACGGAAGGCGACTACTTGGTCTTGTTCGAGTTCCTGTCGAACGTATCGAATAGAGCACGGTACAGTACGGGCAAGTCCATGTAGAAGAACCAAAATACGGGCACTGTAGTACTATACTATACTTCGTACGAAACCAACAGTATATTCCGAGGCAGCAGGGATGTGATATGCTGCTCTCTGGCCGGGGAGACGGAGTACAGCATATACAGTACATATCAGGCACATGTGCATGTCTCCTGCTACGCTGAAGCCCGAGAGGGTGGCCAGAGGACGGTTTGGAACCGTGGAACCAGTTATGATACCCAATTCTTGCTTCGTGTAACTAGCCAAAGCCTACGGTGGTGAGGCGCCGTCGTTCCTAGATAAATGATGAAGACTACAGTTACCAGCGGGGGTGGCTCGAGAAATAAGGGTTTGCTGCAAATCGGGGCACAGTAGTGGGGGATAACATGGTGTGATAATATGCTCCATACAGCGTGCATATCTAGGTACATGGAGAGTCTATATAATACATACCGCTAGCTCTTTTATACTTAGCAATATAAAGTAAGCAAAAAAATTAAAGAGAGCATTTATATACGCTTCGATATTGTACGGATTGTACTGAGTATAGGCACAAAATCGTTTATCGCAGCTCACTTATGTCCGCTATGTCCACACTAGTCACTTGAGTCTCTGGTGGTGAAGCGCTAAACGTAACCGGCTTGATGGTTAGTACGAAATCCTCATCACGAGTCAACATGCCAAGTGTAAACGGGAAAATATTTTATGGAAATATTTTCTTCTCACTTGGCATGGGAGCAGAGCAGCTCCCTCTTGCTCCCTCTCATGAGGAGCCCTGAATCCTGCTTCTAATAAGGCCTATTCCACACGATGTTGCTGTACAGTACATAGGGTACTCTCTCTAAACTCAGATAAAGTCCATACGTGAGAACCTTAATAATCCCTCCGTACGTACGTACTACGTACCGATCACGTTGTAAATCCACCCCAAGCAAGCCACCCGCAGACGGCCCAACAGCCAAGAATTCCAACCAACTGCTGGTCGTGTTGATCATTGCTCCTCCTAGACTCTAGCACACGCTCGGTACGAGGTGCAGACAAGTGCAGTCGCTCCTCCGTCCAGCGCGAGATACGGAACAAATTGCTTCCCAGGGACGTGGCCTTGGCACCGTCACCATCGCGAGCTGGTTCGACGGGTGGACTCGTCCGCACAAAGTCAGCACCGCAGTTGGTGATCTTGGCAATCATCCCCAAAGCTGGAACTTGGAACTTGGAAGTCAGGACGGAGTATCAGGGCCCCGATTCAGATTCAGGGGCCTCGAACCCCCACAGCTTCCTCGACAGAAGTCGGCTCTTGTCCATAGATGTACTTGTGGATGAGAGATAGGGAAGGTACATACATTACAAGTACAGTACATTACACATAAGGTATGTATCTACGCGAGCTGATAAGGTCGAATGATATGATATGATATGATATGATACGGTACGGTACCGGTACCGGTACTCTCCACCAAAAAGAGACCACGGAGAAACGACCAAAGAAGAAAATGCCCAAGATTACCAAACGAACATCCCTCGGTCTAATGTTCTGCATTACCCGATCATTTCCTTCAACGTCTTGGCTGTCGATCGGCAATGGCGGCAACATCCCCCAACCAATGGCATCCGGCACTCCGTGTGAACCTCTCAGCGCTCTAAATAATAATATAAACAGTACTTACTACTGTACTGTACCCTACTTACTCCGTAAGCTGTATGAAGGCTCCCACCGCTCGTGGCGTGAAACAAAGTGTCCTCCGCATGCCCATCTGTCTGGTAGCCTAGATTTATTATTTTTATTGCTGGTGAGCGGGTAAACTCGAACTGTTGCACAAATAAAAGCCACCGCATGCTGGACGCCCAGTCGGGCTCGGGCCCTGGCCCCCCCGGCTGTTATATTTTTGACAGCTCGATGTCGAGGCGGGATCTTTATTACGACGGGGTCCTTTTATCTCTCCTTTCCCGCCTTTCGATTAATATTTCTACATTTAAACTTCGCAAGGGAAATTTTCAATATGCCAGAGACCCCTACTAAGGATCTTTGCATTCGTAGTGAGGAATCTTCCGCTCCAAACTCGATGATCACGTGATACTCTCCCGTTCCCCGTTTCCCTTATCTGTGGCTGTGGCAAGACATCGGAAGCCCGCTTGTTTCAGGACTCGTCTGTCGTCACTTCGGATCTCGAAAATCCCAGGCGATCGCCGTCTCGACTTCGATCGGCCTAGAAGTAAATAAGACTCCGTCAAATGCTCCGTTAGGCAACTTAGGCTATAACTTTCAGGGACCAAAGCCGGTGGAACGAAAAGGAAAGCCTTCCTAACTGAATATAGCGCTGTGGTTGCATCATTGCGCGTGATCTACCTACGTACCTTGCTCAATGGAAAAACGCCGGTTTCTCAATCATTGGATTAAATCCACTATAATTTCTTCTGTTAAGCTCTGGGCCGAGATCCCGTCGTCGAGTTTCATACGGAGTACTCCATATTCGTGGAAGTTATGTTTATGTTTCAAAATTTGTCGCCTAGCGAAAAAGGGGGGGGTCACATGACTGCGGGAGAGTCTACAGCACTGTAAAGGGCCTCGGGACTTTCTTTAATACCGAAACCATATGCATTAAGTCATATTTCATTTCCAGCTTTCATGTCCCATAAATTTGGGTCATCCCGTCTGCATCTGACGATGCTACTATTGCTCAAGAACGACTTCACTCTCCTTTTTTGAAAACGGAGCGTGAAGCCTACGATGGCGAAATCTTTTAGTAATGACTTCTAATACGAGAGAAGGAACTCTAACTTGTATAGACTATACATACCTAGTGGTATATGGGTTTAGTCACGTGCGAGTCCCATTTTCCCCGCGCTGTCTACCTTATATCTTAAAATAAGCGATTTTGTGTTTTAAGGAAGACAAAAGGCGGCACTTGGCTAAGTGGTTCAGGTCAAATTGTCTTCTGGAGAAAGGATCGATAGGGCAAACGCGACAAGAGATGTAGGCATTCGACACCGGGCCGAACTCTTTTGCTTCTTGAATCTAATAATATTTTTTCCTCATTTCCGTGCTTTTTATTCGCTTGTAACAGAAGATAGGGGTTTTTTTCGCTTTCTCACCTATTGTAGGTTGTCGCGAGTTGGCGAGAGGGCCTGGCAGCCGAGTTGACTTGTTGCTGCTTTAGATGGTGATCCGACTGCAAATGGCGGTATAGCCATTCACTTTAGCGATTTGTCGATGTCAACAGAGCAGAATTGCAAGCTGTGACAGGTCTATAAGTATCGGAGGTCGCTAGTCTGATCTCCAAACGCAGCAACTAACGCTAGTATACCTACCCTTTTGAGGATAAGGCGAGCACAATTTTTATCTATGCCTCCTTGCTAGTATTTGTGGCCTCTTGCCTCTACGGACAGAGTTTAGATAAGGTGGATCTGAGCGGCGAAGGTCAATCGAAGAGGTCAATGGTCGATTTATTGACACTCTATCCACAATCGCTAGCAACAGAAAACCACAAATTGTTCCCGAATCAGGAATATCGGCAAGTGCTTTTTACTTCAACGCCGACGGATAAACCTTGAACTCATGCAGATCAGGCTTCCGTACGACTATAACCAAAGCCTAAACTGCTTGTCACTATCGAGCAATAGGCATTGCAACTATCCTGCGGGTTTTAGCATGCACTAACCAGTCATCCTGCTCCTCAAACCTCGACCAAATTTGAGAAGATAGAACGAAACTTCGCTTCATGGCACTCTTAGGTTTCAAAAGCTGCTCGTATAACCCGTCTTGCCAAATATATGTCTCTGACTACATTGGGGCCTGAACCAGGAGATGTTTTTAGGGTCCAAGTCTATTCAAGCGGCTTATTTGGAGTGTAGACCATTTCACAGTCGGTGCACTTGAAGGGGAGCACGTTACAGTTGGCATATTCGGTGCGTACCCCTCGGCCAGAACAGCGCACGTCGTTGGGTGTTCTTGTTAAACGGGAGCGCAAAAATATTAACTCGGGACCAACAACTCCAAAACCGGGTTATTCCATACTTTGCCCACGGCTCGGCTCCCATTATCGAGAACGGTGAGGATGGCAATGGGCTTATCCTCAAGAAGTTGCGAGACGCTGGCCATCTCTTCGATCTGAGACGCTTTTTCCAAGAGTCCGCTAGTACCACATTGGAAGGGGGTTATTCTACAGTTTATATCATCACTACCGCACTTGCTATCTTTAATGCTGTGCATTAGGTCTACAAAGGTATTCGAAGCCAGACTGCGTTTCCCTCGACAAGTTTACCTTACCTCCCAGTTTCGTTGTAGGTTGTGGCTATTCGGCTTCGAAGGCGGAGGAAAAATGCGGCTGTCTGCTGAAAAGGAGACTGCCGTATTGAGAAAATGTTTTACTTTCCAACTTCGAGATGGGGAACACTAAAAGAGAAATCCTTAAGTTTTCAGAGCTTAGAGGTACGTAAACAAGTATTTGTGTGATTGTCTAGTTTTGGCATGTTTCTATAGGAACGCGGCGCAGGAATAAGACTACCTACCTGATTTCTAACGTTATATACCGGATACCTTAGAGAGGCTATGCAGTCGAAGGATCCTTTGTACTTACTTCGCTCTCGCTACAAAACTCCCAAGTTTCTTTTGGTTTAAGTAGTCGTTGCAACCGAAACAATAATATTAGCGTGAAAAAATTGACTAATGATGCAACAGCGGATGGTTTTCGACAGATTACCTCCTGTACTTGTGTTAAGGGATGGGTGGTCCACGACAAATACTGGCCGAAAAGGTGCTTCGAAGTCCCATTTGTTACCTAATTTCTTTGCGGATATTACGGTGAAATATCTGGCCAAAAGCTTAGATAAGAAGGATACTCTATATATACTACTTGGCTGGGTTGCTTCTGTGAACAGCAACTACTTTATTAGCTACGTAACGGGAATAATGCTATTTTGTATAACGGGATGAAGAATAAAGGCGCCTTTCAGGCAGTAGAGTGGTTAGAGAAAGGGTTCCCTACTAGTAGAGTAATATCAATGATATTTTATCGTAGGGTTTATCTTAAAAAATAAAGATATAATTAATCGTTTTAGTATATAATAATTATAAATAAATTCAGTTAACTTTTATAATAATAACATTCTCTTTAATATTCTTAATATATTATCAATATATTATTATAGATTTGGTTCCCGAGTAAAGCGGCGAAGCTAACTAATCGCGTCAGAAGCGATGCAGGTTAAGATTCAGCGCAGATTACTGTTGTATTTCGACCAGTTGTCTCTTGCCACGAAACATCGCCGAAGAATGGCAGGTTCCAGTAGTCGTACATCATATATTCAAGAAGTACAGCAGATTTGGCATTAGCTAATAGGCCTGTACTTCACCCACGTTATCTTTTACGACGAGATTGGAACTCCACCCTTTCTATTAATTTCAATAAAACATTTCCTAGTTAATAACTGTTTCTGCTACATTTGATTGCTTTTTCTATGAAATCATCGACCTTTTCACCAATTTGTTTTCAAACCTGAGATTTCCCTTCAGAAGTCAGCATGAATCACTTAGCTGGAGGAATTACTCCTGAAGAAGAGCAAACCGAAGAACTACTCTCAGATCTCGAAAGCGCATTTGAAAATGGAGAGTATGATCCCGAGTGGATTAACTATGATCTCCTCCGGTGGAATATTTGCAACTGCGAGGTACAACATGGCCCTGAATGCCGACAGGTTTATATCAATGTTGAAAGGCCTCTTCTATGGCTTATCGACGTGCAGGAACATTGCTTGGTTGATGCGAGATTGTACCCCACTGCAAGATATGCTGCTCTAAGCTATGTTTGGGGTGGAGATCAAAAGTGCAAGACTGAATTGTGTAACATTGAAGCACGCCAGCTACTAGGGAGCTTGTCAGAGGAGAACAAAGGAGTGGAACTGCCACAAACTATTCGGGATACTATACATTTGGTTTGCCGCCTAGGAATTCGGTTTCTGTGGGTAGATAGTTTGTGCATAGTGCAGGATGATACGGATGCAAAGCAGTCTCAGATTGATGCCATGGGCTCCATCTATCGCCAGGCATTTGTAACGATCATTGCCTGTAAGGGAGGACACGCCGATTTTGGTCTGCACGGGCTTCGAGATGTCTCTAATCCTAAACCAAGGGACCGAAAATCTGCAGCAGATGAGCATCAACTGCCCTGGTATACGCGTGGCTGGACTTTCCAAGAGCTTGTCTGTTCCAACCGGAGGATTATATTCGCGGACGAATTCACGTGGGAATGCTCCCACACCGGACAGTCAGAAAGCACTGGAACGTGGACAGGGCACACAAGCGTACCAATGAGTCATATCTGGGGCCGCGATTTTAATTTCTTGAGCGCAGACATGCAAAAGTACGGCGAGATAGTCGACGACTACACCAGTAGGAATCTCACTTTTCCGACCGATATACTATATGCTTTTAAAGGAATCCTCTCTCTCCTCGAGCAATCCTTCAAGGCTGGATTTCTGTACGCAATACCAGAAGACTTCTTCGATATTGGCCTACTCTGGCAACCGATGAGTAGTGAAGCAATTCCAAGGTTACCAAATCTGAATGAAAAAGGAATACACTTCCCTAGCTGGTCTTGGCTCGCATGGAAGCTCACCTGGGAAGGTGGTATTGACTGCAACAATTTCCATAGAGCGTACGGCAGGGTGCGATTCAGTCATGAGTGGTATTACCAGATCAGTGATATCGCAGGCCATGCGGGATTTCTTTCTTTATGTCGATGGTACAGATACAAAGATCGCAAATGGAAACAGATTATGTCATCTTCGAAGATCGAAGAATCAAGAGATAGCAGCAGGCACATCGGATTGGACGCTGTCGCATTCGGAGCTGCTATATCTGTGATCGATGGCTTTATATGTGAATTTAAGCCATCGAACAAAATACCTCGTTACTGATCATGTATAGACCCTGAGTTGCAAGAGGAATGTCAAATTATCTATTGCTATGCTTCTAGAGGCTCTTTCCAGATTGCAGAACGTAGCTTGCCAGAGGAGTTGCAACTTCAATTGGGAGTCTCTGGCTTTCCATATGATGGGTTGAGACTTCCCCATTTGTGTATTCTTGACAGTCGAGGAGCGATTTGCGGTGTACTACCTCGGGGAGTTCCCCATGGCACACCGGTAGAGGCAGTGTACGATTTTATTGCTATATCAAAGATCTCTATTCTTCGCCGGATTCCGTGTAGCCACACTACTGAGGACGAAGCCATATTGTTCGGCCGTAAAAGAAAGAAAAGGAAGGAAGCGGACAATGTGGAAGCGGACAGTGTGGAAGCGGACAGTGTAGAAGCGGACAGTGTGGAAGCGGACAGTGTGGAAGCGGACAGTGTAGAAGGGGACAGCATAGAAGGGGATAGCATGGAAGCGGACAGTGTGGAAGAGGACAGTGTGGAAGAGGACAGTGTGGAAGAGGACAGTGTGGAAGGGGACAGCATAGAAGGGGATAGCATGGAAGCGGACAGTGTGGAAGCGGACAGTGTGGAAGCGGACAGTGTGGAAGAGGACAGTGTGGAAGGAGAGTATGAAAAGGACAAGACAGATGACGACAGCGAAGTTGAGAGTAGCACGATAGAAGATTCATGCTACTGTCGTTACAATGTTCTTCTAGTTGAACAGAGAGGCAGCATCGCCTACTCTAGAGTCGCGCTGGGCCTGATTATATCAGAGGTATGGGAACGAGAGAAAACTGAGATGGTATACGTCCAATTAAGATAACATGTATATAAGTATAAGATAAAACAAATGGTGCTCTTATTTATTATGGTTATAACATATAAAGTTATTGTCACGCGTTGACATTAAAATAGACAAGTGAGGTCAATTGTTAAACAAGAAGAATAATGAATAATCTAGGGAGTCGAGAGGAGCTCGCTTAAGACATACTGTTTGCTTACTAGTAGTCATACGACAGGGCTTAACCGAAGGTGCGAAGCATTAAGGCAGCCAACTGGGTGCAACACATCACATTACCCCCTCCCCTTTCTTCTTGAGGAAGCAGCACCGTTTCGAGGCTCTAGGAGTTTGTTGTCGTACGGGAACATAACTAGACAAAGAATCGTTCTAAGATATCGGCTGCCTAATTGAACAAATAATAGCAACAAAGGTGTTATAGTTTTGGAGTGATCGTACGGAAGCATGACTTCCTTATTACGTGACTTCGTTGGGATATAGCTTGGCACGAAGGTTATATAATCAGAGCAGTTTCCTGGGCTGGTTCGAACAACTCGCATATATTGGATACGTTTTTGATATTTCTTTTTAGCATTGATTAAAGTGGCTTCAATCAAATTGTATTGCTGACCCAAGTCAAGATTATCTCAACACAGGCTACAACTATCTTGTGTGCTTTCATTTAAGACTCTTAGGATTCGAAGAGGACCTATGTTTCTGAAGCTCACCGGTCGGGTCCATGACGAGAACTGCCTTCATGGCGGTTTTAAGCTTGAAGGTGGTCAGATCACGAACGGTCTGAAAGGAACGTGACGATTATGTGGCCTAGTCTGAAGGCTATAAAGCCGTGTATGGGAACTATGAGAGAGAGAGAGAGAGTATGGCTGCAAGTGTTAAGCCTCGATAGCTATTTGTAACCTATCTAAGCTTGTAGAGACGAGTATTTTGTTACTGATTGAAGTTCGAGGGAAAACATGGAATTTGGGGTCTTGCTCATTACCCTTTGGTAATATGTATTACCTTAGAAGTAAAGGCTTAAAACAGGAGAGTAGTACTGTAAGCGTAGAAGGGATTTCGTACCTAACTTGCAACTATATTGCGTATCTACTTGCCGACAAAACTCATAATTATTTAGTCAGATTTATCTGTATCATTAGCCCTATAGAGCAGAAGGGCTCAAGCACGTCCATCATTAGGTGAGTGGATGAAATATCTCAAATGGCAGCACCAGCTTGGAGCTCGACTTGAAAATATATTTTATTGTTAAAGAACAAACCAGCAAGTCATAGCATCTTCATTTCGCATGTCAAGTTAAACAGCGAGGATAGTGACGAGGCCAGTTATGACAATATGTGATGTCTCCAGCATACACCACCATTTCTGCTTACCACCTTTTCGCCCTCCACCTACCATTTTTTCCAAGTTAGCGAGTAGGTTCGGGTCGAACCTCTCTCGGTGTAGACGAGCAGAAGCATCATGCTTCGTGCTTCTACGCTGGAGAAGGTACGGTACAAGTTCCGGCACGAAGACTCAAACGGGGAGGTTTAAATCGATCGATCGGATTTAAGTATCGCATGGGAAATAGTTGTTTAAACATTGGCCACCGTGGAGAGCAAATAAGGTACGGTATGATATAAGCCGCTTTAACGACCCTAGACCTAGGCCTACATAACTCATAATATTATTTCATTTCACGTATTTACTTGTCATTCCACACACAAGCGCTCCCTTTTTCTCAGCCAGCCAAACCCCTAATCAGTGCCTTCTCGTCACGAATAATGTACCAGACGTTATAAACCGGCCTCACATGGCCCCCGTAACGAAAGAATCCCTTCCTCACACTAAGTAGCGCTCAGGGAAGATGTTCATCACTGGGGCCAGAGCAAGTCGGCAATAGAGATCTGGACCCCAAGTGCGCCTCCACACACCGCTATGGATGTAGGTACAGCGCACTTGGCTCTCTCATAGAGAGGTTCAATGTTCCGCATGGAATACAGAGTTTCAAGGATGGATCTCGCCTTGTACTCCACCTGGCCTTGCGGGGATTTTGAAAGAACTGGTAACGGTAAAGGGAAGGGAGATGAAGTTGGAAATTCCCTTGTAAATAAAGTGAGGGCTTGATGGCCATGGATCGGAGAGGTGGAAAGGAAAGGGAAAAGTGTGTAAATTCTTTTTTTGGGGTATCTGACAGACCGGCGCTTACCCAACACCACATAAGGTCATAACTGAAAGGTCTGGCGGGGTTAGGCGCCGAACAACTTCCCCCGCTTCGGTTGTACGTTTTCCATCCTCGCCAATGCCTGGTCAATACCAATTACATCCAAATCCATGGCATTATTGCCCGTTTTCTCCTCAAGTGCCGACCTTGAAGATGGAACACGAGCCTTTACTTCCTTCGTCTGACTCTTTATGCTGAGGATGGTAAACCGATGCTCACCTAGAATCAACAGATCGGTTGGTAGATCTGCTTGGGTTGGGGCTCGTTTGGTAAGTTGCTCAATGCCTGAGCATTGCTCGCCTTGGAGATCGATACCTTCGAGTCGGATCAGCCCAGAGCCCGATGGCCCGCCTCCAAACAAATTGCCTTGTCCTCCTTTGGCCGGTTTGGAATTCCTTGCTGTCCAGTACTTTTGAAGGTTTGATATAAGGGCGAAGGTCTCGCCTAACCAGAAGGCGACCGATTCTTCGGATGGACTGGTAGGCGAAGATGAACGAATTTCGGCGACGGATATTTGCCCGTTGACTATGCCATTAGAGGCCGCGCATTTGCTGAAAAGCTCGATTGCCTTCCGTGTTGAGGGCGTCATTGGAACAAATTTGGGCCCGGTGATTTGTGGAGCCCCTGATTGTCGAGGCTTGGCGGCAATGTCAATGTACCCAACGAGGCTGAATTCCGATACGGAGCCACCATTCACACCTTCACGCTGTAGCCCACCCTTTGATGCACCTGGTCCATAGCCTTCAATATCCCAGATACCCCATTCCCCATCGTCAAGTAAGACGATAACTGCCTTTCCTCCTGACACCCATTGCGCATCAATGATCGTTTTCCTCCCGAATCCAGCGTGGGCGCTCATAGGATGTGCAGCTTGCTGATTATCCTTGGTGCCTTGGAAAGGCGCATATAAAGGCAAGAGCCATGTTCCCCTCTCGGCCACAGTACTTTCCGATCCCTCTTCAGAGCTGGTGGACAGTTTGCTGTAGTCGTAAATCCGACAGGTACCCTTGGTATCTGCTAAGAGGAGGTGGCTGGAGCGCTGTCCCGAAAGAGAGGGATTGAAGGAGATCGATTTGGCAGGCGAAGCTAGATGTATCTTTTGAAATGGTTCCACATGACGTGGTTGGGATTTCACAGAGATTCTGTAAAGGAGTAGCAAGCCCGTAACTTCTAATGAGTGGGAAGCAACAATTATTTGTGCCCCTGCTGTGGCCGAGGAATTTGAGTTATTCTTGGGGCTGGTGCCGAAACTCGCTGTCATAGCAACGCCCGCGGAAGGGCTTTGATGTCCTTTAAGAAGGGTGACGGTCTCGCCCCATCTACCATTTCCAGCATATGCCTCTGCAAAGCTCGATCGGAACTCGGGCCGGGCCTTGCTTGCCGGGGATGGTGGTATGAGCGGCAGGGTGATTAATCTGAGATCGTTGTCGCCACACGACGCTGTAAACACAATCTTCTGCTTCAGCGGCTCGAGACCTCGCCAGGTTGCCCCTTCTGCCTTTAGAACCGCCGTGGGGAGCAGCGCAATGTGGAAGACGTTGGTCCCGAGGTGTAGGTCCAGCGTTTGCAAGATCTCTGGGTGTGGCTTCAAGGGATCCACCTCCTCCTCCTCATCCTCAAATTCGGGCTTGTCATCAAACTTCTGGGGCGGACCAGCCTCGTCATCGGAATCAAGAAGAATGACAGCATCTTCAGCTCCGTTGGCCTTTTGGGAAGCTGCCGACGGTTCGGACGGCGCCTTAAAGGCCTTGCCGCCTCTCCAGACCACCCTCACTCCATTTTCGAGCCCGTAGAGGATGACGGTAGATCCATTGGGGGACAGGCGCGGGTATGTCTTCGCCGTGTGGATGCGCTGGGGTAATTCGTAACTGCGCCGATAGCTTGTCAGATCGCCACATGCCATTATTCTGCTGCCGCTCTTGATCGCCCATGGCTAGCATAGCTTACCTCAGTTGAGTGTTCTGTTGGTTCCGGGAGATTCGCGGTGGGCGTAGATTTGGTGCCATTTTTGGCGGAAAGGTCCGAAATAGGGGCCTCACGTTGACCCTGCAATAGGCGGTATTCAATCAGGTATCATACAGTATCATTATGTCTTGTCGAACGACATCCAACCATCATTTGACGTAGGAGCTTTGAGCGCTTGTCGAGCTTGCAGAGTGCAAAGCGTGTCAAGGTCGCGCGTCGGCAATTGCGAGGCCAGGGGACGCGCTAGTGGTAAGGCTCACGGGTAATCCTCGGATAATTGAAACAACTTTTCTGTACTCGGTACATCGGTACATCGGTGTTTCGTACTTCTGCAGTCAAATAGTTGGCCGCCTCTTCCCCGTTCCTTTCCTTTCCCCGTCCCTTTTGTTTTTGATAGCCCTCCGGCGCAGGCTCGCTGATCAACCATGGGCTCTTTTTCGGCGAGCTTTTGTCTCCTCTCCCTTCGGCCGTTGGGCTGCCCAGAGGCTAGACCACCGGCTCTGGGCAAGATACAGACCACACTGGGATTACAATGCTCTCTTCACCCCCCTAGCGTCCGCCATGATCGCCATCTCGACAGTGTCCGGCTAACCGGCACCGCTCAAGACCAAGTTGCAACACCAGTCCAACGCTGTTGTGGTTCCGATTGATTGAATTGTTCGTGCTAGAGAGAGGGCCTTGAGCTCCAGTTCACATCCTATTGCTCGATGCTTACAAAGTACGCGGTACGAAAGTCACGGCCAGAACCCCACATACGAGTTACGCCCTTGACGGACCTGGACTGGGACATGGACCTGGGACCTAGACCTGGGAGTCTGGGGCTAGAGAGATTCTTTTTTCTGCATCCCACAATATTACAACACAATAATCTTCAGCGGGCTCGATTATTGAGATAATAATCCCCGAGTACTTCGTACTTCGTACAGTACCAGCGGCCCATTCTCTGCGGCTGCTGCCGAGTTCCAGCCAGGTGGCGGCGGCGGCGCCGCTTCCTCTCGTTAGCTCTCCTCTCCCTCTCCCATCTTTTCTCTCCGGGGGGCTTGACTGCGCGGAATACTACCCGTCGTCTTGGGTGCTCTCTCCAAGTCCAGTTCGCCCCTTGGCGGCAGGGTCAGTATCGATTGTCTCTCCATTTCCCAACCCAGCCCACCACGCCCCCATCCACCACCATTAATCATAATGCTCCTAAGCTTTCTGCTTCGTGCCGTACTTGAAGCCGGCTGCCCCCACCAACCCCATCTGCCCCAGAGTGACTCTCTTTCCTATCTTCTTCCCCACTGCTGCGGTCCTATTCCTATTCCTATTCCTGCTCCTGCTCCTGCTCCTCTGTTTTGTCAACGTTACTGCTTGAACAACTTCTGTCGTATGCGGTTGTTTATGTATGTACTCTACATGTACTTGGAATATAACCAACCCTTTTGCTCTTTTCCCAACAGCCTCGGCTCCCGAGCAGATAAATAAATAGCCGTTGCAAAGGCTGTCGGCTCCTTCTGGCGCTGCGCGCCTTGATAAGGCTCCATTGCACGCCCGAAAATGGGCGGATCCAGGTCCAGGCAGGACGAAAAGGGCCATGGCTGCGAGAAGAACTCTGTCACGCCGTTCTCTTCAGCGTCCCTAGGAGACGCCTCAGAAAAGGATGGACACCACTCTCCATCGCCACCAAGCTCCCCTTCGACGACTTCTACGGATGACAAGAGCGACACCGACCCCGATCCCGACCCCTTAAGCCCACTCGAACGTGCCTTGACTGCCGATTGCCGGACCCCAGCTGAGCAACTTGGGCCGTCAAATTTGAACTTAACCAGGACGGCTACTTCTTTCGCCACAACTGGCTCACGTATTCCTTCGTTTGAAGTTGAATTTGGCGACAATGATCCTGATAACCCGCGTAACTGGCCGCTGTGGTATCGTGGGTTGACCATCTTTGTAGTCAGTTTTTCAACTTGGACGGTCGTGCTATATAGCACAAGCTATACCAGCAGTATGCCGGGCATGATGGAGGAGTTCCATACAACCAATCAAACTGTTGCCACGCTCGGAGTGACGATGTACCTCATTGGATTGGCCGTAGGAAGTTTGATTTTAGCACCTTTGAGCGAGATGTACGGCCGCAGGCCGGTTTATACAGCAAGCCTGCTTTTTTACTGCCTGATGGTGTTGCCGTGCGCATTAGCAACTTCGTTGAGCGAGATTCTTATAGTCAGATTCTTTGGGTAAGTTTCAAGGTACCTAGGTTTTATTTTTGGTAGCAACTGACCAGGATCATCTAGTGCCGTAGCTGGTGCGGTTATGATTGCCAATGCACCGGGGACGGTGTCAGATATCACGGACGAAAACTACCGTGCTCTTGCCTTCAGTATTTGGAGTATTGGGCCTATGAACGGCCCAGTGACTGGGCCCTTAATCGGCGGTTTTGTGGCCGAGTACCTTGGGTGGCGGTGGACGAACTGGGTTGTCATGATTGTTGCCGGGGCAGCGTGGATCATGATGAGCCTGATCAAGGAAACGTATGCTCCCGCAATATTGAAAAGAAAAGCCGCAAAGATGAGAAAGGATACGGGTGATGACCGATGGTGGTGTCGTTATGATGATAAGATGGGCCGTAAGTTGGAAGTATTGTACTCCCCTATTTCCCGAGACTGACTTTTCTTCTTTGATGCAGTATATGAGCTCCTGAAGATCAACCTCTCAAGGCCTTTTGTCCTCTCATTTACGGAACCGATCTTGTGGTTTTGGAATGCTTACATCGCCGTACGTTTCCCCCAAGAGACCTCTAATTCTCTAGACAAACTGTACCAGCACTTCAGTGAAGCCAAAAGAAATATCTATAAAAATGCTAGTGCAATGGCTAATAACTGTTTCTAGATTATTTATGCTATCCTGTACCTCTGTTTCGTAGCCTATCCCTATATATATGGGGGACTTCGCGGTTGGTCACTAGGGTTCACCGGCCTTGCTTTTGTCGGTATTGGAGTTGGCACTCTTCTCGGAATCGCCAGTGAGCCATTAGCTCGAAGGGTTATCAATCGCCACAAAAAAGACCCCGAAACCGGGAAAGTGTCACCCGAGGCATCGATCAGCATCGTCTGTGTCGGGTCCTTTCTTTGTCCAATTGGCCAACTTTGGTTCTCCTGGACCGCGACGCCCGTCACGATCCACTGGATCTGGCCGATATTGGCCGGAGTCCCGTTCGGTGCTGGGAATTGCTTGGTTTTTATCTACTCGTCCAATTACATGGCCGGGGCGTATGGTATCTACGCTGCCTCCGCGCTCGCGGGAAATACCGTCGTTCGATCAGTCGTCGGTGGAACGTTGCCCCTGGCTGGATCGATAATGTATACGAAGCTGACACCGCATTGGGCCGGCACGCTCTTGGGACTGGTCCAGGTGGCACTGATTCCCATCCCGTTTGTGTTTTACAAGTGGGGTGATAAGATCCGTGATCGAAGCCCGTTGATCAAGCGGATGAGGGCGGATCAGGAACGGAACCGGAAGCGCGAGGCGAGGGCGAAGAGGCTTCAAGATCGTCGTGATGCGGAGAGGGGAGAGATAATGAGCGAGGGCGGCGCTGAGAAGGGTGACGCGAGGCGGACTGTTAATACGCCACTGGTAACGGAAAAAATTTGAAGATTTTGAGGATTTTTATAGATAATGTACATAGAATGGATACCCATAATACGCGATTAGATAATATTATATAAAGTTAATTGGCATCCCTGGATTTGAGGAGGAGGGGAGCTACCTTTTTAATAATTCTACGCGGCTTGTTGGTGTTTTAGAAAGGGGCGCAGAGTGGTAGGGAATTAATTACTACTTGTTTGGCTTAATAGCTGAGAAGCTAATGAATCAAGATCTAGAGTCTAGACTTATGTTACCTTATTACCTACGAGCAACCGCTAAAGATCAATATCTGCCATCTTACCTGGTTATCAGGCATCACGTGCAATCCCTTGTTGTAGCCAGACTTCATTCATTCAGCCTTGCAGCCGTTGGCGACCAGCCTCATTGTCATTCTCACAAATGTCGGTCAGCGCGGTACTCGTATAGCACTAGAGCGACAAAGGGATCCTTGCGAGATCAAAGAATGCAGTAGTGCAGTAGGAGTAAGATAGAAACAGACATAGCCATTCCCCCTTAAAACCAGAACCGCCTTGCCAACCAACTCCTCCCATTTCATTCTCTACTTTATAATAATAATTATAATATACACCTAAAAAGGTCGTGTGCACATGCTTCGTACATAAAATATCACAGCCGCCACAGCCACAGCCCAAGCTCCAGCCCCAAAACCCAAAACTCAAAATCCCAATCTTAGCGCCGTCTCACCTCCCGCCTTTGCCTTCGCCTTCGCCTTCGCCTGCGCCTCCGCCTCGCTAGAACCAGAACCCGGCGAAAAAAGCGTAGCGACAAGCACAAAAATACAACACCAACAACTTCGCCTCCGTCTCTGCCTCCGTCCTCTTCTCCCTTTCTCTTCTCCACGCGCCTCCTTTCCTCCCACCCCCTTCCCACGGTACTCGTCAATCTATTCCTACCGGTGTAGTCAATTCGTCCCCCCCTTCTTCCTCCATCGCATTTGCCTGTGGCCTTGGTCTGCTCGATCTTGCTCGACAGTCACCCTTCAGCCCAGCTGCTCCGGTGTCTTTTGAACTCGAAAGCCCTCACCGACAACAACACAACTCGCCGTCGCCCCGCAAAGGTCCTCGAGATTTCAAACGTCGCTGCCTCCGAAGCACCGCGATAAGGAGCCCCATTAACTACACTACAACAACCGGCATCAAACATCCCCCCCTTCTGTGACTTTCAGTAGTCATGGCAGTCCCCACGCAGTTTGCATACCGAACACTGAAGGAGATTGGCATCGTGGATGCTGCGCCTGTCTATGAGCCTTTGGCTGGGTTCGAGAGACCCCAAGGGAACTCGCGCTGCTGCACCTACTCGCCGTGCGGCCGATACTTCGCCTGGGCTTCGAATGACGGCGTGACGGTCGTCGACGCCTCGGTCGGACACGTCATCACCACGCTCCCCACGCCCAACGTGTACGAATTAGGCTTCTCGCCGCATGGCTCGTACCTTATTACCTGGGAGCGGCCATCCAAGGATGAGAACGGTGATGCCGTCAAGAATCTGAAGGTCTGGCGCACGGTGGAGCAGCTCCCGGCCGGTGCTGAAAAGCAGGTCGTCGGGAGGTTTGTGCAGAAGTCGCAGACTGGTTGGAACCTACAGTATACTGCCGATGAGCGATACTGTGCCCGCTGTGTAACCAACGAGGTGCAGTTCTACGAGAGCAGTGAACTAGGCGTTGTTTGGAATAAGCTCCGGGCGGAGGGAGTTGCGGATTTCGCAATTTCTCCTGGCAATAACAATTCCGTGGCGGTTTTCATCCCAGAGCGCAAGGTATGTCACTTAGATGTCCCCCTCCCAAATAAAATTCATATACTCATCGTATATATAGGGCCAGCCAGCTGCGGTCAAAATATTCAACGTCCCCCAGTTCAACGCCCCGGTTTCGCAAAAGACTTTCTTCAAGGGCGACAAGGTCCAATTGAAGTGGAACCAATTGGGCACCACCTTGATTGTTCTGGCACAAACCGAGGTAGATAAGACTGGGAAGAGTTACTACGGAGAGACCACGCTGTATGTGCTAAGCGCAAATGGCGGATTCGATTCGAGGATAACTCTGGACAAAGAGGGCCCAATTCATGATGTATCTTGGTCCCCCAACTCGAAGGAGTTTGGGGTTGTCTATGGTTATATGCCGGCCAAGACAACCATCTTCAACCAAAGGGCTGTTGCCACCCATACATTCCCGCTCTCTCCTCGAAATACCATCATTTTCTCTCCAACGGGTCGATTCGTCTTGGTTGCTGGGTTTGGGAATCTTGCGGGACAAATGGATATCTACAATCTCGAGAAGGACTATAAGAAGATTTGCACCATCGAGGCTGGAAATCCGAGTGTTTGCGAGTGGAGCCCAGACAGCAGGTATATTTTGACCGCTACCACGAGCCCAAGACTCCGAGTTGACAACGGAATCCGCTTGTGGCACGTTGGAGGGGCGGTCATGTACAACCAGGATATGGTCGAGTTGTATCACGTACTCTTCAGACCGCAAGCCCCTGAGCAGTGTGCGCCTGGCGATCCTTTGCATCCTGTCCCAACTCCTCACGCCTCAGCTCTCGCGTATCTGGGCACTGTCAAGACACCTTCCAAGCCAGCTGGTGCATATCGTCCCCCTGGTGCCCGTGGTACTTCGACCCCGCTGCACTTCAAGCGCGAGGATGAAGGAGGGGCCGCCCACATTGTTAGCAACGGGACCTCGCTAGTCGGGTCAAATGGGTTTGGCAGGCCCAGAAAACAGGTCCCGGGAGCGGAGACAGTTGAGAATCTTCCCCCAGGAGCGGCGCCGCCCACAGGCCCCGGTGCCGCTGACGCCGATGACAATCTTTCCAAAGCGGCGTTGAAAAACAAGAAAAAGCGTGAAGCAAAGAAAGCCAAGGAGGCTGAGGCCAAAGCAGCCGGACTTAATCCAGCAGCCCCCGAAGGCCCGGCCCATGGCGCAGACCATCGCAGCCCAGAGCGTCGCGATCACCAGCGCAGCCGTTCTAAGGGCAACAGCCAAGATGTTCGCACGCCATCACAGCCGCGAAACCGTGCCAATACGCACCAGGGTAGACAACAACAATATCCCCGTGGGCAAAACGGCAATGGAGCACCTACGGGACAGATCAATAACCTGAATCTCAACCCAGCCAAACAGCAGCAACCGCGTGTGCAAGAGGCCCCTGAATTATCCGTCACGTCTCCAAGTGGCGGCAGCCCGAACGCGAAGAAGTTGAGGGGCTTACAGAAGAAGATCCGCGCGATTGAGGATCTGGAGATGCGACTTGCGGGGGGTGAGAAATTGGAGGATACGCAGTTGAAGAAGATCGGGACGAAGGCGATGGTTCAGGTCGAATTGTCGGCTTTGGAACATGATAATTAGTTGTTACGGTAGTCGGAGCTAATGCAGCGAGGGTTTGAGTGTGGATGGCATCAGCCAGCGTGGTGGTTGTACGCGTTGGATTGTACCGGAGAGACTTTAGAACATGCATAAAGCATAATCATCATCATCATCAGCATCATCATTTTTGGCAAGACAAGTCATTACATTAAACATTACATTACGTAGATCATGGTCTTAAGATTCGATCAAGATGGCGGATCCAAGCGAGACTCATCAAAGAAATATCAAAAGTCAACTTGAAAACCAAAGCTCGCGTGTTTAATACTGTCGTTTTCCTTCCTTAATTCGTGTTTACTTACGGCTTTGGCCCCTTTTGCTGCTGCCGAGCTGAGTTTCGGATGTGAGGTTGGATCCAAGTGGGGCCCCATTTCACCTAGACCACCCCTATATTATCGAGACCATATGCCATTAAGGTACGAGTACTACAGCCTACGTTCCTGGCCCATAGGTATTATCATGATTACGAAGTGAACGAATAGCCACAAGTCCAAAGCGGGTCGCCACCATAACTCAATAAGGGATCCTTTTCAACAAAGAACTTCCTTGAGTTAAAGCTCCTCTTTTAATATCTTAAAAGAATGTCTCCAAAAGATGAAAATGGCAAAAGAGTTCGTTGCCCACAGCCAACTAATCTCTGCCGTTTCGTAGTTGTCGCTAGACCTAGTTATATTTCTCTTCGATATGAGTGTCGTGTGATCACTTGTGGGGAGTGTCTTAAAGAGCTAGGTTGTCGTTAACGTATTTTCTGCTTCTTTGGCTATATATATATTTAGGAGTGAGTGATGGCGAGGTTGTGCCGGCTGAGCGACTGCTCGAGTACTGCCGGAGGATGTACGAAGTACTGCGGAGAGCCGAACCCTTATGTGTTGAGTTGTTGTACAGCTTTATACGGTTATCATTTGACTACGAGGCCATTGCGTTAACTCTTCTCTTGTACTTCGTACCTCATGGTAGCCGTGTTTGTTGTTTTTTGCTGGGAGGGATCCTGCGAATGTGAAACAATAAATGACAGCGAATTCCAACGACACTTCTGATAAACCCTATCTGCCTCTGGGCTACCGTAGAGCACGGTCCACAGCGCGCTTCGGGCCGCGACCGAGCCCTGACAACCATCTAGTTAGCCCCCCAACCTTCACCTACAACATCTTCTCCTCGCCCTGACAATAAGAATCGACACAGCCCGAGACTCGTCATATTCTAGCAGGAGAATATGTAGAATATTCTACCCAAAAAAATGCGTCCTGTACTGTAGTTCTTCGCTTCTTCGTTACTCAAACGCCTTTGCTCGGTTTTCCTTCTATGCGCCATGCTATCCCGTCAACGCGCCCTTCTCTCTCTCTTGAAATGCTTCAAACCACTTCCAACCACGCGGCTCCCCGCAATCCAATTCCAGTCCAACAATCATCGCGTTGCACCTACGTCAATAAGGGAATCATCAATTATGAATATGTCTTTCAAAGTTCCCAACGCCCTGGACAACCTGACTGGAACCGATGTCACACCAAAGCTTGAGATCCACGCTAAGGAACCCGAGTCCTTGAAGCTGGGCACGAAGCTGGTTGGTCAATCCGGGACCCAGTACCAGATTGATCAAATGCTCCAACACAGGACAGATCCTATATTAGCTTGTGTTTACCTGGCCGCGTACGTGCACTTTGAAATCTTGTAACTTATTTTGCTAATCAACTGCGGTTAACAGTGCTAAAGATAAAAGGAAATATGTCCTCAAGAACATCTTTCATACCGAGTTCGAGTACCAGCTTAATATGCAAGCACCTCTTAGCGACTGCCCTAACCTACGAGTCGTTATTGACACCATTCCCGAGAAACTCCTATTTGTCTATAATTACAGCACTGACCATCTTCTGAATCTGGCTAAAAAAGGGAATCTTTCTGACGCAACAAAGAAGAGGATATTGCGGGACGTATTAGTTGGACTTGCAGATTTGCATAACAGAATATCTTACACGGTGGTAAGCAAGATAGCGCCACAGCCACTGTCTAAACTTGACCGGTGCTAACAGTTTCTGTCCTTTTATAAGACATTAAGCCCGACAACATATTCGTGGACTATGATACGGAGCCTAATGGCGCTATTAAGGTAAAACGAGACCAGGTTGGTGATCTTGAGATGGGTTCTATAATTCCGCCTGGCTTAAACGTCCGCGGTGCCCGATTGGGCAATCCAATGTGGCGTAGCCCTGAGGCCCATGCTGCTGCCCGTATTAACTTTCCCTCCGACATATTTTCTTTCGGTCTTGTTGTAAGTGTATATACCCTTCTATAAAACCGGAGTATATAAATAAATTTGTAAAAGTGTATCTATACAATGCTTCAGAGGATTATTTTCCGTATCGATACAGAAGGATTAAGTGAAGCGGAGAAGGAAAAACTGATTGTAAGGCGTCTGCTCTCTTACTTCGCAGATGGACCGGGACTAGTCGGCCTCTTGGAGCACCTAGATGACTCGGTTGCTCAGTGGCGCGACCTCGTCCTGGCTACAGTCCCGGAGTTTACAACTACCGACCCAAGGAAACCGTTCTCTATGTGGGAAGATGTTGACGAATGCTTTCGGGATGTTATGACGAAGATGATGAGTCTAGATCCTGCGAGAAGGATCACGGCGAGGGAGGCTCTTGAGCACCCTTGGTTCCAAAATATATAACATTGGATCAACACGATCCCCAATTTGTTCTAGATTCATGTTCGCACGGCTCTTGCAGTCGGTTCAATTCGCGTACGGAAGTGATATGACGTCCGATACTAATATTAATCCAAGCCAATCTGGCACGATTTATCAAAAGGAACCTATTAACTCTCGCATAACCATATTCCTTATCCAGAGCTAAGACCAAAGAACCCATAACTCCTTGTGGGTAGACTTTGCTCGTGGACCCACTGCGCCCACCTGCGCCAGGTGGTGGTGGAGAACTGTTTGCCAGGCGGAAGGGCAAACCGGCATAGAGGGGAAGTGACATTTCCCCTGCTGCATCATATTGTAAAATGATACTTCACTTGGAAACAGGGCAGTAGTCCTCCTAGAACACTGGGTGTAGTTTGGCGTTCAAACTTTGAATATATCTCACTAGCTTTAGACACTAGACTTTGTTACCTAGGCTCTTTACAGACAAAAAAGTGGAAGTTCTAGTGTTATTATTACATTAAAAAAGAGGAAGGATATAAAGAAGTGCTTTGTATTCAGTATGGAATAGATGCTTCAGCAAGGACCTTTAGTGCAAGTAGCTGCATAAAAGGGCGAAAGAGTCACCTAAAAAAAAAATTTTACCAAGACTACTTACCTAGGTAGTTTAGAGGTCTTTTTGCAGTGCAATATATGATGTATTTGTAATAGATTGCGATATCTGACGAGTGGTGAGGGTTGAGGGAGGAGATGGAGTCCACATAAAGTGTTCGGCTACGACAGCTTCTCAGCCTCGTCTTCAAATTCGCGCGACGCGTTCTCCAAGGAAGTAGCGAATCGCAAGGTATCAACATCAACACCCCCAATGACAACCAATGTTCTACCCCGAGTAAAGCATTTACCTCCATAAATAACTGCCGACTATCGTGCTCCGAATCATGGCACGCTGATGAAGACTTCTCCAACTTTACGCTTCCTGAGAAATGGCCTCGGTCGTTTCGTTGGGTCTCGACCAGCCCGCGGGACTTCAATATGCCATCCAAGAGCACCTGCTGCCTCCAGAACCCCCGAGCACCGCCTATAGCTGGCATAATCACTTCGATGCCAGCGCTGACGCCGACTCGATATGCGACGAGGATGAGCTCTTAGTCACTCCACGATGCGTTATTTGGTCGCGAGGCGGGGTCTTTCGGAAAAGCTATAAATTTGATCTCGAGAAAGAACTTGTCACGCAAGCATTGCTGACATATTTCCCAAGCGTTGGGCCCTTGGAGAGAAAAGATACAAGCGGCTCGCAGAAGGAAGCGGCATCAAAGAGATCTGCGGCCATTGTGGTATTTCTAAAGACACAGGCGCATGTCCACTTCCTCTCCGGCACCAGCCATGTTATTAATTTGCCATTCGAGGTCGAATTCGTGACTGCGGCCCCCAATGGCCTGATAATTCAAAGGAAACTTCGAGTCGACAATCTCGTTCCAGCGTCGCTGAAATTCCCTCGAGTCCCTCCAAATTCTTTCGTTTCCTCCCAACCGCAACCATGGTCTGCATCAAGTTCACAACAGTCAACCTTCTCGATTGCCGACCTAGGGGCTCCAAAGCAAATGTCACTCCAATTCAACTCTACATTGAAGGATTTATGGGACCCACCGGCACTGACAGACGATGCTCACTGGCCGCGCCTATTCTCTCTCTCAGATCCCCTCGCTGAGATGGGCTTGGTGGTCGCACAATCTCCGAAACCTGAACTAAGAGGACACCGGAGAGGGCCGGCGAAGAAAACTGCTTTGGACACTGCAGAAGAAATACTTCATGTCTCACGCCAAGGTGAATTTGAAAAAAACTGTGCTGGTCTCGTCCTCGCCCTCACTTTAAACCGCGAAACGAGCACGTATACCGTCTGGAGGCTGTCATATATTGGAGAGCAAACGATGAGCGAAAACCACCGGATACCCAGTGATTCATCGCGCCGCAGAAGCTCTTTTGTCCCAGGGACTGCTACTGGAGCTACGACTCCAGTTGTAAATAGCCAAGCGACCTTCCGAGAGAGCTTTGGGGTCAATACTGCTGGGCTTGGGGCGAAACCTGTCAAGAAACATGCCACAATAGTAGGTGACAAAGCAGTCGACTTTGCTTCGACCCTCGATCCCGATTTTGAGAGCTCTTCACTCCCCAGGAGGAAATCTCGCCGTGTCAGCTCAATGCTTGCCCGGGCTGATCTATCTGCCTCCCACGAACGATCAGCGTTTTCTGAGCTCGCAAGCACCCAGCAACATGTTCCAAAAAGGCGCGGTGACTCTTTGGGAAGCCAGCATGCTAGAACAAGCACTGGGGGTTATGGCGGACCAGCTGGGGCCAGTTTCAACCAGGCCCCGCAGTTCAACCAGAGTCTCAATAGTTTTTTAGAGGCCCCAGTAGATGATTTGCTAGACGAGCTCCGAGCAGGAGGTGACTTCGAGGGCTTTCATAATATGGGCCTAGACGATGAGGAATTTGATGCGCTCAAGCAAGAGGTAATTCTGGCCAAGGTTTGCAGCGTTCCTGCGGAACATAGCAACGTTCGGTTCTCGAGTCAGCATATGCCAGCCACAAGTCAATGCAAAATATTTACGCTCACTGCACCGCCATCTGCAGCTGATGAGCAGCAGAGAAATACCATCGTGGTATGTATTTTAGACCCAGACGAGAAGAAACTTCTGGTTTTGACACTTTATACGCATGATCAATCTACGGGCCACCGCAACGAAAGTCTCGTCCGGGGTAGAAAGGCTAGAAAACAAGGTAGTTCGGTCTCATTGGGTCCTGTGGTGCGAGCAAATCGTGTTATAGATGCTTGCAGACTTGATGATGGCCATATTTCTCGAATTTTAGTCTTGACTGAAACCGATGATGGGTATGGAGAACTGAGCATGCAAGCACCATGGAGTGTACTGATGAAGATCCCTCTCCCTGGGAAATTCGCTATCAGTAATATTCGAAATCTTGGTCATAATGCCATACCACGTGCTAAGCGTGAAGGCGGTTTTAAGAGGGTTCTTAGCCAGGGACCGCGTGCTCTTCGAGGGTTACGAAATTCAAGGCCGCACGGATTAGTTGACCTGGTAGATGATGAAGGCAAGCTGCATCAGATACAAGTTCTCCTGGAGCCTCGAAACCCTCATGTGTGCAAAATTCTTGAAATCTGTAGAACTGTGATTCCAGGAACTCGAGGTGGAGAGGGGGTTTTGAAGGGGTGGTGGGATGCCATGCAATGGCTTCGTCTGGAGGCGATAACCACAGTCGATGCGGAATGGACTGCTGTTGTCATCATATTATTCTCACTTGTTCTCAGTCTAAATGATGAATCAGGTGTGACTCGAAAGAAAACACATACAAAACGAAAATCTCGGACGGGTTTGCTACGATCTAGCAGTGGCGCTCAATCGGATTCGGAGAGTTGGCAGACGATGCTTTCTCAGGAAGCTTCAATCGGAAATCCATTGCCGGCTTGGTCCAACAATGCGGCCTGGAAATGGCTTGCTGAGGATGAGGAGGCAGACATCTGGGTCAAGGATTCTGAGGCTGCGTCACCAATTCTCACACCAAATGACAGTGATGACACAAATTTTGTTCCGCGGCATGTGAAGCTTGCCCGGGACTTTACAAGCTCAACTATTGGGAAAGAAGTAGTATGTGATACTCTGCCAACCTCTAAGAATAGAGATATCCACGCCCGTAAAACGGCCCTCACCGACATTATCACTGGTCTTCATCTTCTTCGTGAAGAGGATAAGCTCCACACAATGGCCACCGACTCTTATAGCACGGGTGTTTCAGGGCTTGCTCCAGTTCTGGGACAGATGGTACATTGGCTAGGATGGAATACTTGGATGGCCCATTATGATCTAGACGAAGTTTTGTTACTGGATCTGAAGTATGATAACGGTAAGTTCTAGACGTCCTTCTTGGAAGCAAGACCCTAATGAGCTGGCCAGGTTTACGCATTGATCAACCCATTTCGGAACCGTTCGAATGCCCATCGGTCTATCAGTGGATACAGGCCTGCTTGACGACCCAAAATCAGGCAAAGTTCATTACTCTGCCTACCCTAATTGCCACTCAATCTCAGTCTTCGGGCACAAATGCATTTCCAAGAATATTCCTTTTCGAGGTGTTTTTTGCTTCGATGCAACCAGGCTGGTCTCCAGTGCAGTTCGTTGAATCTCTAGCTACAGCTGGTATTAATGTTCTTCTTCTTGAGACACTACCCGAGGCTATCCTTGCCCCACTACAAGAAGCTATCGCTCAGTGTCAAGCAGAGCCTCCCACAACATGGAGCAAAGAATTACTTGCTATCGCAGGCCGAGAAGATGTGAATATGCTTCTAACTCCAGGGCAACGTCCGCGCCACGGCCAATCTAGTTTACTGGTAAGTTTATATTTTTATTAAGGATTCACAAGCTGATTGGGTGTAGGTTCCATCTCATGAGGCACATATGGATGTTCGCGCAATATGTGCATCTACGGCAGATACGGAGGCACTGAGGTCCTTTGATGCTGTGGCCGAAATGGATCGGCAAATAATCACACGTGCCATTTTCAAGGACGATAGAAGAGTGAACGAAGCCATGCGTATTCTTAACACAACAAGATCAACTGTCGCGCGTTGCAAGTCTGAACCCCAATGGACGGAGTCGGAACTGTTAGAAGCACAGAAAGATCATGCCCAAATGCTGGCCTATCGCACCCTTGCAATTCCCTCTGGACGAGGACTATTATATTTCAGTGCTCGAGTGCCGCTTCTGACAGAGAGGCTTTCGATTGGCGGATTCAATTTAAGTTGTGTCATGAAGCCAGATAATAACACCGTGGGAGTGGATAAGAACGCATTTACAGAAGAGAAAGTGTGCTGGGCATTTTTCCACGCAGGTGTCGCCGCCGGCCTGAGCATTTCGCGGGACGCGAAAGGAATTGACACTTCCTGGATTATATTCAATAAGCCTACTCAGGACCTCAGCAACCGCCATGCTGGGTTTTTGCTAGCCCTAGGACTCAATGGGCACTTGAAGTCAGTGGCTAAGTGGGTTGCGTTCAAGTACTTGACACCGAAGCACACCATGACCTCAATTGGATTACTCCTAGGCTTAGCTGCTTCGTATCTCGGTACCATGGACTCACTAATAACACGTTTGCTCTCTGTCCACGTAACTCGGATGCTGCCCCCGGGTGCTGCCGAGTTGAATCTGTCTCCTTTGACCCAGACAACGGGCATAATGGGGATTGGTATACTTTATTGCAATACACAGCATCGTCGAATGAGCGAGATCATGGTATCTGAGATCGAGCATATTGATACTGAAACCGAAGAAGAGCCATTGAGAAATGAAGGTTACCGGCTTGCGGCTGGATTTGCGCTCGGTTTCATCAATCTTGGCAAAGGCTCTGATCTCAAAGGCCTTCATGACATGCGCCTTACCGAGAGACTTTTAGCACTATCCGTCGGTAGTAAGAGGGTCGATCTAGTTCATGTGCTAGACAAGGCTACCGCGGCTGCTGTTGTGGCAATGGCATTGATCTTCATGAAGTCGGAGAACCAAGTTTTAGCTCGCAAAATCGACGTTCCAGATTCACTTCTACAATTCGATTATGTTCGGCCAGATATTTTCCTCCTTCGCACTCTCGCCAGACACCTAATTATGTGGAGTAAGATAGAGCCTTCTTTCTCCTGGATCAAGAACAATCTACCCCCCGACTACAGAACGAGAAGTTCTCTTGAATCCATCAAACTTTTAACTAGTGACGATCTCCCATTCTATGACATTGTTACAGGCCTTTGCTTTAGTATTGCATTGCGCTTTGCTGGATCGGGCTCTCTAGTTGTTCGAGACTTGCTAATCCATTACCTGGACCAACTAATGCGGATTTGTCGAATTGATGCTACTACATATGATAAGAAGCTAACAAGAAATACCGTTCGGAATTGTCAAGATCTGTTGGCGCTTAGCCTTGCCACTGTCATGGCCGGCACCGGTGATCTGGTTGTGTTTCGTCGACTTCGGTCTATACACGGTCGTGACAATAACGAAACCCCCTACGGAAGTCACCTTGCGGCTCACTTGGCGATCGGTGCTTTATTTTTAGGAGGTGGAACGTACACATTTGGGACATCAAACTTGGCTATTGCTTCATTGCTGGTAGCGTTTTATCCTATCTTTCCGTCTTCGGTACAAGATAACCAGTCTCATCTTCAAGCTTTCAGGCATTTCTGGGCCCTGGCAGCAGAGCCCCGATGCCTAGTCACAAAAGACATCGACACCAATCAGCCCGTCCCTTTGCCAATCACGGTAACTCTCCAAAATGGCGAACAGACACAACGCCATACCCCTTGCTTATTACCAGAGCTCGATCAAATCAAAACAGTGCGCACAAACAGCACAGAATACTGGAATATAGTGCTCGATTTCGCAGCGAACCCAACTCACATTGCCTCCTTCAAATCAACTAGGACAGTCTATGTCCGTCGCTGCCCTGCCCACGATGCCAATACATCCGCTTTCCAAACCACTCTCCAGGCTCTAAATGATACTGACGGCACAACATCATCGTCGTCCCACTCCCTAGAATGGCTCTTCGAACTCCCCGCCTTCGCCTCCCTTACCAAAGCCGAAAGAGCATTAGTCCTCCCACCCGACCATGGCGGTGCAAGTGATATCCACTGGGGCACGAAAGAAACTGTTGTTGACGCAAGACTCGTGTTGGAGAATGATACGATTGATAGTGGCAAAAGAGACCGGCTTCTGGGGCTGAGGTTATTGTTTGAGTGGGCGGATAGGAATGTTGCGGAGGGGAAAGAGATGCTATGGATTAGGAGTGAGGTTGTGGAGAGGCTGAAGGCTAGAGTTTGGATGGTTGCGGAGGGGGCGAAGTAAGGGTGGGGAATCTGAGATTACACGATGTGGGCGTTTTCGGAGGCGTTTGCACCTCCCTTGGGACAGGCGTGTGGTATGGGAAAAGGTGATTTTAGAGGTGCATATTTCGTGAGTGAGGCATTGATCATAACCCCGTTATGGAACCTAGAAGGGAAAGGGGACTGTTTGAGAACATTGTGAAAAACATATATTAATAGGGCGATTAGAAAAATCATGCCATAGCATACCTTACAAGGCTTTAGCCCATACCAGATAATTGAAGCGAGTTTGGAGTTTGGAGTTTGGAGTTTGGAAGTGAAGTTAAATACCAAGGCGATACCCTAATTGCCGTCATAAATCGCTACCTATCATACACCCTTTTGAGCTATCATGCCATTCTAAAACCATCGCCTTTCTCACAACTTCCCCTTAACATCACCCGCCACCTCGTTTGCCTTTCCCTTAGCCTCACCAGCAATCTCACTGGCCTTTCCCTTGGCCTCTCCTGAAACCTTGGATGCCTTGCCAGCCACTTCGGACGCCTTCCCCTTAACTTCGCTAGAGGTCACACCTGCGACCTCTTTTACTTTGTGGGTTGCGGTTTCTGCGGAGATGGCGGTTAGTATGGAGTGGCTTGGGATGGAAGAGGGGTTTAAGTTGTGCTATATGGAGGGTGTGGGGTAGACGGGAAGACAGAGGATAGGGGAGGTAGGAGAAATTGAGGCAATGTAATGTGCTAGGAGGATAATTTAGATCAAGTATACAGGACGGCGAGGTGGTGATGAGGTGGTGATCTTGCATTAGCATCACCAGCATCAACATCACCACCAGCACCAATGTCTTGATCATCAAACGGAACAACAGCACAGCAGAAAATGAGGCATGGGGACACTACACATACCGCCAATCTCGATACCATCAACAAGCTTATTGGAGACCTTTCTGTCAACCGCCTTGGCAACATTCTTCACCGCCTCTGTGGCTGACTTCCGTGCTGTGATAGAAGTAGAGAATGCACGGGGAGCAAATGTGCGTGAGGTGCGCAGGACAGTGATGCGGGCGAGGGAAGCCATTTTGTATAGTTTTGATATATGTTGGCTTGGTGGTAGTATTGGTGGGTGATGGATTCAACCGGAGTTTGGCACTAGAAACTAGAATTGAGTTGTGAGAGTATGAGTAAGATGGATTGTCTGTGATAAGTAGAAAGGAAGAAGGAAGAGGAAGGACGAAAGAAAGAAAAAGAGCAAGAAATAGCTTTTGAAGCACTTCGTAATGATGATGAAGGCGACAATTGCAGCTGGAGACTAGGGCGCTTCGATCTCTACGTCATGGGCCGCCGCTTGGTGGGGAATCCGATTGCGGATAAACAAGTTACAAGTTACAAGTATCAGGGATTTGTATTGCACGTGATGATCGGAGCTCTCCCTTTCCCTATTCCAAGTATATCAGATATATTTATAAGGTATCTACCTATGTATAATAAATCGAACTCGACACGTCGTCATTTTATGGTGTTGGTGGAGCGTGCTCGGCGCAGTATGGAGCACAGTTTGTAGGGCTGTAATAAATAATAAGGGAATGCTTAAGCCGAGGGAGCTTATGTACTGGATATTTGAGCTCCAAACTCAAATCCCCGCAACAACACCAACCACAACCAACTTCCCTTCCTCCCAAACCCATCGCCATTGTCACAATGCGCTCACCACTCCCTCTTGCACGTCAATTGCAATTGCAATTCCCCTCCAAGTCTAAGCATTTCCTCCGTCCTGTCTTTCGTTCCTATTCCACACAACCCCCCCTCATCAACACCTACGACATCCAAGCTCCCAACACCGGGCGCATCCGCATCCTCTCCCTCGCCCGTCCTTCAGCACGCAATGCCATCTCCCGCCAATTGCTCCACGAGCTCCGCACAAACATCGATGCCGTAGCCGCAGAATACGCCGCAGATGGCAGTGAAGTGCCGCCGCAGAAGACTTACGGCGGTGCCGCGGGGGTAGATCAGAAGGGGCCAACGAGGGTTTTAATTCTCGCAAGTGAGGTAGATAGCTGTTTCTGCGCGGGCGCCGACTTGAAGGAGCGGTCCGGGTTTACTGCTGATGAGTATGTCTCTATAGATATCCCCCTAGTAGGAAGGGACGTAAAGCTAACTCTCAGGGAAATAGAACAGAAGCATTCCTCTCCAACCTCCGCAGCACCTTTACCTCCCTCTCCCTCCTCCCCATCCCCACCATCAGCGCCGTCAGCTCCCTAGCTCTCGGCGGCGGTCTTGAGCTCGCGCTCTGCACACACCTGCGTGTCTTCGCCTCCACAGCGCAAGTCGCCCTTCCAGAAACACGATTGGGCATTATTCCCGGTGCTGGAGGAACATATCGCCTACCGGGACTCATTGGGCTCGGCAGGGCAAGAGATCTAGTGTTAACGGGGCGGAGAGTTAGTGCTGCGGAAGCGTATTTCCTTGGGATTTGCGATCGGCTTGTAGAGGTTGTGCCAGGGGAGGAAGAAGTGGGCGAGCAGGGAAATAAGGAGCTGATGAGGAGAGCGGGTGAGGAGGTGCTGAGGGAGGCTGTTAGGGTTGCTGGTGAGATTTGCGAAGGCGCCCCTACGGCTGTGAGGGCCGGGTTGAAAGCTGTTAATTATGCGAGGGAGGACGTGGAGAATCAGATGTATGAGAGTGTGGTGGGGACGGAGGATAGGAATGAGGCATTGGCCGCATTTAAGGAAAAGAGGAGGCCTGTTTTTAAGGGAAGGTAGAAGCCTCGTTGGCTTCTGAGGCGGATGATATCCTTCCACCGCAGGCGGGGATTGATGCTACTAGTAGACGGGCCTTATCTTTGGCTCGGGATTTCAAACCGATATATTCTGGATGAGAGCATTTCACGAGCCCTCCAGGTTTCCACCTCTATACAGGTGGTAGATTCAAATTCCAGATTCAAAAGTGAATAGCCCCATGTTTCCCTTTACGTGCCTTTTCGCCAACGACCGACAGCAAGGGACTACTATCATCCCCCCGTCCTTCATATGGATCATTCAACGAGAACGCCCCCTTTATAGTCAAGGGTCTAATTTTTGGTATAAAAAGCATCAAGACCATCAAAATACATACTTTTTGGCCAATCCTGCTACTAATTAATCCACTACTATCGATTACTTTACCCCTGTCAAGATATTCCATATATGTCAAATCAAAATAATCAACTCAAGAGCCTCCAACCCCCCCTATCCCAAGTCCCATAACCTAAACACGTTTAGAGAGATATACACGATCGCCGCCACAAACACAGCAACAGCTACTACAACCTTGTATAGGTATGTAATTGAAGGCCTGGGATATGGGAGGGACACTGAGTACGGTGCCAACCCGAGGTTCCATTATCAACAACCATCCGCTTCATTTACTATTTCTTCTTCTTTCCGTTCATTTGCCCGATTCATCTATCAACGCGTGTAGAGGAGTGTAGCCTCTACCTCAAAGAGGGCTTTTGCTAAACTTATTTAGTCCTATATACCTCGGGTTGAAGTTGGTCGGTTAGCGAATAGCAACCACCCGAAGGGCACAAACCAGCTATCCAAGTAATTGTTATAATTTCAAATTAAACTCGAAGTAAGTAATCAGAGACCTACTGGGTCATAATATATATATTAGTCTTTGTAGTTTGTTCCTTTAAACCAAGGCACCCAAGGGGATTGATGGACGTATCAATTGGTTGTAATTGCTTGAATAAGCCTCTAAGCACCCCACTGTCAACATCGGCCCCCCTCCCCCGCCAACCTTTCCCAGCACCACAACACCACGCCCTCTCATTCTGTCGTTTCTTGCCATCAAACAACACTCACACCACCATCCATCATCCATCACCAATTAACTCCCCAGCAAAATGGCCGACACCGAGTCCCAGACCCTGCCGCCAGAAGCCATCGCCTTTGCCGCGAGGATGTACGATGCCGCACGTGCGGGCCAGATGGACATCTTTGAGCAGGCATTGCCGGCCGGGTTACCCGCTAACATGACGAACGAGAAAGGCGATAGCTTGGTATGTTTTGGTTTTTGTTGATTTTATTGATTTTATTTGGGGGAAAGGAGTGTTTATGTATCTATTTTCTGGTTTGGGTGTTTTGGTTACCTTATGAATAAAACATTCAGTGGTTGTCTGTTACTCCTGAACATCATATATCATCATGGAGCTATTTATATGTGATGTGTTTATTTTCAGAAGTCTGCAGATGCCGATATATGGACTTGAGAATCCTAGCTTCATCTCTATCTATCCCGCAATGGATCCACGAGTTCTATACATCCTTCCCTGACGTTCTTTCTCCGCCTTCCAAATGTTCTGCCGAATCTCATCATCTCTATCTCTCAATTCAATCCTCGCTCTTAAACCCTGCCTAATCAAAACACAGTTGATGCTAGCCTCCTACCATGGCCACGCGCCCTTGGTACGTCTCCTCCTCTCGCACGGCGCCAACGCCAATTCCCTTAACGATCGAGGACAATCGCCTTTGGCCGGTGCGGTGTTTAAGAAGGAGGATGAGGTTATCGAGGTGTGTGTTTTCTTCCCCCTTCCTTTTCCCTCTGTTGCATTCCGCTCAGTTTCTCCGTATCTATCCAACTATAATTAAAGATAAGAGAAGGTAAGAAAGAAAGCTAACACAAATAATTGTAGGCCCTTCTAGAGGGCGGCGCGGATCCCGACCTTGGGAGCCCGTCGGCGACGGAGGCGGTAGTTATGTTTAAGCAGGAAGAGACATGGAAGAAGAGGTTCAACGAAGCGGTTGGGAAGGGGAAGGGTGGTTCGACTAGTTGATTTTTCAGAGTTGGTGGTTTCGAGGAATGTTGGACAAAATTGGACAATGAATAGCAATCCTAACAGATTATGTACGCTCTTCAAACCTAGCTTGGTCCGGATTGACAGGTGGAGGCTAGCTGGGGTAGCAGTTATGAGACAACGGGGAAACGGCCACCCAAGTGCTGGTTAAGATATTGGAGTGGAAAAGTAAACCGGGGAAAAAAGGAATTATAACGAGATAGAAATAACACCACGTGGGTTCCCTGGTGAGATATGATTTAGTCCAGGTTTCCCAGGTAGGGAAAGGTAATATCAGGAGTTGTGATTATGACATGACCCGGTATTATTACAGGTCAGGTTTAGGGGCAGCAAGGCTTGGCCACGTGCTCGCAGCATGCAGCCTGCCCTTGCGTGTGTTCCGTGTTCAACTGAGGAACTATCTCATGGTTCCCGGTGATAAGGGCACATTCATGGTTTTAAGGGCCGAGGTGGAACTTTAAAGTTCTGGTTAATGAAAACACCACAATGTAGGTTTCTCAATCCGCTGTCGCCAAGGGCAATTCTTAGAATTTGTTCTTGTTCAAATCAACTCGTTGCTCTTATCGTCCATGTTTAATATTAATAAGTCGACAGATGCGAAACCATCACGGCCATCATGCGACAAACACGGCTTGAGCCAAGCCTCGATCCATGACAGTAATCGGGGGTTCGAAATACAAAGCTTAAGCGGCTGCCCTGAAGATCATGCTATGAGTCGTTTATGATCATCAATAGGGGTGTTTGCAGCGCCCGCTCTTCGTTGCGGGCAGCTAGTCCGGGATAATTGGGAATTTGTGCCGTAGTTGTAGGACAACATTCCCACCCCGCCGATAGGCACGAGTCAGGGCGACGACGCCAAATCAGACGGCGGGATCCAGGCGCAGCCACAGCAGAGAAATCGTTTCTGATTTCCACGCAGTCGAGATGGGATCGGGCGTGGCTGGATAAGGGCGGGGAACCGGATCCCGCTGCTGATTGGAATGGAATGTCTTGCAGGCGTCGTCGCTCGAGTCTCAGGTTCTCAGCGCTGGGTGGTGGAGGGGCGAGATGGTCGGGATAACTACTTCTTTTCTTATGGCTCTTATGGCTCCCATGCACGCTGGACGCTGCACCGCGAAAGGGGCGTTCGGGGGGCTGCTGGCCAGTCGTCAGCATACCGCGAGGAGCCTGAGGAGGTCTTTTTGGCGTGTGCCTGTTCCTGTTCCTGGGACGTCAGCCTCTGTACCGTACCTGTAAGAAGTACAGTAGTATCCGGACGTCGAGGAGTATTCGCTCCGTCCTGGACCCTTTGGGGAAGCCTAATATAGCTAGCTGAGTCTGCAGTCGCCTTCGTCCTTCGTCCTTAACTGGACCCAAGATCCCCCATCCGGAGTGCTCGTAACTTGGTAGATTATTTGTCTCCAGTCTCCAGTCTCCAGTCTCCAGTCTCTGGCCGATGCCGCTGGGGGCTCGGACGTGTTCAAACAGTCCCCACACCGCTGTTCTCTCTCATACTCGTGGTACATACATGTACTGTACGAGCGCTGCGTTCTGAGTATGATAATAAGATCTGTGCCAGCTTCATGCATCAAGTCTGTGGTTCTCCGTGCGAGCGTTCCCTTGATCATCGAATGGCGAGCGGCCGTCGTGTCTCTGGCGGATTAAGAAACACTCAGTCGGGAACAGGCAGCTCGCCTGATATTAGATAATTAGAGTCTGTACTCGGTGTCACAGCACAGAGGGCGGAATATGTGACTGATATCTGCATTCTGAGCAGAAGGACGCGATCCTCCTGCAAAGATTTAGCCTGAAGGAGAACTGAACTGTGATAGCAGTACGGAGCACTTCGTCCTTCGTAGTAATGGGACTTTACTTTTTTGACTTGTACTGTACTCGGACCTGACTTCGTCGAGATAGAATGCTCCGGCTTGACCGTGACACAGACCGCTGCCAGACACGTCCGCCGGCTGATAATAAGAACCCAGTTGGAGGTTGGAACTGCAATAATAATCCTCCGTCCGCAGGTACAGTACATTATTAGCACTCTGGTGTATGTACGGTCCATGTACTGTATGTAGTCCCCGCGTGCGGTTTGGGGGACTGTGCAGGAGATATGTTTCGGATTGAGCCGTTTGTAGGAACCTGCTCCGGCGCAACTCTCCACTGCTCTGCACACTTATTAGACACTACTCCTGAAAGCGTGCGAGTTGCAGTGAATCTTGCTGTACTCTGTCCGTAGCCCCTTTGAACCTTGATTATTATAACTTGGTCAGGTTCACTGTTAAGGCTTTTAAGCAGCGTTACGTTGCGGATGAGCCCGGCCCGTCGACCCTACACCCCAGATACTCTCTCTCTGGTACCAAGTACAGCACTCGTAATTTCGTGCTTCGTAAACTTCCAGCTTCCTCCCTGTCGCTGTCGCTGTCGCTGTCAATCCATCCCAACTCCAGCTCCTAACTCTAATTTGCTCTCGCCGACACCTTGGAATCTCTTCACCTCTTTCGCCTCTCCGTCTCTTCATCTCGCGCCTCTCCCCCACCCCATCTCTGGTTCCATAGTCCTCCTCCTCCTCCATCGACTGTCTCTACCGCTTCAGGCGCCTGCCAATCCAACCCCCAGAGATCTGCCAGTCTCCGCTGGCCTGTTTCAACAGCAGATCATATCCGCCAGCTTTTCCTACGTTTGCCGTCAGATACCCTTGCCTCAGCGCCATTACGAGATCTGTCGCGCTTGGTGCTGTTCCACGATCGGCGGATGTCAATCCAAACTTTTCCTTGTGGCTGCTGTCCCAACGTTGCATTCGCATTTGCATTGAGGCCGACACGGCAGGCTGTGTTCAGCTATTAGGGACTATCAGTTGCTATCACGCCTCGTCGCGGCACCCCGGTGCTGTCTGTCGCCCGTCGCCAGCACATCTCGAATCGATCAAACATCCCTTAGTGATGCCAGCCTCGCCCTCAACACGGCCTCAACCTCAAGATGCAATCTTTTGAGAATACGCCCATGTCCCCCACGAAGCGCCTTGGGGTATCCTTAAACGTTGATACTGGCTATAAAGGGAAACGAATCGATAATTCTCCGCCCGAGACACCTGCCGCCCGCGATCCTCGATCCGCATCGAACAGAGCCAATATGCCTCCCCCGAGCCGGGCGCTTAAGCAGCGGGAGACTTTTTTGGACGACATTACACCCGTGGATCCTGCGTCCAACAAGGAGAATGATCCCGAAAACGGTCCAGGACATCATCGAGATTCGCACGATCTTTCTCTCTCTCCGCGGCAAGTCACTCGCGATTCGCTGGTTGACCACATGCTGCTCTCTCTCGACCAATTCTCGTTTAGCCATGATGAAGAAGCATTTGGGAGGCAGCCTGCGCTGGACCAGGAGAATATGTACTCGTCGTTTGGCGATGAGGAATCATACCAGCCCACGTCCAATTTTGCGCCGAGGGGAGGTCGGCCAGGGCACAGTTATTCCTACAGCTCCGACTACGACAATGCCGATGATTCGAGTCGATACTCGGGCCAATTGTCCCGCGGCCGAAGGAGCAACAGCAGCTCGAATTTCCAACCCGGTTTGGGAAGGATAAGTAGCATACGCAATGAAGGTGGAAGTCGCAGCTTCTCGAGCTCAACTCGTGGGCATGTACCAATTCCTCCAAGGGGCATACATTCGCGGAGCGGGAAGGGCAGCAAAGGAAGCAGCGCGAACAGTTTTGATCTTGGATATGCACAGGTTACGAGCAGTCAACGGTGGGCTCACGGGCTGGCGGGAAGGTCCTCAAGTTTTGACTATGGGAGGGAGCGTCAAACCATGACAGCACAATCGGATGGATTGCCTCGACAGAATGCGCCGGTATTCACACCGTACGACTACGATGCCGCCCCTACACCTACGGTTCCAGGTGGCCCTCGAAGACCACGGCCGGTTTCTCCAATCCTTCTTCCTCAAAAAGAGGCCGTAATAATGGACCCAGCGCCGCCAAAGCTGGAGCATAAGCGAAGTACCAAGTCATCCAAGAGCGCGTTTAGAGGGAAAACAGCGGGGAGTATGGCAAGTAGAGTCGATTATGGTCTGAACGACAATAGTCGGGAACTTCCCCCTCTACCTGCATTCATCAGGGAACCTGCGCCATCACCCACAGTCGCATACGAGAAGTTGAAGGATACATCACAGCCCTCGTCAACAATACCTCAACCAGCAAAGGATCGACCTGGCTTTTTCAGAAGAGTCTTTGGTTCTTCGAGGAGCAATCCTCCTCCTAGCGCTCCAGAACCTCCTCGCTCTCACGGTTCTACTACCTCGACTGATACGGCAAATCGGCCAGGCAGCAAGACCCATCATATCGCCACTCAGATGAAGTCTCAGCACGTTCCGCCGCCTCGAGAACCGCCTCCTCCTCCAAAAGATCATGGGCATGTCCTAAACAAAAAGCCCTCGTCCTTCTTTCGGAGACGGAAGAAATCCGTATCAGAACCCCCGGTCCCGGGTCCTCTTCAACCCACCCCACCTATCCTGCTCCAATCCGAGCTACCTCTACCAAGCCCTGTCAGTAGCCTTCGAAAGGTTATGAACCCCTATCTACGGACACCAGCAAGGATCCCATCTGAGCCTTATGTTCAAGAGAGCAGCATAGATCGCCAAATGAACAGTAGCCCTGAACCCATTGACCGTAGTACGAGAGGGTTTTCCCCGGATTATGAGCCCGATAAGAGTGCCACGATAAGGACTGTCAGACCAGAATCGAAAGATGCAACTGATGGAATCCCATCGTCTTCGGGGTCAGCGCACAGACCGTTCTTATCCAGCCTAAGTGCTGGCCCTACTGGCGGGGACGGGACATTCCTCCAAGACGCTAGTGATAATGACCCGGATGCCCATAGCAACAATTCGAAGTCTGCACTTGTTGGAAGGGAAGGTCTAGAGTCGGGCTGGCATGTGAAGCATACATCTCCTGTAACACCTATCCCGGTTACATCTGCCGTGGCACGAGATATGGCGCTTGTGGCAGAATATGAAAGAATACACTCGAAAAGGTCTCCAACGGGTACCAAATTTGATTTGGCCAAATCCTCGACACTGGAATCATCCCAGAGCCAAACAGATGCCAAATCTAGCCAGAAAGGGTCTACTACTGGCAAAGACGAGGAATGGGTAATGTTAACACCAACGAAATCCCCTCAGCAGCTCGAGAAGGGAGATCGTGAGTGGTCAGAGCCCGACGATGAAGGGCCCCGTGACTCCAATCACAAGTTACCTAAGGGTGAACAGCCCTCTAGGACGAATTCTGGCTCAACGGATACAATCTACAAATCTGCGACTAGTCTACCTATCGTGCAGATTGAGGGTGAAGTGCAAGTCGACGCATCTGGTCCGCAATTACTGACCGAGGCTGAAGCTGTCATGCCACTGGACGAACCAACTCCTATTGATCCAAAAGCCCCTACGGAGGACGACCGCGAAAGGGCTAAAAAGATATACGATGGCAACGAGGATTTCATACAAAAAGAGAAAGCGGCAGCATGGATGGGAGAAGAAGGAGCTTTGCGTTCAAGAGTGTTAACCGCGTATCTGGAACTCTATGAGTTCTCGAACTTGAATATTCTCGCTGCTCTCCGGATCATGTGTGGCAGGTTGGTCCTCAAAGCTGAGAGTCAGCAGGTTGATCGCATACTTGACACATTTGCGAAGCGATGGTGCCAATGCAACCCTAATCATGGATTCAAAGTTACCGGTAAGCACCCTACCTATATACCTAGATGATATTGACTAACAACTCAGATGTGGTGCATACAATATGCTATTCAATTCTTCTGCTAAATACAGACTTGCATCTAGCGGATATTGACCAGAAGATGACTCGGAGCCAGTTCGTTAAGAACACAATGCCTACTATCCGTAAAAGTGTCGCCGAATCAGCCCCCGATGCCTTTGAGGCAAGACCCACGGTACTACCGGGGAAGAACAGTACCTTCGGCCCAGATTCTTCAAAACAGCCAGGAGATAGCGATTTGAAACCAGAGCGTGGCTCTATCGAAGTTGAACGGCCATCATGGAGATCTTCGTTCAAACCTCCCGTCCGAGCCGGCTCGGAAGGCAATGGAGTGTCGCCCACGCCGCTAGACTACGATACACCAGTGGATGACTGCGGTCCTCTCGTAAAAGCACCATTCCACGGCACCTTGCGTACTTGGGAGGTTCAGGTTGAAATCGTGCTGAAGGACTTCTACAATTCTATCCGCAATGATCGGCTTCCATTGTTTGGTGCGCCTATTGAGCGACCACAACTTCACGCTCCATCAACAAACAGCTTGACCGTGTTTGCTAGCGGGGTTCTACGGCGTACACCTAGTGTACTCAGCAAGGCGCCTTCGGAGTCCCTGAGCTATGCGCGGGGCAGAACTGCGGAGACCGTCCGTGTTGGAAACGGCAAATGGGCTAATAAGAATCGCTCAAGGCCTCGTCTGTACCCAGGCAGTGGTGTGGGATCTAGTCGTACCTCCCTAGATGATCAGTCTTCAATGTGGAGCCCATCCGTATCCTCGAGTACCTGGAGCAAATATTCGCTGGGAAAGACACAAACCTCGATGTCGGTCGACTCCTTTGGATCAAATTGGCCTCAGGGTGACTATCAACAGTCTATCGGTTTCGCGAACGCCCTCAGCCAGGCCATCATACGTGAAGAAACCATTGGTAGCGCAGGAAGCAACGGGAGCGACCAGGAGCCTCGTGTTGCTCCTCTGTTAGAGGATGAGTCCCTGGAGCTTCACGGAGCCCCGTGGGCCAAGGAAGGCATCCTCAAGCACAAGCATCATCTTGAATCGCTCGACAAGAAAGCAAAGGACCGCAACTGGAATGAGGTATTTGCCGTTGTTGAGAAAGGTTATCTAAGCCTATTCTCCTTCTCATCGAAGAGTATGCGCAACAAATCAAAAGGCAAGGCTGCTGGAGCTGTTGTTGGAGGAGGGAATTGGCAGGAGAATGCTCAAAGCCTTGGTTCCTTCCTCCTCCGACAAACTATTGCTAGCTCTCTTCCACCGCCTGGTTATTCTAAGGCCCGTCCTCACGTATGGGCTTTATCCTTACCAACCGGGGCTGTTCATCTTTTTCAAGTGGGCACGCCAGATATTGTCAAGGAGTTCGTCTCGACAGCCAATTACTGGAGTGCACGGCTATCAAACCATCCATTAGTCGGTGGTATCAGCAACATCGAGTATGGCTGGTCCGATGCTATCGTGAATAATGCTTTAGTGGCCGCGATCAATGACTCAACTACTAGTCGGCCATCGACAAGTGGTGCCAGACCAAGTCTCCAGAGCTCATTGAGATCGAGTATCGATCAAAGCCCCCTGGGCGGAGGCGTGAGATCCAGATTACCCGGAGATCGAATCACAATCTCAGACTGGACTCCACCAACGCAAAGTATGCGTGCCAGTAACTTAATGGAGGCAGATCAACTACAAACCCTACAAACATACGTAGCTGGCATTGAGGAAGAGTTGCAAAAACATAACCAACTGCGTAACCCGATGCTCCTCGCTGTAAGTCGTCTCAATTCCTCCCCCCCAATATCCTGACTAATAATAATATAGTTCACTCCCCGCCATCCAAATTCCCAAAAGGCCATGGCAAACTGGGAGAAGAAATCATCTTACCTCCTTCGCGAGATCGTCAAGTTCAGGACTTATATCGACTGCTTACTAGCAGCTGAAGCTGCCAAGCAGAGAATTTACGCGGAACGGGCGGCCGAGAAGGCTCTTACTGAGGATGCTGCTGGATCTGATGACGATGATGATGAGGGAGATACTACCCTACGCCCTGAATGATCCACTTTACCAACTTCAACACCCGATATTTAATAAGGTTCCATTTTTCGTCTGCCCTATTACCGAGCTTACCACGACGTCTTCATGTTTATGTCTTACGCTTCTCACTCAATTTGCTCCCACACGAACACAATTACATGCCACACCTCGGCGCCTTTATCTTTGGACTACCTGGATTGGTGTGGCTTTGGACCTGTACATGAAATCTCCCTGTATTGAAATATAGCAGGTCTTATTACGCTGGCGTTGGCTTGGGTTTCCTACAGTATCACTATACCCAGCTTGTTGCCTATTTTTCTTTTTCCTTTTGTTAAGCGAGAGGTTGTTCATTCTTCGGTCTCCCATCTTGTGGCCACCATACCTACCCGCGGTAGCTTTTCCATGTATCAGTTATTTAATATGAGGCGGAGAGAGTTTTATGAAAATATGAGATTATGAGGCTTCGCTGGAGAAGGAAGGATAGAAGGCCGCTTCTTTGGATAAAATAAATTCAGCAACTTCTTTGTGGCCGTAGTAGCCATGCGTTCTTAGGAAGAGCGGTACAGTGGGTGTAGTTTTAGGGAATAAAATATATGTACTTCTGAATTATGTTTCTGCTTTGAGTATGTTTTTGGAAGTTTTCGATTACTATGTTTGCGGATGAGGCTAATGATGGTAAGTAAATATGTGTGTGCCCGCGTATGTCACGTATTTTTGTTCGTTTACCTAGGCCACGCTCGAGCTTTAGGCAGGGAGTTGAACATCAATTCCTTCCCCCGGCCTACTTGCAATCCTACCTATAAAGATCGACTTATACTAACTAATTCCTCAACCACTCTAGCTTTGCTATTATCAGGCAGCGCCTCTCCAAGATTAGCCTAGGATTTGAGATTGCAAACAGTAAAGGTACAGAAGTAAGCGATGATCTATCCAAACAGAACATACATTTTTAAAGATAACAGCCAATATAAAATGCAGTCATCCTGTGACTAGCTAACCCGGACTCTACATTACAGAGTATGCAAAACTATGCCGAACATCGATCGAGGCCGGCGGGGTTTTGTATTAGATATGTTTGGAAGAGAGATTCGAGATTTTCTTATTTATATTCATGTAATCATCCCGCTATCTCGCCATCTAACCATCATATTTCAAATCTCGATCCATCAACCTTAAGCAAATACATATACCTGCTCCAGAATTTGAATAGATCATAACTGAAAACCACCCGCCTTCTAGTACAGTTAATTAAGTCGATAGTTACCATAGCGGTCGCTACACTTGTTTAAGATGTGGATCCCATTAAGCTGCTCCAAGTGCTAAATGGAGGCAAATGGTGGACTACTTTCTGTGTAGGTAATATTGAGACTTAAATAAACAGCAGATGGTTGATTAAATGCAATGATAGATTAATAGTTGTCCTATTATTGATTGCTAATTTCAGGTAAGTATTGTTTAACAGCCAATCTCCGTTAAGGAGTAGATGGCTGGCTGTGAACCAGGCAGTAATAGTGTTGGGTAAGTAATCTTGATGCAAGATTTCGAGGAAGACCGTAAACTTGTATAGTAGCTTGTACGTAATTTTAATACTCTGTCCAAGGGCAAATGGCTTACAGTGCGTCCGATAGACCGGGTAGTCCTGCAAGCATTCTCAAACTTAGCCCAGTAGCTATGCTCAATCAGGCGCCGGACGGTTCAAATAGTGTCACTGTTGATTGAGGAAAAGTATGGTCACCGTCTACTTAAGACGGAATCTTGACGGGGGAGGCAAGTGGAGAAGCTATGACTGACGTATGGAGTTCTCTTCGATTTGTCAGAAAGTTTAAGCTCGGCCTATTTGGCAGGATTTTATATGTTCTCGAACTGTTTAAATTGTTTAATGCTGGTTTTTGAGCAGTCCCAATGTTTCTCTTGGCTGTGAAGCTTTGCACTTGGGAGTCACAAGTAACAACATCAATCTAGAGACCTATAAATATAAGAGTTTTAGATTTATATAAGCTGTGAAAATATTAAGGAATTCTTGTAATCGTTAATGATTTTACCTAAGATCAGCTTTTCTTTGTTTTAGTTGAGATTGTGATGTCTAGCTGGTGGATTTGGCTCAGCGAAATTATCTAGGGCTTAGTACGTTACAATATGTAAAAACGGTACCCAAGCATGTCAGAAAGTCAAATCAACCAATAGCTCAACGAAGTAGATTAGTATCTTCATATGTAATAACCTTCCTTGGTAAATTGATTTATGATCACCTATCCCTCCAGCTCTCAAGTACCGAGGGAAGTGGGTTTCGCGCATTTATTTCGACACACTTTGGCAAGTCAAACGATCATCGGCCTTTAATTTTGGTATAGTTGAACTTTATAATAATTTACAAATCATTTAATTGCATTCCTTGAACGCCATTTAGCTATACATTCCGTTCTTATTTGTATTTTGTGAAGTGTTGTGGGAAAAGCGGCGAATTGCTATGTAAGGGCCCAACGCTGGATGGGGTTAAGAAAGTCAGAGACGAAAGTTGGATTATATACACTAACGTAACACGCATATCCATAGCTAGTATAATGTCTAGAGTGAGGTGAAGTTCGAGAGGTTTGCAACGGGCTCTTGTTTTCTAATATCAAAATAATTTCAGTTCTACAAAGTGTACAGCCAGTTGAATGCTGAACTCTTGCCCTCGGAGGTATCATCTACTTTTCCATGATGCCATGGTTTCATCACTATAGTTCTTCTATATATGGGAATTTATTCACCTCCGTCGCCCCAGTTACTAACTCTCCAATTTCCGACGTATGGCCTATGACCGCCTATTCCGTCGCCGCCGCTGTTATTCAAACTAAACATGATTATCCGGTTAGGTTTAGGTTTGATTTAGCAATAATAGGAAGAAGACGGTTTGTTAATTGGTTATAAATAATATTTAAAGAGGAAACTACTAACGACTTACTTTCGAGTATATCAGCAATGAAGGGGAAAAACTATATATATTTGGTAGCAACTAGGATTTTAAAGAGCATGAATAATATATATGAAAAGGAAGCTACCTGTTGGAGTTTACCAAATCGGCATTTAAGCTAATCTTAATATGTCTTATAATTCAGCGCTTTAAATTTATCAGCTTTTATTTACACTTAATTAAATAAGCTTAGTTAGTATGTGTTATTAAGTTCAAGGTCAAGAATTGCTATGAAACGGGTAGCTACTTAGTCGCACGGTTGGCTGTACCAACCGAGCTATATATTAGGGATAATTAGAGAAGAAGGCTTAATTATTCACAACTCTCTGATAGTATAGATAGCTCTATATAGAATACGACTACTACGAATCCATAGCCGAGTTTCTATAGTCCGATGAGCCTATTTTTGATAGATATATATATTCATATTCGTATTGATATCCACAATCATAATCATAATCCTACAGGCTCTAATGCCAGTAACCCAAACCCTAAACTGCAAAACATCCCAGCTCTCCCTAACCACCATAAGTTCTCCCCTCAGCAGCCTCATGCACCCTTCCTGGCTCCCCCATAACCAACTTCTCCCCCGTCCTACCAACTAAAACGCCATTATGGGCATAAACCTGTTCGCCAAGTGCACCATACCTCACCGGCCTATCCCCTACTTCCTTCAGCAAATCGTCCGCATCGAGGTTTGAATCTAACGAGTTGCTAAGGATTGGCGCATCAAAAGCCTTAGCAATCTCAATCGGAGACAGCGATACCTTGCGGCCGAGCGCCCACCACCCGAAGAATGTGGGAGCGATACAGAGCGTCGAGAGGAGGGTGAAGAAGACCGCGAGACCGAGGTAAAGGTAGTGGGATACGTAGACAGTGAGGACGTCAACGGAGGTCGCAGAGATGGTTTGAGTATTCGTTGCGTTAGTGGAGTTGGCTGCGTGGATGGCGACGCGGAAGGCGAGTTCGCGGGCTGTGGATAACATGTCGTCTGTAGGATCGCTCCAGTATGTTGGACAGGTCATTCCGACGGTTAAGCCCGTGACTGCATATTGCAGTGCTGGCGCTCCGCTCGTTCCGAGTATATATCCTACTGCCCCCCCGAAGGACAGCCGTACCTGGGAATTGAACATGGTGCTTAACGCGAGATACATTCCTCCGTGTGTCGACGGCCCTTGTGCGTCGTTGCCAAATGATGGCGTGTATTTAACGAGGCGGTCATCTTTGTACGTATATTTGGGATCAAGGCTGATGGTGTCGTTATCGAGGATGACGTTGTATTGTAGGAGGGCTGGCGTCAGGGTACACTGAGCAAGATGCAAGTCGCCCGCGCATTCCCCATCTGTTTTGTGTACTGAGCTATAATTGATAGTCGGGTTTCTGGTCATCTCGTAGTAGGTGAAGTTCGTAGAAAAGACATTCGTTCCGCTAAAAACGGCATCATTGGTAGTCCGGTCTGGGTTGATAGCTAGGGAAGATGAGAGATTATATTGCAGAATCGAGTACGAGCAGTTGATGGCGTACCCAGCTGCCTGCATGACGCCAGAGCAACGTCCCTCACACCCGCTCTGGGTTATATTGATCGGTTTCTTCAATACGTAGTCCTGGACCACAGAGCTGAAATTGGAGGTCACAAATCCGACCGTATGGGCGCGACCAGTGACTGTACCGGTGTATCCGAGAGGGAATTCCTGAGCGGCGAGAACGGTTAGAGTAGTGGGTTTGTTTACGGCCAGCGTGGAGATGGTTGAGGCTCGTTGCAGAAGAGGACCATTGATGGGCGCAAGTGCCGCCGTGATGCAAGCCAACGCAATCAGATTGAAGCCTCTACCGGAGAAAAGTGCTTGTTTGATACTTGTGCCATAAGCCCATATGTTGTGTAGGTCCGAGACGTGTGAACCGGGCTTCATGGACTTAACCCACCATGCAACTGTCGTCCCCTCCGAGAGCGCATAAGCTAGGAGTATATTCGCAATAGTGGACTCGATAGCCAAGTAGACAGCAGGGGAAATCTTCCACTGCGACACGGGCTTATTGTTCGAAAGGACAAGAACGACCACCATACCAATTGCTGATAACAAAGCGGCAACCAGAGCTAAGAAGCCCGGCCAGGGGAATCTGCGGAAGGCTCCTCTGCGCCATGTTGTAGATGGTGCAAGTGTTTGGTATTGAGGTTGGACTGTGGGTGTCGGGATGGGATGGACGGAAGGGCCTGCAAGTTTTGGATCTTGATTATATCCATATTGCCTGTAATCCATCTTGGACGGCGTGGGGAGATGTATAAAGTAGGAACGAGTCCTCAACGGCGAGAAGCTCGAGTTCTGGAGGAACAGGCACGCTGTTTATGTACACCTGGGAAGGCCATCTTCTCACGGCCTTCGATAAGAGGAGTGATGTGTCTCATGTCTGGTGGTTTGATGCAGGAAGAATAACTAAGACATAACCTACACTGGATGGAGACACAAGTGGCATATCAGCCTCAAAGTCTCCAAGGTTGCCAATCTGGTTGCGAGAAGAAAGCCTCCTGGGATATTCTTGTAGAATTATGTGCGGCTCTAGCGCAAGACTAGTGATTGTGGCACAATAACTCATCAATATTGATTGGGTATGTTTGAGGCATGGAATCCAACCTTGGATCAATCCGATCTACGAAGGTACAGCGGTTAAGTATTCGTATAGCACTAGCAGGGGTCAACCCAAAGCTACGAAAACAACACTTTGTAACTTTTGCAAACCACAACTAWTTTTTTTTGTTTCAACACTAGCATAGTCCTCATTAGAAGGATAGAGTGCTTACGATTTTTCTCGATTTTCCTATGTGTTGTGGTTGCGATGCAGGGTTGAGATGTTCGGACCCCTGCTAGCGCTATACGAATACTTCACCACTGTACCTTCGTAGAACAATTAAAAAGCCTCAAAAAGCTTTGTGAGAATGTGCATTTCATGACCCCGCCACCCTCTCCTCTTCGGGCTGTACGTAGTGCTTCGTAGGCTGATACTTATCGGCTCCTCGAGTCGCTTTATGAAGGAATAACATTCGAGTCTCCCGGAGCTGATGCGAAATGGAACCGTGCCCGTGTCGCCAGAGGATCAGAACACAGCCTATAAATAGAACAGTGGCGTTCCGAGGCTCCCAATGATATGTTCAGCTCTGTTGTAGGTCGCTTGCAAGCGCCTCTGTTGGCAGCAAGAGGCTCTTCATAATCGTTGGGTCTGTACGAAGTACATGAATATTATCAAGATAGCAGAACGAAGATGGGACCGTAGAGCTGCATGTATCCGTCGGAGAAAGGGCATGAAAAACCCCGGTGTAAAAACTTGGCCATAGCCACAATAATTATCCGACACATCGGCGGAATCGAAAATCAACCCTAAGCAAGGCTTTTGTTTCGTTTCTTTTCGATGACCTGAAACAACCGAGGGTCTGCCTGCGTAGGATGTTCAAGATAGGTGACAAGTAACACTCTCCCCGAGAGAAATTGGAAATGCACAGTACGCAGGAACTACCCGCTGAAGAAACGAATTTAAGCATAAACAGAACGTAGGGTGATCATAAGGTAGCAATTGATGGATGTTTGATAAATAGTATACTTATGCAATGTGGACATTTGCTCTTTTGGTACAATATATATACACTGCTACTTCCTCTAGCCTATCCTTCACTATCAGGATCGTGCGAGGACTTCTCGTCCTCGAGATTTCCTTTCTACTTCAGCCGTAACTCGAGGTCTCGCGCGTCCCCAGATATGCGTTGTCGCATTGTGCTCAAGAAAATACTCGATGGGCGAGCCTTGTAGAGCGGCCCGGCGAAGATAACTGGTGACGTTTGCCGTGAGTTCGTATCGGGATGCATTCGCTGGATCGGTATAACACTTTGGTTCTCGCAACCTCATTGTACTGCTTAGCTCGCATTCTAAGTCATGATTCCCTTCGCCTTTGGGAATCATCGTTCGGATCCGCTCCCGCTGGAGCCTATTTGTAGTAATCGAGAGGTGCCTTCGATGTATTTCATCACGAGTAAGCAGACCGTGGCCGCCTGCCCGTGCCATTATAGGATGCTTCCCACTGACTAACGACATACGGTGGGGGAGGTATATCCAGCATAGCCGTTGAATATGACTCCGGATCCGGTTCTGATCTTACAGCCCAACCAAGGCTCCTCGGACGCCTCGGAACATCTCCTACGCTACTCCCCGTCCAGGGTTCCCCTCCATCGTTGTTCAAACTGTCGACCGTCATCATTGCTAGGTGCAACTCCTCCAACTCTCTCTCACGTTGAGGATCCTCCACGCGTCTCTCTTCCGGTTCCGGATTCATCACGCTAGGTGTCGCAACCTCTTGCTCTTGAGGTCTATACCACGTCGGGACTGACCATGGTAAATCGTCTTCACCAAGACGGAATCGAGATGGCAGTGGAGGAAGTGGTCTTTCCCTTGGATCTATCACCATGCTGCTCCTGTGACAGATGGGGCTGACTTGACTGACTGGGCTGACTGGGTTGATTGGGTGGGTTCGGTCTGATATGCTAGGAGGAGCTGATCCAGCTCTTTCGTAGGGTGGTCTCGTCGCGACCATCAATCTTGATGGCCGTTGCTCGTCGGACTGTTGGCGCCTTTGGTATCGTCGTCCAGCTCCTGGCATTAATGTCGGGGGGTGAGGATCTATCTGACGCTCCTCTCGCTCAGGACGATACATTCTTTGGTGCATATTCTTGGACGCATATTTCATCGATGCTATATGAGGCGGATCACGAGGCGATAGGGACACTCCGAATTCCATATTCACATAAATCTCCGGTGCGGGCCAACGAGATGCCGGCTTCGAAGGACGTTGCGGTTCCCAGTCGGCCATGATCGGACATAAACAACTGGTTGGAAATTGTGAAAGGTAGAAGAGCGAAAAAAAGTTGGTTAAAGGAGAGTAAGGTTTTCTGCCTTGGCTTGAAATGGAGACGGTGCGAAAGACGGGCGAAACGGCAACGCTTGGTATATAATACTTTCACTCTCATCGCCGCGACTTCGCAGGGGAGCATCTGCCAACAATTCTCCGCAGTGGCCGAAGAGATGAAACAATTTCTGGAATGAGCACATACCGCTAACATACCTGCGCTACTTCGCCCCGGACCTAATCATTCATCATTCACAGCCTCGTTAATGGCATCTATGGCAGATTTGGAGCGCGAGCGAGGCTGTGAACCTGACGAAGGATGCCAATCCTAGGGGGCGCAGCGTTAGTACCGAGTACTGCTACGTACACTGTACATACAACAATCCACACATCTGGGCCGTAGTCTATGCGCCATGGGCAAGTACCAGCGACAAGCTGTCGCCGCGGTGGCGCAATAGTGTTTTATTGACGTTGACGTTGATGTTGATGCCGATGTTGATGTTGATGTTGATCTCGTGGGGAGGTTGAACGGAGATGTACAAGTACAGTACTCGAACTGAGATCGTGACCGCAGACTGCCCGTTTGATTGATCTACGAAGTACAGTAGCACTCGAGGATCGCCTTCTCGGCACTTATCAAACCCTTCCATCCACAACAAATTGCAAATAATCGGCGCCGACACAGCGCGATGGCCGCTGCGTGCCAAATGTGTACAGAGCACGATGTATTTGGACATTGAGAGCACGATGGCTGCGGCGATGTTCAGCACCAGCTTGCCACGCCGCCACGCGCCGTGGGATGTGGACAATGCAGCTGGAAACGCCACATTCCAAGAGCCGTTTGCTCGGCATCGCCATCATCTCATCTCATCTCTCTCATTTCCCGTGTACGAAGCTTGTATGCGTCTGACAAAGGAGTGCCAAAGAAGGATGTGGCGCCGACTTCAGTCGTCCGGTATACCGACGTACGAGCGAAGGAGTATTGTGTCGTAGCTCAGTCGCGCGCTTGCCGAATCCCAGAAGGAGTGGACGATGGATCTCCCGAATAGTTATTATTATGATAGGGGGTTATATCCGAGAGGAATTTTGGCCCTCCTACGGAGCCTCCGACTCGATGCGACTACGTCAAAGCAGCCGTACGCCGCAACTGGTCTCCGTCTCGCACTGTCAATGCGTAACCCAACAAATGGTGGGGTTTCTTCCTCACAAGCAGCTTGTTGAGAATGCGGCAAGGTGGCGAGTGTCATTCCCGCTCCGCATAAGTGTTTGTTCATCCGTCTGGCATCCATCTTTCAGCATCTGAGATCTGAATATTTCCAGAAATAGACCGGGCATCACGAAGCAATCGAATCTCCCGCTGGAACCCGAGGTTGACGAGGTTTATGTCATTTCGATACCACCAGTAGCAGGACGTGATATGCCTTTCCATACACCTTCCATTAGCAACCAAATCGAGGTGAAACCTAAGTGGGATTCACAAAGCCTTGTCATCGTAAAGAGAATCCAATGAGAACACTTGTACCACCAAAACGGCAGTACCAATCTGGGCGCCATCCCCTCTGGCATTGCCTAAAGCAATTTCTTTCTGCACGGTCGGATATTTTTAACTTGGTGTCCTACTCGCGAAATTTATAAGTCGACCTACCCACATGGACTTGGTGTGTACTCCAGAACTGTGCACCATCCCATTCATGGAGATTGTGAAGACAATGCCTCGGGGAACTGCTTCGAGCTCATATTTCTTTGGAGCGATCGTCGATCCCATTGTGTGTCTTTTTTTCGGGCCGCAAATATCGATTATATCAAGGCGCTCCAATTTGAATTGTCAAAGGTATATTTTGTCTGGAAACTTGGTACCATACCCCCTAGCGAGGCCTATGACAATCAACATATATGTGAGCTTTAAGCAACTCTGTCCGCGGGCACCGACTCGTGTGTAGGCTCACGAGGGCGCCCGATTTAGCTGCTGAATAGAGCATCAATATCCGCCATTCCAGCAGACGAGAAAGGGAACGAATGCTGGTTGACCAAGTGCCATTTACAGCTACTCGGCAAGAAACCGCTCGAGGGGAATCATTCGAAGCATTGCACAATAAAGTTTCCAATCGCTAATATATATGCCATAACCGGCAAATAATCTCTTTCGGGCGATTTATTATTCGGACCAATCACAAGATGCAAACTCATTTTCCCAGTTCACACCAATCACAATTTAAAGCGATCCTCCCACTCGCCAAACGCTTCCAAAAATGTCGGGGGCGATATTCCTCCGTCTGACAATCTCCAAATCCAGACATCTATGAAGTATCATGTATGAGACAAAGACCCGGTTACGTCTATGGTCCAGCGCTGGCCCCGCGATTCGCAATCGTTCGAAAAATACGGAAAAATGTCATGGTCGATCAACGAACGGTTTATTTGTCCCGTTCCCAAGGCAGAAATTATTCACTCGGGCTCGACAAGCAGGTAATGTAACGCTGCAAAGTGATCACTCCATAGATATGCCAACAGGACCCAGTTTTTTAAACCTCATGAGACCGCCCTGTTCAAGGCAGACAAGACTACATCTATTCTCATTCGCTATCTCCCGGAAGTTGCTGTCGCAATAAGCATACGGAACGTGGAATTCCCAGTGAAGAGCTGCCGTGCATTGCCATTGGTGAAGTCTGTGCTCCGTATGAGAGGGAACAGGGATCTTCGCATTCAGATACCGTTTTGTGGAGAGGCCTTTCAGCCTCGTTTTGCTGTGTGGTTACACTAGTATATTGGTATATTGGCCCGACTGACGTTGTGCACATATATATATAGGCGGGGCGATGGGGAGTTCGTTCTGGAATTTGGGATGAGTTAAATTTCCCTAAGAATCTCTCTTATTGTGCAATTCAATTCAATCCAATTCAGTTTCTGCATTTCCCCAACTTGCTACAAGCTACCACCGCTGGGTACCCCTTTCTCGACTCCAGCACGAACTCTGTAAGATACCAAGGACCCCGCCAGTACAACCAGGATCACTGGAGACGAGTTCAAGTCAACCATCCTACGCGGATCTAGGAAACACCGATAAGATGGAGAACGGACAATATGGTACGCATCATTCTTACCTTTCATTCTACTCTTTCGAAGCCTTTGCTGATATTTATCCTCTTGTCGTTAGTCGATGGAAGTTTGTGGTTCTATGCCCCTAACAAGGCAGCCCCAGTGGTCTGGGCCTTTCTGTTCAGTGTCTCCATGGGCATACATATCTACCAGTGCATGTAAGCCACTTACTACTTACTACGTACCTCTTTGCGAACACCAAGCCTAACAGAGTTTCAGACACTACAAATGTTGGAAAGTCACCGGAATACTACCATGGGCGGCCTTACTTTTCGTGGTTGGCTATATCCTCCGCGAGATAGGCGCCTTCAACTTTGACAATATCAACATATTCATCTCCAGCCTGGTCTTCATCTACGCCGCACCGTACGTCTGATTTCCACCCCACGCCGAACTACCTAACTAACATCTACAGTCCCCTCTACGAACTCGCAAACTACTTCATCCTCTCACGAATCCTCTACTACGTGCCGTACCACTCACCCATCCACCCTGGCCGAGTCCTTACCACTTTCGGTGGCCTCTCTGTCGTCGTCGAAGCCCTAAACGGTAACGGTGCCGCCTACGTAGCCAACACAAGTCTCCCGCAATCTAAACAAGACGTGGGAAAATCGCTTCTCAAAGCCGCACTAGTCCTCCAACTGGTCATCTTATGTCTTTTCATCGCGCTGGCCGTAGTGTTCCAGCGAAAATGTGTACGCGCCGGCATCTTCCCCAGAAACCTCAAACTCGTCCTCCTCACCCTCTACATCTCCTCCGCTCTCATCGGAGTCCGCACCATCTACCGCACAGTCGAGTACTTCACCACCTCGCAGCTTAATTTCCACGAGAATTTGGACCCCAATGGCCTCTCCGCCATTCTGCGATATGAATGGTTTTTCTGGATCTTCGAGGCAGTTCTCATGGTTCTGAATTCATTCTTGCTGAATGCACGGCATCCGATGAGGTTCCTGCCAAGAGATAACGCGATATATCTTGCGGAGGATGGGCACACCGAGATCAAAGGTCCGGGATATCAAGATAAGAGGAATATTATCGTGACGATTTTTGATCCTTTTGATTTGATCGGTCTGGCTAGCGGAAGGAACAAGGGGGATAAATTTTGGGAAACTCATGAGGAGGGGCGCACCGTGGGGCTTGAGACGGTGAAGAAGGATGGGGATGTGGAAAGTAGAGGCGATTAGAGAGTTGTGGGGAGTATAACACAGTCTGTTGGTTGTCATGGTTTGCCTTTTGGGCCATCTCTTTACTAGGAGGCGTTTTGACGGGGTTCTCTGCTTGTGCTTGTGGGTTACAGAGTATTTAACACTTGTAAGATCTGTATTTCTTTTGATTTATTTTGGGATAGACTTAATATATAGTTTCATCTTAGCGGCTAGAGAAACGCAGAGCTTCACATACCTTTTCTTCATGCCTCGACTTTACCACTGGCATTAGTAATAGCGGCGGGATACCAAGCTGGTGCCACTGCTAGTACTATTGAATTTCGAATGCAATTGCCCACCCCTATCTCCAAGGGAGAACCATGTTACTTGGTATGAATACTAACACCAGGCCCAACATTTAACATATATATTATATATTATATTGGGTTACCATTTTTATCATCGAGCAAGTGTCTTGAAGATACAGAAGTAAGACAAAGAAGCGGTGAAAACTAGTCGTGGTGACGGGCGCGGCAGCTCCGATCTCCGGCGGCCGCCCCCCTGTGCGAGGGGCAATCGATCGGTAGCGTCGACATCCCACCAGAAGAAATTTAATTTTGGGTTCGTCCTCCCGACAACATCCCCATCATCCACCACCACCCGTTCACCCAATACATATCTCCTACTAAACAACGTCAATTGCACCTCAAAATCTGCAGTCATGGCTACATCCACCTATGCCCTGTCTGAGACCCACAAGGACGTACGTTTAAGCTTTCTTCCTTTACTCCCTTCGCTTTCCCGGCGTCCCGCTGCTGCCATAGTTCCCCGATGCTGACTCACTATTACACTATAGATGCTGCAGAAGTCCTTGTTGGAGACCGATCCTGAGATCGCTGAGATCATGGTACGTTCGCCCTTCTCTGGAGTCTTCAGACCGTCCTCTTCTCACGCGTCACTTGTAGAAACTGGAGATCCAGCGCCAACGGGAATCCATCATTCTCATCGCCTCGGAAAATGTTACCTCTCGCGCCGTCTTCGATGCTCTGGGATCGCCCATGTCCAACAAATACTCCGAGGGTTACCCAGGTGCTAGATACTATGGCGGAAACCAGCACATCGATGCCATTGAGTTGACCTGCCAGGCTCGTGCCCTCAAGGCTTTCAACCTAGACCCCTCCAAATGGGGTGTCAACGTCCAATGCCTGAGTGGTAGCCCTGCCAACTTGCAAGTCTACCAGGCTATCATGAGACCTCATGACAGACTCATGGGTCTCGATCTCCCCCATGGTGGCCATTTGAGCCACGGTTACCAGACCCCTCAACGAAAGTAAGTATAGCGAGCCTATCCCTCTGAAGCACGCTTCATGGATTAACCAAATGCAGGATTTCCGCCGTTTCCACCTACTTCGAGACTTTCCCATATAGAGTCAACCTCGAGACCGGAATCATTGACTACGATCAATTGGAGACGAATGCATTGATGTACAGACCCAAGGTCTTGGTTGCTGGAACTTCTGCATACTGCCGTCTCATCGATTATGCACGCATGCGCAAGATTGCAGACCTTGTTGGCGCATATCTTGTGGTGGATATGGCCCATATCTCCGGCCTCATTGCTGCTGGTGTTATCCCAAGTCCTTTCGAGCATGCTGATATCGTCACCACGACCACCCACAAGTCTCTCCGTGGCCCCCGTGGTGCCATGATCTTCTTCCGAAAGGGCGTCCGCAAGACCGATGCTAAGACCGGCAAGGAGACTCTGTATGATCTCGAGGGTCCTATTAACTTCTCCGTGTTCCCTGGACACCAAGGTGGACCCCACAACCACACCATCACTGCTCTGGCTGTCGCTCTCAAGCAGGCGACAACCCCAGAATTCAAGCAGTACCAGGAGCAAGTTGTGAAGAATGCCAAGGCTTCGGAGACCGAGTTCAAGAAGCTTGGCTACAAGCTGGTTGCAGATGGAACCGATTCGCACATGATCCTCCTCGACCTCCGACCTCAAGCACTTGATGGTGCTCGTGTCGAGGCGGTCCTAGAGCAGGTCAACATTGCTTGCAACAAGAACTCCATCCCAGGTGACAAGTCAGCTCTTACCCCAGGTGGTATCCGCATTGGCACACCAGCCATGACCAGCCGTGGCTTCGGTGAGGATGATTTCAAGAGAGTGGCCAGCTATATCGATCAGTCTATTAAGATCTGCAAGGAAGTCCAGGCCGCACTTCCAAAGAGCGATAACAAGCTCAAGGACTTCAAGGCCAAGGTTGCCGGTGGCGAGGTTGAGAAGATCAACAATATGAAGAAGGAGATCGCGGCTTGGTGTTCCACCTTCCCTCTCCCAGTTGAAGGCTGGAGAGAGTAGATTTTTAGCTGATGCAATGATTTTCTTTGGTTTTGCTTTTCGGGGTCGGCAAGGGTGCTACAGTTGCATGGCGTATGTTCTTGGCTACTTCAACGCAGCTAGATATCACGGAGTTAAATGGGCATTCAACGGCTTATTACCTAGGTATCAGGATTAGAATTGATGTGCAAAAATGAGTTGCTGGGACCGCAAATTACTAGAAAACTCAGATTCTTTTGCAAAGCTCGTCGGTCTACGTAACTCGTTGTAATATGCATCAAGACATCCCCCATACATCCCGCGCCTTTCCTTTCCCTTCCATATACAACCCTCTATCTAGCCTTCCACCTCACGCCCCCAACCCATCCCACAAAACCCCCAACATCGTCCCTCGCCCTCAGCCGTTCAACTGTGTACCACTCTTTCGCCAACTCCTCATTGCTCGCAACCCGGTGTATAAAACTATGACAAGCCCTACACAGCCACGCTACACTATTCAGCCGGTCCTCCGTATGCCAGCCCCTCTTTTGGACTTTCGCGTGCACAGCCCGGGGTATGAGATGGTGGTATGTTAGAGGGATCCACGATCGCTCGCAGAGTTCGCAAGCCTGGGCTAAATCGCGGGTTTGAGACGGGGGAGGAGGGGGCGTAGTATGGTGCGTTAGATAAGCTGTTAAGGTGTGGGATAGAAGGGATGAGAGATCGTCGTCTGGGGAAGTTGAGTAGTACGCTATGAGGGTATCGGTTGCGGAGGGAGCAGTAGTATGGAGTAATTGGGCGAAGGCTTGGGTGGAGAGCGGAAGACTATATTTGGCTTGGAGCGAGGCATTGTTGAAATATATGGAGTAGGTCAGGGTCCTGAGGTCTTGGGGCAGTGAGGTGAAGATCTCGCTCGCAAGATACTGCGTGATGTCCGGTAATTAGTCCTTCTCCTTACCTACGGTATGTGTTTATAGATCCATAGTCACGGGCAGGAGAAGCAACTAGGTAGCTTGCAGGTACTCTATTAGGAAGTGAAAGCATACGTACATCAATAAATTCCGCCAAGTCCTCTGCATCATTCTGCCTGTCTAGATCCTCTTCTACATTCTGTGGAATTTGCACGGTTGCCTTGCGGCTTCCAGTACCGCGGGCTCTTCGGATCTTCTTCTTCTTCTTCGGTGGCGATGTGGAGGACTTGTCAATGAGGGGCGTGGAGAGACAATCGCGGAAGAGTTGGAAATTTGCTTCCTCGATGCTCTCGTCCATTTAGTGCGTGCGGTGCTCTCGTAGAATGTTAAGGGGGAACAGTACAATGCCTTTGTTCGTTGTCTCTTACCGGCCAGGTATCTACCTATAAAATAGAAGAATTGAAGCCGCAGATAAGCTATAGTAGGAGAGTTGCGTAGCCAGGACCTCGCTATATAAGGTTCCTAGGTAGTATCGGGAATGATTCAACCCCGCCGTGGATTGCAATTGTACCCCGCATGCGTCATGCTGTAAATAAATCAGCATAGCCTAAAAAGCTATCAAGTCACTCTCCAATTCATATCAACACAACAAAATAAAATATCCCCTTGAGTTATATCACAATGACCTCCGCCGATCGCACCGTAATTGCATTTGATCTTTACGGGACTCTACTCTCTACCGAGAGTATTGCCAAGGAATTGGCTACTCACTGCAAGTGTGGCCATGAGAAGGCGCAAGAAATAGCTGCGCTATGGCGAAGGTTGATACTTACGTTGTTGGTTTAAATATAATAAACTACGGGCTAATAATCAAACGTTAGATACCAACTTGAATACACATGGAGATTAAATAGCATGTGTGCGTTTTCCGTCTCTCCACCGTTGCTTGAGGCAATTCACCCAATCACTAACAATCAATACCACAGCGCTCTATAAAGACTTCTCAACTATAACCAATCTCTCTCTCAAACATGACCTCGTCGAATCTTCCGTCACGCTCACAGCAAAAGCTGTAGCTTCTCTGATGCACGCATACGACTCCCTTGGTACCTTTCCAGACGTACCACCGGCCCTTGAAGCCCTCCAGTCGTCCCTTACAATCGACGCCTACATATTTTCCAACGGCACCAACTCCATGGTTTCCACCTCGGTCAAGTCATCACCACCCATCTCCCCCTACCACGCTGTGTTCAAAGACTTGATAACCGTCGAGGAGGTGCAGGCTTATAAACCCGACCTACGTACGTACCAACATCTTGCCCAGAAAGTCGGCAAGGATTGTAAAGATAAGCAGGATCTGGGATCTATTTGGCTTGTGAGTGGGAATCCTTTTGATATTGTTGGGGCTAGGTCGGCGGGATTTCAGGCTGCTTGGGTGGATAGAATTGGGAAGGGATGGTGCGATAGGCTTGGAGATGCGGCGGGTGGAGGGCCGACCATTGTTGTTGGGGGTGTAGAGCAGGCAGTTAGGGGGATTGAGAAGTGGGTTGAGGATAGGGGGAAGGAAAAGCAAAAGGGAAACTAACGACGGTAAGTTGGAATGGGGAGGAAGTGAACCTGAGATGGTCTGCGGAGCTAAAAAGGGGGGGGTGTTCGGGAGAAGCTTGTTTTATAGCAATTCATCTAACTGTGGTCAGACTTCCGTAACTAACAGTTTTGACGCAACTACGCAACTCCTAAAGCCAACGTGTAGCTGACAGATACTTGCGGAACATGGGCTATCCTATCCCGAGTGACTTTTCGGATACTGGAATGGGTCGTTTCGTAAATAGCATAGGTAGGTAACAGAACAAAATGAGAATGACGAGATTTCAAGAACAACGTTGATCTATTTTTTATACAACATATGGAATTAGAATGAGGCGTAATTTAATCCATGGCGTACCCCTTCTTCAAGGTCGCATGTCAATCATATCCCCAACTGCGTCGTCTAAGCTCCACTTCGAGCATGCCCCTCTCACTGATAACACGTCCCAACATAAGATAGAATAGACCTCCCAATATGCTAGCTCGAAAAACCCAATAACTCCAGACGCATGCCGCTCTAATCTTTCTATTACCATCGGACTTTTGTGCACGGCCAGCTCGCTCCTTCAATACCGGGTATGAACAAGAGTTGAGGATACCTTCTAATCGCTTCGTGTGCATCGAGCAAGATTTGAAAGGGTATCCTAATAGCAGAGTCTTGCTGAAATGAGCCGCGGAAAACAAAACCCCGCTGAAATTTGTATCGGTGTTTTTGGGTGCTCGAACCAAGCGGCAGCAAAATCCAGATTAATACAATTACGCAACGTCTTCCCAATCAACACATAAACCCAGATCAAGGCCACATGCATTCGAGCATGTACATCCAGTCGCCCCACCAGCTCTTGAATCTTCCAACCAAGGTGCTGTATCCATCTGATGGACTCTGCCATGGTCGTGTGCGCAAGCCGCCTGTCACCAGATGTCTTTTCAGGGATATATTCATTGCGAAAGAGGAGAAGGAGCAGCCTGCGAAATGCCTGCTCTTCAGCAAGACGAGGAAATCGACGAGAGCTTGCTGGTCCCAGGTGAGCGCTTGCAGGCGCTCGAGGTCTTCGCCCTTCAATAAATCCAACTTCGACGTAACGTTCAATTTCATATTCTCCCAGGCCTCGTCAGCAAACCTCTTCTTTTCCGTAGCATTTCCGCATGCCAAGAATGCATGCTTGAAACCGCGATCCGCAGCCTCTTTCAGGTAGCCAGTACTCTGCTCCTTATAGTCGGGCCAGTAACCTAGAGCATCGCTCTCAGTTCGTAGATGGATACCCATAAAAGGCGCATCAAGTGTCTTGGGGTTCTCCGATTGAGGCTCCACTCCAACAAATCTAGACATCGCCAGGAGCGTCTTGTGTGCCAAAGCCTCCGCCTCCTTGTTGATTCTCAAGAGATCGCCAAAGGTCGCTGCCAGTTCGGATCCATCGAGGAAAATTGGCCATTCGAAGAAAGTCGCCCATCTGAATCTGATCGTTATAGGAGCCGTGGCGGTTGGCGTATGTTTCGTCTCGGCGATCCATTTATTGAAATTGGGTCGAAACACATCTAGATGCCGGTTGGTACCGCGTCCATCTGTGCCATCTACACCCCCTAGTTCTTTTGGAACGAATTCCTCCACCTTGGTGATGTTGTCGTGGTTGGGGATATCCTTAAGTGTGTCATAGACTTTCAGTTGTGGACAGCTTGATGACATGGCTGTACGGAAGTGGTCCTCGTCGAAAAAGTAGGACAACGGTTCGGTTTTAGCCGTGAAGAGCTCGCCCAGGTTATTTTCGTCCCGGATTTGTATGACGGGCATAGTGATGCCAGATGCTCCGACATGGATAGCGTATCGAACACAGGTCAGGATGAAGTTTCGAATATTCCCGATGCCACCAGTGTTGTTGTCGCAGATGAATATCAACCCCTCTGTCCGGGGTGTCTCTTTGCATACTCGTTCGAGGGGCCAGCCGACATAGTCTCCGTAGAAGTCATAGTCGTTAAGATTGAAAGTGAAGGTTTCGGGTGACGGCGCAGGAGGCGTAAGAGCAAGAGCCTGCGATGGCGCTGGCGCTGGCGACGGCGCAGACGGAGGGGCTGGTGCTGAGGGCTTCACGGGGCCCTTGGGCTGCTCAGGATGGGTGTCTTTCGTGGGAGGTCCCTGGAGCGATGGTGACGATGGAGGAGTTGGGGGTGTTGGCGCTTCTGGACTGGGGACCTGCTTATCGGTCGGTGGTGTGTCGCGGAAAGGGTTGACGTTGGAGCCATCGAAGAAGAAGTGGTGGATGAGGAAAACGTTGAGCAGGAAGAGCGCAATCAGTACAAAGCGGTACTTCCACCATCTGATGCGCGATACATTGGAGACCATATCGTTTTGACCCATGGTCGTGGAAGGCAGGCAAGAATAGGCACGACTACTACGCCACTCGAAGACGGAGCATAGGTAGATAGCGGGCGCAAGAGCGAGAGATGAAGAAGAGACGACCGTGGCCTAACGAACGGGATGTTGCACTGAAAAGGCGACCAGGTGAAGAGGCCGGAGTGAACAAGAAGGAGAAGAAGCAGTGAGGAGCGAGGAGCGAGATTCAGGAGTGAGATTGAGGCGTGTGGATAATTGCTCGGCCCCCCAGAAATTATTAGCAGCGGAGGTTGAATTAATGGAGTTAACTGCGAATTGCCCAACACAGCCGCCCCGGCCACCGCGCCGGGGCGCTGCTAGGGATCGCTAGATTGTCTTACTATCAGGAACTAACTGGGCGCCATACGACGCTTCTTCTTTTATGGTTCTGCTAAATTAATGGATCGGCGCACCATTCAGCGAGCCACGAATACTGCCCAAGCAAAAAAATATGACTTAGCCTGGGTGCCACTTAGAGTGGTTTTTGTCGAGCGGGTGACATCTTTGCTGCAGTACATGTACATGTATAGTACATGCCAAATTATGTCTTGCGTATATCGATCGATACCTCAACGGGCTAGGAGATTATACTAGAGCTCGTATATCTCGCCTCGTAGGACAAGGGGTTGACTCTAAAATACTACGAATTACTACGAATTACTACAGTGGATATACTTGTCGCAATCCCGAAAAAGGGGCATTTTGCATTTCGTACCGCACACCAGTGCTTACTCCACAGCCCCTTGGTACAGTGCGTAAGGTAGTAGGCACCTCATTTAGGATCCGAGTCTTTGCTAGAATTACGCGTACAGTCGCAGTACCAGCAAAGCCAATAGTTTTGATAGCACGACATCAGATAATCAAGGTATGTACAAATCCCTTGGAAGAAGAGAGTTGCTTGTCAAGAACCGTATTACGGAGTATAGGCGCATATTACGACCCAAAGGGCTGGAATCTGTGGCCCACGCGGGCTCGAGTTCGTCCGCACTGGGCCACTATTGCGTATTTTGATATGGTACGGTACCTTACCTATCTGGCTTATCCGAAAGAAAAAAAGGAGACGGGTTCGGCAGGCTCGTTTAAACACGCCAAGCAGATCAATTTAGGATGCTTTACGAGTACTCGTACCTTATTAGCTCAGCTCCTGAAAGAGGGTGTGGTGGTGTGGTGGCCTCTGTGAAGTTTGTAGTTTGTAGTTTGTAGTTTGTAGTTTGTAGTTTGTAGTTTGAAGTTTGAAGTTTGAAGTTTGAAGTTTGAAATGCTAATTCATGCTCGGGTTACCTTCGTGCGAGGTTACTACTCTCTCCTCGTACCTACAAATCTACAAATGCACCAGCTCGGAAGAACCGTAAGCAATCCCAGTTCCACGTGATCAACCTGTTTGCCCCTGAACCTGCCCACGTGGAGTGCCGGTCAATTGGTCAGGTGATCGCGCGCCTGAGTATTCGCGGTCCTCGTCGCGTCCCCCCGTCCTGGCCTCCCTCCAGCTGCCACTGCGATGCTGGCCCTGCCGTAGGTAACAATGGTAAGTAAAACGGGAAAACAATAGCAAAGGCAGAAGCAGAAGCAGATTCGGGATATGGTAGGCTGGCTCCCTCGCTAGGTAACTTTAATGCCCCATCATAGGCGAAATAGAGGAGAAGAATAAATTAGCATCCCAACATTCGTCACGAATATGGGAAGGAACAGAGGCAAAAATTATTATTTTATTTTTATTTTTATTATCATTATTATCGTATACCCCGGAAGAAAAAGATTTCGGCCCGGTGCCATATGCCTACATCTCTTGCCGGTTTGTTGTTCCTTGTCGTTGTTGTCGTTTTCCATTTGTCGCTTTTTGCCCCTATCGATCCTCTCCAGAAGACAATTTGACCTGAACCACTTAGCCAAGTGGCCGCCTTTTGTCTTACTTTGGTGTATATACCTCTGTACCTACCTATAGGCAGGAAGGGAGCAGTCATGTGACTAGCATTATATCGTCCTTGACTCCTTTTGGTGTCTAAAACCTTCATTTTCATATGGGATATCCTTTAAAGCTTTACTATCTCTCTGTTTTGTGGCGAAGCTTTTACTTGACTATCTTTTTATTCTGTACTACATATACTATACCATACCATGTAACCCTTCCACGATCGTACCCCCAAGCTCTCCATCAGCACTCTGCATATCCCGCCTGTCGAGCAATATATCCCAGACTGGGGCCACCTTCACCCTCAAACACCGGCTATCAATCACTTCACATCGCATCACATCAGCACCATCGCATCACATCAGCACCATCGCATCACATCAGCACACGACCACCGGAACCTCAAACTTGAAACACCTCGATATCTCAAACGAAACCATGTGGCACACAAACCGACCAATATAAATCCCATCCCCGAGATCCCCGCCTTACCTGCCTATTTCAGCCAATAAACCAACACGGCGCCCTTTCCTACCAAAGAAGGTAAAACATTCGGTAATCGTTACATACCGGCGTAACCTTACATGACATCGCCGATTCTGCCTTGCCAGCTACAACCTCGAATTCGCCATCGCCGCACCTCCCATTCCCGCCAGTCCGGGGGGATACATTCTCGGGCCCTGTAATTTTTCCATGTGGGCTTACCAGGCGTCTTCCAAGCGACATGGCGATGAGTTGCGGGTTCCAACATCTCACTGCTGACGCACGATTCGGGGTTGCTGGTTTCGAAAAATGAGATAGAAGTCGTGGAAGCCGTGTGACTTCATACCAAGAACTGCGATATGGTGGGTTACAACAGTTTCGTGTGGAAATGCGGCTGAGGTGCGAGGCGTGGATGGAGTTGTACAAGAGGAGGACTTGTGGAGTACAATGGAGATCAGTGAAACGAACGATAATGCATGAATTGAGATATAGATTGGTGGCGGAAGTACGAACGCCGAAGAAACCCAACGCCGAAGAAAGGATGGAATGAGGAGATAGTTTATTCTCCGATCATAATGTTGGAGATGGTGGTTGATTTGGGAAGGTAAATGACGATGTTAAATAAATTATGTAGAAATTATCATGTCTCATCCGTAAACCATGGCTAGCACGGTAAGAAGGCACATGAGGATACCAACACACACAAGGTGCTGCAGCAGTTTCAACTCCCCTTTCAAACCAATTTTCCCCTTCCGCGCTATAACTCCATCCAATGCTCCGCCCTTTAGTGTATTGACCATTACCGAATCCCAAAAGCCGCCTTTTGTACATCCAACGACCGCCTCGACCTCTCCACGACGGTGAGAATCGACATCACAGCAAGGACGTCAAATTCCTCTCCCAAGTTTGCTAGTCCAGTGCCCGATAGGAACCTAAACATCCCAAGCACGCGTCTGGAGGTCGGCGGTTTAGCAGAGCCTCCGAAGCCCGCATATACCGCTACGGTTTCACCAGTTGTAACTCGTACCAGCTTCAGGCCTCCGCTCTCTTTCGTCCCTTCTGAAGTGCGGATGAATGGCCCCGAAGAATACCTCCACTCGAATCTTTCACGCACGAAGCTCCGGGGAAGGGTATACGAGAAGCAGAATTTCTCCGCCGAGAACATCCCGCCTGCGGGGGATAGTCTTTCGGTCCTGGGCTTCGGGGAATCTGGGCTCGAAGAGTCCGATGATATAGACTGGTGACTCGAGAATGATGACAGCGAGCGGTAGTTGGAGGTATATTTGGAGCCGCTTGGACACATGGTCATGTCGGCTTTCATCGAGGGGTTTTGGAATTCGACGTAGGAAAGAATCGGGGATGCTTTGCTAGGTCCGGTGTGGAGAAGGATGTCCGGCTGTCGAGTAAAAGTAATTGGAGAGGCATCTTCCTGGATTGATATATAGAAGAGATGCGGTGGTGAGGGGAGTGGCTTTATATCATTTGGTGAAGGAGCTGGAGGAGAAGGAGCTAGGACAACATCGTTTTTCTTTCGATAAAATGTTATATCTCTTGGTAGTCGAGGATATGAAGGAATTGTCGCGAGGACAGGCTCCGAGACGACTTCTGGCATGTCTGAGTATTGGGGAGGTCCCGAGAATGAACCGTCGTCGAACCCTAATACTTGCTTCCACTTCCGGTCAGAGTTTGATCGCATCATCTTGACGGAGTACACTTGAAGATATGTGATTTCGGTGTTGGTATTGAAACAGACATGAGATAAGGCTGGTTAAGTCAGAGATCTGGAATACCGTGCTTTAATACTAGCATGGTTGTGGCACGAGCCTGGCTCGCCTGGGTAAATCTGGGGCTGAAACGCTGACGGGTTGGTTATCTGGGGTGAGTTATGATAGGCTAGGAGTCAGATGCAAGGATTTCCAGAAAGAATGCAACATCGTTCACAGTGGGGAGCTGACATGCCACCCATAAGATTCAGAAATTGGGTAGCGGTGTTTGACCACTTTGGGTGAGGTAGACATGATCTGCCACCAGGGTGAGACTCGTGTTTTCCCGCTGTCAGAAACTCTGTGATAAAGGCTCCATGATGCACGTGTCACTAAGAGATCTCACACTCTCTCTCTCATCTGTACTATTCTCGGCAGCACAAGTAACCACATGCGGGTCATGATAGTTAGCACAAACTAGCTTCTATATCCGCGGCATAAACTTTTCTGCAGTTAACAGACACCAGATTGGCCCGATCAGTAGATCAGATGGTGTGAGACGGGTTGACTCAAAGCGCTTCAGCAATACTTTGAAGAGGGTGCCAAACGAAACGAGGGGTGCCACCAAGCAAAGTACAGGATCTGTCAGGGGGTGTTGCAGAACATTGATCCCCTCCAGGTTGCTTCTAGGGTGCTTCCAGGTTTGCCACGCACACTGAGTTTGGCCCAAGCACAATGTGATGCATCGGGCATCCACATCCACATCTACCGGCTCCAGGTCAAAACATGAAATGGATGATCAGAACGTAATGCATAAACGTACTCCCGGAACTCACTCGAGTTTTGGGTGTTGGGCAGTGGGCCTCAACTTGAGGGCATTGATACACTCTGGCAAGAATCTCCGTATAGGAATCTCCGTGTTCCAATATTTGCTGCAGCATGTGCGGAGTGCTCATGTGCAACTGCAACGAGTCCTTCCGGGTGTCCCAACTGAACGAGGGCTTCCTTACGTTGCATTTGCCTTGCCTTGTGCAGTGCTACACTCTGTAGAAACTGCAAGGCACCTAGGGCCTGCATCCGCCGCCACGTGCCCCGTATCACCCAGGTCTCTCTCTATGGACATGGACCTGGACCTGTTTGGCCGTCCCGTCTGGAAACCGATCTTCAGCATCACGCTCCAAAGTAGAATGTAGCACGAGGCCGCGAAGACCGAAGTATGGGTGCTGCCGGCTTGCCCACATGTTAGCAGGTCTCGGTGCTCGGGGATGGATCCTCGGCGCAGGTTGCGAAGGAGCTGGTACTGCATGCAGAGCCGCGGCGTAACCAGGACAGCTCCAAGCCACCTTTCTCTCGAGGAACAGCTCTCGAGGAACAGTCAGTACTTTGAGAATGTTGTCGTGGGAGCAATTCCATAGGGCTTTCGTCTCTTGAGACTGGAGATGGGAATATCACGACGAGGCGAGGTGAGGTGAGTTAAGGCTAATCGCCATGAGACGTCTTTTCCCCGTAAAATGTCTCGCATGTCGCACGGCCCGCACTAAAAATAAGAATCTCAACTCGGGCCTCCCGTTGGCCAAGCTCCAGAGCTTGCAATATTTGAAGCTTTGAGCTCTTATCACCACTCATTATTGTCACCAACCCCAGCTCTACGGTGTCCCCAGCTCGTCGTTGCTCAACACCTTCCCCAGGTCAAGAGCAAGCCGCAAGCCGCACGCCACAGAGGCACTCGCGCTTTGCGGCCACTTAGAAACCATGCTTCAGCTATTCTGGGCTTTGTTGGTTGGAGCAGCTGGCCACATCTAAGCCCGCGGCATTCTGCAGGGACCCGTTTGACATGCCACCCAAGTGACGGTGCTTGTGCGTCCGCTGCACTGCGCTGCGCTGCACTGATAGGAACCGGTGGGAGGATGTAAGATGGCCGTCCCGGAGCACGGGCGAGCGGAATTATTGGAGGAAGGGAGACACAGGCGTGGGTGCTTTGGATCCTTCAAGCCTCGTTGGGCAAGAGATCCGTAGAATTAAAAGGTGGTGAGCGATCGCAACGCAACGAAATCATGCCGCCTGGCAAAATAGCTGGCAGAAAGCAAAAGTGGTGAGCGGTCGTAACGCAGCGAAACAAATATGCCGGCTCTATAAGAAGTATAATCAAAGGCGTTGACCGATCGTAACGCAACGAAAGTTACGAAACCATGCGGCCTGGCAGAATAGCGGGCAAACCCCCAAAAGTGGTGAGCGGTCGAAGTGCAACGAAGTCAGTACCGCCTGGCAGAATCAAGTGGCAGAACTAAGAGGGGTGAGCGGTCGACACGCAACGAAACCAGCAAAGTGGCCCGGCATCAGCAGAATCCGTTGTTATGGTTTCTCCAACGGAGGTTCAAGTTATGCACAACGGCAGGTATGAAAACCGAGCTGTGTGAGGCATGAAACTACCCCGCCAGATTCGAGACTTCCAACCGTAGTAAAGGAAGGGTATATGTTATTGTCGAGTTGGGAGATTACTAGTAGTGGATTGTGTAACTTCTGTGCGTCCTTTCTATTGTCCATGGCGCGGCATGTCTGTCCCGGAAATGGGGGGTTTGTGTTTGAGAAGCGAAATCAAGTCCTAGCAGCACATTCATAATACAAAAGGTCTCACCAAGCTTGAGAGCAGGCAGGTGACTAGGGATCGTGGAAAAGGGTGCATCGATACCTCTACTCAATAACATAGCCAGCTCTAGCAATGCACAGGAACTTTGGACCCATATGCTTCCCACCACGAACCTTAGTTAACTTTAACCAGAACTCTCCACATTATCATCTCACCATTTCATTTATTCATTCTCAATTTTCCCCTCCCCCTCAGATGGCCAGCCCAATTTCCCGCGCTGGAGTTCCTTACTCTTTATCCGTCGCTTGTTCGACATGAGAGGTGGATCTGTAGCGATTATGAGCCCTCTCATAGACGACTTGCTGGTACTGTCTCGCGCTGGTGCCGTGGGTCGGTTCTTATCCTTTTTCTTGAGGGATTTTTTACCAGAGATCCTCGTCTCCTGTGGAATCTTACTTGATGGGATTTGAGATGTCTGAGGTTTGATGGATACATGGTGAGGTAGAGGTGGAATGAAGGTGGGGTTAGTTGGTGGTATTATCGACGTAGTTGGTTTCCCAAGGGAACCTGATGGCTCCGGTAGAGAGGTTGCTGGCTGGTGCATTGGTAGTTTAGGAGTGGGTATAGAAGTTTCGCTTTTGGTTAACGCCGTCGATGGTTTGAGCGGGGGGGTCGGAGAGGTGGCACGAACTCTAGCTAACGCTAAGAGTCCACCTGTGATCCTCTTATCGGGTTTTGTCTGCTTTGTCTTCAGTCGTTTTAGCTGTTTGCCGTCTAGGTTAGCTGCTGGGATGGACGAACTCTTCTTGGTTTTCTTCTCTGACACTTCGCTATGTTTTCTCTTCACAGAACCGTTTGCAGTGCTTTCAACAGGGGAAGCCTTTGAAGATTTCTGTTTTCGAGAGGTGGCTGCTTTTGAGGGTAGAGGAGGGGCCTCGGTCATTTCTTCATCTGAGTCCGATGCAGCTTCACTATCTTCGTCGCTATCTGAAGGCATAGAAACAGGCTTTTTGAACTGTTTAGGGACGTTCGCGTCGTCTGGATCCTCAGAGGATATGTTTGAATCCATATTTCCAGCGTTCCCATCACTATATCCTAAGGGAAGAAATCGCATTTTCAAGCCTTTGGGCTGTGGTTGAACAGGTTTCTTGGCTGGAACTGTGGCCTTTAGGCCATCGTGTAATTTGGGAATCTGTTGAAGATGGAATATCTGATCGACGGGGTTGGAAACTAGCCGAAGGTTAGCGATGGAAATACTTCCAGCTGTACCTCTCCGGTGCATATATACCAGCTTGATAAGTCTCTGACCCATGAGGCACCATGATCTTGGCCTCCGTGCCATCATTGGCGACATCCTGGACGAATCCATAGTCATTGCCGTCATGAGAGCATACTTTTTCGCGAGCTTTTACGCCTGAAAGTGACATCTTTTTGATAGATGAGATGGGCACAGAAGCTGGTGCAGTAAAATACCATATTTGCTTCCCTTCTGATTTGTATTTTTTGAAAGCTGCCGGGGCTTGCTTTGCATCCTGTATAGCTGCAGATTTGAATAGAGGCGGGACACCGTAGGGTCCAGACGGAACGGGTGCTACGGTGGGGGCTTTCGGGGCTCTCCTAGATATAAGTTAGCTCATGTGATTATGAAGACGGATTATCAAACTTACACTGGACCATCCTCGGATTCATCGCTCCCGTCAGTATCTTCGTCCTCTTCGCTAGAGGAGCTGGAGCCGCTCTCAATTTCGCTGGAGCTACTGCTTCCTTCTGAGGAAGCCAATTGGCGTTGCTTTTTGGTGATTGAATCCGCGGGATTCTCGGGGAGTGACTCGCCCTCGCTCGAGGAGTCCTCACCTTCCCCCTCGCTTTCCTGGACGAACTCTTTGCTCAATTTCTTTGGTGCGATGGTCTTTTTCTCGGGCTTCTTGGATGGCGCAGAGGGTTTCTTGGCCTTGGCCGATTTGGCCATGGTTTTTAGGGACGGCATGGCTTTCAAAATCGGCTAGATTTGTTAAGATAAAGTACGGTGAATTGGATGCAATGCTGGTGGATAGTATTTCTAGACGATGAAGGTGGAGCTGGAACTTTTTTTGAGCGGCGTCGGCAAATCTTCGGAGAAGATTTCGATCAGCCTTGCAGGGCTGATACTGTAGCAACCACAAGTCACTCCAATACTACATATTAAATCCAGAGTTTCACATCTCACTACACAATGCTGCCATCAAATAAGAGACAAAAGCTTAGTGTTCCATCAGATCCTCCTCGTAAGTTAAATTCCCATGGAAAAGAGCTTGCCCGCTAATACTACTAGAATTGAGTGCTGTTGCTGCTAGAAGAGCTCTCCAAGGAAAAGCTCAAGCATCGGTAAAACAAAGCGGAGATGGCCATGTTAAAGCCCAAACATCGGTGACAAAGTTGGATGCTACCGTCTCTGGTGATGTTGAGACTGCTTTTCAAAGAATCCCGCAAGAGGGCGTAGCCAAAGTAACTTTGGATGCCGGAGTCGATGTAGTACTCAATGCTGGGAAAGATTTGGACTTCGATGAAGGAGGGGCATCGTCTTTGTAGGTCTCCCAGAAAACCAATTCTATATTTTGCTCGAATCTAACCCTTATAAAGCCCATCATCACGTGGTGACTCTCCTGATGAAATTCCTGTTGAGAGGCCTTCAGTAGCTCTATCGTCGTTTAGACCGACCCAAAGCAACTTCAAGGAGTCGAAAAATGGAACCCTCTCCCTCCTTTTAGTTCCAGGCGAAGTAAGATAAACATCTTGTATTGGTGGGCTTTACTAACATATCTCAGCGTTTGGTCATACTTGGACAGTATGAGCTATCGGTTCGGAAGGGTCAAATAACCCTGTTGGGCACAACTCTACAGGCATCGGAGAAAATGTATAGGGTCTTTGCTCCATCTTCTCATGCTCTACCAGTCATTAGATGTCTAGCTACAGACGCCAACGAAGCAGAGATCCACTTAAATCAGTGCGAAAGTGGTCTGGGATCTATGAAATCGCTTTCGCCTCTATTTGGCAGACTTTGGAATGATGGCTCTAGGCCTTTGTGCAGCCGCTTCGAGTCTCTGTTACGGAACAAAAGAAAAAGCACATATCAAATAGTACGATCTGCCATTAATTTTCCAGACAATAAGCTCATATCGCAGGTATTCTCCTCCGAAGACGAGCCCCAGAAGGCATTCTTGCAACCTTTGATCTCTCTCCCAGAATGGAATAGGTTGCTAGCGAAATTGACCGGACCGGAAATTCAACAGACCCCGATCACCATGATTTGTGGCCCTAAATCGTCAGGCAAGTCAACATTTGCAAGACTTTTAGCAAACAGACTACTGTCTACTTCTATGGGTGCCACGGCAGGCACCAAGACACCGGGGGTAGCATTAATCGATTTAGATCCTGGACAACCTGAATACTCACCACCTGGGCAAGTATCTCTCATACATCTCCAGGAACCAAACTTTGGCCCGCCATACGCCCATCCTAGCCCCGGCTCCAAGAGCCGAGTAGTTCGCTCACATGCCATCGCTGCCTTGACACCTTCTATGGATCCAAGCCTCTACATGGCTTGTGCCTTGGATCTTTTCGCCCATTACCGCAATTTACTCTCAAGTGTTCCCCACTGCCCCTTAATCATCAACACCCCTGGCTGGGTATTAGGTACAGGACTGGAAATACTAATGGAATTGATTACCAAAGTGCGACCCAATGGGGTCATTTATATGTCTGACGAAGGCCCCTGGGAGGTTGTGCAGAGTCTCAGGAGCGCAGCAAAATTAACATCGACACTCGTCTACACATTGCCTTCGCAACTCAGCGAGTATACTACTCGAACTTCGGTCCACCTGCGAACGATGCAGACCATGTCTTACTTTCATCTTAATACCACTCATGAGCCGAAGCTATCTTGGAACTGTACTCCGTTGACGTCTGTTCCACCATGGGAAATCAGCTATGCTGGAAACAATCCTGGAATCCTAGGTATCCTATGTTATGGCGAACAGCCGCCAGCCAATCTCCTTGCAGATGCAATCAACGGCTCGTTAGTTGCAGTTGTTGTGATAGATGATACAGCTGCCATTCCAGGATGGGATTCCCAAGAGCGGGATGAAGATACCATCGATGATGGCCCCGCGTCGGAAACTCCTGATCAAGACGACATATCTCTCAGTCAGAATTCAGAAATCCAAGCATTCGATGCTAATTCCATCCACCACCGACCTGTTGCAAAACCACTCATCACCCGAACACTCGCCGAAGACCTCCCCTATTTCAACCCTGCAAATGACATATCCCTCGACCCACAATTCTCACATACGATCGGCCTTGCTCTCATCCGTGGCATTGATCTCTCTCGTCGCCGGTTACAGATCCTCACTCCTATCCCAGCACACGACCTAAGGGAGGTCAATGAAGCTGGAAAGCAGGTAGTCCTAGTTAGCGGGAAGCTCGACACCCCTGGATGGGCATACACTGAGGAGCTATATCAGAAAGGATCAACTGAAAAAGAGAAGAACAAAGTTGACGAGGATGCCGAGGATGTTGATGCAGAAGATGACGATACTAATATAACTACGGACAATAAAGTTCTAGGTGCTAGTTTTGAGAATATACCGTGGGTTGAAAAGCTGAAAGGCTCGGAGGGACGAGGCTTGGGGGCACGGGTTTGGAGAGTGAGGAGGGATTTGGGGAAGATGGCCGATGGTGGTGATTAAGAGTACTGTGGTTTCACAAATGAATAGATACCAATTAGGGAAGTCGAGGGTAAATAAAGAGTATCCCTATACTTACCGCCCTTAAGCCTAATCACACAAGCGTTACTTCCGCTTTTTAAAATATGGAGTCCCCTTTGGTACGTTACCGTCACCCACATTCCCTTACCACGCTAGCATCCCTAAAATCACTCTCCGCTTAAACAAGTACCCTATAAAGTCCAAACGAAAATAATAAGAGAAATCCCCAAAAAATACAAAATGAAACACAGCCCTTTTGGACGATACCGAGAACCCTCAAGATTGGTTGTCTCTGGCAGAGCATCCAGGGTCCTTCTAGGGAGATTTTATAGTAACGGTTGGTGCTCTTAATGGTACTTGCCTTGTTTAAGGAGACACTTGTCTTCTTTATACAGGCAGCTTTTCCGCTCCACCAAACCTCCCTAGTCACCTCTCTCTATTTGTTAATAGGGTTTGGCTGATTTGGGTATATATATTCACCCGGACCGAGTAGAGCTGTTAAGGGTAGAATTGCCGATATTAAGCCTGCTGGTTCTTCAATTGAAAAGGTGCATGAATACTATTTCGATCCTCATATTGTGCCTATACAGTTCAGTTCATTATTTGTAAATTTCTCTCTTGTCCCAGCCATGTAACCACCAACGCCAGCACATGACACGTCCGAAACCCAGCGCCAAATTCCAAGTCCAAAGTAAAAGTCTACAGGGCTTTTACGCTCTGAAAAAAAGGATTCGCCAACAGCTTCTCGTCGCCTTTGACTAAATCCCTCATTACACCAATCTTCTCCTCCTTACTTAAATCCTTACCCTCACACTCCTTCTTCCACCTCACCAACACATCTTTCAACAACATGCTTCCCTCCTCTATATCTTCCTTCTCACACTTAATAGCCATTCCGTCATGCTTACTCGTAAAGTCCTCCAACTCATCCGCCTTCCTCTTCGCCATATTCACGACTTTCTCGGGGAAACGAACTAATTCTGCAACATGAATTCCAAAACTTTGATCACAGATTCCTTCTTCGACTTTATACAGGAGCGTGACTTCTCTTTTCGCCTTGCCCTGGTCGTCGATGTGTGCGACGACGTGAAGATTTTGGACCTGTGGGTATTGGTCCACCAGCGCAGTAAGTTCATGGAAATGCGTAGCGAACATGGAGAAGCAGCCGATTTCTTTGACAATGTGTTCCGAGATTGCCCAAGCTAGACCGAAGCCGTCGTATGTGCTTGTCCCGCGGCCGAGCTCGTCAATGATGATGAGAGATTCGGATGTGGCTGACTTGAGGATGTTGGCTGTCTCGAGCATTTCTGCCATGAAGGTCGAGACGCCTTTGAGCTGGGAGTCGCTGGCACCTACCCGTGCGAGGATGCAGTCGAATATTGTTAATTCTGCTGCAGAGCATGGGACAAAGCACCCTATCTGTGCCATGAGAGCTATGACCCCTATCTGGCGGATATATGTAGATTTCCCGCCCATATTTGGTCCAGTGATGATCAAGAATTCCGAGGATCCTCTTGTGAGGTTCACGTCGTTTGTGATGAATTGGATGTCGTCTTGCATCTCCATGCATGGATGTCTAGCCTCCTTCAAGATGGTATTACCTTCACCCCGAGGATGCATCGTCGGTCTCACATAGGATGTAGGAGCGTGGGCCGAGCAGTGAGCAAAGCTTATAATAACATCCATATGGGCAATTACGCCCGCAAGCAGCTCGATCACTGGGCAATATGAAGCGGCAACGCTGACGACCTCGTTGACCAAGCTTTTCTGCGTGCGGTTGTAGTTCTCTGAGAGTTGGTCAAATTCCCTTCGAAGGCTTTGAAGTTTCTGTGTTGTGAAGAAGACTCCATTCTTCTGTGTTGAGCATTCTTGATACCTCTTGTTATTTCGTATGCAACCAGCCTCGGTTCTTGTGAGGCGCATGCACCAGCCGTGGACTTTGTGGTTCTCGAGAAAGAGCTTCTTGTCAATATCCTGGCCAAGATCTTTACCAGCGGATCTGTGCTCCTGGTCCATTTCATGTCTCAGCTTATCGAGTTTTTTCCGGATCATCCGAAGCCCATCATCAAATTCGGGCTTGATGATATATTCGTGGTTGTCCATAGCAGCTAGATCGACGGTTGTCTCAACCATTTCTTGTAGTTTTGCAAGACTATCTGAGTATTCCCTGAGCTTTGTTGTGTAAGCCTCGTCTAGTGGGTCCCGATACTGCTCATCCATAACCCCTTCAAGAGTACCAATGATATTTGGTAGCCTGATAACAACCTGGTAAGCTCTGACGACATCCTCAAGGTTAGCCATTTTCTTCTGAAATCTCTTGGCGAGACGATATAAATCCGGGATTGATCGTAGATGCTCCTCTTGCATGGTTTGTCGTAACTCTGTATCTTCAAAAAATGCCTCAACAAGTTGTTGTCTGTTCTCAATATCCTTTTTGCTCATTAGGGGCTGTTTGAGCCATTGCGCCATTAACCGGCTTCCAATAGGGGTTTTGCAATGGTTGAGGAGACCGTACAAGGACATGGTTTTGGCTCCGTCTCTTGGTCCAGGCATGAGATTGAGTGCCTTTAGGGCCGAGGCGTCAAGTTTCATGAACTGAGAAAGATCATGTTGATACAGTTGGTACTGACCAAAATTCGAAGAATCATGCAGAACCCCGAGATATTTGATTAATGCTGCAGCTGAGCCCATTGCAAGCTTCAGGTCGGTCTGAGGCAAAGTACCCATGGCCTTTTCATCCTTCAATAGCCTTGAGAGATCCTGTTCGATATCTTTCGTGCCAAAGTCGGGTGCAGCTCGCTCAGAAATAGCGATGCCACAGGAGTCGATAATAGCTTTAAGCTTTGTCATTTCCACATCCCTCTCTCCTTTGTCAACCTGTATCAGACACTCCTTGACCCCCAATTGAATAAGAAGGGACTCGAAGTTCGAATATAAATCGTTATCCAGGAATTCGGAAACCCCTAGCTCGCGAACACTCGCGTCTGCAAAGCAAACTCCAACATTCCTGGCTTCAGAGGCCTTCGCCGAGACCTTGACAGCTAGAATAATCGGTGCAGCATCGAATTGACCGCCCAGCTCTTCTTCTATATCTTGTAGGTTCCCGGGCGATGCTTGTTTTGTGACCTTCCAGTTCAGCCGGCCAGAATTCTCCCAGATCTCTACTCTCTTGCCCAGGCGGAAAAGAGCGTCTCGAAGGAAATTTCGGAAAACGGTAATGGTCATGGTGACCGACGGCAGGCCCGAATGATCATTTCTTCCTAGTTGTCGCAAGACGGATGTGGTTTTATACACCTATTCCTGTGTTAGTGAGGGCCGTATCCATTTAAATGCTGAAAACTTACAGTCCGCGCGATGAATGATGCATCATCCCCATGTGCGGTGTACCAATCTCCACGGTCGAAAATTCGTATGGTATCTTCCCCTTCAGTAGGTAGGGATTTGAAGAATCTGATGAACCCTACCTCGTCGTCGACCTGTATAGCGTAAGAGTGGCGTTCAAGAGACCTGTTGGGAGCTTATAAGTACCTTCAATTCCGGCCTAGAAGACATCTTTCGGAGATATGGTTCCCTTCACGGTCGTTACGGATAGTACGATGTCTTTTGGTCCGTCCCGATAGCTCTCCAAACGAAGGAAATATATTATATTTATTTTGCACGAGTCCGTCACGGTCAAAAAGGGGTGGATGTGGGGAAGACGCGACGTGACAGGTGCTAGGCCAAAAGCGAAAGTTTCTGCCACCGCTTTAATCCTCGCCGAGAAATTCACAGTCACGCGTTATCAAAATTTACACCTCAGTTAACAACTTCCAGACAGCCCACACGCAATGGCTGACATAGAAGAACGGCCCTCTAAGATTCGAAAACTCAGTGCTCCGGAAAACTCCCAAGATGCTGTAATGCATGTAGAAATTTCGGGAAAAGAACACCACGAAGAAACTGCTGCCAATGCCCAGGATAAGACAGCAAAGTCCGAAAATGGAGACAACAATGAGCCAGAATCTACTACCGAAAAGCAAACGGGGGAAGAGCCTACATTGTCTAAAAGCCAGCGCAAAAAGCTACTAAAAAAGCAAGCTTGGGATGCGGGCAAAGATTACCGTAAAGCCAAGCGGCGAGAAAAACACAAGGAGAAGCAAGCCCGCAAAGCAGAAGCACGAGCGGAACTAGATGCCAAAATTGCCAATGGAGAGATCGAGGTGCTAGCTCCGGTGGAAAACACGGGGAAGAAAGGCCCAAGCAGACCTATTCCAGTCCCGCTCACGCTGATCTTGGACTGCGATTTCGACGAACTTATGCTGGAGAAGGAGATTATTTCCCTGGCAGCACAGATGACGAGATGCCATTCGGACAATAAAAGATCACCATATCGGTCTCATTTAGTTATTAGCTCCTGGAATAAAAGGCTGAAAGAGCGGTTTGAGACTGTTCTGGCGAATACGCATCTTGCGTGGAAGGGGGTTAGGTTTTTGGAGCAAGACTTTGAAGAGGCGGCTAAGGAAATGGATGGGGTGATGAGAGGCCAGGATGGAGGGGAGATAGTGGGAGCTTTGTCACTCAAGGGTGATGAAGCTCTAAAAGGGCCCCAAAATCTCTCTCAGAACGGGGAATTATTGCCAGCTTCAACACCATCTAAAGATCCACAGAGACCGCTAGAAATTACAACCCCTCCTTCAGAAGACACTACGGCACCACCAACACCCGAAGCATCCCTTGTCTATCTAAGTTCGGACTCCCCCCACACCCTAGACCGGCTCTCACCCAACACCAGCTATATAATTGGTGGTATTGTCGACAAGAACCGGCATAAAGGACTCTGCTACAAACGAGCCTGCGAACGGGGTATACCCACAGCAAAATTGCCAATTGGCGAGTTTATGACCATGCAGAGCCGGACCGTGCTGACCGTCAACCATGTTGTGGAGATAATGTTAAAGTGGTTAGAGACGGGCGATTGGGGCGAGGCTTTCTTAAGTGTGATTCCGAAGAGGAAGGAGGCGAAGCTGAGGGCTAAGAAGCGTGAGGGTGAGAGCAAAGAGGCTGGTGATGAGGGTGAGAATAAGGAGGATGAGGGTGATGAGGAAAGTGGAGATGAAAAGGATGGCGATGAAATGGTGTCGGAGGAGAGGCCGGTCTTGATAGATGCTGAATGAACATTAAGATTCAATTATCTTTCCAAAACGATGTGGCTCTAAACCAATGTTCCTAGGTCTTTAGGTGCCTCGTATAGATATAGCATCGCTATCACACCCACACCAATTGCCCAAGGGATATCATAAAGCATAACCTGACACTTCCCAGTCCCAATTGCCCTCCCAACGCCCCATCCAGTCCCCGGAAAACTCCCAAATCCAAACCACGTATATCATACATCCACAGTACTAAGGTAGACGCGCCCATAGGACCCAACAAAAAGAGAGCAGCACGGCCGTGCGTGTCACCTCCCATCCATCCCGTTCACATAAACCTCGGCCCTCTCAGCCCTCTCACACCTGGCAACCATCTCCGGCATACCCTTCACAACCCTCTCGAGCCCCTTGACACTCCTCTCCCAACCAGCCTCCACATCCGCCTGCCTCTCCAACTTAACCAGCCCCAAAACATCCGCCTCGCCCTCGGTTTCCCTCATCCCCTCTCCTAAGGCTCGCAACCCCTCCTCATCCGCCTCCATCTCCTCCTTAAACCTCCTCCTCATGCCCTCCACCACCGCTTCCGGAACCTTCCTCCTGAGCGCCGCAATTTCCTCGATCAAATCCTCCTCCTTCCGCGCATTCGCCTTCGCCTTCTCGAATAATCTGTGGTTGAAGGGCTCGTGTTCCTCGATCACGCCGTCGGTGGTTATGGTGGAGGAGAGGATGGAGGGGACGAGGTCGGAAGTGGGGGGGAGCCCGTTGATGGTTATGTTGGGGCTGATGCCGAGGAAGACCTTGTTCACGTACTGATGCATTTCATTGCACGCGTTAGCTAGAGCTCTGTTTATCTGGCTAGGGCCAAGGCAAAATAATGCTGAGGGGGGGGATTGTGACGGGATGAATACATACATCATGAACATCTTCCCCCACCGCCCTCCGCATAGCATCCTCCCCCTCGCTCTCCATTGGTGGCAAGGCCTGATCTATTTTGTCGTTCGCGCCGCGCCGGACGTTGCTGATGAGGTATTGCAGGTCTTCAACTGACTGCAGCTCTATTTTCCGAGGTTCTGCCATGCCGTATCCCTATAAACGGACGGACACGCCAATTCCTTGTGCAGGCGGCGGCAGGATCCGATTGATGGCGGGATAGTCTTACAGGTGGATGTAGCTTCTGGGGGTATTCCTGATCCTGTTGTCGCGAGAAAGGCACTTGTACGATACTTGATGCTGTACTTTCGTGTATCTCGGTGTTTACTTTCACGCTCTCACGATGCGGGCAACGGAGCAAAGCGGCCGCCTCCAAACCTTAAATCTGTGGCCGACGCCGATACCGACGCCGGTGCCGATGCCGATGCCGGGCCGGCACACCGCACTCGGCCACAAACGGTCTAGGCTCCGTCTCCTTATCGCAGTTGCGGGGTGGCAGCAGGGCGGCGGATTGTTTATCTATCTATCAAGGTACAGCACATTGTAGGATCTGGTAAGGACCTGGTATATGTGTTTGAAGTTTGAAGTTTGAAGTTTGAAGTTTGAAGGTGAAATAAGTCTGGAATTGACCATATTAGGGTCTTCTGTGCTACCTCGGGTCTCGCACAGACAAAAGAACCTGCTTGCTCGAGTGACCTGACAAACATGGCGGTGATACGGTACCTGTCTAGTGTATGCGCCCTGCATGCAAGCACAACGAATTTCCCAGGTGGCGCCTTGCAAGCTGCACCTCTGAATTGGAGACACGAAGGTATGCCAATGTATGCCAACGCTTAGGCCGTCCTGATTCTATGCGGTGCCATGGGAACGGCAGTTGTGAATACTCGGTGTAGGACTCGTAGCTCACGTTCGAGAAGTGCGCTCGAGGTTGCGAAGACCGAGGCCCTGGTCCAGCTTAGGCAAATACGTTAGGCATACTTCACGAAGTACATGTGCAGTCACTCAATGGTCTGAAAAGCCTCCCCTCTACCAGATTGAATGATTTGCGGAGCCCGCCATATCGCTCCACAATCATATAAAAAAAGCTTCAATTATTGTAGACTTACTAAGGTTACCAGCAAATAGAGAGGGGGGGTCTAACCAAAAATAACCTCCATAAACTGGCCAGCTTCTCAACCTGTTGAACTACCTAAACTCCCATCCCAATCCATCATCGCCATAACTGTATACCTTAACATTCTACCTCAACCGTATCACCGGAACAAATATCAATCTCCCTAAATATAAAATACTCCGGGTCGTCCAAGATCATAGGAATCGTATGTTCAAGTCCCAGCGCCTAACAGGTGTGCACATTTCCCAATCCCGAATCCGAGGGCACCAGCGGTTATCCCTTAATACTCCGATAAGATATTCCATTATTGGGGCAGCATTTGCTTGATCTCCTCGTCGCTCAACCGTATCTCGTGGACGGGGTCACGCTTCCTTTCGAGGGATTCGAAGTCGCATTCGACATAGGAGGGGAGGAAGATCTCTGGGTATCCGGTTAGCCTTGCCTTTGCCCCTTTGCATTTGCCAGGTGAGTGTAAGTAATTTGGACATACCTGGATTCCAGTCGAAACCTTGAGATGATCGGACGCAGGTAATCTGTAGGAGGTCGTTAGAAAGGGTTGGATTGCCCGGAGACCCGTAGACGTCTGCCTTGGCCCGGAGACTTACCAGGCGTGGCACCCCGTCAGGATCCCCAATGTTGATGACGGTATGTTCCTGTTTCGAGAGCGACGAGCCTGCGAAGATATTATGTTTAGCATTCTCTGCCTTCGATACCATCTGCCAACCACGCCCGCTCGTGTCCGTTCACCGGATCGGGCAGCGAACCCTGCCTAGCTGTGTGCACACGAAGGACAAAGAAAGGACAACTCACTCAACAAGCTGGGCCTTCGATCATGGCCGTACCTGGCATTGGGACTTGGTGAAGCAGAGGCCGGAGATGATCCAGTTTGCGGTCGTGGTTGTGGCTGGGGAGTTCGTGGAGAGCTCGAGTATGAGGAGGATGAACTGAAGCTCGGTCCGGCCTTGCTGCTCTCCCCGTAGGCATTCCGGGTGGGAATGGCGATGGACGACGACATAATGTACAAGACGACACAACGAGTTCGAATTGAAACCAAGGGCGGATGAACTCGATTGTAGAGAGTGAATAGCGACGGCGATGCTATTGAAGGTTGAGGTGCGAAGGCGGTGCGATGCGGTGACTGACGTTGATGGTTGAACGAGGAGCAGCCGCAGCAGCAGGAGGAGTAGCAGCAGCAGCACGGAGGGAGGTAGTAGCAGCAGCCCAAACACTAGCACGACTGGCTCACAGAGCAGCCTCCAAGTGGAAGTGGACGGAGAGGTACCAAATAGTAATAATACTGATAATAATAATAATAATAATAATAGTAATAATAATCGTGGCAGCTTCGTTACAGCACAGTTGCAGTAGTAACTTCACCCAGCACTTTGCACTTTGTACGGTAGCAGCAACTTTGAGTATAAGTATAACAGGATCCAGAACACAGAATACGATGATGTGACTCTCTCCCCGTGACGGTGTCCACCTGGCGGCGGTGGCCGGCGGCAGAATGGCCCGGATTGGCAGGGAATCGGCAGAATCGGCACAACGGGCTGATTCGCTGACCGCCTGCAGCTGGGGCGCCTTGTTGCCTTGGTGCCTTGCTGTCTTGGTGCCTTATTATGTAACGAGGTGCGAGTGTACCAATGTACCGATGTGCCAATGTGCTGCCGCATGTCGGGCCTCAGGCTGCGATAATTGCAAGTCGTCACGGAACGCTTGCCTGCGCTGCACGCGATTCTATCAACATCTCTACTCCCGTACTTCATCCATCATAATAATAACCAACCACTTTCTGCAACAGCTCCTCCAACACCAACAACCTCTCCCCTCCCCTCCCCTCCCGCAAGGAATCCGCTGCTCTGCTCATCTGCAAAGTAACAGTCGGTCTAGATACCCGAACCTGATTGACCATGGCCGATGTTGCGGTCGAGAACCCGGCGAACCAGGTGGCGCCTCATCGAAAACAGCTCCCGTCTTCCATACCGAACATCGACTCGCTAGAGGGCCTAACCTCCGATGGCTCAGACGAATATTCCACATTGAAGAAGCTGCAACGGCATCTGGAGTGAGTTATAGCTATAATACCCGAGGCGATGGTTTGGGCAGCATGGCTAAGGAATGGCAGATATATCCAGCTTCAAGAAGAGTACATCAAGGACGAGCAAAGGTATAGCCTCATTTTATAGATGCGATGTCGGTCATTGCAGATGCTGATGCCGATGCTGATATTCCCCAGGAGCTTAAAGAGAGAGCTGGTGCGAGCCCAAGAAGAGATCAAGCGCATTCAGAGTGTGCCGCTGGTCATTGGACAGTTTATGGAAGCTATCGATCAGAAGTAAGACCGCCATAGCACCAGGCAAATGCTTGGTTTGGGGAAGCCCCGCTGACAATATCACAGCACGGCCATCGTTCAATCATCAACAGGATCCAACTATGTCGTCCGAATACTCTCAACCCTCGATCGCGAGCTCCTCAAACCCTCCTCATCCGTCGCACTCCATCGCCACTCCAACGCCCTTGTTGATATCCTTCCCCCCGAGGCCGACTCCTCTATTGCCATGTTAGGGGCGGATGAGAAGCCCGACGTGACATATGCAGATGTGGGTGGTTTGGATATGCAGAAACAAGAGATCCGAGAAGCCGTCGAACTCCCCCTAACACACTTCGACCTTTATAAGCAAATCGGTATTGACCCACCTCGCGGTGTTCTTTTGTACGGGCCTCCTGGGACCGGGAAGACTATGTTGGTAAAGGCAGTGGCAAACTCAACCACGGCGAGTTTCATCCGAGTCGTCGGCTCCGAATTTGTGCAAAAATATCTCGGAGAAGGTCCTCGCATGGTTCGTGATGTCTTCCGAATGGCACGCGAGAACTCTCCATCTATTATATTCATCGACGAGATCGATGCCATTGCCACCAAGAGATTCGACGCCCAAACCGGCGCAGACAGAGAAGTGCAGGTATGTTATTTTGACCCCCTCTAACCTAAAAGAGCAACAATCTCTAACTCACGTGAAGCGTATTCTTCTAGAGTTGCTCAACCAAATGGATGGATTCGATCAAACCTCCAACGTCAAAGTCATCATGGCAACCAACCGAGCCGATACCCTAGATCCCGCTCTTCTCCGTCCCGGACGTTTGGACAGAAAGATCGAGTTCCCCAACCTCAGGGATCGAAGAGAGAGACGGTTGATCTTCACCACCATTGCATCCAAGATGTCCTTGTCTCCTGAAGTTGATCTAGATAGTTTAATCGTGCGCAATGATCCCTTGAGCGGTGCTATCATTGCCGCGATCATGCAGGAAGCTGGGCTGCGGGCTGTGAGAAAGAACAGGTATAATATCATCCAATCGGATCTTGAGGATGCGTATTCAAGCCAGGTCAAGGGAGCACAAGAGGTAAGCAATCCCCCTCCATTATCCTTTTTCAAAGGCAAGACAGAAAAATTTCCCTTTCTAACACTTTCGACATAGGCGAACAAATTCGATTTCTACAAGTAGAAAAAACATACAAGTTAATGTATGCACAGAGAAGAGATCGAAAGGGGTAATCGAAGATATGTAGGCTGCTCAAGCCAATATTAGCTACTAGGCAACGGGGCACAATTCTAGATCCTGCCCTCTCTCCTCCAGTTACGAAGTACGGGAGAAAGCGGGAGTCTTCACATGTACCAACAGGGTCATCATAGATCAAGAGACCACCAGACACAGATTTATGTAAACTTGACAACTTGTTTTAATTGTTTTTGCTTTCCGTCTTGGCTTTTTAAAAACCTAGAATGCTACCAACGTGAAAACCGAGCCCGTGGTGCTTTTCAAGGGACAGCGTATTATTTCGCTTTTAACAGTCTCATATCCCCGCCTTCCCTCCCCTTATTTACGAAAGCGCCAGCAAAAGAGCGCTTCTTCCCAAAACGCTAAAAGCCGCTATCAAAGAAGAACCTGAAAACCATCGCTCCTAATTCGATTGAACCCGCAAAAGTACTCCTACAAGTAACATGTTTGTCCCCCCTTTCTACCAAAACACCAAGGGTTTCCCCATTCCCCTTTCGTACACCCAACAAAAAAAAATCAAAACACAACGCCCGAGATGCTATGCTAAAGACGCTATTAACCGCTGAATTGATGATCCCCCCCGGTGCCTTGCGCCTCGTGTACAGTTTTGGGTTTTGTCGTTTGCTTCTCGTTTTCGTTTTCGTTGTCCCGTTTTCGTGTTCCTTGTGCTTTCGTTGTATTCTGTTCAGTTGGAAAGAGGAGAGAGGGGTGTGCCTTCCAAGCTGACTCGCAGTCCTGATCCCAGACGCCACAAGATCTGATTACGCCGGTCCTCCCCGAGCCCGCCAAATAACTCAGGAGCCAAGTAACACCCCCAGCTCGATCAGCAGCCTCACAAACCTCGCATGCAACTCGATAAAAAAGTCTGGTAAGCCGACTAGTTCCGCCAATCCCCTAGCTCTCAAACTCATTCCCGCAAACTTCCCATCTACACCTCGGTTCCTGCCTTGTAGGAACGAACTCGTAGGCGTACCACCACTACCCCGTCCACTTCCGGTATCACCGTTCGCTGTGCCGCGCGGAGAGCTCGCTGCTTCTGAACGCTCGAGTTCCGATTCAGCGAGGCCCTGGATCCAGGATGCAAGATCGCGGAAAGCGACGGAGAGGAAGGAGAACGTCTGCATGGCAAGGCGCTCCCGGTGCGTTGTTAGTGCCATGAGAGCGTAAACACGGCGCCTCCCCCGCGCATTCGGGTCGGGGATCCGGAAGATGTACGCGGTTGTGTAGCCCGCTAAAGGGTCGCCAAAGAATATTGGGCCTCCTGACGAGGTGGTGGTCGTTGAGGACGAGGGGCCGGAGGAAAACGGGCTGTTGATGAATGGAGAGGTAGGAGAGCTGTGTGTGAATTGCGTGGTGGATGATGATGGAGGAAGGGTCTCGCAGGAGAGTGTTCGTAGGCAGGATTGTCTGATAATGGAGAAGGAGGTGGGTGCTAGGGGTTCGTGGGTGGAGGTGTAGTCTACGAAGTGGTCGTGGGAGGCCGTAGAGCTGAAGGAGGAGCTGCTGGAGGATGTACCGGCGCGGGTGAAGGGGGAGCGGCGGCGTGATTTCGAGGTAATTGGGTTGTTTTCGGAATCGGAGGAGGTTGCAGAGACAGATGCGGATTTGGGCGGCGAAGGCTCCTCAATGGGGACGGAGACTCGTTCGTATGGTTTGCGCGTTCGCAGTGTTGGACTACTATTGTCAGGCTTTGCACTTGCAGAGGGATCCTCCTTCATTTTCTTCGGCAGAGTAAGAGCGCAGTTCTCGCACGGGATTGCTCTCCGTTTGTCGTTCTCATCGTACGTCTTGCGGAAGCTCGAGTCGCGCCTGCGATGGTTCCCATTCTGTCCGCCTTGTAGCGCTGCCACTCTTGGGCTTCCAGGGGGCGTCGGCGACTCGATTGGGGAGTATACGGCCTGCGAGCTGGACAGGCCGAGGCCGGTGGGCTCGATATCATTCTCCTTGTTATCCGAAGATGCGGATGCGGTGGAATTGGTTCTGGTTGCGCCGCCGCGAACTCCCCTGGCCACACCATCCGAGGGGTTCAACGATCGCGTGCTTGTGCTAGGTCTCCGGGACCCAAACTCCTTTGTAAATTCAGAGCCTTCTTCGAAGCACGTTGTGCAACCCACGGGTAGGGCCTCGGTGACCATCAAGGGCGTCGGACCGTGGGTGTCGCAATAGTGCGCAAGACATAACTAGAGGCGCAAAACATGTCAGTCCAGGTTTCTAGAGTAAGAGGACCACGGAATTCCGTGCCCATATATGAGATGGACGAGCCGGCAAACAGACGCACGGCAATGCGCGAGACAGAGGACGTCGAAGTGTCGGAGGAGACAGCCTGTAGGGCAAGCACGGGAGGGAGGATTCTTACTATGGACGTCATGATTGTGATTGGGCCCTGGGCCTCCAGAGCTGTGTTCGTGGTTACGCGTGCTCGCTGGGCGGGAGAGATGATCTCGGGTCGATGATGTATGTGGTGTAGATGGTGTATGTGGCGGTGGTATGTGGTGTACTTGCACTTGCACTTGGTGCTCTGCGGTGCTTTGCTTTGCTGTGAATGTGTGCGTGGGCTCGTGGTGTTCCTTTGGGGGTGTCTTGCCTGGCACCTTGGACGGCGATAGGGTTGCTGGATGGAGGGAGAGAGGGCTCAAGGGCGAGACGTCACTTGGGAAGGGGGAATGGCTCGGATTGTATTGTAGGAATGTTTTTTTGGTCGAGTCGCAGTCGCAGTCGGAGGCGGAGGTGCTGTCGTGCGTAGTTTCGTGGTGGGGTGTGGGCCGAAGGCCTCGAACTTTATTTATTTGCCGTGGGGCGCCGGCTTGGTATAGTACGGCCTGCAAGTGCAATCTAAGACGTGCCTGGCAGCTGGAGAAGAGAAGAGAAGCGACGAATCTCTCCGAGGCAGAATGTGGAGATGGAAAAGAGGCGGTCCAGACAGCTGGGTATATTATATATATTATGTATCTCTACCTCGGGCATGGAACAAACAGAGAAGCCAGAGAGCGCCGGGCGGGACGGGACGTTGCGGACGGTGGATGATATACTCCAGACCTGGCTATATCCTATCCTGTATATATAGCCCAAGGGAAGAGGACATATAGGGGACGGAGGCATAGGAGAGTCTGGGAGTACCACCGAGATGGCACCCATGGAGTTCCCGGCACAGTCTGGTTTCGTCGGTACCTAGGTTAAGGTAAGGTAAGGTAGGTATTGTACGAAGCAGGACGACTCTTGCTCTGGATGTACAGTACCTGTAAGTGCTGTAACAGCGTATCAATCTATCAATCAATCCAATCCATCCTCCATAACCCTCCCTTCACCCACAACATCCACAACATCCACAACCACAAAACCACAAAACCACAGATCTCCTTCCCTCCCCCCGGCTTACGGAGGTGCAGTGCAGCAGTGCTCGTACGTCGTGCAGCAAGCAAAGGAAAATAGCAGAACCAGGTGCCTTCACATGCAATCAGCTGCTGTTACGGAGCTACAAGTTCCCAGACGCCGCCAGGATCGACGTTCGCCCACAGCTTCCAGCCTGGGGACGCAAACTAGGCCGGTACATGTCCTGTCCTTCCACTTCCAGGCCCGTCCCAGCCAACCCAGCGAACCCGGCCAGCATTGCGCCGGGACTCGGGACGCCCTCTGGACGTTCTACGGGGAATAACAGTAATGCTCTAGAAGTCGAGACGAAGAGGGACGGAGAGCGTGACCGTGAGCGTTCACGTTCAGATTCGGGTTCAGGTTCAGGAATAGCCACACATCCGAGTACTCAATGGGAGTGTCAGCACCCTACCTATTCAACCTCCCTATTGACCCACTGGACTGCCGAGCCCGGCATTCCGAGGAGCAGCTGTCGATGGCGGCGAACGGCGACTCCAGAGCCCATCCCATACGGTAGTTCATGGTCCTGGCGGAGATGTACTTCGTAGGACGGGATGGTACGGGCGGAGGACGGAGGGAGCGATATCCAACCTCGAACGCCAACATCCTAGGAGAGGCTCGTGAGGCTAGAAGGGGGGGATCTGGAACAAAGAACGAAAGCATGAACCATTCATACGTGGATGTATGTCCTTGGTCCCACTGCCATACGAATACTACTACGAAGTGTACCAAGAAGAGGCGGGCAAAAACACTGAAACAAAAACACCAAACCCAACGGACAGGCGCCAAAGCTCCCTCGGGCGCTCCCTGCAATGTCGTCTGCAACCCGCATCTACACATCTTCATCTCTCACTCTCGCCACCATCTCCCTCCGCCATCTACTCCAGCTGCATCATGATCCTGCACCTCATGATCGCCGAAGCAGCACCCCCTTCGCATTTCCAAAAACAGCTCTCCCCTTCGTCAGAATGAGCAGATCCCGCCTCCCCACAGGGCCACAACGCGACCCTGAATAATCCCAATTAATCCTACGCCGTGGACCGTCGTGTCACAGAACACGCCCCCCTTCCCCTGGGATAGTAGTACCCTGAGGCCCCGTTGTCTGCGTGGCTTCGGAGTCTCGCGTGAACGGTCCTAAAGAGCCTAAAGAGCCTAAAAGCCTAACTCTCTCCGTAGGGCCCGGGTTCGCATGAGGTTCGCATGAGAAAAAGTTCCCTCGGGTCTGGGGAAGCTTAGGCAAGGAGTCGCCTACGGGATTCTCACAGAACATATCGAATTATCGATGCATGAGCAGCTGTGGCTTCAAACCGGTCCTCGCGGCTGAACTGGACCGGCGGCGCCCGTACTTTGCTGAACTTTGGTACCGTAACGGTACTCTTGTATTTCCCCATAGGCATCCCCCGATAGGTAGCCCGCGATAGGTACAGCAACGAGGTACGTAGTACTCGCACCCAGAGAAGATGGGGAAAAGGTAATTTGCTGCACTGACTGACGTACGTCGCATGGAACATCATAATGGTTTTGCCGTGAAGCATCTCGGGTCCCATTCTAGCAGCTCTTCGAGAATTGGAGCGGCCAGCTGCTCGCTGCTAATCTTACGATACCTACTTTTGAAATATGCCATGTCCTTTCTTGTTCAATATTTTTTCGGACACGGTTTCTCCGTGGGATCCTTTACCGTGTACCTACCTACCTGCCTACCTACTTCGTACATATGTGCTGTAACGAAGCCATCTTGTTCATACGTGTTTGGCTTCCACGAATCCTCTCCGAGCATTGTCTCTTTTCCACGCCCACAACCTGCATCCGCTCTTTGGCCATCTGGGCCTCTTACTTGCGGCGTCAGAAAAGGGATGCCGATAAAGATATCCGGAGATTACGTGTACTCAGTACATGTAGGATCATTCGTGCAATACGAGAACCACAGGAGGCAACGTAGGTTTCTTTTGTTCAGGGTATTTTTATCAGGAAAGGGTATTGCTAAACCAACAACATGATGCGTTAGAGCGCTTAACGAAAATTCAAGTCGATGTCATACATAGCTGGGCTGTAAAGTGGCATCAAGGCTCTTTTATAGTTTAGAATAACATGGCATCCGGAAACTACCCAGGTGTAACAGTTGGATTACTGAAAGTGACCTACCCGATTATTGCAACTAGCTTTGAGAAGGATGAGGCAACAGCCTAGTGACCGTCGTGCATGCGAATTATACAAAACCTGAGGGGGATACTACCTTCAAAAAGCCAAAAGCGTATGTTGCAGTATATTTTCTTGTATACATGTTTTGTCCCCGCGATAGGATTTTGAATAGAAAATAACTAAAACTTGATTTCTAGATATATCCAATAGGTAACAGATTGCCCTGCCAGGAACTCTCCTATCAAAGCCAAAGTCAATATCTATAGTCCGTGGTTTAACCCTAACAATCCAGAAATTCATCCAAATAGCCTTCTAGCCGATATCAACCCGGAAGTCCGAGGACATCTATCCTAACGCCCTAATTAGGAATGGTTTGACCGAGATTGTAGAACGAGCACCGTGGCCCAAGCGAAGCAATGTGATAGAGTGCTTCCCGAGTCGGCTCGATTTCAAGAGATACGCGTGCGATATTTCTGTCTCGATAGCGAAAGTACAAAGGGGAAAATCGTGCTTAATCGGATCGTGAGTCTACAGGAGGATCCTAACAAAGGCTGAGGTTATCTTGTATTTGGCACCGGAGGTTAGTTGGAGGGTGAAGGTAGAGGGAGCAAAAGGTAAAGAATTAAGGTATAAGTCGACGAAGGGTCTAGGTCGACGAGAGAGGGGTGGCTTACTCGAGGGATGTAGAGGAACATAAGCAGCTAAGGTGTCGGCAAGGCACGCTATAGTCCTCATGTACATCTAAAGGATGGGCCAGATCAAGAGAGTACCTCTATTGGCTACGTTGTACCCGTCTAAAGGCGGGACGTAGTAAGAGAAGTAAAGAAAATACAAAATACTACGAAGAGGCAAAGGACCTGCTCGAGTCGTTCCGCGATCTGGCGGGCTACGATCGCACGCCGAGGGCGATGTATCCACGCTGCGATCAATACCATACGGTATGGTACTTGGTACCTTAGGTGTTGGCTCTAGAACCAAGTCCCAAGCTGGTGGGTAATGTTGACGCATTCTTGGGCGAATTTGGTGCAAAACTCTTTTTCGCCGGTATTATGAGTATAAGGCCCAGGCCATTACCCAGATATTCGAATAACAGGGTATACGAAGTAGTTCGAAGGACTACGCGCCGACTATCTAGACTGTATGGAGACAACAGTAGAAGCTCGATATCGGAGACATATATGGGTAATGGCCGTGGGTGCTGCGGAACCACTACCTGGTTGGTTAGGGCCGATAGTTTGTCTAACCACACATACCGTACCTATATCATTCAAAGGGCAGCCCCGACTCATCGCGGACTTTATAGTTGAATAATCCTGACATTAACTCATAAACTTAGACATTCAGAATGGCATCTACGAGCACCTCGTCGGCCCCGCCCCTAGATATCGAGCAGATCACAACCGCAGCGGCAAACCTCAAAACCACACCTCTAACCACTATCCAGGACTTGAAAAATCAACCATGTCTGTGGTACAAAGTTCACGTCTTTGTGTATGACCTTCGGAATTTTCGAGAAATTCCGGATGCTCAAGCACGGCTCGACCGAATCATGGATGCATCTTATATCGACCTTCCATATTTCACGCCCGACGAGGTCCACCTGCTTAAATCTTCGATTGTCGAAGGCGATAAAACACTGGAGGGTATCATCGAAGAAACCCTCAATGAACGCTTGGAGAGACGGATCAAGAAGAGAGTCGAAAGTGGAGACTTCCGTGTCTGCGCAGCACACGATCTTGCCCCGATCTTCGAAAAGGTATTCGACATCAAATCTAAAGACTTAGCAAAGAACGAAGAGTTTCTTACTATTCTTGGGAGATCAGGGCTAGATCTGAAAGACGGTGATGGTTGGAAGGGCTTGCCTAAAAAAAAAAATTAAAAAGAAGAATAAGAGGCAATAAAACCTTTAATTTCGTTTCTGACGTTGAATCGAATAGCTAGCATCTTGAGTTGGGCTTTTGAGGTTATCCTAGAGAAAAGTCGTGAGGCTGGACGAATGGATTGGACAGGACCACATTGAAGAACCAGGATGCTCTCAAGGTCAAGACAAATCGGAAAGGTGCAGATAAAAAGGATTTGGAGGCACGGCGGGCCGAGGATTGAAGAAAGCTCGCAGCAGCATTTTTCGCAAGAAAACAGAGGGCAGTGATAACTAGATACATCGATCATATGAATTCATCACATCGTTGTTTCTGATTTCATCTTTCAGGTTGTGAAGTCGAGGAATATGCAGGACACGTAACATCACTCACAATCAAAGGTATAGAGAGAAGAAGGTATATTGTCATTAGCCAGAAAAAAATAACACAACTATCAAGCCCCCAAGGAATCTCAATAAGAAGCTATGCCACATTTTAACCAGCCCTCTCCTCCCCAAAAAGTATTTTTTTGGTGAATTCTTTTTGTCGTTTTGGTTCCACTCCCATCATCCGATGTCAAGCTCTTCGTTTCTTTAGAACGGCCGAAGAGTAACAATCATTGTCCATAGGGTATCCTGCAAGCACATTCATCCGCCCCTAACACCCTTCCTCTATTCTCGAATGATCGCATGCTGTTTGAGCGTCGCCAAGCATAAATGCCCTGTCATACAATCCATCCATCCACCATTAGGCCACCAAACGGTGGGCCCATTAGAGCATAGGGAAATAGAGCTCTCTTTCTACCGACGCCAGCCAGTCATGCCCTTCTTGCAAGTACCGCCAATCCAGACTCCAGACACCACTCGTGTGAGTGATATCAACCCTAAAACGCCTTGCACGCCGTCCATCCAGTCATGATATCAGATTCAAAGCCGCTGAACGTATGCTGCCAGTTGCTCCTCGTCTGATATGAGAGGCGTCCAATGAGAAACATGGAAAAAAAGAAAGTCGTATGTTACAAACACGCAGCCACGCTCCGAGCAAGAGATCGTAATAAACCAAACGAAATGGCAGACGGGCCGGAGAACACCCTGAGGACTAACCATTGCGAGGAGAACAAACCATCTCTTGACGTTGCCGCTTCGAGTCTATCGCAAAGCGAAAAAAAAGGAAAGGAATATGTACAAAATCAAACATCCATCAGCTCATGCAAGGATTGTAATTTTGGTTCGGTTATTGAGCCGGGACATGCTGTTGGCCACGCCCGCCTCTCTGCCCTTCGTATCCGTTCTGTCGGCCTTGTCCGCTCTGGCCACCTCCTCGGCGGGTGTTGTCGAATCTACCATTGCCGCGAGAGAAGCCTTGACCTTGGCCTTGTCTCTGGACCTGGCCTTGATTCGATCCGTTCTGGCGATTATTATTGTAGTTTTGGTTATTTGCCCATTGGTTGCCCGACTGCTGTTGGGGTTGAGCTTGTGATTGTTCCCGTCCAGAGGGTTGACGGTTGGTTTGGAAGTTTGAGATGGGTCGAGGGATGTTCTCCGGGCTATCATAAACATAGAGACTCTTCTCAATGGTTTGGGGGATGGGCAGGATCTCGGTTCCTAGATCGCGCTCGATGTTGTACAAGTTGAAGCGGTCGTCCCAATTAATGAGGTTAATCGCAAGACCTAAATGTCCGAAACGGCCAGATCTTCCAATACGATGAAGGTAGGTCTCGGCATTCTTAGGGAAGTCGAAGTTGATGACGACATTGACAGCTTGGATATCAATGCCTCGGGTTAGGAGATCGGAGCAGACAAGATTGCGGCAGACACCGTTGCGGAAGTCATGGAAGACACGGTTACGATTTGCTTGAAGCATTCGAGCGTGACTGTAGAAGCAGGAGTATCCAAGTTCGGTGATCTTTTTGGCGAGGAGCTCGACACGGTTTGTTGAATTGCAGAAGATGATCGATTGGTTGATTTGGAGTTTGGAGAAGAGTGTGTTGAGGCAGTGGACTTTCTGCTTCTCTTCAACGAAGGCGTAATACTGTGTGATACCACGAAGGGTGAGTTCGTCCATGAGATTGATTTCATACGGGTCTTGCATGTTCTTGTCGGAGAAGGCCTTGACGGTGATCGGGAAGGTGGCGCTGAAAAGCATCACTTGGCGGTCTTTGGGGTGGAATTGAAGTAGTTGTTCAATGACGGGGGTAAATTCGGGGGAGAGGAGTTTATCAGCTTCGTCCATGATGAACATTGGACATTCGCTGAGGTCGGCAACATTCTTTCCTGCCAGGTCGAGGATTCTTCCTGGCGTGCCAACAATAATATGTACTGGGTCCGCTAATCGTACGATATCATCTCGCAGTGTAGTACCGCCGGTGGTGACCATAACATTAACGCCGAGATGTTTTCCTAGAGTCTTGCAAACCTGGGATGTTTGTAAAGCCAGCTCTCGTGTTGGGACCAGGATTAAGCATTGGACTTTGGAGCTCTTGGGGTTGATGCGTTCGAGGGCAGGGATGACGAAGGCTGCTGTCTTGCCAGTCCCGTTCTTTGCTCGGGCTAGCACATCTCGTCCGGTAAGCGCAACAGGGATCGCCTCCTCTTGAATCGGTGATGGCTTTTCGAATCCAGCTTCGAAGATTCCCATCAGCAGGTCTCGCTTAAGGTTGAACTCCTCGAACTCGAGGCCTTTGGTAGCCGTGACATCCTGCAGGCGGCATTAGTAGAGCGACAAACATGCGGCATGTCGCGATAGGAGCGTACCTCTGTCTGGTGCCTCGTGTCCTTCGCTGGTAGCTTAATGTCCTTCTTCCAGTCATCCGACCCAGCGGCCTCACTGCTTTGGGTTAGCAAGTTCCATGCAAGCGACAGGCTGGACCAGATTATACGAATAATATGACTTACCTAAGTTTCGTAGATTCCAGCTTACTTGCTAGAGCGTCAGCCATTATGTATCGAGGTCGTTTTGTGTATGGTATAATGGAACTGAAAGAAGATGCCGGTTCGGGGATATTCTCGACGCTTAAGATCGAGTGCAGGAGGTGTGGTGTAGTATTTGATTATTGATCGCAGTAGAATATCGAGGATCGCATGGAGGACTATCGCGGTATCGTAGAAGAGCGACCTCGAAGGTAGCCTGGGGGGAGGTGAACAGGCACGATCGAAGATAGGAGTAGAGGGGCAATGCGGCGATCGGGGAGTTGGCAGGAGGTGGTTTTGCGTGGCAGGACGTCTGCGAGCTGATGAGGAGGTTGCGAATTGATCTTCAGTGACCAAGAGCGTGCTGCGTTGTTGTAGTAGACCAGGTGGGCTGAGGAAGGGTTGCGTTGTGATGAAGTTTCTTTCTGTCTTTCTTTCAAGGTTTGGTGTTGAGGTTGAACAATTGGCGGAGGGCGAGGTTAAGGGTACGAAGTACAAGCAGGAAGTATTGCTTGGGTGCAAAGCAAAGGTTCAAAGTTTGGGCTTCGCTTGGGTGCGAGTGGCTGAGGCGAGTGGCGCTGGGAACTGTAGCCGACGGTGCCAAGAGCGGTCTCTCCCATTGGTGCAGTGTAAAAAGGGGCGGGGGCACGTGATGGGGGATCCTACCTTACTTGGGTAATTTGTATAAGGTATATTCTTCATTCACTTCATCAATCCTAGTGCCGTTGGTTACAATATATATTCCAGAACAGCTTGTCCTTTTCTGTTCTAGGCATCCAGCACGGGATACCCTCCATAAGGTAGGTGCCTATGTAGGTATTCACCACACCTAACAGAATCACCACAACACATACATCACCCCGAACGCCAATCCATTTCTCCTTCCTTCCCCAAACCCAAAATGCAATTCCCTAGAACTCCATAGCATCTGCCGCATTCTCATCCCGCTCTCTCTTGACCTTGATATCCTGCTCATCTCTCATTAACGCCGCAATAAATAATCTGAAATACTCCACATAGGGCTTTAATCTGGTCTTCTCCCAGTCTGGTACGGGTTTGGCCTCCCCTTCCCCTTCCGGCCGGCTCCACTCATCGATTTCGGTTAGAAGCTCCATCACAGTTGGCACCTCAAAAGGGTCAAAGTCCCCGAGCTTCTTGGGGTTGATAGGAACGCAAACACGCCCAGTGCCAGGATGTACAACGAACGGACTTTTGAGAAGATGGTGGAGTTGCTTGCTGACTTCAATATCGAGCCGGGGGTAGGTATATTCGAGAAGGATATCTTGCTTGGCCTCGAGTAGGGCTTTTGAATCCAAGGTTTTGCTTACTCCAGATTTGGCTAGGGAATCGATATCTGCCCATTTCGCGGTGGAGAGTCGTCCAGGCGCCGAGCTCCACTTCTTCCGTAATGCATCGTTCAAGGTCCTATCAGGTAGAAGTTGGAGGAGGCGATCAGATCTCTCGTCCGTCTCCCAGGGGTCCTGATCGTGGAGTACGTCGGATTGAAAATGTGATTTCAATATATCAAGACTCCGTCTAGCAGTTGTTAGTCATGGAATTAACTTCGAACACGAGGGTCATACGCCACGTGCGGATGTAAAGGCCTTTTTATGCTGACTCTCTTGCCGCCCTGTGCTCCTCCTTTTACGATTGTTAGATAGCCTGCAATCGCCCTTCGTTTCTGCTCGCTCATCTGTCTAGCCTTCTTATCACATATCCAGGCGTGGGCGCCTCTTCGACCTGAATATACCCACATGATATGCTTAAAGCCGAAATCATCTCGCAGAGCAACGTCCATAACCTTGATGGCCATAGTTATAAATTGCCAGCACTTGATGCAGATGTTGGCCTTGTCACAGCACGTTCGAATATCGTCGTAATCTGTCATATCGATATCGAAAACCAACTCCTTTGCAAGCGGCTTGAACGACGACGACTTCCGCAGCGTCTTGCGGTCTCGTGGGTTAGAAGAGTAGACAGGTCCGATTTCGAATCTGGTGGGCATAAGGCGAAGGATATCTTTTCGAAGACTTTCAATTATTAGCTTCGCGTTTAGAGTAGTCAGGGTAAGTTCCAACATACAGATCTGCCGTAGGATATGACATATATCGAAGATATACGTCATTCGACAATGTCAATGCAAACTCTCGGTGGCCAAAATCGTTCGAAGGCGTCGGAGAGTGATTCAGCCATTGGAAAAGATAACGCCACGGGAAAAGACGCTGATAGAAGGATCGCATTACCTCCGTGTCCGATGCCCCCGTGGCCGGCCCGTTATGCCTACAGCTAAAATCAGCCCAAGCCCGCTGGTCGGAGCATAATTACTAACACTGGAGATGACGGTGCCTCCGGCGGACTTGAGGCTTTTATGTCCTTATTCATGGAGCTGGGAAACTCCCCATCCGACTCAATATCCGCGAAGAGCTCCTCCAATTTCACCTCGGACTTGATCTCAGGCTTGACCTCAGACCTAACTGGCGATTCTGCTGTCTTCTCCTCCTTGCTATCATTGCCCTCCAATATCATGTTACTATCGGCATCCTCAACTGCCTGAGGACTCCCATTGAGTGGCTGGCTGTCTGACGCTGGGGCATCTGGTAGGCTTTGCGCCTCTTGGTTTTCAGTTTGTCCTTCAACGTCCATTTTCTCCGGGTCGTCTGGGCGTGAAATTTCCGTCGAGGTTGAATGGGGCATGTTCGCAGTCGTGTCGTTGATAGCGAGGTTATTATTATGTTGTTCACGCAGTCGCGTATTGAAAAACAAGTCGCGTCCAGTCGCGTCCGAGCTTGTACTTCGTAAGCTCGCGTTAAGTGGTCGCAACAACCCCTTTCTTTATTCTACGCTAAGATAAGATAAGATCCTGCCCCTCGTTAATTTTGTTCAGCTTGTACAGTCCGGTAGTATTTGCAGGTGCTTTGTATACAAACAATTTAGGCAAGGCAGAAATATAATCGGCATAGTAACTTATTATGTCAGGCTATCTTTGTCATTCTGGTATTAGTATTACTTAAGTTCTGGCTTGTAGACCTAGCGAACCTTATCTTAGACTATGTGAAGTAGGTACACATACATAACTGATTAACCATACTATTTATATATAGAACGCCTAGATTACTTCCCCCAACCATTGTATCAGTAGCTACGTAGGCTAGGGAGCGATATTGGGGACTTTTAAATCCCAATTAATACGGTAGTAATTGCGTTTTATTGCATCTATGAAGGCTACGCATATGTAACGACTAGACCTGCTTAGGGTGGCTTGTCTCCTCCAAGACCACCTTAATCAAACCATCACGCCTCTACTTGAAGAGGAGTGATATGGATAAAAGCTAGATCGCATAAGATCAACCCAGCGACCCAACAAGTAAAGGCGGCCCGCATCTTCTCCGAGCGTGAGCTCAGCCATCTACAGACTCTTGAGTCTCCTTGGGTATATGCCTTAGTTCAGAGAGCCATTGTCTCATTCATCGCAGGTATACATCATAATCATAACCCATTTCACCTTTTAAAAGTATGGCTTTTCCCAGCCCGCTCCGTCTGCGCCCTCCTCATCCCTTTAGGGGCATCCCCGCTCTTCGCATAAGGATCAAACGGCTTTGGTTTCTTGTTCCGTCCCACACCCATTTTCTCATCGCCCTTCCGCTTCGAATGAAGCACGGACTCCGCTTTGCTATAATCGAAAGGCTCTTCATCTTCATCATCATCCGGTCTACTGTCTGGCCCAGAAGAGCGGCCTCCATTTGCAGGGCCGTTAGCTGCCTTTTTCGCCTCTTTCTTCGCTTTCTTTTCCGCTCGGCGTTGCGCCTTACGTTGGGATTTAGTCAAACCTCCTTCTTCATCCTCCAGATCGTTAAGTGAGATGTCGTATTCACCAGTTTGCTCCTCCAGTTCCTCCATGTCATCGCTCTTTCGCTTGGCTCCACGTTTGAGGACGAAAGGCTCGTCATCTGCCTTGGCCGGCTTACTAGGCTCCACAGATAGAAACATAATAGGCTCCTCCTTCAGCATTGGGTTCTCCAATGTGAAGCCATTTGAAGCTGCAAATATTTCAGAAGAAAGTTGGGGTAAGGGCACAGCAAGTCTGAGATCGTCCCCATTCATAGCCGGGGTCGAGTCATCCCATATACTACTTCCAAAGGCGCCACCCCAGAATGTCGAATTGTCGCTTCGAATCTCACCTGCAGCAACTAGTGGCTCCAGCAAACCCCTAGGTTTGCCATCTATTTCGGGAATGGTTGCTTTGGCTGCGGCACCTAGAGAGTCAGGACGAAGCACATCGATCATGCTTGGACCATCTTTCCCTCGAGCCTTAGCCGTCTTGATGAGGGCAAGGAGTTCTCCCGAGCGAGATTTCACGCTATGAGAGACAGGATGGGCGGTCCGAAGAAGGGCGACCATATCCATGGGCATCAACTTCGCAATGCTAAAGACGACATGGTTCGGCATCACGAAGGCCGGGCTGTCGTCGTCGGCTCGCGCGATTTTGTCCCGCCATTCATGGACAGCCCTGAAGACCGCGAATTGCTCGTTGTTGAAGAGAGCTGGCGTTTTTACCAGTAGTGAGTACCAACCCCCAGGCCCTCGACCGCTCTCCGCATTATATACTTGACGATCGTAACGGAAAAGTGAGACATCTTTGGACTTTTGAAGAACCAGCTCAATCCGATTCTCATCTGGAATTTCAGTATTGCTCCTGTCTACTAGTTCATTACGGATATTATCGTAGATGTAAAGTAGATAATGTGTATCTGCTCTGGCATAGTAAAGCATTTCTTCTGGTAATGGTCTGTAAGATTATTAGCAAGTGGATATGGGGTATCGAATAAAGAACTTTACCGGATCCTCCAGTCAGCCATCTGATACTTTTTGTCGGCATCGAAATCAATGAATTTCTTCAGCAAGAAGGCCAAGCTTCCGCCTGCATATCCTAACGTTCGGCTGGCGCAGTGGGTATCAAATAATCCAACAACGTAGAGACCTAGATCTCGCTGAAGCCAGATGATATCCATAAATGCGCCATGGAAAACCTATAATGTCAGACGGGCATTTCAAATAGTGAGAGAACCGGTCCAAATACCTTGACAATTTCAGGATCGGCGAAGACTTCGTTGAGAATCTGCAACTTATGTCTCCAAGGCTTGAGAGTGTCGACTATCCAGTCTTTTTCGCGAGTGCTGATCTGCATTAATGAAACGAGACCAACATAGGAGCGAACGTCATGATGCTCGAGATCAATGGCAATTTCACTAGCACCCTTGAGCTCATTCAACATCTGCAAAACGCCTTCTTCGGTATCAACGAAGGTCGCTGAAGTCGTGTCAACGGGTTGGTATGGTATCGGGTCAGCCTTTTGGTAGACTGCGTCTGGGTATTGGAGCTGCAATATTTCTGTTTCGTAGGGATGTTTGTATCTAAAATGGTTGTCAGAATCGTCTTTTTTCCGAATTTCGCCCGCTCCACCTTTCCTTCAGTCTATTCATGCGCTTGCATCGTTTTCTTCTTTGTGACCTGCTTAAACCCTCAGGCGTAGAATATGGGGGAAAGAAGTGTGGGGGAAAGAAGTGTAGGGGAAGGTAGTAAATTGGCGTAATCATACGTTGATAGGCCGAATTCATTGACAATTGTACTGAGGCTTTTCTCCAAAGGAACAACGGCGTGGGGTTTCGACGTCAGCAAAGGGAGCCACGGGGAATCGTCATCGTTGTTCGGCTTGATATCGAACGCAAGTTGGGGCTTAACGAGATTCTGAGTGCGAAAGCTATTGCCTAAAGCAAAGGGCGACTTCTTCTCTTTCGGTGCCGGCTGAAGCTTGGTAAGTCTACATCCGACATATGGGATTGAGAACGGGACGTACTTGGTCAGGGTTTGGTTGATCTTTGCGCTTGATCATGCCAGTATATTCATCCAGGCAGGTGTCGGTCTTTTCCAGCAGCGAATCGATGACGTCCACCACGCTGCGCCAATTGTTTTCCACATCGTCGCTGTCTTCAAGAACCGGTGCACGCAGTTCTGCTATTGAGGCGGCAGACTTGAGCAAACCCGTAGACAATGCGAGCAGTCGCGCGCTTTGTTCATCGAGGGCGGTCCCAACTTCAGGGTGCAGCGAGCGCTGGAATCCGAGGTCCTCTGACGAGATTTGACCTGCTGTCCGGGTGGTCGATATCAGCGCGGCCTGCACCTGTTCCTGCAAGGACTTGAAGTCCTGCGATTGATCCATATCGTCCCTTTGCGCGCCTGGGTCTGGATCTGCATCTGTTGGGTGCGGTTTTCGTGGTGGAAAGTTTGAAGTCACAAAATAATCAGCCTCGCATCCCTGTCCAGATATCGGCCAGGGCAAATGCCGACCGCTCCAGACGAGCTTTTGCAGGCGCGCTACGAGTACGAAGTGCGTACTGTGGGAGGATCCCCGATTCTTATTGCCCCTTGTAGCGAGACGACACTGATACCGGTCCACGATTTGGATGTTCTTGTTCTTGTTCTTGTTCTAGTCCAACTTATAAGTCCTCGAATTCATGGCAAAGCAGGGCTATTAAGCTTTAAGCTCCCTATATCGTGCGGCTCAACTGCGCAGTACAGGCCACGTCCAGCGTCTTCCGCCATGTCGGCGTCATTGGCACCAGAATGCAATGACGCAAAGGAGTGAGTTCTACATCCTGAGTGCTGCAACGGCCCACGATATTGACTGGTCAATAGACGCTATGATTCTTGCTTTCTGAAGTGGTACAGCGAGAGTGCGTAGCGTCATGCCCACCTCTCTCAAAATCTCCAGGCTAATGCCACTCCTTCATTAGAGTACCTAAGGGGCAAAGGCACTACAGATGAATGTGCTGGTCTATTCAAGGAGTACAAGCAATGTTTGACTGTCAGTTCCCCCCATTGATGTCTAACATGTCCACCTGTGTCTGATATGGGGACACTAGACTGCATTGAAAGACCGAGGCATAGACAAGATGCTAGAAGAGGCCCGAGAGGATCACAAAGAGAACGATACACTGAACATGCGGAGGAAATGAAATGTGAGTAGCGGTTTTCAAGTCCCCCCTTCGTGCCCGGAGATCTTACTGACGCCGCATAGAAGGGGACCATTTCGCCATTTTGTATACCGCGGCATCTGCAAGGCGTTATCATAGGAACGGAGCATCTGGCCGGGTCCTCCTCCTACAAGTGACTCGGCTCAATCTTTAAGAATGGACATTATCTGCTCTAGATGTGCATATATTAGCTGTAACATAGCACTGTACCAAAATATACCTGGTCCTGGTCGGATTTAATACCCGCCAAAGCTTGCCTTTCCGTACTTGTATCCTGATTTGTATCCCTCGGTTGGCTCGTAGTATCATAGTAGCAGATTCCAGGGACCTACCTACCTTAGGTATAAGCCACGCCAAGATGTTAAGAACCTACCAAGATCGAATACCTTGCATCGCGATCGTTTTCTCGGATTGCTTGTCCTTAACCTGTGTGGCTGTAGTTATTGTCTGGCAAACTACCTACGGAATCTGCCTTATCTACCTACCTGTAATAAAAGGCATCCATCCAAAAAGCCTGGCCTGGCCTGGCCCACAGCTGGAGAATCCCCATCCCCGTCATGTGATTCAGCCTGAAAGCTTAGCACCGCAACCTTGCCTCCAGGTAATTTCCGCCAAGCCCCGAATCGCGATATCAACACTCCCAAGTCAAATTGAAATTCGAGACCACCAAAACAAAATAACACCGTTTTCTCCTGTTCATCCTCCAGTCTACCCTCTGTGGCACAGCTTTGTTGATACCTCCATGATGTGGGAAATCCCACTCTAACTATCCGAACAACCCTCATCCCCGTTTTGGCCGATCAACAACCCCTGAGACAAGTTACAAAGCCCCGAAGCTTAGTATCCCACGACGACCGCAAACCTCCCTCCATTACCCCGACTCCCAAAATATAACACGGGCAGAATAGTGATGCGGCAGTGGTAGAAGGAGATTCATGCACCCCTTTTCAATCCTCACACTTGCGATCTTCGTAGCCGGCTACATCACTGCCCGGTGGGATCTGGTTACCCGGCTTTATGAGCTGGCCATCTTTGCCTGGGACCACGGAGTCGTCGTACGTGCAGCGGAGCTCTCCCTCTCCCTCAGTCGATTGATCGTTCTAACGTCTTGGACTTAGGCACGTACAGCAAAAGGATTCGCTATACTCTCGGTTTTCTTCTTCCTCTTCATCATACCTCTAGAGCGGCTTGCAACAAAGGAAACGGAATTGGTAAGGGGAGCCACTATCGGGCAGGCTGGATATAGCTAATGTGGTTACAGCACCCACGATCTTCGACTTCCGGTATATCTGCGCGCGAGCAGTTGCGGCGTCGGGGCTCCTTCTAGGGTGGCAGAAGCCAGGGATTTGTCATGCCCGATCATGATGGGCTTATGAGGATATTTTGGCCCTTGGATCTATCCAGAACCGACGCCCCAGGAATAATAGTTGGCTGGAGAAATTCGGGGCTCGATGTGTTTGTAGTGGCAGTATTAGAGGATGTCGATGTGGGTTTGGCACTTCAATCACGGGAAAACCTGCTGACAGGATAATGTTAGGCGCGCAGTGTGGAAAATGCTCTCAAGGTTGGGACGTTGTTTCGAAATTCCAGTCATCCCATGACGCGGATATTCGAGTTGTGCGGGCAGTCATCAATGCATGTTCTGGGTCTTGCAAACGCCCCACAAGCCGAGGTCGAATTGCTTCAAATCCAAGCCTCCACTGGGCCACATCTCAGAAAGCCACAGATCTCTTGCGCTAGAGCCTCTACAATACAAATAATTATGTTCGAGCGCCCGCTGCCAGGTAGAATGCAATACATATCCCTTGATCCTATCTCTCTAGCATTGGGGGATAAGGCCGAGATGGCGATCCATGCTCCAGGAAGTATGGATGCGGAAGAGGAGCGCGCCGAGCTGAAGAACAGGCAACGGACCAAGCAGCTAGTTCGGAAGTTAAAACTCCATACGGTGGCTAAACACCCTCCCTCCCAAAAGGAGCTGGCACTTCCAAGGATTGTCAGCCAAGTCAACTGCTCCTGGGAGCTGCACATGCTCCTACAGAAGAACATATCTCTCGTTGGCCGACGGTCACGGCGAAGCTTGAGCGTGTCGGAAAGGGTTGTGGAATCTGCAACAAGCATGCGAGATTTCGTGGTGGTAGGCACCTGGCATTTGATTACTCTCTACATATATCCAATTATACGGAGGGGGTTTATCATCATGCTTCTCTGTCATCGAGTTGTCGCCGAAGCACTCCTTCTTGTCCTTGAATGGAGAGCAAAGCCGGAATACGCCGCGTTGAAAGACATATCGGCCACAGCTCAACAAGTGGAGATCCGCCTCCAACAGTTTTGTTATTGGCCGATGCAATATATCACCCTAAGAAAACGCAAAAACGACTGGGAAAGCGTGACTACAAGCCATCCAGATTATATTAGATTCTACAATAGCCTCTGGTTGGTTGCGAATGATGTTATTATTGGCATCGCCCTGGGGTCCTACATCATCGATAATTCTGCCTGGGTGGCCGAATCCATCAGCAATATCCTTAGCCGTTACTCGATTGCGGCTTTGCAGAGGACCATTTCTTGGTTGATGGACTGGCCTGCTGGGTTAAAGCTTAACAATGAGCTTGCGGCCTTCCTTGGTGACCTATTCTTATGGGTAATAGACTATTGGGCTAGTACGTGTGTCCCTCCCTTGAGTGAATTTTTGGTTATTAATATACCACAGGTTGCATTGAAGCTCTTCGGCCTGTCCTCCCACATCTCATCTGGTTCATCGGATTTTCCAGCTTTGCCGGCGCCAGTATGCCAATCGCCCTCTTCTCAGATCTACTTTCGATTGTCACACTACATATCCACTCTTTCTACATGGCATCCGCCCGAATCTTCAACTGGCAATACACTATCCTGCTCTCCCTTTTCCAACTCTTCCGTGGAAAAAAGCATAATGTCTTGAGAAAGCGAATCGATTCATGCGACTATGATTTGGACCAGCTACTCCTAGGAACCATCTTATTTACTCTCCTGTTTTTCCTCCTACCGACGGTGATCGTATTTTACCTCACATTTGCATGTTCACGAATGGCAATTATATCCCTCAAGGCAGTTCTAGATACGCTGTTAGCATGCCTAAATCACTTCCCGCTTTTTGCTCTCATGCTACGAATTAAAGATTCCCGAAGACTCCCAGGTTTGTCCTGTTCTGTCCTTCTGATTCGAGAGTGCTAATCAGTCCCAGGTGGCATTCGTTTTGAACTTAAAGATACCCAACCGCTTGCATCCTCTTCTCCAGACTCACCTAACCCCCCTCCAACCTCATACATCTACCTCAAGGTAACTCTTTGACATCCCCTCCATCTCTTCATCTCCCTGGCTAACAAAATTGCCCAGTCCGTCCCACTCACTTTCCGCGACATGTTCCACCAATACTTCCAACTTAGTCAACGCATCCGCAAACACTATCTATCCCCCCGCGTACTCCTCTGCCTCGCAACTGGCAAGTTTGTGCCGCCTATCCACCGCAAAAATCTCTACAGCTTGCAGTATAGCATGCTTCCTGCACGCCGTGCTGATATTGGGAGTATGTGGAATGCGTTGACAGCGAGCACAACAACGAGTAAGGATAAGAAACCTGTGTTTGATGGGAGGCTTCATAATGCAAGGCGCTTAAATGGCGGGGTACATGGGAGAAGGTAGTAGACGGCTTGGTAATCGATGCATATACTCCTAGATGGATAGGGACGTGGGCACATGGATATTTGAGGAATGATAATACTACCTAATTAATACGAAATCAACATTTTCCTGCAGCGCTACCCCACCCCGCTTATATGTGTCCTATTACGTCCCCATTAGTACATTACTAGCATTGCTACTTTCTAAGGATAGACAGAAACAGTACAGTTCGAATTTTCGTTGCGTCTCGAACGCTGGAGTGAATCCTGTTCTCTTCCACTTAAGGGGGCAACGGCTGTGGTCATGGGATTTCGTTGCGTTTCGACATTTGAGTGAATTATCCCGCTCTGTTCTAAATAAGGGTTAGCGGGTGTGGGTTTTGTTGCATGTCGAACGTTTAAAGTAAACAATGTCTGAATAGGGGCAGGGGCGAGTAGGAGTTTTGTTGCATGTCGAACATTGAAAGTAAACAATATTTCTCCTATTTTCAAAAGACGGGCATAGATTTTGTTTCATTTCGACATGCAAGTGAATCATGGTTATCTAATCCAAATAGGGGGTAAGGAGGTAAGTAGGAGTTTTGTTGCATGTCGAACATTTAAAATAAACAATGTTTCTCTTATTTTAAATAAGGGGCAACTTGAATAGCTTTCGTTGTGTTTCGATATATAAGTGAATCAAAATTCTCTGTTCTAAATAGGGGTAAGGAGTTGGGTAGAAGTTTTGTTGTATGTCGAACATTTAAAGCAAACAATGTTTCCCCCTATCAGATAAGGGCAATGGAGTGAAGATGGGGTTTGTTGCACGTCGAACGTTCAAAGTAAACAATGTTTCTCTCTTTAAAAAATAGGAGATATAGGTTTCGTTGTGTTTCGACGCTCAAGTGAATCATGAGTCTCTGTTCTAAATAGGGGTAAGGGGATGAGTATGAGCTTTGTTGCAGGTCGACGGTGCGGGCATGTGTAGCAGACCCATGTCTGACTATTTTGCAACAGTCGGGTCTTTAGTGTAAAACATACTATTACAATGGTCAGAAACCAAGTCTGTCTAGTGCCCTCACGCGGGCGGATACTTTGATATCAGGTCATGCGCCGCGTTGTCATGATGCGATCACAAGTCATTCCTGCTCAATTTTTACAGCCTTGCCGACGACGATCGAGAGATAATACTGTGATCGGCCGCTCGCTGTGCACAGTAGAGTGTGAGGTGATGGCCGCGGAAGGATTCCAGAACGAGGGTCTGCCAGCTGCGGCGAGTGCAGGACAGGAAACACTGCGTCAGCAAGGCATCTTTGGGCTAAGACAGTAGAATGATGGTAGCATAGTAGTATGTACAGTGGACCGCAGCGCAAATTAATATATAGCCTTTGGATCCTCCCATTCTTCTATAACTGCGGTTGTGTCGTATAGAGAGAAGAGTAAATTATTATCTTTCCAATCGTTTCCCAAGTAGATGGGCTGCAAAGTGTTGAAAACTTCCCTTTTGCTATCACGGATTAGGCTGGATTTCAGACAAGGTAGCTGAAAAGGAGTCTGCCAGGATTTCTGCATGAAATATCTGATAGCCATGACTTGGTTAATTAGGGATAAGTAAAATTTGATTTCGAACTGGCTGTAGGATTGAACCCTATAAAACCTATGCTTATGCTCCGCCTTCTTTAATCTTCTCTCGAGACTAAAGCATTAATAGCTGGTTTTTGCAATTTCAACAGGAGAACGAAAAAGCAGTACAATAACATCAAAACCATCAAACTGAATCTAAAGCTTCGATGTGAGGCACTGTCAACACGCTAGCAACTCAAAAGTATGTTCAAGGCGTTCTCGAAATCACAATGTGAGGAAGGCTTCCTCGATAAAAAAAAGTTCTTAGTTGATTTTAGTGGTCGAAGGAGGTAACAAAGTGGTTCTTATATATTAATCTATAGCTGGTCATACTTTGGGAATGGCTAGAGAAGCTTACGTTGGCTGTGAATCTACAGATATTGTCGTTCTTTGCTAAATCACAATTTCTTTTGCCAGAGCAATATAACAAGGAGGTCAAATCCCGTATTAACCAGGCATTAGGGGGGTTCAGTAAAGACTAGCACTACTAGCACTACTAGCAGCCCACTATTATATATAAATTCTTCACTTATATATCAGTTATAGGATGGTACACGATGGTACTTAAGACTTTAGCGTTCACTATACCAAACTCCCAAAGCAAAAACTACCACTTAATTGGCTTCGTAGGATTCCAGGGATTCAGGCGCAAGTCCCAAAGTTACCTGTCATACCGACTGTCTTTGCCGTAATAAGAATGCAAAGACGTGCAGGATTATAAAGTGCGTGCACTTTCCGGGCATTACTGAAATGCAACTTCTCTTCATTTGAACCTCATTGCTAATAGTATCTCATTATCTGCATTGATGGCCATCTCAACTCATTGAGTCATGAAACTAGGAAGTACTTAGGTATGACCTGTAAAGTGCAAATAAATCCTCTATGCCTCACTTGAAATAGAGTAATAGACAAGAAAATTCATTCTAGTGTGATTAATGTGCTATACAAAGAGGCTTAAATACTACACACTGGGCCCTTAACTCCAAAATCCAACCTTCCAATACGCGGATCGGACTATCTAAGTGTATATCTTATGTAGAATGTCAACATCTACTCCAATTTGCCACTATATATCTCTCATCCCAGCCCGCTCCATTTCGAGTGAGTATCTATTGGATATAGATGACATGGTACATGAAAGACTTGGGGGCATTTTATTTCATTGCTAACATATGAGTAGACTCTCCGAATTAAACCTTCGATGGGGGGGGCCTCGTTGGAGGGGGAGGTCCCTTTGGGGGAGGAGGCTGGGTTGGTGGAGTCGAAGGTTTTGATGTTGCCTTGGCTGAAGATGCAGGATTAGTGGTAATGATATGCACCAAGCAAGTAATGAAAATTACAAATGCAAACGTTGACCACTGAAGAGCCATAAGAGCAGGCCCTTTGACAATCCTAGCTTGTCTAGATCCAGTTGTTGCAGCATCCATCGCCGCAACAATGTATGTCACCGACCAAGCTGCAGCGAAAGAGCACGCTGTAGATCCCCAGAGGAGAATCTGGGTAGCCTTCGCTAGTCCATCCCAGTCGAAACGCCTCAATAAAATCAAAGAAAGAATCCCTAAAGCGAATGCCACCCAACTTATGGCTGGCAGAACTAGGCTTGCTGAATTCTGAACGCTGATAGTCTCGCGAATCAGATCCTCAGATGTGGAGAGGGCATTGGCTAGATAAGCTGTTTAGCTGCTAAGTGTCGATGCGCAGATAGTGCCGTTACCTGCAATGTCGTTGCAAATACCTTCAGAATAGTTAGGCCTTGCTTCATTGCCAGTGTGCTTAAAGCGAGAGTATTGTATTTTGCAATGAATATGTTTGGAATGCCGCTGCTTGCAGAAGTACAACCTCCAATAGCCAGACTTGAGCGAGATTAGAATCTACATAATTCATGAAAACATGAGAACAAGCTACTCACTGGAGAGAATGATCTCTGGAATCGCAAGGCCGTAGGCCAGATTTCGGATAGCCACGCTCTCTATCAGTAACCTATTAGCACAGGCTTCTAGGTCTTCAGTTCCTCACACAGAATTACCAACCTTGAAAACGCATTCTCGTTGCAAACACGTTGGTTAAAGTTAGTTGGAAATAAAGTCCTGTTGCAAGAATTTGAAAATCGTGAAGAGCGGTACGGGTTTATGGCAAAATAGAAACAACGGTTACAAATAAAAGCGAGTTAAAATGATCTGCTAATTACAATCAGATTCCGAAAACGGCACCTGATCGTCGCAACCCGGGTCTCTGGTTATCCCCTGTCCATTTCCCCTCATCCTCCTGCACGGTGATTAGCTTGCCAATACTAAGCGGGAGTTAGTAATTATTATAAAGGAGTTACTAGATCTCTAGGACTTAGTTGGGATTATTCCTTGTACTTAAGTATAGCTGCTAGTAATCGTCTCGATTCAAGTAGTGGTCCTCCTAAAGATAGCGGTCCTGATTATCCACGAGGACTAACCCCCCAAAATCGTAGCCCTAGCTGAGGCTAGTCCCTTCTAATAGAAATAGTAGCGACTTATAAACTTCAAAGAGGGCCTTAGAGGGGATTAGTTCGGGAGAATAAGTCTTTTCTAGAAGTGACTAGCAAGCGTCATGAAAAGGAAAGCCGTATCTACCGTTAACTAGGTCCTGTTGAATCACTCCAATCTTGATACGAGTTAAGGAGTTATATCCCGCGTCATCCCAGCGTGCAGTGATATTTGAGGGGGCTATCCAATCGCCGGCGTCGGCTCGAAGATGCGCAAAATTTGCCAACGCGCTTCAATTTGACACGCCTTCTGCTACTCCGCGATAGGCTTTCGCATTATATAACTTCTTCACGAGGAACAGGACAACCAGTTGCTTAATATCAAGATCTCAGATGTTACACAAGCAATCTCGAGATAGCTGGGGATAGAAGATAACGAATAAGCCAGAATAAAGGCCATCGCCGAGATTTTTGCAAGTCGTCCCAAAGCGCTCAAGAAAGGGAGCCAAGCTCGTTACTCAATTGCTGGAATAGTTCGCTATCTGGTGTGGTTTCTTTTGCCGTTTCGGCTGGAGCGTGTGTTCATCGTTTGCTACTCGCTTCAATGTCGACGAATATTCCCGACTGTTAGCCATTTTGTGAGTACTAGTATCTTGTGATTGCTGAGGTCTGCTCGCACAGGTGAGCATAAGCATATCAAAAATACATAACTTATCCAGCCAAGATCCATTTTGTTGCTGTCCAGCAGTCCTGGCTCGCGAGATCATATGCAGATGAGAGCTAGTTCTAGCCAGGGTTCTATTGGATGGTTTGTAGTACAGTTGCTTAGCAGAACTTCTCCTCGCCAAATAGTGATGCTGAAATAATAACCCTAAACACGTTCATCCCGAACTATGAGCAATCAGCGCCATACCCCAAATGGTTTCGAAAGTCATCTTTGGCCTCCTAGCGTAGTCGAGAATGCTGATGCAGATACATCAAGACTTGGAGGTTTCCGTGTCTTTATCCTTGTCATGAACAGGTGGAACGGTCGTCTTCTGTTCGTCGGCGGGCTTCTCGAGGCCGTCAGTCTGCTTCCCATTTACGATCTCGGTAATATAGGATCCGATCTCGCTAGCCCCGTCGATCTTGTTAAGCTGCGTTCCGAAGAGCACTGCATCGCGAAGGAGTCTGCACAATTACGTCAATTTGAGACGAAGCAGTCTTGCATAGGGATCACTAACCGTGCTTTGCCTTGTAGCGTCTTCACGACTGCCTCATCGAACGCCTTACCCCATTGCTCCTTGTAGCCCTGGATTACCGGTCCAACGATCGATGCGACTGTGCTCTTCGGCAAATTTTTGCTCAGTACTTTATGAAGTTTTCTCGTCTCCTCCGTCAAAGTCTGCATATAAGGACTAGTCTCCCGAGCGTCTGCATCCCAGTCAATTTTTTTCATGGTGTTGACGTGTGCTGTCGTCCGCAAGCTCATCATGTCTATCAGCTTATCATGTATGCTGAATTGGTGATCTTGATACAGGCGTTTGACCCTGTCGAATTCAGCAAGGGAGGGGGAGTTTATCGCGTGTCGGCGCACAAATTCTCTCAGGTAGGGCATAAGCGCGATGAAAAAGCTGAGAGCTTGCGACGCTAGAGCAAGATGTTTGGAGTTGATGCTTTTCAATCCGGCACTGTGACGGGCGCCGGCGCCCAGAATGAGTTGGCATGAGCGGGAGTTGAATAGTTTGAGGAAGTCGAGCAGGATATTACTGGCCTCTATGGTCATGCCAGGGATAGTTACGATCAAATTCGCAAATCGGTCAATGCCCCTTAGTGCAGCTACAGCCGATTCGACAAGTATGTAGGACTGCTCGCCAATTGTGGCATTTCGCACCTTGTTCTTGGTTGCACCGTTACCGTCCCTGCTAAGGTCAATAGGTTTGGATGACTCTTCTTCCAACTTTTCCCAGACCACTGACGTCTTCACCCAGTCTTGGTGATCTAAGGTCATGCCCTGTAGCAACCTCCCCAAGATGGCCTCCTCTTCAGGCCCAAAATCTTTTGCTTCCCATTTGTCGACATCCATAGTCGAAGCAAGCTGCTGCTTCGCCGAATCACCCAGGAGCAGTATGAATTCACCAATTTGATTATTGACGACGCCCTTGAGCGCCGCTCCAGAGCGTCCGGAGACTGCTTCACACTCATCGGCGAACAGGCGATTCAAGTGAAAGTATCTGAGGAAGCGTGCGAGAGGCAGCCTCACCGTCTGCTCCGATCGTACCTTCAATACTTTGGTGATCTGGGTCTGTGCGACGTCAACAGCCTGGCCCAGCAAGCTTGATATATCAAGTGCTTCTGTAAGCTCCTCCTGCATTTGACTAGAGAGAATTGGCGATTTTCCAGAACTCAACTCGCCGATGTTCGAAAGAGTGCTCAAATTTAGACTTTGCATGTGAGGTCTTGCCTCAGGTGATGTAATTGGTGGGCTGGCTGTAACGCTTGTGACATCAAGTAAAAGTTTCACCTGAATACTCAGTCTCCGTAAAGCTTCGCCGACATCAGTATAGATGCTAAAGTATAGATCTTCAGCTGCCTCAGGGTCCAGTGCTCGCAGATTTCTGGCTAGAATGGCCGATTTGTCCTGTTGCGACGTTGTGCGACCGCCCGCTCTTGTAGACACTGAAGCCTGCGACTCGTTGTCGTCATCAGTGGAGCAAGGGAGGTGTTGTCGGATGAGCGCCTTCATTTCCTTCATTATTCCGTTACGGAAAGCGACTGTCGCTTGTTGAGTATATCTGGATCGGTGCAGCCCCAGTAAGTATGCTTTGAGATTTTCTCGTACTTGATTACTTTCCTTCATGTAGGCAGGTAATTCGGAAGGCGGTCGCTGACTGTCGCCCCGCCCTCGTTGAAAGGCAGAACCCCATCGTTGCAAGGTATCTTGCGGCGTGACAGTCTTGATGTGTTGACGGAGATCAACCAGTAGAGTGTCCAAGAAGCGTGCCTCGAAGCCTTTCTCTATACGGAAGCGAAGCTGTTGCATTTCTTCCGCAAGAGCATCCAATGCTTTGAGTTCCCGGAGATCTATCAAGCTCGGTGGCATAAGGGTATTCAGCCAAGATAGGTTGTTGCTGCCGTCGAGAGGTAACGTTCCCAAAATTATCCTGTCTACCAGGTCAAGTCTGTCAAGAGCAAGTACGAAGTCACCTCGGTCTATGAGCCCCTCGCAATGTGTCACTCCTTGCATAATGCTGCTGAGCTGCTCATTGGCATCGCGCAATTTGTGTAGGTTGTCTCTTCTGCGCTTCATTTCGATTACCTTCAAGCCCCCCGAGGCGAATTTCCTATCAAGACTCCCTAGATCCGCTCGCAGTGTTTTTGTTCGCTTCACGCATTCGGCAGCTTCGGATTGGAGCTCTCGCAACGACTCCAATGCAGCAAAGAAGGAATCGGAGGCTGTGGATATGGACGGTATCAAATGCACTTCCACAGTGTCTATGTACCATGATAATTTCTCTTGCAAGATGGCGTTTGCAGCCAGTGCTTTTCTGGGTCTCTGGGCCGAGCCGTTCATGAAATCATTAGGTTCTCCAGCGGTGGAAGGAGTTCCTGGCTTGTGAACGATCTCTGATCGCTCGCTTACCAGGTCGAATGTTCGTGGGTTTTCCAGCTGGAAGTTCTTATCAAAGTAGACGGGCGGTATCGTTGAAAGAGGAGGGACCTCCAATTTACGCCTCGAGATACCGTCACTCGCTCGTCGACTCGGTGCAGGACTCTCGTTCGGGGTAAGGGTTGATGACGAGCTCTTTCGGCTGATTTGTTCTAGGCGTAGGCCATGTTCCAGCATTTCGGCGAAGTCATCGTCCTTTAATTGACCTTGCTCTTTGCGCGAACCACTCCCAGTTGCTCTTTCCGGCTCTGCCCTCTGAAACGGATCCCAAAGTGCTCCAACTTGCGCCAGATATGGTTCAAAGGTCGCAGCGTTCACGTGAGCGATGTTTGTGAAGGTTACTGGAGGAATGTCTTTTGCTGTTGGAGGCTTATGTGTTGCAGAGGATGGAGCTGAAGTATGCGGCAGCATACCAGTCCTTACAATGGGCGGCTGGAGAAGTAAGATTACAGATATAGTTGCTCGCAACCTACGTCAAATACTATCGTAGGGACGCAGGACGCAGAGGGCCATGAAATCCCAAACTCACCATTCTGTCCACCCTTAGCCACTGACCCCATTATACTCTCTGACATAAAGTCTAGGGTGCCTCCTATGGAATTGGTCGAGCTTGCTATTGAGTCTCGCCGTGATGGTCACCGGCTGGCGAGCCCTGGAGCGGTGGCCAGTCTTGCTGGGGGGAAAAGAAGGCCGATGTGGAGCGAAGAGGAGTCGTCGAAGTCGCAAGAGAGTCGAAACTATCGTTGGATTTTCGCCGAGACGGTGAGGGCGAGGGTATTGTCTTGCCTACGATTGAAGCCCTATGGATCACAAACCTATAGGAAGAGTCACACGCTTTTATAGAGGTTGAAAGCGGCGGATGGTCTGTGCACGCATCTTCTTTCCCTGAATAAAAAGAAAGCAGATTAGAAACGGCGAGGGTAATTTGCCTACTACGTTACCATACAGTGGTTTTCAACCACTCCAAATCGTGTATGGGATTCGTAGCTTTTCGAAATTTTAGTGAACCTCGTTTCTCTCTTGAGTCTCATGTGTGGGTTTCGTTGCATGTCGACATTGAAGTGAATCCTGCTTCTACACGAGGGCGCGACACCGCCGGGATTGGTTTTGCTCCGTCTGCCTATAGTCGCCGTCGCACAACCTTCAAGGTAGCTAGGTCAGGAGATTCCGTTGCGCTTTGAACCTGTTCATGTGGTAATCAACCGTATTCAGGGAATACGACACATAGTCTTCATGATATATTCATAACAATTAGATTCCATTGCGTTTTGAGACTTCAGGGGATTCTTTGGTCATGGTTCATAGAAGGATAACTAAACTCTGCTATTTATAGAGATAATTAGAAGGGTCGATATCTATTTTATTCTACGGGTGTTAAAGAGACTAAAAGAGTTATCCTTTTAATTACTAAGTATATATTTGCATTTTGGCCGACTAGAGGACTTAAACTGTTCTGCAACCGGGCTTTCCCTTGTAACTCTTCTTACTATCTGTGAAGGAATTCCGTTAACTCAATATTTTCAAATTTGCTCGTCACTTGCTCTGAGCTAGGCAAGACATTTTATGTTATTGCATTCTACTTCATCTAGTATTCAAAAGAATCGAATATATTAGTTGCTGCTGTAAAAGTGCTAATCCAATGCTCTCCTGTACCGTTTTCTTAATGTGCCAATCCATGTGTTTGTGTCAGAGGGAGGGGCGGGTGGTCAATACCTTGAGAAGGGCGAGATCTATTGGATTAAACTAATAGCCAGGAACTGGAGGGGCCACAACATCTGCCACTCGAATCAAAGGAACCAGGAGACCTCAAACGAGAGCCAACCAGGGGCTGGCCACATGCCTGACGCATTTACGTAATATGTTCGCCCTACAACGATTTGCGAAGCTGAACGAGGTGTGTCGATACCTATGCAAGAAGAGAAATGGAGTTGGACAACTTTAGAACTATCATGACTTGTATATTCTTTCCTAGTCACATAAACATATGCCCTCTGAAATAGTATTCAGGAAGAAACAATTCTATCAGGCAACGTACGCCACCTTTAAATTTCGCACGGGTAGTGCTTCTGCATTCTTTTCTAGTAAGTGATTAAAAACCAACGACGGAAGTTCTTTCTGATTATTAGCACGAGCGGCTAATTTGCAAGATGGCGCACAATTCTTATATCGACGGCTCCCAGGCATCCCACAAGTCTCCCAGCTGAGATACACCACGCGTATCACCCCATCCCTTCGCTTGCCGAATCGCATCTCGCGCGCTCCACAAGCTTCAACACCCCATTTCCGTCTATTGCAGGGCCGGAGCAGGCTTAATCTCATCAGCAACATTTTCAGGAGTTTCAGCAGCCTTCGCTACCTCAGGAACGGCAGGCTGGTCAACGGCTTCATTGTTAATGACATCTTCCTTCTTCTCAGGTTTTGTCTGCCACTTAGGCGCCTTAGCCCACTCTGGATCAGTCCAGGGCCCCTTATCGCCCAAAGCGCACCCACCAGGGCAATCGCAGGTTCCACCGAAGATCTTGGGGAGGTTCTCAGCCGGGACTTGCTCCAGGAGCTCCTTCTGATATCCGCCGCCCAGGACGTGGATCTTCTCCACAGTGATGGGGTCCAGCCACCCCTTAACGATGCTGAAGACGGTCGAGAAGCCCCAGGGCGCATTGATAAGGTACATCCGTCCGAGGCGCTCTGGATAGTAGTTTTGGGACATGGCTGATGCTTGCTTGATGTAGGAGTAGACGGAGCTAACTTTGCCTAGGCCTACACCCTTGAGGTCCATTATCGAGCAGCAGGTCTCGAGTAAGAAACCCGCCTTGCGGGAGCATGCTGGCAGTCTGGGATCTGCAAGCTTCTCGTATTCGACGGCGAGGTTTTGCAACATTCGTTCGGCCGTTGTGATCTTGTACATGGCTGTCAAATCGATGTTGCCTAATTGTTCAATATATACAGGTCGGCCGTCCTATAGGTCTCGTTAGATCCATTCGCGTGTCTATCGAGTTGCAGGAATCGATATACCTTATCCGTCTTGTGGTAATATTGGGGGTAGTACTTAAAGACCTCCTCCTTCTCGGTGTAGTCGAAGGTCCGCACCAGCTCATCGAGCTGCGTCTCTTTCCGCCATTTCTCACAGTCCACGAACCTACCCATAATAGTTTAGCAAACGTAATATATAGTAATGTGCAACCAAACATACATCTGCTCCGCCAAGGCAACATCGAATTTACGGGCTCGCAGAAACCGCAACTACACAGCCGAAATTAGCCAGAGATGGGGAAATTGTACACGGCAGCGACGCACGAGAGTGAGGGTATCTAGGCGCTCAGTATAACCTTCGGACTCGAGCTTCATGCGCAATTGGAAGACTTGGGCATCTTGTTCCGGGGTTGTGTGTCCTGGGTGGCCGCTCAGTGTGGTTGGGGAGATGGTGGGGAAGTCATAGTGATCGTACTTGGGATCCAGGGTCTGGGCGGGGGTTTCTGATGCCATGATGGGTAATGCAAGAGAATATCTGAGGTTGCTATGTTGATGTTGTTCTGTCGTCGCTCGACGGGGGGAGACGGTGACAGGGTTTGGGCCTGAAATCTTCAAGGTCCAAGGCCGTCATGGCCAAATAAGCGAGGCAGTGGAGTTTAAAGGGGGTGGAGGGGTTTAAAGCGGTGCGTTACAGTATTGGCCCCAGCCAAGAAAATAGCAATAGAAGGGCTACGATGTATCTAGAGGCCAACATCAACGCAAGCTTTGAAAGTCACATATTTATTAAAGAAATCTTCCGCAACAGGTGGGTGGCCACTATGAGAAGTGCGATCTTTAAGGCTCCAGAGGATTTATCCCGCATTTCAGCGACGCTGCATTTCTCTAATATTTGGCTACTTTATCCATTTGGAGAACCGTCGTCGCCCGTTGTTGACTCCAGCGCTTCTTGATCCTGTTTCTCCTTCCGCTTCACAGTAACATCCCAATTATAGACCCGTGCTGTAGCAACTTCCATCGTCTAGTCTCTCGTTAGTCTCGCAGCCAGGCATAGATTTGTTTGATTGGCCGTTTCCCAGCTCTAAGGAACTCACCGTGATTTGCTCTCTTAGAAAATCAAGGTCCTCCTCGCAATTGATTAGGTTTTGCTTTGCGGTTGATAGCCTCGTCGTGAGTAGTTCTTCGGCTTCATCGATCGGATATGACAGCATAACATTTGCCTAGCTCGAGTCAGAACCCAATTCTTGAATATCAATACCCCAGGGACAACGAACCCCTAGCCACAAATAGACTTCTTCCGTAGGTGGTATGTTCGCCTTTGCGTAGAGTGTGTCGTTCAATTCGAAAGTCGATTCTATCGGATCCGACCCCGGCTGTCAAATCTCGTCAGCCCCAAGCCTTCGATACGCGTCCATCGTGCTGGCATACTTTTCTTGTCTTGAGAAACCGCACCATATCCAGCGTCTTTTGAATATCCGGGATCTTCTCTTTGTGCCCGACTGATGCTCTCTGTTTATTTGCTTCCATAAACTGGTATTTTCTAACCAACAAATAAGCTCCGACACGCACACCCAAAATGCGGATACGTACGATATCATCTCCTGGAACTTCTTCAATGTGGTCTCTACATCTGCGCGCGAGGCAACATAATCCTCGACCTTGTCAACGAATGGCGCATATGGTATGCCTCGCGGGTTTGTCGCAGCTACATCGCTCCTGTCCAAATCCAAACCCGTCAGCGTTGATTCATCTAATGGCGAGAGGAGAAGCTGCAGAGTAGGCCAACTTACTTGGATCCCTTTTCTGCCATGTCTAGAGCTGTTTTGATTGACCCCGATAGCAGATGGAGTGACCCCGTTGCTACGTTATTTGATAACCTGAGGCTTCTGAAATCGAAGAATCGCAGAAGCATGACGCGCGCTTGGACCACCGCCACTTTGGGTAAAGCGCCTCCGGTGCCGCCCCTCGTTGATCTTATCTGATCTGAAGATTATCTCTTCTAATCAATCCGGAACAACATACTGGTTGTCACACACGTCCAACGTAACACAGCCAGCTCCGCAGTCCTGGCTATGGGATTTGAACGCGAATCTGAATCTGAGTCTGAATGGTTCCAAGATGTCGTACGGTTTGCACTCAAGGCTTCTACGAGCACTCCCACGACGACAGGCTCCGATTCCCCGCCGGAGCCGACGGAAGAAGATCCTCTCCGACGGAAGCTGATACAGGGAATTCTATTTACAAGACGACTGATTCTCACATACCATATTGCCATTATTGGGGGGTTGGCTTTATTATCTTTGGTACACTGGTCCCAAAAGACAATTCGCTGGAGACGTCGACGTCGACGTGCATCCCGGCGACGACTTCTCGAGAATGATCACCCATCCGGATACAGCGAGGGTGAAAACGCAAAGACTGGCCAATCCTCTCCCAAGACTGGGGTTTACTACCAAGATCCGGTGGAAGTCTCAGCATCGTCTTCAGGGAGCAGTACAGTTGATGGTACGACCAGCCCCACACTGGAATATCACAACGCAGTCGAAGAGACCCCTCTCCTACACCATAACCGTGCCTTTCAATCATTAGGCCCTCGAAGAACGCTTCTCTCTTCCACGAAGGCGTTTCTAATGTATCAACCACCCCCGATTCCATTCATCAACAAGTCTCTACCACCAAATGGAACCTCCATTGCCATCTTAGCCTTCCTTGGGCTAAACATATTTTATATGTTCTTCCACCTCAGCTCCGAGATCTACCAATGTTTCATTGCTGCCGATAGATTTGGCATGCTTTTTGTGGCTAATCTCCCTTATCTGTATTTACTGTCCGCGAAGAACCAACCTCTCAGATTCCTCACCGGACGGTCCTACGAATCTTTGAACCTTTTCCATCGCCGCTTAGGCGAGCTGTTATGCCTACAAGCTCTCCTCCACGCCACAGGCATGATATGTACCTGGTATCTACTATTACGGCCTAATGGATTTGGATTCGTTCGGTTTTTGATGGTGAAGATTATTATATATGGATTGGTGGCTTTCTTTGCATTTGAGTTACTTTATTTGACATCTCTTGCTAGTTTTCGACAGCGATGGTACGAGCTTTTTCTGTGCGTGCATGTAGTTTTGCAGGTCCTTGCATTGATTTTTCTTTTCTTGCATCATGCGGCTGGAAGGCCGTACGTCGGTGTTGCGCTGGCAATATTCCTCCTCGATCGGCTCGTCTATCGCTTCCGTCTCAAAAGTACAACAGTTGATGCCCACGCCACCATCATGGAAGATGACGAAACCGTGAAACTCTCTGCGGATATTACCCTAAAGCCAGAGAGCCACCTTTGTGGATTTTTTGGCAAGTCCATCACTGATGGCTGGCAAGCTACGGACCATGTCTTCGTGACGGTTCCCTCATTAGGCCGCACGCACATGCTACAATCGCATCCTTTCACCATTGCCTCCCGGGCTCCGACGAAAAAGGACGGAGAAGTACGCCTAGACCTACTAATTCGTGGTCGTGATGGCTTCTCAGGTGACCTTCTCATGAGAGCCCGCTCCCATAGACATCTTAAGGTCCGTCTCGACGGGCCTTATGGTAGCACACACCCCATGAACATCCTCGAAGACGCGGATCTAGCTCTAGTCGTGGCCGGTGGAAGCGGTATTGCCGTTGCCTGGCCTCTTATCCATCATCTTCTCGATAAATTCCGCTCTTCAGACATAGAAGCCGCCCCGAATTCCCAGCTGCGGAAGCAGAAGATCGTACTCATCTGGATTATCCATAAGGCAGAGCATATAGATTGGTTAGGCCAGACGGCGTTAGCAGATGCGAAGGATCGAGGCGCAGAAATCATCCTTCCGGGGGCCACGGAGGAGATTGGGAGACCTAATTTAACTAGCATAATGAACGATGTTTTGGATAGTATGTCGGTGGGTAATGGGACTTCGGCTGGTAATAGCTTAGAGAAGAATCGGACTGGTGTTGTGGTAAGTGGCCCAGACAGCATGGGCCGTCTAGTGAGGAATAGATGTGCGGGTATGGTAAGAGATGGTATGAATGTTGATATTACGGTTGAGAAGTTCGGGTGGTGAGAGATTCGAGTTTCGGTCGATGTCTATACTGTCTATATGAAGCTACGTTTGTGATATAATTTTTGTTTTCGTCAAGATTTAGATGACAAAGAATTATAGATGTTATAATAGCGAGGAGTTCATAATGATATTTCAAGTCGAGAGGAGGAAAATATGAGGAAAGGACATGAATATACATAGTCATTAGCTTATAATTATATAGCAGTACAGCATACACATGTATTAGCAACTGATTCTTGTGAATATGTACACGGTTATTTATTCGGCTACAGCACCTTATTGCACGGTATGTTATCAAACAGTGAGGGGCGCAATACACGAGTTTGGTTTAGACTCTGTTATAGAAAGTATATTCTAAAAATTGTGCTAACTACTACTGGAGGGGATACGTCTCCTCTTTGATATGTAGGTATGTATGACTCCTCTTTCCCATTCGATTTCGCTCTAAAAACACCCTAACAAGCCCATATTTGGACTCTCGATCAACTAATGGGAAATATACTGAAATACAGCGGAGACGTCATTCTCGCTGACCTCTTGTCGTAGAAGCAAGTCCTGAATCGTCTTCATCCCCCCGTTCACGAAATGATTCCACGTGCTTGTGTCCCCATACATCATAGCAGGTGCCTTGATATACTGTTTCCCATCGGGCTTGCAACGCTTGCATTTGAATGTATCGTGTGTATCACTCGTCGTCTTGCCATGGTACTGGAACAGCTCCCGCAGACTATCGAGAGTGAAATGCCGCTCTACGTCTTCGGCGGAATCCACCACACACGAAGAGAGTGATTGCTTGTGAGATTGTCGCTGGAATATTTTCTCTTCAATTGTGCCGGTAGCGATGAATCGGTATACGAAGCAATCTTTCTTTTGGCCATCGCGCCATACTCTCGCCAGTGCCTGCTGGTCTGCAGCAGGGTTCCAATCTGGGTCGAAGAGGATGAGTCGGTTGGCTCCGATAAGATTCAGCCCACATCCTCCGGCCTTGCTGCTGAGAAGGAAGACGAACTCGCTGCCGTCTGGGTCATTGAATCTATCCACCAGCTTCTGCCGCTTATTAACATTCATCGTACCATCCAGTCGGAGACTGCCATATCCGCGGTTGCGACAGAGCTTGTCAAACATGTCGAGGGTTTGGGTATAATTGCTAATGAGGACGATCTTATCATTCGAGTCCTGGCGAATTCGCGCAAGCATTCGGTCAAGTACTTGCATCTTGCCTGAATACCATGGCTTGATATCTCGATCTCTACCGCGGGCATCCTTCTGGACGTAATCATCTGGCCAGTATTTCTCACATCCCGGTAGATCATCTGGAAGATTCAGTAGATCTGGATGGTTGCAAAGCTTTTTAAGCATGCCGATAGCCTTAAGAGGCTGACTTCCTTTACCACGAAGCAAAGCTTTGATATCGGGACTACTGATGAAGTGGTTATATAAGTCGAGCTGAAACGGTGCAAGGTTGCAAAAGACAACATGCTCGTATTTGACGGGCAAATACTTCGAAAGGATATCGTTCGTCCGTCTAATAATGAATTTGTTGACAATGTCCAAAAGCTCCCGAAGACGTTCATCTCCCTTGGCGCGGTCCTTGTCGCTCCCGGCAGCATCACGCCCCTTTAAGATTGGTAGCTCGTACTGTTTGCGGAATTCCAGGCGGGTCCCAAGCAGACCAGGATTGGCAAAACTGATGAGCGAGAAATACTCGGAAAGATCGTTCTGGATAGGCGTGCCTGATAGGATTACCCTTCTTGATACATTGAGGTTGTTCAAGGCTGTAAACGTTTGGCTATCTCCATTTTTCAATCGATGACCCTCATCGCACAGCATAAGACCAATCTTAGTATTTTTCAGCTCATCCACATTCAATCGCAATGTCTCGTAGGAAACAATAATGACTGGCCTTGTGACTGCCCGGCCACTTGCAATAGCCCACTGCCGTAACTGCTGCGTAAGCTCTTCCTTCGTCGCTTTCCCATCTATTGCAAATGGCTGAATGGCATCCGGCCCCAGCCATTTGACCAACTCATTTGCCCAGTTCCTGACTAGACTCGAAGGGCAGGCAATAATAGCCTTCTGGATCGTACTCTTTCCCGCTTCAGGAGATTGCTTTAACAGAGTCCACATCAATGTGATGCACTGCAGCGTCTTTCCTAAACCCATCTCATCTGCCATGATACAGCCATTGGCTTTTTCCTCAATCATTCCTGTCACACATTTATACATGAATTTGACACCCTCAATTTGATGCGGCCGCAAGACTTTGGCAAGCTTAGGATCGATGACCACAGGAACTCTGGGCCGTTCGCCCTCCACCACCTTCTTGATCCCTAATATTTCAGCTAGACTTTTATGTACCAACGGCGCATCTATTTTGGGTGCTGCGCCATCCTCGGCTTTCTTTGCCTCTTCAATGGTTTTTGGTTTGTCATCAATCGTGGGATCGTAAAGGACTATAGCGAATTCTCCACCTGGATCGTGCAATGGCTTCGCCATAAAGACAGCTCCCTGCCTCAATCCGAGAGTTGGTGCTGGCCGATTTGGATTATAAGCAGTCGAGTCCTTGTTAACCAAAGGCACCGCAAATCTTTTTCGGAACATTGTTTCCTTATCCTTCACCTGAAAGACCGGGAATCTGTTGGCATCTCTGTTCGCAAGAGCTAGACGCTCCTCGTTCGTCCAAGGCTTGTCCCCATCATCCTTATCGCCATCAGCCCCCGCGTAATCCACCTTCCTCCTCTTCCGCGCCGGCTTATCCGATGTTCTGCTAATGGTTGCAGAGCCAGGACACTTGAATGGTCGGATGAGCTTATCGCCGGATTGAGGAGTGCTGCCATAGAGGCGACCGTTGGATTGAGTAGGAGTAGGTCGGAGTCGAACGGGAGTATTCTCCTTGTCGTCGCTCAGGGTAATCCTGAAAGGTTTCTTCAGAGGATCGGCGCTTTGAGGGGTTCCTCCAACTGTGCCTAGTCGTTTCTTGACAGCGAGTGGCGTGGCTGAAGTTGAAGGCTCATCAGGCGGGGTGATCATGATATCGGTTTGTGGTATCAGCAACTTGTGCAGCTTTTGGTTCGACTCAATCCTCGTCCGCGCTTGGGGCTTCAAGTTCTGGATGTGCCAGCACTGGCGGTATATAGGTTATGGGTTATAAGGGGCGTTGTTCCATGTTCATGTTCATGTTCATGTTAATTGTATCGAATGTGGTTTGGCGACATCAACATTACCGGCGACGCGTCAGGAACGCGTGTGGTAGACGACATCACGTGCACTCGGTATCGATCTGCAGAGGGGCCAAGTGTCTAATAATAACCTTGGACGACCCATATAATCTGCACCGAATCTTATTACCCTCACCAAAGTCCATTTCCGTCTTTGGACCTAAGCAGTCGCCGCTATAACCTAAGTTACGCCCCTGGGTGCTGAGTCCCGAGCACGCTGATGAGTCAGCTGAATCATGGTCACTTCTGGTGCCCTCACGCCCCGGTATAGCTTGCCTGCTGTCTACGGTAAATATAGATCTTGGGTCATATTTTTTAAGCCTATCAAGATGTTGTAATGCCATCCATTCTCGCTCCCGTTAAGCTTATCAAGAATCCCTGCCGGAGCCGATTTGGATCCCTTCCTCTATAATCAAGGCTGTAAGATGGGGCTCGAGGATCTGCCGGGTGCAACCTGACCAAGCGCCTTTAATGTCGATAGAGTCTGCCTATATGTCGATCGATACTAAAGCAAATACCACAAGAACTTGAGGTTTGAACCTCTGTTTTTCGAGGGGTTGCGTTTTGCATATCAGATCAACTCACCGCTTTTTATCTGCCCTCGTGTCGCTTTCTTTATTTTCTCGAGCCTTAGGTATGGCGTATTCTTGGGCGACTTTGGTGCAAACCCCTTTTCGCTAGTATTATAAGGCCCAACGGCTATTACCTAGATATAAATCTGTTATCGTGTAAGTATCTTACTAAAATAGAGGTATTCAAGTTACGCGAATATCTCACTAGAATTGAGGTATTTAGGTGGTATAAATATCTCACTAGATTTAAGGTATTCAAGTTATATGAATATCTCACTAGAATTGAGGTATTTAAGTCGTATAAATATCTAACTGAAATTAAGATATCTACGCTCTCTAGATTAGTATATAGAAATAGTATAGAAGCTCGATATCGGAGATATATATAGGTGATAGCTGTAGGTGCCTGATTTTCTACCGAAAAGAGGTTTGTACTAAATTCGCCCAAGAATGCGCTATACTTAGGATTATAATAGTCTTAAATACTCTATCTACTAGGCTCACTTGGGTATGACAATTGGGAATAGTTTCTATGTAAGGAGCTATGCCTTAATAGGAAGCGGAGCTTGGTTACATGATTCAGGAAAGATGTCATATTATTTCGAACTAACATAAGTTGACTTGGTTACCTTCTACTCTATCCGAGCTGTAACCCGGTTAGGTAGCATCAAACTTTTTCTGCCACGAGCTTGCACGAACATAAAAGAATGGATATATATATATATATCCCTGACCAACTTCTAGCAGGCACGAGCACTCTTTTCAGAGATACGGTCTTTCTTGACTGCTATATAAAACAATCCTTAGCCCCTTCCGACGCTAGTTTTTGTGTCTGCTGCCTGCTATTTCTCTTTTCAACGCCGCAGAATGACAATCTACAGCCAAATAAGGCCAGAAGAAGCCTTAGCATGGATATCTCTACCCGCAGAAATTCGCCTCGAGATCTTGTCGATAATCGTATACCAGAAATATCCTGGCTGGGCTTCTCTTGCGTCCGTATGCAGAGAATGGCAGTGCATTTTAGAGAAAGTTAATTTCTACAAGATGGCTGCGAGTCTCTTGTCTCGATGATTTCGAATATATCGTTTCGCCACAAAAGAGAGAGATTATTCACCACCTCTGTCTCGATGTTGTATTACCACGATACACTTCCACATGTTGCTCAAAGCGAAGTTCACCATCGGTTAAGATCAGCTCTATTGTCAGTAAAGGGATATGGAAGCTTTTTTCTATTCTCAGTACTTGGAGACCAGCGCATAACTTGGCATTGGAGATCCATGTATACTCTCCTAGCGACTGCGAACATTGGTTCAAGAACTTATACTTGTCCTCCGATGATGTCGAGTATGATAGGGACGCAATGCCGGATGCGTGGAGGACTAGGATTCTGTACCATGACCTGCAGCATGGCTGGATGCATGGTCAACAGGTTAAAGCTCCTCCAAGGTCAGCTATGCTACGACTCTTCCGACCTATTGAGTTAGTGTTCCACGAAACGCTGCCTCGAGTTAAAGCAGTCACCTGCCTCATTATCCGTCGACAACTTCGCCGTTGTATTTTTCCATCGGGATTGGGCCCGCTACTCAGCAGACTTGATCGTCTAGAGCATATATCTTATGAGCCGTGGGCGCCATATGAAGTTACGAATACAGAATTTCATAATCGAGGTACGCACCCATGCCTGTAGCAGGAATTTCGAATTTCATCTTCTCACCATGTTGAATACATCCTGATCATCTACGGCTAATACTTAGAGATAGGTCTTTCTTTTGTAATGCGAAATGATCTTCCAGATACTCTTAAAAGATTAACATTATTTGAAGACTCCTATAAATTTTATAATCCATTTCCAAAGCGGCCAGCCCACATACCCTGGCACAATTTGGTTGATCCTAGCGAAGGGCTTGATGCTGTTTTCGCATCTAAAAGTCTTGACTTACAACACCTTGCTATCTCCTTCATGGTCAATGCCGAAGAACTCCTTCGACACTGACAGTCGACGTGGAGCTGGTCACATCTGCAATCTCTGGCGCTCACGTCGCAGCTCCTCCAGGACGATGGGGGAAAGCGCAAGCAGATTGAGGCTTTGCTATACCGAGCCGGGGACCTTGTACAGAAGATGCCCAAGCTACACACATTTGTGCTTTGGAATAGTGGAAAGGCACATGCCTGCGCGTTCATATATCGTATCGACAGAGACAGTGTCTCGGTCACTTGGCGTGGAACGTGGCATCTAGAGCTGAGTCCTATTGTGGTCAAGTCATGGCAACTCGCTGCCTCGAAACTGCCTTTTTCTAAACTTCAAATAAAGGAGTGTATTCAAGGGGTCATAAAGTCTCACGGAGATGCAATCTATCATCTGGAACTGCCCTGCCAAGTCATCGATCCTGCGTCACTTTGGCAAATCCGGCGGGAAGGATGTAGCTTAGCGCAGTAACATAGTGTGTACTAAGTGTAACGTTAAGATATTATACTTTATATGTAATTACTTCGAGGTGCAGTGTTTTATACCAACATACTTGCAATTGTAGTACTCCGAATCCAAAATTAGTTTCGGGTGAGGAGCGAATAAGGGGCCGAATTGGGTCCTTAAGTGCGTTGAGAACGGAGTAAAATCCGGCTCCCCAACACTGGCGTAGATGGAAATGGCGTGCATAGCATTTTGGTTCTAGACTTCTATTAAAATTTAGACGCACAAGAGGCACTGCTAGGTTTCTAGAATCGTCAATGTGGAATGTTTAGTTCCTATTGAATAGGCTAGTGCTTTTCCTGGTGCAGATCACTCTTTAATCTGAGCAGAGGGTGAGGCGAGGGTGAGTATCGCCCAAGTAGAGCGGCGATGATTACTAACCGCGTTGGAAGCGACGTCGAATCGGTTTCGCCGCAGATTACTCTAAGAATTAAAAGTGTCCAAGTGTTCCTGGGCCCGAAGATAATGCCCAGTACCGGTAATGCCCGAGGGTCAATCAAATAATAAATAAAATTTTCTTGCTATAAAGCCATTACCGCCTCACACGTCACTGTCACTACCATTGCCGCTCATTTTTTTATAATAATAGTGCTTGAAAGCCCAATTGCGCATGTCACTGCGACAACCCCCAACTTCTACAACTTCGATTTATACTTTGTAGTCAATACTTGTACACACGCATTCTCCCTCGACACATCCCTACACCGACCGATACTGTACTCGAGCAGCTGCCCCCCACCAATAAAGCCAATTAACCATAACCCCAATGGCCCCGCCTCCGCCGCCCACCGCCGTGGATCATTTCGTCGCCCAGAGCCAAACTCCGATTTTGATGAGCGCATTTGGACTCCAGGTCTTGCACTATCAGTATATCAGAAGGACGCAAGCCGCCTGGGACGTCTTGCCCGCCTCGTCGAGGGCCATATCGTTCCTCCCGCGGACTCTGAGAGCTGGTCTTGGCTGGGGAGTTGTCTTCGTCGGGCTATTAACTCAAATCACGTCCGCGAAAAACGCTATCAGAGACTATACTGATCCCGTGGTTACTCGTCCTTTGCAATCGAGGGCGTGGGGACGAGGTACAATTGAAGAAACGACCTGAGTGAGACCCAAGTTTCTTGGAGAATTGGCCGTATATCCTACCATGTGACAATGAAACAACGATAATCAACAAGCACTCCATTCCACTCATACCGAACAATGTCGGCCGATTTCATAGCAGGCTACATTAGCGGCGCGGCTGGAATCCTCATCGGCAACCCCTTGGATATAATCAAAGTACGTTTACAAGCCGGCAGCTCCTCTGTCGCAAGTGCTTCTGTCACAGGCGCCTCTTCTCCCTCAACATACGCTTCGCAATTCTCCTCGGCCGGAACCCTCATTCGCGGAGCCACTGCGCCCATCCTTGGATACGGAGCTTTGAACGCCTTGCTATTTGTAACTTACAATCGCACCTCGGACCTCCTCAATACAAACAAGCAGACTGGAGGGACGCCGAATCTCTGGACAACCTGGATAGCAGGAGCAGTCGGCGGGCTCGCAACATGGGCCGTCAGCACCCCCACGGAACTCATAAAATGCCGAGCTCAGGTCTCTTCATCGGCGACAGCAGCATCTAGCTTGCGAATCGCCAAAGATATTCTGCGGACAGAAGGGATTCGCGGCCTGTATTTTGGCGGCGTTGTCACAGCGTTGAGAGATAGCGTCGGCTATGGCTTTTATTTCTGGTCCTATGAAATTAGCACACGGTTCATGATGTCTCGAATGGATCAAGATGCAGCAACGACGGGCAACGGTCAGAAAGAAGCAGCAAAGGTCCTCTTATGTGGTGGGTTAGCGGGTATTGTCACATGGGCCAGCATCTTCCCCCTCGATGTTATAAAGACGCGTGTACAAACCCAAATCCTCGGACCGGGTGACGGTGGAGAGCGGACGTCTCTGCTTGGGCAGAGACGATTAGGCGCTATGGAAGTTGCGCGGAATGCATATAGAACAGAAGGCGTGAATGTGTTTTTCAAGGGCCTGGCGATTTGTAGTGTCAGGGCTTTCATTGTGAATGCCGCGCAATGGGCTGTATATGAGTGGATTATGCGGGAGCTTGATCCTGTGAGAAAGAGTAAGAGCGAGAGCATAGGTATACCCACATAGGTAGATTTTAGAGTAGACATATAGAAAGATAGAGCTATAGAATCATTCATCTACCTTGATTTCCATTTTGACAATCGGATTAAAAATACCCAGGATTCATATGTTTTGGAACTAATATCGAGGTTGCTTTGTATTTTTTTGCTCAGCTATTGTAGTTGCAACAATCATAGCACAAACACCCATAATGTTGGGTATTGCCTACGTCTTCCCATGCACAAACGATGGGCTAGATAACAACTAGAGATAGACTTTATCTGTCCACCCATCCGCCAAAACTGGTTTGGGAATAATAAATATACCGGAACGGTTCTCTGGTAGGTATTAATACGCCAGCCCACCCGCAAACCATGTCACCCAGCAAGCTGGAGACAAGGCAGTATCCACCAACTCCTATCATGCAAGACCCTGGTCACAAAACATGCCTGTAATTGTACACATGGATATTCTCCTGTATCAAGAGTATTGCAACTCTCCGCCACCCTGTTTTCCGCCTCCGTTATTATTACCGCCTTTCGTCTGCATCGATTGCTGATACTGTTCATACTGCTGAAACTGCTGCTGAACCAGTTGCTGAGGCGTCTGATACTGCTTCTGAAGCGGGGGGAAATCCTCGTATGCCACGGCAGCATTATAGGGCGGGGTGCCTGTGCCACTGGGCTTTTCGCCCACATCGTCGAGCGACCGGTAGCCATAACCGCCTCCACGGCCTCTGCCTCGTCCACCGCCACGGTTGTTGCCCCGATGGCCACCTCGTTGAGGCCCATTACCACGATGATTTCCCCTTCCTCCTCGGCCGCCATAATTCTCTTTCTGGTAGGACCCGCCTCTGCCACCTCCTTGGCCCTGTCCATTGCCATAAAAGCCACCGGATGACCTCCCTTCATCATCATGCTTGCGCTTCAAAGCCTTATTGGGAAATAAGCTCTCGTACTCGTTCTCGGTGAGATTCTCTTCTTCGATACGAAGCAAGACCTTCTCACCCACCGTACTCTCAAACACAAATTGTTTCTCTGATGGGACAGGCTGCCAATTCTGGATCTTACCTGCGTCGATGGGCCGAGCACCCTTTCGTAGAGCGAGGACCACGATTGGTTCGGGGTTTTCCGTATAGCACTTCTTGGACTCTGGGACAGTTCGGACAGACGCTGCCCAGATCTTGTTTTCGAAAACAGCCGTACCAGTTACCTCCCAGGTTGTTTTACTGCCCATGCCACCGACTTTCTCTAATATGCTGTCCGGGCAAGGTCGAGGGGTGATGAGGACATTGTTTGCAAGAAATTTCATCTCGTTATCTGGCATGGTTGGTGGGAGCTGAGCTAGTGTAAGTAGCTTCTGGGTGTCAGTGGGTTCGATCAAATATCCAGTATAGAAAACTGTCTTCTTGATTTGAAGACGTGTGCCTCGCCGGGCCTTGGTAACCATTGCGTTGTGATCATTGATCAAGCGCTGCAGCTCAGCAGTTTCTACAATAGGATCAAGCTGGGTAGCACCATCTGCAACTTGGACGACTTCGGCAAGGAGTGGTCCCCGAGTCGGTGATCCTCCAATGCCGTTCTGCCGCCTGTTATATTCCGTGAAGAAGTCTCTGAACATTTTGACGTGGCGAACCCGATCCTCATAAACCCTAATTTCGTCGGCGTATTTGTACGTCTCCATGAGGTTTTGCAGAAATGCCTGTTTAAAACCCATTGTGTTCGAGAAACGCTCATGGTCCGGTCCGATCAGAGGTTTTAGGGTGATCAAGTCCATATCGAGTTTCTTGCTTCCAACCATCCTCTTGATCAATTCTGCGAAGCCATGTTCAGAGCGGCCGGTCAGAAGGACCGTCAGGGCATCTTTTTGCTCCATGCTAAGCCTGATAAGCTCAACGATCCGCTCATTCCACCAGCCATCCCATGCACGAGGCTCTTCCTTTTCAATACCCTCACCAGTGGCCGCGAGGATTCTGGCATCGTGCCACCATCCGCCACCCGCAAACGTATCCTGGGTCTGCAAAAAACCAATTGTCGGTCCGTTCCATAACTTCGGATTGGGCAAGGGGCTGTTGAAGACTATGACGATGTTAGCAGGTATCCGAGGCCGTTCTAGAATACCGTCTTACGTGTATTGTCAAAATCGTAAACATGCAGAGCCTTAATCTTATCCACAGCTATACGGTGTTAGTCTCGACTGTCCTCGAAGGTTTTCTCCATGGTCAAGCCTTACGAGGGAGCTGCTTATCTGCGACAGACCAGCGACTCAACCGGGTGACGGTGTACTGGGCACCGTTGGCATTGCCGGCCCCATTTGCGCGGCCAGCCATTCTGCTCTGGAAGCTACGTACTTCTGCGCGGAGTGCTTCGAATGCAGATGAACTGTTAGTTGTGGCGCAGCGGGTCGAAAGGGTAATAAAAGTTGGCCCCAAACACACTCGAGAGCAGAAACGAAGCGATAAATCGGCGGCGGCCAGCCTCGCGCTGGGTCCGCTTCGCCCAGAGATCGCGAAGGCGCTATAGCAGTGCGGATTCCGGGTACGCGACACGCTCGAGTAACTCATGTGTAATAATGTGTAGTATTAATGTGAAGTAATGTGTAATGGTATATATATAATGCGCTGTAACTTCCCAGCTGCCGGTCTCCAACTTGCATGATTGATCGAGGGATGCGAGAGCCTATTCTAGAGAGGAGCGGCTTTAGAATATCCAGATTCCTTGAGAAACGCATTATCACGAGTACATACAACTACCTGCCTACCTTAGGTACCAAAGTTACTCATCCATATACCTCCCGACATCCCGCCCAATCTGCTTCAGCAGCTCATAAACATGAATTCTCTCCCAGCAATTCGCCATGTGGCTTCATCTTCGAAATCCGCATTAGGATACATCTACTTGCAATGTCACGTCAAGCCAGGTGCGAGCAAGCAACGAGAGGGCATCATTTCCGTATCCGAAGACATCATCGAAGTCTGCGTATCGGCTCAGGCGCGCGAGGGCGAGGCTAACAAGGCTGTGAGGGAAGTCTTCAGTGATGTAAGCCTCCATTCATGTGCTGAACTTAGGTGAGACAAGGGCGATGGTTGTTGATGGTTGATGGTCTTTGTAGGTTCTTAAATGTCCCAAGTCTGATGTGGAGGTCGTTCGAGGATTGAAGTCCAGGGACAAGACAATTGCTATCAGTGGCATTGATGTTAAGGGGGATGAACAGAAGTGTATCTCCGGTATTCGAGACCAGCTACTAAATGCTGTTGAATAATACGTCTATTTAACACATGCCATTTGTGGTTTCTAAGTGAAGTCATCGAGCAGTGCCCCGGATTGCTCAGCGCTTAATCTCCACTTGACCTGGGATTTTGTTGGAATGTAATCAATTCTTCAATCATGATGTGTGACTAATGGCTTCTACTAGCCCCCACGGAGAAACTACGTGAAACGAAGCGTTGGGGGGTATTGAAACTACTCTACACTTACCGGAAACCTGGCACTTTTACCACCTTGATTCTGCAGATACCACATGCAAACCAAGCATAAGAATGAATATATACATACCACCTGACCCTCGAGAAATATCGGTGAGCATTCCAACAGTGCGAGAAAGGAAGTGCAGATAATCATGTGTGCAGGCAGGGTCGTGTACCGTAAAAAGAAGCTTTTTATAAATAAAAGACCATCTCAACAAGTGCAATATATCTGATCTCACCGAAACGCAAAGGATTTAACCGGGACTAACTTTAATTACGTCAGATGCAGACCATATTTGAAAATTTGAGAGATGGGAATTTTAAAGGGGCCAAAACAATGTACGAAGTAATAATTCATGATGGCCGCAGGTGATGATGGGCTCGGTAGCACCACTGCATCCGTGACATGACAATGGAAAGACACTCGAGTTAGACTTTTTACTTGTCACGCCCGAGTCGCCAGATTTATACTTCCGTTATCCTTGGAATCAAAGCGGGCGGGAGCGATGTGGAGATGTGATGCAGGGCCGTGATGCCAAAATTATCCTTTTGAGAGTGCACATGGGCGCTGGTGTTGCCGTTCCAGGGACTAGTTAGTAAAGGAAACTCGTATATGCCCCGCCGTTGAAAGCAAATGAGGATTGTAGCTAAGTTAGTCGAGGGTTTTAAAAGCGGACGGTGAACAAAGAGGCGGGAGAGACCTCAACTCTGTGCCCCTTCGCCGCTTCGCTGGCCTTGCGAGCTGGAGAGCCAAAATTGGCCGGAGAAGAGCAGATGAAGAGCAGGGAGAAGACCCCGGATGAAAACCAAGCCAACCGGAAGTTCGATGCGGCGGGCCACCTCCTGAGTCCTGAGCGGTGATCGTGCGTCATAATCCAGGTGCTTTGAACATGGGACAATAATGCCAACACCGATTCTGGCGACTCGGTTGCGGCTGTGGCAATAATGTGGTTACGATTGTGGGTTGCGGATTGCGGATTGGGGAGAAGATCAAACTGCTATCCACTCGAGCCACTCTCACAGCACACGCTTTGATCCGCGAGTCAGCGAGAAGAATGTGCTGTGCTTTTGCTGTGCTTTGCTTTGCTTTGCTTTGCTGCGCTGGACAAAGTGTAGAGCACGAAGTGCAGTGGTCCCCTTCAAGTAGCCTGGGTGAGTTGACGACGAACAATGGGCGATGGGACACCCTTTTTTTGCGCCTGGCGCCCCTGAGATCAAACAACAACAACAACAACAACAACAATTCCTTTTTTCCTTTTCTTTTTTTCTTGCTGGCGACGATTCAAGATTGTCAATAATGGCGCGCCCCCTGTGATAAACCTGTGACAGTGATCGAAAGCGAAAAGCGGACGTGGGGATCATTGCCACATAGACGAACCCTGTTGTCTTGTTCAAGCCGCTCCCTGAATCCCTGATGTCCTCTGCCTTGCCAGCCTGCCAGCGTGCCACCAGAAAGCTGAAGCCGAAGCCGAAGCCCGGGAAAACAATACTGTAATTGATTAGCAGACGACCAGAGGACCAGCAGGACTCGAAGGGCAGAGCAGCCAGCAATGGACCATGGATTGGATGCCAACGCTCTTCTCATCTCCTGAGTCCTGGCACGCTGTGGACGAGGGGACTCGCAGCCGTCGCCGCCTCCCGTGCTCGGAACGAATCGAATCGCCCATAATATAATATAACTAAGGTACAGTAGGTAAATATGGCCTCGAGACTCGAGTACTTTCGTACAGTACTGGGAACTTGGGTACTTCGTAGTCCGTCCTCATCTACCGTAAAGTCCGTGGGGCTTCTTCATGCCTCCTCCCATCTGCACTCTGCACTCTGCAGTGTCGCCTGCACGGTGGAAACCGAGTGTATTCCAGTGGCGGCGTTGGGCGTCCGCAGGCGCTGTGATTCGCCTTGTGCCCCGGCCTGCTTGATCTTGATCGGAGCGTTGAACCAGAATTTAATTGAGCCAGCTTGAGCCAGCTTGAACCACTGACTTGTGCGCCCGATGCTATGCTCTCTAGCACAAAGCTACCACTGGAGCCGACTGTCAGTGTCCCCGGTAGCAAGTAGCGATCCTGTATCATCCTGTAGTCTCGTCAACATCCCCACTACCTAGCAGTCCCTAGCAGCATACCAAGTACATCCCAATATCCAGCTACTGGAGTAGTCTGTACCCAAGGTCCCAAGCTGCTACTACACCACCATACTCCCTCCTACTCCCCCCCCCATCAAACAGCACATGTAGTGTACGGAGTAATGTCACCTCGCCCCTCCGCTCCTTACCTGGTACTACTCGCACATGTACCCTTTCTCGCCAGCCGCCGCGTATGTCGATATCCTTGAACCAGACGCCGACGCAGAGGATAGGATCCGCAGCCGCGCCCGCAAGATCCACCGCACCGTGTGCTGTCTGTCCTCCATCTCACTCCCCTCCGCCAGACCTGTATCGCGATCGCTGGGTGCTCGAAGAAACAGCGAATAATCCTCCGGTGGTTGGCTGGTGGTGCGCTTGAGAGCTTTCCCCCCCCAGTGCCTGTCGCCCTTGTTCCCCTCGACGTGACCCGCCTGTGCGAAGGCCGCCGCATGCTTGGGACGAGATATAGTCGCGAGTATCGATTGCGAGAGAGCCCCCGTCGCTCTGAGCGTAGTAATGATGGAGAAAACCGGAGATGTGGGAGGCTCCCCAGCCAACAATTCGAGCGACTTTGTGAGTTCTCTGCTCTGCTCTGCTGGGCTGGCCCAATCTGCATGACTGTATCTAATCGCATCGCATCGCAGGTTCGCAAACTGTATAAGTGAGTTGCCACCACCACAACCCGCGCCTTGTACCGATCCTCGAATGCGACATGCGGCTAACATGCTGGTGTATAGAATGCTCGAGGATCCCTCATATGAGTCGATTGTACGGTGGGGGGAAAGCGGTGATAGTTTTGTCGTCCTGGAGGTATGACAAGATGAAGAATCTTGACGCGAATCCTTGAAAAATGGGCAAGGAGATACTGATGTTGACCGCCATTGTAGAACGAGAAGTTTACCAAGACCATCCTCCCCAAGCATTTCAAGCATAGCAACTTTGCGAGTTTCGTCCGACAGTTGAACAAGTATGACTTCCACAAAGTTAGACAGAACAATGAGGACCATGCCCCATCGCCCTATGGCCCCAATGTCAGTACCACCACCACGCGCCGCAGCATCACTATCATAAACTAATGGGCAATCAGGCATGGGAGTTCAAGCACCCCGAGTTCCAGGCAAATAAGAAGGATTCGCTGGATAACATCAGAAGAAAGGCACCGGCGCCGCGGAAGCCTGTCCAGACCATGGAGGATCAGTACCCATCCCAACAGATAGAGCTCATCAACAGCCAGCTGATGGCAACTCAACAACAATTACAGCACATGTCAGAGAGATACCAAGATCTAGCTCAAAGTCACGTTGTATTATTACAGCAGGTTGTCCAACTACAGAAATTTATTAAGAATCACGATGGGGCCATGCACCAAATGATGGGATTCTTGCACAGCGTCGACGGCGAGAGACGCAACAACCGGATGGGCGTAATGGGATCTGGGAATGTCATACCAACCGACGGTGTACCGGACGACCGCCTAGCATCTCCTTTGCAACAAGCCTCGGAATTGCTGGATGAGTTTTCGACCGAAAATCTACCAAATAAGGAGCTCGAACAACTAGCACACAACTATCACTTCCGATTCGAATATTCGACGCCCCCTACTGACCCTGGGGGTTCTGGCATGGCGCCTCCATCGGCCGCTACTCCCACCCACATAGGTTACCCAGTCGGAAATGACCTGGATAACATGGTTTACCCGGTGGGCCATACCAACGGCATCGATCCGATCAAGAGTGAACATATTCACAATATCCCTTATTCCCTGCCCCCGGGTGGAATGATACCTGTAAACCCGCTGCCAGAGATAGTCCAGGAAGGTAACCCGATTGCAAGTGGGAAGAAAGGCGGCACGGAACCGGTATGGGGAATTAACAAGCCGTGTGTACTGCTTGTGGAGGATGATAAAATGTGTGCCAAGATCGGGGCCAAGTTCTTGCAGTCGTTTGAGTGTGGCGTCGAAATTGCCGTAGGTCTCGAGTTGTCCTTTGTGGGGTTTGGGTCGATGCTAATAGATGACACAGACTGACGGGCTCGACGCGGTGACCAAGATTAACAATTTCCCGGATAGGTTCCATCTGATCTTCATGGATATTATCATGCCTAATCTAGACGGCGTTTCGGCGACTGTTTGCATACGGGACTCGCGGCCTGATATTCCTATAATTGCCATGACTTCGAATATCAGGGCTGATGATATTGACATGTACTTCCGCTACGGTCCGTTCCGTGCCATACCAGCCTATACATATCACCTTGCTAACAGCAAATAGGGATGAACGACGTCTTACCAAAACCTTTTACCAAGGAGGGTATGCTCAAGGCGCTCACTAAGCATCTGCAGTCATTTTTAAAGACTGCACCGTTCCCGGGGTCGACACAAATGCCACATCCGGCAGCTTTTCCAGCGCCCAACCAGCCACACCCACCTCTCGGCCTCAATATGGGCCAACTCTCCGCGGCGCAGACTCTGAAGGACGACACCCCGCCAGGCAAGTCCCCCGCCACGGCTGGGCCCTGGCACTCACCGCATCAAATTCCCGGTCAATCGCCGGTAGGGAACCCGGCGGCGTGGAGTATGCAACAACCTGCCCAGGGTCATCCCTATGCGATGGCTTCCGCACCACCTCATCCTCAGCCGGGATATCCAGCGCCTCCAAATACGCCATTGGGACCGCCCCGGGGGCCTCCGCACCGCAGGGTGATCTCAGATGTCGCAGGCGGGGTGGTCGATGACAATCCCGAGAAGCGGCAGAGGATGTATCCTCCTGGCCAGCCGGGTTACCAGCAATAACAAGCATAGCCGTGCTACAACTTTCTACATCCGCATCTGCATCTGCATCCGCACCCGCATCCATCCCTCACCCAAAAATGTCTCCTTGGCTGGGGTTGTAGCTAGCCTATGTGTATTTATTAGAGAGCATATGTTTTTGGCCCGAGCTGTTGTTCTTATTATGTGTTTCGATGCGGGGGGGAGGGTTGGGGAGGGCCTTGGGACGCGTATGATGCCCGAGTCTAGCGCAGATGGGACGCATCATCTACTGTATCGAGCCTCCTCAGCGGGGCGTGTGAGGCAATCCATCCATCATGGGAGGGCCAGCCGGATGGCGGGGTGGGTAGGTATTCTGCGTGTATTGCATTATCGAAGCAGGCGGGGGCTTGCTTGGACTGGGCTGGGCTGGGCTGGGTGGTTGGCGCTGGGTGGTTGGCGCTGGGTGGTTGGCGCTGGCGGTAAAATAAATACCTACCTTACCTTACCTATACCTTATCTATGTGCTATTCGATAGAAGATTGATGATCGGCTTTAATCGTGGACGGTGTGAGTACTTCGTATGCGTAATAAAAATTGGATTAGATGTACTCGAGCGGCCCCATCATGCACGCCCTTGCGTTCGGCGGGCGATATTTTTTCCGAGGAGAGGAGATGGATGTACTTGGTCGTATTGCGGGAGGTCTGGTGTGGTCTGTTGATGTTACTGTCGGTGCTTGAGGTACCTAGGTAGGTAAGATAAGGTAAGGTAGTAGGTAGCTGTAGATATTCGCTCGCGGAGGGCGGGTTGGTCGTGGTGGGCTAAGGGACGGCGATGCGCGACGAGCGGCCTCGCAGCACCAGCGAGGCTTAGGGAGTTGAACAGGCGCAACCAAGTTGTAAAACGCGGGAGAAGGGAGAAGGGAGAAAGGAGAAAGGAGAAGGGGATTTGAAGAAAAGAAGAGACGACGTTGTGTTAAAGTACAGTACGCAGCCAGCACCCTGGAGACTCAAGAAAGGCCAGGCCCTCATCGGCCGCAGGAGCGTGAACCTCTTGGGAGCTTGGAGCTTGGATCTGGTGTGCTTGGTGGCTCCGGGCCTGAGGGCGAGAGGGCCTGGACGTGCCTGGAGGGAGAGTGTCCCCCTTGTGAAGGTCTTCCTTTCGTACTCCGTCAGTAGTCCCTGTGAGCGAGGCTCGGGAAGCCTGGAACACACGCCCTAGAACCACCGAACCACTCCCTACGCACGCCCTGGAGCCCAGAGCCCAGAGCCTACGGAGCATGTACCTGGACAAGCAAAGCCCCTGGCGCCCGCCGATCATTACGAAGTAAGTATTCATCCCTCCATTCATCCCTCCCTCCCTAGGTATGGTACAGTACAGCACAGTACAGTACAGTCCCTTATTACCTATACGTAAGGTCAGTACGGAGTTATTATTATCATTATTATTATGATTCCCCTTCAGCCTCGTTGTCCCCGCGACAGCCCACCCCACCCCACGTACAAGGCACGCACTCGTACAGTAAGCCAACGCCAACGCCGACGTCAAAAGCCAAAAGCCAAAGAAACTTTAAATTCTGAGTCAAGTCGAATCGGCGCCTCACCCATTATACATACACCTGCATACAGTAACCACCAGCTTGCACGCCAGCACCTCTCCAGCACTCCAACAACCCCAATTCAACGGCAGATTCCCCTCGCTAGCTGCTTGTGTTTTTTGCACTTGGCGCAAAACTCTTCTCGGATCTATCTTCGGTGGGCGGCTGCGGGTCAGGTCAGGTCAGAGGGAGGGAGTCAGGAACAAACACCCGCGTCGACCACGGAATGTCGCACGCCCATAAATCGGCCAAGGGCGCTGCTGGCGGGGAGAAGGGAAGGGGAGCTTCAAAGGGGAAGAGGGGAGCGGGAGCGGGCGCAAAGAAGCCCGAGGATGACAGAGAGGAGTCGTTGCAGGCGGTGGTATGCTGCCCTCTTTTATATTTATTTTATTTTGCCTTCGTGCCACGGCCGGCCGGCTGGGTGGTGACGGAGAACAAAAGAGACATCCTGACTGACGTGGCCATAGGTGCTTGCAGACTTCGAGGGCCACTTCAGCCCCTTCTCACAGGAGAAGCCGAAAGTAAGACTGCCATCCTATATGTTTTGCAGGTCTGCATTGGAGGAGAAGGGTTACAGTGAGGGCCAGTTTGATGCGGAACCGCGGGCTAATATTCTTCATCCAGTGCCTCCTCCCTTTAGCAAACACCCCCCTCTTAGAATACACCCTCGAGTTCCTGGCCATGTCCGGCGTGGCCGACATATACATCTACTGCGGCGCTCATAGTGCCGAAATAGAAAAGTACATACAGGCCTCCAAATGGTACCCTCCCTTGTCCCCGGCGTCACCCTTCAAGTCCCTCGAGCTCGTCAAGAGCACTGCTCGGTCCGTCGGCGATGCGTTGCGCGACCTGGATGCGCGGGACCTGATCACCAGGGATTTCCTGCTTGTCCATGGGGATCTGGTCTCGAATCTGCCCATAGATGCGGCATTGGCCGCGCATCGCGCGAGGAGGATCGCGGACAAGAATGCGATCATGACGATGATACTGCGAACCGCCGGGCTGGGGCAGCACCGGACGAAATCGGGAGGGGTCACTCCAGTCTTCGTCTGTGATCCGACGAAGAATCGGTGTCTACATTACGAGGAGATGCATGCCCTACAAGCAAACAAGTATCTCAACATCGATCCAGACCTCCTGTCCGACCATGCTGAGATGGAAATCCGCACCGATTTGATCGATTGTGGCATCGATATCTGCACCCCTGATGTGCTAGCCCTGTGGGCGGAGTCCTTCGATTACGAGGTTCCCAGGCGGCATTTCCTGCATGGTGTGTTGAAGGATTACGAGTTAAACGGCAAGACGATACATACCGAGATCGTGGAGGAACATTACGCGGCCCGCGCCTTCAATCTGCAGTCATACGAGGCCATCAGCAAAGATGTGCTTGGGAGGTGGACATACCCCCTCGTCCCAGATAGCAATCTTATCTCGGGCCAAAGCTACAAGTTTGAACGAGGTGGCCTGTGCAAAGAAAACGGAGTGATGCTAGCGAGGACATGCAAAGCCGGAAAGAGGACGGTGCTTGGTCGGGATACCAGTATTGGCGATGGGTCAACGTTGACGAACAGCATCGTAGGACGGAGATGCATCATTGGAAAGAACGTTACCATCCGGGACGCGTACATTTGGGATGATGTGGTTATTGGTGATGGAACCACTGTCCATAGAGCCATCATTGCCCATGAAGCTGTTATCGGCAGCCAATGCAAAATCAATCCAGCAACACTGATATCGTACGGGGTCAGAATATCAGACAACACGGAAGTCAAAGAAAAATCCCGAATTACACGAGCAAAGCGAATAGAGGACGACGTGGAAGAGGTTGTCCCCTCGGACCCAGAAATAGTCGGCGAGGGAGGCAAAGGCTATCTCTTCCACGAGGATGACGAGGACGAGGATGAATCCAACGAATCGTTCATATACTCGACTGCCCACCTGAATATCTCGTCCGAGTCAATATCAACCATCACATCATCCATATCCATCGGATCTCCCACCACCTCCCGCTCCCGCCTCTCCAGCTTCGCAGGCTCCATTTCCGACGACGGCGAGGCCGGCTCCTCAAATGAGAATTTCCACCACGACGCTGTATCCGGCCTACTCGACACCCTGAAAGAAAACGGGGATTTCGACTCCGCCAAGCTCGAGTTCATGGGTCTAAGACTCAGCAACGATGCAACGGACCACCAAATCCGCCGCGCCATCGCCGTCGCCTTCACGAAGCGCATCGCGCAACTCGTCGAGCAGGAAAAGTTAGAGCCTAGCAAAGCAGCCGCCTCGGCATTTGGGACGAGCGGCGCCGAGAACTTCCTCAAGACCGTCGCCGTGGGTGCGGGCAAGGAGGAGGATCAGATTGATTTCATCCATTGTTTGCAGAAGGACCTTGTACACAGGAACCAAGGGGCGATGATCCTTGCTGCTGTATGTCAAAGGCTGTATCAGATGGATGTCTTGGAGGAGGACGCGTTCCTGAGGTGGTGGGAGGAGTGCGAGATGCTGGCTGAGGGGGAAGCTGAGGAGATGGCTAGAGTTAGGACGAAGACCAAGGTGTTTATTGATTGGTTGAGGGAGGCCGAATCGGAGAGTGGTAGTGAGGAGGACGACGAGAGTGAGGATGAGAGTGATTAGTGTGACAAGGTTATATCATGTATTCGAAGTAGCTATGATATATGGGGTTGGGGCTTAAGTCAAGTTCCATTGGGTATCCTACGATATAACTAAGGAGACGAGTGATAAAACGTATCTCGTTGAGTGTTATATAGAGTTACACTCCGAGCTAGATAAAAAAACGAGCCCGTTCGTCCATTCCTTCATCTATGAGACTATAAGTACCTAAGGCACCTAGGTATGATATGTTGGCGACTGAAAGATCCTCGAAAAGACACCAAACACCTATATTTTCCCATTGACATCTCCGTAGGTAGGCATATTTTATGCCATCCATACTGAGAGGGGAATTTATGTCAGGATATCGGTGAATGGCCCACTTGATTTCTCTATTTGGATTGCCCTTCGTTTAGGACGTTTCTAAGTGTAAACACCGGATCTTTGGAATCTACGATTGTGAGATTTTCGTGTTTCCATCTTGCGGCTGATAATTAAATTAAAGTCCGAGTGGGAAGGAGGCACGCCTACAGCGGCTATCGATGATCAGAATCCCATGTGCTCCACCATATCCCCATATTCGCAGCGACAACAAGATCTAGCATCTTGAAACCCTCATCGTGGATGATGAGCTTGCCGAGCTTTGCACGTTTACCCCTATTCCCCCCTCCGGCCTTTTCTTGTCCAAGACTGAGGTCTAGGCGTGAATTTTCCTCGTCGCCCACATGCAAAACCCGGTCTAAATTGTCCGCGATATGGGCATCGTTTGCTTCGTCGCTTGAATTCGTAGTGAATCGTAGATTCGGTCTTGGTGGCAAGGCTGGCGGGTCCTCTTCGTCGTCAGAGTGCCGGTGGCTATGTGACGCCCGGTATTCTCTTATTTCCGAAGATAATTTGTTTCTAATATGTCTGAACTTTGTGGCAGTGGCACCTTTGAAATCTGTGCTTCGCTCCCGGGATCTCTCGGGGGATTTCGAGGAGCCAAATAAGGCGGACGAAGGGAGGTTGAAACGGAGTTCGCTCAGAAGTACCGATGGTTGTGTGGAAGCTGAAGAATCTGCCGTGTTAATTGCGGATACTGGGCTTGGTAGAGTGTGTCTACATCGTAGACTCCGGCCGCCGCTGCCAGTAGAGAATTTGCAACGACCTTCCCAGGGACTCAAAAATATGTACCCTTTCGGTCGAGGCATATGCGCAGCTGCTTCTTCCTCTTGGTCGGTACCCATTGTGTCAGAATATCCGATTGCGGAACTGCCACTATAACCCCTACCACGTTTGCCCGATAGGTCTGAAGGCGTTCTCTTGTGTTTTGTGGAAGGACGTCCCCATGAATTAGACCCCTCCATGAACACCTGGCGATGGAAGCTCGAAGGAATAACCGAGGAGCCTTGCGGTTGGGCCCTATTAGGACCGGTTTTGGCGGCTTTAGTTGTAGATAACTGTTGCCCAACAACTGGCAGGTCTTTTGACGGATGAGCGATTGGTTGCGAGTTCCGAAAAGGAGTGTAACCAGGCGTGGTGAGTTCCACTGATATGTCAAAATATGGCTTCTTCGAGCGTACGGGGGATTTAGTTGGTCGATGGGGACTCTCGTTGTTAATAGGGTGACCAGAAATGCTTCCAATATTCCATTGAGCTCCAGAAGCTGGGTCTCGGCGGATAAGTGTTATCGAAAAGGTATCGGCAATGTGCTGATGGTCCTCGGATTTCCTAAAACCAGGTTCTTGAGGCAGGGCGTTTCTTAGGGTGTCGTTGCTCGCTCGCGAATTAGAAATGGCGTCTTGCGAAGCCTTGACGAGACCATCTTCAGTCCTGGCGAGTGGCTTTCTCTCGATTGAAGGTGCAGAGGGCAGCGCGCGAGGGCCTAAAAGCCGCCTCTGGACAGGCTTGTTTACATGAGCCGAGTCTTGTAAAGGACGGATCATGTTTGGGGATTCGGTCTTAATATTCGACGGGTTTGAAGGCGAGTCCGTCCGACTTGATGCAACATCCGCTTGAGGCACATCAAGGGATGCTCGGGCTGACTGGGGAAGAGGTTTGCGAGGCACAGGTTTCTGTACAGAATCACTCGTGCCAGCTCGGGGATCTGGCTCGTCACATACAGTCGTTTGATCATCCCCAAGCAGCCGAGTATCGTCCTCGCTATTGAGATGAAGATAGTACAGAGAGCTAGCTACATCCTGTACGGCAACATTTTTCAGTTGAGGCTTGAGGGGCGTGAGAATAATATCTGAATACGAACTTAGTTTGATGACCGAACAGTAAGAACCTGTCTCTATACCTACCTCGACTACCCGGAACCCGCGCGATATACAGGGTCAAAGGTACCCTCCTCTGCTCTGTTGGGTTCCGGGGATATTTCGGTGGATGCGAAGCAAGCTGCGTTATATCAGAGAGAGAGTTGGCTTCAACCAAAGAAGATGAGGAAGCCATCGGAGCAGCAAAGGCAAGGTGTCTGGAAGATAGATCATGGAACACGGGCGGCTTTTAGGGTTGAGGTAAAACTGCAGAACAGTGCCAGGACGAGGTCAGAGTCCGACGGAACTTCAGACTGTGGCCTCAAAAAACAGAATATATGTGGTAACGCTCCTGAGCTCCCAGGGCAGTGTTTGTTCTTGTGGTCTCAGGCATCAGACGGAAAAAGGCTGTGTTGTGCTCTCCAGCTGACTCGCTCGAAAGGAATATGATGGTGGCTCTGCTCTGGCCGGTGGATCACTAAATGCTGAAACCGGTGCGAGTATCACTAGATCGAGACTGGATATTGGAGATCTGACAGCTGCAGTGCTGCTGAGACATTCACCAGAAATGCATCTTGGCTATTATACGTAGGCAGTCAAGGTAGTATTAGGGGCCTATTGATCCGGGCAGGCGTGGCGTTGGGAGTACGAAGTATGGAGATTCTGGAGAGTTCCGATCGTGGAGTTGCGTATGTTCTGGAGGCGCAGCGTTTGTGTAATAAATAATAAATATATGTAAATAAATACATGTTCAGGGGTCAATGTTTACGGCAGCGGTGCGTGCCTTGGCTCTCAGGCCGCCCAGTCCCAGCTAACCGAAAAGTTCGCTCTCGCACTAACAGCGGAAAGTCGAAGTCGAAAGTGAACTTTTCTTACTCGCAGACCCAGGCAATTTTCGAGGTTCCTCCACCCATTCAGCGCCCGCCTTGCCCTTTGCTTCACCCCCATAGCCAGCGCAGTTCATGACTGAATGACATAACGGCCCTCTCTTATAAAACCCAAGAACGAGGATTGAAAACAGTATCAGTCCTACAAAATGGTGGACAGCTCGCTCGAAGTTCGTTTCCTTCCCCGCCTTTTCCGAACTGGTGCGCTGGTATTAACCAAGATTCTAGGAGCGATTGCGTGAACACGCCGAGGCCTTTGATGGTTTGCTGTCACTTATACCAGCAAAGCATTATTACGGCGAAGACAATAGTGTATGTTGATTCTTGCAAAAAGCCCCCGCCTCAAAATGTCACCTTTGACTGACCACTTCACTTTCCTGCAGGACCAATGGAAGAAAAAGAAGCAAACTAAAGAGCAAGCCGCCGCAGCCAGACGAGCCAAGCTTGACCCAGATTCGGCCAAAAGCGCAAAAGACATTATGGATGAACGCGCCAGGAAGCGAAAGCTGGAGGAAATGGACCAGGGGTCGGATATCGAGGGGGTCGAAAAAGAGCAACCCAGACAAGGCCTGAAGAAACCACAAGAGGGCAAAACTAAGAAGCAGAAGGTGACGCCAACGCCAGGAGAGAACGGAGGTGCGGAGGCTACCGAATCGAAGAAATCAGAAAAGTCACGCATTAAGCAAGACCGGAAGAAGGAGAAGAAATCAAAAAAGTCAGAACAGAAGAAAGAGCAAAAGCAGGGAAAGGACAAGGAGCAAACCGAACAAAGCACTCCCAAAGTAATTGAATCAACTGGTAAACAGGACAAGACGGAGGCCGAAGCAGAATCGATCGAGGAGGATGCTGAGCCCGTCGATGAGGAGATGTCTGAAGACGAAATTGGAGAATTTCAAGCCGACGGTCTCGAAGAGAAGCCCGAAACCCAGGCCCCCTCTAGGTCACCAAGTATATCGCCACCCTCACCCACCTTCGACAACTCCGCACAACCTACAGATCCTAGCACCAATACCTCCAATACATCTACATCATCCGACGTCCCCCCCGCAACCGCACCAAAACACATCAAACTCCCTACAGATCCAGAATTGCTCCGAGCAAGATTAACTGCACGAATAGAAGCTCTGCGGGCAGCCCGCAAAGCTGACGGCCCAGATGGAGCACCGGCACGGAATCGGCAAGAACTGATGGAAGCACGAAGGAAGAAAGAAGAACAGCGCCGGGCACATAAAAAGGAGCTCCGGCTTAAGGCCAAGGCAGAGGAAGATGCCCGTCGTGAAGCCGCTCTCGCATCGTCGCGCAACTCTCCTTCATCTAGCATGATGAGCCCCTCTATCCACTCTCCACCTCATAACTTCTCCTTTGGACGTGTAGCTTTCTCTGATGGACAACAACTCGCTGGTGACTTGTCCGCAGCACTAAGTGCCCCAAAGCTGAAAGGCCCTCAAGACCCAGCTACTGCCCTACTAGCTACCGAGAATAAACGCCAACGGTTAGCAGGACTGGACGAGGGGAAGCGCGCAGATATCGAGGAGAAGGACTTATGGCTCAACGCAAAGAAACGAGCACATGGCGAGAAAGTCCGAGATGATACCTCGTTACTGAAGAAGACCTTGAAGCGAAAAGAGAAATCGAAGAAGAAGAGCGAGAAAGAGTGGACGGAGCGGAAAGAGGGCGTGGCCAAGAGCCAGGCGATGAAGCAGAAGAAGAGAGAGGCGAATTTGAAGAAGCGACGTGATGAAAAAGGTACCAAAGGGAAGGGAAAGTCCGCGGGAAAGAAGACCAAGGTTAAGAGTAGACCTGGCTTCGAGGGGAGTTTCGGATCTGGCAAGCGCAAGTGAGAGGGAAAGAGCGTAGGCTGTAGGCCATGCAGTTCCTACTCCGTGTAGTAAATTAACTAGCACAAAATGTTAGTATAATGAAACTATCAATTTCAGACTTTTCGTCTTGCTTTTAGTCTGTGATGGTATTCTTAGAGAGCCGAACGGTCTCTACTACGTCAATTGAAATGCTATTTCCCCCTTTTCCCGTCATCACGGATTGGAGGACATGACAGCTAAAGGAGACCAGCTTTAGAATTCCTCAACCGTCGAACCAGACATTGGTCAATTCCCACAAACTCGGAGTTCTCTAGCGTTTTGCTCTACTCCGATCTGGATGGGCCATGCCAAATAAATCTTGGAATATGATCAAGGCAGAATACCAGGACGCCGGATAAAATATACCCATAACCATTTTGAATAATGTCTCACTTAACTATCCGGGCTGTGTTGCAGTTTCAGTCTCTACTTCGTATTTTCTATTTATTTGACTTTTGATACCCATTCCATCTATTCTACCACAACGTCCACCATTTCTACAACAGATCTGAAGTAAGACAATCCCTCTATCCAATCACCCCCCACCCCCCATTTCATAACGGACATTAAGCGGTGTCCTCATGTGCGCGCTTTTTACCTGCCGAAGAATTTATGTTTTAGCCTTACTGCTCTCTTTGACATAAAGCAAATGCGAAACTAGGTAGATGGGGCAAAGCACATTCAATAACGACAACAACGCGAGGTAGGTAATCTAACTTTTGATCAGAAGGCTGGTGCCAGTCATCTCCTCTGGCTGCTTAAGACCCATAGCCTCGAGGATTGTGGGTGCGACGTCACCGAGCACGCCGTCCGTCTTCTTCAAAGACCAGCCCTTGGGCGCATTGGCCATGATGAAGGGGACTTTGTTGGTGGTGTGCGATGTCTTGGGCTTTCCGTCTGCAAATTTCATCTCCTCGGCGTTACTGAATCATTGATGTTAGCATTTTGGATACGTGGAGAGTTGAGATAGATATTACTAACCCGTGATCTGAGGTAATGAACAGAATATAACCTTCCTGCTTGCATGTCTCGTAGATTTCGCCAATGCCCTTGTCAGTCGCGGCAACGCCGATGATGGCTGCTTCATAGACACCGGTATGGCCAACCATGTCCGGGGGAGCGAAGTTGTTCATGACGAATTCATACTTGCCCTCTCTTATCCGCTTGGACACCTGTTTGGCGACTCCGTCGGCACTCATTTCTGGCGCCAGGTCATATGTAGCCACACTCTTATTTGAGGGGACGAGATCTTGTTTCTCATCTCTGTCCTCTAGAGGGAAGACCTTCTCAACACCACCATTGAAGAAGAAGGTAACGTGGGCGTATTTCTCTGTCTCAGCGACGTGGACTTGTCTAGCACCTTGGGTACCCAATGTCTCCGCGAGAACATTACCCATATGCTGTGGTTTGAAGGCAATTGGGAATGGGTAGTCGAGTTTGTATTGTGTCATAGTGGTGAGCGTGATGTTCTTGGGATAGGCGAAGTCCTCCAATGGAGAGCGGTCGAAATCTCCGAGCAATTGGGTGATTTCTCGTACACGATCAGAGCGGTAGTTGAAGAAGAACACCTGGTCGCCATCTGAAAATTGTCAGCAATGCTTAGGATCCATGGTATAGATGTTTCATTGTACCGTTGATACGGGCCTCCTTTCCGCCGACAATGATTGGCTTCAAGAACTCATCGTTCTCGCCCTTCTCATATCTCTCCTTGATCGTCTTCACCGGGTCATTGCTCTCCTCTCCATCGCCCAAGCATAAACCTTTCAGTGCGACCTCAACTCGCTCCCAGCGCTTATCACGGTCCATGGCGTAGTATCTGCCGACGACAGTCGCAATTTCGCCAACACCAATCTCCTTAAGTTTGTCCACGAGTTGTTGCATATATCCTGCACCGGACTTCGGATCGGTATCCCGTCCATCGCCAAAGAAATGGATGTAGACATGGGGAATACCGACTTGCTTGGCAACCTTGAGGATGGAATAGAGGTGGTCTTGCTTTGAGTGCTATTTGATCGGTGAGCTTCTACACGTTCAATTCCCATACGAGGTGACTTACCACACCGCCATCGGACACAAGTCCGCACAGGTGTAGGCGACCATTACCATTCTTTGCATCGTTGAGCACCTTCATGATAACATCATTCTTGTCGAGGTCGCCGTTCTTGATGGTCTGATCAATGCGGACCACATCCTGCCAGACGACTCGGCCAGCACCAATATTCAAGTGGCCTACTTCGGAGTTGCCCATCAGGCCCTCTGGTAATCCGACAGCGAGCGACGAAGCCTCGAGTTCGGTATATCCCTCTGCATGGTCCTTGAAGGAGTCCATTACTGGGGTCTCCGCCGCCGCGATGGCATCGCCATCTGGTGGGGACGATTCGGTAGGAATTCCCCATCCATCAATGACAACTGCGCCAAATCATAACTATTAGCCATGATAACTCAAGGTACATGAGGCAGTAGAGGAGGACGAGAACGTAGTCGGGCTGTTTCTTGGTCCTGGGCTTCGGCGGTGTCGGGGCCCGAGCCTTGGGCGAATCCATTGCGATATAACTCGACGACGAGACCAATTCGCGCAAGTAGGGAGGAAGGGATCGGCATGGAAGGGGAATTCGAGTGGGCATGTTCTCGATACATAGGGGATGAGTTGAGGATACGTGGAACGTACTTAACGCGGCTTTGTGCTCGACGGGCATATTGGCGATCCTATTTTACAGCATAGCCTGTCAGCTGGGGGGGTCCGTACTCTAATTTGGTTTATGTTTCCGAGCAATTAGAGAATAGAGGGGCCATTGGAAGGTACTAACGGGAGACAGGATCCTTTGTAGGCTTGTGGCTTGTGCTTGAGCTGGAGCTGGAGCTGGATCTGGAGCTATGCGCAAAATTCGGGACTTGATGTGTTTCTGGTTCTGGTTGAGATGTCGTAGGAAAATCGTTGTTTTGGTGGGGTGATGGTGGGGTGGCCATTCCAATCAGTGGAAAGTACCGTACGTATTAATAGCACAATACCTCGGGTTTGTATGGAGGAGAGTACAGCACTTGAGTGGTTGTTTCTTCTCCACTACAATCGCCGATAAGACCCTCGACGGGGCATTCTTTATACCTACTCTATACTTCATGCTTCATACTTCATACAGCCCTCGCAGTACCGCCAACTATATACCACCAACATTGTGAGCTCTGCCTTGTGCACAAGTACAGTACAGGTATTTGGTCTCTAGAGCTCAAGGCCTAGAGAGATAGAGATATCCCAGCATCCCGTCCCATCGCGATGACCACCCCATCCCAATCAACGCCCCAGCCGCCCTCGATCACCGACAAGCTCTCCCCAGACTCCATCGACACTCTGCCAGTTCTCTCGGCGCTTCTGTCGCGACTCCAGCCATCATCTACGACATCGACATCAACAGCAGGCTCCCCACCGGCTGCGTCACCCTCCCAGGTCGCCTCGGGCACAGGAGCGCTCACGATTAAAGATATTCCCATCGCGAGCGACGAGATCAAACACAAGCTGCAGAAAGCCCGTGCGCAGGTCAAGGAGCTGCCAGATATTGACAGGAGCATATCCGAGCAGGAATTGGAGATTAGGGAGTTAGAAGAGAAGATCGCGAAGCAGAGGGAGGTCTTGGAGAGTTTAAGGGACGTTGGGGTGGCTACAAGAAGGGATCGGGAGATGGGGGAGCGGACTAGTGGAGCCGATGTGATGGAGACGACTTGAGAGTCTTATGAAATCAGTAATCGGATTCAAAGTTGGAGCCGCCGGGCTTTCGACACGAAAAAGGGCTTGCGAAAGCTACGATATGGGCAACCTCTTGGTATAGAGTCCGCAGTCCACGCCTGTCGAGGTTGAGTGACGGAGGCAACAATTATCAAATCACCGCGAGGTGGAAGCCCCAGGACCGAAAGGAATTCTTGATCTGGATGCTGCTATATAACCCATGCTTGGAGGCAAAATGAATGCTTCGTCAATGAGGCCCTCGAGTTATGTGCAATTAGGTACTAATCGAACGAATGAACAGATGGGAGTTAACTCCAACACCACCGCTATGAGCAGTTGCTATATGCCCACATATACAAGTGACCTTCTGCGTTCCGGGGTTTCAAACCTCGGGTCATTAGAATCATCTACAAATGTAATTAGTAAAGGGCGAGGGATTTCTTCCGTATATAGGTCTTCCAACCCTTAACGCGAATTCCATATATCAGTGGCCGACGATCCCAATCTTTTTCATAATATCATCTAGACCGACGCCAGGGCCACCAGGGACAACTGTAGTCCAGATTTCTTCCTTGACCCTCTGTCCTTCGGGCAGAATGCTCCAATTTGGACTGTGTTCTTCTTTCAGCCACTTGAAATCGTCGACCTGATCCCATTGATTTTTAATAGAGTCAGATGAGGTACTCTTCTGGGTGTAATATTAGTATCCCTAAATCCTTAGCTGACAACCCGTCGAGACTCACATGACATTCTGGAATAGGTGCGAATCGGATATTGCTGCAGCCTTCAATAATAGGTCGGCTGGAACAATGGAGGTAGATGTCCACATTCTTGCAATCATGCATCCTGACCTGCCTTGACTGGACAACAATAATACTATCGTGGACCCCGGTGATGTGGGCAGCTCCGGCCACATGACCGGCAATGATCAGTGAGTTCTTGATATTCTTCAAAGCAAGGCCTGCGAACGGACCTCCATTTGCGGTGGGTGTGGACATATCCACAATACACCTATTAAGTTTTGTCAATGATCCCGAAGCAGTTGCATGCTCGGCGGAAGGTGGGAGGATAATATGAAGTCCTTCATGACCCGATATATTGACATTCGGCGCATTTGAAAAACTTGGTTGGCGGATTGGACCACCAGTGGATTTGGCCAATTCCTCGTTATAATTCTTTGGAAACGATGGAACATCGCCGAGAGTATCTTTAGAACTAGGTTCGCCTGGAGGTGTCTGGACATATGCTGGTGAGGGAACTACGGAGGACTCGTTGGAAGGCGGGCACTTGATTCCACGGCGCCTCTGTGCAGCAAGCTCTGCTGCATCGCCAATAGATATGGCGGACTCATTCCTATGGAACGTTTTGAATTGAAACTTTGGCTTCGGGTCAAACTTGGCCTGAGTCTCCTGCAGCTTCTCGGATAGGGCTTTGATGGCCTACTAAAGTTAGATGCGGCCTTCTCTTACGCGGACCAGAAGCCAATATACCTGTGAATAGATCCGCTGATCGTAAGCAGGAATGAACCCCGTGAGATCCGCGACCTCAGTGGATAGCTTTGAGATTCCAGCAACAAGGTGGTCTACAGCATCTTTCCTCTCGCCACCAATCAGGGAATAGGATTCGAGCTGGCTGATCCGTTCTTGGATTTCTACAGACTTTTAGTAAGGTTTTATTTTATGGAGGTGATGCAGGAATACTACCTGTGCATGCATCCTGAAAGTATCTGTAAAATCGATCCTTGATGTCAGACTCTGGGCCACTCCGATCAAAATCGGCCATACGTGTTTCCATGGTGCCGGACGCCGACATCTTCTCTCGACTCCAGCTTATGGAAGTAGAGCGTCTAGATATTGAATGGTTTCAGTATTGTGGTTGCAGTGATGATGATATCAGAGGCGGAACTAGTGCTACGGCGTTGCTTTCACAGTGGGTCGAGGGTATCAAGTATGGTATTGCTGCAGATACCCCAGTGGGGAGGAAATGGCTGTGAAGGGCGTTTGAGATCAGAATATGTTAGATAACTCTAATCGGGACATATCCTGGAGATAGAAGAAGCCTTAGGAAAATAGAAATGGGATCTGCGGTTGTGGACGATCTTAAGTATGTTGAAGTCTCGATTATGGAGGGCAGTCAACTGGGCACGCGGGGTAATCAGGACTGCCCTGCTATTATAAACCTTGGTGGGGGAGGCGAACTTGGAAGTTACAATGGAACGCACATAAGGTAAGGTACCTACTAGGTAGGTAGGTAGGTATGCTTCGTACCCGTACTCGAGGGTTACAATATTATTTAGGACATATTATTATTAAAGCATTACTCTGTACAAGTACACTAGGGATCGGGCGATGTTATCCGTTTGACTCTCTCGACGCGCCAGCTTGGTTCTACATGCCATGGGCAGGGCTTCGGCACGTGACAAGGACTGATGGCTGGCCTATCGAGCGACACTTTATTGGCCTCCAGGAGAAAGGAGGAAGTGTCTACGTAAATGCAGTTGCGAATTCTGGGATTTCATTAGTAATTCCTATCTGCCTATACGTAGTATAGAGCCTAAGTTGCGAGATATGAGATATCACGACGCCTGTCGAGCCACAAATGAGAATGAGCTTTTCGGGCCGCAACCGCTTCGTATCAGATATTGTTCTTTCCAAGAGTTCAGTTCCAAGTGTCCTTATATTGGCTATCATATTGATTATAGCGCCTCTAAAACCACCGCCGAATCCGTATTTACAGTACAATCGCGCAGAAATGTTCCTGCGGGGCTTTATGCCGAATGAGTCGACTTTGCTGGGACATCGATGCCATATTTCTCCTTAATCCTCTCCTTTCTCCGCTCATCATAACCGGGAGCAACTATTCCTGTTGGGTTCGTGATTTAGCAAACGGGCGAGGCATCCTGGACTAAACTCCTTACCTCTTCCCTCCCCGATCTCGGATATGGTTTGTTCGATTGGGATTCTGCGGTTCTTCCTTAGGAATTCTTTTCTCTCGAACTCGTCTAGGGTCTTGTCCTTCTTAAACCCTCTCAGACTTCCACCGGTGAAGTCGTACGCGCCCATAAGTACCGCCGTAAGGGCTCCCAGTCCCAACACCGTAGGAGTCGCACCAGCTTGTCACCTATCAGCAAAGCTGCATGAATGTTATCCTCACGAGGCCCACTCACTCTTCAATCCGAGCACAGCGCCTGCAACAAATCCGCCCATAGCAGGGTTCAAGCTATCGTCTTTCTCTCGTAGATTGGCTGCCCCATCCTTTATGAATGCGAAGGCGCCCCCCGCAACAGCTATTGCAACATCAGCTCTGATCTAGAAAGGGGCCGTAGGTATTTATAAGGCGTACTGAAGATTGCCATGGCGCCACCCATTCTGGTAAAGACGCCCCAAGCACCATAATTCTTCTTCGTCAATGTATTCTGAACCGCGGAGACACCGAACCCAGCCACCCCGGTGATCATTGCGGCATTGATGGTATTCCTTATGGCATCCTTCGGATGGTATTTGTCATGCTCGGATGCCATGTTGGCATATGCTGTAGTAGGACAATCGAATGGGGAGCGCAGGTGGTGCTGGTACGTTGACTGATGAAGTTCAAGATCGAGCTCGCTACTCCGTGCATGGCACGAATTACGAATTACGAAGTACCGGGTTAGCACACAAGCTCTGGCGGAGGTCGGAACACCACAATACCGAGCTTTACAAGGTTCATTTACGGTAATATCTAACAGCTATTAAAATGTAACACGCTGTGCCCTTCTTTAATACGATAGAGATAAAAGCAGGAAGACGCTCAGTTAAAACATCATATTTGTTTTAGAAAATGGGTAGAATTGAACAAAGCCCTTAATTGCATCTCCTAGTGCAGTGTCACGTACCTACCACAGCCTTATATAATTACCGTGTATTCGCCACCAATTACCGTATTATAGCGCCCGGTCGTCTATCATATATTACAGGCTATTGTAGCCACTTAACGCGTCACTTTGGCCATTGAGACGTTGATCAAGCAGCGTTTCAACATTCACCTTCCCTTCCACGCTCTTGATACCCCATTTAACTTCATCTTTAATTTGTTTTTTCTTTTCCCAAATTAAGACTGTAGACTGTCGGATCCATCGTGTGACTGGTTCTTGTCTTCCAGCGTGCGGGTGCCGGCGTTTCTTGTTCGAGGTGGTTGCATGTCTCTTAACGAACTTCGCGCCCAAAAGCTGCCGGCTTTGTCACTTCTTCCACGGTTTATCAATACACCACACTGGAAGTTTTCTTGCCCCAAACCAAAGCAGCTGTATGCGTAGGCCCGCCGCACGAAAGTCAAAGTTATATACTCTTTGTAGCCGGTAGAGAGTGGCCATGGATCGCCATGGACCGCCGCGTGGACCAGGTCTGTCTGATTCTCCCTGTCGCCTTCTTGTTCCAAAACGGACACTGATGTCTGCTGTGGCTATAGGGAAGACGGCTCCTAGGTTGATTATCGACCTTCTTGATTACGATCCGAGATTCCGCGAACAACGACCGGGCAAGAACCTAATTGCTGATGCTGCCCCGCGCTTCCTGGGCGCCTGTCCGCCGAGGAAGCTTCCCAACGAATGTCGGCACAGTCTTATGAAGAAGGACTTGCGGACTGTGGCCCCTGTCTCGAATGATGAACTGCCCGATAGCTCAACAAAGTACATAGTTCCAACATATTGTTCGGCATGCCGGTATCATTTCGAGATCACCATGGACTTTACTCAATGGCAAGACAACCACGTTCCCTGCAGGTTATCTGATCAGGACAACCCTTTACATCATCTTCAGCTCGCCGAGTCTATATATGCAGGAGCGCACCCGGATCGCCTTGTGCCAACCAAATATGACCCAACCATCGAGATCCATAAGTTCGTTTGCTCAAGCGAGACTTGTCCGCTGCAAGTCACTATAAAAGTATCCGCGCCGAGGTTTAGTAGAAACTTGATGACTCTCCTGGAACCGTCAAAACTCATAGCGCGTGGAGTAAAGGAGATCCAAGCTGAACCTCTAAGATTCGAAGGGTTGGGACCGGTATCCACGTTGCAGGCCTTGGACTATCTACGCACATACCTCAGAGATACTAAGGCTGCAGGGGATACGGGGCCTAAACGGATAGCCAAACGCAACAAGAAGTTTGCTCTTGCGTATAGTAACGAGTGCGACGCCCTTTTCGAGTATCTGGACTTCACAACCGTGCAGGACGGAGAGACTGAGGTAAGTCTGTCGTATAGAGCAGACATTGGCCCTCGAGGCTCCTTTTTTTGTCGCACCCATACTGACATACCTTCAAGGGAGATTCACCTCAGTTCTGGCTACCACCCACGATCACAAGCATGAATCGTGAACTCATCAACGATTTTTTGGCTGAGCTGGACGTACTGCTTGAAGCAAGGCCGGCCTCCGAGAAACATCTTGCGAAAGTGCTCATCCACACCAGACCGTTACCGGCCCTAAAGGACATTGAACGTAGTCTAGGGTACTTTGAATATCCTACAAGATCGCGGACTGTAAATCTTGAGGCTGAGGAACACCCGTACTACCTGAGCTTGGGCGCTGTGGATGACTTCACCGACGAGTTCTTGAGTTGGGCTTACGACAGGCAATGCCAGTGTGATCCACCGAATAAACCGTACTATCTGGACTGTTTAGAAGATCTTGCAAAAGGCAGAGGTAGCTCTGATCTGGAAACGAAAGTCGTTATGGCTACGTCTGCTGGCGAATATGGCTTGAAAGCTATCGAAGGAGCATACCGATTCTTTGGCTTAGACCCGAACACCAAGGAAGGGGACGAGCATATCATGGGCGTCTACAAATCCAGGATAGAATCTGCGCCTCGCCAAAAGGAAGAAGCAAAGAACTGCCTTCTTGCCATTGCAAAAGCAAGAAATTCTGAAAAGATCCAGGCCCTCGCAAACGATAGAACGATGACTTTCGAAGAGGCGCTTGAGTTCTTGAATATCTCATCTGACACCGCTTCTGATAGCATCGAGGCTGCAGCTGTGGCGATGGTATGTCCTCCCTATCCCCATTCATGGCAGACTGCTGACATGAGTCCAGTCTCTTGAGGCCGATAACTCTAAAGTCGCGAGAGCCTTGAGAGTCATTGCAAATCACCGGGACGGAGATTATGCTTTGGAACGAGCAGCCGCAAATATGGAATTAGACAACGTTGGTTCAACCCTCGATATTGGCGAAGCCTACAATCGGCTCCAGATCGGCGCTCGCAACGCCCCAGATGAAACTGTTCTTGCGTACTACCAGAGTCTCATGAACGATGCCGCGCCCGGGTCCAAGGACAGCTATACCGAAGCGCTACGTGTCATTGCTTGTGATAGACAGAGTCATTTTCTACTTACAAAGCTCGATGATCCTAACGCTGTCGTTCATGCCGCTCCCAGCACAGCAAGCCAACCCATCGGGCTCGACAACATCGGCAATACTTGCTACCTAAACAGTCTCCTCCAATATTACTACACGGTCAAGCCTATTCGGAACGTTGTAATCGATTTCCAAAATCATCGCATGGAGCTTAATGATGAAGACATTAAAAAGAAGCGAGTTGGTGGTCGAACTGTTGCGAAGTCAGAAATCATCAAGGCCCAGAAGTTTGTGGACGAATTACAACACCTCTTTGAGAATCTTAAAACAGCATCGACACGTTCAATAAAGCCGACTAGAGAACTTGCAGAGTTGACCCTCTTCAGCTCAGCCGCGGAGGCAAATTTCCGGAGAGCGTCGATTAGTAGTCCCAGCGGTCCACCACCAAATCTGACCTCTATGTTCGGTGACCCTCCTGTATATGGCCCAGTATATGGTCCCCAGCTTCCGCCCCCGCCGTCGCAACCTCCCCCGATATTAATCGAGGATGATATCGAGATGGTGGACCATCCCGAAGATAAGAATGACGATGATAGCAGCGAAGCAACTCTCGTCGATATGGAAACCCTTCCAAATTATGAGGATGTCTTCATCAAAGATGCTACGGTATCATCGAGGCCCCAGAAAAATGAAACTCTAGATGGTGATGCTATTATGGTCAATGGCGATGATACAGCCAAAGATGGGAAACCTGTACCCGAGAAACAACCCCCTTTACCGCCGCGGAATAAATCGGGGCTTGTCATCCAGACAAATGACAAAGATGTGGTTTCGGATGATGAGCTATGGAAATTTGGCTCCCAACAGGACGTTACCGAGGTCATTGGAAACGTCAATTTCCGGTTACTGTGTGCTTTAAAACCAACTAGCATCGATATGAGCTCAGGAGAGCAGATGGACATTGTCAGGGACACTCTCTACGGAGCCAACGCTGTCTACCTCCAGAAGGCGGAGACGCCCGAGAGGAAGGTGGAAGCTTGGTCAAATCTTATTGTCTTCCCCGCGCCCGTCGGGTCCCGAGATATTTACGAGACACTCGATGTGGTCTTTGATGAGCAGATTGTCGAAATCGACAATACTACAGCGGCGCAGCATGCTTCAATAGCCAAACTCCCTCCAATCTTACATATCCAAATCCAGCGTACGGCATTCGACCCGGTTAAGCAAATAGCATCGAAGAACCGGAATCCAGTCATATTTCCGGAGACAATATATTTGGACCGATATATGGATTCCCAAGAACCCGACTCGGCGTTAATGCGCCGACGTCGAGAGACATGGAGGTGGAAGGCGCAGCTCAAGGTGCTCGAGGCTCGACAGGCCGCTTTAAAGAACACAGAGGCAGAAATGTCAGTTGCGGATGCACTCATCGCAACAAAGGACTACATCAATGTTCTCCAGGAGGAGGAGGTTGACGGTATTTCGATTAACTCGGACCTTCCGGATCTTCTCGAAGAGCGCACCGCAGAAATTGTGGAGGAGCTCGGAGTGATTAACAAAGAGATTGCTGGTCTTAAGCAAAGCCTAACCGAACAATTTACAGATATGCGCCAATACGAATACAAGCTACAGGCGGTATTCATACACCGTGGTGAGGCCGGCGGTGGGCATTACTGGGTCTATATTTATGATTTCGAGAACGATATCTGGCGAGAATACAACGACGAATATGTCACGGAAGTCAAAGACCGTCGCCGTATCTTCGACCACCAGGGTGGAACCGGTGGGACGCCTTATTACCTTGCCTATGTGCGAAGCTCGGACACCAAAGACTTAGTCGAGGCTATTTGCAGAGAGGTCCCGGAGGTCGAAATGACAGGCGTCACGGACACCTGGGCTGGCGATATAGAAGCCGGTACCGTTGGAGAAGACGATGAAAACGTTACTGTCAGACATATCGAGCATGCAAGACCCAGGCCGTTACGGCCCAAACCTACTCAGGGATTTGATACTGTTGGGAACTGGGAAAACACTATTGGGGACAACCTTGACGCTAATGGTCGACCATGGTAGAATGCCCGTGCTTGCTAGAGAGACTAGAGCCTAGTTGTATAACTATAAATGTTGATTTAAACGATCGTCCCTTTGAGGATGGATGGATGCTTAGCGAGTGCTGCTGTTTTGCGAACGGGGAGCTGAGTCATATGATATCCCATTCTTCTTTGAGCCTGGAGTAATTTGGTCGTTTGAGATAAGGAAGGAAAAATGGTTGCATAGGTACCTACATAATCCACCTATAAATGTGCATGCATGGGATTTTGCGAAAGGAGCTTTTTGTGGCTATAGAATTTAGCAGTGCATTTTCATGGCCATAATATCAGGATGTAATTTCCAAGACATTGACTGACCAAACTGCGCCTGTGAGGTAGGTGTATGTATTAAATATGTCTTTGTCACGGCTCGGTATCTTCGCAAACGTTCGATACCTATTGTTTCTACCCTTGGAGACATTGATAAGTGTCAATCAACGCATACCTCATCAAATTTATAGCCTCCTGTCGGGCATATTTGATACTAGGGTTTGGTTCATTGTCACAGCTCGAAGTAGCAATACTAGGGACAAAACCCAAAGATAATCTTACCAGGCAGCTGTTCAATCTTTTCAATTATTTAAATACATGTTTTCTACAGCTGGATCAAAGGCTACGTTTATGTGCCAGACCACCAACATCTCATATTATACATATTTTTGTCCTCTATTGCACTTTCGTATCTCCCTCCTATTTCCATAAAGCTCGAGGACACGATAACCTCCCAAGCTCAACACTTTGATCATCGGCTTTCCTCCATTAGCATGCTAATACACGACGGGGCCCAAATCCAGACATCAAGAGCGGCTGCCCTGTACCGTTTTGCACAATATACAACTAATTTGCCATGCCTCACTGCGTTCGATGTCTTCCCGTAGCTTTCTAATAATAGCTTCTCATCTCCATTATTCCCCCTCTACGGAGGTGGAAACCATTTCGCTTCTTGTCTTGACAATACTCAAGCTGATCCACCTCATCGAGAAAGTCAACGGGGCAAAAAAACAGAAATGCAGTAAAACTGCGACTGCGAAAAAAAGAATTGCTCGGTACCGAAGCTTGTCATTCTATAATTGAATTTAGTGTAGATATATGGATAACTCCTAGAGAGACGGGTATCGTGCTGTAATACGAGGGGGCGTCGCGCCACATAAAAGTCGGCCGGGCGTAAAATGTATAAATCAACAGCCCTATTGGGCGGTACTTGATAGTCGGACCAAATTTTCAGTAGCCATCCCAATTTAGGTGGGAAAATGTCGATTGAGATTCTTGAGATTGTTAGAAAGGGGAGGGATTGCAGGCACCCCAATCGACCAAGTTGTTCCAGTTTTCGGCAGTGGCGCCCGGAGTACAACCAAGTGCCTGGCCCTTGAAAGCACCGTCAAAGACGGTATAGTTCTGACCAAAGTCCTCTAAAGACTGAGTCATCAGGCCATAGTCAGAAGGAGCAATTGGCGAGGTGAAGCCAACCCAGCTGGGATATGATTGGTGTTTGCCAATCTCAGTGTTATTTGGGAGCGGAGTATAGAAGTTGTAATATGTACCAGAAGAATCGCTGCCACCCATCATCATACTCGTGAGCGGGTCGTTAAAATCGAGTGTGGAGAACAACTTTTCAGACTCGGGTGGTTGGGCGGTGTTAACCGGGGAAAGGTTGCATTGACCATAGATACATATATCGTCTGGCGGAGTAGACACTTGAGTCTTTGGGAGTAAGGTTGCAAAACTGCCGGTTGGGAATGAGGGATATGTTTTCAGCCTAGTGGTTGACGATGAAAATGGTATTGGGCTTTCGACTTGTGAGGGAGCTCTAGCAGGGACGGACTGCAGCGGCATTGGTTGATTGTGGCTTTCAGATGTCACAGGACTGCTTTTCGAAAGTGTAGGGAGGCCCTCGGTGGACGATATCGATGCCGGTTGGTGCTGACTATATTGGCCTGAGAGTGTATTTTGTTGTGGTCGTGGAGTAGGATATGGGGTTTGTCGATAATTGGAAGGGCTTTGTGACGGATGCCTCATTTGTTGCTGCTGTTGCTGGTACTGGTGAGCAACAATTGGAGGTTGAAATGTTGGGTTGTAAGTATGTTGTTGTGGCACTCCTGGGTGTTGTTGTGCATAAGAACTGTGAATAGCTTGCTCGGCAGCGCTCCTCATTGCCACATGGTTGGTCAAATATGCCGATAACTTCTTGTTAAAGTCGAGAGAACTTGTCTGAAGATGGGCAGTAAGCCTTCGGTACCGTGCGGGTAGGCCATCATCTTCCTCCTCGTACATTTCCTCATTGATCACATCTTGCTCGGTGACCTTCAGAGAGCGTCCGGTTCGGCGCTTGTGAATTTCAGAAGCTCGGCGTGCTGATTCAATACGCGCTTCGATACTTCGATCACCCCTCCTCGAAGCGGCAATGTATGCCCTCTCCTGGTTCTCTTCGTGTGTACGCTCCGTCTTTATAATGTTAGAATTGAGTGGTTTTGTCAAGGTTGGTTGAGTAGGGTGGGCCAACCTTAGTTGCTTTTGCTGGAGGCATTGTATATTGGTGTCCGTGGGTTCAATTGCAAAGGAAACAGCTAACAATCCAACTAGGACATGTAAGGACTTGCGAAGACGTGTTGAAAGCAAAGAATAAGTATTCCAATTATTATTTTAGCCAAGCATAAATGTAATTGTGATCCGCTCAGTGGTACCAGGTACTAATATGGTTCAAAAGCATGCAGAGTTAAAGCAGGCATGAAAAGCAAAGGACGACAAGAGGGAGATAAGTACAGTAGTAGCAGCGGAATCTTGGTCCTGGATTCCCAATAACCGGGACGAGGCCCGGAGAGGGCACCATTATTGCGACTGGACTATCGGAAGTCTGGACAATTCTACGACTTCTGATAAGAGCCATTGGAGCATGGGAGGGCGATGGACATAACCCCTGCGTGTCTCCCCAGATCGGGCGCCACAGTAATAACGAACTGTAGGCGGAGTAGTCGCCGTGATGAGACCTTACTAGATGAAGAAACGGGCCGGGTCAGATTAGTGCCGAGCGAGGAGGCGGAAAAGCCTATCCATCCCGATATGGGGCGTCGAAGCTTGGAGTCTCTGAGTCGGGGAACTGATGCAATCCGGTAATTGTATTTCGCCAGTAGCTGCATTGGACTCTGTACTAGATACCTTATGCTTTCTTTATTGACTTGGCATGAGGATAGACAGAATATAGTACTTGGGTACGTGACAGCACAGTACGATTCGATTTATAACTACCTAACTCGATGGTTAGCATGATTTATCTCCTACGGCTTCTGCCTGTGGCTAGGTCAACGGGTGGCAAATCCGTTCGTATACCACCCACTCACTCCCAGCCTAGTAACCCCGACGATAAACGTCCTCATGAAGCCGCTGCTTGCCCCTCCATCGAAATCGTCTAGGACCGAGGATGCCAGATCAACCGTATCCCCAATACAGACATATTAACGCAGATCGTCAGCTTGTGGCGCTCACTAGGTGAAAGCGGCGATTGGGAGACTTTCCCCGATTAGTGATACGATTTTGGCGTCTGATAATACCGGTGTTTGGGTCACAGCAAACATTCTCCATCGTACCTGAGGTTCATGAACCCCTGGTGTCGGGGTGTTTCGGACGGAGGGAATCACATCACGACATATACAGTGGCAAAACATCGGCAGGCTGCGGGTCATGAAATAGGTGCTAAGGGAACATCAGCCTCATTATCTCAGCCACTCTTGCTCAGCTTTTATACCGAGTAGTTCCGATAGAATTGTAATTGTATCCATCGTCGGCTCTACTTCTTTCTGTTGTGAACCAAATATGATCCATCACTTCTCCTACTTTCTCTTCTTCTCAAGGCATCCACTTGTCCCTCGCTACAGTACCCCCACATCCAGGTTTTCGGTGCTTTTACTTTTTTCGCTTTCGATATTTTCTGATCTACAAGCAATCAAACTGATCTTCAATTCTAGCTGGACAAGGATCCTAATAAGACGGCAGACTAATTATTTTTAACAGGGATTCAATACAAGCTATTCAAAGAGGAAGCCTAAGTCTAACTGTAAGATCTAGGCTTTTAGTTCGTTTAGGTATTTGTATTCCGTTATCCATTTATGATTGCTATGGAGATAATTAGGCACCAATGCAGCGAAGAATAATTAGTCTCACTGCTGTTAATACGGGGTGTGTAATATTAAAGACTTTTATACAAGCATCTTGAATTCGAATGCCCTACCTAGAAAAACGACGTCTGGTAGTAGAATAGGTTTATCTTGACGGCCTTGTACTACCGTCCAAGATAAAATTTGTTCAGATAGCACCTAGCGCCTTCAAACTGCGACATGTAAAGAAAACTCTTGCACTTTAATAAAGTCGACATGCGACCCAAAACCTAATCGAAGGCTATTATATTGACCTCTAATGCCCCCAAAACATGGCAATACATTTTGAATTTCCAGTCTTTCGGCTTATAACCCTTTAACGGTGCGTCGAGGTTCAAAATAAAACAAACACCAGCTATTATCCTCAAAGCTGACCCTTTTAAAAGTGGCGACGCACCTAAATTGTAGATATACACTGGCATGTTAACGTTATTCATTTTAAATACATCGATTGGATTGATCGATGCATTCTATCTTCAATTTGTCATATAGGGGGATAAACAACCACCTTACAAACCCCAGACCAAGCTAGACTCCCAACTCCACACCTCAAGCCACCTTGCCAGCACTATTCCTCCGCCTTCATCCATTGTTCGAGTTCCAACATAAAAATCGAACATTCATTACCCCAAATTGATCGAACTCAAGGTATTCCCGCATCCTCAGCCTTTGCTGTCCCAGGTGGCGCATCCGTCAAAGGCACATATCTCACGCCATACATCTGCTTCTTCTTAACATTTCCATTCTCATCTTTATCAACAACCCAAATATGTTGATCGCCCCACCTGCTAGTCGGGTCTTCGACGGGTATGAACAATCTATACGTCACAAACGATCAGCACACTATGTATTTAAAATAAAAAAAACATATAGGAAGGATTGATGCAGATAAAAAATTGAAATAGAAGACTAACCGTCCAGGACTCCTCAACTGATCAATCAACTTCTGATGCAACTCACTAGCCGCAGCACCAACATGAATAGCATCCCACCCCTTCTCATCCCCCCAGCCCTTCCGTCCATCCCCCACAACAAACTGCACCTGTGAACTATCCAACAACTTCCTCCCCCTTGGAGTCTTCGCCATATTCATCTCACCCAGATCCCTCAACGCAGGTATATTTTCCAACCCCACAACCCTCGCCTTTTCCCCTGCCTGCACTTCCGGCTTCCCCGTCTCCGGGCAGGCGAGCTCGGCGAATACGGCAGTTAGGTAGCCAGACCCCGATCCGATGTCGAGGATGCGGGCGCGCTCGTGGAGATACGGTAGAAGGGATTCTACGGCGTTGGCGTGCATGTGAGGTGCTGAGATGGTTGCGGAGTGGCCGATGGGCTGGGGAGAGTCTTCGTAGGCTGATGTTGCGTCGGGGCAGAAGTTTGCTCGATCGACCTATTATTTTCCCATTCAGTTAGGACGCCGCACATATAATATGCAGAGAAACGAATAAGAGCATGAAATGTCAATGATATACCTTCATCATAGCCTCCTTGACCTTCGGGCTCTTAATCAACCCATGCTTAAACAGATTATCTATCAGCCCCTCATTCGAATGTCCAGAGCTTCGCCACGCCATGCTATTAAGTCTCCGTAAGGAGTCTCGGGGGGTCTTTCTATAGAGTGCTTTTATGGAATGCAGCTTGGCGATTGTTCATATCTTTTGTGAGAGGGAGAGGGTTCGTTATGCATTCAAGGTGGGAGGTGGGAGGTGGTTGTGCTTGTTTGTTTGCTGGGAAGGAGCTAGTTAGTTCTCATCTCCTTTCTTCCAAAATTTACGATTATGATTCTGGTTTGGTTTAGAATAGTGTAGAGCGAGTAAGCTGGCGGGTGGTCGGTAGAGAGCGGGGACGGCTGACGACGTTGATATCATGATCACGTTGTGTTATGAGCTGTACCTTTTGGGGATTATAAGATCTTGGTGTGATGTCAGAGGTCGAGGCCATGTGGCGATGTCATGCAGGGTGGGGGACTTTGTGACCCGCTAAGATACTTTGTACACACCATATTACTATAAGAAGGATCTCGAAATCCGCCAAGATGATTTAAAATTCCTAGTTTGCTAAATAGCAAAAAATAAAAGTCCAGGGAGATTTCTTTCGCAGTAGAGCGGCAATCGTCATGAGCACAGTGTTAAGGGTGAGAATATCCTCAAATGACCTATCTATTCAGTGCATAAACATCCCTTACGGTGATCGTTGTAGAAAGATATGTAGATAGTCAATATCCCAATGAGCAGGCTCGAATAACTTATTCCGGAGCCGTAACGCGCCTGATAAACGCCCCGCTATAGAGTAGTATTGTAGTGAGCAACATACACCCATCCATCCCAATTCTCCCAGTCCAAAACTAACTCCCAAACCAAGTAGTACCCTCAAACAACAGTCTCAGATTGCTCCCCAGTGGCAATAACCGGGACATTCAACCCTCGATCCGGACTCTGTAAAACAAGTTGCTCGTGCCTCCTTGCTCTTAAGAAATCGCTCACAGCTCTAATTAAAATAAACCACCCAATGATCATTAACGCATATGATACCCACTCGCTACTAGCAATATCGCCGATTCCTCCAGAGCCGGAATCCGATCCTGAGTTACCAGCTTGGACTTGGTCCGGATCGAAATCGTGAGAATTTGGATCGGCGGGTGGTGCATATGTTGGATCGGCGCCGTTGGTAGGCGCACTGCCGGAGTCTGATCCCTTCATGTAGAATCCGTATTGGACGAGGGTGATTCCCAGACCGGCGCGAGAACCGTTCTTGGCAGCGTGGGTGGTATGTAAAAGGTATGTGAGGAGGAAGCCGACGAGTTGGAAGGACATCGATATCATGCCGTTCCAGATGAAGGAGAAGAGGGATCCGACGGGGAGACCATCGACGTAGACTTCGTCGGGGCCACCGAGTCCAGGGGCGAGGATAGTTGTCTCCCAATACGGGGGTGCTGCATCCGCGGCAGCCTGTTCGTAGGTCTGTAATGTATTAGCAACGGCTTTCCTCCCGCTATAAATCAACTTACAGGTGGATGTTCCTCCTTCTCAACTGCAGTTTCCGGTTTGGCGCTCAGGTTCGCGAATACACCATCAGATGCCCCCCCTCCTCCATATACTCTGCCAGTCGATCGAGTTGGTTCAAAGGCGGGTAATTGTGTTGCCCTTCGCTCAATTACGGGGGGTCTGGTCGGAGCCGCTGTCGTTGGTGTTGTTTCGGTGCTGGTTTGTTCGGTGGGTGGCGGAGGAGGTTGCCCACGCATAAGTCTCTGTCTATCATCACCATCATTGTCCTCGTCACTGTCCGATCCATCCGCATCAAAGGTATCTGCTAGATTTTGATCCACGCCGGATTGAGAGGCGCGAGGACTGTGCCGGCGGGTCGGTGAGGACGGCTGCGATCGGAAGGACGGAGGAGGAGAGCGGGGGATCTGCGGGCTAATTGGAGTATCTTCGTCATTTGGAGATACCTAGAAGAAGGGTCAGTATTGAATCCACCGTGAGATGCTAGCCTGCCCGTCTATTCTGCCTGCTTTGCCTTTGGTTGCGTGGCGAGGATCGGGGATGAAACACAACGGCGGTACGTACCCGTTCATAACGTTGCGAACTCATCGTGAGTCGAGGTGTGGAAAAGAGCAAGGAAATTAAATTAAAAGAAAGAGTCGGATGTCGAAGGACTCGACTCGCAACGAGCCTGGTGTTGAAGCAGTAATAGGGGCGGGTGAGGAAAGGAGCGTACGTCGTAAGGTATGTATATTCTTACCAAGGGGAGATGTCGTGGAAGGCGGCGGAGTCGTGGAGTTCGTTCGGCGAGTCGAATCCACATCCAGCTAGACCACCGGCCCCTGTTACATACTGGAGGGTCAACGCACGCCAAGCGTAAGGCACGAGTGAGAAGAACATTATTATATCCAAGGCTTGCGACTGCGGTGCTTCATCAGAAGATACAGTGTTTCCTCCTCGAAGACAAACATAATGTCTCAGTCAGTAAGTAATAGCCTCGCGCAAACTACCAGCAAGCACAATGCTAACGGCTGCAAGTTGGCGTACAGGCATTGGCTGCGCGCGCTGTCGCTGTGGCCGAAGGACAAACTCAGACCGAATCTACAATTCCAAGATGTGATGCGGCGACGAATCGACCAGAGATTCGACCTCATCGAGAACCCGGATGCGAAGAACCCACTTGCGAAAACTGTCGTGGATGAGAAGGCAGAGCTGGAGCAAGCCAATGCTGCGTACTCGCTACTGGGCGATCGGTATGCGAAAAAGGTATGTTTAGGCCGGCCCTCAATACGCTGGATGGAATATCAGACTGATGGTCTTGCCGCAGTTTCCCTTAAGCTCCTCCTTCATGAAGCCGACGAGCAATCCGGATTATTATGAGAATCTGATCAAAGAATTGGATGCCGTGCCAGAGAGATCTCGGTGGGGCAATTGGCTAAATGGGTGGAAGGGCTTCCTACGGTTTAAATGAAATGGCACATCGGAGGTCGAACCTAGAAGTGTACCATATCTGTACTGTACCAATTTTGTGCATATAGCGGCGTTTGGAGGATGAACAGGGCTGGGTCAAATCGAAATAAGATATTCTATTCTAACATCACATACACACCACACGGTCTCTCAACGCCAAAACGCCCTGCTTGATCCCTCAGATTCGTCTAACAGGGAATCATATATATTTCTTCTCGGGATCAAGCTTATCCATCAGGTCGATACTCTTCTCGTACATGCTAAACACAATCCCCCCACTCAACATCAACCTGACAAGCCGCGGCAACGCCCCGCTCCAAAACGTCAACGCGCCTTCGTTCTTCGCAATCATCGCTGCACACGCAAAACTATTCTTATACAGCGATCTCGCCTCGATACTCTGCATCCGCGTCTTCACCGTGTCCAAAGGCTGCGTCACATAAACCGTAATAAGTCCCGCAATAGCACCGATTCCAAAAGTCGAGATCGTTCCCAATTTCTCCCCCGGCGCGGTATATGACTGTGCGACTTGGCGTAGGAAGGTGTAGGACCCGAAGCGTGTGGCGCTGTTGGCAGCTTGACGAGCTGTCGTAGGCACGAAGCCTTGGAAGAAGCCGCGGAGGCCGCGTTCTCGAGCGATGATCGGTACGGCGCTGAGGAAGCCTTTCATGCGGGGATTTGGGCTTTTGCGGTCATCGATTCTGCGAATGTTAGCCAGCTAGCCCCGGGAGATAAACCGTGCCATGGTGCATACAATGTCGTCTTGATACTTTCAAACGGCGTAACAGCAAGCAATGACTCAGTGACTCCCGCCCCAAACCCAGCGATGACCGTCCTTGGCCCAGAGATCTTCCCATCTGCATCTTGTAACAGCGCTTTGTACTGATCGAACGCCACAAATCCTGTGTATATCAGCAACCTGCTATCCTTAGAGCCGGACGTGACGTACGGATTCCAGCCTTCAAGGAATTCCCTATAATCAACGTCGTACATCCCGCATACCAGGCGCTCCCAAACTTCGGCCAGGGAAGCTTCGCGGAATCTGCTAATCTGCGGTTCAATTGGGTTCTTGTCTTCGCGACTATTATGGCAGCGTATTAGTACTAGTATGCCCAAGATCCCCAACCCCACCATAACACCCTTTTCCTGTACCAGAATCTCACAACCCTGATCGATATAGCTGTGTAAAATATCATATTGCAAGCGTATACGTACATTCCGCAGGATATGTAATAGCTACACCAAAAAGGTAATTAGTAAAGTTCTCGGCCGGTGTATTTAACTTGCTGCCGAGGGGGGGAATTACAAATTTCAACAGCTCCTGCAGTCGATCCGGCGATGACGGAGCGTAAGGCACTCGGCCTTTCCTTCTTCTTCTCAGGCGCCCTGGCCGGCTGTGCTACTGTCGCCATTGTGGTTGTTGGCAGAATTTGGGAAATATTTATTTGGGGCGCCGATGTCGAAGCTTGTGACCCTGGCCTGGGGAAAAGTGACGAGCGAGGTGCCGCTTTAAGGTTTGACCCGACCGAGGTCAAGGGTACCTTTATCAGAAATGGATATCAACTGCTAAGAGACTCTCACAAAAGAAAATTGATATTGAAGAACGCACATTCAAAGACTGCGCTGTTTGTAATACCGTACTCAGTTGGGATACATTTAATTTATCTGCCCACCTGCCTAGGTAGCCTTAACGTTCTAGACGATGCAGGCAATGCAGCATTCACATCACCTAGCGACTAACCCAAGTTTAGAACTTCCATCATGTTTACAGATACATCATCTTCGAAAAACACGACTGCTATTTCACACAGTGTCTGCTACTTTCTAGCCCAAGCACCTCGCCATGCAGGAAACAAGCAAAATAATGTTACAGTTAAAAGCTCCCTGTGAACGAGCGAAACAACCCATGCATTCTTCCCACCATAAACGCCACCGATGTTCCTACAGTTGAAGCAACACCTTTCATAAAATCTGCAATCTTCGACTCCAAAGGGCTATTGATTAAACACCATAGGGGTATTTCCCATGTTTGCCGCGCTAGCCAGTTGAGCCATGCCACTATACCCAGCGGGCATTGATGCCATCGAGCCCATCTTTTCGCGCTCGAGCTTCTCCTGTTCCATGCGTGCGCGGTCTGCTTTGGTAATACGAGGTTTGCGCGTAGTCGATCCCCCTCGAGAGCCTGGCCCTGACAATGGAAGACCGGTTCGAGCGTTGATACCAACAGCGCCGCCGCGACCTGAAGCCGAGCGTGAAGTTCCCCCTCTGCTGCCCCGTCCCCGGCCACGCTTCGGTGCGCCATCAGCCCTGAAAGTAAAGTTAGTGACATGACCATTAGACGCATTAAGATATGCATACCTCAAATCCAGCACAGGCTTCTCCTCCGGAATAAGTGGACCGGAGTACACGAAGAAGCCGTCAGTGGCAGCAGCGGCTTGTTCCTCCCACAGCAGCTCGGAATCATCAACAAAACCGTCGTCCTTGTCGTATTCATCTTCCTTCATCCGTCGCTTTCGAGGGATCTTCTTCGCTCCGCCATCGGTGCCAACCCGGCCATCGCTCATACCGCCCATCTCGACATTGCTGCCTTCAGCTTCCGAGTCCAGTGACATGTCATCGCCGCTGTCCCTGCCCGAGCCATTCCGCTCAAGAGCCGCACCGGCAGCAGCAACACGCGCGAGCCGGTCACGCTGGGCGGCCAACCGAGGGTGAAGGGCATCCCATCCGTATCGCTCCTCTGCCATGCGAGTGAAGTTGATGATCTTATTAACGTCGCCATTCATGGGAATGTCCAGGATGACCGTGGGCGCGCGGAACTCGGTGCCATCGCCGCCACCACCGATCCCTCCGAGTTGCATCAGACCGGATCCCGGGAGAGGAGGAGGAGCGGGATAGACATCTCTAGAATCCTTAATCTTGGGCGGCTTGGGCGATGCAGCAGCAGAAGACGTCGCCGTGCTACCGTAACCTAGGGAACCCTTCTTTACCATCGCGGTGGGGCCTGCCACCGCTGTATCTAGAGCGTCTGACTTCCTCGGTGGCATGGCGGCCTGGGTGGGTTGTTTTGGAGGGCCGGAGGACTCCAGCACGAGCGAAGGCGCCAGCCTGTTCATGGTGGGCGATTGGGGGACGGACACGTGACCATCGCCTTGATGCAACCTTGCCTGCTGCTGGTTGAAGAACGACTGCGCCGCGATGGAGGGTGAAGTCAGAACCTGGTTGGGAGGATCGACCAAACTCGATATCGACGGCGAGGCGCTGGCGCGATTCATGGAATGCGGAGCTTGGTTTGGAGAGCCTTGGGCGGGGTGGGGATAGGAATTATGGCTGATGACGGTTTCTCTCACGGGATCGTAATTGGACCTGATGGGATCGTAGTTCTGGCCGCTGCTGCGCATTGGGGGGGCGGGAGGTTGTTGTTGGTATTGTTGCTGTTGCTGTTGTGGTGGGGGGGGAGGTGGTTGTTGTTGCTGCTGCTGCTGCTGGGAAGGGAGTGGCTGTGGCTGTGACTGTGGTTGTGGAGGGGGGCCGGTATTGAAGAAACTGTTGATGGGTCTCTGAATATCTTCAATTTTGCCGTTTTGGGCGACGCTGGCGGGGTCCGGGTGCACCGAGAAGATAGGGTCGGCCCCGACCTGTTTCGGCTGCGACTGCAGCTGCAAATTCAACTGCGTCTGTCTGGGCGGGCCGCTGACCGCCCGCCCGTCGGAAGCATTTGCATTTGCATTTGCATTTGCAGCTGCACTTGCACTTGCGGCTACACTGGCAGCATCGGGGAGCGCGTGTCTCTTGCGTCGCTGGACGGGGTCCTTGAGGTCTTTGGCGTCCTTGGACTTGCGGGTTCGTCGCACCTTGGGCGCATCGGTGTTGGTGCTGGTGTTTGCGCTGGTGCTTGCAGTTGCCGTGGCCGCTCCAGCTCCAGCTGCAGCGCCCTCGCCGTTGTTGTTGTTGTTGAGAGCTGCAAGCGCCGCATAATGGGATTTGGGCTTCCGGCCAGGCTTCTTCCGCGCGGGCGGTTGCGGTGGTGGTGGTTGAGACTGTTGTGGTGGTGGTTGTGGCACGTTTTCCAGCGATTTACTATTATGATTGTTGTTTTCCGCCTCAACACCAGGCGGACGGACCGTGATGCTGGAATTGCTGTGCTGCTGCTGCTGCTGGAACTGCGCGGACGGCGACGCGGCCTCAGGGCTGGAACGCGGCGGCGACGAAAGGCCTGACACTGAGCTGGCCTCCTGCGGCGATGGGCGCGCCACCGGCATCCCCTTGGCCGGCTCGTCGTGGCTGGGAGGAGCAGCAGCAGAAGACATGTTCGTCCGTCGTTTTGGCTGGAGATCCAGATTGCCGATTTCAGCTTCCAGCTTCAGCGTCCAACTTCCCGCTTCCAAGGGATATATCGACGTATATCAGGGGCAGACAGAGCTTCAAACCGGCCGTTCCGTGGTGTGGGTAATGTGTCTCCAGCGCAAGGGACCTCTCTGCACGGCCGTTTGTTTGGACCGCTCCTCAACACCCCGTTCGCATCCGCCGCAGCAACGTGGGAATAGCTTCAGGCCGGTGGCCAACAACGCGAATGCGGACCAGATGGCTAGAGGGCCTGCGTCCGGGGCCGTCGGGGGCCCGCTGAGGAGACGACGGAGAAGAGCCAAATGAGCGGAATCTTTTGGCGGCGAATGGGGGTCGCGATGGATGGCCGTGACGACGATATCGATGGCGATATCAACGTGCAGTATCAAAAAGGCGGAGGGCGGATGGTTGTAGGAGGGAGAAAAAGGGCGGAGGGCGGATGGCGGATGGGGAAGTAAATGGGAAATGGGCGGACTTTTTACACCAGCGTCTGTATTGGGCGGCACTTGGCGGGAATTAAAAAGAGAGAGATTATTTGATGGGGGGAGAATCAGGCAAGCGACATCTCAGATTATTATTATTCACCCTGGGGGGGGGAAGGGGATGGGGCCGGAAGGGGGAGGGGAGGGACTAGGGGAAAAGGGAATGGAACGGGACCTTGTTCTTATTATTGGGGGGAGGGAGGGCGAGAGAGACAGAAGAGAGAGAGAGAGGGAGAGGGAGTGAGAGGGAGAGACAAGAACACGGAGGGGGGCCTAGAAGGGCGAGAAGTGCGAGAAGTGCCAGCAGGGCAGAGGGGGGAGACCGGAGACCAGACACCAGACACCTAGACGGGGAGAGCAAGAGAGGCCAGGAAAGGGTAAAGGTGGTTTGGGGGTGATTAATTATCAACGGGTGCGGCAATCCAGAATGGGAGATGGGCAGCAGACGAGACTACTCCGGACTAATGCTGCTGCTGCTGCTGCTACTGACTGACTGACTACTACAACAGAAGTACGAAGGACGGTGCAGTACGTGACTACTGCAGAGGAGACTGGAGCGTGGACCTAGCCAAAAACATGAGCTACTTGTGCTACTCGTGCTACTACTACTACTACTGCTGCTACTACTGCTACTCCCGCTGCACCTAGGTACTCCCCAAGCTCGGACCAGGGCTGAGCCATTGCGACTCTACTCTACCGTGCTGCTGGATCGCCGCGTCTATCTATTCTCCGTCTCACCTGTCCCGGATCCCTATCCTATCATACCCTATCCACTAATACCGATAGTGCACAGCTACAACCGATCGGCGCCGTTGCATCTGCCATGCCCTTATTATTATTGCTATTCGACATCTCGCCCGTGGGTGTTAATTTGGAAAGCCATCTCCAGGGACCCAATGACAATCCGCATCCGGCCGGTCTGGCAAAGTTAGGACCTACGGCAATACAGCACCTAGGGAGGTATACGAGTCGGAGCCAGCTATACATATGCCGCTATCTTCTTCTAGTGTGGCTGATATAGCAACTTGGTGTCGAGTCTACCTGATTGTCAATGCGATACAATCTCGTCCACAAACCCCAAGTCGTCGTGTTTGATATCTCAATTTACGTCGTGGTTGTCCCGCTTGGCTAAAAATAACCCCTGCAGCTCCGATTCCTGTGGCTGCGCTAATCCGCCGCATCTGCGGGTCGACTCACGTGACCTTGCTTGATGCGACTGCCGCTGCTCTTGACATCACCAAATAATACCTAGTAGTGATGATAAACAATAATAATAATTCAATAGCCGTGCGCAGGGTTAATTACTTATCTTCTGTTTTTAGCGTAGTACCTAGTATCAAGCTGTCGCCTGGTTGCTCATGGGGCGTTGAGTATCAATTAACCTGAGGTTCCGGTACCTACTGTACCCAAGGCATATGTATCAAAATAAGCACAATTCCCTTAACAACTGGAGACAGGCGACTAGGCCTGTTGGTGCAGTGGGGATATTAACGCCTTTCCGAGGTTGAACCACTGATCAACAGACCACCTAGGATGACCCTGGACGCTCCGCCAGAGATAACAAAATCTTGAGTTTCTCGGTATCCCATTTGGAACTGATAATTGGGTATTTCTTTTGCTATTTTTTTTAATTTGATATTTGATAATAACTCCCTTTTCCCTTTTTTCCTTTCTTGTTTTGTTTTTGCCACCTCGGCCGCCTCGCTTGTATCAATAATCACGATATCGCAACTCGCTCAAAACGGTCAGAACAAGTTCGCTTAGGCTCCTGCTTTAATGGATGGAGGTAATAATATACCTTACTATAGGTAGATAGCGTCATTTCAATGTACGTAATAGTATAGTGTAGTTAGTGTCATTTCAGTGTACGGAGTATAGTGTTGCCAGTTTCAGGTCAATGCTATCCGTGCATTTCTCGTTAATACGTAATCTACCCATCCTCAGTTTCCAGTGCAAAACACAGATTTCTATGCCGAGTCTGTTCCTCTTTTCTCCAACTCAACAAGAAACTGTTCCAAAACCGCCTTATTCTGCCCGTTCGGTCCACCAAAGACCTCCAAATTCAGGGCTTTGGTCATCGGTTGTCCGCTCTGTATCTGACGAGCCCATACACCTAGCATCCGGTCCAACTCTCTCACAGCATGCTCGCTCGAATTGCAGAGCCCTGTCATGGTCAACGGCGGCCCAAACTCCAACCCGAAATCCTTTCTGACTAGGCTCCAGTATGACAGATAATCGTCGGTTTCAGTGTCGATGTCGTAGTCGCCCTTGCCCCAGATGATTTCGCAGTTGTCTTGGATGCGTTGACCTTGGGAGTCAGCGGATGACATGGTCAATGATATACGGGTTTGTGTTTGTTTGTGGGAGTTGTGAGTTTCGATGGATTTGCAAGAGGTGTCGTAGTTGGCAGATTTCTTGATTTCGAGGATGAGAATGGCACCGAATCTTTCAGAGTTATCACACGAGATGATCCGAGGTATGATCGTCAATAAGTTGTTCACGAGTGTGGGGGCTGCCTAAAGTTGGGGGTTGAGATAGACAGATTGTGGGCATCAAGGTTTAATGAATCCATTCCTTTAACATCTATATCTCTTTAGACAAACGAATCCCCCAAGCCAAGCCCTATCAGTGAATTCTGTTGTTGTTTGTACCTGTCGATACCCGATAGGTGTCGCTGTCCCCTTTGGGCTAGGTTGGTGTGGCTGGTGAAGCTCCCAAGCAAGTTAGCAGCCCCCAGCCAGGGTACGAAGTACGAAGTACAATTATTATAGCTTGTACCAACGTAAATCCCTTGGCATGGAACATCCTTTCGAACACCAACCGCAACGCCAACTTTAACATCAACAGCAACTCCGACTATGGATTTGCGCGGCCAGCGATTTGTCGTCGATTTATCGGATGATGAGCAAGCCGATGAATCCCCATCCGCCTCGAGAATCCCCTCAAATATACCCCCATCCCTTCTCCCAGGCTTCATTGGCGACATCAAGGAGCGCGATCCTGCCCCACCATCCCCTCCAAAATTGAAGTCCACCTCGACCGGATTCCCCGAACACAAGAAGAGAACGAGGGTATCAGCCTTCAAACAGCAGAGAGGAGCACCTGCGAACCCTCCAGCTCCAGATACCCATAATGCTTCGCCGCAAACTACCCCGGCGCCACTGCCGTCTAGTGGGCGTGCCCGCCCAGTGGACCCCAGCTTCGACGAGAGCGAGCGGCGTCAGATCGATGAGGATAATAAGGAAAGATTAGCAGCTATGACAGCCGAAGAAATAGAAGACGAAAGACGGGACCTGTTCAGTGCGCTAGATCCTTCTTTGCTAAAACGGTTTCTGGCCCGGGCGGATTTGGATGGAGGGCGTGGCGACACGGGAATAGATTTGCCTTCGACCGCCCTGGATATCAACAACGACCATAGGGTTCAAGCACAACCGGAAGGGGGTGTTGGTGACTTACCTACGCCTAAATTGGTTGGCAAGCAAGTTGGCGCGTCGAAATCCGTGAGGTTTAACGACGAGAAGGAGGATCCAGAACCAGTAGGTCTCCAACCGGCCACAGATATGGAACGCGGTGTACCTGCACCTAAACCAGCTGGGAAAAAGGTCGATGCCCCTAAATCTGTCGCTTTTGAAGACGACCAGGAGCCTGCAGAGCCAATCCCCTATACAGACACAAAAATACACTTCCCAAACGCCCCGTCAGCCCCAGATCTCGACCCGGCCGACCCCTCATTCCTCGAAAACCTTCATCACAAATACTTTCCCAGCCTCCCAGCAGACCCGTCCAAGTTGGCGTGGATGGCGCCCATACCAACACAGGGATCTGTTGCAGACCAAGAATCCCCATACTACCCGGGCCAAGACGCCGTCACAGCCTCAGCACTCCGTTTCGATTTCCGAGGTGGTCTATTACCCCCGCGAATATCCAGAGCGGTGCCGACCACCAAAGGGCTACATCATCATGGCGAGGCCCCGGAATCTGCGGGGTATACGGTACCAGAACTAGCTCGGCTTGCAAGATCTGCGTTTCCTGCACAGAGGTGCATTGCGTTTCAGACGCTAGGCCGATTGCTGTACCGGCTAGGTAGGGGGGAGTGGGGCGATGAAGATGGCGAGATAACGAAGGGCTTGTGGAGGTGTGCGGAGGAAGGGAAAGTCGTTGAGACTCTTGAGGAAGCAGCTAGCACGGAAGGAGGGCATCAAGGAAGTAAAGCGTATGCTACAGAAGCCCTATGGTTGTGGCAAAAGGGAGGTGGGAAACGCTGGAAGGCATCTTGATAAATGGAATGTCTATTTTATAATCGTTCTATATAGAATGTCGCTTGACGTCTATATCACAAACTGAACAAGTGACAGGTGGTATAGTACGAATGTGCTGTCGGGAAAGCTCCTGAAATGTATACCGATCCCATCTTCTTCTCAGCCCTTGGAGGCTATCTAACTCACCGCTCACTCAATAGCTGATACTGCGTTAGCTGCCGCACAAGGGCTCAAACTTATTTGGCCCAAGTGGGCAATTGAAAACGCATTCTTAGTCCACCTACATACCGGACCTAATCTAAATATAGACAAGATAAGCAATGTAATATCGAGTACGTCTTCCTTTTGCTACTTTACTTAGGGTAACTAAAAATATCAACTGATCCTATTGTATTATTACTTAATGCCTACAATACTACGGGGGGTATGGGGTCTCATATCATACGTTTTAGTTGCAGTGGTGCTATACACATAACCAACACGGCTTTTAGAATCCAGCAATACTAAAGATTTTCTATATCTATGGTGAAGAAACTAGTATAAAAGCAACTACAACTGCTTAGTTTTACTTTAGCTCTCTCCGCGCAACTCCCCGGACCCCCAATGCCGGTATCCCCTTCTATTTCCATTCCAATGTTTCTCACAGGCCCATGTATATCTAGTTCGGAGGCTAGGACTCTGCACTACACTACACTACACTACACTACACTACACAACATAAACCGGTTCCTAATAAGCCCTATCGGGTTCCTCTTTTCAATGGACATGGTGCATCTTTAACAAGTGCTTGAGCGTCGCGGTCTGCTCTGTGCATAAGACATATTGATAGTATCCATGCTAGGTCTCTGCACATTATAATGCTTGAAACAGGAAATAAGGTTAGCTATAACGCGGTCTGGTAATTTAGATAGGCAGGTATTTTTAGTAAGCCTATACAATTTGATAATAATAGTAATAGGATAATATGAGGAAATGTATTGCTGAATATCGATGGGATGGAAATATCGATCACTGTAGAGCCACTGAATGACAAGGTCGGGGGCATTGGGACCATCCTTGAGCAACGATGCTATGGATTCCCAAGACCTTTTAAAATGCCCATCGAACCTCCTGCGAAGTAATCGAACTGTGGGAAGAGCAACATTTTATGAAAGTACCTTTAATGGGCCAATGGAAATGCCGATGAGGCAGGATTCGTTGTAAGAGTGTGAGGACAGTACTATTCTAGACGATCGATGAATGGACAACTTGAACGTGAGCTGTCTCTTTATCCCCTATCTCGCAATTTAAAACCGTCCTTCTTAGCATTATAAGAATTGCTTTCCATGCTGACCCTTTTTTCCATCATCTTTTAACGGTAGGCTTAGAAAGGACCTCAATCATAGATTAGAGCTGGGGTCTTGTAAATTGAAATTGATTTATTGGGCCCCAAGGCATATCCCACACCATCTCTTCCTGAAACACCACTTGAGATCCATGACCTCTAAAGAAGACATATATTATATTCCTAGTCTGTAGAAAGATCACTCAACACTCGAGTAACGTACTGGGGGTTTGTATTTTAAGAATTGGAAGCGAAATGACGCTAATATTTGTCGTAAAAGTTTAGGTGAAAGACTTACACAGAGCGGAATAAGATAACTTTGAGCAAAACTTTCCGTATAATATATTTCTGCCACATTCATATATCCCTCAATATCAGCTCTCGCGGGAGCTCATTCGTTGAATTCCACACCACGACATCCTTGCATCACAATGACAACGTAATAATCAAAGATCAGTCCACGGGTAAAATGACCTGCTCTCCAGGCCCTGCCTACCGTTCTGTCCACTGCCGAATGGAAAAGCAACGCCAGCAACTAACACTGAACGATGGCACGGGCTGGCCGCCGAGTGTTTATTTATCTCACTAAACACGGTCAAGGCATACCCAAAACTTCTCGTTTATTTGCAACTCATTTCCGTCCCCGGGATCGAGTAATGGTTGGTATTTTCTTTCAACTAGGGACAAAGAATAGATATATGCTAGGTTATACGACCCCTAGCGGTGATGATATATATACGAAGTCAAGGTGAACATAAATTCCAACAATGGCTCTGCCAGCGTTACTCGTTAGTTTATAGCTTCCACAAGTCCACTATTAAACATTCGCTGAAAATATGGGACTTGCGAGCGAGGCAAGCGCTTCTGGATTTTGGAGCGTTCTCATTATTCAACAAAATATGCCAGCTGTGCAAAATGACAAGTGCATTAAAGTGTTTTTTTACGCTACACAGTTGGGATATGCAATACAATTTTTGCTAGTAGTTGCTTGGAGGTCATCGCTCAGTCCCGGGGTCCCGAGATTATGATTCTCTAGTGGCATATACGTAGGAATTGAATGGAGCTTGTCAACATGAGATAATACGCTATTTTAGCAAGCGGTTGCCTATGACTATAGGACCTATAAACTGTAATTCTTATGTACAAGATTGACCCCAAAGGAAATTCATCTATAAGGAGCGTCTGCTCTAGCCGCTGCGGCTAGTTCCGGCTCCCACTTGTCGCCATTCGCAAGAAGTTTCTCCTGTAAAGTGTTAGTAGCGATTACAAGGATGTTGAGTAAGAATTTCCGCACCTTGTTGTACAACAGCTCTTCTCTTGTTTCTGTGGCATATTCGGCATTCGGTGACTCGACGATGGCATCGACGGGGCAGCTCTCTTGACAGAAACCACAATAAATACACTTGGTCATGTCAATATCGTAGCGGGTTGTTCGTCTGCTGCCATCTTCACGTTCCTCGGCTTCGATTGTGATTGCCTGAGCGGGGCAGATCTGAAGGACTTGTTAGAAAGGAGCTGCACAATATGGTTCCCGAGACATACCGCTTCACATAGCTTGCAGGCAATGCAGCGTTCTTCGCCCGTGGGGTATCGCCGTAGGGCATGCTCGCCTCTGAAACGCGGAGAGATGGGACCCTATTCCTTGTAAGCGTGGGCAAATTAACAGCGAACTCGTCGATGTACCTTCTCGTATGGGTAGTAGATTGTATAACTGCAATGTATTAGCATCTAGAAGGCTGCTTGGGAGCTCGATCGCGGGACTTACGGAGGCCTGAAGAACTGCTCCAACGCTACATACATGCCCCTCATCATCTCGGCCAGGAGGAAGTACTTCCCCGCCTTGTCCAGTGCCGATTCTGTATCTTCATCCCATTTTCTAGGGGCTGGCAGTCGAAACCCAGGTGGTGGTGGCCCCGAAGGAGTAGCGTATGCGCGGAGAGGGCTCGTCGAGAATGCCACAAGAGGACCAGCAGCTGGAGTAAACGTGCGTGCGACACCCGATAGCCTGGCGGTCGGCCGGCTTCGAGCCACAATCATGGTCAAAGGCCTTGCGGATGCCATGATGTGGTGGCTCGTGGCGATGTTGTTGAGGAATCTGGAGTTTGTACTTGGTACTTGGTAGCTTGATATTCGCGGACGGAGCGCTCAAGTCGACAATGGAGATTCAAAATGCGGAAGCGTTGATTGGCCGGTTTTAGTTGACCCCAATTGCCACCAACACAGTTATGATCGAGCTATCGGTTTTTGGATCTAATTCAAGATAGGGGCTCTTATATATGTTGCTATTATTTTAAGCCACATTCGAAAGCGTAGGGTAATTATCTACCTACGTAGTGTATTACAGCGATGGGCAGATATGTTGGCCCACGTGACCAAACCAAGCTAAAGCGGAAACTTGGGAACCGAGAGTGAGCTTCATCTTCATCAACCTCATAACCAAAGACGCTCCGCCCCATCTCGACCATCTTCTACCCCTCCTACCGCCTTCGCCATGTTCCGAACAGCTCTTCTTAGATCTATGCGCAGTGCTGCGTGCCAAACCGTGCGGAGGTCGGCTCCAATTGCGCGCCCTGTCGGTGCCGGCTCGTTTGTTACCAGGTCACAATTCGTCCCATCTCCCTTCCAAGCTGCAAGATGTTATTCCGCTGCTGCCGGTCTGCAAAAGGACGAAGTCGAGGGGAGGATAATTGACCTATTGAAGAACTTTGATAAGGTAGGCGCTAGTTCTGAGCTTTTTGAGGGTTTTTGCTAATGTTTTCTGTAGGTTGCCGATCCTTCCAAGGTGAGATGCGAATCGAAAGGATACCATACGCATGCGTAGCCTAACAATTATAGCTCTCGCCCGCGTCTAACTTTGCGAACGACCTTGGACTGGACAGCTTGGATACTGTCGAAGTTGTGATGGCAATCGAGGAGGTTAGTTAACGAGAAACCGTCGCTCGAAACATACAAAACGATGTTAACATGGTCGTAGGAGTTTAGCATCGAGATCCCAGATAAAGAGGCAGATGCTATCCACAGCGGTATGAAATTTATGGCTGAGTTGTCCATGCCGAGGCTAATTGTTCCACAGTCGACAAGGCGGTTGAGTACATTCTTGCACAGCCAGATGGTATGTCACGGCGAATTGCGCCAGGAATATGGACAAGCTAACGGTTACATAGCTCACTGAACGCTGTATTGTATATTAGGGGATAGAAGGGGTATTGTTGGAGAAAGGGGGATAATGGCCATTGACTGATAACTCCGGGGGCGGCAGCTGTATCTGTACAGAATCGATATTTCCACCGGCGTATTGATTCCATCTGCCTGTATGAATGATTAAACCATCTACTCCACCAAGTCTTTAGTTTTTCTAGCTCCCGTTGCCTTCGCCAAAAACCAGGCATAATTAATTCTCTTGCAGAGAGTGGAATATCCCATCGTTGGCACATAGGCACAAGACCCAAAGAAGCTATCCCCTCTCCCGATGTTCTACAGTACCTAGGAATCTATTGTAGGCCACTACCGACATTGAAATAAAAAGGTGAAATAATATGCTACTCCTTTGGCATTGCTTTACGCTCTGCTGCTCTCCTGTTCTGCTATTAAGATTCATGGGCAGTTTCGCATTTTTAGCGCTATGTTAGCAACACAGCCTCGCCTTATTTATTATTATAGGTTATTACAGTGCAGCAGCATCCCTTACGGGTACATACAGTAATAGAATTAGTCGCACTAAAAAAGCACCCTTGCCCTCCGACTCCCAACTTCACATTCAATGAAAGACCCGCGACTCCCTTGAACTACGGATAGTGCAACTCCCCCTCTGCGCCGCGCATCCACATTCACAAACTCATTCGCAATCGATACCAGGCAACAGAAGCTCACTTCTACTTCGTATTCGTGCGCCGCAGAGCGCCTGTGTGGGGCTTGAGAAATTTAAGGGCACCGCATTGGGTGCATGTCAATCGAGCAGCTCCGTCCTACACCTACACCTACACCTACGCGCACACGCCTGCCACCGAGGCGGAGTTTCTTTGCCCAATTCCTCGAACGCAACACGACCTAACAGCATAACAAACATATACCATTGTGACGGCATGTCGTCGGGACTGACTCGAAGAAGGGGCGGTGGTGGTGGAGCTGGAGGTGACAACGAGAACGGGGAGTCGAGTCGTGTCGCCTCCCCTGCGCCCAAGGCCGGTGGCTCTCGTGATACTGGCGGACCAGAGACTTCCTACGAAAGCACCGAGAATGGGCATAAGATTGCCTTTGACCCGAGAGATATCAGCGAGAGTGCTGAGCGGAGCAAGCAACCGAAGCTTACGCTCATGGAGGAGGTGCTGCTATTGGGGCTGAAAGATAAGCAGGTAAGTGATATGGGACCCAACCGGCCCCTTCATACGGGCAAACGGTCTAATATGGTTGAAGGGCTATCTTTCATTCTGGAACGACAATATATCATATGCCCTTCGAGGATGCATCGTTATCGAGCTTGCTTTTCGAGGGCGCGTGAGTATGCAGAAGGACTCCTCAAGGCGGCGATTCCCTCTGGCCGACCGAGTAATTGAAGTTATCGATGATACATTGACCGGCGAGGTCCTCCTCGATGAAGCGCTGAAGATGATGAAGGCTAGCGAAAAGATGAGCGTTAGTTCATGGATTGACTTGATGAGTGGTATGATTCCCCTGAATCCCCCTGGGATCCTAGCCTCAAGAACTTTCATTTTGGCTGACTTGCTCCATAGGAGAGACATGGAACCTCATGAAGATCGGCTATCAATTGAAACAAGTCCGGGAACGCCTGGCCAAAGGCTTGGTTGACAAAGGGATCCTCCGAACGGAAAAGCGAAACTTCCTACTATTCGATATGGCAACACACCCTGTGGCAGATGGAGGGGCGAAGGAGGAAATCCGCCGCAGAGTCCGGAATGTGCTCACACAGCGAACGGTAGTCCTGCCCAATAGCCAGTTCCTCCCTGAAAACCTTGAATTCAGATACGTCCGCACGATTGCTATGGTATGTGCCGCTTATGCTGCAAATGTGCTCGAGAACGCGCTTGCGACTCTAGGGCACGAGGCAAGAGAGCGAGCTTTCGCCCAAGTTGATGAATTATTGGCAGAATACAGTCAATGGCCATTCGGGAAGAGGGCGGGTGGGGCTTCGGGTGTAGGCGCCAACCTGGGACAAGTTATTGCAGAGGAGGTCAATAATTCCAAAGATAAGGAGCTGCAACTTGAGGTAAGTTCCCCCTTAGTCGGGGTTGCTGCAGAAGGAGAAACTAATATCATTCCAGGTCGTAGCAGCATGTCTCAGCGTATTCACAAGATTGGACTCCCTGCTATAAACCAACGAGTCGTTCATTACTGGGAAGCAGCAATACCTGTCTTTCTCTCTTGTCGTAATAGCTACGCAATCTTAAAATTTTGCCGCTCAGAATATCAGAGCCAGCTTTGTGTGGAAACCCGGTATTTGCAAAAAGTTTCGGGGGCTTAAAATTGCCGGCTGGATTGTTTTTGCGAGGAGATGAGAACTCGCCATTTCTACTTGCTCTGAACTTTTCATGATGTCCTTCTGGTGTACAGATATCCTTTGGTGCGGTTTTACTGGGAATAATAGAGTTCAGGCGATCAACTGGTATTCATCTTGTTCTTGTTTCTACACGGCGACATATCCTCCGAGTGTGTGTTCATAAACAACTGCTGCCATGTTCCCGTGGTCTTGCATCCCAAACCTTAATGATTTAATTACCCGCTCCCTTATTTGGTCTTGCGGCTTGATGTAAGCACCTACAGCGCTACTGTACCATTACACCATGGCCAATTATCTCCAACGAAGCCTTTTGTCGTCGTTCTTCTGACACATCTTGCTACCTAGGAAGATATATTCGATAAAAGGGGACTTCGCTGATTTAGGCTTTGTGAAACCCTTTTGCTACTAGGAAGCCGCATAAGTATACAAGTGAGTAAACATTGGCGGATCTCTTATTAACATCACCAAACTCGTAGTAGAGCATAACAGAGAGCCGATTTATTTCCCTACAAGCTTGCCCTATGCTACCTATCTTGCCCAGTTCCGTCCCAGTGTGTGCTTTCCTTACCTACCATGCCCATCATCCCATCATTCCAATCATTCCAGCTAGGGATCTTCCTCGTTGCCTGGGATAGAGCACAAAACACCACTCAAAAACAGTAAAACATAGATCGCCAAGACACCGTATTACTCCTTCTCCCATCCTCATGAGAGGAGAGAGTAGACCATGATGCTCATCAGCGCATCAACCGACCCCCAGGAGCTTGGAGTCTCACTATGATCCAGCTCTCCCCTCTAGTTCCCGCACACAACCCAACCGCAAGCTGACTGACTCTCCCTGTGTATCAAAATATCATGCAACAAGAAATCAATCACATGGCCTTCCCAACTAACCCTCCATTACCGGCCCCATTCTCCAAGCTAATTGGACTCACATTCCCATCAGCAAGTTGTCGCGCCCTTTCCCCCTGGGCATCAAGCCCAAGCCGACCATGACCCCCGGTCCCAGCTCCGCCATTTGCGCTGAAGTCGGCACTCCCACCACTAGAGCTCGCGTTTCCTCTCATACTGCTATTCGTGCTTCCGGGGCCTAAATCAGGCCCTGGATCACCCCAGCCTACGAGACTAGGGGCGCCGCTGCTGTATTTACTCCCATAGGTTGCATTGCTCTGCACGCGTTGCATTCCCTGGTTCTGGAGGTTGTTCGTGGTGAGGGGTGTAGGGTAGAGATTCATCTCGCTATCTCGTAGGCCGCCGCTCATGGTGGTCCCTCGTTGCCGGGTTGAAGTCCTGTTGTTGAAATTATTGCGGCGCCAAAGTTCGGGACGCTCGAGATCGAACGGATCTGATCGTCCCTTACCTTTTCGGGCGTTGCCCGAGAAGGAAGAGAATATTGTATCCCTGTAGCTGTCTCGGCTGGGAGCGATGCTTGATGGATAACGGGACACGGCTCCGGTCATGTTGCTCTGTGGCCGGTAAGCTCCCGAGGGGCGACGGTTTGTGGTATCGACGGATTGTCCCCTTGAGCGCCGAATATCGGCTACGTATGTATTCGGGTTGGAGATGGAGGGCCGCCGTTGGGAGGTGGGATCAGCAAAAGGATTTGAAGTTTGCGAGACGGGATCCTCAAAGGGGTTGGAGTTGGAGTCATAGGCGTCGCCAGAGCGGCCTCCTGTGGCAGCCTTAGATGGCTTCCAAGGTATGTTTTGCTCGTTGGGGCCTGTTGCCTTGATCGGATCCGCAAAAGGATCATTGGATCCAAAGTTCAGCCCTAGACTCCCCAGTGGTGGAAGAGAGGCTCCGGATTGGGTTTTGGCCAAGGCAGCACGGCTCCGCTCTGCCTGAAGTTGCAGTTCTCGGTCATCCATCCCAAGTAGCTGGGAGAAGTCCGGTTGAGGGTTGTTAAGCCTCGCTTGTTTCTCCGTCATGCCTCGAGCAGCCTCGAAGGGGTCACTAGGTTCGTTCGCTTTTCGTACACGCTGGTTGAAACTGAATTTCTCTCTGAAGCGATCCAGCAAGGTGTCGAGACGATCCTTAACGGTGAGATTCCCTCCACTCCCCGATAAAACCGAGTTATTCCGACTGTGTTGGGAAATCGGGCCATCCAGGAACTGCGAGTTGCCCCTGTTCAGATTGACACTCGGCGTATCATTCTTCACTAACTTGGATTTTAAAGAGGCTCCAACCCCCGCGACTCCCAGCTTGAGCTTAGAGGCTGCGGCTCCGAAGGGATTTCCTTGAGATCCTACTCCTGACCTCCATTTCTCATTGTACGATGATGATCCGACTTCATTATCATCACGGGGATAGAATGCGCTGTCCCGCCCAGTCGATAGCGGCGTGAGGAGTGATTGCCTACCAGCCTTCCTCCTCTTTCTCAAGAACCAGAAAAGGAATGCTAAGCCGGCAATGGCGGCTGCCGCGCCCAGAACGCCTCCCACAACTGGAGCAGCTGTCAGTCGGGGATTTAAAGATATGTCATCACCCGTCGCAGATTCCGTAGAGAGCGAAGCAGGAGTAGGGGTGGCAGCTGCAGAAGGAATGGACATTGCCAGAGACTGGAGAGATTGTAATGCATTCTCACTGCCATTAGGCACCGATGAAGGGGTTGGCGAAGCGCGAACCTCGCTTTTCAGAGTATTTGCTAAAGGGGTGCTAGAAGATCTTGTCGGGGTCGTACCTTTCGATGCGGGACTCGCAGCACTCGAAATTGGACTTGGACTCGCTTGCGCTTCGGGAGTACTTGTATTGATAATGGGAGGGGCGGGTGTAATAGCTGGTATCGAGGTGGATGTGGGTTGAGTGGTGCTGGCTATTTCAATAGATGAAGGCGGAGCAACGCTACTCAGAGGAACATCCGGGAGGGTGGTTTGTACTTGAGAGCTGGATGCCGTGACTTGCGCCAACTGTTGCATCTGTGATGTCGCTGTCACTGCCGCTACAGCCGCTGCTGCCGCTGCAGCGTCTGAATTAGCTGCTCCAAGAGCCTTTGGAATGGCGGTACATCGTTGCCCATTTAATGATGTGATGAAAAATCCTGCCGGCAGGTTCGACATAATGAACGTAAAAAGGCGACACCAGCCGCTGTATAGAATGTAAGTTTGACCGTCAAGGTGTAATTATGTTAGAGAGGGCTGCCAGGCCATCGATCAAGTGGTTGTCGTCGTCACCTTCGCCGTCGTCGTCGTCGTCACCATGAACATGGCCTTGCCAATGTTTGCAATTGCAGAAGAACAGAAATCAATTCCGTGAAGCAAAAGGGAACACTCCAGAGAGATGGAGAAGAACCAAGATCTCCACTCCTCAACCCCAAAACTCTGAGCACATCTGGGGGGTGTCAGCGAGACCAGGCTGGGGGCAATGGAGGGGCGGCGCCGAGAGGGTTCTGTTGCAAGAGATCCCTGCTGATACTGAGGATGAAGCAAACGCACGTCCTCGATTATGGGCATCAGGGGTTGCAACTTGCTGGGCCGAGGTCGCTTGCTGCTCAGGCACCGCAAAGCCAGAATTCCCGCGGATATGGAGAGCAGAAATAATGTATTATGACGGAGTGAAGAGTGGAGAATGGCAATTGAGAGGAGCTGCCGATAAATAACAACAATTGCGGTGACGAGGGGAGATGAGAGAGTATTCCGAAAACGCGGTGCGCAACATCGGGGGAGTCTTTGGGCCACCATTGACAGAACTATCTGCAGATTTCGAGACCAGAAACCATCCGAAGGCTCATAATTACAGGCACTGCAATATTATTAGGTTGCGCGCCTTTCTCTGGAATACCAATAGTCGGAGATCTTCATTCGGCCTACTAGGCCGCTCTCCACACTGGGTTTCTGGCGCCTTGCCAGCATTTAGGATTCTAGGAACCTGGCAGACAAGCCTCACAGAAGGAACAGCCCCGTTCCGGTCTATTGGACTCATTTGTCGACGGGCATTCGCATCCGGTTTGGGCGATTATGGGCACCAGTCCTAGATTAGGAGAGCGGGATAACCAGATGCCGCACAGAAGAATAGTCAAGCATGGGAGGAGGGCAACTGTCCTCTGTCCATGATCACCTCAGAATCTGCAAGCAGTGTAGCAGCCCTCTATGCACAAGTTGGACATAGCCCGCTGGATAAAGCGAGAGGTCGTCGGCATCCGCCGGCTGCTGGCTCGACCTCGCTGAGTATTTTGCTGGTCATCGGGTTGATGTGCTCTGAAAAGGGCATCATAGTATAACACCTCAGCTCAAATCATCTCACACCCGGGGGTATGCCCCTCGGCCGCCGATGTGCTGCCCCCAATGTTTGAGGGACTTGTGGCTGTGGATGGCTAAATGTTTATGTTTTGTGTTTGACGTTTGATGTTTGATGCTGGTGCTGGGGTTTCCGCCCTGTACAGTACCTCCTGCATCGCTGACCGAAGATCACAACACCACTAATGCTGGGAGGCCATTGCAAAATAGGCCGCAGGGTATTGGTGTTATCAGCCTACCTTATGTGAGCGTAAAGACGAATATCAACATGAAGATTATACTGGAGATATTGGAAGATGAAGATGAAGCACCGGTGAAGCGAAAGGCGTAGAATGAGGAAACCCAAGCGAAGCGAACCAACCGCATTGGCACTCCAACTGGAACTGGACAAGCACCTACGAACGCCTACCTGATACACCGTACATCGATTGTATCAACCTCAACCTCAACTCCAACTCCAACCTCATCTTCACCCTCTCAACCTCCACCGCCTCTTCAGTTTCGAAACATTCAACCGTCTTCTGCCGTCAGCTTCCTATCGTTGTGAGCCGTCCACCAAGGGAATAGACATGTTATTATAACCCGCCAAACCTCCGGCTTCCCATCAACCCCCGTTGGCCGCGGAGTGCTGCCTTATCGCCGCGCAACGCAAACGCAACAACACCAGGGGAATTATTAGACGGAGCAGAACATCATGTTTGCGACAATACCAGCGCGTTAGTGCCCGTCCAATCCATAGCCCCCATTTCTATTTTATTTGTCCCCCAGTCAGAGGAGAGCCGCAAGTCCAAGTCCAAGACTTCCCAGTCCACCTCCAGGCCAAGTCCCAAACTGAATCCCTCGATCCAGTGCCCCGAGCGGTGCGCTCCTGGTTCCGAGCAGGGGCGGTCTGGAATGCATGGCTTCCAAGCCTCTGGGCCTATTATGCCTTTGGTTGATCATACATAGTTCCATATCCCTCACCTCAGGTCTCAAGATGGTCTTTGGTGCACGTTCGATGTTTCAGATATATATGTCTCTCCTTATGTCACGAACTAACAGATGGGCACAGTTCACGCTCCACCAGACCGCTCTATTCACCCCCGGAAGCTCCCGCCCCAGACTCCTGTCCGATTTCCCCAGTGTTCGCCACAGGCGGCTCCTTCGCCCACGTCCCCGCCCGGCCAGCCGTTGGTTCCACTACTACAGAGCATCTGTAGACCAGCTGACTTCAGAGACTCGCACTTTGAGGCACTCGGCCTCCACGTGATATCTGATGCTCCATCACAAGATATCGTCCCCGACTCCAGCTTTTTGCCCCCGGCTGAGGAATGGAATGCGATCGACGACGATATTCTGCTGGAGGTCGATGATGCAACGAAGAAGCCCTTGAACAATGGCAAGCTTTGCCCAGGCGCCCAGACTTATCGGGAGCGGCAAAGTGAGCTTTTCATAGACAACACCGCAGCCTTTCGCACCATCCGCCGCATACCACCTCCGACTGGAGAAGCAGCCGTCCGGTTGGGGAATGCATATGAGTTTTTTAAAAACCTAGAGTTATTCTCGGCCTATTGGGACGACACCTCATTGCCGACCACACCAGAACCACCCTCAAAACCAGACACTCCCCAAGAACAAGTAGAAACTCCCCACCAACCTCATCTCCAAACCCATCAGCGCACCGGCATCGGCTCTCAGCTCCCCCCAGAATTCCGTCAAAATCTCCTTACTGCCTTCATCAAACTAGTTGCGTATGACTTCGGTTGCAATGTCTCCTTTCCTCGCCACGAACCCAGGCTATACCTGACCCCTCCGCCATCCAGTTCCGCTCCTCCATCCCACTTCAACTCCTCGGCAAATTTCATCTACCGTATTCCTACAGAACGCATAGCGGCCCGTTCCGGCACTCTAGAAGGCCCGGTGGCAGCAATATCATGCCGAACGAGCACCGTCTTCGCCACCGAGGCAGATTCTCGCCTCGACCTCGCCAGGGAGGTCGTGGCCGTGTTGCTTACAGCACAGCAGCGTGCTCGGGAAGGCAAGACTGAGAAGCGCTTTGGCCAAGACAAGTGGTGGGCAACTAAGCCACGGTGGGGGGGCGGTCCAGGTGGTCCCATAGGTAGGGAGGCAGACAAGCCAGATGAATTGGCTTCTGTCTCCACAGATACACCTGAGAGTACTGCTTGTGACGACAATGGAAGTCAAGTTGTAGCCGAGACGAGGAGACTCTTCGGCATCAGTGGCCCGAGTTCAAGCAAGCGGGCCAAGAAAGCTAGAGGTAATATGCATATTTATGAGAATTATCGGAAGCTGATGCCACCGGCTCCGATGTGGGATCGTCGCGCGAGATATTGCCCAATTGGAAAGGAGGTCAGCGTGGGAAATGATGGATTTGATGATATCTTCCTGGTCAGTTCGCTAAATCACCACGTCTCTATTGTCCGGGTTCGGGTTCCGGATAAGCTGTTGAGCGTACTCGGAGGCGAAGATGAGGGGCAAGGATGGGGGAGGTTGGTTATGTGGAGGAGCAAATGGTATGATTTGTTTCTCGCAGAGGAGCGAGTTGAAGCTATGCAGCTTGTGTGGGGGATGATAGCTTATTTGATGAGGGAGATTGATGTGCTGCCAGCTTGTGATAAGAACCAAGAAGCTGAGCACGAAGATCAAATCGCAGGACCTAGTAAGACTGAGAAGTAACCTGGCAAAATTGATTTGACTTAGATGGCTTGTTGAATATCGAACAATGGCTACAACAGCGTTACGATTGCTGGCCATTGCCTAGCGTTTGCGTTGGAGTTGATAGGGTGTTATTCCATAGCGTGTTAGGGTCATCAATTATTTGATGAGTGAGCAATTAAACTACATACAGCGTAACTATATCTTGTTGCATCTTGCCTTCAGGGATTGAATATTCGCGTGGGGTCACAAATATTATCCCAGGCTTCCCCTTCTTCCCCCTTTCCCGCCCCCATCTTCATTCATATTAGGTTCGGAAGATTTATAGAGTAAGGCGTCTTTACCTTGACGATTAACCACCGTTCCCATCGCTAACAAACATACCTCACGAGGCGGAATATAGCTTGTAAGTAGTATCTTGTTATTGTTTCACCTCTTCTATCTCACGTATCTATAATGATACCGTGTAGGTGACTACTCCCAACCAGGTCTATATTAATTAGATTATCGTCAGCTACAGAATCCCTAGCTGCAAAAGCCAGTGTAAGAGATGAACCCTGGCTATATATATATTAGCGGCCGCGGCCGGGTCAATGTAAATAATTTACTAATCTAATTGTAACAACACAATAGGCCTAGTGTTTTTCTGTGGCCCTTGGGCTCTCTGTACTAAATGGGGTTTGGATTTTGAGACCTGAGTCCTACGTTGTGGTTATCTCGTTATTAATTAGTACATGGCGGTAAATTCCCAGTCAGATTTTTGCAAGCTTTGACTAGCAATTAAGGCACACTAAATTCAGATGTTAACTCAGGATCAGTGGTAGTAATATCTTAGATGTATTAATAAGGACATACAAAATCGGGAGTGATTCCAGGCACTGTTAATTGTGTTTTGCTGTAGCGTAGTACCGCAGACGCCCGCCATTTAAATCATCGGCCACAACCTTTCTGACATACGAGTGAGGTGGTTAACAATAGCTTTACGGAATATATGATTGGGGTATTAAAGATTCTCTTTCTAGGATTGGGAATATTTAAAGAATTAAGATCCTGCCAGGGATGTCATCCGCTAGAGGGAGGCCCTGAATGTCGTCCACAACTTGTGGGGTTTATATCACCAAAGCACAATATAGCTGTTAACCCACATTACCAGATCGTATGGAAGCGAACTATTGCCCCCACGTATATGAACGATGCAAGAAAGGTAAAGCTGTTTAGAGTGAGAGAAATGAGGCACCTACAGAAAATAGCCAGAGCTGAGCTGGCCCAGCTACACGTGGTCGAGCAATATTGAAGAATTTCAGCGCACGAGGACTGTGGTATTGGTCGGCCTATGACGACCTGTCCTGATTTCGCGTTGCTTTTTTAATCTAAGCATTGCTCGTAGGGTAAACCATCCTTGTATGACATCAAAAATCCATAGCTGCGCTCTGTTTAATGCCTACCTTATATTTGATAAATATATAAGACTGATAACTTCCTCGCTGGTCGATGAATTGGGCCAAGCAGATTTAGCCACATATGCATAGAGAATGTATCATTAGTAACACCATAAATAGATGACGTCCAAGAGAAAGGTGATGGATGCCAGATATTACATTGACGCATGTAAATATGAGCACTTTGACTTGGATGGATTTATATTGCTGTATTGGGCAGCGCAGTTTCACTGCAACGCAGACGGTGCGCAGGGACCGCCGGAAGTACGTAGTAGATATCCGCGAAACGGCGCGAACCAAAACACTAGAGATGAGATAATGGTTGCACCAAGTCATCGGAGGGTGCTGCCAGAGCGGAACGCGGGCTTTAAACGGCAAGAAGTGATGCTGTACTACGTAGATCGGCTATCGAAACCGACCAGGATTGACTGTTGAGGCGTGGAAATGAGAAATACAAGGGACAAAAGTTGACCTTCGGTTTAAGGGCTCTCATTCGAGGGCGAAGGTATATCTAGGGACCAATCAGCCGTATTCTGCGGTGTGTTGAGTATGCTTCGTACGTTTATTGGACGCGGCTTGCCTTGCTTCCTTTCCCGTTTCTAAATTTTTTAATTTCATACGCTATCGGACGTGGCTCTCCTGTATCCAATAGAGCATCAAAAAGGTTGTTTTGCAGCGTTCGTGGTACCGCTTCGACATGCTAAATGTTCGAATACCTAGGAACATCTACCACACGGTGGCTCAGCAATAGGATCGACAGTGAGCAACTGCCCTTGATAGGCCAACACACTCCGTAGCAGCGCAAGCCACTGAAAGTTGGTTCTCGGGCTTTCCGTTTTCGCCCCTAGAATTGCGCTCGTACTGCCCTGCAGGTAATCAAATATCCTATTTGGGCGTGCTTGTTACCTCGTTTTTGGCTTCGTTTGGATAATTTAGTCTAGCGCTCTGATCCCACTCGACAGATTTAGATGAATGGCATTAGGATAGAGTGCCGGGCGGCCGTGCTCGTATAAGATCGAAAGTGGAATCCCATATATGGAAGGGTTTGATGCTAAGCCTCTTCCGCTGCAGGTAAAAATAAGGTATTGACGATGCTACAGCACCATGCCGGATGGCACCATCTAATAACTTCAGCTGGCTTCACAGCAGCTGCAGCTTCCAATCTCAGGCCGGTAGGGGTGGATATGGTAGACGCCAGGACGGCGTCAGTTAGCAGCTTAGCAGCTTAACTTGTTGGGCCTTTCTTGGACTGTAGAGCGGTAGAGTAGTGGCGATTTTTGAGCGTTTATGCCTCCAAGCCTTCCCAGCTTTCCCGGCCGTCTGGTAGCGGATGGAACCATTTTGGCCAAGCCCTAGGGCTGCAAACTGCAGCGAATCGAAGGGGTCTGTTGCTAGGCGTTTGATAGTTCGATCATAACAACTGACCTGGCTATAGTACTCGTAAGGTACGAAGTGCTACGCGGTAGACGTTTTCTGTACCGGTGGTATAGAGGCCTGTCTCTTCGGGGCAGCGTTGTCCCGGGGCCTAGACCCGAGCTTGTGGCACGCTCTACCAGCATTGTTGGCGGTGATCGCCATGCACCGGACGCGCTGGAGATCCAGGTGCGTGGCGGGTGAGTTGAGCTGGTGGCGGCAAGTGATGGTTGCTTTGCGGGGGGCGACGGGGCCTGGAGAGCTGGAGAGCTGGGAGAACTTAGGGAGGCTAGGAGGCTAGGAGGCTAGGAGGGAGAAGGAGATGTAGAAGTGAGGATACATACCTCCCTACCTTTACTCGTACCTTACCTTACCTTACCTTATGTAAAAGGTACCTGGACTTGTGCCCGTACCTGTACTTGTGGTCTTGTCACCCGCTCTCCAGTGCCTGACAAGCGAGGCGTCACCAGCCTCAGTCAACAGTCCGTCAGCAGAACGCTTTTCGACCCTGTTTCCTCCATCTCACTCACCCACAACAACCCCCTTTCCAATCCCCAATCCCCAATCCCCAATCTACAATATACAGGCCACGGAGCAGCATCGTGAACCGCAGAGCTCTTCCTCCACCTTGCGTGGCCTACCGACAGAGGCCTACCTACGTGTCGACCGCGCCGCCCTTGGATTCTCCGATTCTCCGATTCTCCCCTCCTCAGCCCTGGGTCCGCCCCGCGATATCTCTACTCACGGCCCCAAGTCCATTTCCACGTCCATTTTCCACGACGCAAAACCCACCTCACGTCCGCGCCATCACCTCGCTATCGTAGTATCGAGTATCGAGTATCGAGCCCGTCACTGCCTCGCCCCGGTCCTAGTTCAGGCCCTGCTCCGGCACTCGCTCCCACGACCTAACTCGCCCGCCGTCTTGGTTCCATTTCTCGCGCCCCGCCCCCAACGCCTTCCACCCTCACACTCCGTGAGCTTATTATATAAAGACTGCCGCTGCTCCTCTCTCGCCCTCGAGCCTTGATCGCTCTGTCCGGACCATAGAGTGAAGACCAGCAACCAGTTCCCCTCGGAGCTCGCCCTTCGGCGTCAAGCCGGCACCCGTGCATATACCTCGTGCTACTCTAATTCCTAGTTCCTCCACCGCCTTCAAAGAGAGATGTCGGGCTATCCAGGATCCGGGTATCATGGAGGAGGATATGGCGCACCACCACCCCATCAGTACCCGCCCCAGCCAAACTATAACCCGTGGGAATCGAGGCACCTCCGTTCTTTGATAGCATTGCTAACCTTTTGGCAGACCTCAGAACTATGGCCCCCCACCACCCCAAGGAGGCTACTACCAGCAACCACCCCCGCCCCAGCAACCATATGGCTATGGCCAGCCTCCCCCGCAACAGTATGGTGGATATAATGGCGCACCGCAGAATGGACAGGGCTATGGCAGATCAGGTATGAGGGGGAATGGATGCGAAGGGTGACGCTTCAAATGCTAATCCATCCTCTAGGGATGCCTTCGGCAAGCTCTAACGCATATGTTCAAGGAAACCACAATGCCCCACCCCCACCTCCCTCGGGTCTCCAGGATTTCGGCAGCGGTGCGCCCCAGGGCTATGCTTTCCAATACTCGAACTGCACCGGTCGACGGAAAGCCCTCCTGATTGGCATCAACTATTTCGGGCAGAGAGGGCAACTGCGTGGCTGCATCAATGACGTGAAGAACATGTCGGCATTTCTAAACGAGAACTTCGGCTACCAGCGAGATGATATGGTGCTTCTCACGGATGATCAGCAAAATCCAATGAGCCAGCCGACGAAACAAAACATATTAAGAGCAATGCACTGGCTGGTAAAAGACGCCCGGCCGAATGATTCGCTTTTCTTTCACTATTCAGGTTGGTAGAGTTTGTCCCGTTTCTAACTCCGATTTGCTGATACCGTGCATAGGCCATGGGGGTCAAACCAAGGATCTTGATGGCGACGAACCGGACGGATATGATGAGGTTATCTACCCAGTAGATTTTAGGCAGGTTGGGCATATTGTCGATGATGAGATGCACAGAATCATGGTCACTCCACTACACCCTGGTGTCAGGCTGACTGCAATCTTTGACTCTTGCCATTCCGGAACCGCCCTGGACCTGCCATATATCTATTCCACCCAAGGTGTTCTCAAGGAGCCCAACCTTGCCAAGGAAGCCGGACAAGGTCTCCTCAGTGCTATCTCGTCATACAGCCAAGGCGATCTTGGCGGTGTGGCTAGCAACTTGATGGGTTTCTTCAAGAAAGCCACTACTGGCGACGATGCATACAACAAAACTATGGCCACTAAAACCTCGCCAGCCGATGTTATTATGTGGTCCGGAAGCAAAGATGACCAGACATCGTTAGTATACCCTTTCCTAGCTGTTTTGCACCGTGATAGGTATACATGTGCTGCCGGCGGACAAAAGTAATAAATGTGCTCTTGGGAGCCGGGTATTGATGCTTTAGCGTTGGCGTTGGTTTCGGGATACCACATGGAGCACAGCACATACTCCTGAGCATGGTGTTTTAACATATGGCTTGGGATTCTTTTCCTATACTAAATCGTTAGTGATGTTCAAGCTCTAAGACTACACTTCTGGCCAAATGCGGCCGAGGTGTAGGCTTAGAGCTGCAAGCTACGTTGGGTCACCGGATTCATTACTTGATTCTTAGTCAGCGTTAGCGGATTTGAGGGCGTGCGGGCGGTTGAAGGGACCTTTTGCTAACAGAATCTCATAGGGCCGATGCGACTATCGCCTCACAGGCCACTGGCGCAATGTCGTGGGCCTTCATTACCGCTATGAAGAAGAACCCTCAGCAGAGCTACGTACAGCTCCTCAACAGTATTCGTGACGAGCTCGCCACCAAATATTCCCAGAAGCCGCAATTGAGCTGCAGCCATCCCCTGAGTAAGACCCTCTTGTATAGCTCAATACTTTGTATATCACGCTAACTCGATTATCCAGATACGAATCTGCTCTTCGTTATGTAAATAAATATCGTTGGCTCTTGGTGTCTGCATAGGTATGTATGTGCAAAGAGAACGCCACGGAGAAGAATAAGGATCTTCTCTACGACACGGAGGGGTGGAGCATCATATTTAGGGCATCCATAAATCCGGTTTTACGGCAGTAGTTATGTAATTTCATGAATCCTAAAAGAATCAATGCGTTGACCCATTCGTTCATTAACCCTGACATCCAGAACCGCAAACCCTGGTCATAATTGAACATGACCTAAGAGACTCGCAATGCAATGCATAACCCACATCCCGACCCAACTCCAGGAAAGTCCCGTAAAATGCAAACTTATGAATGCCCATTAAACAGGGTGCATCAACGCCGACTACTACTCTGCCTCCTCTGCTTCTTCGCTTGAGCTATAAGGCGTTCGTGGATCTTGGTGCTTTCCTTCCACTGCTCCGCACCCTTCGTCATCCTCACAGTAGCCCTAACAGCCCAAGCAACCATCCGGAAAGTGACATTCTTCTCCTTTTTAGGCCTAGTGGATTTGAGACCTGTCGATTCTAGCAGCCTAAGATCTGCTTTGTTGCTTGAATGAAGGTTAGCTTCTAGATCTGAATAATGGTATATGAATAAAACTCACCAGGCCTGATACATGTCAATTTGGAGGTTCATATATCTCTTGGCATACGCAGCCGAAGCTCTAAATGTCTCCTCCCGTCTACATCTCGCTCGCAGCCAGTCGATCTGCAGACCCATACCTCTTAGCTCTTTCACATGGCGTTTTTCCTTCTCCTCGATATCCTTCTTCAATGCACCGATTTCTGATTCATCATTTGTGGACATCGAGGTGTTCACGAATCTCACTCCACGACAAAGTGCTTTCTTTTCTGCATCCCAGCTCTTCTGGGCCGCTTGGAACTTGCCCTCCATCTTCTCAAGTTGCTCCTTAGCTGAAGCGGCTCTGGAACGCTGCAAGGCACGCTCATCACGTACACGTTTTAGATGGGCGCGGAGTTCGGATTCAGCTGTTGTGATAGCTGCAATCGTGCCCTCTCGCTCTTGAACCGCGACCTCGAGCGATTCGGCCTGGATTTGAGTTTCTCGCAGCATCTCGTGGAGATCTCGGCGTTCGACGGCCATGGTACGATCCTCGCCACTATTGAGACGCTCAGCTTGGAGTGCCTTCTCAAGTCGATCAATTTTCCCTCTTAGCCGTGAGACAGTCGCTTCTAGAGAGGTATTCTTGGCTGAAAGTTCATCAATCTGGAATTGGGCGTCGTCAAGCGAGCGCTCAAATCCATCCTTTTCTGATTCCCACGATGTAATGTGAGCTTGGAGATCGATGTTCGCGGCATTCAGTTTCCGCGAGGCCTCCTTTTCGTAATTTTTGAGTTGTGACCGAGTATCTTTCAAAGACTGGTGAGCTGCTGCGAGTTGGGCACGCACTTCGAGAATTTCGGATTTGCGAGCAGATCCGCTGACAGAAGAATGTGGTGATGGGTGTTCTAGACGGGAAATTTCTGTTTCGTGTGCCTTTCGTTCAAGTTCTGTAATCTGTCGTTTGAGACCACGAAGAACATCCTTTTGAGTAGCCTCACGCTGAAGGAATTCGAATTCCTTTCGGCGAACGGCCGAAAGCTCGTGGCGCATGACAGATATTTCGTGAGCTGTGTCATTCTGGCCATCTCCTGACACAATCTGCCTCTCCAGTTCTTGAATCCGTTCTTCGAGGTGCTGAATAGTTTTCTTGGCTGAAGATAACTCCCTCTTTTCTGAGGAGCCTCGGAGTAGTTTTTGTAAATCATTAATTTCAGCGGTCAGGCGAGCCTCCTCAGCACTGGCCCGTTCGATTTCCAGTTTTAAGTCTTTCTCTATCGTCTCCCGCTCAGCGGTGGTAAGCTTGTTCTCTTCCCGAAGGCGGCGAACCTCACAGTCTAACTTTAACTTTGTTGTGCGCAGATCAACTCTTTCTTGGTCAAGACGGAATGTATCCTCTTCCTGCTGTTTCATGGCTTCTAGTTGACATTGAATTTCATCCCGCTCAGCTTCAACTTCGGACTTAGAGACACGGAGAGAGTGCATCTCTATATTTAAGCTAGCCAAATGATCTTGCAGTCCCTGTTTCTCTTGTTTAGCCTTAGAAAGTTGGGTTTTCATATTTTCCACAGTTGAATTTAGCTTCGCACTGCCTTCGGTTTCTTGTTTCCCGGCCGCAAGCTCTTGATTCGCCTGATCACTCTCGTCAAGGCTAGTTTGGAGAATCTCGACCTCGTCCTCTAGTCCTTCGATCTTTTCTGCTAACAATTTTCGCTCCCGTTGGCTGAGGCGGAGTTCTTCTCTAACATTTGACAGCTCAGATCTAAGTGCTTCAAGTGTCCTGCAACGAGCTTCCACATCCCCGTTTAGCTCTTGGATTTGCCGGTTTAATATCGTTTCCTGGCTTGTATGCCTATCGTTCTCACTTTGGAGGGCTTCCTGAAGTTTCGTTTCCTTACTGGATAAGGTCCCCTCGGCTTCTTGGAGTCTGTTGATAGTCCGCTGTAGGGCCGCCGCCTTTTCCTCGGCCATGTCCCTCTGAGATTCTAGATTTCGCCTTTCGCTCTCCCATTTGTCGCTATCGTTGTCGTAGAGTCTCTCCTTCTCTCGAACTTCAACACGGAGATCTTCGATCTCGTCGTTTAGGCGATTAATTCCAGCTTTGTATTCGTCTCTGACTTCTCGCTCATTATTAAGAGATAGAGTCTTCTCATGCTCCAACTTGTCCTGAATGTCCTCAGTCTCTTGGTGAGCCTTTGCGAGTTCCTTCTGAAGACCGGCTGATTCTTGGGTGAGTGCATCATGTCGAATTTTGAGGATATTCTTCTCGTCTGCATTCTGCTGCCGCTCCTTTTGAGCAACTTCGAGCTGTTTTAATAAATCGTCGCGTTGTTGAGACATTCCCTGAGTTTCTCTACGGGAAATTTCCAGGTTCTCTTGAAGCCTCTGCTCGCGGGCCTCGGTCTCCTGCTTCAGGCGCGCGGTTGCCTCTCGTAGCTCCTCAACTTCCCGTGATTTGCGTGCATACTCCTCCTCGATCCCAGCGTGCTTTTCGTGGAGATCTTCAAGATCGTCCTGTAAGCGATTTGCTTTTTCTTCAATTTGCCGGCTTAGGCCCTTGGTGGTGATCGATTTGTTGGCCATTTCATCCTGAAGCTCTTCGAGATCTGCTTGGGCACGTTCTCTCTCTCTCATGGCTTCTTGTTTACCCTCCTCGGCATCCTCCAGCTCATCTTTAAGCCGCCGTAGGTCCCGTTCCATCTCCTCAATCGCCTCCTTCGCGTCTTCAAGATCCTCGCTGGCTTGGGCCTTCTCTTCCAGTTCAATATTATGGCGCTGAGCTTGTTTCACAGACTCTTTCAGATCCGAGATAAGTTTAACGTGCTTTTCAAGTTCGTCTTTCAGGTTGTCGGCTTCGTCCTCCCGGTCTTCAATAATGCGGTTCTTATCTCGGTTTTCAGCCTCAAGGTCATGTATATTATCCCGTAGCTCCTCAAATTGGCCCCCTTGAAGTTTCAGTTGGTTCACCTCCGCTTCCCTCTCCTGTAGGGCTTGTCGTAGACGATCCAGCTCTTCCCGGTGTCCCTCATCGGCATGTTTCTGTTTCACTTTTTCTTGCATTTCAATAATCTGCTGTCGATAGAGGTCTACATCGCGTTCGGCCGAACCCAGGGTCCTCTTATACCGGTGTAATTCCTTTTGCAGTGTCACCTTATCGACTTTGAGTTCCGTGTTTTCTTTCAATGCTGCTTCACTAAATCCCGGGCCAGCTTTTCGCAGAGCTTCCTCCAAGAAGTGTATCTTCAGCTTCAACCCAAAGTTTTCCTTCTCAATCTTGTCTATGACGTTCTCCTGCTCTCGTAATGATAATTGATTGCCATCTTGTAAGACTCCCGGGCCATCCTTTCGCCGGGGTAGTAATGCCATGGGTGTCGATGCCGCGCTACTACTATCAATATGAGGCATCGGCGTGCCTACCATATATGATTCGTTTCTCGAGTCGCCGTATACTGAGCTGCCAAGGGCAGGGAGCGCGCTGAGGTCTTCAGGAATGTTGTCCAAACCACCTGCCCTGAGAAATGCTGGCGTCTGAATGGTGTTTTCCTTGCCATTTCGTAGAGCACTATTCCTCGTCGCACTTTTGAGTAATGGTGTGAATTCTCCTCCACTGAGCCCAGCTGGAAGGTTCCGTCGGTCGCTGAGCGCAACGCGACTTCGTGGTGTTTTAAGGTTGATTCCGCCGCGTCGACCGTTTTGCAGTTGCTGAACGATATTGTTGTCTTTGGAGGGAGATTGGAAAGTTGGTTCTTGCGACAAATCAAAGTCGAATTCGGGTTGGTTGTTTGAGAGATAAGTTGCGTCCCCGAGGTTCGTTCGTGGTGTATCTAGTCCACCAACTCCAGCCTGCACCATCTTGCCGACTGGTTAATCTCTACGCGCAAATTGAATTGGATTCAAAATAAAAGTAAATTAGTGCCGGACAAATGCAGATGCAAAATAAAGCTTCGTAGCCATTGAGTGCAACGGCAATGATGGCGCGGGTTGTCGAAGTGCTCGTTGGTAACTCAGGTATTTGAGTGAGGGCAGACGCGATGCGTCGAGTTGTTTACCTTACTTCCGTTCCGGGACTAGCGTCTCTCAACCCCTGCTAATGACAAAACCTTCTCAGCCTTTTCGCCAGATCAGATAAAGGTTCAGCCTCATGAAATCATATCTGCACCCATGTTATCCGTAAACCCTTAACCACAACCATACCCAGCACCGCAAATACAATGGAGGCAGACAAAGATGAATTCCGGGGCTTTGAAGATGGCTTTAACGGATTTCCAAAAAGGCTCCCTGATGACTGTGTTGAGTATTCACTGTTTGTCATCGATGCCCGCCTGAAATCGCAGAGAGAACTGCTCTCGCGCTTGGAAGCAGTCCGCAAAGAAGCTGTAAAGCTGGCCGAGAGCCTTTTGAAGGATTATATCTGGCAGCGTGATGGATTTAAGTTGGAAGTCGAGAATTCAAAAGGTGTGCCTTTTGTCTACACACTTCGCGACAGCTTTTTCCTAACTTCAAACAGGACTAATGTATCTTCACGGGCTTACAAATTATGGGGACGCAGTCGATGACGAATGGCTTGTTGTGTATCTACTCAGAGAGTTGAGCAATCGATATTCCGATTTATGGATCAGGGTCGTGGATGTAGACGGCGAGTTCTTGTTGATCGAGGCTGCCAATGCATTACCTCGCTGGCTGAATCCCGAGATTGCAGACCACAGGGTAGGTTCGAAGTTTGCTCATAGTTTGGCGATATTCTTACGTTTTTTTAGGTATGGATTCATGCCAACGACCTTCGTATCATTCCTCTTAGTGCTGCTCCGACCACCTCTTCAGCTAAAGAGACCGCTCCCGTGTCGCGATCACTCAGCCTCGACGAGGCCCACAAAACAATCGCATCCAATCCTGGAATCCTGATACATTCCCCGCTCATTGAAGCGGAAGCATTTTACAGGCTTCAGAACTACCCCTCTCAGATCACAGCCTCTTTGCATTATGCTACTATCACTATTCCAAGAAAGTTAGCGTACATTTTACATGGCCGCGCGGCATCGATCGCTCCTGCTACAGAAGCGTTCTATCTTCGGGATCCTATTGCTCTTAAGCCACTTCAATCGATTTCATCCAACCTCGTATTTCCTCCAGAAGACCACGTTACTATTTCTGTACGATTTACGAAGGTTCTCTATGCACAGTTGAAATCTCAGCAATTCTCTCCGCCTATTGCTTGGAAAGCGAAACTAGCTGAAGCAGAGGAAAACTCGTCATCCACAGATCTGAAACAAAAGAGATATCCTCAGCTTGAGATGGGTATGAAGGTTACTTCAGGATTCGAGATGTTAATCACTGATCCCAAAAACCGAGACAAACACATAGTGCGGGAGATCAAACTTCTTCTGGACGACCTAGATACTGATGAGGAAGATCTCCCAACAGACGAAGAAATTTCGCGATGGGAGGACGTGGCTAGAGAGGACGACGAAAAGTGGTTAGATATAAATTTTGAAGACTTTGAGAGGGAATTGGCTGGGAATCCGCAAGAGAAAAAGCCTAGTATCCCAGGGGCATTTGGACCGGAATCTCCGCCAGGTTTTGGTGATGCCAAAACTCAAGCAGATTTAAAGAAGATGGTCGAGAGGTTCGAGTCTTTTCTTAACGACAATGAGGCGGGTATTGACGGGGCCGAGATGGACGAGATGGATTTTGACGACGACGAAGGAGACAGTGAGGAGGACAGCGAGGATGAGGATAAAGATGTTAGCTTTGACGAGAATGAGTTTGCAAGAATGATGAGGGAGATGATGGGACTACCATCAGATGAAGATGGAGTGGTGCGCAGTGACACAGAGGGCAGGCCGGCTACGACTATTAGCAACACTCATAGGATAGAGGAACTTGGCTCTGATGAGGACGAAGTGGATGAGGAGGCTAATGAGATCCAAAAGCTTATGCTTGGAATGGAGAGGGAACTTAATGAAGCCGGTGCGCTTAACCTGGATCCCACCCCGAATAAAGTTTCGACGCTTGGTGGTAAAACGCCGGCAGCAGAAGCATCAAACAAGGACGAAAATTGGGAAGACGAAAGCGATGGGGAGAACGTGGATATCGATTTCAATCTCGCCAAGAATCTCTTAGAGAGCTTTAAAAGCCAGGCCGGCATGCCTGGACCTGGAAGTAATCTTATGGGTCTGATGGGGATGCAGCTGCCAAGGGATGAGGATGAACATCATATATCCAAACCAACTTGAAGTCGAAACGTCGTCGCCGCTGTTATTGTTACATTGATGACAAAGTATAACCAGTGCCTAAACGCCACGCTGAAATATCGCAATCTACCTCCATTTAGCATTTTAATCTTTTCGCGCTCTCAGCCTCCCCGGATGGACTTCGTGGCCTTTTCAATAAGCTGGTCTCCGCGGCCTCCACCCTCGCAAGCTCCGCCAACACGTTCGTCAACTTCCTCCGAGCCTCAAGCTCTCTCCTGCTACTATCCACCTGCGGCCTGTAATATTGAGTCACTACGCCAACACTGGCTCTGTAACATCGATAAAATAACGACCGGATCTCTAAATTGACTTCATCTCCAGTCTCATCTTCTCCGCCTTCTTGCCATCCTTCTAGGAAGCCCTCGCTAGGGTCCTCGAATGCTTCGCATAGTAATGGATCGCCGAAAACCCCCTGGCTCCAACTTCTCAGCCCTGTGAACTTAGCGCCTGTACTTGAACTCCCTAAGGACGGCTCTTCCGCTGTTCTTTCAACCATGACATTCGTTTCACTGCTAGCATCGAGAACTACCAGCCTAGGAAAGGTAACCGTGTCTAGATGGAACGATAACCGTTGGTAATGGCTACGGATAGTGTCATAAGGAAGTAGTACAGCCATGTCCTCCCCGTCTCGCAAAATACCCTCAAGCAGTGTGTTGAACGCTTCGGACCACGTTGACGAGCCGGCAATTGGAGGCGCCGTTGATGATGCCCCGTTGAATGGGTCAGGAAGCACCCGGCTGGCTGTGCCGAAAGTACCAGTGGGGGAAGTGAGAAGAGCCAGGGCCCGAACCATGGATCCAACTTGTTTATCCACGACACGGCGATCTGGGATGCTGAGATAAATTGAGAGGGTAGATAATGGGGCGCCGGCTGTGGGTTCGAAGATGCTGTAGGGATATGCCATTTCCCTATTATTCGAAGAATGTTTAAGGATTTTCGGGACCACATCTAGCAGCGAGGTGGAATTTGGAATCTCGGTCTCGCTACTGGGGGAGCCTTCTATTTTCAGACTGCGGGTCGAAGCAGAAATGAAGTATATCAGTATGGCCTCGGAGGAAAGTATCGTCCCTTCTTGTCTGAGCAAACGGACCGCTAGGCTGGGAGCAAAAGACAGAAGTAGTTGCCGATCGTCTGACATGTTGAGGTTATAAAGCCTTGGGAGCTGGGTTGATGCAACCTGTTCAACAGCACCGAGTGATGCATCGGGGACGACATGGCTAAGTATCTCTTTCAGACGCCGGACAGGCAAGGAGTACATGAGGGAGGTTAAATGTGAGCGGGAGGGGACAGCAGTCTTTGATGCCGACATGATGTAGGCGGAGGAGCGGATGGTTGCGGGTAGAGCTGTATAAGGACTTTATGGACCCAGCACATAGGCTGATGATGATGATAGCGTGCAAGAAGGAATAAATGGCCCAGCTGGACCACTCAAGTATAGCTCGATGGGCCGTGGTGCTAATTAGCTACGCAATGAGACGTTGGCCGTCAATCAAGAGTTCATAACATCATGTGGAGAATATAACATGGTCTATTAATATTAGGGATTGGTCCATGGACGTGTTTGCATGGACGGCCCGGTGACGTGGGTGACTGCGAGAGAAGATCTTATTCAAGATGGGGGGCCTCTGACTTTCGAGGTGAGCTGGATATCAGACGAGACGAGGCGGCCTGTACATTAGATGTGGTCCAAAGGACCGCCTGCACTGCTCGAAACACGCCAAAAATCCCCCAAGACCACTCGGAACAATGCGACCGGAGACGAGCGAGGCGAGTTTCTAGTCGCTCCGTATCGTATCGAAGGCACCGGCCGAAGAGACGAGCGGCAAAGGCTGGGTTTGGTTCTTTGATTCTTTGGCTCTTCTTTCAAGATTCAAGATTCAAGATTTAAAAGAGCTTGCGCGACTCGGGCCTACCATGATTTGGCAGAAATAGACGAGAGCTGATGGGAAAGTGTCAGCCAGCTCCGAAGGCAGTTGGGCTGCTTTGGGACATGCGTAACGAACAAACCGTGAGTGGCTGTAGAACAGGCATGCGGCGCTTGAAGGGAGAGCAGGTTGATAGGCCAAGTGCCGCTTTAAACCAGGAGAAGAGGGCAGGTGTGGTCCTTGGTGGAGGTTTGACTTAAGAACTGCAGACGATTCACCGACACCTAGGACCAGGATGTTGCTTCCGTTGGCGATGCCGCGTCAATGTCAACACTTCAGGCGATCGGGACTGCGACTCTCACGATGGTTGGTTTGGACTTTGAAGCTGGAGGTGGGAGTTTGATATTGGCGGACGGTGAAGAAACGACCACTAGAGATTATTGAGTTGACCCGCATACCCCGTATTCTCGCTCTCGAGTGGATCCGATAGACTCCAGCGCTAATTAATACCCTTCTCGGCGATGAAGACGAAGTCCCTTTTATGTACTGTACCTTACCTAGGTACCTATGTCATCATTGTCATGGCGTTGCTAGCTACGACATAACAGCGAGGTACAGACTGTACTGTAGTGCAAAGCAATGGCCAGTAGCTGCGATAACTACATACTTACCGTACCTACTGTACCTATACGATAACCTGATTACTTACCAAGACTTTAATTCTCTAAACTCGGGCTCCAGAAGACCCGGCGATTCCGGATTTCACACCGCAACTATAGGTACTGTACTGGACATGGCCAACACATCGAACATGAGGCCTCATGAAGTCATGGCCCCGGGGTGATAATAACCATCCAGCTCTTGCATTGCGCAGCAGCAGAGCTCGTTAATTTTCAGCGCATCTGGTTAGCATTGGATTGCTGCTCACGACCAGCGACATCTCCCGATTGGAAGAATTCTAGCGAGAAATCCATTATTCCGCGCCAGGATCTTGAATCGGTTTTCCGTCTTGCGATGCGTCAAAAGCGGCACGAAGAAGTGCAAGTTCTCGTCGCAGAATAATGTCTCTCCAGATAAGATAAACGATTGCTCTAATCAACCTCCACTATCCTCGAGACAGCCCGAAGAAACGGACTGCTGGTGTGGGTGGACTTTCAAAAAGTAGTTTTCCCAGGAAAGCTAGGACGCTATTGGGTCAGCCTTGTGCCTTTTCTATACCGCCACACCACTCCAGCTGTTGATAGGAAGACCATGTACTCGTGCTGCGCAGATATGTAATAATAGGAGTGGTCAAGAAGAAATTTGAAAATAGGTAGCTTCATGCTGTGCTATCAGCTGAACGGCTAATCGTTAATTTTCGTAGATCGAAGGGCCATGGACACGTTGAGTAGGTGTTAGAGCCCCTCCCCCCCCGCCTTCCTCCTTAGTGGCAGCTGACGACGACATCCGCCAATACGCAAGAGGCACTGAGATCTTTTGGCAATCAAGGCTGGGAGTGCCACTGTTTGACGGTCGATCTTTCTTTCTGGCCAGGATAACCCGGCTGATAATCCAATTGTAATACGTTCATCGAGCAGAATAACCCAAACTTCGTTTTGATCTCAAGCCCTGTGGTTCTCTTCCGATAGTTACCGGTACGAGTATCGCAGCCGACGCACGGAAGCGGTTGGTTGAGATTGAAAGAAAGTCTAATAAAAGATAGAAACGAGGTTTTGCATTTATTTACTCGGCTCCAAGCTGTCGGTAGCGGTACTTGCACCTGTCGCTGAAACCGCCTCTTTCTTCGGGCTGTCCACAGCCCGTGTACCACCAGCACCAGCACCCGCCTCGGCCGCCGCCCCGACCTTTGGTCGCGGTTGATACAGTTCGGACAGGTTGTACCGCTTGAGGGTTTCCCAGTCGCCGCCAACCACGCTCATCCCACACACCGTCTAACACCCCGTGTCAGCCCCCTTGGGATAGATGCAACGTGACACTACGTACCTGGTAAATCTCGATTAAAATCACCTTATCGGGCTTAGTGAGGTTAACAGAATGAGTATCCCCGATTAAGGACGCGACCTGCTTGATCACCACATCTCGTTTAAGAGAGTTGTGATTCCGTATTGTCGGCCGAATCGCGTACTATTACCCCATCAGCAATCCGAACGAAATATATCGCAAAATAGCCAGGCCACTGATAACGCGGATGAGGTGCATGCACTGGCAAAGGCGGGCTTTTCCCCGGAGTAAGTGCCCCGTGAAATTAAACTCAAACTCACCGAGTGCCTTGGCGGTTTTGGTGTGCTTTCGTCGGCTTCCTTCTCGCCATTCCCAGATGGTGTCTCAAGCTCAGCAAGTTGGAAGTGTTCACGAAGGACTGTGCTTGCCAATTCCGACAGGCCTTTCTCAGTAGCCTTCCCCATCAACGCCATCGGCGTTAATCGATTTATATATCTGGTGGATCTGGTTCCACTCGATATTATATCTTCGCATATGCGACGGACAAAGTCCACTGGATCTATTGGCGGCTGTGTTTTGAAGAATAAGACGCATTCAATATCAAGGCGTACAGGAGAGAACATCTTGGGTTTCCCGTTTTTCTCGCCCATAGCTGCAGCTTCTTTCCGAATGCTAGCTTCAATATCGACCTCATCGTCGTCATCGCTTTCGTCTGGTTGCGCGGCAATTCCATAGAACTTCTCGGCATACTACTCGAAGTCTTAGCAACTGCAGGGCGCAATTGTAAACTTGGGTGCAGACTTGATATAGCAAACTCTTGAGCTCTGTCGTTGCCCTCCCTTCCTGGTTCCTTGCACACGTCGCCCAAATGCCTATATCGCCAGGTCCAATTGTGCCATGCCCGCGGGAGGCAGCGATTTTTGTTTTCTGGTGCGGGGTCTGCCACTTTCCTCCTGATCCGCCCTGTACGAAGTTAGAATTGGGTACTGTAAACAAGATAAAGTATAGCTAGGTATGAGCTTGATGTGTGTTGGCTAGTGCGTGCTTTCCCACGGCAATGTGGGCTAGGACGACAGCTGGATAGCTGGCTTGCACTGCAGCCTTGCGCACATGGAGGATAAATAACAGGGAGACCATGTATATCCGTACCTTGCTTCGTTTGGCTCCTTTATTCTCGCCGCTGGCATTGGGCGCCTCTTTTCGCTTGTTGGAGTCCATATTCTCGTCACCAAAAGCTCAGAACGAGATTAATTCGAGGAATTGAGAAATAAAATATCGGACGTAGGGCAGGTAAGGCGCCCCTACTGTAGTTTACTTGGATTGTGCTCGTAGCGCAAGGCTGGGTCATGCCGCATTACCTCATCCGCGGTTGTCGGGGCACCGGCCGTGGCGCATCGCATTGGGATGCGACGTACACAACTGAAAAGGGGTTTCACGCTGTAGCATTCACTGCGAGTTCCGAGGACAACCGCACGAAAACATGTATTCTGGAAAAGGCTCCCATTACAAGTTTCCGTTACCTAGGTAATCAGAACAGGCCGAAGAAGTCTTCCTTGTATCTTCTCAAGCATATCCTCGTACCAGCTATACCTAACGAAGTATTCGTTTGTAGCCTTGCTCATACGCAGTCTACTCGTACTCTGCACAAGCATGCGCGGTTCCCCTGGGCCATCAATCTACCGAAGTTCACCTTCTCTGCAATAACAGCGACATTGGCGAGAATATTGGATATATTTGGTGAGTTCAGAGCTACTGATAAGCTAACTTCATGATCTGATGTGTTTCCAGCCAGTTTGATTCCTACGCGCTCACGCGTTGTGAGAGTTTCGCGGTGTTCGCACTGTTAGAGGAGAGAGACACACTGCACCAATGGGGAAGAAGCTAAGAAAAGCAGCATATGTCGTTTTTCGGGGCAGAGAGCCGGGTATCTACTACTCATGGCCTGACTGCGACAAACAAGTAAAGGGCTTCTCCGGAAATTACTACTTGGGCTATGACACGCGTTGCGAAGCAGAAACCGCCTTTGCCGACTGGGAACAATCCTCAAGTGTCTATGAGGCCGCAAAACCACGGATTCAAACAGACCCTTTTTCCGACCATGATGCCAAAGGCCTGAGTTTAGGGGAGAATCCTCCTGATACCTCATTGAAATATCCGCAGTCCAAGGAGAACCACCCTCGTCTCATCCCGCTTCAGGCAGACAATACCCCTAAAAGTCTAATTAGATCCATCATCGATATCACGAGCCCAGATGATGAGCAGGGACCAGCTGCCAAGAAACTCAAATCGGGAGCAGATGATTTCAAAAGCAATATCGATTTCATTGGCTTTGATCCGGATACTTTGAACGAAGCACTAGAGGTCGAGGGACCTCAACACGTCGAACTTACAAGCGCTCAACTTGTTGTTGTTGATTTGGAGCTGAATGGATGTAATCTCTTTCTCACTGGCGCCGCCGGCTCTGGAAAAACTATCACGCTCAAAGAAATCATAAGGCGGCTTAAAGACTCAAAAAATCTTGGTGTGCAGGTGGTTGCGCCCACTGGGATTGCCGCCCTTCCCCTCGATGGCAAAACCACATATTCCTTTGCTGGTTGGAAACCAGATTCTTTAAAGGAGCCAATGAAGACGCTACTACAAGGCGTCAAGAAGACTACAACCACAGCAATAAGGAGCCTTGATGTACTCATCGTCGAAGAGATCTCAATGGTTGAGAATCAGATGCTAGAGAGGCTAAACAGGTTGCTACAGCACATCATGCAGAGTAACCTCCCATTTGGTGGGAAACAAGTTATATTTGTGGGCGACTTCCATCAGCTCCCGCCTGTCAAACCTTTTGAAAACTGTCTCGAATGCGGCTCGTCAATGGTAGATGCAGGCCCACTCCTTCACTGTACCAAAAGCTGCATCGGTTCAAAAGGAGTGCATTTCAGAGAGGGTGATAAATGGGCTTTCAATGCCCCGGTTTGGGCGAAGTTGAAGCTGAAGCACGTCAGGCTTGACCAGATTCATCGCCAGAAGGATACTCAATTTCAAAACATATTGAACAAGGTCCGGAATGGTGATCTATTGACCGACGAAGAATGGAATGATCTCGAACGCAACAAGAACTTACCCGAAAATGTATTCGCCGTCAGGCTCATGTCCCGGGTCTCCAAAGTCAAATCCTTCAATGACAAGCAGCTAGAATTGTTACCATCGGAAGAGAAGACATGGGCAGCTTATGATACCTACACTAAAGTATTTTCGGAGGAACCGAATAATTCCCCCCTTCTTACACGCTAAACAGCGAAATAGACGAGTACATGAAGTCTCTTCAATACCATCGGTTTCCAGCCGAACTCACCCTGAAAGTCGGAGCCAAGGTTGTCCTATTATCGAATCTCGACCCTAAACATGGCTTAGTGAATGGGACACAGGGTGAGGTCATACAGTTTGTCGACACCCAAAAGTGGCAAACAAAACAACAAGGGCTGTGGGAAAAGGCATGCTTTGATGTGTTTCAGCCTCTCAATAAATTCCTCTGGCCTATTGTCCGTTTCGCCAATGGGAGAACACAAGCAATACCACCTGTGACGCAGAGTTCTTTGAAAGGACCAGATGACAGGCGATATCTAATTTCCAGAACCCAAATTCCGCTCGCGCTAGCCTGGGCTCTATCGATCCACAAGAGTCAAGGTATGACACTAGAGTATGCCGAAGTGTCCTCGAGGGATATATTTGAGTCAGGACAGCTGTACGTGGGGTTGTCCCGAGTGACTACACTGGGCGGCCTTACTGTTACTGGGTTTTCAAGAAAGCGAACCTCGATGAACCCCGATGTTCTGAATTTTTATAAGAATGCAAAGTGGGGCAGATTGGGACCCGTTAATACATTGAGCGGCTTCGGATTTGCAAAATTCAAAACAGATAGGGAAGCGTCAGCAGACCAGCTAGGGTCTATCGATACCAAAATCGCTCAGGAAGGTAAGAAACCCCTACTACGACTTAGCCCACTACCGCATATAGATTCCGAATTACCCTCCCCGGACGATAAGGAAAATTAAAACGAAGTACAAATCTCCTGTTAACTGTGGCCATATAATTAATTCCTTTTTCCTTGGATATCCCTCGCCCCCCTAAATTATCCGGTGACTAGATATGGAGTAAAATGCCCATGAGGCCACCGGATCCTCTCCGCCGGGCCAGTGGTTTTTTTTTATAAAGAAAAACTCTCTTTTCTCTCTCAACAGGAAAAAAGAAAAAAACAAAAACATATTCTCTCTGACGGGGAATCGAACCCCGGTCTCCCGCGAACTTGTCATATCATGACAAGCGGAAATCATAACCACTAGACCATCAAAGATCGGAGAATGCTTCTTATTGGAGCAAGATATTGCTATTTCGGTATATTAAGTTTGTTGGAAGTAGGTGGATGGTTTGCCCTTAGGCTCGGACAGGAGTGGGGCCTCAATGCAGAAGCGAGACGACCACCACAGTCTAGACTCCTAATAGATGCAAACAATATCTTTCAGCAGATACAGGTTAAAAGAACCATCGATTATTAACTAATTTCCAATTTTCCACGACGACTCTTAAAAGCTATAGCTACCTACTGGATAGGTGCTGAGCTGGCGATTGCCGGGCCGCGTTCCCTTACTACTAGACCTTACGTGGCCGCAAGCACCATATACAGAAAGGTACCTCTTTTCTTACCTACTCCTCGGGCTCTGCGCAGCCTCTTGCAGAATTCTGCCATCTTATTTATCACTGTATATCTCAAATTATATGCCAAGTTCATGATGCAATGTCCTATGTTGGCTGGCGTTGATGAACTTTACTTTATGATAGTAAGGGAGGCACGCTTTTCACTTCAACCTCATCTCAAGAGTCACAAATAAAACAATACTTTTGATTTGCATTTTTCATAATCCATTACTAGTCGCTAATTCAAAACGGAAAAAACCCAAAAAAACCGCTGCCCATCACCAACCGTAAGAATATCTTTATTAATCCGTTCATCGATGCCGATTCCTCAGGTATCGCGACACGCTCCACTTACCCCTTCGCATTTCTCAGCGCACTCGCCTCGGCGGTCAATTTCAATGCTCGTGGCGCATCCTCCTTCGGTATGTACAACTCAACAAATTGCAGACAGTCTGCGGCGTTGAATTGCTTGTCTGTAAAAAGCTTCTTGACATCATCCTTAGTCTTAACCTGATACGTTCTGTAAGTACCATCCTTGGCACCAAAGACTTTGACGAGATCCTTATAGTGCCACCCCGCGATATCATTGTACGCAGCGTCCATGCCGTGTATGAAGCGCTCGACCGTGTAGCCATCATTGCAGATGACAAAACTAGTTTCAAGTTAGCCAACATCTCAAGAGAGAATAATGCGGTAGGTGGGGGACATGCATGATGGGCTTTAATCCGTGCCGGACCATTGTGCTCAACTCCTGAGCCGTGAGCTGGAAGGATCCGTCACCGACAAAGAGCACGGTGCGGCGTTCATTACCAGCATCACGCGAAGCTAGAGCTGCGCCTTGACATGCCCCGACAGAGTATCCAATACTACCCCAGAGGACTTGGCTGAGAGCAGTGACACCGGCTGGGAACTTGGTCCCCCAGATGCCGAAATTGGCGGTACCAGTTTCCGTGATGACAATATCATTTTCCTTGAGGAATGAGCTAACCGAAGGCCAAAACCATGCTTGTGTGATGGTTGGCGAGTCGTCTTCCTCGGCCTTGGGCTCGGTCTCCATGTACGGGCCTGGGACTGCCGAGATCTTGCTTAAATCGACCTTGTCGATGACCTTCTGTAGGACCCCTTTCATATGGACGCCAGGATACTCGGAGTATCGAACGGTGACATGCGTGCTGTGAAAATCAATCGAATTAAGCTGGGATGTCTTGTAAGAGAATCCGGCAGTATTAAAATCACTCTATGATACCGTCAGCATAGTGCCTCAGATGAGAATATAGGGCAAGTCCAACCTTAATTGCTCCAATTGTCAAGATGAGATCTGAAGATTCGACACGCTTCTTTACTTCCGGGAGCGATCCATCGCCCGCATAAACACCGCCGAAGGCTGGGTGAGTCTCGTTCACCGCCCCTTTCCCCATTGGGGTGACAAATACGGGAAGATTCGTTTTATTGATTAGGCCATGGACTTCCTCTAGGACTCGATGTCGAATGGCACAAGCGTCCACCAGAATAATGGGGTTCTTAGCCGCTGTAAGATATTTCAAGACAACATCAACGACGTAGTCCTCCCGGGCTGGATCATTGGTTGGGAGGCGTAGGTCAAGAGGTGTTTTCAGCCGCTCGCCCTCAATCTTCTTTTGAACCATATCGGTCGGCAGACTGAGGTAAACAGGCCGAGATAGGATCCAGCACTGCTGAAGTGCATAATCAATCTGGGCTGCAATATAGCTCGGGTCGTTGAGCCTCTCCACGCAACAAGAGATGTTCGTGCTCATATCTGCAAAGACGTTGTAGTTGCCGTTGCCGAGTGTGTGATGCAGCAGCAAGCCATCCTTCTGCGAAATCGTGGACGGGTATCCGACAATATGTACGACCGGGACAATCTCGGAATATGAGCCAGCGAGGGCATTGAGCGCTGAAAGCTCTCCGACGCCGAAGGTGGTGATAATGGCTGCTATGCCATTGATCCTGGCGTAGCCATCGGCGGCGTAGCCTAGATGGGAGGGTCAGCTTTGAGACTTATCGCGGGATGGAATAGTCGTGGGAATGACTGACCAGCATTGAGCTCATTGACGTTGCCAACCCACTTTAGGTTGTTCTTGGGGAGGGAGTCGAGCGCGACCAGGTTATAATCGCCGGGTAGGCCATGGACCGAACGGATGCCCATCTGGTGCAGCCTGGCAAAGAGATAATCCACCACCTCAATGGGCGACTTCATCGCAGCGATCCTGTAATCAGCCATTTCTTGGTGAAAGCGACGAAGAGGCTGGGGACGGGATCTGAGCAGTGGATTGGATTGCACTGGGCTGGGTGAGTGGCGGTGGTGGGTTTCTAGCTGTGATATTGATTGTGAATGTGGGGAGTGAAATGGGAGTGATGAGCTAAGAGTGAAATACGAGGAAACCGAAGGAGATGCGGATAGGTAGATATCTATATAGATATCTACCTACCTACCTTATATATGCAGGTATGCATAGTATGTCATTGGCAAAAGTAGTCCATTGCTCATAGCCCATCATTGCCCCGTATACGGACGTTCCCAACCCAAAGTAAGGTCGGTGGAAGCTATAGGATGTAGCACCATGTAGCACGAAAACACAATTAATACGTCAGGCCACCGATGACGTTTTGCAGTTTTGCAGCACGAAGTGGTGGTACGAGTACTCTGTAGTATTGTACGGTGCGAGAAACACGCCATGTTCGCAGCAATTATTAGTAATGGATTAGTAATTGGCACTGGTACGAGTAGGGTTCGGATTTTTCACGTTATATAATTATATAAAGTGGTAAGATTTACGTTATTATTATAGGAGGTGTTGCGTTATATAATTGCATAAAATTAAGCACAACTCTTGCATAGCTATGCATAAAAAGACCTAAAAAACAGGGCAAAAACTGGGTAAAACTATGCAGCTCTATGCCTCCAACGCCTCGCGATTATCAGCTATTTGGAGTACAATTTCGTCCTCAATTGCCAACAGATCGTCGTCAGTTAACTCATGCTCCTTCCGACTCTGGCGCAGTACTCTACTATTCATATATATAAAGGAAAGCTTATCCATTGTCTCTATTGACATCCGGTTTCTTGTTTTTGTATGGAGATTATTCATCGTCGAAAAGGAACGCTCTGAAGGTACACTATTGGCTGTAGTACTAATTAGTCGAAGTGCAAGAGTACTAAGCTCAGGGCAGATAGATTGCTATTGAATATTATTATTAGAGGAGAGTTATTTAGTTATATTAGGAGTATACTTACTTGGTATCTCCAGAAAAGATGTGAATCCAACTTATAGTCCCAAACTGGGTGCGCTGGGTGAAAATCACCTTCCTGGTCGATATACTGGAAGTATTGTTTCAAAAGGACTGAACCTCCTGTCTCCCTAATCCAAGTCTCCGCGACTACCTTGAACTTTGGAAGTAGTGGATCTCCATAATGTATTGGAGTAAGCTTATAAGCCACCATATGGATAGGAAGAAGCTGCTTTGTCATCCGTTCTGCCTATCCTGCAACGTCTCTTTTGGTATATTGAGCAACCTCCTCCCACCATGGATTATTCCCTGGCTGAGCGCACTTTTGGATATGTAAGTTGATGTCGATCCATCGTTGGTAGACTTTAAAAACAGTGGCGTGGTTGCTTTCTGACATCTTCTGACATTCGTGGAGTGGGAGGAGGAGAGTATATAAGCCATTAAGGCGCTGCCAGAATAGATCGTCTTGGATAATAGGATTAATCGTCTTTGTAGTATCGGGATGGATAGCAAAGGATTTAAGTGCTAATTCGTTGTCGAGGATGCTCTTGATCTGCCGGACCTACATAGAAACACTAAGTTAATAAGGAGAATACACTGAATATAAATGTAAGAATGTAGTAAATACCTGAGTCCCCCATCGCGTCGGAACTGTTGCAATAAGAGCTTTAACTTTCCCAGTATTTGACCTTTGGATGTCGCGAAACAAAGCTAATTGCTTCCCTGAGCTAGCAAAGAAGGCTATAACCTTAGCAGGAAGCTTGAAAAAGTCACGGAGAGCTGAAGGGATAACCTCCTTATTGCTGTCTTTGTTTGGATCAAGGAGATCCTTGATAATAAGCTGTAAGCCGTGAGAATCACAAGGGACTGAGTGGACATGTTCCAGCCCTGGAGTGGAGTGGATATAGGCCCAAAGTGAGCGCTGAGTATCGCAGGTATCTGTAGCAAAGGATGACCACTTCTCTACCCGGTCCTTGGTTAATTCCTTGACGATATTGTGGATGTAGCGGAGTGACCATTGAGCTGATGCTGTAACACTTCCAACCTCACTGGTTTTCCAGTAGTAAGCCTGTCCCTTGGCTATAACCATGATGTTTTCGACGCGAGCCCTTGAAACGTTGGAAGAGCCATCGGATACTATTCCAACATAAGTAGACTTATCAATTACCTCCTGGACTTCCTCCTTAACCTGGTCGTAGCAGCGATTCAGGAGCTCATTAGCTAGCTTTTTAGGATTAGGAACCTGAAAGTCAAGAGCCCTAAAGAACTCTGTCCATTCAGGACTGTGGAACGTCGAAAAGGCAACTGTTGATGTATATACTGCCTTTGCAAATAGCTGTTCACGGTTTTGCTTCCGTGGACTATTGAACAAGGAGGCAATAGACACTGTAGCAGTTCTATTCCTCGTCTCCCTATCCAATTTAGCCCTGGCGTGGAAGCTAGGAGTCTGCTTGCCTGTCTCCTGAAGGTGGTTCTGGTATTGGTCGCAAGTAACCATATGTGGCTGACAGAATTGGGTAGTATTCCAGGCCTTATTCATCCCACAGTAAGAACAGACAGCTCGATCGTATTGGCCAGGGACTTTAATTCGCCGAAAGACTGCCAAAGCCTCCTGATTCTCTCGTGAGTTTAATCTAGAAGCCATTTAGATTAAAGTGGTAGTTGCTTTAGGGGTAGTTAAAGTGGTAAAAGGTTGTTGTTCTGGAGAAAAGTAATAAGCTTAGGAGATTTTGGGATTACCTAATAAAAGCTAAGCCTAATTGAGCATATACTAGTCCTAATACAGCTAGTGTATAGTCACGTGGCAATTACATTATTATAGCCAAAATCTGACATTATTATACATATAATCACTAAATAGCCAATTATATATAAAGGCCGATCCCTAGGTACGAGTACTCGGATAGGCAACTGTCACGTGCCTATTATGTGGCTGAAACTGTGGCTGCTCTATGTGTGGCTGAGGATAAGTCCCTGGTGGCTGGTGCATCCCGCCCCTCACCCCCCTGTCCCTGCACCAATTCGGTCCCCAAGACACCAAGGGCGCTACGAGGTCCTTCGTGCACTTGGGACTTGGTGGTTAGTATACATGGATAGCTGAGTTACTTCATCTTCTTACACTCGCTCAAGTCCTCTTGCGCCCCAATACGTAGCAATCTGCCGTCTGCGTCTCGGTTCCTGTCTCTGTCTCTGCTTCTCTCTCCCTCGCACCCGGTCGACTGAAGTGCCTTTATCACCTCGTGAAGGGAGCCAGCCGCAAGCATCACCACCACCACCAACAACAATAACAACAACAACATTTCAACAACGTCGAGACCTCCCGAGTCCAGGTCCGACCCTAAAGCTCCGAACAAAGATGCGATGACCAGCGCCCGACCGCGATCTTCCTCAGCTCGATCTAATACCGCCGTCGCATCGCCCCGTCGCAACCCTTCGAATTCCAACGCGGATTTGACTGTCCCAGATGCTCATGGTCGTTTTCTGAACGACCACCTGGCCTACAACACCAGCAGCTCCCCTAGCCGCTCGATTCCTTCGTATGGGGCAGGCTCCCCCTATCCAACAATCGCCGCCTCTAGTCCCTCTCCATCGCGGCCACGGGCACGATCAGCTGCAACAGATCCCGTCCCCTCACCGTTGCTCACTCCAAACCCAGCTTATCGGCCCTCAGCACTCTCAGGTCCCGCCATCCCAATGTATCAGCCCGGGCAGAGACACCCTTCCGTGGCGGATCCTGCCAGGCAATATGTAGTTCCACCGCCGCCGCCGATGTCTCCCCCTTCCCAGCAGCATATGATGTCTATCCCTCCTCCACCGCCCCGTCCCTTGACCGGCCAATCTCACCAACATCCAGGCGTCATGATACCACCGCCGCCAGGCCCTCCGCCAGGAATCTTACAGTCTAACTGGCAGGGAAGCTGGGGACGATCATATGATGCACGAGGGTTTCCCCTACCGCCGTTGAATCCGCCGGCGAATAGCCAGCACCAAGCATACAATCCGAGCCAACCTTATCTCAACCAACACCCCCCACCATTGTCAATACCTCCGCCGCCAGCTTCGGAGCATCAGATGTCGGCAACATATATACCACATGGTGATTCCTTCGGGCCTGGAGTTGGAATTCCAGGTTTTGGTAGGACACCAGAACCCAGTTTTAACAGAGGGGATAGCGCTGAGTATGGAGCATCTCATTTTAAATCCTCGCTCTTCCAAACATATGCCGTTATTATTTACTGTCCGGGGATGACCTCGACTCCATTAGACTTGAATTTGACATCTCAGAAATGCTGATACGCGTTTTCGCAGGTTTTCCGCCATCTCGGACAGCTCCAGGACTTCGAAATCCACTATGGATACGACCTTAACTACGCCTATGGATGAGGGGACAAGCTGGTATAACGATCGGGACCGGCCATACCCGGCACAAACGCCAGTAAACCGCTATCCCAACATTCACTTACCCGAGTACAATTCTTCAAGCACGCCGGCTGCCACCGCTCTCAACAACCCTCAGATGTCTAATCGTGGGCTCAATGTGAATGCAAATGTGGGCATCAACCACCAGCATACAACCAGCAGTAATTCTAATACCCCCATCTCCCCCCACGAAGGCGGCTCACAATGGCCCATGGACCGTGTTCTTCTGTGGCTTGCCAACAATCAATTCTCCAACGACTGGCAGGAGACTTTCAAGGCGCTCAATATCTACGGCTCTGTATTTCTTGAATTGGGCAGTGGCCATGGCGGAAGAGGAAACTTCGGGATGATGCACCAGCAAGTTTACCCTCGATTGGCAAAAGAATGCTCCAATAGTGGGACGGGCTGGGACCAGGCGAGAGAGCGTGAGGAGGGCAAGCGAATGCGCCGCCTAATCAGAGGCATTGTCACGGGCAGAACTCCTGACCTACCTAAACCTTCACACGTTCGGCGGGAATCCTCAGTGGCAACTATTCCAAGTGCTGGCACAGACGGGACAGCGGAGTCCTCACCCAATTTCGGGAGAGAAATTCATGTTTCTACCCCAAGCACAGCAAATGGCGATGACGATAGCCCGGGGAAACAAATGTTAAAGAACGTTATGCCAGGCGCGACAACACGGAAAGCATCCGTTCGAAGTACCACCATGCCCGTTTTGAGCAATAATATTAATACATCCGAGAGTCGGGGTTCTCATCGAACTGCTCTGCGGGGTATTGATGGTGATGGAAGTCGCCGGCATAGTCCTAGTGCCAGCAGTGACATTGGGGAAGGACCTTACAGGGGAGCAGCGCTCCGAGTTGGAGGGAGCCCAAAGAGTGGAAGCCCTGGAAGTACATTCGCGACCTTACATTCCGCTAATAATGGGAATTTATCCGCCTCACCTCGCAGTGCTAAGTTCGGACATCGCACTAGTAATAGTACGGATTCAATCTCATCCAGTGCTGCCATCTATGGCTCCGGTGTGCCTCCCGGCGCAAGTCAGGCTTTGCGCGGGGGCATGGGAGCAGTTGGGGAACTGAATCTTGTCCGCAATCAAGACAGCCACCGCCATGGTATAGACGGTGCCCGTCCTTCTCCATTGGAGCACAGTGCTACGGATCCGCCGAGCTTGGTCAAAGAGCCTAAAGGAATCTTCAAACACTTCAGAAAGAAGAAGAGAGAAGAAGGAGCACCCTCTCCCGAGGAACCGGGTCTGGAATCTCCCACAAGTCCCTATGCAAGCTTTAAAGCGCCCGGGTTCCTAGGGAATGGCAAAATTAGCAATTCTAGCGAAACATCCCTTGACCGACCCTCTTCCACCTTTTCCGCAACGGATTACGATCGATTTGCTCATTCTGGTGGTTACAGAGGGAGACGAAATGGTCCTGGCAGAACATTCATTCTTGCGACGCTAGATGGTTGGAACTACCGCATGTGTGATATAACGGATATCGACTCCCCAGCTGAACTTCGCCGCTCGATTTGTGCGAATATGGGCATACAGAATGTTGACCTTGTGCAAATATTTGCAACTGACCTTGGTCGAGTTGAGCATGATGAAGCCTTAGATGATCAAAAATTGCTTTTGCAGAAGAGAACGAAGGCTGATCAGTCGGGGAGCTTGAAGTTTTATCTTCGTGCGCCAGCAAATGCTGTTTCCTCGCTATCTCCCGGGTTCGGTGCTAACTTTGGTAACAAAATGGCAATGTCACCTGGCTTGCCCACTACTGCCCCAATGGATGAAGAGTCTTATGCCAGACTCAATGGAATGAGAATGCGCTCAAGCTCCTCGCCTCCAACCTCGCGGCAGAATACTGTGAAAACCGGTTCCCCTGTCGCAGGGCGAGAGGCTCCCGAAATGGAACAATCCGATGCGCTCCGAGAGCGTTTGAAACAGTTCAAATCCACACAGGAAAGCGGAGAAAGCCCTCTTCCAGAATCAGAAAGACAAGCCTTTATGGAATTGGCCGCCAGTGAGCACAGGGCTGAGATGGAACGGAAGCAAAAGGCGTACTTGGAAAAGAAAAAAGCCAGCAAGGAGACGCCACCCTCTGCCGATGGGTCATTCGGCATTGTCGGCCGCAATGTTGATTTTGACCAGCCGCGACTTTCTCCTTTTGAGGACAAGAAACCTGAAAGCCTTTACCCTCAGCGAAGACCTCCGCCGCCGCCCGCCGAGTCCGCTACGTTAATCAAGGCCAATTCCTTGAGCAAGAAAACGGGCCAGCAATCCAGGTTGTCTCTTAATAGCGTCGACAGCGACGGAAAACGCATATCTGGCGGTGACGCTGCAGCATGGATTCCACAAGACATCTCTGAACAACCTAGGCGCAAAATCCCCAGTTTACCACAGGCTAGTGGCGGTGTTGCTGCGGCACTTATCGGCATTGGAAGGGGTTTAGGTGGAGTTGGACATCCCAGTTCAAGGAATCCCTCAATCACGTCCACAAGCAAGAAATCACCGTCTGATAATAGTGATCAACCTGAAAGAGGTAGAAGTGCCATGTCTACTGTGGATTTCGGTCCCTCGGGCTCTGGTAGAAGTAGTCCTAGATCGGCAAGTGGCACCCCTGGCAGCACGACATGGGGTAAAGGGGACACATCATTTATCGTCCCAGACTATGGGGAGGACGGTGGCGACAGTGCAGGGCGAGATCGATCTTTGTCCTTGAGCTTTCCTGAGGGTTCCTCGGTGGCTAAGCTTCGAGAGGAAGGAAACAAAAGAGTGCCTTCTCCATCCGAGCTTAGCCCGAGCAGCTCTCATGCCGCTGCCGGGATGATGGTTCCAGGCAATCGGAAGTCCTATGGCCCCAATCTTGATTTCACCGAATCCAATATCGTGTTCGAGAAGTCACCTGCTCCCGCTGACCATGCCGATTCAGATGACGATTCAGATCACGGCCTTTTTGCCGTACCAATAGCATCTCGCAAACCTACTAGGCAGCCCAGCGTGAGGAGAGATCCATCATCCGATAGAGCTGCTGGTAATATGGACAGTACCGGACAAAGGCCTAACTTGACAATTCGTACATCAAGATCAAAGAAGGGCTTATCGGTTTCCTTTTCCTCCCCCCGCCTGAACAGTGTAGCAGCTGCCACTGCCTCGAGAACCCCAGATTTTGACGATGATGATACTCGCAATGCTGGCAAAAGACCCCAGCGTCGGACTCCTGGCTCCGCTTCCGAAGGTGGATGGTCTGCAGAATCCTCGGAAGGCATGAGTGCTAAGCTCTTGCGGCGTGAATCCTTTGCAAGAGAGGATGTGTGGGCGAGCAGGCCACCAGCCGAAGCGCTTATTAACCATCTAGACGATTTCTTTCCAAATCTAGATCTAGATCAGCCAGTCTTAGAGGAGGGTGCGAACGGCTCCCCACCAGTATCCCCCATTGCTGAACAGGCAACCTTGGAGCAACTAGCTGCTGCACAAGCTGGCATGACTATCGGCGAAACATCCGGAATGAACACGCTCCGGACTAGCTCCTCTTATAATGATAGCGACACTCTAGGCTCAGATGAATCGACATTGAAGGCATTAGAGCGGCCTGGTTCGATGCAAAGCATTGCTCAAAGAAATGTTCGTCGGTCGGGTGGGTTGGGTCGCATGAAATCCATTCGTGAGGTGGCGCGAGGAGCTCACGAGGCGAACAAGCGTTTCACTGCCCCAGTACAACAGGGTGGGATGTCGAGTACCATTCTTCGCCGGAAGAGTACAAAGATGTTCGGCGCCAATATTGTGCAAATCAAGCCTCAGCGAGGTAGCATGATTCTTCCACAAATTCCTCAGGACACTATACCCAAGCGGCAAGCAACCTTCCGATGGTTCAAGGGTCAATTGATCGGTAAGGGTACATATGGACGTGTCTACTTGGGTATGAACGCGACGACGGGAGAATTTTTGGCGGTGAAACAAGTGGAGGTCAGCGCCAAAGCTGCCGGAAACGACAAGGAAAAAATGCGGGAAATGGTTGCAGCCCTAGATCAGGAGATTGATACCATGCAGCATCTAGATCACGTCAATATCGTCCAGTATCTAGGCTGCGAACGCAAAGAAATGTCTATCAGTATCTTCTTGGAGTACATTTCCGGCGGTAGTGTTGGGAGCTGTTTACGGAAGCATGGGAAATTCGAAGAGACTGTGGTGAGCTCTCTGACCCGGCAGACGTTGTCAGGATTGGCGTATCTTCACCGAGAAGGTATCCTTCATCGCGATCTAAAGGCCGATAATATATTGCTGGATCTTGATGGAACCTGCAAAATCTCCGATTTTGGCATATCTAAGAAGACTGACAATATCTATGGCAATGATGCCACGAATTCTATGCAAGGGTCGGTCTTTTGGATGGCCCCGGAAGTTGTGCGATCTCAAGGTCAAGGCTATTCTGCAAAGGTGGACATTTGGTCCCTTGGGTGTGTCGTCTTAGAGATGTTTGCAGGCCGCAGACCGTGGAGCAAGGAAGAGACTGTTGGAGCGATCTACAAGCTAGGCAGCCTGAATGAGGCACCGCCCATTCCCGACGATGTTGCACTTAGCATCAGTCCAGTGGCAGTGGCCTTCATGGCTGATTGTTTTACGATGTGAGTATTTTCTCGGTACCACACTGCAAGTTTATGCTAATTATAACACCAGTGTCCCCTCGGAACGTCCCACCGCCGATACTCTTCTGTCACGACATCCATTCTGCGAGCTTGACCCAAACTATAATTTCCTCGATACTGATCTGTATGCTAAGATTCGCGGCGCATACTAGGGCTATGTTTTCTAAGATGCGGTATAATGGGCTGGACTATAGGACCATGCCATGACTTTAACGAATACCCATTGAATATGTGCATGGCACTTTATCTCTTCACTTTCTGACTTCTGCTTTTATATCAATCTCGAGTTAGGATAGCGCAGGCTGGGAAGCGAGCGTTCTGGTTTCTTAATAAAAGTCGAACGCCAAACTTTGTATATTTAGATGACTTGAATGAAAATGGTACTTGGCATCTATTCCTGTATAATTTACCTTCGCCTTCGGGTTCCTTTAAATACCTAGGTGCCTAGCTAGTTTACAGTGGCTGGGATAGGTAAAATATCACCTTAGCAGTCACCCAAATACCCATCTCCAGGCCACTATCACATCTTAGCCGAACAGAATAGACAGACAAAGCCAGACAGCAGCGAATTTGCTATGAGAAGACCTCAACGGCTCTGACTCGAGACCCTGCATTTAGCCCATTCATAACGCCATGTATGTTAATTCGGTTAGAGTTCAGACCCAAGGTACCTCTGTAGGTTCAACTAGTGGACAAGTCTTCCCGGGGAATCCGTCGAGGCTAACCACCAAAATACTTACTTTGCAGCGCGACAAGGTGATTTGACAGAAGGATTTTTCAGCCTTGCGCCTCGCTTGAAAAAAATACCCCACCACTGCCCCCCTTCGTGACTTTGGTCAACAGCGACCTGAACAATAACATCCCGCCTAGTATTTAGCCCAGATTTCATTCTGTTTGCGAGACTAGGACGAGGTTATATATTCCCTCATGGCGCCATACGATAGCGACTCGTCTGACGACGAGGAAGGCGACTATATCGAAACTAATGTTTTACTGGGCTATGCGGCCAAAGAACCCGGCGACGACACAATCAGCCATCTTGGGGGAAGCCCGGTATGCATGCAATGTTCTATTTCCAACTGTCTCGGAGTCGGGTTTGCGTAAATAGACCTTGCTAATAATATCCCATTAGACATGGCTCCACCCCGCTGCCCCTCCCTGCGCAACACTTGCAAAATGCAAGATATGCAATGATATCATGGTTTTACTTCTGGCTTTAAACGGAGACTTGCCAAACAGTTTTCCCGGACACGAGAGACGACTGTACATATGGACATGCCGGCGCAAAGGCTGTCGGCGGAAGGAGGGAAGCATAAGAGCTTTGAGGGCCACGAGAATTACTGGGACTGCCGCCTCGGAAGATAAGCACGAGAAGAAGCCTGCTCCAAAGACGAAAGAGCCAGCGCCGAACCCGGCAGTCAATATTGGAGAGACCCTCTTTGGAGCAAAGCCTTCGTCGATGTCGTCGTCCGCAAACCCATTCTCAGCTGCAACATCGAGTTCGAACTCTGCGAGTCCGTTCTCCCAGTCTACCCCCGGAAGCCAACCGCAAAACCCTTTCACAGCGGCAGGCCTTCCCTCACCCTCTGAACTAGGAGCCAAACCGCCACAGCCACCTTCTTCAACCACCTCACCCAGCGCTTCCGATCTCCCCAAAACTTTTGCCTCCGTCCTCTCCCTCGACACCGACTCACCCCAGCCTACGTTCGGCCCCCCACGCCCCGCTGAACCGTGGCCAGAAATTTCCTACCTCCCCGCCTCATACCCACTCTACTACCTAGTCGACGTAGACTATGAAGTCCTAGAAAAGATGGAAGATCTACCCATCCCAACAACGACCATGGACCTTGATGAACCTAGCAACAGTAAAGGAGGGGGCCAGAAGGAAGACAAGGATATTTTCGAGAGCAGTATTGATAAGACATTCCAGAAATTTGCAGATAGGCTGGCGCAGAATCCTGAGCAGGTTTTACGGTATGAGTTTAAGGGCAACCCGCTTTTATATTCGAAGCATGATGAGGTTGGGAGATTATTGTCCTCTATCTCCAGGTCCGGGAATGAGAAAATCAAAGTGAGTGGAGGGGGTAGAAATGGAATTCCAAGGTGTGGTAATTGTGGGAGGGAAAGGGCTTTCGAGGTACAGTTAACGCCACATGCTATTATGGAGCTAGAGAGTGAGGTGGAAGGCATTGATGGGATGGATTGGGGGACGATTATTATGGGTGTTTGTGAGAGTGATTGTGTGCCTAAGCATGTGAGGCCTGGCGAGGTTGGGTATGTGGAGGAGTGGGCCGGGGTACAGTGGGAGGAGTTGGCGGTTAAGATGTAGATTCCAGTCTACTAGGAGAAAGCTATGAATGCGTGAGTTTATGGTTCAATAGATGCCGAAGATAGCTCTGTGGTTTACGAGCATATCCACCACTGATGCATATCAAACTTACAAGGCAGTGTAACTTTATTCGTAGGATATCTCGTTCATATTATTGAGGATTCGAGGGCTTAACAGATTCCTCCGAGGCATATTCAGGCTGGATAGACCCAGATCATGGCGACTTGCGAACACGAATTCTATACCATCTCCCCAAAACATTTTCTAAGTATTTCATATCTTTGGTCATGCTTTGCTCACTATTCTACTCTCTGGCGTGAAGCGGCCTTAACATAACTGGGAATTTGGGATGCCCATACCATAGATTGGTATATGTTCATCGTTGCCCATCAAGTTAACTGTAACTCCATCCATAAACGCCAGCCAACCCGCCAACCCATGCTATACCATGCCATGCAATTATCGCAGTTCAAAGAGAGAAGACGAAACTCAAGCAGGTTGCTCATAAGCCCTCCTAATAACCCTAGAGAATTGCTCTATCTTGACATTCTCTCTGACGACGGTTCCCTTTGCCTCATTCTCCTTGTTCAGTGGCACCTTCACAACAGTGCCATCAGTAGCCCACCCGCAAACTTCATTTACAAACTTATTAAACGCCTCGCCCTGCATTCCCAGCCACGATTCTAGGACTGAGCGTTCGATTTCCCGGACGGCTTGTGAGATGGTGAGTGCGACTCGGATGCGAATCAGTTCTTCAAAACCAGCAACATCAGCAATCAGATCAGCGTAGAGATCATCGCTGTCAAGCGTGCTCCAGAATGCAGCATAGTTTGCTTGGGCAAGGAGATTGTTGAGAACGTTGAGTTTTTGGACGGCTTCGGAGAGGGGCGCGTCGCCGGCGGCCGGGAGTGCTGATGATGCAGAGGCTGGGGTCAGGATGTGTGGGGGTAGGAGGTGGAGGCAGAGAGCGAAGTCTGGTGAGGGGAACACGGTCAACGCCTTGACGAGAATGTTGGTTATAGTTTCGTCTTTGGTAAGATGGGGGTTGAACTGGTAGCTGGATTTGCAGGAAAATATTAGTGGTTGCAAATTGAAGACACTCCAGATGTACATATATTGAAGGGAAGGAATCAATGTCTTTCAGATAGAGCTAATAAAGAAACTTCATGGGCAGCAGGAGGATTCATTCTCCAATGCCAGTTCAGAGTAATAGGAAACGTTAATTTCGATCATCATAAGATCTCATTCCTTTTCTTATCCGCGGCTTAAGGGGGTATTGCTTACAGTTTCAACAGGGCCAGATTGGCGTAGCAGTCATAGAATTTCTGATCGCACTGCTGGACGACGTATTCTTGGAAGACAGCAGTGGTCTCTGGGTTGTAGCGATCGAGTCCATTTAGTATAGCATCGATATGTTCTGGCCGGTCGGGCGCATAGTCAAAGGGGTTCCCCATGGCTACTTATCCTTCGCGTCGTTGGCCGCGGTGGCGGAGAAGGTGATGATGATAATATGATGGGGATGAGAAGAGCGGAGGGGTTTTGGTTCGGCAAAGTTTGGTTCAGTTCAATTTCAAAAGGGAATTTTGCCGAGTGCCCTAAACGAGCACGTGATGGGGGCTGCTAGAATCATCGAATGACCGCGGGAATGACCAACTGCCTGCCAGCTGGGCTCGTCAGACAGTGTCCGCAAACCGCAAGACTTGGTCGAAGATGTATTAATTACAGCTACTATTCTATTGCACTTGTGTAGGGGGAATCATCAAGGCTTTAGCTATTCCTCCAATTTCCATCTGCTCAATCGACATAAACCACCTGCCACATCACATCCCGATGAGGACAAGTCCGTTCATGCCCTGTCTAACTAACTAATTACCTCGTAGGTAAACAGATGAACAGCAAGCTCAAATAGTCGTTCCATTTCCGAAATCATCTCCCATACCATCATTCACACCCATATGCTGCATCGCATATCCTTCATTACGCGCATCTATGTTCTAGATCATGCATGTATACCTAGTCGTATTCTGCTGTGGGCTACTACCCGCATTCGTCGGATGGCGTCTAATCACGATACAGCACCTTCGGCGGCTTTCAAGGCATCTTGGAATATAGCCTTTAGATGATCCATACCTTCAAGTCCGACGCTGATTCGGATCAAGTCGGCAGGGACCCCAAACTGTGCCGCCCAATCCAGCTCTAGGAAATGGGCAAGGATAACGTAGGGTGAGACCAAAGTGAAATTTGTCCCAAGGCTTGGTCCTTTGGCTGTCTCAATCCTGTCAAAGAAAGCGATGGCTTGACCTCTATTTTCGAATTCGAACGAGAGCAGACCGCCATATCCCCCGTTTGGAGTCCGGCAAGCATCATAGAACTCTCTCGATGGATTGTACTTGGGGTAATAGACGGTCTTAACGAGCGGATGAGCTCCGAGAATACTGCAGATAAGTTCAGCATTCTCATTGATCCTCTCAATCCGAGAGACAAAGTGACGGCTATTGCGTTCCATGAAGATAACATCTTCGGCCCAGTAATTATCTTCATGTTCGGCTTCTGCGATCTTCTTGAGTGAGTGATAGTGTGGCCCTCGCGGATTGAGTATTGCGCTACCCCCCATAACATTACATTCCCCGGAAAATATTTTTGTTAAACTGCTGACGACAATATCGGCATATGGAAGGACATGGACATTGATAAAGTTTCCGATAGTTTCATCAACAACGACCGCAAACCCATAGGTGTCGGCCAACCCTCGAATCCTTGTGAGGTCGGGGCTTTTCAGCATAGGATTCCCAGGGAACTCGCAGAATAGGGCTAAGAATTTCTCTCCTGCCTTCAACCGAGCCTCGAGGTCGTCTAGGTCTTCTGACGAACCGTTCCCATAGAAGAGGCAACCAGGACCAAACTTCTCCAAAATTTTGAGCGTGTCGACATAAGGGAATCCAAACGAAATGCTTTTCAGATGGCCCCTGGCTTCGAGAAGCATTTGATGTGCAATAAATATAGCATTCATCCCGCAGGGATGCAAGTACACGTCATCGTCCGAAAGACCGACAACACCGCGTGTGTTCGAGGTCACATTCAGGCTTGGTGTGGCGGCGAGATCTGTTTCCCCCATCAAAGAACCAGCTATGCGTCGGCGAATAGCTAATTTGGCATTTTCGACGAAAGACACGTCAAGATTGCGTCCGAAACGTTCTTCAAGAAACTGGGAGCTTTCGCGAGCCTCGGGGATATCATTATCTGGGGTGCTTTGCTGTGCGGCGACCGCTTTTGTGCCACATTCCGGGGCAATTTGGATCCCCTGATCTATTGACCCCTTTTGGTAACGTCTCGGGCCTTTGCAAGATTTCTGGATACCATTCATATTATCCTTCGTCGGTTGAAGAGTCTTCTCGTCGATCAAAATCCCTTCCCGGAAAAGGCCATGGCAGAACTCCGCGCGCCTGCTCGAGACACCGTCCCCTGAATGCTGCCAATATTGCTTTGCAACCGAGAACAAGTCTTTAGGAAATATCACTGCTGAGACGGAAGGAGATATTTTTGCCAAGGACTCCGATACAACTTTGTTTTTATCCAAGACTAGGTCAACGAGCTGTATCTGATTGGGGGATATTGACGGGTCCCGAGAGTGCATGAAATTTACACATCTTCGAGAAGTCCTAAAAGAAGGGAATAGCATTGCTGCTTGGCCACCAGTACCATATCTCTGAACAACATCCTCTGCGAATGCTACAATGGCCTTGTGGATGAAGAAACTTCGTCATAGGCCGACTGTGAGCGTGGAACCTAACCAAATGTTGCAAGGGTTTAGTTAAATACATACCGTGGGTAACCCGTCGTCATTTTGCTCAGCACTCTCGCCTGGCCCTCCTCATAGCCAACATTGTCCGCCCAGGTTGGTAACGAGACACTCGATGCCTAGTTCCGAGGTAAAAGAGTCAGAAGCTTCCCGGCTGGTATTTTTCTATCGAGGCTTCCATCCCATCTAAGCCAAGATATCCAAGGCATACTATGTCGCGGGCAGTGGCGCTGGTCTGGGGCTGGGGCTGGCACTTACATGAGGCGTGAGAGCCGGTACTGACTCACCGAGCTCGATAATAGACATTGCCAAAGGTGGGTAGGAGAAACCAGTCTGGGTTTTGTCCCCGTCCTTAACGCTCAGCTCAGATCAGTTCAACTCCAGCTATTCCACGTGTCCAGTGTAACGTTTCTCTTTGCCGTCTCCTAAAGGTTGAGAAATGCCCCCAACTTCGGATAGTAAGTGGAACTTCCAAGTTGTAAATGTCAATGTGAAGCTTGAGGGGACATAGCGGTCGAAGTTCTGCTGCGTTATCGGCGGTGCGGCTTGGTCACCCCGCTACCACGTGATCGCGCATCCCCTGGCGACCTGGGCGCTTGCCGCGCGGCCATAGGCGCCCGCCTTTAGACGCGGCTAAAAGTTTCTTTCACCGCTTTATTCTGCCGATGCGAAAAGCAGCATCTTTTCCCCAAAAGCAAACGTGAAAAGGTTCCCCCGCCTAATAAACAATCAGTGCTCGACACTCTGTTTCCACATACAGATATCATTATGTCTCATATACCTTCAAAACGGCGGAAATTAGATCACGCCAACAGCAAAGATGAATCGCATTTATTGGGCGAATTGCAGCCGGATGCGAAGTTGGGGCAGCTAGACGACGATAGCGGAAACTCCTCTGAAGACGACCAAAGGAGCCTAGAACACGATATGTCGACGTCCAAGCCGCAAGCGCAAGGAAACTCGCTATCGAATCGGCTCAAGGACGATGATGAGCACGCGCTATATGCTGGAGGGTTGTTCAAGTCAAGCATGTTCAAGTTGCAGGTCGACGAGATGCTAAGAGAATTGCGGCCAAATTACGAGAGGAGGCTTCGTGGGGCCGACGATATGCTGCGCAAGCTTAAGGCCTGGATTGAAGACATCAGGGACAGTGATGAGCTCTCTGTGAGTCTTGTACTATAGGGTCTTTTGCAGTATTATTTGTGCTGACTCTGCTAAACAAGCCCGCGGATTGTGTCAAGACCCTTTTTAAATCACACAAAATTTCTGTCCCATTTCCTGATCCAAAGCCTGACAAGAATGCCGCATACAAATTGGGGTATCAGCGACCTTCTAGGATAAATGTGGTGGGAAGCTACACCCTAAACACCATGATTAAAACGGATGCAGTGTTATCCATTGACATGGTAGTCGTTATGCCCGCTTCTATCTTCCAGGAAAAAGATTATTTAAATTACCGCTACTTCTACAAACGAGCGTACTATCTAGCCTGTATAGCAGCTGGACTCCAGGATGTCGTACGTGACGAATATACGCTGAGTTTCAAGTACCTCGGTGGGAATACTCTACACCCTATATTGGTAGTCAAGCCCAAGTCAAGTCAGTATCACGCATCATGAGAGGGAATCAAACGTCTAACAGCGCACTGCAGATGAGGATAAGCCACACTCGGAATTCGAGATTCGTATTATTCCCGCCGCCCCCACAGGCTTCTTTGCTGAGTCTAAACTACGCCCTGAGAAGAATTCAGTGCGTCAGAAGGACGCAGCAGGCGGCAATTCCACCTCCCACCCGACACCCTTCTATAATGCCTCGTTGCGCGCCGACGGTAATTTTGAGGCGTACCTCAAACTCCTGCACGCGGCATCAAAGCTGTCAGACGGTTTTCTCGATACATGTCGCCTTGGCCGAATCTGGCTTCGACAGCGAGGGTTTGGAAGTTGCATGTCTGAAGGAGGGTTCGGGCATTTCGAATGGGCTGCTCTAGTGGCCCTCCTGCTGCGAGGCGGGGGCCCGAAGGGTAACAGTCTTCTTTCGCCAGGATACAGCAGCTACCAAATGTTCAAAGCTGTCCTTCAATTTCTGTCAACCAACAACCTCGCCGACAAGCCGGTTATTTATCAAGGGTCGGAAGCCATTATCTCAAAATCTGGTCACCCCATGCTTTATGACGGCCCAAGAGGCCAAAACTTGCTATACAAGATGACACCTTGGTCATACGGGCTTTTACGAGATGAAACTGCAATCTCATTAGAAATGCTTAATGACGAAACATTCGATCAATTTGAGCCAACGTTCACACAGCGAACTTCACAGGCTTTGCAGAGATACGATTGCATAGTGCGCGTCCCAGTGCCAAGAAATCCAGGTGGTTTGGTGCACTGTGATCACACATCAGATATGATGAGCTTTGGTCACCGCATATATGATGTCTTGCGGGAAGGTTTGACAGATAGGGTAAGATTAATTGACATCAAGATATCAAAGCCGTCTGCCTGGTCAATCAAGTCATCCGGACCACCTGTTTCGGAGAACTCTTTGCTGGTTGCAGTTATTTTCGATCCTCTAAATATAGGCCGACTTGTTGACCACGGCCCATCTGCAGAGGAGCGAAAGAAGGCGGCCAAGTTTCAAAATTTCTGGGGGGAAAAAGCAGAGCTACGGCGATTCAAGGATGGGAGTATCCTCGAGAGTCTCGTCTGGAAGGCCGGTTCAACCTCCTCGATCTTCCAGGACATTGTATCTTACCTCGTCGCTCGCCATTTCGGCATAGAGGTGGCCGGAGGTCTTAGCTTCATCGGAGAGGGGTTTGAAACGGCGTTGGCTTCTCCTGGCATAGCTGGAAAGCTATTTGATGTTCTTAAACAGGCTTTTCAGGTCTTCCAGAAAGACGTCACAAATTTAGAAGGGTTGCCGCTGCAATTGAGGCAGTTATCACCAATCAGTCCTCAACTACGGTACACTTCCATTGAGCCACCATCATTTAGCCCCCACCATCCCCTCCAGACACCTGCCGATGTTTTGATTCAGTTCGAAGGATCCGGGAGATGGCCAGATGGCATTGTTGCAATTCAACGCACAAAGATCGCGTTTCTACTTAAAATCGGTGCCCTTCTTCAGGAATCTAATAATATCATTGAGACCCGACTTGGTCTAGAGAACGGAGACCAACCTCTACAAAATTGCGCCTTCTTGGACGTGATATACGAGTCCGGGGCTGTGTTTCGGCTACGGATTCACAACGATCGGGAACAAGCTCTACTCGAGCGCATTATCAAAGATAAGTCGGCAGATCCTCAAACCCGGGAAGATGCAGTGTCAGCAATGTCGACGTATAAGAGGATGTTTATTCAACTCCCGCTACTAGCCCAATCCATTGCAACACATTGCACTCGTTTCCCCCTCCTGTCGCCGACGATTCGGTTGACGAAGTTATGGTTTGATCGTCACATGCTATCTGGGCATATTAGCGACGAGCTCATCGAGCTTATTGTATCCCGCACTTTTTTGCAGCCTTACCCGTGGCGGGCACCATCGTCTGTAATGACAGGCTTTCTAAGAACACTGATGTTTATATCGCGATGGGATTGGCGGCTTATGCCTCTCGTTGTCGACTTTTCTGGAACCATGACGGGCGAGGACGTTGCATCCATCAACACTCGGCTAGACGCTTGGAGGAAGATTGATCCGGGCATGAATCGGACTGTGCTTGTAGCTGCATCCAGCCACGATACAAGTGGGATTGCATTTACCGACACAGGGCCTTCAAAGGTGGTCGCTGCACGTATGAGTGCTCTGGCTAGTTCTGCGTATAAGTTGGTCAAGCATAAGGGCCTTGAACTAGATCAAAGGTCGTTATTTGCGGCATCAACAACTGACTACGATTTTGTCATCCACCTCTCCAAAGGTTTCACGGGGCGTCTAAAACAAAAAGAATCCTCGCGACAAAGATTCAAGAACCTCGAGGTACAGTCAAAGGCCAACTTGGATCTTGTTGGTTACCAACCGGTAGAGCTATTCCTTAACGAGGTTGGGAGTTTGTACACAAGCCATGTTGTCTTCTTCCATAGCCAGGCGGCGCCGACCGTCATTGCAGGTCTGTGGAATCCGCAGGCGGTCTCTTCCCGGCCGTTCAAGGTGAACCTAGCATATGCGACCAAGGTCTCCGGCGGCAGTGGTAAGGAGAAGGAGAATGATGGGGAGAATGAGGTGGAGATGGATAAGTCAGCGATATTGTCAGAGATTGCGAGGCTTGGTGGAGATATGATTTCACGTATAGAGGTTCATTAGAATTAGAGCCTCCGTCACCTTTCGCACTGGTCTCCTCGCGCCCTTTAGTACTATCATGTGGGCAAGGTGTTCATTTCATTAAAAAGCTGGAGTTGTTTAGAGAGAAAGGAATAATATATAGATATTATTAAATGTAGTGTATCCCGCCTAGCTGAGTCCTGTACTTCGAAGTATTTCAAGGAGCCTCGGCTCCGCGGGGTGTGCGTAGTACGTCAACGCACGAACCGCGAACCACTTCAGCGCGTCAACCGTCGCGTCGAACTTCAAGCGCCGCAAATTGCCTCCCGCGGAGTAGAAGCAAACGTTCAACTTCAGCTTCAGCTTCAGCCCCAACCCCAGACATACATCTACGTATAATTCGCGCATTTGGAAAGCCTGAGCGGAATCGGAATCGGTATGGCCCCTCAGAAGCGCTCGCGTCGCGACGCCGATGTAGATGGTGAAATTATAGCGGTTGAGAGTGCCAGCTCCAGCCTACAGCCAGATATTGTGAGTATTGCTCCAGTGAAGATATCACGAGGCAGGAACTTAGATCCTAAGTTCCATCGTGTATTCCGATCGTGAATTTCTTATTCGCTAATCAATTAAAATGGCCTAGCATCGTAAGAAAGCTCGACTTTCTATCAACCAAAGCCCTACCTCTGGACCTCCAAATGGCCGCGAACCAAGTCCAGCCCCTTCTTCCACCGTTGACGACGCAAGTTCACCCGAACCCGAGCGAGGCGACATGTCCGTTCTGCCTGGAAGCACACAATATGAGATCATGCGAGATGGGGGCTTTAAACATCTACAAAACCCGGATTTGGACGACGCGCGGGCAACACAAAGATTCCTCGCTCGAACTCAACAAATTGGAGATAATCACGCAGCCGACAATGCCATTATTGAGGAGATAACATGCTTCAACTTCATGTGCCACGATAGACTGCACGTCCAGCTCGGACCCCTCATCAATTTCGTCGTCGGTCTGAACGGGAGCGGAAAGAGCGCCATATTAACCGCCATCACTTTGTGTCTTGGAGGCAAAGCAGCGTCGACGAATCGAGGCGCCAGTCTAAAGAGCTTGATAAAAAGTGGCCGGGATCAAGCCGTTCTAGTTGTTAAACTCAAAAACCATGGCAATGACGCCTATCAACCAGATGTTTATGGACACTCGATTATTGTCGAGCGCCATTTCTCGAAGACTGGCAGCAGTGGATATAAGTTAAAGAATGCTATGGGCAGAATCATCTCGTCGAAGAAGAGTGATGTTGATGATATTATCGAATATTATCAACTTCAAGTGGATAACCCCATGAACGTACTCACCCAAGATGCCGCAAAGTCATTCATTACACAATCAACGCCGGTCCAAAAGTATAAGTTCTTTGTAGAGGGTGTTCAGTTAGAAGCCCTAGATAACGACTACAAGCTGGTATCTGATACCTGCGACCAGATCGACGGAAAGCTGAAAGATTCCGCAGGGGATATATGTGAACTCAAAAAAGCCTGGGAGGCTGCGAAGCAAAAAGCATTGATAGTCCAGCAACACGAGAAGATGAGAGAGAAGGCCCGATCTCTACAAAGACAAGCAGCTTGGTCGCAGGTAGAAGAGGTGGAGGCAATACTAGACGAGAAGAAATCCGCACTGGCTACAGCTCATGCAAGAATACAAGAGCAGGAGCGGAAGGCGGAAGAGAAGGGCCAGGTATTCCAGCATATGGACGAGGCTTTAGAGCGAGCCAAGGAAACCGAACGACAGGTTGAGGAGGAACTTGCCCCAATGAAAGAGGATGAGGAAGCTGCTAAGAATGCACATGACGCTGTGAGAAAAGAGATTGAAAAAGTCCATACCCAACGGCGCGAAATCAAAAACAGTCTCCTTGCTGGGCAAAAGAAGGTCGACAGCTACAAAAAGGACATTGAGACGGAAATGGGACGGATGGAGGATGCCAATGGTGGTGCTCAGGCTCGGAAGCAAGCCGAGATTCACGAGGCTGAAAAATGTGCTGCAGACGCGGAGACTGCTCGTAAACACAATGAGGATGAAGGTCCTACACTTCAAGAAAACCATCGAGCTAGCGAAGAAGAACTCGAGAAGTTAACGGGTTCTCTATTAGCCAAACGCCGTGAGGTCGAAAGTGTCCAACGACGGCTGCAAGAGCTTGGCCAAAATCAAGAAAATGTCATGGCAGGATATGATGCTAAGATGCCTCAATTGCTAAGAATGATTCAGAGTGAGCGGAGGTTTCGAGAGAAGCCAGTGGGGCCTATTGGCATGCATATCAAGTTGCTGAAACCGATTTGGTCGAACATGATCGAAACAACCGTGGGCAACACTTTAAATGGGTTTATTGTGACAAAAAAGTCTGATCAGCAACTGTTATCTAGCATGAAGCGGCAACTTAACATGGATTTCCCGATCCTAATTGGCAATCATCAAATTATCAATACGACTGGACATGAGCCTGATCCACGATATGAAACAATTTTAAGGGTCCTAGATATCGACAACGATCTTGTAAGGAACCAATTAATAATCGGACAGGCTATCGAACAATCACTTCTCATCAGCAGCCGAGAAGAAGGTAGTAAGATCATGTTTGATGGTCCAAAACCCCGCAATGTCAGACAATGTTTTACTCTTCACGACAAGAGAAGGGATGTAGGACATCGACTAGGTTGGATGGGACGAAATTCTAACTCTGAAATAATCCCTGTGCATTATAACCTACGACGACGACCACGGATGAAAACAGACGTCGACAGCCAAATTGCGTACCAGCGGGAGAGCTTAAACCAGCTCGAGCGCGAGAAGAATCGACTTGAAAGCGAATGTAATCAGGCGCGCACAAAAATACAAAGATGTGAGCACGCGATCATGCAGCACAAACGCGCCTATACAGACCTCAAGATCGATATCCAGAGAGCGAACGACCACGTCGAAGCCTTGCAGGCGGAGCTTGACCGAGACACTATCGAGGACGGCCGCCTCGATGCTCTTAGGGGGTTCTTGGCAGAGGCAGAGCGCGATTTATCAATAGACCAAGAATCGTATGGCAACATCGGCTTGGAAATGGAGCAATTGAACAACCAAGCACTTGCCCGGAGACGAGAGCTCGATTCTGTCAAGGAACGTCTAGCTGATCATGAGGCTAAACTCAGAAAGGCCCAACTCAAAGTAAGGAACACGGAACAAGCTCGCAAGATTGCTCTCGAGGAGAAAAATCTTGCCATTGCCTTAATTGAAGATTTTCAGGGCGAAAAGGCTCGCGCTGAACGGAAATTAGAGCAGCAAACCGAGCAGGTAGCGAGTTTTACTGAACAGGCCAGCAAAATTTCTGCTAGGGTGCCAGTGGATGAGGGTCAGACGCCTGCTAGTTTGGATGCCCAGATCAACGCTATTCGGGACCAACTTAAAGCCTACAACAAAAGGCTTGGTGGAAGCGACCACGAGATTAACGAGCAGGCATTGGAAGCTAAGAAGGTATATGAGGCCTCGAAGGTCCACAGAGACGAACTCCAAGAAATACTGCAACTTCTAAAGCTTTCATTTATGAAACGGATCAGTATGTTCCGACGTTTCCAGAGACATATCTCTGCGAGATCTCGTATCAACTTCAACTACCTCCTCAGTGAGCGAGCATTTAGGGGAAAGCTCACGATCGATCATGTTGCCAAACAGCTTGATGTGCATGTCGAGCCTGACGAAACAACGAAGAGCAGTCGGGGCCGACAGACCAAGACACTTTCTGGAGGAGAGAAATCGTTCTGCTCTATTTGCTTGCTCCTGTCTCTTTGGGAGGCAATGGGGGCGCCGCTTAGGTGTCTCGACGAATTTGATGTCTTCATGGACGACGTCAATAGAGATGTCAGTACGAAGATGATAGTAAGTTCTATACTTAAATATATCCTCAGCAAGTTACTAATTAAAAATAGATCAGTGCAGCCCGACGCTCGGTTGGGCGCCAATTCATCCTAATTACGCCAAAAGCGCTCGGAGCTGGTGCTGCTGATGCCGAGGATGTGCATATTATCAAGTTCGTGAAACCACCCTCGGCTCTACGGAATTTTGCTAATTATTATCTTTAGATTGACTGATCCCCGGGACAAACAGAGGCGGATAGATGAGATGTTACAAGATGACTAAACAGGATCTGGTAAGGGGGTGGGGGGCGTTGTGTGGCTCTGTAAGAATTTGTATCTGTACAATCATACCGGCCATTATAAATGATAATTTTACACCTTGGTAATATACACTCTATGCACCCTATTTGTGACCCCATTATATTTGTGACCCCTAAACCCTTACACCTTTACTCCTCATAACATTCAGGCCAGCGTGTGCTGTAAAACCAACCCATTCCGCAACACTCCCAACTACAGTCCCCAGCACCCTCGAATCCTCGAACCTCCGATCCATAAACTCCCTCGTCTTGCTATAGTCCGGTGACTTATCAGTCGTCATGAACAACTCGGTCGACGCATATATAGTGGCTAGCGAGGCGCGTTTTGTGTACCAGCTGGAATCGACTGATGTATCGCCCGCCAGAAACCAGATCTCATCCGATAAAGACGAGAGCTCTGATATAGACGTTGGGATGTTGGAAGGTTGCGCCATGAGTGCCAATGCCTATACAATCATACTTTTGGTCAGTAATTGTCAATAAGTAGTTTTAGGAGGAATTCCAACCTCCTGCCACCGATGTATCACACCCTTATTTGCCATCAGTCGTTCCCACACCAACGCCTTGACTTTCGCCCCAATCCCAGGTGGTTTTGCTCCTGGTTGCGAGGAAGTCTCGAGTATGTGCTTATGTTTGGAAAGCGCAGCGCGTTGTGTTACGAGGTGGTAGTGCACGATACTGAATGCGCCACGCGGGAAGAGATTGGTGGATGCATCGATATAGGATGCGTCTTTTGCGCCCAGCGAGAGCGTTGTGTGGGTGAACCCGTGGGTGGGGATGTGTGGGAGGGAGGCCGAGAGGATGGCTGTTTCAACGGGCGTGAAGGGCCCTGGAGGGGGGGGGTGAGTATATGAATGGTACGGCCGTGCTGAACATCGTGGTTTAGGCGTAGATATAAACCCGCGGAGGAAAAGGCCAGTGGTAGACTTCGATGCCATTGTGTTGGGTTGTGAAAATGATAAGGAGATATCGAGTGATAGTTGAATGATGTTAAGTACGGCGGCGTAATGGGCACGCCTGGTGCGGAACGGGATTTCAAGACGCATTACTCAGACATAAGTCATCCAACCCCTATACCCCATACCCCCTTTTTTTCTCGCTTGCCACCGAGCCACAGTTTTCTATACAGTCCAAATACTATAATATATACGGAGGATAATTAAACTAGAGGGATACTCTGGCGCACGGAGAAAATGACACGCCATGATATTAGGAGAGAGGAATTCCTTGATCTGGCAATTGAATGGAAGGATGTGTACTTGCTAATGTGCTGTTTTTAACCCGTTGCCTCAAGCTATCACACAAATCTCAATTCTACAAAGCGCCAGATAGGTGCATCCTTCAAATGCAACCGGTTTATTTGAAGACCAGAAACGCTATTAGGCATGGTATAGCGTGGTGGCCGGGCCGGAGGCAAAAGGGCTATTTGTCAGGGAAGAGGGCCATGCGATAGTTCTCAAGCTCTCAGAGAGATCTAAGGAAGGATATGATTTAGTCGCTTATGGAAGCTCGATGGTATATGGGGATAAAGGATATGGCAGCCGAGGCTGTTGAAGTAGTTCAAAATGGCCAGGTATCAACCTACCCTACCTCAGAAGAAATGAAATATTATCGCTATATGTAGGATATCGATACTAGTGTTCATCAAGGCAGCTCTAGTGGGGTCATAAAGTACCTGATTACTACATTCTTTTCGACGACGAGCAGCCAAATTCTGACAGCGATGATGACCTTTTGTGAGTTTCGAGCCGTATAGAAGATGCGGCTAGACAAAAGGCTGGTACTAAATTAAAAAGCAAGGTTTTCACTCTATAACGGGACTCTGGTGTCTTCGATACTTGGTTCCCATCCGGCCGTTAACCCTTGACAGATGATCTAGCCGATTTCTATGCTAATGACAGCTTAGGATATTTCTATTTTTCTAGTTAGCCTGCATGACCATTCTCGGCTTGAAGCTTGATGGAGCAATCCCGTTTTGCAAAGTCTATTGTCATGTCACCCTATAGTCAGGAGTTCCGAGGGAAGGCAAATGTTGAAGTCTTTGGGAGATGTCATTGACCCACTGTATGTTATTCGGGGTATTTAGAAGCTGGAACAAGGCAATTTGAACCCCAAGAAGTTACAACTGGCGATGAATACCAGAAGTCAACTTTCCCGGGTGGCATTCCGCAAAGTGGAACTGATACTCTTCGGTTTTCGCTTACTACTTATCGCACTGGAGGCAGGTTCCCGACGTTTGCGCAATACCAAGCACTGCTAATGACTTCCAGTTACTAGTGTTGATTTTGATATTAAAGTTATTTGTGGTTGGCGTAGACTCTGCAACAAGATTTACGAAGCAGCGAAATATGTATGAATCTGTTTAAAGCGATACTTTATTCCCAACTCAACACCAGCAAAGGCCGGAAAGGAATCCCTTGCTGAAGGTGGATATTACATAAAATGTCGGATACGGCCAAAATCATGAATGGTGCTTTGGAGAAAGGGAGTTCGGCCGTGCAGCAAGCACCATACACCAGTATTGGTTGCATGGTCTCTGTGATACCTACATCGTACCCGCCCGGTTCCTGCTGACAGACCAATCACCGATATCTTGTAGGAACATTCAAAAGTCTATACTGAATCTAATTACGAGTTGATCCTAGACGTGTAGAGGCGCTCGTTCTCTAGTGGTTGCAGAATGCTGAGAGGGTCAAGTTGGCGGGTTGCGAGACCGAGATCCGGAACATAGCTGAGATATTCACTCGCTAATTCGAGAGCTTGAAGCTCGCCTGATCTCGAGAGTTGTTTGGAACCTTTCTGTTGCTCAGAGAATAATGGAGACGGTCTAACGTCTCACTTCGAACACCAGGCCGAGCTTCGTAGTAATAGTCGCCACAGTAGGAATACCAGAGTGGCAGCATTCATAAAGTCGCCGATTTCTTTAATTTTCGTGCCTTTCTCCCATTTAGCCCAAAGGTTACATTAATAGAATCAAAAATACAGTGTCGGTCTCGTCCATATTTATATCAACACACATGGTCCACATAATAGGATGGCAGCGCTGTAAGCATTTGAAGGCTATAGGATTGCCATATGCAACGGTTAATATTCTATACCTGTTAATATCTTTCCCTCCTAGAATATATATTAGTTTATTTAATGGGTTTAAATTAGCCACGACATGCGTCGCGCCTGGAATCATCGGAGGGATCGAGGCATCGACAATTGATACATTCGGGTGGGCATTGGACGGACCCGTTAGTTCATTATTCTTGAGGGCACAGAGGATCTTGTCATCGATCTGGTACTACCAGGCCCAACCTCGACGGGGCCAAGAGAGAACACAACCCAAGGGATATATACACGTATGTATGTATACCTTACCTTACGGGCCTTCAGCGGAAGCGGGAGCGGCGCGCCGGATCGCAAAACTTAGTCAGCGTCAGTTTCAAGTGTTGGATGGAAGCATTCAAGCAGCTCTTCCTCCATCCTCCTCGTGATAATGAGCAGGGTTTAATTACTCGTATATACCACGGTTCCTGTGGCTAAGAAACCTCGTAGTTATGGAAGCCACCATGGAAGTCGACCACGCGGGCCCGTCAGCTCCACCATCCTCAAATGAAGCAGGTGTCGTTCTGCGCGCCTGCACTCATTGCGCTCGATCCAACGCAGGATGTGTTGGTAGCCTAGAATTGGGTACTGTCTGTCTAAGGTTGCATTGTTCCTTTCCCATTCGGAATTGTAGCTTATTGGGTATAGATGCCATCGTCTGCAGAAAGTTTGCGAGCGGACCAGCGTTCCCATGAAGGCGCAACCCAAGAAAAGAAAGCATACTGAAAAAGGGTAAAAAGTTCCTCCGCTAGGGAATCCACAAATCTACGCCTTCATCCAGTCGCCTGTCGAAGAATCGTGTTGATAAGCTCGAAGAAGAACTAGATGGCATTGTTAGTTTACTTACGTCGCATGAAATCGGTGCGAGAGAAACACCAATTCGGTCAATAACTGCCACGCCTATCGATGGGAACGCGAACTCGGGTTTATCGCTTTCTATGGTTCAAACAATTGATTCCAATATCCCTGCACCCGATCAAGCAAGACACTGGGATAATCGACTCCTAGTTGGGGGGTCCCTTGAAATACGGTTCGGCCTTCCACCGGAGAGTGCCAAAGACATGAGGGCTGACATATATCGGCTACCCCCAATTGATCTTGGCTCTAAAGATGCTAACCAGCTATTGCGAATTTTCCGAGATGAAATGAACCCAAGCTTCCCATTTATCAGCATTCCGGATTCGGTGAAGGCCTCGGAGCTTCGTCGAGACCAGCCATCTTTGTTCACTTCGGTGATGGCCGTTACTTCTCGCAACTCTTCTCGGCAGATCTCACTTGGAAAGCTCTTCATGAAGCAGATTGCGGATCGAATTCTTGTGAATGGAGATCGAAATATAGACCTCCTGCTCGGCATCTTAACTTTTTCTACTTGGTAAAGTAAGTGCCTCGGGTTACTGCTACTTATACTGACGCATTATAGGCGTTGTTATCACTTCTTCAACGCTCCAGGTTTAACTATGCTGCTCTCTTCTGCTAGTACGCTTGTGGGTGATCTAGGATTGCACCGACCCTCCGGAAAACAACAAACAGGTCCGCCCAAGTCAGAAGTATATAATGTAGATACAGCCTCTAACAGAACTAGGTAGAGCAATAGAGCAACGCCGTACTCTCCTAGGCTATTACTATATCCTTTCAATGTAAGTCGCCATTCCTGGCATGAAAAATCACGTTAACACGGGAAGCGTGTCGACGTTCTTCCGCCGACTAGAATCGCCGAGATGGGCCCCATACCACGATGATTGCTGTGACATCTTGAGTAATGCCGGAATCCATCGAGATGACAAGTATGCCGTTGCGCTTCTTAGAATTCAGTTGTTTGGGGAGACGATTAGCCACAACCCTTGGCACGGCGTATCAGACACCGTTGCAACTACAGTTCCCCCATTGCTTTACGTGAAAAATCTTCAGGAATAGGCCAAGGGCATCCAAAGGGACACAATGTCAGAGCAGCATAATAATGGTCAGCCTCTTCTCATTTTTCAGGGGCCAAAATGTTCCACAGCCTAACACACCTTCGAAATAGTGTCCGTCCTTCTCAGCTACCAAAATACCAATGTTGAATTATACAAGTTCGCCCTTTCGAAGTGTTCAGCCCTCTCAACATTCACCTTTCGCGAGTTCAATCGCCTTGAATATCTTTACGCACGTCTCGAAGCTGTGAAGTCTTTTTTTGATACGTGGCTCACGATACCTGTTGCTAGGCTTCACAGTTATTCGACAACCATGTCTTGTCAATTTATGTGGGATCTTGGAATTCTTCAACTACTATCTACTTTTGAGCATCCAGGCTGGGATTTGACCTGGGTCAAGGAGACAATCAACTTCACAGAGCTTCTCGGAACATTAGCTCGGCGATTTGACCAAGGGAAATAAGTTCTTGGAATGGATGCGTATACGAGCGATCGAGTCGACGTTTACTCTCAGGCGGGGAGTAAGATGGCTTGGATGAGAAATTATTTCCAAGAACAAACCAATCTTGACCAGCCGAGGCCACCTGATGGGAAATTCGCACATGATCGCGACGAGCCCGATCTTCCAATCGCAGGAGCATTCGGTGATTTTGACTTTCTGAACGATGCGTGGATGCGAGATATATTACCCGGACCCTGGGAATATCACAGCGTGTAGTAACCAAGCGGGGTCGGGTCGAAAAGTGCGTTATTCGGGTTCTCCGTTCCGATACGGGACCGGAGCAGTGTCAAAAATGCATACTCCCGCCCCGGTGGGCCACGCCCGATCATAATACTGAAGTGCCCTGCCCGGTCGTGTAAGGTAAATAAAGCTCTTTCCTTCGAACCTTTCCTGACTCCCACGGATCATTCAATTGTTAAGAACGCTGCTTTTTAGTGAACCGTATATGTGTGGCAGCAACTCCTAAGACTGAAGCTCAACATACAACACACTTTCATCAATTCAGCCAGCACGCTAAGAATAGAAATGGAGAAACAACGCGCCGAAGGTAGATCTGTAGGCCCAACACTCAAGACTCTTCGATACGCGAACATGGAGAAAAGAGTTCGCAATCAGCCACGCTGGTCATAGAGCCCAATGCTGAAACCCTGACGACGGCCGGAGAAGAAGAGCCCGAGTACGTGGCGGGCTTCGAGTTAGCTGTGGTTTACTTTGCCGTGACCTTGGTTTGTTTTCTCATGCTGCTTGATATGTCAATTATCACTGCAGTAAGAGGTTCTCCTCGACTTCTTTTCTTACTCATGAAACATAACAATCTGCGAAGGCAACTCCGAATATTACAAGCGAGTTCCATTCTCTCCAAGACGTCGACTGGTATGGAAGTGCATATATGTTGACGTGGTAATTGTACCCACAATCTTCAGATTTCAAGTTTAAATATCTTCGTTTAGCGCTGCTCTACAGCCGATGACTAGCAAACTGTATGCTCAATTCAATGTGAAGGTTAGTTACAACTGCTTTTCCGATCTGACTTCATTGTTATTCAATCATAATTCAGTATACATACCTAGTATTCTTTACTCTCTTCGAATTTGGTTCTTTGTTATGCGGGGTCTCGACTTCCTCTAAAGTGTTTATAGTCGGGAGAGCGGTTGCTGGTATGGGAAGTTCTGGGATTATGAACGGCTCTCTCACAATAATTGCTATGTGCATCCCTCTTTCCAGGAGAGCTAGTAAGTCTTTTTCTCGGACAACATTCCGCTCTACTGACTATCACAAATACAGTGTATATAGATAGTCTGATATCTAGTACGTCGAACTCGAGTCGCTGTGAATCTAGATTTTAACACGTGCAGTTGTTCAATTTGGGATGTTGTTTGGCCCACTTGTCGGGGGCCTGTTGACAGAGTACACAACATGGAAATGGTGTAAATATAACCTATCCTTAATTATCTCGAGGGGGCCAGGTAAACTTGCTCACATCGTCTTAGGCTTTTTATCAATCTTCCAGTCGGCGGACTGGCAGCCGGTGCTCTTTCATTGATCCAAATACCCAAAGTCCGCGCCATCAACCCTGCACCGAGAAATAACTTTCGAAGCTTCTACCATGATCTAGATGTGGGGGGGTTCTTGCTCTTTACTCCTACAATGGTTATGTTCCTCCTTGCGCTTCAATGGGGTGGTTCAACGTATGCCTGGGATAGCCTAGTGATCATCGGTCTCCCCTGCGCATCTGCTAGCAGTCTTACACTGTTCTTGGGCTGGGAATATAAGGCAGGAGACTCTGCTATGATTCCTTTTAAATTGGTCAGAAATCGAGTGGTCTATTGCGCTTGTCTATATATATTCTTCTTCTTCGCAAACAACCTAATCACATCACACTACCTAGCCATCTATTTTCAAGGTGTTCAAGGCGTCACACCCACGTTGAGTGGCGTATATATGTGACCTGGAATTTTTGGGCAGATGGCGACAGGCGTTCTATCTGGGCAGGCAGGTATGCGTGAATTTCCCCACTGTTTAAGATGGCGCCGATGCCCTCAAGTCACCTACCTCGGCTTCTACCTGCCATGGGCAATCATTAGTCCAGTGTTAGCATCCATCGGATCGGGACTAATCAGTACCTTTACTCCTGACACGAAGGTAGCTACATGGGTGTGTTACCAGATCATTGGAGGAATCGGACGGGGTAGTGGAATGCAAATGGTAATGTACTACAATCGTTACAGCCAAATCTCGACCAGACTAATGCTTCCTTTTTCCAGCCAATATTAGCAGTCCAAGCAAGCCTTCCTCCGAGCCAGGTGGCTGTTAGCATGGTTCGCGGCTGGAGCTGGGGCAGCCGGCTTCTTCTTTAGCTTGGGTTTGGGATGGAAGAGTGTGAAAAAGCCGAAGGTTGGTGTACTCGAGACTTGAGAAGTTTGGTCTAGGATGAATGGGTATAACAGTATCGGCAACAATTTGATTTTATTCACAGAGGCAGACAGGAAACTCATGTATAACAAAACTGTATTGGTTATCATTTGGCAAGGCATAGAAATATGTCCACAAGACAAATTCTAATATAAAAGTTGCAAGAATCTCTTGTAGTCCAACTTCAACGGTCCAAATCCAACAATGAGTACTTGTATTTTGGAAACTTCCAGGACTATCACGTAGCTCAACTTCAGTCATATTCGAGTACTTGGTCAAGTTAGCTTTCAATTATTCACAAAATGGAGAGGGACGCAAGATGGTCACATGAGGCGAAAGCAACACTAATATATATATTGTCGTTCTATGTGTTAAGTATGAAGATCTTCTCCGTCAACTAACTTCACTAGAAATTGCCAGCCTCTGTTTTTGTTTGTCTGAGCAATGTACACCTAATGTGGCCGAGGATCAAAACAGTACGATTGCCACCTACTAAATGACCCTTACTAGCTGTGTCTCTTATCAATCACACTTTCCGTGGAATGAGGTTTTTACCTCAAGTAGTACTCCGACCGGCAGTAACATAATCTACGATAGATAGCCTAGGTTAATACCGTGCAGGTGAAGAATACTCTAGTAGACCTACCATTTGCTTCGAAATTCAGTCCTTAGTTTCCGGTTGAAGCCCGAAGTCAAAGTTCCAAAGTATCTTAGCCAGAATTAAACGCGACTCTGTGTACGCCAAACTACGAAGCATTAGTGCTGGGGAGAATTGGAAAGGCACATCCACAATTGAGGAACTTTGTACTCACTTGCGTCCAATGCAATTCCCAGGGCCTATACTGAAAAGCTGCAATGCCTTCTTATTGTCCTTCTCATAGATAGCTGGAGCGTCCTTGAGCCAGTGCTTTAGAGCAAACGTCCCTGGTTTGGCGAAGTTCTTGCTGGAGTTATACGCCGCCCATTGAGTCACATAAGCCGCGGTGCGAGGAAGCACATATCGATCACAAATTATGCCTCCCTAGTAAATTGTCTTGTGGGCGAGACCGGATGGTACAGCGGTATATAATTGAACCCCTCTTTTACTACAGGCAGTAAAATATTCCAGAAAACTACTCACAAGTGCTGGCTGTTTCAAGGCGTATAAGACGAAAAGATACACTCTTCCTGCTGCAGAAGATTTACCGGTGTTGGCAGGGAATTATTTCTTTGTTTACAAGTATCTCGTGGACTTGGGAGACTACGCAGAGGTTATCTGAAACAATAATACAAATGGCTTTGGCTGTCCGAAGATCACCGAAAATGTAAGCATTTGGCCCAGGCCAAACATCCCCGAACTGCGTAAAAAGACGTGGCATCCCGGATGTCGCCGAGAAAAAACAATGTAAGGGGAAAATTCACAGAATGGACTACACGCAGCAACTGTGTACGGAGTATACGTCGCAGTATTCTCGGTAGGGACCAGCACAGCCAGGATACCAAGGCCAAGGGATTTTACAATACATGTTCCCTACTAAACAAAATAACGTTTATTCGCCAAACGATGAAATTTAATGAGTTAGCCGGACAGTGAAAGTGATATATGCGTTATAATCGGACTTAGAGTCATATATTCTGCGACTGGTTGTCTATTTCGTCCCAAGTTGGACCTTCTTTTCACTACTCATGTGACCCTACGCTACTCAAACCCCTTCCCCATGTAGGAACTTCGCGTATAGATCTTCATTTGTGTACAGCAACGATTCGGGAAATATGAACTTGAGAGTACTACCCCATCAATGATCTCGTTTGCTGGGACGATTTACATCGCCACCAGCTTGCCTTCCTCTACACGGTCCACGGAGTGCTGGATTGCGGGAGAAAGTCGACCAATGGTAATGTAACTAGTGATCATTAGTTGGACTTGTAGTTTGAAGGTGATCAAGGGGTTTCGATTAGGGTCATCTCTCATCTCAAGGGAGATGTCAAAAGCGGTTCTCGAGCGTGACAACAAGACATCGGTCATCGTAGAGCTTTCGATGCTTCCGCTTTCAGCCTGGCCTTGCTTATAGTCAAAGACTGCATGGAAAAGAAGTGCATGAGTTGTTTTGTGTGGGATATCAAGACGTTGGAGGGGAACGCCATATGGCATTGTCGAGTGCTTCTGAGCAGTCGCGCACATGTTCTTTCGTCTGCCACAATGCCTCACCGAACGTGCCATCTGCAGGAGATGGACAGGAAGCAAGTTGAAGATGTATCCAAGCGTTGACAGGTCGTCTAGGCCTATTCGATTTGCATCTGCAACGCCGATGGTTATGTCCGTATTCCAGATAGCCGTGCGAGCAAGATATGATAAGCAGCTAGATAGAATCGCATTCCACCTCCTAATAAGCAATGTCAAGATCTATTCGTCCGCTTTTAAACTCCATTCTCTGTCGGGCGGCCAAGTCAGTATATTGAGGCGGCGCGGACAAGACCTTTCAGAAGTCTTTAGAGAATATACTAAACATAGCTACTTCTAAAAAGCTTTTATAATTATCTCATCTAAGATCACTAATCTAGAATCAGCTACTTGGTAGCTCGATACTAAGCGCTATCTTTCTGATAATTGGTTGACAAAAGTCGTATTTCTTGGCATCTATTATTTATTGATGTGGGTAAACTTAGTGTTCTATGCACATACTATAGCTTTTATCCTTCGCCAGCAACGCCAATTCATATTATACATAAGCCTATTTGCATATTTCATATTATATTTCGATTCCTCCTACGAGCCTATGAAACTATGAACGGCTTACAGGATCCCCCTTTATAAGCTTACTTAGAAGACAGAAAGTCTACTAAGTTAATTGGTACCTATATTATTACTACAGGACTAGAACTCTAAAAGCACCATCCTACTTATAGGGTACTTGTAAGTTTTCAAATAGGACCGAAAGGCTTCACAACGTAGACTTTTACTATTCTCGTACATTCGCATATAGCCTTATTCCACAACACATCATGCGACGCAATGTAACCCTACAAGAGCAAAACATACCACTGTAAGAACGCTATTTCGATCGATTAAAACACAACAATAGCTATTGGTGGAAATGCTATCCTCAATCTTGAGTCGGTGGCTTATTTCTCCGGGAACCAAGAACGTTGCTGGTAAGTACCACAACCCCACTGGCAGATGATCACAGAGTACAGGTTACCAACCGCGTATTTAGTAGCACAAACTGCCGGAATGGGAATTGGCGAAATTGAATTGCCGGGCATTGATAATGATACCCAGGCAACTAATATTACTATAAGCCTTCATAGGTTCCCGAAGGTGGGTTAAAACATACTACTGCCACAATCGTTATGAACTACAATTTGTTCCATGCAAACATAAGGAGAACATCACATTTCAGGGTAAAGGAAGCGCTGAAATTATTTCCCGCTAATTTATGTTTACTCCGTATGTTAATTATGAGTATATCAAGGACCACGGCTGCTGTTGCAGTAATATATCATTACGATGGTACTCTGTGAAGAAAGTGAGTCGGGAGATACTATCTTGCCTTTGCTTGGGAACGATGTACTGCGCGAGCATGACTGCATAAATATAACATACTACGTGCGGTCTCAGTTCCTGTCAATACTTACAGAGAGGTGTTCACTGTTGAAAAATTGGCTTTCCGCACGCGCGATGGGTAACGCTTGCGGGGTTCTCTCTTTGGGCCTCCTGCTGTCGATAAACCTCCCGCTTGTAACTGCTCGCGAACGGATCAGCCTCAATGTAGGATGGCGCTTTTCGCGCTTCACGTCCAACCCCGATAGCCTATCGCACATCACGCTGAAGCCCTGGATGCTCCCTTCGAGCAATGACTTTATTAGCGGTGCTAAACATCGGCGTCCTTCTGGAACGCCTCCGGGTAGTAATGTCGAGTATGTGCAACCATCTTTTGATGATAGCGCCTGGGAGACGCTCAATCTGCCGCATGATTGGGCAATCAAGGGGCCTTTCAACGCACCTGGTATGGGAGGGAGTATCGGTCGACTGCCGATAGACGGAGTAGGATGGTACCGCCGGAAGGTCTCGATGAGCTCAGACGCCGCGGGCCAGAATTTCTTCTTGGATATCGACGGCGCTATGTCGTATGCGGCGGTCTGGCTTAACGGGAACTTGGTTGGCGGATGGCCGTACGGCTACGCCTCATTTCGTCTCGACCTGACGCCGTACATGAAGGTTGGCAATGACAACTTGCTTGCTATTCGACTGGACAACGCCCCGAACTCGTCGCGTTGGTACCCAGGTGCTGGCATCTATCGAAACATCTGGCTCGTCACCGCCAGCCCGACGCATGTTGGCCAATACGGCACATACCTCACGACACCAGCTGTGTCCGCCCAGTCCGCCACGCTGAGCTTGACGGTCGACGTGGAAAACAGAGGAAGCTCGAGCCAGGGAGTTGATGTGCGAACTGAGGTGTACGAGGTCGATCGCGCAACGGGACGAGCCGGCGCCGATGTAGTCGCCACCTTTCCCCCCGCGACGGCGAGTGTGGCGGCGGGCGCCAAAGCGTCTGTCAACTGCTCTGTTTCGGTCGCCAACCCGCGGCTCTGGGGACCACCCCCTATACAGACGCCCAACTTGTACGTGGCCGTGACGACTGTGTTTGTTGACAATGCCGCCGTCGATACCTACGAAACCCCGTTTGGGATTCGTGCCGTGACATATGATGCCAACAAAGGGCTTCTAATCAATGGCCAGGCCGTGCGGGTCCAGGGGACGAACAATCACCACGATCATGGCTCCCTCGGGGCAGCTTTCCACGTCCGGGCGGCGGAACGGCAGCTCCAGCTGTTGCAAGAGATGGGGAGCAATGCGCTCCGAACATCACACAACCCACCGGCGCCGGAACTGCTTGACCTGGCTGATCGGCTGGGATTTGTGGTTCTGGATGAGATCTTCGACACCTGGAGCCGCGCGAAGACTAGCAATGACTTCCATTTGATCTTTGCCGACTGGAATGAGCCAGACCTTCGATCATTCATCCGGCGTGACCGGAACCATCCCTCTGTGATTGTCTGGAGCTACGGCAATGAAATTGGGGACCAGGGAAGCGCTTCTGGTGGCTCCCTCGCCCAGCCGCTGTACAGCATGATGCGCGCGGAGGACCCGACACGACCATCCACCTCTGCAATGAACAGCGCCTCGGCAGGCAGCTCCTTTGCGAACGTCCCCGATATTGAGAGCCTGAACTATCAGGGCGAGGGCATCGGCACCTCAACGTCGTCGTCGTTCCCGGGTTTCCACCAGACATACCCGAACAAGATGATCTGGAGCAGCGAATCCTCGTCAGCAGTCAGCACACGGGGCACCTACATCTTCCCAGTCACGAGCGCTAACAGCGCGACTGTCGGCAACGGCTCTGGTGGAAATTCCACGACGAGGCAAGTCAGCGCCTACGAGCTGTACGCGGCATCATGGGCGTCGTCCCCTAACAAGGTGTTTGCACAGCAGGACCGGTACCCCTACGTCGCCGGCGAGTTTGTCTGGACGGGTTTCGACTACCTGGGGGAACCAACTCCGTATGATGCCTCCCGCAGCTCCTATTTCGGCATCATCGACCTGGCGGGCTTCAAGAAAGACCGCTTCTACATCTACCAGGCGCGCTGGCGCTCCGACTTCCCCATGGCCCACATTCTCCCTCATTGGACCTGGCCTGAACGGATAGGTCAAGTCACGCCGGTCCATGTCTTCTCGGCGGCGGACGAAGCTGAGCTATTCGTAAACGGGAAGTCGGCGGGCAGGTTGAAGAGAGCTGGCTCCACCTACCGCTTCCGATGGGATTCGGTTGTTTATCAGCCCGGCGACCTACGTGTGGTCGTATATAAAGACGGGAAACAGTGGGCGGTGGATACTCGGAAAACAGTTGGTGATGCTACAAAGCTAAACATGACCGCTGATCGAACTACGATCAGCGGTGACGGCTATGACTTATCCTATATCACAGTTGCGGTCGTCGATAGCAATGGGGATATCGTGCCGCGGGCAACGAACGCTCTCACGTTCTCTATCTCCGGCCCCGGCCAGATCGTGTCGACAGACAATGGGGACCCAACTGACATGGTTGCGTTTCCAACACTAACACGAAAGGTCTTTAGTGGCCTCGCGCTTGCTATTGTACGTGCTAATACCGGGGCTTCTGGGCAGGTGAGCGTCTCGGTGGCCGCAGCTGGATTGACGGGCGCGCAGGTGTATCTGCGAATTAGATAGCAAACTACTCGCGAGAAAACTTTAGGGCAGACCGCCGAAGTAAAAAGTTACTAAGTATAGATATACTATTTAGTAGGTAGTTTATTGTAACGGTTCCTATAGTTCCTCCGGCGGGGAGTCGTATTGGAGGTGTTCTGTTTCGTTTGCGTAGCGAAGTAATACAGTGATCTCTTTTAATGATCCGTAAATGATGTCAGGGTGAGTGAATCACGGAAGGATTCAAGTGTAATCAAGGTAAACTGTTATAATTGATATTTAAGAATCAAGTTGAGCACGAAGCTCCTATCTAGTAAGGAAATTACATTGCTTATATAGAACTTTCCTGCTCCTAGATCATAGTGAATCGATGATTCCCATGATTCTTTATACGAATGGATCATTGATCCTTCCCGATCTATTTACTATCACGTGACCTCGTCACATGCCTCTATAGTTCTTTGTAGTAGTAAGTCATACTACCCGAGCCTCAGGCCATAAAGTTAGCGTTCGTAACACTATCCCCCATGTGGCCTAGCGTAGTCCCTTAGCTTAAAGGTCATATCGAAAACATCGAACGTCAGGTATAGCCTTCTTCCTTCTTCATTATACTACCCCAACGTACCCTGAAACATAAAGAGAGAATCATTCTCTGTAACAAAATAAATTCCGACAGTATCGAAATGCTGCCCTACACGAGTTGCGAGAAGTACAGGCGGTCCTACATTGTTTTGAACGAGACGTCGAAAAGGTGTAGTGAATACGTTCGTCGTAGTGTGAAATGTAACGTGAAAGGGATTTCGTTCTCCAACCTGGAGTCTCTTCAACGCGAGGAGGCCCGTCTCCAGTTCGAGCGAGACGCGGCCTTTACTGCGGCTATAGAGGGCCTTGCTCGAGTACAACAGCTCGAGAAACAACAGGCTCTTGTCAAGAGACGGGGTGCCGAGTTAGTCCGGCGCAAGCTCCGCGACTTGGACGAGCTAGATGAAGCAGAGGAAAGAGAAAAGGAGGAAAAGGAAATGGAAACCTGTCGTGAAGCGGAGTCGAGGCAGCTGGCTGCTACGACTGGCGGCCCAAGCGGCGACTTCTCTTTCGACCTTGGTCCCCTGCCGGGTCCTGATGACCCGATCTGGGCAACCTTCGATTTTGGTAGTAGAACTCCTCAAATATCTAGCAGCAGTTGAAATAAGTCCTAGGTTCCCATGTATTTTCCGAATATAAGTAGTCCAACTATTTGATCAAATATTTGACCATGCCCCTGACTCATCTATAGTCCAATATCTGTTCGACTTCGTACTCGGCGTTTAAGTTGACTAGTTCTATTTCGGTTATTAGCGCTAGCAGTACGCCTAGTAATACTAGTTCAAGGAGAGAAATATAGAAAACCGGAAAGATGTTCATTGACTTTGGTAGAACAAGCTCGTAATTCAAACGTCCCTTGAATTTCTTAATTTTGAATAGTCCCAATTTCTTGTAGTCTAGTTTATCGCTTAGTCGTTTAATTTTAATATTTTTTCTGAGTAAGTAAACTCTGTCCCCTTTCTGTAGCGTTAGCTCCTGACTACACTTCGAATTATAGTACAAAGCGTTTTTTTCTATAATAAACTGAAGCTCGCTACTTAGTTCCTTATACAAGTCTTTGATTTCGTTTGTCTAGACTCGTACTAACTAGTTATCGATATCTGATATCTAGACCTCGTGATAAACACTGACGTTATATCCGTAATTAGCAAAGAATGGCGATACTTTCGTTATGTCCGTGATTGTACTATTGTATATAAATGTAGCAAGTAAGAATAACGATACCCAATTGTCCTATTTGTAGTTGACATAACAGCGTAAGTATACTTCGATTGTCTGATTCATTCTTTCTGTTCTACTATTTATTTGTACGTGGAAAGTAGTCGATAGTTTCCTCTTAACTCCTAAATAAGCAGTTAAAGCAGTCCAAAACTTAGATGTGAAGAGCTTATCTCGATCGGAGATGATTTCTTCTGGCATCCCATGTCTTGCTACGACTTCTCGCAAGAAGGCGAATACAAGTTCTTCGGCTATACTAGATTCTAGATATAGAATAACAGTTATATATTTCGTAAACTGTTCGATAATAACTAGGATTGAGTCGTATATTACCTCTGTCATTGGATCTTTAGAAAGCGGGAGTTTAACAATAAAGTCCTATTAGATCGATTTCTATAGTTGTTCCGGAATAGGGGTAGTTCCTATCTTTCCGTACGGAGCGTGTCGCACACTCTTGTTGCGAATGTAAGTGTCATACTCTCTTACTACTTACTTGACTACGGTGTTAATTTTGTCAATGTAATAGTGTTATCTGATTCGCCAAAAGGTCCTGCTAATTCCTTGATGCCTATGAGCCGGTGCTGCATAGTACTTGAAGATGAATTCCTTTGCGAATGTGTCTAGGACCTGCAGCTTCCTATTAGTGTAGTCTGTATGTTCCTAATCTTTCTTTTGGGCCTAGATGATCTCATCATCCTATAGTCCCTTGGTCCGGCTGAGGGCGGCGATCTCCTTCGTATTAGGAACAAGGTTCCCGTCTTTATCTTCTCGAAAGATTGCTACTTTCTTGTAGACTTTGTCTCTTTCGTACCCAGGCTGCTTGCTCAATGTGTCGGCCCTGGGGTTGTCAATTCCTTTGACATACTTGATTCTCAAATCAAACTGAGAAAGTTCCTCTGTCTATTGTGCTATTCGTCGATTATCTAGGACTTTAGTAGTCATAAAAGTTCTGAGATTCGCGTAGTCGGTACATATAGTAATTGGAAACTTTACACCTTGGAGATATATCTTCCAGTACTTCAAAGCTTTGACTATAGCTATGAGTTCCTTCTCATAAATGTCGTAGTTCTGTTCAGCTAGCGAGTACTTTTCGGAATAATAAACTACAGGATGTAGTTTTCCGTTCTCGTCTAGCTGAAAGTGTGCAGCGCCTACAGCTGTATCGGAAGTATCGGTTTCGACTATATTCGGCCGATCTTCGTGAAAGCTTGCAATAACAGGTTCTTCAGCGAATCTGTCCTTCAATTGTTGTATAGCTATCTTTTCTTCTCTTCCTATAATAAACAGTATATCCTTTTTTGTAAGACGCGTAAATAGCGCAGAGATACTTGAATAATCCCTGATGAATTGTCTTGAGAAGTTCCCGAATCCCAAGAACGATTAGATATCTTTGACGTTCTGCGGTTCAAGCCAATCCCTGATTCGCTAGATCTTCTCTAGGTCAATATTCATTTCCCTTAGCCAGATCACATAACCTAGAAACGCAGTTTCCGTGACTCCGAATTCGCACTTTTCTATTTTTAGTCTAGAGTCAACTCTCGCAAGAGCTTCTAGCACTAACCGGACATGTTTCTCATGTTCCTGGATATTCTCGGAATAGATCAGGATGTCGTCTAAGTAACAGATGACAAACTTATCCAAGTATTCTCGTAGAATATTGTCGTTCTAGCGTTGACACGTTGCCGGTATATTAGTCAACCTAAATAGCATGACTGTGTACTCGTACAGTCCTGAAAGTACGAGGAAAACTGTTTTCTATTCGTGTCCTTCCTTGATCCTGATCAGATTAAAAGTATTCTGCTGATCGATCTTCGTGAATATCTTTGCTTTGGCYAGTCTGTCCCGCAGATACTGGGCATTGGGCAACGGATATTAGTCTCGTATCGTAGCGTCGTTTAGCCTACGAAAATCGCCACAAAGTCTCTTTTTCGGATCCCCTAGTTTATTAGCGATCAGTATATTAGATACTGCTAGCGACTTGGATAGTCGAATCTATCCTTTCTTTAGTACTGCTGTGATATATTCCTCCAACGTCTTGGTRGTGTCGTAGCGATGTCGTCGTAATCTCTCAGAAGGCGGCTGTCGCCCTTCTTTCAGATTGATTTCGTAGTCCTATAGTTGATGTTCAGGTAGAGCACACATGTCTTCCGGGTTCTCGAACAATCTCTCGAATTCTCTATACTACACGGGGATCTTCTTACTACTCTTACTAGCATCCCGTAGAAGATCCTCAGCTAGGCATCCTAGTATATTGGAAGAAGTGGCGCTAACCTCCTTCCGGCCTTCTAGTTATTGTGAACCTTCACAATGGCATCGACTAAATATAATAGTCTCCGTGACCCAGTCGATCTCAGGGTTGTACTCGCAGATCTAAAGCATTCCCAAAATAGCTTGGTACTTTCCTACTAGTGCAATATGAAACTATACATCCGCTATATGTCCGTCCTTCGTTGTTAATCTTGAAGGGACAGTTCCCTAGCTGATTACTCCGTTGTTGTAATCTATTTGCGAGCCGTCCACTACTGTTAATTCGTAAAGTAGTATTCCTGTTATTGGAATGTTGAGTCTAGCGACAGTTACAGGAGAAATATAGTTGCTATTAGCTCCAGAGTCAATCATTACTCTGAGCTTCTTTCCCCTAAACGTTACTTCAACGTTTATATGTCCCCAATTCCCAGCTGCGTTCAGCTCGGGGAAGTTCCCTATTAGTTCATACACTTCGGTATTCTTGAACTGGTCGCTCCATATTCGGTGGTTGTTTTCCTACACTAGTAGTCGATACAGTATATTGAGTCTAAACGTACTAGTCGTGGTTTAGTAGAACTTCTGCTAGGTGTACTAGTAACGTCCCTCTAGCGTAAATACTACTCTCCTCCAAATCCTTTTGTGAAGTCCAGTTGTCAGGACTTCCCAAATGTCTCCGGGTTCCAGGAGATCTACTAAGCTAAGTAGTTCGTCCCTTAGGTCAATTCCTTCGATAGTGACCTTTTCTGTCCCGGTTTCCTTGAAAGCGACTTTCTCTACGTCAATATAAGTGACTAGGTATATGTGATACTTTACTAGTTTGTCGCTTGTAGTTACTCCTGAGGGCATGAAAACTTCGCTACTGTTTTCTTTTCCCTATATGTTGCTGTGTTCAGTGATCTCCAGTAATGACCACTCTTCCCTTTCTTGTGGCATTGTCCCCATTTCCGCGTTCACGTCAGGTGTCGTCCACTCGCTAAGTTCCTCGGGCTCCTCCCGAGAGTCAGATAGAGTCGAATCCTCTAGACTAGTAGCTTCTACTCGTAGTACTAAGTCCTCTACCGTCTAATATAGTAGGGGGTTATTAGCCCGCTGAGCTTCTATAACTCCAAGCTGGCTGTGGATGTCTATAGACTCAAGGTCTTCTTTGGTCAGATCCCTTCGTCCGGTTGTATTCACTTGTCGGTAGCTAGTAGTATTAACCTGTCGAGACTTTCCTTTCCAAGCTTGTTTGTTCCTTTGGGGCCTTCCTTTATAGTAGGAGGCAGCTTGGTGTCCTGGAAGTCCGCACTCAAAGTATAAGCCCTTCTTCCGACGTTTGTCTCGTTCCTCGTTCGAGACGAATTTCCTTCCTCTATGTTGAGTCGCGCCAATCGTTCTAGTTTTCTTCTACTAATATCCCTGTCCGGACTAGTGGTTTCCCTTTTAGCTTTCTCGTAGAGCGTGGCTCTTCTTGAATTCCTATAGGCGATTATCCAACTAGATAACGCCTTCAATCATACTGACAATGTCGTTGTAGACTATGTTCTGTCGTGCTATCTCTTTATAGATGTGTTCCTTCAATCTTCGACGGAACAATTCCATCAAAGCAAGGCTATCCCATCCTGTCTTGGTACTGTATCTTTGGAACTCTGTTACGTAAGCAAGAGCTGTCCCAGTTTGGCGAAGATCAAGCATCTTTCGTACTACTGTTTGAGTAGTATCGATATCTCCAAATATTCGTCGTATTTCTTTCTTCATTCCGTTCTATGATTTGAAGATAGTTTTCGTAACCGCCATCTTCCCGTCTTCTGATTCGTTCCTGAAGAAGTCCTCAAGGAATGGTTGGACCCATTCCAAGGCTGGTCCTCGTAGGTAAGAAGTTACCTAAAGGCTTTGTTAGTTGTAGTTGGCCTCGAACTTCTCGTAGTTGAAATTGAAGTAGATCTCTACTTGAAGGATGAAGGTCTCGAGGTCCTTTCGGTTACTATTATATTTGTCGGGGAGGGCAACACGAATTGATTCATTAGCCTCGACCTTGAACTCATAGGGTAAGTCGGATATCTCGATGTCCTCCTGGAGTCTACTAGTCGATAGTGTGAGGTTCACCTGACTAGCACTCGGGTTGGCGACAGCTAGTTGCTTCGCGGCAGGCAGCTTCGCGGCTGGTGGGGTTGCTGGAGCTATAGTGATTTGCTTACTTCGGCAAAGGGGTGCTCAAAGTGTAACGGTTCCTATAGTTCCTCCGGCGGGGAGTCGTATTGGAAGTGTTCTGTTTCGTTTGTGTAGCGAAGTAATACAGTGATCTCTTTTAATGATCTGTAAGTGATGTCAGGGTGAGTGAATCACGGAAGGATTCAAGTGTAATCAAGGTAAACTGTTATGATTGATATTTAAGAATCAAGTTGAGCACGAAGCTCCTATCTAGTAAGGAAATTACATTGCTTATATAGAACTTTCCTGCTCCTGGATCATGGTGAATCGATGATTCCCATGATTCTTTATACGAATGGATCATTGATCCTTCCCGATCTATTTACTATCACGTGACCTCGTCACATGCCTCTATGGTTCTCTGTGGTAGTAAGTCATACTACCCGAGCCTCAGGCCATAAAGTTGGCGTTCGTAACATTTATATAACTTTATTAATTAATTAATTAATATTTTTCATTTTTTATATTAGCTAAAGATTATAACAAAATAATTAGATTTATAAAACTTAAATAAACTACTGAAGTACTTTTGATTGATTGAGTATTCCTTTTAACGTCTTTTATAAGTCGAAGACTATAATAGGACAGTTAAAGCTAGAGGTCTAACAAGCTATTGTAAATACAAGATTGTGAGTCTGTTTGTTTGTTTGTTTGTTTATTCCTTTTAACGTCCTTTGTAAGTCGAAGACTATAGTAGGACGGTTAGGGCTAGAGCCCTAACAAGCTATTGTAAATACAAGATTGTGAGTCAATATAGTCTGGAGATAGTGAGGGCCAAGCCCTAGTAAAAACAACGCGAGACAAAAGAAAAATAGTAAAATGACCGAATAGCTCAACTATAGCTCCGTATAGTTAAGTTAATACTCCTCCTCCGCCCTCTCTAAGTGCCACCGCCTCGTTACGATCTTAGTCTCCTTTAGGAAGTTAATCGTCGCCGCTATTCCGACCTTGGTGTGTAATAAAAGGGGTAGGGTGAGCCTAACCCCCCTAAGTTCCGATTTGAGTGCCGATCTAGCTCCTTTGTACTCCGAACAGCTAAGGAGTAGGTGTTCAGGGGTCTCTCTCTTGCCGCACCGGCATAGATCGCTATTGGAGCGATCTAGCCTAAATAGGTACGATTTGAGGTATCCGTGGCCTAGCTTGAGCTGATAAAAGGCACTAGCTATTTCCCTTTTCGTATTAGGTGGAATTAGGGGTCTAGCCCCTATTTTCCAGATAAACTTGCGGGTATAGCTATTTGGGTTGGAATTGGGCTTATTCGTTGTATAGTTAGTTAAATAACTTAACCACTCAGCCCTGCGAATTCCTTTGATTTTCATTCCTAGGTAGGCGAAGCTAGTACTATTAGAGCTAGGCTCCTCAAGTGTAGCTTGCTTAGCTAAGCGATCAGCAAGCTCGTTTCCTTCAATATCGGTATGCCCTGGGACCCACGCTAGCTCGATACTAGCTCCTTTTCGAATTGCTACTTCGGTAGCCTGGATAGCCCTAATTTGGCAATCTTGGCCAGGGTTATCGCTAGGCGTTTTTAGGCGGTGTAGACCGGCCTGATTATCCGAATAGATCCGGTATTTCTGCCGGGGTATAGCTATTGAGCTAACGTACTCAATAGCCTGCGTAACCCCTTCAAGTTCTCCGTTGTAAACAAGCTGTTCGGCCCCGATATTAACTATACTACTATACCGAGTAGGTATAGCTATACCGACTCCGACACCTATACCGTCGGGTATATAGGAAGCGTCGGAGTAAACGTGGGTAATTCGGGTATTTGGGATCGATATTAAGGTATTATGGGCCAATGCTTCTTCCTCTTTGGGCAATTGACTGATTTCGACCGAATAAGGTGTTTTTCGGGCCCAGGGAGGGAATTGGAAGTGCTGGGTTCGTTCGTAGCTATCGCTAACTATATAGCTAATTGAGCCGATAATCCGGTCAAGCTGTATAGCTAATGTCGGTTCAGTATAGTTAAGTTCCGAATCTGAAGCTGAATCCGAATCCGAATCAGGCCTAGCTAGGTACCGTCTAGCTATCGAGGCGTTAGCTAAATCGGCTCTAGCTCTTTCGGTATTTTTACTAGCTTCTATATTAACCGGGTGGCTTTTAGAGAGCCTAGTAAGCCGGAGAGCGTATTGCCGGATTGAGCTATTAAGCCGGATTTCAGGGGGGGGTAAGCTGGCCTCCACTTCCATTGGTACGATAGGGGCTGTTTTGAATACCCCTAATATCTTGCGTAAAGCTAGGTTTTGGAGCTCCTGGAGTCGCTTTTTGAAGCCGGCTTGGCCTCGCCACCAAATAATCGATCCGTAATCGGCTATACTTGTAACGCAGGCTATATATAGCTGGCGTATAGCTGCCGGGGATAAGCCACGTTCGGTATTAGCTAGTCGGGCTAGGCGTAAGAAAGCCGATTTAGCTTGGGCTATTCGAATTTGAGGTGCTCTTTATAGGTGAGCTTTCGATCGAACCAAATACCGAGCCACCGGACTAGCTGTTTAGGCTCTATTCGAGTTTGATCCGGTAGGCGTAGCTTGGCTTTACTCGGCCCGAAGTGGATTAGTTCGGTCTTGGCTAGATCGAATTGAATCGCACTTTTAGCCCCTTGATCGAATAGCCTAGCTGCCTCTTTCTCTAATATCTTAATATTACTCGTATAGTTAGGTGTAGTAACTATTAGAGCTATATCGTCGATATAGGAGAGTGGACGGGCTGTAACTATACCGGTAAAGAGGCCCCTTATATAAATAAGGAATAGGATAGGTGATATCGGAGAGCCTTGGGGGATACCGGTATTAAGGGCGGCAAATTGCTCTATTTGGCCGTCAAAGGCTAGGCGTAACTGTCGATTACTAAGGAACGACTGTACTCAACTAGCTAAGCTAGTAGGTAGGCGTAGGTCCTTAAGTATCGATAATAGCTGGTTTTTAGCTACGTGATCGAAGGCTCCTTTGACGTCTAATAGTAAAGCCGACGTCTTTTGCTTCCTTTTTAGGCCTATTTCGACCTCGTTATTGAAGAGTAAAGCTGCGTCAATAGCCGACTTTTTAAGCCTACCCCCTATTTGGCTAGGGTGGAGTAGTTGAGTTGTTTCAGCTAAATAGCCTAGTCGTTGAGCTAGAATCCGTTCGCTGACCTTGCCTAAGCAATTAAGTAGTGATATTACCCTATACGCCTTAGGTAAGGCGTAATTAGGCTTTCCTGGCTTTTTGAGAATAGCTCCGGTAGCTTGTTTCCAGTAGGTAGGGTGATAGCCGACGTCTATTAGTACCGAAAAGAGCCTAAAAAAGACCTCCGGGATAGCGTTATAGGCGTGTTGGATAATTACTTGCGTAATTAGATCCGGTCCAGGTGTTTTGCCCTTAAGCTTAGTCGTACAAGCCGTAGCTAGCTCCGGTATAGTTAAGTTAGGCCAAAGCCACTTATTCGAAGGGGTATAGCTATTCCAAGTTGGCTTTGGAGCTTCAGGGGGCGGTGGGAAGAGCGTAGAGCGAAAACTAGAGCATTTGCCGGCAAATGAGGACTCTAGGTGTTCCGGATCGGTACTAGCCTGAATAGGTGGTATTAGTTCGATCTGTCGGTCCCTGGTATAGGCCATAGCCTTGAAAATCGTCTTTGGATCCTCCTTTTCAAGAAAGTCGTTCCAGTGGCTCCGTTTAGCTTGTTTTATAGCTAAAAAGTAGGCGTTTTTAGCTATAAGGTAGTCGCGTTTAGCGGTATAGTTATAGCTATACCGGATAAACGTTCGTTGATTCCGGATCATTTTCTGGCGTAGTTCCTTAAGGCTATCGTTCCACCAAGGCTTAACCCTAGCCCCTACCTTCCTTTTTGGGATACTTAGGTCCGCCGCCTCCGTAACCGCCTTAGTTAACTCTTTGGAAGCTTCGTCAAGTAGTATAGTTATACTACTCTCTTCTTCCTCAAGTATAGCTAAGGAGTTCGTATAATTAAGTATAGTTATCAATTCGGGTGAATTGAGAGCTATACAGTTAACTATACCGGACTTCAGCTTCTCTGAGAATATACCCCAGTCGGCTAGGTCGGTATTGTAGGCGGTGGCCAAACTTAGATTATCGACTAGCGGTCGGGTATTGCCGGCAATAGTGAAGCTAATACCGTAGTGATCCGATCCGAGATCTGGGAGTACGATCCAGTCCTGGATTTTGCTGGCTAGGCTTGGGCTGACTAGAGTAAGGTCTAGGACACTTTCTCTAGTCATATGGGGTCTGAAAAAGGTGCCTGTGCTAGGGGTGTTCAGTAGCTCTAAGCTATTAGATTCGATCTAATTAACTAGCTATTCAGCTTCAGGAAACGTAGTGAGTACTAGTAGATCCTACTAAGGGTAGTAGATGTTGAAGTTTCCAGCTACTATAGTATTAAAGCCTAGGGCTTTAAAGTATAGTACCCGATTCACTATATGTAAGTCCGAATTACCTAAATCCTGCTCGTTGTAGATATTCAAGAGTTGAATAGTCACGTTTACTTCCGAAATATCCAAAATAAGCAGATCCGGGTAGTTTAGTGAGGAATTAGCTATATAGCAAGAAAGCTTAAACCCTATAGTTATATAAGCTAGTGTACGTGGCTGTAAGTGAGATTCCGGCAGAATTTGAATATATCCAGAATGGAGAACTGAACGAGTCTTATCTGGAACTAGCCAAAGTTCCCGAATAAGTAATATGTCCACTTTCGTCTCTACAGCTAGTTAACTGTAGAGTATACTATATAGTCGGGGTAGTAATATAGAGTTTTTCAACTTGTATACTTATCCCAGCTATATAGAACTTATTTCGAATAACTCTATTAGCTTCCTGTTCTATAGTAAAAGACAGAGCTATTAAGCTAGCTAGCTGATTTTGCTAGCGTTCCTTAGATATAAGTTAATAAAATATTATAATTGAATTCAAGCTAGTATTGAACGTTTTAATCTCATCAATAATTAGAACTATATTCTCAGAAATATTGAAATCAGCAGTTAAGATCTTATAAATAACTACTTTGAACTAAAGTTTATCTTTATATAATATTTAATTAAATACTATATACTCTTAAATAACTCTTTTTTCGATGAAGAAAAATCAGCTATATAGTTAGATGTAGTTGTAATAACTAGATTCTTTTTCAGAAATCTAGTTACTAATAATCTTTTTATCTGTAAAGGCTTTATTCAAAGTATTTCGGGCTACTAAGAAGGAGAACGAAGTAACAGTTCCAGGAGTTTATATAACAATGAGTCTATTCGGACTAGATCATTCTATTTTAGGTAATAAAGTAAGTTTAGACTTTCTACTAACCAAAGTCTATTCTTAGAGTATATTCGTAGCTCCGGAGTTTTGATTTGTAATACTTACAAAGGACAATATAGTTAAATTGTTATTTAACGTCGAATTAGAAGAATTAGGAGTATTTAGGCGTATAGTTAAGTTTTTACTTAACTGATCGGATTCAGAAGCAGGGCTAGTAGAGCTAGTAAGGCCAGAGGTGCAGGTAGGGCCAGTAGTACGTAGAGTCGTATATAAGATGTCATATAACTTCGTTTTGAGTTGCTAAGTAGCTGGTTCTAGATTTGAGATATGGGAAGAGATGATTTTAGACACTTTTTAGAAATAACTATATTCAGTAAATTCTCTAAAGATTTCTAGGAAGTCTAAAAGTTTAGACTATTTAGTATAAGTTTTAGTAAAACTATAAACTTCGATAATCAAATCTCTAACTTCGAGTATTATTATACTAGTAATATAAGTAGGAATGTCGTAACTAGGAGCTTGGGTAAATTCGAATTCGAAATCGAAATCGGAGTCGGAGTTTGAATTAAACTAGTAGTAGTCAGAATCGGAACTTACAGTATCAAGGCAGTCGGGACAGCCTAATACAAGTACCCGACTCTGTATATTATTTCCAGGGGGTGTAGCAACTCTAGGTCACCTCCGAATTAAGCTAAAGACGAAAAGAATTTCGATCTCAGGGGCGGAAGCTAAAGAGTCGCTGTATAGCTAAAGTTGGTTCAGCATTGTCGAGTTCCGAATTAGCTAAATATTGTCTAGCTATTGATCTATTAGCTAAATCGGCACTAGCTCGTTCAATATTCTTACTAGCTTCTAAATTAACTGGGTAGTTTTTAGAGAATTTCGTAAATCGGAGAGTATATTGCTAGATTGAGCTATTGAGCCGGATTCCAGGGGGGGATAAGCTGGCTTCCACTTCTATAAATATAATAGGAGCTGTTTTGAATACTCCTAATATCTGTAAAGCTAGGTTTTGGAGCTTCTAGAGTCGTTTTTTGAAGCTAGCTTAGTTATACTACTAGATAATCGATCTGTAATCGGCAATACTTGTTACGTAGGCTATATATAGCTGGCGTATAGCTGCTGGTGATAAGCTGCGCTCAGTATTAGCTAAGCGGGCTAGGTGTAGGAATGCCGATTTAGTTTGAGCTATTCGGATTTTGAAGTATTCTTTGTAAGTGAGTTTTCGATCAAACTAAATGCCGAGCTACTTAACTAGCTATTTCGGCTCAATTCGGGTTTGATCTAGTAACTGTAGCTTAGCTTTGCTAAGCTTAAAGTAGATTAGTTCGGTTTTTGCAAGATTAAATTAAATTGTACTTTTAGCTTTTTGATCAAATAGCCTAGCTACTTCTCTTTCTAGTATCTTGATATTACTTGTATAGTTAGGTATAGTAACTATTAGAACTATATTGTCGATATAAGAGAGTAGGCGAGTTGTAACTATACTAGTAAAGAGACTTCTTATGTAAATAAAGAACAGGATAGAGGATATCGGAGAACTTTAGAGGATTCTAGTATTGAGGCTAGTAAATTGCTCTATTTAGCTATTAAAAGCTAGGTGTAATAGGCGATTATTCAGGAACGACTATACCCAGCTAGCTAAGCTAGTAGGCAAGTGTAGGTCTTTGAGTATTGACAATAGCTAGTTCTTAGCCACATGATCGAAAGCTCCTTTGACGTCTAATAGTAAAGCTGACGTTTTTTGCTTCTGTTTTAAGTCTATTTCGACTTTGTTATTGAAGAGTAAAGCTGTGTCAATAGCCGATTTTTTGAGCTTACCCCATATTTGGCTTGGGTGGAGTAGTTGGGTCGTTTCAGCTAAATAGCTTAATCGTTGAGCTAGAATCCGTTCGCTGACTTTGCTTAGACAGTTGAGGAGTGATATTACCCTATATGCTTTAAGTAGAGTGTAATTGGGTTTTCCTGGCTTTTTGAGAATAGCTCCTATAGTTTATTTCCAGTAAGTAAAGTAGTATCCAACGTCAATTAAAGCCGAAAAGAGCCTAAAGAAGACTTCTGGTATAGTGTTATATGCGTGTTAGATGATTACTTGTATAATTAGGTCTGGTCCAGGTGTTTTGCTCTTGAGCTTAGTCGTATAAGCGGTAGTAAGCTCCGGTATAGTTAGGTTGGGCTAAAGCTACTTATTCGAAGGAATATAACTTAACTAACTTGGCTTTGGAGCTTGAGGTGGGGGTGGGAAGAGCGTAGAGCGAAAAGCGTTGCATTTGCCGGCAAATGAGGACTCTAGGTGTTCCGGATCGGTATTAGCTTAGATAGGTAGTATCAATTCGATTCGTTGGTCCTTAGTATAAGTTATAGCTTTGAAAATCGTCTTCGGATCTTCTTTTTCAAGAAAGTCGTTCTAGTAGCTCTATTTTATTTACTTTATAGCTAAAAAGTAGATGTTTTTATCTACTTTTTAGCTATAAAGTAGTCGCGTTTAGTAGTATAGTTATAGTTATAATAAATAAATATTCGTTAATTCCGAATTATTTTCTAGCGTAGTTCTTTCAGATTGTCGTTCTACTAGAGCTTAGCTCTAGCTTCTACTTTCCTTTTTGGGATATTTAGGTCTACTATATCTATAACTACTTTAGTAAACTCTTCAAAAATGTTATTAAGTAGTTTAGTAATAATTATATTATTCTCATCTTCTTCAAAGATAGCTAAAGAGTCTATATAGTTAAGTTATATAGTTGTTAATTCAGGTGAATTGAGAGTTATATAGTTAACTATACTGGATTTCAGCTTCTCTGAGAATATATCCTAATCGGCTAGGTCGGTGTTATTAAGTAGTAGTTAAACTTAGATTATCGACTAGCGGTCGGGTATTGCCAGCAATAGTGAAGCTAATACTATAGTAATCTGATCCGAGATCTAGGAGTATAATTTAGTCCTAGATTTTACTAGCTAAATTTAAGCTAACTAGAGTAAAGTCTAAGACATTTTCTCTAGTTATATAAAGCCTGAAAACAGTACCTGTGCCAGGGGTATTCAATAGTTCTAAGTTATTAAATTCGATCTAATTGACTAGTTCTTCAGTTTTAAAAGAAGTTATAAATATTAGTGGATCCTACTAGAAGTGGTAGATATTGAAGTTACTGGCTAGTACAGTGTTAGAGCCTAGAGCTCTAGACTATAGTGCCCGATTAACTATATATAAGTCCGAATCACCTAAATCCCGCTCGTTATAGATATTCAGAAGTTGAATAGTCGCGTTTATTTCCGAAATATCCAAAATAAGCAGATCCAGGTCGTTTAGTGAGGAATTAGCTATACAGCAAGAGAGCCTGAACCGTCTAGCTATATAAGCTAGCGTACGTAGCTGTAAGTGAGTTTCCGGCAGAATTTGAGTGAATCCAGAGTGGAGAACTGAACGGGTATTACCTGGCAGGGCTCCTGAACAAGTAATATATCTACTTTCGTCTCTACAGCTAGCTGTAGAACACTTTCTGTAGCTTCGGCGCTACAGTTTAAGTTCATTTGTAAAACTTTAATACTAGAACTAATTATATAGTTCTATAATTAGTTCTAGTATTTGAGCTTTTAGATGTAACAGTCCGCTGGTAGCCTACTTGTCGGGGTAATAATCAGTTTGTGTAAAGTTTCTGTTGTGTAACAAAGTAAGTCGATTAATCACTTTTAATAATCACAAGAATGAAGTAGTTTTAGTAAATCAAAGTTATAATCAAGTTGAGTACAAAGCTCTTATCTAGTAAGGAAATTATATTACTTTATATAGAACCTTTATACTTCTAGATCTGAGTAGATATAAAAAGTCGAAACCCGATCTAGTAAATCGCAACTCTATCTCTAAGATCTTTCCGATCTACATTATATACTATCTTGTAATTCCTGCTATTATATAACTTCGTCTTATATTTCCATAATTCTCTGTAGTAATACTATATATTACCCGAGTTTCAAACTACAAAGTTGACGTTCGTAATATTATCCTCTATATAGTTTAATGTAGTTCTTTAGTTTAAAGGATATATCGAAAATATCGAACGTCAAATATACTTTCTTCTTCTTTCATTATATTATCTGACTATTCAAGAAACTCAAAGAATAATATAATTTAGTTAATTAAATTATAGTTTATAGAAACAAAATACTTCGTTATTCGAACTACACTTGTTATAACTAGTTCTATATAGTTTTAAATGAATAGTTAAAGGAATATAGCGAATATATTTGCTATAATTATAATATAATAAACCCTTCTAAGAATAAATAAAAAGTCTTTAATTAAACTGAGGAACGTTTTATTTTCGAGATATAAATAACCCGAGAAATTCTAACTATAGTTATAACTAAGTTGAATCGTTTAGAATTTCAATATAATTTGCTCAAGAAACGTAATTCAGAAATACTATTATAAGTTTTAGTTTTTCGACAAACTAGATAAAGTAAAAGAGAAAGAAAAAGAAGAAAAAGAAAAAGAAACTTGTCGGGAAATAGAATCGCAAATAGCTATTTTTTCGATCAAGAAATCGGCTATATAGTTAGATATAGTTGTAATAACTAGATTCCTTTTCAGAAATCTAGTTACTAATAATCTTTTTATCTGTAAAAGCTTTATTCAGAGTATTTCGGGCTACTAAGGGAGAGAACGAAGTAGCAGTTCCAGGGGTTTGTATAACGATAAACTTATTTGGGCTAAGTTGTTCTAATTTGGGCGATGAAGTAAGTTTAAGCTTTCTGCTAACCAAAGTCTATTCTTGGGGTATTTTTGGACTTCCGGAGCCTTGGTTTGCAACACTTGCAAAGGACAGTATAGTTAAGTTGTTATTTAACGTCGAATTAGAGGAATTGGGAGTATTTGGACGTATAGTTAAGTTTTTGCTTAACCGATCGGAACCAGGGGCAGGGCAGGTGGGGCCGGTGGCACGTGGGCCGTCACGTGACTTAGTTTTGAGCTGTCAGGTCGCTGATTCCAGATTTGAGATCTGGGAGGAGATAATTGAAGGATACTTTTTAGCGGCGGCTATGTTCAGTGAATTCTCTAAAGACCTCTAGCGGGATCTTAAGAGTATAACTTGTTTGGTATAAGCTTTATTGAGGCTGTATTTAAAATATTGTAAACTTTGAGTATATTATCGGATAATTATATACACGAGCCCAGTTGGGGAGTCATACTTCGTACTTTTCTTTCCTATTCCCTAATGCGCCCAGCTTCCCTTCTTTCCGGAAGTCGGCTGCCCGTAAGAGTACATGTTCTAGACACGTCTCTATGAAGGTCGACTTGTGCCCTTGCTCTAGTGACAAAAGTCAAGTAGAGGGGGAAGAGCATGCTGAATACAAATAATGCAATAACAACACAGTAGCTGTATTGAATACTCTTGTGCTGAATCTGCTGTACAGCGTATAAAACAAACGGAAATACGCCACCGCCGCTTGCAGCAGCTGTAAGGCAGCCGGCGCCCAATTTAGTCTTGCCCCCTAGACCCCGCAGGCCAATTGCAAATATTAAAGGCCAGATTGGACCTTCGAAGAAGAATAATAATAAGCCGGGAACTGCGATTCGGTTTGCGGAGACCTCGAGAGCCATGGTCAGGCTAGAGCAGATAACACCTCCGATAATAGTGATAAAAAGCAGGATATAAGTCGGAACGAATAAGCTTAGAGGGGCAAAGAAGAGCCGACCTAATGCGAACATAGTATATCCAAGAAGAACGGAGTAGTTAGGCTCGGGAGATCTTTCACTAAGTATTCCCATAAACCAAATAGCTATACTTTCTTGAGCAGCGACATAACAGAACTGTGTAAAGACAGCGAGACTAAGAGTCGTATAGATTAGACGAAGACGAGTGCCGAAGATAGTCTGTAAAGGGTAGATTCCGAGATTATCGGCTTGTATTTGCAACTCAACGTCGTTAGCCTCGGGAAGGGGCGTGTTATAGAAGAATAGAGCAAGAATAACAGTAAAGAGTGTAATCGCCAGGTAAGTCCACTGTATATCTATTAAACCGGGGCGCTTGTTGATAAATAGAACTTTTTCCGCTAGAAGCTGGCTAAGGATAGTCGCGACTACCTGGACGCCCTGTGCGAGGAGTAGTCGTAACTCAGCGTGATATACTGGTCCACAGAGTGCGAGGAATGGGTTTGCGGCAGTTTCGAGTACTGATAGACCGAAGCCAACGACAAAATTTGAGATGAGGAAACCAGGAAAGGAGGTCAAAACTGCCGAGGGCCAAAATATCAACGTCCCTGTGCCATATATACATAGCCCACAAATAAAGGTGGCCTTAAAGCCACCACGCCGAAGAGTCCATTGCCCAACTATCATTGCCCCAAAGAAGTAAGCCCCAAAATATGCAGCAGTAAGACTGAGAGTCTGGCTAGGACTATACCTAGCAATCTTAGAGATCTCTCTATTTAGGGTATTTAATAGCCCATAAGAAAACCCCCAAAGGAAGAAAAGAATTGTAACTATAGCGCAATATTTGAACGAGTCTATACCCTTAGTTGTCAACATACTCTTAGGTACCTGTGTATCAACAAAGCCAAAGTGAACTGTATTTCCTGGTTCCTGTTCAGGAGGAGACCGGGACTGTACAATATCTGGTATTGTTTCGGGGACAGTTAAAAAGTCTTCCTGACGACCCCGGATTTGCACCCGAGAGGGCGGTTGGATTCCCGATTTTGGTTTGGAAGTATAGCGTTGAGAAGACCTGGAACCGATTTTGCTATTGCCATATTTGGAAGTAAGCATTGATGGTACGATGCGTTTGATGAGAGGTTTTAATGTAGGCACGCAGCCGCAGATAATTCCAACATTTACCTCGACAGCAGACCACACAAGTGCGGTGCTAACGTGCCATGCAAAGTTGGGCGTGGTGCCCAGCCCAGCACTCCCCTTTCCACTCCCCTTTCCACTTCCTTTTCCACTCCCCCTTCTATTCCCCCCCGTATTCGCCTTCCTAGTCCCCTTATACTGATTGGACATAGCTTCCTGAAGGTAATATATCCTAAGGACATCAACGATTATAACGAAGATACCTAGTATAAAGGTCAAAACAAGGATGATCTTCTGCCTCCGTGGTAGCCGCATCTTTGTAAGGATAGGTATTGGGAGAGCTAGAATAGCAAGATCCGTAATAACATTAACAGGGACTGAGCACAAGTATAACGTAACGACAGATATACATTGTCGCGCGTCTTTCAAGGGTGTATATGCCGCAGTAATAGGTTTGCATTGCAAAGCGTTCATAAAAGTTAACGCTACTCCAGCTACATTAACTACCCCTAGAGTTATATATGATCCGATCCGGAGTACACGTTGACTGTCTTTCGAGAAGCGAAGATATAGGACTAGGATAGAGGTTTTGGTCGCCATTAAAGCTGGATTCTAGAGAGGAGTTAGGGGCTGATATTATAAAGTATAGTAATAATACGTACATAGAGAATAGTAAAGGCATATTCGGATCTTTGTAAAGAAAGTACATCTGTTTTCCGAATATGAGCATCGTGTCGTCCCAATCCTTTCGAGGTGCCATAATCGATGGAGAAAGACAGTCCGAAAGCAAGAAACTAGTAGTTTATTAGCTCCGTATTCTCGCTGCTTCTACTAATCGGTATCTCATCATGATTTCTCACTCACCCAAGCTAATATCATCCACCAGTCATCAGCGGTTCCATGCCTAAGAATAAAGAAGCGGCTAATGAGCCTCCCTGCGACGAAGAGGGTTGTGAGCGCAAAGGTCGTGGTCGTCGCAATAAAAACCCACTCCGTATGGCGGTTGAAATTATTGATTAAGGGCATTGGACTGGATTTTGAGTTCGTTCTTCCTTGAGCCTTTGCGGAACGAGAGGAAGTCGAAGGGGCGCGGGTCAAGTCGTAACTACCGCCAGGAGCCAGCTAGCCCTCGATAGGCGTCCACAGGCAATTATCGATGCGAAATAGAGACATAGCGAGCGATGCGATGGGGCGTAGGAAATACTGAGTGTCGTGAAGCTTTGCGCATGCGGCGGAGGAGGTTATTGGTTGGTGCCACTAGGTGCGACTCGAGTAGAAAGGAGATGTCTTAATGGTACATGAGTGACAGGGCACCTGTAACAGGAGGGCTTGAAGAAGGCAGGTTGAAACCGCGCAGGGGTGGGAGCACTGGGAGGCGATATGAAAATGACGACTACAGTACGATGATTATGATTAGTGAGTGGTGCGAGTACGTGGTACTACTGGCGTTGCGGAAATTGGCGTTTGGGACTCGGGGGGGTGGAACGTACTACGTAGGCTGGTAGGTTCATCTCAAAAGTCTTGATACCCGCTAAGGCAAGGCCCAAGAGTTGAGAAAGCCTCACCTCGCAACGGGCGCAGAGCCTGGACTCTGGAGAGGCTAGGATTTCGGCCCTAAGGCTGACCTTCAGCTTACGAGTAGACCTAAACTCCCCTATACTTCGTGCGAGCTGGTGGCTTGTTTCCCCAGCTGGGCGGGTATCAGCTAGGGCACTCGTATCTACTGTAGGTCCTACTCCGTAGGTTGTTCCGGAGTGCTGGTGGCGGGGTTGGTCAAGGGGCCGGGGACCGTCCGCCTTTGACACGAAGGTCACCAATCCTCCGTAGCAACATAGCTTTTATATTGAGAAATGCAAACCGGTGTGTTTACAGAATGACGTACGGTCTACGGAGGGCGCAGTGTTATTTAGGTGCCAAATTGAGTCAATTCCGGTGCTGCTCTCTATAAAACTAGGCTGTGCTTGGCTCGTCCGAGTCATCGCGATATTGTTTCGAAATGCTTGGAACGGCGGATTCCGACTGGCGTTGGTGATGCGTTGATTCACCATGCATCAGTGGTGCAAATCTGGCAGGCTCCCGGTCCGGCTGACGAGGAGGTCAATCCCTACATCCCTTGACCGAGATGCGGATGACTTTGCTACTCTTCTTTCATTTTGCGTTTAAAGGCAAGCTGCTACGGAGCTTTGTCACAAAGCCGAGCAATGAATGAGTTTCCCCAACCATATCCCAGTGCCCTGTACATAGAAGGCCCAGCTAGTGGCAGAAGCGCGCCAAACCGGGACCGACTGATCGTGATCGCTGCGATGCTTGACGCTGCATACCGTGGATAACAGTTAATGACGTAGGTCTGCAATGTCCCAGATATGCCAATCATTCCAGAGGCAAAGGGGTACAAGCCAATGATTGGAACAATCCAGTGGGTTTTAGCCTGTACTGACCAGCCATACCAGAAAAATGAAACCGGCACAAAGAAGGCAAAAGGTATGCAGAGCGGAAGGCGCATTTCGGGCTCAAATAGGCGGTTATTTTTTTAATTTTCGCCTGATAACCATTCTATCGCTGAGCATTCCAAATGCGACCTGTCCAGTCAGGAATCCAAGGCCAAGCCCAACGTATAATAGTCCGCTGATTTGTAGGCTCCAGTGGTAGGTAGGTCTTCTGAAAGACTTCCGTCACAGTTGTGAAGAGCAAATAGAGACACCCATACACCGCAGCGATATACATGGTAACAAGAAAGAAAATTGGCGATCTGAACAGGAGGCGAATAGGCATCGCTAGCCCGTGGAGTAGAGTAGCCTTCTTGTCCTTTCCCCCTGAGGCTTTCCCATCGTAGAAGCTTCGAAGATCCAACCTATTCATCGTCTTTCGCACTGTCTTTGTTTTCCGTTGTAGGATAATCACTGGGTTGGTCTCGTGGTTGAATATCATCACTTGGCATGTAAAGGTGCCATGTAAAGGTGCCACCCACGATAACCAAAACCCAGAACACCTATACGTCTTTAGTAACTTGCAGAGATAGCACCGTCCATCCAAATTGATGAAACCCGACGTCCCAGCGCGAACGGATAAGGTAACTGGGGTTACTTACCCATCTCCATCCAGCTCCGTGCGCGATGAACCCTCCGCAGATTGGTCCAAGAACAGGTCCAAACAGAGGGCCGAAGGAAAAGATGGACATAGCAAGACCGCGCTGCTCTGGCTCAAATAGATCTGATATGACGCCACCGCCGATTGTCAAGCAAGCCGACCCTCCGATGCCCGTGAGAAGTCTAAATACGATGAGGGCGGATAGGTTACGAGCGAGGGCGCAGCCTATCTGGAACATAACGAAGAATGATGTAGCGTAGTTGAGAATCAATCTACGTCTATAAATTTTACTCATCGGCGAGAGGAATAGAGGCCCGGCCTAGAAGATAGCTGTGAGCAACAATCGCACCTTCTCTCTCAGCATGATAGTCACTTACAAAATATCCAAATAGATGTGCAGTAACACCTAATGAGCCCAAGATTTCTGAAGTGTTGTGAAAATCCTTATTGGCATCAGCTACAGCAGGGGCGAACACCGAAGATGCGAATGGACTGCGCGTGGTGAGTTAGGCGTCAGGTCCTCTAGTTCATCAGGCCACCAACAAAACTGATTAAAGTTATAACGCTAACAAGAGACAGTAGAAACCATTTCCGAGAAGCTACATAATTATTATGAAGGTATTTAACTACTAGTTCATAAATATAAGGTGGCCTATACTAACCTTAGGTTTAGAGGGTCGTCCTGATTGTCCCAAGCTACAATCCCTTGGTCTAGGTCTGTCACTGGATATTCTTCCCGCACTGTTGTTTCGGGTGCCTAGTATACTGGTGTAAATTATATACTATAATTAAACTGATAATAGACTCTTACACTGTCCTCGTCTTTCATCGTTATAGAAGACATGTCCAATGGAGGATATCTGATTCGGTGAACTGCAATGTACGTGCTTGAACTTGGGAATGAAATCGTAGTTTCTTCTCTAGTATAAATACTGGCCACAAGTCATCTGCTGTAAGTAATTGAACAGAATATTAAGGTACTAGAGCTTCAAATATAAATAATTTTGTGACTTAGTCGGAATTAACGGGGCAGGTACGCGTTCTGGATGCTAAAGTTTAGCCCACTGCAAGAGAGAGTCCCTCGTGCCGGGCAATTAGACGCGCGCCAAAGCAACGGAATCGCCGGCTGAGATAAGCATGACTACACTTCATGAGATATAATCCCAGAAGCTCGAAAATACATACGGTATAGAGAAGATATTCGGTATCTCCATTTCTAGATTTACCAGAGGCATCATTCATCAACAATTTCTTCAAAGTAGTATAGCCAATATATATTATATTGCAGGATATCATGTTATTCAACTTTAGAGCTCTGTATCGCGGCATACCCACAAAACTAGTCAAGATAGAGGTCAAAATAAGGTATTTAGTCCGACTGTCTCCAACATATCGGCTAGTGTCTCTCCATTGAAATACATCCCGCCTATCCTGTCACCTAGTTCTATCCCCGCTAGCCATGTCCTGTCCAAGTGTGCTAGCCCGCTGTCCAAAGCCTGCACTCCCCATCTCCCAGTTATTTCTTCTTGGACGAAGCCTTCTTGCCTCAGAGGCGCGGCAACAACAATATTATCGTCTACTTTGACATTCTGCATTGCGTTGGAGGGAGATTCTGCCATCAAGCGCTGTGTTGACTCCATATTATTCTCTTTTTCCAGTATCATGCCAGAGAAGTTACATGTCCAATCTACTCTCTTGAGTAAGCCGTGATTGAACATGTCTTCACATAATGCAACCATGTTTTGGTTTGATCTAATACAAGCAGTGGCGGAAGATGAGATGCAATTCTCAACAGTACTTCGCCGGCCAGTCGTCTCCATAAAGTAATTCAGAAACGGCTGATAGAGGCAAAGATGTATATGAGCGTATGTTATGGCGAACAAGTACTGAGCTCTGCGTGAACTTTATATGTTAACCGTCCTTGTAGCTAACTTGAATAGTGCGACTAACTTTTGGAGACCCTGGTCTTCAGTTTGCTTCCCTAATGTAAATCCGCGGAGTATATCTCTAGACTACGTTTGCAGATCCTTTTCAATTAGATTTATCGTCTTTAACTTCACAGGGAAAGTTAACGGGCCCTTAAGTCCCTTCTGTAGATAGATAAGCTCAATAACTTTTTCCTGAATCATGTGGAGTCGTTTGTAAGCGTTTGCCCCAGCAATATAACAAATCTCAGACTCCGGCTACTGCAATATATTTACCCTTTGCACGTAAATATCATTATCTTCTCTTAGAAACTGCATATCAATATTATCGTCGCTCAATAGCTTCGGCAAGCTAATACAGGCGGAAGTATTATTGAAAGCAGTCTCGGGGTCCAGAATATTCGTTTCCCGACTTCAAGTGAGCGATGCAAACCCATCCGCAGGGCAGCTGATAATAACACGCTGAGATATGTGTAGCACGTAGTCGTCCTCGATGTTGACAGAAGGAAAAGATTGATAAATACAACTCCTTGAAGAGAGACTGGGTCTGTGCAGTTCGCAATATCCAAAAAGGTCTCTACTTCTTGTATAATACTCCGATATGTGTATCCATCAGTAAGACGAGGAACTTCGACAGTGATCACGGTCTCGCAGTCACATACGCTTCCGAGATCATCTCCTGGCACCCTTCTTCGTCCGGTCCAGACGTAACAAAGAGCCTCCCGTAGGCGAAGACCGCAAATAACAGCGATAAGAATTTCTTTTCCCTCCAAGAATACTCGGAAGACTCAAGTGAGTAGATCAGGTTAAATGTAGAGTCGAAAGCCGGACGATGTATGAAGTAGAGTAATAGCTGGGCATCAAATGCCGCTTCCACAAGCTTCAGAGAATCTTGCTTCAGAGGCAAGAAGAGTTCCCTTTCCGAATAGTTATCGGCTTTGAAAAGGCCGGCAACCTGGTTTGGAACAAGTAACCTCATGCATGTTACATCCCCATGCCAATCTCTGAGTTTGCTCCGAAGTCTTGGATGAAGGTACAATCTGCCGAGTAGCCCTGAAACTCGAGTTTGTCTTGTTCGATTAAGTGGTAGGCACTTGAGTACTTTGCAATCTGGACTTCAGCAATATTTTCGCCCGTCTCCTCCGTATGTATGTTCTAGATTTGATGTTGTCTTCTCATGATGTGGAGTTTCTTCCTTACCCGTAGAAATAGAACTGGAAGCTAGCTTGGGGCGAGACTCTAATGTTCCCAGCCGTTTGTCGTTACCAGAGAGTCGATTCCAGCGAAAATTTGATCGCTTGCTACGCTTGCTCCTCTTCGAATATGTGCAGTCTTCCATAGTTAGCCTCCCGAATCAGCGCATATCCATAAGTTATATCATCCGTACCGAGGAACGAGCCTACGCACTGATTGCAAGGACTGGCCCAGCTGCACTTGATCTTTCGGCGGCGACAAGCATCGCAGGATATATTTGCTAGCTTACTTGGCACACCTGAATTGTTCTCGGGTGGGCCTCACTGACTCTTTTGTTAGCATTTGGAAACGGTATTGCACGCTGTTCTCCCATCGGTGATTGCTGCCGCTGTCCCGATGCGCAGTCTGGGCGCAGTTCTGCGAGGCCGGAGGAAGATTCATCGGCATGCTCTTGAACAAGACTCTCGTAAGCTCGCCGGGATAGTATAGCAGTGTATTGAGTCGTGTGCTGTGTCACCAAAGTGAGAGAGTTCTGGCAAGTTTATGTCTGGGATGAGGATTTGCTCTTGGTAGAGGAGAGTGATAGATCGCGAATTCCACAAGCTGTGCACGATACTGGCCAATAGTCTATCTGCTTTGAAGCCGCTGGGCAAACCGCATATTGTGGACAACCCCTAAACCCCACGAATTGCCGGACAGACATCAAGAACCTCTGTGGTTGGCTAGGAGGCTCCGTGATTGGGGTTAGCCAAAGCTGCCAGCTAAGGTACAATATTAATACTTTACAACTAATAATTGATTGATTGATTGATTATTCCTTTTAACGTCCTTTGTAAGTCGAAGACTATAGTAGGAGGGTTAGGGCTCTAAAGCCCTAACAAGCTAATAATAAATACAATAGTGAGAGTCAATGTGATATGGGGACAGTGAGGGCCTAGCCCTGGTTTGTTTGTTTGTTTGTTTATTTCTTTTAACGTCCTTTGTAAGTCGAAGACTATAGTAGGACGGTTAGGGCTAGAGCCCTAACAAACTATTGTAAATACAAGATTGAGAATCAATATAGTCTGGGGACAGTGAGGGCCAAGCTCTAGTAAAATCAACGCTGTACAAATGAAAAAACAGTAAAATGACCGAAACACCTGACTATAGCTCCGTATAGTTAAGTTAATCCTCCTCCGCTCTCTCCAAGTGCCACCTCCTCGTTACGATCCTAGTCTCTTTTAGGAAACTAATCGTCGCTGCTATTCCGACCGTTGTATGTAATAGCAGGGGTAGGGTGAGCCTAACCCGCCTAAGTTCCGATTTGAGTGCCGATCTAGCCCCTTTGAGCTCCGAACAGCTAAGGAGTAGGTGTTCGGGGGTCTCTCTCTTGCCGTACCGGCATAGATCGCTATTGGAGCGATCTAGCCTAAATAGGTACGATTTGAGGTATCCGTGGCCTAGCTTGAGCTGATAAAAGGCACTAGCTATTTCCCTTTTCGTATTAGGTGGAATTGAAGGCCTGGCCCCTATTTTCCAGATAAACTTGCAGGTATAGCTAAGTGGGTTGGAATTGGGCTTGTTTGTCGTATAGTTATTTACATAACTTAACCACTCTGCCCTGCAAATTCCTTTGATTTTCATACTTAGGTAAGCGATCGGCAAGCTCGTTTCCTTCGATATCGGTATGCCCTGGTACCCAAGCTAGCTTGATACTAGCCCCTTTTTGGATTGCCGCTTCGGTAGCCTGAATAGCCCTGATTTGGCAAGCTTGTCCGGGGTTATCGCTAGGTGTTTTCAGGCAGTGTAGTCCAGCTTGGTTGTCGGAGTAGATCCGGTATTTTTGCCGGGGTATAGCTATTGAACTAACGTACTCAATAGCTTGCGTAACCCTTTCAAGTTCTCCGTTGTAGACTAACTGTTCGGCTCCAATATTAACTATACTACTGTACTGAGTAGGTATAGCTATACCGACTCCGATACCTACACCGTCGGGTATATAGGAAGCATCCAGAGTAAACGTGAGTAATTCGGGTATTCGGGATCGATATTCGGGTATTATGAGCTACAGCTTCTTCCTCTTTGGGCAATTGACTGATTTCGACCGAATAGGGTGTTTTTCGGGCCCAGGGGGGGAATTGGAAGTGCTGGATCCGTTCGTAGCTATAACTAACTATACAGCCAATTGAGCTGGTAATCCGGTCTAGCTGTATAGCTAAAGTTGGTTCAGTATCGTCGGGTTCCGAATTAGCTAAGTATTGCCTAGCTATTGATCTATTGGCCAAATCGGCACTAGCTCGTTCAGTATTCTTACTAGCTTCTATATTAACTGGGTGGTTTTTAGAGAGCTTAGTAAGCCGGAGAGCGTATTGCCGGATTGAGCTATTAAGCCGGATTTCAGGAGGGGGTAAGCTGGCCTCCACTTCTATCGGTATAATAGGGGCTGTTTTGAATACCCCTAATATCTTGCGTAAAGCTAGGTTTTGGAGCTCCTGGAGTCGCTTTTTGAAGCTAGCTTGGCCACGCCACCAGATAATTGATCTATAATCGGCAATACTCGTTACGCAGGCTATATATAGCTGGCGTATAGCTGCTGGTGATAAGCCGCGCTCAGTATTAGCTAGACAGGCTAGGCGTAGGAATGCCGATTTAGCTTGAGCTATTCGGATTTTGAGGTACTCTTTGTAAGTGAGTTTTCGATCAAACCAAATACCGAGCCACCTAACTAGATGTTTCGGCTCAATTCGGGTTTGATCCGGCAGGCGTAGCTTGGCTTTGCTAAGCCCAAAGTGGATTAGTTCGGTCTTTGCAAGATTAAATTGAATTGCATTTTTAGCCCCTTGATCAAATAGCCTAGCTGCCTCTCTCTCTAGTATCTTGATATTACTCGTATAATTAGGTGTAGTAACTATAAGAGCTATATCGTCGATATAGGAGAGTAGGCGGGCTGTAACTATACTAGTGAAGAGACTCCTTATATAAATAAGGAACAAGATAGGGGATATCGGAGAGCCTTGGGGGATTCCAGTATTGAGGCTAGCAAATTGCTCTATTTGGCCGTCAAAAGCTAGACGTAATAGGCGATTACTCAGGAACAACTACACCTAGCTAGCTAAGCTAGTAGGCAGGCGTAGGTCTTTAAGTATTGACAATAGCTAGTTCTTAGCCACATAATCGAAGGCTCCTTTGACGTCTAATGGCAAAGCCGACGTTTTTTACTTCTGCTTTAGGCTTATTTCGACCTCATTATTGAAGAGCAAAGCTGCGTCAATAGCCGATTTTTTGAGCCTGCCCCCTATTTAGCTAGGGTAGAGCAGTTAGGTTGTTTCAGCTAAGTAGCCTAATCGTTGAGCTAGAATCCGTTCGCTGACTTTGCCTAAGTAATTGAAGAGTGATATTACTCTATACGCTTTAGGTAAAACGTAGTTAGACTTTCTTGGCTTTTTGAGAATAGCTCCAGTAGCTTGTTTCCAGCAAGTAGGGTGGTATCCAACGTCAATTAGAGCTGAAAAGAGCCTAAAGAAGACTTCCGGTATAGCGTTATAGGTATATTGGATAATTACTTCTGTAATTAGATCTGGCCCAGGTGTTTTGCCTTTGAGCTTAGTCGTATAAGCGGTAGTAAGCTCCGGTATAGTTAAGTTGGGCCAAAGCCACTTATTCGAAGGAATATAACTTAACCAACTTGGCTTTGGAGTTTGCGGAAGGGGTGGGAAGAGCGTAGAGCGAAAAGCGTTGCATTTGCCGGCAAATGAGGACTCTAGGTGTTCCGGATCGGTACTAGCCTGGATAGGGGGTATCAAATCGATCTGTCGGTCCCTAGTATAAGCTATAGCCTTGAAAATTGTCTTCGGATCCTCCTTTTCAAGAAAGTCGTTCTAGTAGCTCCGTTTTGCTTGCTTTATAGCTAAAAAGTAGGTGTTTTTAGCTATAAGGTAGTCGCGTTTAGCAGTATAGTTATAGCTATACCGGATGAACGTTCGTTGATTCCGAATCATTTTCTGGCGTAGTTCTTTCAGATTGTCGTTCTACTAGGGCTTAGCCCTAGCCCCTACCTTCCTTTTTGGGATACTTAGGTCCGCCGCCTCCGCAACCGCCTTAGTAAGCTCTTTGGAAGCTTTATCGAGTAGCTTAGTAATAGCTATACTACTCTCTTCTTCTTGGAGAATAGCTAAGGAGTTCGTATAGTTAAGTTGTATAGTTGTCAATTCAGGTGAATTGAGAGCTGTACAGTTAACTATACCAGATTTCAGCTTCTCTGAGAACATGCCCCAATCGGCTAGGTCGGTGTTATAGGCGGTAGCCAGGCTTGGATTATCGACTAGCGGTCGGGTATTGCCGGCAATAGTGAAGCTAATACTGTAGTGATCCGATCCGAGATCCGGGAGCACAATCCAGTCCTGGATTTTGCCGGCTAGGCTTGGGCTGACTAGAGTAAGGTCTAGGACACTTTCTCTAGTCATATGGGGTCTGAAAAAGGTGCCTGTGCTAGGGGTGTTCAGTAGCTCTAAGCTATTAGATTCGATCCAATTGACTAGCTCTTCAGCTCCAGGAGAAGCAGTAGGTGCTAGTGGATCCTACCAGGGGTGGTGGATATTGAAGTCTCCGCCTAGTACAGCATTAGGGCCTAGGGCCCTAGGGTAAAGTACCCGATTAACTGTACGTAAGCCCGAATCGCCTAAATCCTGCTCATTGTAGATATTAAGGAGTTGAATAGTCGCTTTTGCTTCCGAAATATCCAAAACAAGCAGATCCGGGTCGTTTGGTGAGGAATTAGCTATATATAGCAAGAGGGCCTAAACCCTCTAGCTATATAAGCTAGTGTACGTGGCCGTAAGTGAGTGAATCCAGAGTGGAGAACTGAACGGGTATTGCCTGGAACTAGCCAGGGCTCCTGAACTAGTAGTATATCCACTTTCGACTCTACAGCTAGCTGTAGAGCTCTCTCCGTAGCTTCGGCGCTACAGTTCAAGTTCATCTGTAGGACTTTAATACTAGAACTAATCATATAGTTCTAGTATTTGGACCTTTGGTAGAACCTTTGGATTTGAGTGCCAGGAGTACTTCACAGGCTTTATCTGTGGCCACGTGGGCTGCCTTGCAATTAGCACACTTTGGAGCTAGGTGTAGGCACATTTTGCCTGTAGCTTTGCAGCTAGGGCAATAGTGTTGCTTAGTTGAGTGGCTTTCTGTACAAAAAGCACACGTAGGAGCTTTTCTACAGTAGCTTTCTAAGTGCCCAAAGCCTAGGCACTTAGTACACTGTATAGTTAGAGCACTAGTATAGAGCTTTTCAACTCGTACATTTATTCCAGCTATATAGAGCTTATTTCGAATAGCTCTATTAGCTTCCTACTCTGTAGCAAAAGAGAGAGCTATTGAGCCAGCTAGCTGATTTTGCCGGCGTTCTTTAGGCGTAAGCTAATAAAGCGTTCCAATTGGGTTCAGGCCAGTATTGAACGTTTTGATCTCATTAATAATTAGAACTATACTCTCAAGAGTATTGAAATCGGCGGTAGGGATCCCGTGGATAACTACTTTGAACTAAGGCTCATCCTTATATAGTGCCTGATTACGCACTATATGTTCCCAAATAGCTCTTTTTCGATCAAGAAATCAGCTATATAGTTAGGTATAGTTGTAATAACTAGATTCTTTTTCAGAGATCTAGTTACCGAAATAACTACAAGGCCTTTGATCCCTTTATCTATAAAAGCTTTATTTAGGGCATTTCGGGCTACTGGGGGGGAGAACAAAGTATCAGTTCCAGGAGTTTGTGTAACGATAAGTTTATTTGGGCTAGATCGTTCCGATTTGGGCAATGAAGTAGGTTTAGGCTTTCTGCCAACCAAAGTCTATTCTTGGGGTGTTTTTGGGGCTCCGGAGTCTTAGTCTGCAACACTTGCAAAGGATGGTATAGTTAAGTTGTTATTTAGCGTCTAATTAGAGGAATTAGGAGTGTTTGGGCGTATAGTTAAGTTTTTGCTTAACCGATCAGATTCAAGGGCAGGGCGGGTAAGGCCGGCGGCACGTGAGAGGCCACGTGATTTCACTTCGAGCTGGCGGGTAGCCGATTCCAGATTTAAGATCTGGGAGGAGATAATAGAAGAGACTTTTTGGAAGTAGCTGTATTCTGTGAATTCTCTAAAGATCTCGAGTAGGTCTAAGAGCTTTCACTATTCGGTGCAAGCTTTGGTAGAGCTGTAAACTTCGATAATAAAGTCTCCTTCCCCAAGTATCGCTATACCGGCGGGATAGGTAGTAGTGTCAGGGGCTCAAGTATATTCGAATGCGAAATCGAGGTCGGAGTCGGGGTTTGAATTAGCCCGGCAGTAGTCGGTATCGGGGCTTAAGGTAGCTAGGTAGTCGGGACAGCTTAACGCAGGAACCCGGTGTGCGGCACTTTCGGGGGGAGTGGATACTCTAGGTCGCTTCTGAATTGGGCTAAGAACGAAAAAAATTTCAATCTCAGAGGCGGCAGCTAAAGAGTCGCTGGAAAGGAAGTCGATTTAAGGTTGTATAACGTCTTTTGGAGGTGCTGAAATTGATATTTGAATAGAAGGCAGGTTAGGGCTAGGTGCCTGCTCTGTTTCATCCGAATCGACAAAATGCCGGGGCGGTGAGGGAGGCGGGAGCTCCTGAGGGGGGTCCTGCAGGAGCTCCTGGGGAAGAGTCGACTAGTCCGAACTCGATTCTATCCTACTCAACGCCTATATACGAATATATAAGACGATAAACAGGACGAATAGAGAATTCTTCGAATAAGTAAGTGGCTTTTGAGCCGAAAGCAGAGGGTTGATTTTCGTCGAAAAAAGTTGTTGAGTTCGTCTTATCTAAGCGGTTAATATCTATATAATTCAATCTATTTCTAACAACCCTGTAGCACCTGTTTGGTCTGTTAGAAATGAAGTGTAGGCCAAAGATCTTACAAGCATGGATATAAATTTCTGGCTCTCCTTTAAATCAATCTTCGAGAAACTCTCTAGAAGCGTTATCCCAGCGAAATTGTATATGAGGTATACTAGATTATATTGCCTTTTTTAATCCTAGTCTGGGGAATCTGATTCAATGATGTCCGTCCACGGAGTCATCTCCTGTATCGTGTGCAACAAAGTGTCCCTGTTTAATTCCAAGGAGCAGAAATCTAATGCATGTTGGAGAGAGCCTTTATACCCCACGTCTTCACTTGCTTGTTTAGAAGTCTGCCTTCCATACCGTCACGTGTTATCTATGTTGGGTGTGAAATATTTTTGGCGATTCTGGCATGTCTGAAGACTAAGGTGTTCCTGATATTTGCAAAGGATCAAACGATGTATTATAATTCTTCTATCTAATTTCACTTTCTACAAGCACCTTCTGGTTTTGGATGCCTTACCGACTCTCCCTCAGCTGCTGCCCCTGCGCAGAGCGTCTGGGGGTGATAAAGGTCTCCTTTTCCACTGTACTTTCCGACTAGAAAGCGCCTAACTAGAATACTTGAGATTAGTAGACGTAGACAAAGAGAGGATTCTCCCGATCCGTCAAGTTCTCGAATCCAGTCTCCCTCCGCCCCTCGAGAGTTGCAAGAGCCGCTTCGCGGGCAGGCGCCCGCTTCTTGTTGAGCCAGATCATGTAGAATCTGAAAACAAGAGCCGTGACGGTCATGGCTGCGAAGGCGAAAATGGTTGAGCCGATACCGAGGCCTATGATGAGATGTGTCAGAGAGCGAAATTCAATACCAGCAGGAGGCTGCAAGTCAAGACTTAGTTAGACTTACCATAGCGAGGTTGCTGAGATGTTAGAAAGAATTGAGGTGCAATGATGCTACAGCTCGATTAGCGGGGTAGTACATAGAAGCAGCTAGGTTCGCTTACTTCGAGGTGCAGAAACCTGCAAGAACAAAGCCGTTTGTAACAACCTTTTTCGTGTGACCGGCTGTGTTGGACCCGACTATTGCAAGGCTGAGAGCATATCCGGTGGGCCACGCAAAAAGCTAAGTGTGTTAGATTGGATATTTGAATTAGACTCCAAGGCGAAAGACTTACTAAATAATATCCAATCAAGAGACCTTCCTTGTTGTGGAATGGCAATTGCTTGAGCAGAATACCGCCGAGTAATGCAATGATATTAGAAACTACAATACCCCACGTTCTGATGTTTCCGATTCTGATACAAAGATATGTGATGGCGACCATCACAACAATCTCAAAGCCTCCGTTTGGCATACCGAGCTATAAGGGGTTAGATAAGATACTAAAAAGGCTTGCTTCTCTTACCAGTGTTGTTGTCACGGGTGAGAAGCCGAAGTTTGAAACGATAAGGGTACCAAACTAGACACATTTGTTATTAGTAAGGGACTATTTTGGCTGTACAGGCAGGGACTTACGACAGAGACGGAATTGGGTAAGTTTCCGAAAAAAGCAAACCAGAAGAATATATACGTCTTAGGATCCAGCAGTGCCTCCTTCACCTGTGATGGTACGAACTTCTTATTGTGAATACCGGTATTGTTACCTCGGACCATCTCCACTGCAGCGATCTTTTCGTCGTGGGTCAACCAACTCGCGGTCGCCTGTGAGGTAGGCATGGTAAAACCTAAGAGTAAAGAAAAGAACACCGAGGCGGCTCCAACGATCATGAACATCCATTTCCATGGGGACAGTCCGTTAACGTGAATTTGTCCAAGGCCGTAAGATGAGATGCCTCCAACAATCTGGGCAATACCATTGGCGCTGAACCAGATTCCAATCCGGAGTGCTTGGTCTTTGCGGGCATACCAGGCGCTGCTGATTAGGATAAATGACGGGACCACACTTTATAAAAGTTAAAAAAAAAAGACATCGGGGCAAGATATTGCTATAAACCTACATTCCCTCTGCAACTCCAAGGAAGAATCTCGTAGGGGCCCAATGCTCAAAGGATTTGCATAGAACGCTGAGGAACAGTATGACTGCCCAAGAGAAACTGCGTTGCGATTAGTTGATGAAGCAGAGGTATACTCCAAAAGAACTCTCACATTGCCACTGCAAGACATCTCGGCGGTGCGAAGCGTTGAAGTATTATCGCAGCAATAGGTTGCATAGCCAAGTACCCTGCGGAAGACTTAGTATATACCTCTTTTATCTTTTCGAATCTAGACATACCAAAGTAGTAAATGCTGCCTAGCCACGAGTATTGGGATCCATGCAAATTCTATTCCTATGATTAGCCAAACTAAACAACCCGATCTGATGGTACAAACTGCATCCTTAATCAATCCAAAAATAGCACCGTAACTGAAGGTTGCCTTATCCAGGTATCCGAAGACCGTAGTTAAGCTATATTACTATTTAGTAGCTACCACACAGAGAGGATAGGTATCTTCACTCACGTCAGGAGGGGCAGGATGTGAAGATCGATTTTCCAGAGGATCCGTCTTTTCATTGCTGGATCGAGTACATAGCCGCCTTCGTCTCCGCGGCCTTCTAAAATTTCAAGTCCATCGTCCAAAGCAGTTTTGGAGACCGCCCCTAGATGCGATTCTGAAGGAGGGGAATCTGCCATGGGGCCCTTCTCGTCGATGGCTCGTTCTGGATCGGAAATCATGGTGGGCGGAGAATACAGCTTGTTGCTTCGAGTTGGTAAAATGATAGGAAAATGGAGATGAAATATGAGATGTTTTTGATGACAGGGCTTCCTTATATGCCAAAGAACAGACACGGACTGCCACATACAGGAGGAGGAATCACCTGACCTGCACTAGCACCTGTACCCCGCATACCTTCATGTATTCGATCGTAGCTTATCTTTCATTTCCATCTTGAGACATCTTCCACCACACTTAGCCCTTCAATAGATTCAATTTCCAGTGCTATCTCTTGCAGTGGGTCCCAGCAAGGCGTGCATGTCAATAGTGGGGTGGTGGCTTATCATTTCGGATAGGACCAACCGCTCGGGACAGATTATTGACGCTGATTGGGGCTCGGGGCCGAGATATAATCCCTGTTCTCTCCTCGCTCAACAAATCAAGCGAGCAGCATGTCGCGTTGCGATGAGATTAGGGAAGAAACGCGGAACAGAAGATGGGGTTTAAAAATTTGGAACGGACGAGAATATAAGTTCAGGCATTTTGAATCTTATCAAATTAAATTGAACAAGGGTCACACATTTCATCATTGGATTTCTCAGACGCCTCATTCTCACCTACTCCAATTGTCGCCATGGCTTCATCCCTACAACCTCATGAAGAAGTGGCCATCAAAGCACAGGCTGAAGTCCACGAAGCAATTCCCGCTCTTTGGAGACTTTCTCCAGAATTCCTGTCTAAATTGCCGGACAATGCCAATGTCATTGATATTCCCAGGACTTGCGGGATCCTAACTCCTGATCAAATAACCATCACCGAGTTAAAGCTCACTGAATTGGTAGCGAAACTTGCTTCTGGTAATTTGACGAGTCTGCAAGTCACCGAAGCATTTTGTAAAAGAGCGGCGATTGCACACCAGCTTGTGAGCAAATTCCGTAGGAAGAAGACGCTTTCGGTTTGAATACGTTAGCTGACGATCTATAGACAAATTGTTTGATGTCCTTCTTCCCCGAGGAAGGGCTAAAGACTGCAAAACTCTTGGACGAGCATTTCGCAAAGACAGGGAAAGTGGTGGGACCGCTTCATGGCGTCCCTATCTGTATCAAGGATATGTATGATGTTAAAGGTCAGCGGTGTACTTTGGGATTCACGTCATGGTTAGACGTGTTGGCCGAGGATGATTCGTCACTAGTCAAGATCCTCCGTAGCTCTGGAGCAGTATTCTTTGCAAAGACTACTATGCCACAAGCTGGTATGATGCTAGAAACACGAAGCAAACTCTGGGGTGTAACTCTTAATCCTTTCAATCGCAAGATGGTCGCGGGTGGCTCATCTGGTGGCGATGGCGTTATGCTTGCGATGAAAGGTAGCCCAGTTGCTCCCAGCTCAGACATCGGTGGCTCAATCCGTTCTCCAGCAGCGTTCAATGGGCTGTACTCAATCAAACCAAGCTCCGACCGTGTCACCAAAAGTGGACTCAGGAGCGCAGCTCCGGGGAACGCTTCCATTAGAGTTTCATGTGGGCCAGTTGCCCACTCGGTGGATGATCTGAAAATGTTTACTAAAATCATCAACGCCTATGGGAATCTCTCGCAGTTTGACCCTAACACAGTTCCCATTCCTTGGAAGGAAGTGGCGGTACCAACAGAGAAGCTCTGCTTCGCATTGTGGGATTTTGACGGCGTCTGTATGCCACACCCTCCAGTTTTGCGTGCCCTGAAAGAGACTAAGGAGAATCTCATCAAGGCTGGCCATGAAGGTGAGCATAACAAAACCAACCCCAATCCAGTGTCTAACTCATATCCAGTTATCTCAGTCAAACTGCCGCTTGACTGCTGGGACGTGGCGCAGACAACTTGGAAACTGTACTTCCAAACTGGGTTCAAGGAAGGAGCAGAAGCCATTAAAGCTAGCGGTGAGGAGATGGAAACTGCAATGCAGTTCTACTTGGAGAGTTACAAGGTCAAATCTTTATCTATTTGGGAATTATTCCAGTGCAACGTCCAACAAGGAACCGCTAAGGCGAAGATGGCTCAATGGTGGAGTTCTTCGGTGTCCATGACAAAAACAGGGCGTCCATTCGATGGCATAATTTGCCCTGTACACCCCTCGGCCGGATTTCCACACAACTTCCCCTCTTGGTGGGGGTATACCTCCCTGTGGAATATTCTCGATTATCCAGCAGTCACTCTTCCTCTGAAAGATTTCAAAATCTCACCGGAATCAGATCCAAAAGATATTTCCTACAAGCCGCTTGCCAACCCCTTTGACAAGAAGACCTATGATATGTGTAAGTACTGTTTTATGAGTTTGTAATTTTTCTTATACTAATTTGGTTAGATGATCCTGAACTGTTTTCGGCTCAGCCAATGGTGCTACAGGTTATCGGTCGGCCCTACCAGGACGAGGACCTGCTTGCTATTACATCCGCTATTGATTTTGTCTTAAATTAATTTAGATGGAATACATCATGTATATGCAGTAATATTATGCTAGAGAAATGAACTTGCAGGAGGCGACATCCTGGGTATCAGTATATAATGGTACAATAGGTAGTTATCGATTTTAACATGTGATTACTCCTTAGGCAATGAACGTTGCACCTCTATGTACTTCCCTTGTAGAGTCATTTCGTGTCAAGTTTTAATTTACGAATTTAATTTCTTTAACTCCACTGTAAATGGAAAGGCCACTAAATTTTGCCAAACGAAACACACTAAGAAGCGCACGAAGGATTTGAACTCCCTTGAAAGGGGATGAATCGTTCTAAACGTAAATAGAACATGATTCTGAGACACAGCTGTTCGCCATGCCTAGTGAACTCCGATTAGTGGTTATTATGGTCCGACACGAGAACAATAGCTAACCGTAATGGTATCGACCAGGCCTAAGATAAGGTGACTTCAAAAGTGGAGAAAAAGTATACCGACAAGATGACCTGACTCCAAAGGGTAGAATCGCCGTCGGAACTCGGAACCGAGTTGACAGGGTTACGACTACCATTGCTATACAAAGAGCTCAGATATCTCGGCACCGAGCTTATCTCAACTGGCACCAGGACAGTGCATACTACCTACAGAGCTCCCCTGTTGATTGCCCCGCTATTCAGAGTACGAGCCTCTTCTTCTCCTTTTCCCCGAGAAATCAAACTCCGTATTGAGTGACTCCTCTCTAAGTATAGGCCTGCCTCCTGCGGCCAAACCCATTAGTTATAGGCGCCATCCACTATTCCTCACATCGCCTTTTTGCTGTATTAGGTATAAAAACATGGTACGGTAGCAACACATACCTCAAGTGAAACAACTCCTTCCAAAGATCTCACTATTAACGGGCAATCTATATCAATCATGTCTTTGAAACCTAGTAGCTCCGCTCGATCTATCGATCCTTATAGAATGATGGATGGTCGCCCAACCTTTTCTCACGTTGCAACCTCCACGGGACCATCCAGGATCATAATAACAGCCGGGCAAGTGGGCGCTGACGAAAATGGCATTGTGCCGGCCACTCCTTCTGACCAAATTGCCCTCGCATTTGAAAACCTGTCTCGATGTCTCGAAGCTGCGGGGGCAGGAGTGGCAGATATCCTCAAGCTCACATATTACATCGTCAACTATGACCCTAAGAACCGTCATCACGCACCTCATCTGATTAAATTTCTTAACGGCCACCGTCCGGCAACGACATTAGTTCCCGTGACTGCGTTAGCCAATCCGGAATATCTCTTTGAGATTGAGGCCACCGCAGCTGTTGCACAAGCTCCAACACAAACTGTTGACGTGGTCGTTGTGGGGGCTGGTTTAAGCGGGCTGCAGACAGCTTATGATCTGCAAAAAGCTGGTTTCTCATGTGTAGTTGTCGAGGCTAGAGATCGTGTTGGTGGCAAGACATGGTCTGTTGAGCCTATTGCCAGTGGAAAAGTCATTGATTTAGGTGCGGCGTGGGTCAACGACACAAACCAGACAAGAGTTCACGCTTTGGCAAAGAAGCTTGGATTAGCCACTGTGGTTCAGAATACAAAAGGGAATGTCATACAGCATGATCTGGATGATTCGAAATCCACGTTTGTGTACGGTACTGTACCACTGGTATGTTTCTATCGGTTCTACAACACATAGCTGCTTACTTGGCAATCAAGTTGGCCGAAATTAACGGAACTGAGAATATGGTTTACGTGCGAGATTTGGTTGAAGAAACGTGTCAGCAGCTTGACCTGTACAAGATTACGCCTGCTGGTAAGGACCTTGACAAGTTAACCTTGGAAGAATTTGTCAAGGCTCAAGAAAAGGGAGAGTCTGCGTTTGCAACAGTAACAATTTGGACTAGAGTTATGCTAGGTAAGTCAAAAATTCAATTCCCGTTAAGCCGCCCTAAAAATAAATTGAGGTCTTGAGCCTTCTGAGATGAGTGCTTTGTTCTTTCTCGATTACTGTAATAGAGGTGGTGGCTTTCTCCAGATGAGATCGGATAAGAGACATGGTGGTCAATACATGAGACTAGTCCAAGGTATGCAAATACTATACTTTCAATTTGACAACTATTAATGTTTCACAGGAACCCAATCGTTATCAAAGGGACTGACTGAACTTCTCGCTCCGGGAACGGTTATTCTTAATTCACCCGTTCGTCTAATTCGACAGGATGGTTCTGGAGGTGCCTATGTTTCCTCTGGACGAGGAGACTTCAAATGTCGTAAAGTGGTAGTCTCGGTTCCCACGCCACTCTACAAGGAGATCACTTTCGTGCCTGCTCTTTCCGAAGCTAAAACAACACTGAGCTCCAGTACAGTCCTTGGTTATACCAGCAAAGCAATGCTAATGTATGATACTCCCTGGTGGAGGACTGCAAACCTTTGCGGGATGGTACAATCATTCAAAGGGCCAGTCGCTGCCACAAGAGATACCAGCAATGATGACAAGAAGCAATACTCGCTGACTTGTTTTCTGGTGGGGGATTGGGGGCGAGAGCAGTCAAAGAAGACTAAAGCTGAGAGACATCAAGGTATTATTTCACATATAAGAGAGCTCTTCTCGCCATTTGTAGAGGTTCCGGAACCGATTACCATCATAGAGCACGAGTGGGCCAAAGATCAATGGGCGCAAGGATGCCCATGTCCGGCAACACCACCAGGGATTATGAGCCAGTATGGGCATGCGATGACTACAGTTCATGGGAATGTGCATTTTGTAGGCACGGAGACGGCGGTCAAGTGGAAGGGATATATGGAGGGTGCGATCGAATCTGGGGAAAGAGGAGCAGAGGAGGTCATCAAGTCTCTTACAAAAGCCAAGCTGTGAGTGTCTTGGTTTCAACACAGAAACTGGTAAAACATAGTTCTGAACTCCTGTGATACGACATCATATGAGTATTCCACCTCTATTCTTCAGTTCAAGTATACTTCATATATAAAGCACTCCGTGCTAGTCTTAACCACCCATCTCTCGATTGTCACTTCTCAAACATGTAATTTTGATACCGAATTCATTATTTTAAATACGACCCTCTTTTATATACTATCAATTTGTGAACAGTGGAACACCCCAGGCCTCTGTATAATCGATTGTACGTCCAGCACCGCCAATGTCCATTGTGTCCAGATCTTTCATAACTTCATCACTCAACTTCTTGATGTCCAAATTGGATTTGATCCTAGAAGGAGTTGAGCTTTTTCCTAACGGGAGAGTTCCTCTCTGAACCGCCCAACTTTGTAGCAACTGTCCCACATCCATTCCGTTCTTCTCTGCCAACTTCAAGACATTCTCATCCCTCAAAAGCGTTGAACCATCCGCTTTCTGGCCTGCAAAAGGCGAAAAGCACGTAGTTAGAATACCGTTGTTCTTCCCGAATTCAACCAGGGCATTTTGGGGCAGCCATGGGTGAACTTCTATCTGATTGCAGGAAATAGGGATTTCGGCATGAGGAATAATAGCTTCGAGTTCGGCGATAGAGAAATTCGAAAGACCAATTGCACGGGCTTTGCCTTTCTTCACCAGTTCTTCCATTGCTTTCCAGGTAGGAACAAAAGATCCTTCTTTTCCTAACAAAGATATCAATCTCCTATGCCAATGGATGGTTCTCGTCTGTGTCCATGTAACCATAACTCACCAGCTTGTTTCGCGATATTTGTGGATGTATGCGCCCAATCCTTAACCGGCTTCCCGTCCTCTATCAATTGACCTCTCTCCTCACGCTTAGGGCTCGCCTTCTCAAGAGCCTCTCTCGAGATCGGCATTGCAGCGTATGGCCAATGAGCTAGCCAAAGATCGATGTAATCAATTCCCATCTGCTTTAGAACAAGGTCAAGATTCAGCTCCATATTTTCAGGAGCATAAAAGTGAGGCCATGCTTTGCTAGTGATAAATATCTCAGACCGTGGGATGCCAGATTCGCGGATTGCTTGGCCGATTTCTTCGTCAACGCCGTAGATCCACGCACAGTCAAGGTGTCGATAGCCTGATTTGAGAGCTGTAAGGACGGCATCTTTGCACCATCCTGGGCCGTCTAAATTACATATAAGCCTCTTGCTTCTCCGCAATAGCAGAGGGGGGAATCAACCTGCAGCAAAAGTTCCAAAACCCACAGATGGGATATCAATCCTCCCCCCGCCGGAGACCTTTAGTGGAAAATACTTTGGAGGAGACATGATACTGACTTGATATGAGGTTTTGTTGGAGATTATAAATTAAGAGGTATGTGTGCACATACCTTATTGAGAAAACCGTAAAGCCCGGAGTGTTGCGGAAGAAGTGGACGATCGCCAATAGTCCCTAGTACCCAATGCACCGGTAATTATTAAAGTTTAGCATCACCTTTTAACAACCTATTAGTCATTTCACCTTAAAAGTTTTGAACTAAGGTACAAAGCAGGCAGAGGTTGGGCGGTGGTCGTACAAAGCGGCGTTACAGATGTCCTGTATGACCGCGATAATCTCGGAGCCGAGATAACCCCGGAAATCTCCCCGTGTGGATCTAAAGGTAGCTCTTAAGTTGCCGGTCGGCGAGCGCGTCTACCTATTAGCCACTACCTAATTAATGCTAGCCGAAAGTTTCGGCTATTGCACTCCCCCTCCGTAATCACGTAAGATTTTAATTGCTTACATCCGCTTTGCACTGGGGTATGATCGGTATTAAGTGATGAGTTTGCCTCTTATATAAAGTTACCAAAATTAAAACAAGCCTTCGCAAAACTTGGACACATAAAACTTTTAGGAAAACAATCGCCAGATTTTTATCTAGTCAGCTCGGGGCCGAAGGGCATATATTGCTACTGTGCCGAAATAGCGGAGCCGATAGGCTTATTCTATCTAAGCGAGATGTAAGAAGATGGATCGTAAGCAGATTGTGTGGAGCATCGGACGTGGAATACCATAGTTCAAATTCAAGGCCATTAGTAGTTATAGGTAAGGGCTCCCCCTTCGGAGAGGGGGTAGTGTCTCAATCGACTGAGTGTGCATTGCTCCAAAACCCCATTTGTGCGTTGCCATCATGCCGCACCTTCAGAAGCAGCTCAAGCCACTGGCTTTGTCTAAGCAGACACAGGAACTGGTGGATCTGGAACATAAATACACTGCTGGCGGGTTCAGACCTATGCCAGCATTCTTCGTAGAAGGCAAGGGTGCCAAACTATGGGTAAGAAACCAAAACCACCTTGCTACAGGTTCTTCGATATACTAGGAGCGTGCTAATTTCGGTCTACATTAGGATGTTGACGGAAAAGAGTATATTGATTTCATCGCCATGTTCAGCGCAGTGAATACTGGACATTGTAACCCAAAGATTCTGGCTGCGGTTACCGAGCAAATGAATAAAAGTAAGAGATACCTTTTCTTTTCTCCAAAAGGCTAAAGAAGTCTACTAGTCTACTAAGCCCAAAGCAAGCTAATGAATCTACAGTCACATTGGTTAACCTTGCAACTCATAATGCTGGAACTGGGCCCCTCGCTGAGCGTCTCTGCAAGCGCTTTGGATATGACAAAGTCATATCCGCCACTTCGGGCTCTGAGGCAACTGACACAGCGGTCAAGATCGCACGTAAATGGGGTATCGTTAAAAAAGGAATTCCAGCGAGCGAAATGCTCATATTCGGCGTTGGGGATAGCTTCCACGGTCTTACATCTGGGGTATGGAATTTGCAAAATAGCAGCAAGAAACGAGCCGGTACGCACATTTCCAGGGATTTGTTCTTGATCATATTCTGCCAAATATGTCGAACAATGCTAATAATGCCTCCAGACTATGGACTAGATAGCAACTTTCAGACAAATACGAACCCAAGCACGGGAAAGGTCTTGAGATACGGTAATATTCAGGACATTGAGGAATGTTTATCCGAGCATCACGGCCGTGTTGCAGCCGTCATTATGGAGTGCTTGCATGGGGCAATCAAGTAAATACACCGCGACTCCTACAGTTTGCTGCATTCTATAACTGGCGAGCGTTTTTATTGACTTGTTGTAGGACGGAAATAGAGATAAAGTACTCACGAGGTAAGTAAGATATATATTTTATATGCCATCGGTGAGAAATTGCGAAGCTGCTAACACTGTTTTCATCTCAGCTGCGTACGATCTCTGCAAGAAATACAACATTCTCTTCATTGCGGACGAGGTGCGCCAGGGAGCAGGCAAAACCGGAAAATTCTTTGGCTATCAAAACCTAGGTCATGATGTTAAGCCGGATTTAGTTGCAATGGGGAAGTCGATGGGGGTATGCTTGCCCTCGTCATCAATTTACTTCTCCCACCCACTTCTCACAGTAACTTGATCACATAACTCCATGCTTACATATATATCTTGCAACAGGGGGGCTTCTATCCTTGTTCTTACGTCATCGGCACTGAGGACTGCATGTCGCTTGTTGGAACCGGGGAGATGGCATCCACCTTTGGCTTCACGCCCCTCGGAGTTGCCGCCACCAATGCAACGCTCGACCTAATAGATGAGCCTGGCTACATGGAGAGGGGTCCAAAACTGGGTAGATGGTTCCAGAGCGAAGCCGATAAGTGGAAGGAAGAATTCCCGTTCATTATCGAAGCGGTGAGCTGCGGTACGGATATGTGCTTGTATATTGACGAGGGAAACCCGAGAGTCACCGGCAGGAAGATCGCGGCACTGTGCAACCTAAAAGGGCTGTTGGTGACAAGCTTCATAAATAAGGTGCGGATGAGTCCACCACTGGTGATTACGGATGAAGAGATGGAGAAGGCACTGGGGATTATCAAAGAGGCGTTAGATGAGGTGACAGAGTATGATGATGTCCCAGGAATGGTCTGGACTGGACCAGATTGATGATATGATATACTGTGAGACTTCTAGAAGTTTCGAGGGCACATGTCCTGTAGATCAATTATATATGCAATTTTAACCTAATATATAGCATGATCTTATGTGGCTTACTCCCCACAGGGTGATATTCTTGAAAGGAACCAAACGACGAGGGAACTGAATTTAGTACGCTCGCTTCATACAATTGCAAAAGACACTTTTCTGCTCAAAAACTGCAACGGAAGACTATTTTTCCTTGCACCAAAAGCGTCGAGGGAATAGTAAACATGTGTTCCGGCCAGCTCTCTAACAATACTAAAGAAAGTATAAAGATAGGAGCTAAAATGAATGTCTCAGGTTATGTTTTTAATTATACAAGAGTTGTATTGTTTCAACAGTTGGAGAGAAATAGATATTGGTATGATCTTGAAAAATTCTTGCGCAGCTAATTTCTTTTCGCATATTGGAAGTGGAAGGGATAGCTAATAAGATACATTCGCTGGTCTAAACCCCTTGATCAAAACAGATTTGGCCAACCCTCAATCACTTCATCGGAGCCCCCGCAGCAATTGTGGTTCCCGAAAATACTTGAATGAGCGACGCAATGCTTGAATATATGCCTAGTACCGCAGTTGTTGCAGCTCCTAAGGCAAAAAAACACATTGAAAGCATCGATATGCCACTTTGTCATGAACCCCCTCGTCCAGCGCATTTCGGACATGATTTCCCAGAACATCATCGACCCGCCGTACGAGTAAATAGTTTGGCTGAGGCCGTCGAGTGCGGTCACCAAATTTGTTCCGGGGCAGTGCTAGCATTTGTAATGACTAGGCCTTTGGGGATATTAAACGATGCGAATGCTGCTTGATAGTTAGGCACAGAACGCGCTGCAACAGCGATACTATATATGTCAGCCGCAGATATTGCAAGGTTTCCAAGTATCAATGCTCTGGAATGCGTGTATGAGGAACTTATGTGATGATCATGATCGTCCAGTTAAGCGAGGTAGCAAAGAGCCTATCCAGGACCATAACCAGTTTGAGCAAAAGCCCACCTGGAGGGAAGCTGTAGCAAGGATCTGGGTCTCCAGAATAATAGGAGGGTACGAACGGAACAGAAAAAAGGCCCCAACATGGATGTCAGTTGTGAGCAGCCAGAATACGGCTCCCCCGGTTGCTGTTCGAGCGGCACGGGCAGGCAGCTGTTGACCAGTCGTCATCCGTGGCCTTCAATTGGTGACCCTTGTGTAATGTAATACCCCACGGGGTAGGAAATTCAACGCCCCACCCACGGGGACGCCCCAACCTACCCGGGGAATTGGTAATGGGGAATGATGCTGGCTGCAGTGCGCCCACCCGGCGGCCCTGGATCGCTTGGCTTCTTAGATCGGCCGAGGTTGCTTGTTCGCCACAGCGACCGGACCATTCCGGAGCCGGAGAAGCTATCCGATAAGGTGTGAGTTGATAGTACAGTAGTAAATCATGACCCGGCCAAGATTGGGCTTTTTGGTGGCGAACAAGCCGCTGTCGATAACACGGTAACCCGGCAGCCTCCCATTAATCGGCAAAATCGCCAAATCCCACTTTTGGACCTCTGCCTTGACCAAGATAGGGGTTTAGGTACCACCGTCGGTACCGAGAGGGAGAGACTGATAGGTCAGGAAGTTAAGGCAGGTACAGCACGCCAACAATAAGTGCGAGTGGGTAAGATAAGACGGACGGCTCGCACGAGTCACGCCTGTATCTTCCATCTATCTCGCCATTTCCCCCGAGACATATCTGCGCCCGAGAGGACAGGATACAGTACATGTACATACTCTGCCGAATCATCCATTCTGCCGAATCTCCTCCCACCTTCCAAGCACAATTTCTCCCATGCCGAGCGCCAGAAGACAGCAGGCATGCGACACCTGCAATCGCCGAAAAGTCAAATGCGATGCAGAGGGGCAAGCGACTTGTGGAAGATGTCGAGAAGGAGGCATTGAATGCACGTAAGTCTGCTTTACCAATCCACGACCCATGGATTTTGCCAGGTCGACCCCCAACCTCCAAATCTCCGATGGAATCCTACGTTCTTGCATCTGGAGAAGCACTTGCCCCTGTTCCCAGCCCTGCTTCCGAGTTCGAGCTATCCTCACGCGTTGCTGGAAAGGGTGAATATGTTACCAGCAAGGTGCTGACCAGAGTGTAGTTTCGTTGTTCTCAGGCAGCGCCTAGAAAGGGTGCGATCAAAGGGCAAAAGCTCCCAGTTACCAAGACAGCAGCAAATACTACAAGCACGCACCTCACCGGCTTCACCTCCTGATACTGGGCACCAGGTCGATTTGCCGTCTTCCCCACAGTCAGCGAGTGGTGGTGAGCCACAACAACCGCAAGGCCATGCACAGCCACAGCAGAACCTGGAGCAAGCCCAGCAGCAGCAGCAGCAGCAGCAACCAAGTCGTCACAAGCACAGACTCGTCCTCAATGATAAGGACATGGTCGAGGAGGATTTGGCGCGGACAGCCTTAACTAAATTCCTTCGCCGTGGCTTCAAGGCGCCCACGTGGTCAGTTTTCCAACCGTGTGATCCTATACGAGTCGCATATGTAGGCACACCAACGTCAAACTTGGCGTATCTTGTCGGACAAGAATCGCCACATCGCGGCGATGCGTCTTTACATTTTTTATTTCCCAGCATTCGTCCTGCGCTGCCCTGGAAACCAAGCAAGGACATGTCCCTCGTGAAATGGTACTCTAGTATGGCGGACGACGTCAGTCTTCTACCGGAGAAGGAAGTATGTGATCAGCTCGTAGAAGCTTTCTTCACCAAGATACATCCAGGCTTTCCGGTGCTTGACGAAGCAGAATTTCGCTTGCAATATGCGGATGATATGAATCCGGTACCACTCCTCATACTTCAGTCCGTCCTATTAGCGGGTGCTCAGGTCTGTGACCACCCAGAGGTTGTCAAGTCGCGGTCTTTAATCAAGGTCGCTTTATTTCGCCGTGCCAAGGCCTTGTTTGATCTTCGCTATGAAAACAACCGTGAACATCTGGTTCAAGCAGCCCTTTTATTCACGTGGCATTCCGAAGGCGCCGATGACATAGGGGTCAATGCATATTATTGGATTGGTGTTGCAATACGCATTGCTTTTGGTCTTGGCCTGCACCGAAACCTTTCTCCCTCCACTCGGAGTGTTATTCCTCTGCAAGACCGACGAATACAACGGCGTTTGTGGTATGTACTTTTTCAATATGATGTGCTCGCCAGCCTGCAACATGGGCGACCGTTAATAATCAATGACGACGATTGCGATCAGCCGCCACTTGTCACCGAAGACTTTATTGAGATCGACGGCCATATCAACAAAAATATCCGCGCTGATTACTGCATGCAGAGTATCAAGCTCTGCCATATAATCGTCTCGATTCTAAAGTAAGTACAACACAGCATGGGAGACGCAATCTCCTATTCCAGATATGAGCAAACGGTAGTAGACGACATGTCTCAATTCCAAAAATCTCCCAATTGTAATGGCTGACTGACCGTCCGATTCCAGGCTCTTCTCCCCCGGATCACTCCGTCGTCACCATATGAACGAGGAACTGATCGATGCGAGTCGCACAGCCCTTGATTCCCAGCTCGAAGCGTGGATAATAAGCCTCCCTCCTCATCTCGCCAATCCGTCTCGCCGACCTCAGGATTTCTGGTGCACACAGATTCATCTCCACTACAACCTTGCCCTCCTCCAGCTCTACCGCACTACCCACCTTGCTAGTCGATCCTTCTCCCCTCAAGTGTCCATAAGTCTAAACCACTCCCCGAAGTCCGTCGAGATCTGCCACAACTCCGCCACATCTATCTCCCAGCTGTTTAGCACATTACTAATGTCCCGCAAGATCGATCAGTGCTGTTTCACAGCTCTCAGTTTACTCCTTGCCTCTGCCATCCAAATCAGCCTTAAGGCAAGGTTCGCCTCCTCTAGCAGCCCACCTATTCTAGCCCTTCAAGCACAATCCCGCCTCGAGGATCTCTTTCCGGTGATGGAGGAGGTAGCAAAATACTGGCCATCTGTTGAAGCAATACATCGCCTTTTCCGCGGCGTTTTGGGTGAAATGAAACTTGAATTTGAAAGAAATCACACAGCAGAGAGTTTGCAAAGCATGCAAGGCTCGGGCCCGGTGATTCAGCCCGTACAGACGACTAACTTTGGAGCAGCGCATGGACCGTTTGCAGAGATTGGTCTGTCTGATGGAGATTGGAATGTTCTACTCGGGACATGGGATGCGCCAATACTTTTCGACGATGTTTAATTAATAAACTGTAAAGTAGTTATATTTATACTAGTTATAATATCTACTGTTATTTTATATCAACTAGAGTGGATCAACTTAGTATATATAAAATAAAGTAGTTGATTAGTTATAAGTTATATTAATTAAAGAACTTAACACTATAAGATAAAAAAGTCTCTTATATATAGGAAAGTGAGTATATAAGTCAAGTGACTAAAATAAAATAAAGTCAATAATAAATATATTATAAATATAAATAAGAGTATTTTAATTAATGAACTATTTCTCTGTTCGACTTTAATTTATTTGTTTGTATATTTATTCCTTTTAACATCCTTTGTAAGTCGAAGACTGTAGCAAGATAGTTAGAACTAGAGTTCTAACAAGTTATTATAAATACAAAAGTAAGAGTTAATATAATCTAGGGACAGTGAGAACTTAGCCCTAGTAAAAACAACGCGAAATAAATGAAAAATAGTAAAATGACCGAATATTCAACTATAGCTTCGTATAGTTAAGTTAATCTTCCTCGTCCGCTCTCACCAAGTACTACTGCCTCGTTACGATCCTAGTCTCTTTTAGGAAGCTAATTGTCGCCGCTATTCCGACTATTATATATAACAGTAGGAGTAAGGTAAGCCTAACTTCTCTGAAGTCCGATTTGAGTACTAATCTAGCCCCTTTGAGCTCCGAACAGCTGAGGAGAAAGTGTTCAGGAGTCTCTCTTTTACTACACTAGCATAGGTCGCTATTAGAGCGATCTAGCCTAAATAGGTACGATTTGAGGTATCCGTGGCCTAGCTTGAGCTAGTAAAATGCACTAGCTGTTTCCCTTCATGTATTAGGTGGAATTAACAGCCTGGCCCCTATTTTCCAGATAAACTTGCAGGTATAGCTAAGTAGGTTGGAATTGGGCTTGTTTGTCGTATAGTTATTTACATAACTTAACTACTCAGTCATTACTACCAACTTGTAGGATGCGTGTATTTGGAGCAAGAGATGGTATTCTCAGGAAGCCAGTCCCGGTAGAGATTACTTCCTAGTAAGCGAGTAAACTAACTAATATAAGTGTAGTGTAACAGTTACCCCGAACAACAAAAGAAGAGCTTTGCTACAAAACAAGCAACGTGACGCTAGTAAACTAAGTATATTTTGTGAGTGTTAATTCTGCAGAGCCCTTTCAAACGCTATAATCAATTCCTGCGATATATCCGTACTTTTCCATCTACTTATTATACTCTGCCGAGAGTCCTTGAAACTGTATCAGATATTGGACAAACTCGCTTCTATACGTTCGTCGCAACTACTATACTCGTAGAATCTTCTCAGTAATAGGTTCTTGTAATATCGTCTACGAGAAAAGTCTCATGAAAAGATCATTTACAGGATTAGGAGTTAGTTCGAGATATATAATACTAATAACTGGATATATTTTCATTGTTGTAGAAGTAACTCAATCTTATACACAAGATAGCCGACTCTTTCGATGATCTTAAACGGGCCTGCGAACTGTTATTCTATTTTGACGTTCCGATCTTTGAAGCCTAGTATATAATACTCGCAATATAGTCGTAATACTGCGAACTCTCCTAGTTTGAAGAATATCGGTTTATAATACACATCGTACTATCGTTCTATCGTTATCGCTACTAGTATAATTACGTTATACGTATCAATATATAACAGTCTGTAATCTATAATAGTCGCCAGCTAGATTAGAAAAGCTGCCTGATACTCCGTATCGTACTCATAGCGCGTAATATCATCCTCGCTGATAACGATAAGCTGTCGTACAACGACATCAAGTAGTTCTTGTATACGAGATCCGTATAGTACGACAGTACTAAGTTGGCTAGTACTTCGCGATGTCGAGTTACTCAGCGCAGCACTGAGTCGAGGAAGGATTTCTGGCTATTTAGTAATGTCGTCATCGCAGCGCAATCTCGATAGTCTAGTTAGATCGTTCTGAAGCGCCATCTGCGGACAGATGATAGGCTGTAGTGAAGAGCAATCGCGTGTATATGCGAAGAAAAATTGATTACTATAGCTCACCGAGAAATTTTAGGTCGCGATCAGAAATAATTGCGGATAGTATCTAGGAGCTCCTAGGGAGGAGTCGACAGATCCGAACTCGATTCTATCCTACTCAACGCCTATATACGAATATATAAGACGATAAACAAGACGAATAGAGCGTTCTTCGAAGATATAAGAGGTTTTTGGGCCGAAAGTAGAAGGTTGATTTTCGGAGTAGTTGTGGAGGACTGTAGATAATACTCGAGTATTATAACTGTATATCCTGTTTCTTTGATTTGACGGTAGGTCGAAATCAGTAAATCAGTCAATTGCCCAAAGAGGACGAAGCGATAGCCTATAATACTCTAATATCAATCCTAAATACCCCAATTACCCACGTCTACTCCGACGCTTCCTATATACCCAATAGTATAGGCGTCGGAGTCGGTATAGCTATACCTACTACTCAGTATAGTAGTATAGTTAATATTGGGGCCGAACAGTTGGTTTACAACGGAGAACTTGAAGGAGTTACGCAAGCTATTGAGTACGTTAGTTCAATAGCTATACCCCGGCAGAAATATCGGATCTACTCCGACAATCAAGCTGGCCTACACCGCCTAAAAACACCTAGCGATAACCCCGGCCAAGCCTGCCAAATCAGGGCTATTCAGGCTACCGAAGTAGCAATCCAAAAAGGGGCTAGTATCGAGCTAGCTTGGGTTCCAGGGCACACCGATATCGAAAGAAACGGGCTTGCCGATCGCTTAGCTAAGCGAGCTACACTTGAAGAGCCTAGCTTTAATAGTACTAGCTTCGCCTACCTAGGAATGAAAATCAAAGGAATTCGCAGAGCAGAGTAGTTAAGTTATATAAATAACTATACGACAAACAAGCCTAATTCCAACCTATTTAGCTATACTTGCAAGTTTATCTGGAAAATAGGGGCCAGGCTGTTAATTCTACCTAATATATGAAGGGAAACAGCTAGTGCATTTTACTAGCTCAAGCTAGGCCACGGATATCTCAAATCGTACCTATTTAGGCTAGATCGCTCTAATAGCGACTTATGCTAGTATAGTAAGAGAGAGACTCCTGAACACTTTCTCCTCAGCTGTTCGGAGCTCAAAGGGGCTAGATCAGCACTCAAATCGGACTTCAGAGAAGTTAGGCTCACCCTACTCCTGCTGTTATATATAATAGTCGGAATAGCGGCGACAATTAGCTTCCTAAAAGAGACTAGGATCGTAACGAGGTAGTAGTACCTGGTGAGAGCGGACGAGGAAGATTAACTTAACTATACGAAGCTATAGTTGAATATTCGGTCATTTTACTGTTTTTCATTTATTTCGCGTTGTTTTTACTAGGGCTAGGTTCTCACTGTCCCTAGATTATATTAACTCTTACTTTTGTATTTATAATAACTTGTTAGAACTCTAGTTCTAACTATCTTGCTATAGTCTTCGACTTACAAAGGACGTTAAAAGGATTAATCAATCAATCAATCAATCAAACTGTATATACTCGTTGGCTCTGTGACTATCCGGAGCTGCGTGTTGCCAGGCTCGAAGAATGATTCCGGACTGACTCGCACTTTCTTTTGACGTTCGAGGTTCGATGTGTTTAAATCTGCAGAGCTTGCGGTCTCTAGTTAGCTAGCCTTGCAGAAGCTTCTACCCTCTCTTATACTAAACACCTCTGTATATATCAACATTGCTTCTGTCGCAGTTTTTGGAGCTGTGCGTGAACTGACTCAGTCTGGAGAAGGGTTCAAGCGTTGGTTGTGGCCGCTTTCGAGGTGGCTGTTAGCTTGCAATAATAAAAAGTTAAAATTAAAGATAAGTAAATCGAACGGTTATAATCTATATATAATCGGTTCTATAGTACTAGTACTCATATTTTACATTCCTGGGAGCCTATCGATCCCTATCAAATGTTAGAATAATTAAGAAGGCTTCACACTATAGCGAGACCAACTTACATCCGTCGTAGTTCTCAGGGAAGCGCTTCGGCACTTTGCACTTATTGGCCCCATCGATAACCTGTGTCTTGAGGTTCGCACAGGAAGCACCCGTGCATGGGCCGCCATCCATAGCCTTCTGGAGGGAATCACCCTTCCATCCGAAGACGTAATCGCCGTGCTGGCTATATCCGGTTGGGTCTCCGGTGCTTAGGACAAAAGGTTGAGACCCATCCGCGGGCCAATCGGCCTTGTTGTTAAATGCCTTCGTGTCCCAAACGATCTGTAATCATACGTTAATAAATTCGAGTAAGGTTTTATTAGCCCTCGGACACTTGCGATCCCAAAGGCATTTTTACAAGAGTATCATTGATACAGGGTAAGACTACGCACCTCTAGCATGATTTGCGGGATCTTAACCGGATGACTCGCTGGGCAGTCACCACCTGTACTAGAGCCGGTGAACGTGGCTGGTCCAGAAGAAGGATATGCAACGTGAGACTTGTGGTCGGGACTGTCAAGGTTCTTGCCGTCCCAACAACTGTATTTCCCATTAGTACACCAGCCTTTGTAAGAAGGCAACAAGGCGAAGATCTTACGTCGGATACAGGATGTTAGATCGGATGCCACCCAAGCATTGTCCCGCGGGGAGAGTCTCGGTATCCAACCTACACTTGTTAGTTAGCGCAGGTAGGTGACGGCAAGAAGAACACAAACTTGGCGTCGGCACAAGGACTAGCATTGTCACCTCCAAAGTTTGGGCCTGAGAAACAACGGAAACACGTCTGCGACTTCATTCCGCTGCCCTTCTTTGCCCGCTGGGTAGCATCACCAACTAGCATGCGGAAGCCCTGGAGATGACAGTTGATGTAAGTAAATGGTAACCGCTTATCGGAGTTGGACTTACAGGCTTAAAGGCGGTAACCTTGCCCTTGCCGGGCGAGACATAGTAGACAACGAAACCGCCTGAGGTTTGGGTAGTGAACTTATCGTTGAAGAGCAATCTGAAATAATTTATAAGCCCGGTAACGTATAGCTCTATCTTAGGAGTATGTACCTATTAGGAATTTGAGGAACGCGCTTATAACTGCCGTTACGAGCCTTGAAGTACAGGTTGGCCGTCCAATAGTTGGAAAAATCGTCGGCGAAATTGCAGGTGGTGCAAGAAGCAAGATTGCCAATATCAGCACTAGGCATGGAAACATTAAAACTATCCCCTCCTATAACCTGATGCATGTGGGGGGACGGGAGTAAGTCGGGGTTGACCAGAGGGTCGATGCGGTCAATAACGACCTGGGAGCATCCAAATCGCAACATCGTTGAGCCACCACCTCCGCCGAACTGGGGCACTGCCTCCCCGAGTGCCGCAAAGGCGACGAGAGTGCGAGCAGACCAAATCATTGTAGGTTTGGTAGATGTATTAGTCAGCAGCTTGATGGCAGGGACGATATGGTAGTAAAGAAACTGTGAGTCCAGCGAGCCAGCCAGGCTGGGAGCATCGCTCTTATGGATATAGAGATGGAATTGGGACTGCCCAATCTACCTAAGGTACCTTTCTTAGGTCCACCCATGGCGTTTCTAAATAAGTACTTGGATAAAGTACAAGCTTTGCAAATTGTAGAGGGGCGATTCGGTAAGTAGGGGTTCATTAAACGTTATTTTGTCAATATCGCTCTGCCATGCTAGTCTATCAAATATTACGAAGCCTGTCCTCACGACCTATCAGAGATATGCCGATGACGGAAGATGACGCTATGGCCGTATCCATTGAACGTTATTCGCTAGGGAAGTGCACCGAACTATATATTAAAAGGTAGAGTTCAGCCTGTTCCAATCGCTCAAATTGATATATCCAAAACTCGGCACTTTTTCGGTAAGCCTTTCTTTACACAGACGACGTCCTGCTGCCCCTAATTATAGGTAGTATACCTCCTTTTGGATCGCTTATAGACCTAAAACTTGGCCTCTGCTAAATAACTCTGTCTATTACACCACGACGGCACTGGATTGATAGATAATGTATTTCTTAATAATGTCGAAGAGAGCTTTAGCCTTTACTACAGCGAGCTGTGAGACTAAAGTAGGCATTTTTCTAAACGAGGTGATTCGAAGTTGGGCATGCGTTGTTGCAAGTTATATACTAGACTGACATAGAGGTTCCTATTGTTCTTTCAATAACAAGCGATACGGAGATGATATACGTTGAGGTGACTTTATTATTCTGTACTAATAGAGATATTTTGTATTCGAGCGTGTTCTGATTTCTCAAAGACATGATTCGAAGTCAACTTACTCTCAAGAAATTCAGCTTTCTACAACTTGATAGTTGTTTTTTTATTTATCAATATTATTTTAACGTTAGTTTTATCTCGGCGATTATTACAATTCAATAACTAGCTGTATATATTTTATATATTCTCTGGGTTTGATTCTCTATAAACAGACTTCCTCGGTAAAGTTAATAAACGAACTAGAATAAATTATAGTATTATAATATAAACTTCTTATCTAACTAATAGAATTCTTCTTATTAGTAAGTTATATATTATAAATAAATAGTAAAACTTATTTCTAAACTTATATTTTCTAGTCTTCTACTTCAAAATATAAATTTTCAGCAGTAGCAGTATATAGTTATTCGAATATTTTTAGTAGATTTATTATATTATTACAAAGATAATTAATATATTTATATAATATTATAAACTTTGATCTATAATATATTTAGTAATATAATTTAATTAACACATTTAAATTTTTAACTTAATATTAAAACAAGTTTAATCTATACGTTTGATCTACAGGACAGATTAAAAAGAGTGTTTGCCGAAACTAGAGTAAGTAGTAATAGTCTGCCTGGGGAAGATCGCGATTAGCGGAAACCTTTTAGCTACGCTCCATTTCAACTAGTAAACAGTCTAGCTAAGTAAGCGTACAATCCCTCTTGGTATTATCTATGGCCAGATCACAGGGCACATAACTAAATGTCCGGTGTGTGACTCTGCTGTCCTGCCTAGCATGGCAAGTTAACCTGGCATCTCTGCGAAGGCCCACACTGCCTAGGACCGTATTCAGGACAGATTTCTCCCCGCGCGTGTACCCACATACGCCTCCGTATAGAGTGCATCTAGGTTGGGGATACCTTCTATATAAACCGACGGACGGCGACAGCGCACAAGCTGCAATTACGCCAGGCCGGCATATGTTACATGTGCCTTCGTGGAAGAGCCAGAAAACCACCCGGAAACCTCTTCGCGTCATCGCGAACTGCTTTCCGAACCATTCGATGACCATCCTGATGGGAAGTTATACAGCCCTGGGTATTTTGACGACGTAGAAGATCGCGAGGAATACAAACCTGGCGGATTTCATCCTGTTCATCCTGGGGATAACCTTGGAAGAGATAATCGATTCCGAGTCATACACAAGCTTGGAAATGGAGCACTTTCAACAGTATGGCTTTGTCGAGATTACGAGAAGAGCAAGTACGTGGCTTTGAAAATCATCATAGCGGATGCACCTCGCGATGTCTGTTCCGAGTTGAAGGTAGTTCATCGCAAAGATCTAGACCTCGACCAAGCTGGAGGGAAACACATTGCGCTACCCCTCGACCATTTCTGGATTGACGGACCGAGTGGTTCGCATCTTTGTCAAGTACTCCCAGTTTCGGGGCCACGAGTCCCTGTTATATGGCGTACATTTCCAGACCCTAGTAAACCCGCTATAAATATTTCTCTACAAGTCACAAGCGGTTTACAATTTCTTCATAGGAACGGAATTCGTCATGGTGGTTAGTCTTGTACCCTATAATTCCTCGGCCGTATAAGCGTACGAACTAAACTTATTCTCTAGATCTCTGACCCTCGAATATTCTCCTAGGACTTTCGGATCTCGACGGTCTACGCGAAGAACAAGTTGCTATGGAATTAGGGGAGCCTCGAAAGGAGGGACTTCTTACAGAATTAGACGAAACTCCTGGACCATCAGCCCCAAAATACATCGTCCAACCCATTAACCTGGAGGCACTCGACCCTAGGCACCTCATAGACCTAGCCTGTATTATTGACTTCGGCGAGTCATATGATTCATCTAGTCCGCCCGAGGGCCTAGGAATTCCACCAGGCTGCTGCTCACCCGAGCTCATATTTGATAGTTTGGTTGGGATTGCTAGCGATATCTGGGCGCTTGCCTGTACAATTTACGAACTTCGCTCTATGAGTAGGCTTTGTGAAACCTGGGATGGCGATGATGATGAAGTAATCCTGCAAATAGTTAGACTACTAGGAAAGCTCCCTGAACCGTGGTGGCCCTTTTGGGATGCACGAGATCGCTGGTGCAAGGAAGACGGCACACCGATCGTTGATCCTGATATAGGAATAGCCTTTGCGACGCCTTTCACGGTTGATGAACTTATTGCCCTAGGTGTGCACTTCAGGATTGGTAGTGCGACTGGGCCCTGGGTCCCGTGAGGAGAGGGAAATTCTCGGGAACCTTCTCCTCTAAATGTTGAAATACGACCCTCAATCGCGCCTTATAGTTGAATCCGTGTTGGATCATGGTTTAGGCTATGAAGATTAGCGAGACAGATTTTCATAAGGCAATTCGAAGATATAAATGTATCTGACCCAATACGGTGGCTTTCCTCGAGTAGTCGAAAGATGGAGAATATTAATCTATTATGATCAACTGCAACAATTCCTGAATATGATATTGTGGATATAGTTCTGTAGAGTTGGCGAAATCAGCAAGACAGAACCAAATGAGAGTAAGAAATGGCCACCGAAAGCGAGAGCAGGAACGGGACTGAGTATAATAGAGTAGAGCCTGAGCATCCTGAACGGCGGGTGAGGTAAGAGTGGGTGGCGTCTTAGTAGAGCGGCGACATGGGCTAACTACGTTCGAAGCGACGTAAGTTAAGATTCGGTGTAGAATACTATAGAAATTTAGAATCATATTATAAAATGTACGTAGTGCTAAAGTTAGTTACTAATATTTTGCTGTGTACCATGTGTAGGGTTTCGGCCGTAATGTTACATTTAACCTCCCGGGCCCTATGTCTTAATTCTAGTATACAAATGTAGTGTGAGAGACAGTAAGATATCCCTACAATACGCCTAAGACGACGAGGCACATCCGCCGCCTACAATAGCATCCGCCGAGGATCTTCGATATACTCCTTGATCTTCACCAAGAACTGCACTGCTTCCCTACCATCAAGAAGGCGGTGGTCATAAGTCAAAGCCAGATACATCATTGGTCGGATCACGATTTGACCATTGACAACGACAGGTTTATCTTTGATCGCATGCAGCCCCAGAACTGCAGTTTGAGGAAGGTTGATGATTGGGGTGCCCATTAGAGAGCCGAAAACCCCGCCGTTGCTGATGGTGAAGGTACCTCCAGCCATGTCCTCAATTGTAAGCTTGTTATCACGAGCCTGATTTCATGGTCAATGTCAAAACTGAGAGAATACTCGGGTGTTAACATACCTTCTTGCCCAAGTCCGCAATCGCCTTCTCGATTCCAACAAGGTCCATAGCCTCAGTATTTCGGACCACGGGAGTGACCAGGCCCTTCTCAGTGGCAACTGCTACGCTGATATCCACGTAATCCCTATACACGATGGTATCCCCTCCATTTGGACCCTCAATCGATGCGTTAACCGCCGGAATATCTCTCATGGCAAGCACGCAGGCACGGGAGAAAGCACTCATGAAACCGAGTTTTACGCCAGTCTTCTTGAGGATATCGTCCTTGTACAGTTTCCGGAATTCCATAAGTGATGACATATCAACCTCATTGAATGTTGTGAGAGACGCAGCGGTATTTTGTGACTGCTTTAGGCGCTCCGCAATACGCAGCCGCATGCGGTTCATCTTGACCTGTAATGGTATTCAGCACCCATGCATTTGTAAACGCATTCAAGCCACTTACCCTACGCTCTTCACGGCTACCCAATACTGGAGCAGAACTCTTAGGAGCCTCGGCCTGCTTCGGCTCAGGTTTTTTTGGCGGCGGAGATTCTTTTTTCGATGCCGGTTTCGTCTCTTGTGGAGGTGGAGGTGTCGACTTTCCTTCCGGTTTCCCCTCGTCCTTCTTAGGTGACTCTGTATCCGCGGGCTTGACCTCGCCGCTGGAGGCCGGTTCCTTCTCTCCGCCCTCTGGCGCAGCTCCAAGCTCGAGACGGACCAGATCCTGTCCGACAGTCACAGTATCCTCCTCATTGGCCAAAAATTCCTTGATGATACCTGCCTCAAGGGCGTTGACAGCAACATCAATCTGGTAGTAAAAATATTAGAGGGTTGTTCACAGGCCGAAGGGACATCGCACCGTACCTTGTCAGTCTCAATTGATGCGATCTCTTCGTCCTGCGCAACATGGTCGCCAATCTGCTTCGACCATTGCTTCAAAGTGCCCTCGGAGATGGATTCGGCCATCTGCGGCACTTTGACAATATAGTCGGCATATGAACGGAACTGCTGGATAACGGGGGAAGGGTATCGTAAACGTGGCGCTCTCGCAGCTTGCACGAAGCGCGACGCGACCAAGATTTTCCTGGAGAGCATGGCGAATTGAATTGAATCAACAAGGGATAGAGAAACCAAGGAGAATTGGAGATGTAATGAGGATGGGGAGTAGGTTCAAGTATTCTACGGAGTAAGTTCCGAGCGATTTTCCTCAGCCTCATCTCAAGCGACCGCTAAGGTTCGGGACTAGGCAAGCTCCGGACGTGACTTCACTTCAACGTTCCCACAGAGCCGTCCACCCGCCCGTCGCACTCGAACCATTGAACCATTGGCACCATTGAAACCACCACCACCAGCGAACAAAGAGGCATTTCCTGGCCACACATTGAGGAAATCCAAGAGTTGCAGTGCCGCCCGCTGAACGAGTGCCCGCGAGTCTATCGCGCGAAGGCTCGAGATGTCTACCAGGGCAACAGTATCGTGAGTAGCCCGGCATCTAATCGAGCTCTGTGCTGACAGGACCGCCATCCAGATCCCTCTACCGGCGCTCGCTGAAGCTGTCCCTTGACTGGTCGGTCAATCGGTATCTCTGGAGAGGACAAGCGCTGTATATACGATCGTTATTCGAGGCAAACAAGAACATCCGAGATCCAAGACAACAGCGGGCAAGTCCTCGAGCGCTCGGTCAATGGCCTCAATTCTAATATATGATTTTAATTTTAGGCTTTGTTCCAAGAGACTGAAGATTTGCTGGAGAAATGGAAGCACCCGGATCCATATTACCCGCCGACGGCGCCTGGAGGTCAGTGTTGTGATGAGATACAGCCAACGGTACCTACTGGGTTCACGAAGACTCTGACGCGGTTTTCTCTAGGATCTAAATACGAGCGAAATCTCCCAGCCCCAAACCTCGACCGTAAGTACGAGCTAACCGTGCAATTGACTTGGGAACTAATAGTCTTTCTAGCCCCGCCTCACATGCCGATCTAGGTATCCGGAGCCTCAGAGAGCTTCCTGGCAGCTGGCGAATATTTTTGTACATAGCAGAGAAATAGAGAATCATGCGGAGACGATGAACACCACGGATCAGGCTATACCTGCAGAATCTTTTACTATGTAGCATCCCTTACCAATGCTGAAAAGTTATTATGAATTCGGCCATGATCACAGTTAGCGTGAAATACAAAATTTACGAGCCTCAGACTTTGATTTCCCGAGCGAGAGAAATAAACCTGCCATTTGAACTATATGCACCTTATGGACAGCGTTTGAATATGGATTCAAAATCCTAACACCAGCGAGTGAATTATAAACCTATTTTCAAAAGCTATCCCTATTTTCCCACCTCTATATCTAATTGATACTGGAAAATACCGAGTACCGCATTTAGCGATGACCGGACCCAACTCTCGCAAATTCCGTTAAACCGCTAGCGTATAATGATGCAGCACATCAAATAGAACACAAAGCACTTAAGCGTTTAGAATTGTGTAATTGGTTTCTCATTCGTAAGATTGATGTCAGTAGCAATCCTCATCCATTGCCATGGATTTTAATGTACAACCAGAACGCGGAAAAGCAGCCGTGAACCCAGACCCAGACGACACCCCATTATCATAAAAGCAAAACCCTCAAAAAACCCAACCGGCCAAAGAAACAAAATCTATAGCTCTTGGCTGCCAGCGTTCTTTCCACCCTTGGTCGTCTTCTTTGGCAAGAGGTCTGGAGATAGTGTTAGTTGATATTCGAGATGCGCCATGTGGATGGGACTTACTTTGGTGGATGTTGGGCAGGACACCACCTTGTGCGATTGTGACATGTCCAAGGAGCTTGTTCAATTCCTCATCGTTTCGGATGGCGAGTTGGAGATGACGGGGGATGATACGGGTCTTCTTGTTGTCACGGGCGGCGTTGCCGGCCAACTCAAGGATCTCAGCCGCCAGGTACTCGAGAACGGCAGCGAGGTAGACAGGGGCACCTGGAAGACGCGTTAGGTGTTGCAAGACGCGCCGTGGGAAAAGCAAGACTCACCAGCACCGACACGTTGTGCGTAGTTACCCTTTCGGAGCAGACGGTGGACACGACCGACTGGGAATGCGAGACCAGCCTTGGATGATCGGCTGTAGAGAGAAAAGAGGGTTAGCTGTGTTTAAGTGATTGACTTTGAATATCATCTGAATTGGAAATTGTTGAAGCGAGTCCGAGTGTGCAAAAAGAGCGCATCGTATCGTATGTGAGAAAAAGACGCGTCGAATGCACCCGAGATCCCAAGACCCAAAACAAACTCCAAAGCCAGATGGATGACAAGGTGAGCACTCACGATTGCGCGTTCTTGGAGCCGCTGGCCTTTCCTCCGGATTTGCCTCCAGTCATTTTGAAAGAGTTTGGGGGGTGGTTGGTGGTTGGTTTGGGGAGCGGAATCGGTGATGTTAATGGAGACGGCGGAGGGCGATAATACGTGTATAGCGTGCTGGTGATGAAAAGTTGGATGAAGGAAGAAGGTCTACGATGGGGGGGAGCGGCCTGCATTTGTAGTCGGGGCGCGGTGATGCGGGCGTCGCTAATCACTGGGGGAGGGCTGGGGGGTGCTGGGGGCCGCAGGGCGCGTGGTGATTGGTTGCCGGGCCTGCGCAGCCTGCTAACCGCCCTAAGCGAGGCCGCGAGAGCGAGAATCAAAACAAGAAGGCGCAAACACGTCGACGCGGGCGAGGAAGGCGACACGGCCAGCGACACGCTAAGCCCGATGCGCGCGTGGTGGCCCGTGGCCGCAATCACGGCGCTAGCGCGACCAGAAGTACATAACCTCCCAGGCGCGGCTTCTCCATCCTCTTTCCACTTCTCCCTCCCCAATTATTCTCCATCAACACCCGCCATATTCGTCGCACATCACCGCCCCATCCACCAGCTCCATCCACCGTTGACTCTCCAAACCGTATCTACACCACTTTTCACGTCGCTAACCCCCCATCTCCATCCAAAATGGCCCCTAAAGCTGCCGCCGAGAAGAAGCCCGCCAGCAAGGCCCCCGCCTCCAAGGCACCCGCTGAGAAGAAGGAGGCTGGAAAGAAGACGGCCGCCACTGGCGAGAAGAAGAAGCGCACAAAGACACGCAAGGAGACCTACTCTTCCTACATCTACAAAGGTACGCTTTTCTCCCCTCAAGTCGCGCCGCTCTTCGGAAAGCGGGTCGCGTCTCCGATTGTGCGATGCCTATTTGCAAATCTGCTCGCATCTTCCTGATCTTTTCAAAACGCGTCATATATACTTGGGCATTACTAATACGTGCCCTTTAGTCTTGAAGCAAGTCCACCCTGATACTGGTATCTCCAACCGTGCCATGTCAATCCTGAATTCTTTCGTCAATGGTATGCGTTCCCGTTCCCAACCACCTGCTATTTCGATTCCAATATGCTGACGTATCCATCAGACATCTTTGAGCGCGTCGCAACCGAGGCCTCCAAGCTCGCTGCATACAACAAGAAGTCTACCATCTCATCCCGAGAAATCCAAACATCGTAAGTTATAACGCGTCTATTGCAACCGCGTCACCAAACTGACTTGAAATTTAGCGTCCGACTCATCCTCCCCGGTGAACTTGCCAAGCACGCAGTTTCAGAAGGTACCAAGGCAGTTACAAAGTACTCCTCGTCCACGAAATAGGTGGCTTTTCTTTTCTTGCGGGTTTTCACAGGATTTCGGATTTGCTCTGGCTTTGGTTCATCTAGTAAAGATGGTGATGCTTGGGTGATACGAGTCTTTCGGGTCTCTTTAATGCGTTATGGATGGTCTGCTTTTTACGGGGGCAATGTCTGCACGGTCTGCTTTCGGGGTACGTGGCTGTACAATAAATGTCTTCAGAATATGGAATCTGAAGACGCGAATCGAAACATGAATTAAGATCAAACATGCCTTCTCTTGTGTGACCTTCAAACCAACTCCTAACTTATGAGCGCAAAGTTATCACTAGTTGGCTGCATTGGAATCATGGGGATATTTGAACTGCGTTGCCATTTTATATCATAAATTCCGATTATTGGAACTCTTCGCTCAACGGCATGCAAATTGACATATAGGCTCAACCTTTCAATGCCATACGTACTTGATGATGGTTCCGGTCCTGCAACTAATTATACATGACCCTGAAGTCGACATCTACTCTTATCTTTACACATTTAGCCCAAACCAGCCTTGGTGGTCTTGACAACATGGGATACCGGCTGCAAGATGCCCTTGTTGTTGAGAGCACCCAGAGCTGTACCCATGCTCCAGCCCATCTTTTCCAGCATAGCTCTACCTTTGTTCTCAACACCAAGCTCTGGCGCCGATGCTCCAACAATATCTCCATCTCGGTAGCTTGCAGCCCCATTGCCGGCACCGCCACCTCGGCCAGAGCGTTGGTTAACATATGGTTTCCGACCTACATCCATCCGAGGCAGGAAACGCCGTATTAATCTTCCTTCAACAGCAGCAAATTTGCCCTCGACATACACGGAGGTTCGGGCTGTCTTGCACAGGACTGGAAAACGCTTGGCGCCGGATCCAAGAGACTTGGATTTCAAGTTGAAAGCGTTGGCTAATTCGTGAACAATTTTTCGGTCCGCTTTGTCCATGGGAGGGAGCGAGATCCTATGAAAAGTGAGTTGAACGCCTTGAGCAGTGCATTAATGAACTAAGACTTACGTTGTATGATGGCTCATCAAGAAGGTCTTGATCTCCTCGTTCACAGCATGGATACCCATTCCTTCCTTATACTTTGCTTTCAGATCCGTTTTGCCGTTCTTGCTCCCCAAGAGGCCTTGAGCTCGTAGTTCTTCCCGGTGTTGTTTCCGTTCCTTCTTCTTGGTGCGATCGTTGTCCCATGCCGCTTCCATCGAAGCCTCGAGTTCGGAATCGGAGAGATCGAAGGCAACCTTACCCCTGCGCCCTTTTGGCTTCTTCTTGAGGCTGGGGCGTTCAAAATCCATGACGTCGAATCCGTCGTATGCATCGGCCAGAAGACTCGCGGCGGGAAACTCGCCCCGTGGCCGCTGTGCACCACGAGCCTTTGGCTTTTTCTTTGTGGAAATTATGGGTGCGAAACTAAAGGCACTTCTCGAAATGCCCATATCTTCATCGTCTTCGATATCAGCTTCGGCATCGAAAAGCTTCAGTTCGTCAGAGCCCATACCCAACTCTTCCTGTTTGGCGAGCAACCTCGCGATCTGCTCGTCAGTCATGCGGTCTATCCGTCTTTGTAGGAGGTCATCGTCGTCCTCATCCTCATCGTCTTCTTCATCATCATCATCATCGTCTGACTCATGATCGATATCCTCGTCATCCGAATCGCTCGGCTCTTCGGCGAGGAGCTTTCCTTTAGTTTCAAACTCTTCAAGCTGCGCTAAAGCATTGGGACTTGTCAACTTAGAGGCTTCCACCCACTGTGCTTCGTCCACAGTTTCGTTTTTCCAGACAACGAGATACCGGACTCCAGATTTCTGCCCGCTTTTAGATAGTATCCTCTCTATATCTCCCTTGGTCCCATTGAATGCGCTTGGACCGTCGGTATCATATAGTTCTGGATGACCCAAGCCCAGATGAGACGGTTGCCATGCACCAGAAGCAGGTTCTCCAGATGATTCCTCGGTTTGGCCCAGCCACATGTCGTCGTCTGTGCCTCCTAGGTCCCGCCTATGGAATGGATTATCATACAGATCGCTATCCTCATTGTCGATATTCGCAATGTAATCGGCGAGTAAAGCGTCCTCATCATCAATGCGTGCATTGTTTGTGCGACTACGCCGTCCTCGATGCCCTCCCCGACCTCCATGGTGCATTTTGCCGCCCTTGATATTTGAATTGAATGACTCGCTTGATTCCTGGGCTGACCCAACAGGCGGATCTTTCTGATGCAAGACCTCTTCCAGTAATTCCTCTCGCTCGTGAATTTTGTCCTCGATTATTTTGATTCTTGTGTCTATTGTATTCGTCTGTGTGTTGTCTCGTCTCGGTCTACTTGGGATACCTCTACCGCATCGATCTCGTCCGCGGAATAAGATAACCTCCTCACTGGAGTTGGAGGGAGTAGGAGATGCAGCGCGAACGTGTGGCGGGGCCATTCCTGTATCAACTGGATTACTACCAAGCGTATCGATGACAAAGGCAGGCTGTTGTTCGTCGGCATTTGGCGGTGGAGTAGACGGTATTGCACCCGGCGCCCGTCCCTCAGATGTGACTCCCTCCATCTGCATATCTGCTTGTTGTGGCGAGTCCAGGCTCATCTCGGCCAAGGCAGACTCGGCGTGGCCCTCATCTCCCCCATCTCTCCTATCTCTCTCGTCCTTCTCATCCCGGGTATCAAGCGTACCGGCGCAGACGAAATTGACCTTGGTATGTCTTAATTTCTGAACGGGGTTCCCGAAGGCATGATGCTGCGCGGTGTTTTTAGCCACCTGTTGGAGGGTGAAGCCTGCTTGGGACGTCAATTACCCGCCATAAATACACGCAGCTAGAGGTCTGCCGCGATTCTGAGCTTTACTGACCATCCTGGTTTTGCTGTGGCAGAGCTGTGCCATTGAAGGGTACAAACGAGGTCTCGAGCCCACCACGTCGTTTGCCTCCAGATGCGCTGGGGTGGAAATGGCCACGACCTCGTCGAGCACCTTTCCCTCCGCGCGGCATGTTGACAGATTGTATCAGAGGGACTCCCTAAGAAGAGGATGCATCGAGGCCAGGGAACATGTGGGGTTTGTTGGTTGAAGCGAAAATGGGGAGTGAGAGAGGGAGCGAGCGAGCGAGAGCGAGGAAAGTATTGCAGTGCAGGGCTAGCCGAGAGGCTGCCAGGTTGGAGAGGAGCTTATTTATTAGCAGCTTATTTACTGTACGTAGTACTCGGGAGCTACATTTGTACCTTGGATACGAGTACAAGCAGATACGAGTAGGTACGTAACCGAGAGCCTGACCACAAGCAAGTTCTATAAGTACCTACGTAGGGGCTATTTCTTTCCGTTCTTCAACAAAGCATTATGTATATATACGGGGGGAGCACTCCCTACAGAGCACTTCGTAGGCATACGGTCCTTACGAACCCGCCAATCGTGCCTTGTGCTCCGGGAGCGGTTCTAAACTAATAAGCCAGCCCTATCGATATCGATAACGATAACGATTGCCCATATGTACATGTACAGTACATGTACTGTGGCAATTGCGTAGCAATTATGTAGCAATTACGGAGTATGAGTATCATATCAGCCACTATCCGCTATCCAAGCCAGCAGTGGCACTTCGTGCTTGCTTGGTAGTCATGTGTTGCCAGGCACCAGACAGGCTATCTATACCTTATTACCTTACTGTCCCTACTGGCACCTGGCTCTGCGCTACTCGTATCTATCACGCTCCCCGCACGTCTCGCTCAACACCATCTGGACAGGACACCAGATACAAGGGACTTTATTACCTACCTTACGTACTTCAAACCTACATCTCCTTGCCTCGCTGGTAAGCATGTCGCTCATCGCTGCGTGAATGACTAGAGCTTCCGCCACACGGTATTGCTAGACTTATTACCCTTCCCCTTGCGCTGCCGCTTCCGTTGCCATCTGCAGACCGAGATGCTGACAGGTCTAGATACAGGTAGGTAAGGTAGGTAGGTTAGCTATAACCAACCACAATCACAACTACAACTACAACTACGACTGCGACTACAACTACAACCACAACCACAACTACATACGCATACGCATACGCACACACACAAGGACACACATATGCGCACCGTCCCACCGCCTTCCTCCTAATCATCCCTCTTCCTCAAGCTGAGCCAAACCTCACCCAGCAAACGACAGCCCATTCCCCGAGACCGCGTCCCACCGTCCCACCGCCCAAGCACGCTCGACGTACGAGCGAACAGAAGAAGGGACGATGGCGACCGTCGACTTCGGTCGCTATAAGAGGCTGGTGCAATATTTCTGGGATCCCGAACCGACAAATGATGCAGCTTCAAAGTCCCCAATATGGTGCTTGGGACAAGAATATCGACCTTCCGAAGTCGCTCCTCCCACAAAACCTGCAGATCTGTCTCCACCGGGTGGCCTTCCCGTCGATGTTCTATCTCCCGATCAACTAGATACGCCACCCGACAGCATAGCCAGCGGAAGCAGCTTCGATCAAAACTTGGCATATGACGAGGCGAGGAACGCTGAGGATGGTGGGGGCTGGCCTCCCTCCTTCTTGGATGACTTTGAAGCTCGGATCTGGCTCACCTACCGCTCTAATTTCCCCGCCATTCCCAAATCCCAAGATCCATCCGCATTATCGACTATGTCACTCACTGTCAGACTAAGAAGTCAGCTTGGAGACCAGGCCGGATTTACCTCTGATACGGGTTGGGGGTGTATGATTCGATCGGGGCAAAGCGTTCTCGCAAATGCCCTGGTCATGTTAAGACTAGGCAGAGGTTAGCGATTCTCCTGTTATATCAAATACGGATAAGTAATAACAATTCAATAGAGTGGCGCCGGGGCACGTCAAACTTGGACGAACAGGAAATTCTGTCTTTATTTGCAGACGACCCGAAAGCGCCCTACTCCATCCACAAATTTGTGGAACATGGCGCCACGGCCTGCGGAAAGCATCCAGGGGAGTGGTTTGGGCCCTCGGCAACTGCACAATGTATCCAGTGAGGAAGCCTTGCGAATTAGCTGCTAGGGAAATACTTACACATAACAGGGCCTTGACTAATGACCATGGATCCTCGAAGCTACGAGTTTACATAACTGGTAATGGCTCAGACGTATACGAAGATAGTTTTATGCGCATTGCGAAGCCCGATGGGGCGGCGTTTGTGCCAACTCTTGTCTTGGTTGGGACACGGCTGGGGTTGGATAAGATTACCCCGGTCTATTGGGAAGCACTGAAGGCTTCTTTGCAGATGCCGCAGTCGATTGGAATTGCTGGGTAAGACCTGCCCCAACTCTACAAGTCTCCGTGTATTGATTATTAGTAGTGGCCGTCCGTCTTCATCCCATTATTTTATAGGTGTCCAAGGGCCTTATTTCTTTTATTTGGACCCCCATCAAACCAGGCCCGCATTGCCCTTGCCAAAAAGCATCGAAGATTTTACACAAGAAGACATCGATTCCTGCCACACCCGGCGGCTTCGACGACTCCACGTGAAAGAGATGGATCCAAGTATGCTCATAGCCTTCCTAATACGCGATGTAGCAGATTGGAGAGCATGGCGACAAGCTGTGCAGGAAGTTCAAGGGAAGCCCGTAATACACGTAGCAGACAGAGACCCGTCACTAAGTGGTCTCGGTGTTGAGCGTGACGGGGCTATTGACGAGGTTGAGACGTTTGATGATGAGGATGATGGTACCATGTAGAATTGGCAAGGGTTTGGCGGCGTTAGTGAGGTCGATGTCAGCAGGCGTTCGGCATAGGGGTTACATTTAGATTTAGCGCCCATAAGCTCGTGGAAGAAATACCAGAGTCCACGCTCGAAGGATTACCAGCGACGAACAGTAATTTTGATATCCAAATTTATCAACATCAAGATACGTTAGGCTATGGTGTTTGCACATCGACATACGTGTTTTATGCGGTGACCTAGTTCTTCGCGGTTCATTTAGCTGCTCTCCTATTTTCTATCGCTCTACTATAACGTAGGCAAATTGCGCAACTTAGCCACCAGGCTATAATATTCTCCCCCCATAATGCCTAAGCTATAGTAAATGGCTTGGGCATATAGTTTCTATATGACTTTATGATTAATATTCGTTGTTGACTTTATTAACAGCACTATTGATATATGTACGTATTTCTATATTATACGTTCTATATTTATTTATACGACCTCTTTATTTTATGGCGAATTTCCATTGTTATACCTCGACTAATTAATACTATCAAAATATGCTATGCCGTAGACATGTTATGACTCTTCTTTACCTCCTTTATTAAATCTATGCCTTGTAGTAGGCTCTAGTGTCTTTGGTTTTGGATATATGATTATATTCGCATATTTATTTAAAATGATATCGAAATTTTATAGCGCTTTCACTACGCGGTAATACTAATCAATATATAAGACCAGTGGTAAATAGCTAGCACTTGAATTATCATATTATACAGTAACTAGTAAGATACATCCTATTTCAAGGAACCGAGCTATAAGCCGCTTTACATTTATTGAACCCGAAGTGGTTTCAAAAGAAGCATAGCTAATTTAACCTGGATGCTCGTTTTACTACTCGTTCATTTTATATTGCTTTCTTTCCCTTCTTTCCCTTCCCCTTCTCGGCCTTTGTATCGTTTAGTGATTCTTACGATATACTTTGTAAAATACTACTTACTCCTCCTAGTTGGAAATGTGACCCAGCTAAATAAATACTCCCGAGGAAACCCTCTCTAGAATTTATAAATACTGAACTCCTGACATAGCAAAAATTTGTGGTATCAGATGACAGAAGGTTGAGACGCTAACATTGCGGAGCGAGTCTGAGCAACTCTATGTATTATATTTTTCAGGGCGGCTTTAGCTCCTCCCTATCAGCACCAATAAATGACGAGTACAGTCTGATTATGCTCTTGGGGTAGGTAACGGACGAATCACACAGGGGACGAAAATAAAATGACTGGGTATATTAAAGGTAGGACGAAAAGTGCCGAACTAGCCCGCTAAAGTACAACAATGGGTATCAAAAGCGCTAACACCTTCCGCATACAACACATCTAGAAACCTAGTTGATCCACATCTCTCATATCCAGAACTACCATGCAGATCAATGCATCCAAGGACTTGTTATCCTACATCACGGAACATTTCTGCTCTGATGGGTGCTTATAGCTGTCGCCAAACTGCTCCCTGCCCCTTTCCGTCTCCACCGCTACCCGCTTCTCGCGGGCCTCCTTGGGAAAGTACTTCTCAAGAAATTTCTCGAGTGTCGGATCAATGTTATCTGCTCCTAGTTAGTATGTTTAACAAGAAAAACTGCCGCGAAAGGGTTCTAGAGGTAACAATGGTGGGGGTCTTACCTGCGTCCGCTGCCAAGACCACGTCGCCCCTGCAGAGGGGACAAAATCTCTCCCTCTTTCGCTGAAGCGTGACCGCGCAGCTGATGCAGAGAATATGATGGCACTTCATCCGTACTGGTCTCCAAGCTATAGTAAAGCAAATGGGACATAGATAATCATCGATCTGGGGCACGGTCTTGACAAGATCCTGCGTAAGCTGCGAACAGACAGCTTTTGCCATTGTCTCCGACATTGTGGACCTCGAATAGATCAGCTCGGGAAATTTCCTGGTTGCGCCAAGGCGAGTCCTCTTGTCGAATTCTTTTCCGAGAGCTAGTGTTAGCCAATGACTACCTGGAAGGGAAGGACACTCACTCTTGAGAATTTTGTTAACTGCCGTGCGATTAATCTCTTGGAATTTGATATTACGCAAGAGTGTGATATTTATGTTTACGAATCTTTCCAGCGCTTGTCGGCTGGCTGGTAACTTGAACGATTCGACAATCCGCCTGCGTACAACCTCGTTTTGGAACCATTCAAGCTGTTTCGTGGCGGCCTTACTATCTCGAGTGCCATGGTCACGTTCATGGGTTGAAAAGAAGACCATGGCTTGTAGGTAGATGTCGAACAGTTCTCGCCACCTGTATAGATCTGTTTTGCTGAATCTTGAGGGCTTCGTCACGGAAGCGAGATCTTTCGAAAGGGCAACGATCTCATCAGCTAGAGCAGTCTGCTCCCCTGCCTGTAGATCGCCAAGAGTTGCGACTTCGCTCTGCAGCGTCTTGAAGAACTCCGCGTCAAAAGTTAAAGGAACCTCTATCCGTTGGATAACCGGTTCGTCAGCTGAAATTTGGCTTTCTGCAGCTAGAGCTGAGTTGTTTCTGGAAGTTCTGTTAGCAAGGACTTTTAAAAAAATTCGATACATAAGAAGTCATAAGACGTGCAAAGAGTTGGGTACGACCAATTCGCCTCACTTGAGTGTTTTAATTTACCTTCTTAGATAATCAGAGAAGCGCAAGTCTTGAAATGGTAGTACCGTGGTAAACCCTCGACAAGCACGGAATGTACCAAGTGGAAGACGGGGAACACATACTCTGTCGCCGAGCTCTGGGTGCAAGGCGGATATCCATGGCAAGCCCCACAACCGTTTCGCTGTTGCTGGACCAAGGTCTCTAAATATCTCCTGGTATCAGGAGACAGAGTTGCGTCTACGGCAACGCCATTCTTTACAAAGAGAGTGAGTTTGGGCTCGAAAGCCTGATCGTCACCTGCGAGGTATGTTAGTATTCCAAAATGAAGATATGGGGGTAGTGTTTTGCATGTGGCGGTTCGGCCTGGCCCTAACTTACCACTGAAGTCATATTGAAAAGCAATGCTGCTGCCCCTTCCCGATGGACTTGTAGATGGAGATGAGCCGGCGTTGTGCTCCGGCACGAGTCTGGCAAGCGTAGCAGAATCCAGCCCCAAGCTCTCTAGCTCAGACGTGACTTTCTTGATAATCTTTTTGAGAGCTCCATACGGCACAGCGGACTCAACCCAGTGAGGCGGATAGCCCTCTCGGATCAAGGCGGCCTTGAACTCGTGAGCGAATTTCATTGGAACGTACTGTACTCCGTATTACCGGTTATTGGTATGAGCGAGAGATGCGGGGAGGTTGGAGTATTAAGACCAAGGACTGAATATTCCCCTTCTGTCTGAGTGGCCAAAACCAAGACGTGTGACTGGTGACTGACTGAATTGTCTTTGGTGGCGGAAGCCGAGGCCAAGAATTTTGTCTGGGGGATGGCGCAGGATATGGGAACGGGTGAGTGGGAGCTGCATGGAGGTTGCAAAGATGGAATATGGAATGTGGAATGTGGAATGTGGAATATGGAATATCGAGGATGGAAGAGGAGGTTTCCCAACGAAAGATAATTAATAGGATACTATATACCTACGTAGGTAAGGTACCTTGGCAGGTCAATAAGGACGACAAATCTCCCCAGGTGCACGAAGCCAAGATGCAATAATGAGAGAACTATGAGGTAAGCGTGGCGTCGACGCTAGTACAGGCAGTAACCCACGTGGTATCGAGTCCCCTTCTACATTGTACCAAGGACCGACGTATATTAACTGGTTATACGCTTACCACGGGTCTATTGTAACGCCTTTGCGCCGTATTTCTACTAGTAGGTATTGTACCCTAGAACCACGCAGGATCTAGGCCTGATCCTCGTGGCACTAGTGCCGAATAGAATAATAGTTGTTATGGGCCAAGATGCGAGTAACATCCACTGCCACTGCCACTGCCACTGCCACTGCCTGCCTATCAGGTCAAAGTACATGTACAACACTTTGTCCTCTGTATGGAAACCTTTATTACGTAATGCACTTAAGCATTTTATTAAGGTATATTTATAATATTTCGCTGCAAAGGTGTTGGCTTTATTAGCTACAGTAATTTAGGCGTATCTTATCTTACATATTGGATTCTTCTTCGCCACTGTTTGTGCGACTCGGCCTTGCATGCCAACACCAAGACCGCCATCGGCCAGTACGGAAGTACTGGTAGCTTGGCTTGTATTTTGTACCGTCCTACGTCCTACGTACCTCCTAGGCAACTGATGATAAATAATAATATTTTCTACCTGCTAGCAATACGTATCACCACTTCAACACGCAACCAACACCTGTACCAAATAACCTAGGGCTTGTATATTCGCGCCTACGCACCCACATCCACATCCGCATCCATATCCGCATCTTCACCCCACCAAAATCAGATCTAGATATACCAGATACCAGATACCACCCCGCGTCGCCCTCCCCCCCATTCCACCGCTGGCTTACGCCGTGAGAGGTTGCTGCGATGGGCGCTCAGCAATCCTCAGCCCATGGTGCTCCTCCGAATGCCAACGCCGCAGATGTGAAGACCTGTTACTATGAAGTGCTCGGAGTGGACCGCCAGGCGACCGATGATGAGTGTGCATTTTGTTCCTGCCGAATCTCGTTGTCACCACGACTGACCATCTCTATAGGGTGAAGAAGGCATATCGTAAGAAGGCGCTCGAACTGCATCCGGACCGTAACTATGGCGATGTCGAAAATGCGACGGCGAAGTTTGCGGAGGTCCAGTCGGCCCATGAAGTGCTTTCAGATCCTCAAGAACGCGCGTGGTATGATTCGCATAGGGAATCTATCTTGCGCGGGGATGCTGGAGGGGCAGAGGATTCCTTTGAGCACAATGCGCGTATGACCAGTGCCGGGGATATCGTGAGCTTGATCGCCAAATTCAACACCAGTGTGCCATTCACGGACGCCCCGAACGGGTTTTATGGGAGCCTTCAGGGGACGTTTGAAAGCCTTGCTGCCGAAGAAGATTCCGCTTGTGACTGGGCAGGGCTCGAGGCTATGGAATACCCAGGTTTTGGCGGCGCCGAGGACAGCTATGAAGATGTGGTCAAGGACTTCTATAGAGTCTGGATAAATTTCTCCACGAAAAAGTCATTCTCCTGGAGAGACGCCTACCGGACATCGGACGCGCCTGATAGAGCAACACGGAGACTTATAGAGAAGGAGAATAAGAGGTTGAGGGAAGAAGGAATCCGAGAATTCAATGATGCCGTTAGATCGCTTGTCGCCTTTGCAAGGAAGAGGGATCCGAGATACATACAAAATGCCCAGTCAGAAGCGGATAGGCAGAAGATCCTCCGAGATGCTGCCTCTGCGCAAGCTGCCCGATCCAGGGCAGCAAACCAAGCCAAATTTCAGGACCATATTATTCCAGATTGGGCCCGTTCACAGGAGGAGGAAGAAGGCGTAGATGAATTTACCGAGTCGGAAGAGTCCGAGGTCGAGCACATTGAATGTGTTGTCTGCGGCAAGACCTTTAAGAGTGAGAAGCAATATGAGACTCACGAGAAGAGTAAAAAGCATACCAAGGCCGTACAACAACTTCAGAGGGAGATGCGCAGGGAGAACAAACTGTTGAATCTCGATAGCCCAACAACTGGCAGCACCCCTTCCACCCCAATTCCCGAATTTGATAATTTGGAGGTGGACACGATGGACAACGAAGCGAAGAGTGCAATCTCTCAAGCCAACGGGGGCGTTGTTATTCCTCCTGGCGACGATGGCGATATACCTGCAGCCGCCCGCGCCGATGACTTGGTAGACCATAACATAGCAATGGAAGTCCATGTTAAAAGCACCCCAGACTCTGTCTCCGTTTCATCAGAGATAGACGATGAATATGCCCCTAGAGAAGATGTTGAAAGTCGGTTTCAATCACTGACTGGAACCGACCCTGTCCAGTCTGACCGTGGAATCGACCCAGCGGCTGGCAGTGATAGTGGTGGTCGCAGTAATACACAGCCAAAACTGGGCAAAGCGAAAGCGAAACGCGCAAAGAAAGCGGCGAAGGATGCAAAGGAGCCAGACGGGGGAAATGAGGTAATTGTATTGCCTGGTCCTAGGTACGCCAATGTACTGACTTCCAGTAGCATAAATGTGCGGCATGTGCAGAGTCGTTTACGTCGAAGACCAAATTGTTTAATCATATCAAAGAGTATAACCATGCTCAACCTCCACCAAAGGCCGGCAAGGGAAAGAGTAAGAGATAACAATAATGTATCGAAAATTGTGGACAGGCGTTTCTGGGCATGGCAAGGTTGATAGAGCATAGCGGGGCGTCAAGAGAATAGAATTGCTTAAGAGCTTATGATACTAGCCACCGTACACACCGTATGCAACGTCTCAACTCGCAAGTAGCTACCTAGAAGTCACGCAGGAAATGATAGTGATATAAATTTCTATCCCCATTTGTAGTCCGAAGAGATTATGCTATTGCTACGAGTATTATAGCGAACATTGACTGTGCAATCCTGTGTTGCAGCCGCTTGACCTTCTTCAAGCCGTAGACAATGCTTATTATGGCTCCCTTGGAGGTGCCAACAGCTACTTTGTACGATGCATTGCTCTTTACTTCGTACATCCAAAGCTGGCTGGTTCAAAGCTTGTCTCGGTATCTGAACGGAAAAAAGCCTATTTATTGGAACCGGGCCGGCGGGGTCTGGGGCATCGCATCTAACCCCAACCGGCACAAGGATTCCCCGATTACTGGTGGCCCCCGTATCTATCCCGAAGCTATGCCGCAACGTGACGTCTTAACTCGTGAGCTTTCTCGATTGCAATTACACATGAGATGCAGTCAACAGCAAGGCACACTTGAGTGTTAGGCACATATTTCCCCTCCTAAATGTCCATATTGGTGAGTCTCTTGGCCTACAATGCGGACAGTCAGGGACTTGGGTCGCCACCAAAAGGTCTTGTCGCTGAATGATCTCCCCGACGAAGTCTTGCAACACATCCTTTACTATCTCTCCGCCCAAGATGTCTTGTCCAATATCCAGCGGATTTCCAAGCGCTTTTACGCGTTGAGCAATCAGCCTCTGCTCTGGCGACATCACTGTCACACGGCATTCACGTATTGGGATTTGAAACATCGAATCCGGCAAAAATTCTCTGGGGAGGTGGCGGATGTGGACTGGAAGCCGCTCTATATGCACAGGTGCAGGATTGACCGGGAAACAACGAAGATCCTGGATAGCATCCTCCAAGGGCAGGTTGACCGAATTAAGAAGTTCAAAGTGATTGCCAATTTCGGCTATGATGCCAAAGATACGCTGCTTCGACACTGCCACGCGCCTGATGAAGCTGAGGATGTTCTGGCCAGACGGTTAGTTCTTGCCGATATCCTCGTGCACTGTACTCTGACTGACTGAAATTCTAGGTACTACGCCAACGCCGTTCTTGACCATCTACATCGATCAGAGGCTCTCGTAGAGTGGGGCAAGATTGCCAGAGGCGAAATTGTGCCCCTCGAAAGAGCGTTAGGATCGTTTGACTTGTTCGTATTGCACGACCAGTTCGGTGATCTTGAGGAGGTGCGTCAGTAGCTCCCGATGGATCATTGCTTAACTGACCGATAAATTCATAGATATCCGAGATCCTGGATAATCTCGTTGCGCAGCTTCGTATAGAATATCCCGAATTTGGTCAACTTTCTACGCGAAAAAAGGCGATTGCGACGGTAACGTTTCTACGAACACATAATCTCACTGGCATTGCAACAGAGGTGGCGTACAGGGATCTGCAAAATAATTATATCGGCATTGCCTTACAGGACCGAGAGCACCCATCACTGCCCCTGATATCGGTAGCCATCTTCTGCGCTGTTGCGCAAAGATTAGGCTTCGATGCTCGATGTTGCGGGATACCGAATCATGTTCATGCTTTGGTCTTTCCACCTCGACATGAGACGTTAGATGGGAGGTCCTTGATGGGCACCGAATCTTCCCCAGAACCGATGTACCTGGACCCATACCGATCGGACAGAGAGATTCCACTAGAGGGCCTCCAAAGAATGCTATCAGCATGGGGTATCCAACCAACAGATTATGACCGGTTTCTGGCAGAGTCGAGCGCTGCGAGTCTCATACTCCGCACGTCAAGAAATATACTGGCCACAGTTCATGAATTCAGGGGGCATGGCGGAGACGCAGAAAATACGGGTCACCCTACGATACGACTCCATGCTAACCCCTTTGCCGACATGGAGAACGCTTTTTATTCTGCTCTGTGGGCCAACTTTATCTTCGGCCGACCGATACCAAGCTCCGATGGCTACAACCAACGGCATTTCATTCCTCTCATATTAGAAAGATTTGAACGTCTCTACCCAATGGACGCCTCATTGATAGAGCAATATATCTGTCCCTTGTTCAACAACCCGTCAAATGCAGAGCACTGGGAGCTGCATGAGGCTTTGCGGGTAGTCCATGCGGCAGACCAGACCCCTAAACAACTTCGGCTTCGCAACACTACCGCAGCTCGTGATGGGGTGAAGTATAAGGTTGGACAAGTATTCCGTCATAGGAGATATGCGTACACTGCAGTCATTACGGGCTGGGACATAGAATGTGGTATGGGTTCAGATTGGATTGCTTATAATGGGGTAGACTCGTTATCACGGGGTAGGCACCAGAGTTTTTACCATGCACTGTAAGTGTCACATTGGTTATGTCTGAAATAGTAGCTTACGGACAGAACATCTAGTGTCGAAGATACGAGTATCCGCTACGTGGCGGAGGAAAACATCGACATCATGGAGCCAGAAGTACCGGTTTCTCTGATGAGCTTGGCAGGTCGGTTCTTCAAGCGTTGGGACCAGGATAGGCGCTTGTTTGTGTCGAATATACGTGATGAATACCCTGAAGATTAGGATAGTGTACTGCATATACCCAAATGATATCAAATACAGCTATAAAGTATAGGACGTTAGGAATTTTGTCTAAGTGTCTCCTGCATAATATTAACGTATGCCCTAGATCATTGAGATATCTAAATGTACTCGCTCACCTGCAGCTCCACAGTATGGCCCTATTTGTAAATCCTATGGTAGATGCAGTGCTATTGCAGCTAACATAGTATTCTTATCGTCCCTCTTGAACTTAAGGCATGCTACTTTTGTTCTTCGCTCACAACGGCCAGAACATTGGTTCACAAATTCTAACATGTATTGTTAATTTGACTCACCACAGATGAGATTGGCACTAAATGAACTCATAAATAATAGATGCGTTAATAGCGTTCATAGAATTCCTGCTTGATGGTCTATGATCTACCTAGGTATATAGTATTGGTGATATGCATCCTCCCAATATTCACACCGCCGAGACGGCGCCAGTCATAGGCCTTATAGCTTCATTCCATTTTCTCTTATATCCGCGACTATACCCTTCAACACTCCAGCCTCGGCAATTTTTTTTATTGCAGAGTAGATCACTGGAGTGTGATCCTCCTTACGCTTAGCGGCTTGGTCATCCTCTTGACCGATCAAGGCCGCTTCTTCTAGGTAAGAGCGGCAGAGTGCGGCATAATCACCCACCATCCTGAGTCGTAGTTCCATGAGCTTTTGTGGGTCGCTACCAGTCTTCTCAAGGTCCTCCTTTGTGGATATTGGAAGCTCCGTTGTCTCGATAAGATCATTGGTAACGCCAAACGATTCACACAGCTCACTGGCTGTGGGGGGAATATCGCCGGTGACGAATAACTTCCAATCTGGTAAGACGAGTGAAAGGACCTCCTCGACGGCCATGACTGACTTCATACTAGCGGCAATCTTCTTAGGGAGCGTGCGTAATGGGCTAGCACCCAGGGCCAGAAGACTGAACTGGACTCCGTCGTCTTCATACTGGCATATACGCCTGTATATATTATCTCGAGCCACTGCCATCCAATTGTCGCCGCTTGGTCCTTGTCGGTCGTTAATTTAGCCATAAAACGGTAGGGGGAGGAGCTTACCAAGTTTGGTAGGGTGTCGTTGAAGGCCATCGAGCCTCCAGACAACGTTGTCAATGGGGACATATGCAATAAAGTGATAGCCAGGCTCATCCTCGTCTTTTGGCTTGGTCTTTGTGTTTGAGGTCTTCTTGCGTCTAGGGTTATTCTTTATTCGCTTCCACCGTTCAAATTCACCTTGGAGGGCCAAGTCAGCATTAAGTATGTCCATTCGCCTGGAGCACCTAGTTAGCTAACAATCCATGGAACTGCCTCGGTGTAACTTACCGGACAAAGGAGTTGTGAATAGACCTAATAAAGTCATTACAACCAAGCCTCTGGCCACGGTATGCTGGCTTCAACCCCTGGGTGTGCTTTTTGAAGACGGAGAGCACGTCACCGAGATTAATTTCTGGCACGTTCATAACAATATTTAGTAGTGCTACTGTGGCACAGGCATTGTTCGTTGTCTGAGTTCGATTAGAACATTGAATTTGATTGGAACATGGAACTCAGGTTAGGATTTTGGACTCACCTGGTTGGCAAACCACACTTGCTTTGGGCATTTTGACGCCTTAGTCTTAGTCTCCACCTCCGTCTCCGCCTTAGCATCCTCATCCTCGTCCCGATATTTGAAAAGGAAAATCAGCCCATAGACTGGGTTGCTGCGAGACATTGTTAGCGTGACCATCAAAGAATCATAGAGCCGGAAAATATACGGGAGTAAACCCAACATTTCGTCGTCTAGTGCGAGGACCTCCTGGATCTTGACATCTCTGACGCCGTACTCTCGTAAGATAAAGTTGAATAGAGCCTTGAGGACCAAGTCAGTCTCAATAGTCATGCAAAAGTGCGAATTGGATAGTATGGAAGGACAGGTATATGAAGGGGCATGAACTCACGGGGTCAGACTCTAGTTCAACCCAGCCTTTCCAGCTTCGACGCTCCTCATCGGTCAGAGGTTTCATCGCTTCCATTACCGCGCCAGAATCATCGTTGGTCGACACTGGGTCTTTACGCTTCCTTAGGGTTCTCGTAGCTGGGCCCGGTTGAGCCATGGCCAACGCGTTTGTACCTGATCCGGATGTGTCTATACAAAGATCACTGGCTGAGGGCTTCAAAAAGTTGATTAGACCTCAGAAAAATATATGTCGCGGAATATAAATATTCACCAGGTGGTTCTAACCGAGAAGGAGGCCACAAGGCCGAAAAACAACACACGGTGCCAGAAATATCAAGCTCAAGGTACAGCTAAGTGCAGCATATATTGCCAGAGTGGCGGCAAACAATGTTGCCCAGCATGAACCCGGAAGAAACAGTAAAAGGCCGCGACTTTCATTTGGGCAACAGAGTCGAGAAGCCGGTAGATTCGGATTTAGAGCGGGAAGACATGTAAACCCCTTAGATGGTTAAGGCACTTGAGTAGCTGGTGCTGGAATATAAGGTAGCATTAGACATTAGATGGCATGGGAGGGAGCTTTTTGATAGAGGCGTGCCATGGTGGATGCATGGAGTATTAATAGTGATTCGTGGCTGGGATTGGCTCGGTGGCCTGTGCTCACGAGCCTCGCGTTGAATTCTTTGGTTACGCGACGCCTTGAGGAAAACCATACAACAACACCACCGACTAGGTATCTCCTCCTCCAATAACACAGTGATCAGAGCAACAGCAGCGACCTCTTCCCCCCGCATTGGCAGAAGCTCTTTTTACATCGTTGGGTTAGACATTTATGCTTTCACTTTGAGCTCAATTTTCATATAGCCTCTCGCCATTGCCAGCGCCGAAGTGCCCGCCGGGCCCTGGAGATAAGAAGAGCATGCCATCGTCATGAACGGGACTCCTCGCCTGCCGTCGTCATTCCCCTCAACTCCCGGCAGCGGAGGTCGAGGTGGAAATAGAAATGGAAGTGGGAGTGGAAATGCGACTGCCAATACGAGTCCAGTGGGGAGCTTGAGTGGGAGCGGCCAGACCAGGTCTTCCCTCCCCAGCGTCCCCCAGACATCGACCACGGTCTCCTCGAGTGCGCCATTGATTCCGGTCACCCTCATCGACGCACCTAGCCAGCGTCTGTATACCCTCGCGATCTATGGCCTGCTCCTGGTGTGGCGTCTATACGACTGGTGGCTCTTGGTGGAAGAGGATACCCATTCTATCGCTCTCTTTGTGAAGTGGGCTTGTATCGACCTGATATTCCTGTTTGGTGTGCCACTACTGCGCATACCATGGCTGGAATGGTCGGATACGACGTGCCTATCTGCATATTTCCTACATGCGTTTATAAATGGCATGCTGATGTTCAGAATACCAGTGGGTTCATCGTCGTCTGTGTCCTGTTCGTTGGCGATGACTAACTAGCACACAGCTCCCAATCGAAGGATGGCTACTTTTCCTCACAAAAACTCTATTTGACAGGGAAATGTCTATTTCCGAAAATAGTGTCCGTCCTGCTAGCATTTTGCACAACGCCTCGCTCATCATGGGCAAGCAAATTATCAATATCCTTCCTGAAGGGTAAGTGTTTAGAATGTACCTCATTTAGGGGCCATACATACTAATAATTGTCAGTTCCGCGACTATGAATCCGGATCAGTTGACTTTCTGCATTGAAAGCAGCCACCCAACTGTTGAAATCCCACTATTCTTCAACCAGACGAAACCTCAGCATATCGAATTACTCCGCTTCGACTTGGAGACAAATAAAAACGAGACTATCACTCTATCACACAAAGAGATGAAGCACCGTACCCAACTGGATGAGGACGTGACTGTTATCAATTATATTACGAAACGGCCTGGGCTTTACAGACTTCATAACGTTATCGACAGATCAAAATTAGAAGTTCAACGCAGGATGTCTGACACGCTTGTTGTTACATGCCCTAAAGGAACCATCAAATCAACTTCTTCTAGCAAGTGTGTGGGTGACTTGTCTGATTTAACTATGGAGATCGAGGGTACTCCCCCGCTCAAAGTTGTGTATAGCCGCACTTCAAATAAGGACCGGAGCATCCACCACTTCCAAAGCATCCAGCCAGAGAACTTCGTTTCTCCATTACTCAGCTCTAACCGTGCTAGCACAGTTGTCCCCGCAGGAAGTCAAGATGTTTCATGGGCGCGAGCACACCGTATCAGTGTTCCCTTGAATGAATCCATGATACCTAGTGGCCGATGGCTATACTCCATCGATGAGATCCATGACGCAGTAGGCAACGTGGCCAAATTTTCGTCTGGAGCGGATGATGGGGAGAATACTTATCCTAAGGGCACCCACCTGGAGCAAGAATTCATCGTTCATGAACGGCCTGTTGCCCGTTTATCGGGTTGCGATTCCCGAAGCCCCTTGATGGTTGCCAAGGGGAGATCCGTCCCGTTGTCTATCCTGTATAAGTCTACAGGCCGAGACCGAATTCTAGACCGAACTCAGGCCCCAGGCCGAGAACCTCCTGACACATCTCACACTATTACTTGGAAATTTTCTCCCCTGAATAGTCTTACCAAGACTGGAGATCACGGAAATGAAGTAGTGGAGCAAGAATTTATTGCCAAAACAGCACATCACAACCCTACGATTCGAGAGCCGGGGCTATACACCATCACCAGCGTGAAGAGCCAATTTTGTGAGGGTGAAGTAAAGGTGCCCGAGTCCTGCTTGCTGCTCAACCCACCTGAGCCTCAGTTAACAATCAGCTCTCAAAAAATCGATGACAAATGCGCAGGCAACCCAATTGGCCTGCTCGTCGATCTTAATCTTATTGGCACACCTCCATTTACTGTGTCGTACATCACTACGGGCCCCACTTCCTCCGGGGGCGAGGCCCAAACAGAGCATGATGTGAAGGTGTCGGGCTTGCGGCACCAGTTCGAACTAAAACCCGAAAACGCTGGTCACTACAAATACCATTTCACTTCTATCAGCGACTCAGTGTATGAGTCTCACCACTTGACTGGAGCTGGACTGGTATTGGAACAAGATGTGAAACCACCTGCTGTGGCAGTTTTGCTAGCCCCACGTCAGCTTGACGCGTGCCTGGATGGACAAGTAGAGATGGTTGTCAGCTTACATGGAAAGCAGCCCTTTACGTTAGAGTATGAGCTCATCTACGACGGTAAAAGAGAGAGGGAAAAGGTATCGGGAATCGAGGAAGAATTTTACCAGATCAAAACCCGCCCTCTGTTGAAAGGCGGGGAATATTCTTTGGCCGTTACCAGCATCCAGGATCGAACAGGTTGTAAAATCTTTCTTAATAGCGAGGCCAAATTCACGGTTCGGCATCAACGCCCGAAAGCATCTTTTGGCTACCTGCAAGGCAAGCATACAATTACCCAGGTTGTAGGGGAATTTGTCGAACTACCCTTGCGTTTGACAGGAAAGGCACCTTGGAAGGTTACATACCGCAACATCAACATTACAGACAGCAGACCCAAACAAAGATCTGCATCGTCCCCCAATGACTTTATTAGAGTCCTTGAGCCTGGCATATATGAGATTCTGACTGTAGCTGATGGCCAATGCCCTGGGACGGTTGACCCTAAAGCGTCTAGATTTGAGGTTGATTGGTTCCCCACACCCCAAATTAAGGTTGCGGACACAGCAGCTTTTATAGAACAGGGCAACAAGTGGCTTAAGCGGGAGGTTTGTGAAGGAGACATCGACGCTATGGAGGCGCAGCTCACAGGTGAGGCTCATATTTCCTTTTGTTCACCGAAAGTAGCGGCAATACTGACCTTTGCAGGCACACCCCCATACAATATTAAGTATCAGGTTCGCCACAAGTCTGACCGCGGATCCGGCTCTGTTATCAACAAGGGGTTCGAGGCTGCGTTTGGTACAGCCACAATCTCCATGGAAACGAGTAAGGCTGGTTCCTATGAGTACACGTTCACCGAGGTCTCTGATTCCTTGTATGACTACTATACGCCATCTAAACCTTTGGTGATTGAACAAAAGGTTAACCGGAAGCCTTCGGCAAGCTTCGTCAAGCCTGGGCAATCTTACAAGTACTGCAAGGATGAGCTGGCTGGTGATGAGGTCATTCCGATTCGATTGGAAGGCGTTCCCCCATTTAGTCTCGAAGTCGACATTAAACATCAAAGCAGTTCCCGGCCGGAGACGGTGAAGATTGCCAATATTGAGTCAACTAAGTACGACTTTAGGATCCCACATCGCGTGCTTTCCCTTGGAATCCATCACGTTAGTGTACGAAAAGTGCGGGACTCGCGAGGATGTCAACAGAAAACGGAGTATGGAGCGCCCCACGTACAAGTCCAAGTCTACGATGTCCCGACAATCCACCCCTCAGAATCACGCACCGATTACTGTGTTGGAGAGCGAATATCCTATACCCTTTCGGGAGCAGCGCCCTTCGAGATATTCTACACGTTTGAAGGCGTACAAAGGAAAGCAAAATCTTTAAGCACAACCTTTAGACGTATTGCAGAGAAGCCCGGCAACTTCTCCATCACCGGAGTATCAGACCGGGCCAGTGAATGCAAGGCCCGTATCAAAACCACGAAGCTCATCCACGCGATGCCGAGTGTCAAAATCAGCAAGGGCAAACAGGTGTGGGTGGACATTCATGAAGGCGGCGAGGTACCAATCCTTTTCGAATTCTGGGGGACGCCGCCTTTCGAGTTCACATACACTCGAAGCACGAATGCGCGGAAGGGACAGAAATCACAGGTATTGGAGACGAGACGGGAAGTCTCACACGAGCACAGCAAAACGGTAATGTCCTCGCAGGAGGGCACATACGAAGTGGTGGCGATTAAGGATAAATTCTGCTCGTTCTCCACGCAGAAAGCCGATAATGCGAGGGGTGGACAAAAGCTCCTCCAATTCTGAGTTGGATAGCGCACCTACTACTCGTACCTCCCGAGTTCCTTGTTTAGGTAGCATTGGTCATAGCGTGGCGTTCGGGGCTGAGAATTTGGCACACTGTTCTCTTTCTGTGTGTATGGTATATAGTGCATTATTGTCGGGATAGACATGAGAAAGAGATGATAACATTTTATAAATAAACAACTTACATTTATTTGCCCTGTTAGTCTTCACGTGTGTGGGGGGTCGTGATCACTTTAATTTTCGGGTGTTTCTCAATGTAGGGAGGGAGGGCCATCCTAGGATTCGACAGAATTGCTCTACCTAAAAAGGCACTGTATTGTACCTAAGGCACCTAGGTACGATAGCCAAGAGGCAAGCTCTTCGAAGCAAGTTGCAACGCTTTCTTACGAGGACCCCGCGATGGCTACTCCGTACTGCTAGGTATTTTATACGCGGCGGGGCATGTTCGTGTTTTGCGTGTTTTGCGCTGGGCTGACCTGAGCGGAGCGTGTCTTGGGGCGTGTTTGTGTGTGCGTGTGTGTGGTTGGCTCGTCCTGTGCATTTTCTGTCGTATCGAGGTACGTTTATTGGTTGCGCTGTAAAACGGTTGGCGCGTCGCGACGCGAAAATGACACGAACTCTGCCACCGACGCGAAATTCCGAGAGGAGCGATGTGATGGGATGGGATGGGATGTGATGCAACAATGTAATCGACAGCTTTAGGTACCTAGGTATTCAAGTAGATATATACAGCACAACCACAGAAAGGAAGGCCAGGAGATCCTTACGGGTCTATCACCTCAACCTCCTCCACGAAGTGGAGGTGAAAGGGGAAGCCAGCGGAAGGGAAATGCGCAAACAATGCCAAACACGCAGCCATCCATTGCCTCCCTCCCCGTCCATCCCATCGGCCCACCAAAGTAAATCAAAGAGAATCCATATGTACGCCATGATCTCCCCCCTACGGTGTGGCCGCTCGACAGACACCTTCATTCTCGGCACTTGGCGTCTAGCCGTTGGAATCATATACATAGTTCTACGTGTAAACTTCATTAAAAAAAAAAAAGTAATTGCGGGTGCCGTCGTGGGCGTTGCAAAGTAAATCGCGATGATCGTGTCATGACATGAGGTCTCCGCCAAGCTGCATTCCGAGGCCGGTATGCTTAGCAGAGCTGGTGACCTGATCTCGTAGGCCGGGGCTGGAATGTGGCGGCTGGAGGTTGTCGAAGGTCAGCCGCCTTCGTGCCACGGCAAGGGGCGTCTTAAGGGTGCGCGGTGTCTTGGGCCAGGCTTTTTGCGCTGGGCTGGGAGTAATATTGACGAAATCACTGAAATCGAAGGCTTGCGAAGGAGTGTTGGGCCCCCCGAATACCGAGAGGAAGCCGGATCCTCCCCCCGGGGTGGTCATCATCGACGATGGAAGGGGAGAGCTCTTGGGCGGTGGGGTGGATGGTGGATGCATACGTGCGCCCCGGGATGATGGATTTGCGGGCGACGGCGAGGTTGCGAGGTAAAGCAGAAGATCCGCACCCTCCTCCGACTTGCCATTCTTGTCTTTTGCTCGGCGACTGCCGCCTCGACCGCGGGCGGGAGGAGGAGTGCTAGGAGGCGAGGAGCGGATGTTGAAGGAATATGTTGGTAGGCAGTTGTCTTCCTCGTCTGATTCGGCAGCAAAATTCGTCGATGGGATATCATGCGGCATATGAGAAGACCCCCGGTAGAAGGAGACATTTGGGCCCGCGGATGTGGTGAAATGGGTTGCCTTTCGAGATTTGATGGGCGACGATTGTGTCAATTGGCGCTGGGTCTCCCAGGAGCCCTGGCGGGAGCTGTGCGACCTTGAAGCCACGGGAGACGAACGAAGCTTCTTCCGGGAGCTGGAGGTTGAGCTGGGAAGGTCAAAGTTGTGATGGTGGTAATTGCGTTTTCGGTGCCCCGTGCTGCTTCCACTGCCACTTCGCGGGCCAACCTGGTCGGAAAATATTGCGCCTTTAAGGGGAGAGCTCATGAGCTGCCTTGTATTGGGATATCGCAGCTCGGAGGCAGTGCTCGACGACGAGTCGGACAGCGCATCTCCGCTGGACGTTGGTCTCCTCCGTCGCAGCTCCTCTTCGACCCTTGGCTCAATGGTGTCAAGCGTGAGATCTTCCCAGCCGCGGGTGGCTTTGTATTGTGCGAGGGCGAGACGAGTCTTGAGTTTGCGGCCAATCTGTAATATAATGCTGTTAGAGATGTGTCTGCAGAAGCGTAGAGCAAGGAGTGCAAAGGACGAAATTGAATACCTTTCCCATCTCCGCCCGTCGCAGCACCTTGTCGACGACAACCTCAGGTTGCTCGTTGTTCTTCCATGGCGAAGTAGACATGGCCAACTCGGGTCGACTCAGGTCGGCACAGTGAGCAGCGCCGGCTCGGTCCCTAGAGCGCCCAGTATCCAGTGGCAGGCGTGGCTAGTTGATATGGTTTGATCGAGGTGATCGGATTCCAGGCGGGAGTCAATAATCGCTGAGGGGAGGTGGGATTTTGGGTCGACTTTGGGTGGGCAGGTAGAGCACGAAGTAAGGCGAGTTGATTGCAGATTGGATCGAGGTTTCGGTGACAAGGAGGCCGATCTCGTGGGGGGAAGGAGGAGTATGGATGGCGTGGGGAGATGGGATTTCTGTGCGCTCGTGCTCATACGGAGGAGTTGTAGCTGAGATTGACTTGGTGCCATTCCAGCCTCTCGCTGTCGAAGCCAGAGCCAAAGCCAGAGCGAAAGCGACAACCAACAGCCAACGGAGGCGCCCGCCAGAGGAGACGCCGACAGGGCACCGGCGCCGCCCACCAGCCAATGAATGCCATGAATGCATGCTTTTCGCACTCTTTTTGGGGGAATGATTTACAGAGGGCAAGACGAAGTATTATATGTAGTATCCAGGGCTTCGTACGATATTGTCGCTGAAGGACGTCTTTATGAACATGCAATGTATTGGGCATTTGCAGAGCAGAGAGTATATATAGCATACCTAGTAGTAAAGGTTACTACTGCCTCCCACAACCTTCGCATAAGAGGAGCTGCTCCCGCTCTTCTTCACATTCCCCCACCGACGTCTCTTATACCATGGGTGATCTTTCTTGCAGCAATGCAATGTGTCGTGTTAGCGTTACTCTGTACATGTATGATGTATGATGTATCATGTATCGATCAGTCTTGCTATTGTCCGCTGACCCAACAATCAGCAATCCACATTCCGCGTTGTGTTCTTTGCCCCGGTGTGCCAAGTACCCACCTTACCTACCTATACCTAAGTACAGAGGTGCTGAGTGCTCGTGCCTGTACAGAGTATGAAGTATGAAGTATGAGGTATGAGGTATGAGGTAATGTAGCTGTACTTACAAGTCATACCCACCACCTACTCGAGTACTTTTCGAAGGTAGGGTAGGTGATTACGAAGGCCAGCAGGGAACGGACTATCTTCTGGTCGGGTTATCCAGGCGTGCAACCACTCCAGCGACTCAATTGCATGGTCGCATTTGCCTGTATCTGAAACATGGGGATCTTGGTTGGCCGCGAGGTTGTATCTAGGAGGCGCTCGACGAGTTAGTAACCACGAGCTGCTCAAATACGGAATGTTTTCCCTTTGTTTGTAAGACGCTTTCTTCCGTAGGTACAGTACATGTACCAAGTCGATACCAATTGTAATTCATAGGTATGTATAGTGCAGTGGGTGGGGGTGTACTCGTACTGGCACTAGGAAATATGGAGGAAATGTGGATTTGCTGCTGGTGTTGTTGTTGCTAGCTGTCGCGGCCACTACCATCACCCTCGCTATCGCTCTTGTTGTTGACGTGAATAACATTCCTACGGACCTGGTCACTTATGATATCAAAAGTCCTTATGTGTTGCACTGCACTGCACAGGATCCAGGTTTCATTTCAGGCTGTAACCATACCTGGCCGTGGTACACTACTACCATAGACCATACCGTACCTGGGCTTTAGCGGTGCCTGTGCCTGTACAACATGCCGTCATCGCCTAAAATAGCGATTGGCATCACCTCCAGTCTCCCAGTTCTTGTTTGCAAAGTCCTGGATATGTGAATATGTAGGTAAAGTATGTATGCCTAGGTACCTTAGGTAATTTAATAATTAATGGCACTTCCTGCTCAGACACCCACCCGCTTGTCAGCCTGCTTTGTGTGCCTCCAGCCCTTCCCATTCCGGCCGTTCATAGTCGATTGGCGAGCGTCGTGTGTGCAAGATTCATCATCCACCTGAACCTCACCTTCAACCTCACCTTCACCTTCACCCTCCACCTCCATCTTCCTCCATCTTCCTCCATAATCCCTCCATCTCCTCTCCATCTCCCTCCCCCTCGCCGATCTCCATGTCCGTGTCCGTGTCCGTGTCCACACCCAACCCATCTTCCGCCCCTTCTCCGATCTCCAGCGACGTACACCTTTTCACCCTGCACATTGCGGTATTGCTCTAATTGTTTCGTGCCTCCAGGCAGAGGTTCTAAGTATCCCTGGGCCCAGATGAATGATGGCACCCTCCTTTCTCAAGGAACTCCGGCGGCGGTCCAAGTCTAGTTTCAGAACCGACAGGAGCACTGAGTCAAGTGAGGCCTCCACCGTTTCCTCCGTGCCAGTAGCCAAATCCTCTTCGACCCTCTCGAACGGGACCTTCGGTGGGACTACCCCTCCAACCGTCACCAATTCGCCATCCGCGGCGTCCAGTCTCCAGAATCTCATGATGGCCAAGGCCCCTCCTCCTGTACCTCCCTCTCGCCCAGCTGTCTCAACCTCCCCGAACAAGAGGTATAGCGTGTCAGGCATGGCGGGCCTGGGCTCTCCCTCACCACAATCAACACTTCCGACCTCCCTATATGCTCCACGGGTTTTATCAATTGCGGACAACACATGGGTATGGAAAGCCCAAGCGAGAGCACGCCCGGGTTATGATGCGCTGCTGACCAATTGACAGGTATATCAGAAGGTTCTTTCGCTCTATGGAACAATCGCAGATCCAGCAACCCAGGCTTTGGAAGGGAATCTCACAATTAGCCGGCTCGATGATGGGTTTCCACCGACCTACTGGCCTGTTGCCGAGTCCCATTTCAAAGCTCTTGTATATCTCGTACCAGGCCCTAACCGGTTGAGACTGGACTTCAGCTCGCCAAAGCTTGCGAATAATAACACATCAAACCCCATCCACTCCTCCTACCTCACAATCCACATGCTCCCACCGCTCTGCTCGCCGCCCCTGCAATTGGTCATTCTCTTAGCTAAGGACTCGCCGGGCACATTTGATACTGTACCTTCTCGATTAGAGAAGGAGGGTAACGGCTTAAAAACCGCGATTCGGAAGTACAGGATGGCTGCGTATCTTTGGCAAGCCTTCACAGCGGAACAAATGTTCCGCAACAAACTCGGAAGGAGAGTATTTAGGTTGGAGGAGGAGTGGACTACGGGCACATCCAATCACCGAGATCGTGAAATGGGTGTCATGAGAAGTGAGGCAAAGGTCCATGTTGTCCGGTCTGATAAAACGATGGCCGAGATACGCGATCTCGACCTGGCCCAGCAAAACCCTAAGGCTAAGCGGAGTGGTGATCTGTATGGCATCGCTGCTGACGCTGTGAGAGATTACTTTAAGCCAATGCCGGGCCAGAAACAGTACGTTTCAGTGTTGATCCTGGACTCCCATTGGGATAAGGCAAGTCAGACTATCACTGGCCATGCTGCCTTGGGTGGCCAAAGTGGAGATATACAGCTTGCTATTTTCGGGTCTCAAGCATTGCAAAGCTATCCTTCGAGTATCGAAGAGGTGGTTCCGGCCTTTTCTGATTGCACGCCAACCGACACCAATTACGTTGCTAACGATTGCAACGAGTCGGGAAGCAACTGGGAAGCGGCGAACATTGGAATCGGTGCCCACATGCACGAGGTGGGACATTTATTTGGATGCCCTCATCAGGAGAATGGAGTTATGCTTCGCGACTACGTGACCTTGAATCGGACTTTTACAACTCGAGAACCATATTCGACTCGAACCAAGTCCAAAGGAGGATTGGTTTTACGCCAAGATGAATGTACATGGCACCGACTTGACTGTTTAAGGTTTAGAGCTCACCCCTGTTTCGCCCTGCCAACAGATCCGCCCCGGCCGTGTGATGACTCAGTGCAGGTATGGCCGGTGGATGCTGGAAATGTCATTATTACTGCGGCATCGGGCGTTGCATTTATCGAGATATTCACCGAGGGTGATGACGTCTGCCACTTCTGGCAAGAGTTTTGTGATGGCAATGGCAGCGGGCAGATCCAGAAACAGTACATGTTAACGGAGCAGGAATTGCGGAATCGATTGCCAGAGGATCGAAAGAAATCTAAGTTGCGGCTTTCCATTAAATCAGGTACTGGTGGTAGCCACGACGTCGAGAACTTCGATCTACTAGCATCCAAAGCCTCAAGAGTAAAACTTCCTAATGGACAACTGGCATTCAGGAGTAGTAAGCTGGGTCTCTCGCAGATGGAAGGCTCCCAGCCGCAAGAGGTCATATTTGACAGTACAATCCATCAAACGAAACTAATGACTCAGGTCAGGGTCTATCACGGATTTGCGCTGGATGGAATCGAGTTCATCTACGAGGACTCCACGTCTCAACTATTTGGCAAGCGGGGTGGTTCGCCTAGCGACTTTCTACTAGGTATAAATGCTTCATACACTACCTGGCCGTTCTTTATATTAACGATGCTACAGATACCCGGCGTGGAGAGTATGTAACTGGATTCTTTGTTAGAAGTGGATTCTGGGTGGATGGAGTCGCCATCATAACCAGCCTTGGTAGAAAATCGCCCATTTTCGGGAATCCTGACAGCGGCTCTGGGTACTTCCCTTCCTCCACTCTTGCAAACGAAATACTGATTGTTTATAGACATACTTTGATACCCCCGAGAGGATATAGCATTGCAGGAGTTACTGGATCCTGTGCAAACTGGGTAGATGGGTTTGGCATCCTCATTACTCGATGAATGTAGCATGATACCCGGAACCACCTAATGAACGACTTAATCACTTGTTTTAGCGATGCTTAGCGATAGCATCATTGATTGCTAGAGCTTACCCGGAACACATGATAATATTGCATTAGGCATTGTCCTGGAAGGTTAGAAGACTATAGAAGGAAAGGTTTGGCTCTCGTAGCCACACGGCACGAACTTGCACGGATAGAAAAACGGGTGCATATTTGGTTCACTCAGAAATGAAAAGAACTTAGGTTTATAGAATCCATAAACTAAGGAGCAAATAATTAATATAAATCCGTGTCACTGGTTGTGGAGTTGCCTTCTTAGTTCTCAGCATTCTTCGAATTTGCTTGGCGTATCTTCCTTCTCAACCCCCTCGAGCCGTAAAAGCAGAAATTCCACGAGAGGTTCAGACCGCCACTGCTCTCTGGCCGTCTCCCAAAATCTATATTATGCTTCAAAGAACCTGGAAGGCAATATATATATATATAATCTTTTTTACGACCTCGACTCGGCAGTTGTGTTGCACGTGATGACGAGATCGTGAGGCTGATGGCCAGCCAATGAAAGCATCCACACCTACAGCTCAACTGTGGCTGGCCCCTCAACGTCATGAGCAACAGAAAATCCAGGTCCTTGGAGCGCAACGACCCCAACGGTTCAAAACAATTGCATTTGGCTTCAGTGTGTCTCCCCCGATGTTCTAGAAACCACAACTAAACTCGACCCCCATTACTCTCACCATATCCCGAGGCGCATCCTTGACAGCCATGTCGAAAAGATTAAACAGCAATGCCTCAAATGGCTTGGCCAAGGACTCAGTAGTCGGCGAACCTAGTATGTAGACTGGCTTGAAACCAAAGCTTTGACGAGAAAAACACTAACGCAATGCGAAATAGCTGTAGATAAGCAGAAGAAGCTGCTCGAGGAGGACACCGGTCACTTTTCCCTCATCAGGATGCTTCATTTAGCAGATCTCATCACCGAGCTCAATGGTATGGCGAAACATGCGACAGCAGCTTTGGATGCGGTGCTAACAGTGTGAGGTAGGGTTCTGTGGAGTCATGTCTGTCTTCTCATCCATGCGCTACTGCCTTGGAGCATCCTCTGCTCAGGGAAATCTATGGGCGGCGTTGGGGTTCATGCCCTTCGGCCTTTTCTTCGACTTCATGGACGGGAAAGTTGCGAGGTGGAGGAACAAGAGTAGTCTTATGGGGCAGGAGCTTGATTCTCTGGCGGATCTGGTGCGCATAATCTCCTAGTCCCGTTCCTTGCTAAATACTGATATTGTGATTAGATATCGTTCGGCGTCTCCCCAGCCGCAGCAGCTTTCGCTATCGGGCTCCGCACACCTGTCGATCACCTCCTCCTTACATTCTTTGTGCTCTGCGGATTGACGCGCCTTGCCCGATTCAATATAACCGTAGCAAATGTCCCCAAAGATGCTACGGGGAAGAGTAAATATTTCGAAGGCACCCCGATTCCGACGTCACTGTCCATTGCGGCCTTGATGGGGTACTGGGTAAAGCAGGGTTGGATCCTTGAGAACCTGCCTTTGGGAACTTGGGCCACTGGCACGATGTTTGAGTTCCACCCAGTGGCAGGTCTCTTTGTGCTTAGCGGGGTAATGATGACGAGCAAGAGTATACACATTCCCAAGCCATAAGCTTGGTAAGCTACCTTTACAGGAGAATTAATATAATCCGTATTATTAGTATACCAAGGGAGGGCAGGAAGCGTGGACTATAGACGCAGAAGACACTACGACGGCGTGGGTTGGGGAAGGAGAAGATGTAGTTATGATACCTCATTTTGATCAGTGGAAAGGCACTAGAAAAGCGCTCTATTTATACAATTTGATGACATTTTAAAACCCGCCAGCGATTTTCTTTTCTAAGTGCTGTGAATATTAAATATCTGGCGTAACTTCAAGGGTGATTGTGAGCACTTTGGTCTCTTATGTGCTGAGTTCTGTAAATTGAGTGATCCTTTTATTTAATTCCTGAGCAGCCATTTGGCACCTATGATACCACAGAGATGAACCTAAACGCCGGAAGTTTACGCAAACAGATTGGGCAGCATAATTGAATATATCAGCCACGACCACGGGAAAATCCACCTCTCGCACCACCTCTTCCCCTTGGAGTAAAGCCACCACTTCCCCCTCTGGAGAATCCACCGCCTCCGCGGCCTCCTCTCCCACCCGCGCTGAAGCCACCTCGTCCTCTTGGGGCACCTCGTCCTCCTCCCCGTCCACCTCTCATGGGGGCTCCTCTGCCACCTCGTGCACCGCCAGCTCGTTTTGGCTTCACAGCTCCTCCAGGAGGCTTCGGTTTGGGCAAGAACTTCTCTAATGGCAAAAGTTTATCTCCACCGATGTAGAATTTGTCTCCGGACTTGAATGAAGTCGCCTGAATGCCTTCGGTGGGCTTGATGGTGAAGTAGACCTGATTAATCGGGCCTAGGATCTCGTCGACTTTGCCAATTGAGGTCTAGAAATAGCTTAGCACTGAATATACAACCCGATTTCTCGACGGTAGAGTAGACCGACCTTATTCTCGAGATATATCGGAGCATTGAAGTAGGGGATTTTAGTGTTGATCGACTCGCACACAATCTCTCCTTCGCAGGCGTGGAGAAAAGATCCCATTTCTGGCAGCAGGTCAGCGCTTACCGTACTTCATTCCAAGTCGCATGATAGATAAGAGAACTCACCAAGAACATCGGCAGGAGGTCCATTGTCTCGCTGGAATCCACCACGTCCTGTAGCTAGTTAACACCAGGGATCGATAACGACGCATTGCATTGCGCTGTGCGAAGGGTCTGCTTGCCTCCACGGCCGCCAAATCCGCCTCCATATCCACCTCCTCTACTGCCGCCGCCTCCGAAGTTTGCGCCTGTCCCACGACCTCTTGGTGCTCCACGGAATGACATTGTTGCTGATTTTCGTTGTGTCTTGGGAACTTTTTCACGAAATTCGATAAGAAATTTCGCGGTTCGCTAGTACAAGTACTGGTCCAGGACTCGAATCGCCTTGCGCACAATCGTATGGGGCGCACGGACCTGGCATTTTCCCGATCAGCTCGCCTGACTCATCAAGCCCCTCCACCAAAAACATCTCTCTTCACCGTGTTGTGCTGTGTTGTGTTGTTTATCCCACCACGTCCTCCATTTGACAATCCCCAACCCCGACCCCGACCACAGCCATGGACACAGCACAGAAGGCTGTGGATTCCGTTGCCGAAGGCATAAAAAAGGTGTCCGTCGGGGAGAAAAAACAAAAGGTGAAGGTGAAAAAGGACAAGGCGGCAGATAGCGGGGCTGATACTGGGCCCTTGGAACTCAACCCACCACCCCAATTCCTGGCGGACCGTCTTCAACTGTTCGATAAGCTAAAGGCTGGTTACGACGCCGAGATCGCCCGCAAACCTCGGGACCCAATTCATATTACCCTGGCAGATGGAAGCGTCAAGCCTGGCACAGCGTGGGAGACGACACCCGCCGAGATAGCGAAGGGGATTTCGAACAGTCTTCTTAAACGCACGGTAGTTGCAAAGCTGAATGGCGATCCGGAGCAGCTGTGGGATCTTGAACGGCCGCTGGAGGCAAGCTGCAAGCTTGAGCTGCTCACATTTGATGATGAGTTGGGGAAGAAGGTCTTTTGGCACTCCAGCGCACACATATTGGGCGAGGCTTCGGAGCGGCGGTTTGGTTGCAGTCTCTGCATTGGTCCTCCTATCGAAAATGGGTTCTACTACGAGATGGGGCTGCCCGAGGGAGGTGCCGTGCAACAAACTGATTGGAAGCCGTTAGAGACCCTCGTGAGCCAGATTGTAAAGGAAAAGCAGCCTTTCGAGCGTCTCGTTCTTAGCAAGGACAATCTGCTGGAGATGTTCAAGTACAACAAATACAAGCAGCATATCATAAAGGATAAAATCAAGGACGGCGAATATACGACGGTCTATCGCAATGGGCCTCTCATCGATTTATGCCGTGGGCCCCATGTGCCGAACACCGGTAGGATCGAGACTTTCGCTATCATGAAGAATTCTGCGTCATATTTCCTTGGTAACAAAGACAATGACTCTCTCCAGAGAATCTACGGAGTGTCCTTCCCTGATAAGAAGCAGATGGCTGAGCACAAGAAGTTCTTGGAAGAGGCAGCGAAACGCGACCATCGAAAGATTGGCAGAGATCAAGAGCTCTTTTTCTTCCATGAACTCTCCCCTGGGTCAGCTATGTGGTTGCCCCATGGAACTCGTATTTACAACACGATCATGTCGTTCCTGCGCGAACAATACTGGAAGCGTGGCTACAATGAAGTCATCACACCCAACATGTACAACTCCGAGCTCTGGAAGGTATCAGGCCACTGGGATTTCTACAAAGACGATATGTTTACCTTCGGGGCTGAGAAGGACACGTTCGCATTGAAGCCGATGAATTGCCCGGGGCACTGCCTGATGTTTGCTCACCGTGAGCGAAGTCATCGAGAGCTACCATGGAAACTTGCAGATTTCGGAGTGCTTCATCGCAACGAAGCCTCGGGAGCCTTGTCAGGGTTGACGCGAGTGCGCAGATTCCAACAAGATGATGCTCACATTTTCTGCAGAGAGGACCAGATCAAGGAAGAAATTATGGATGTGTTCGATTTCCTGTCTACCGTTTATGGGCTCCTGGGATTTACTTTCAAGCTGAAGCTTTCAACACGGCCAGACAAGTACATGGGCAAACGGGAAACATGGGACATGGCCGAAGACAAGCTTCGAGAGGCATTGGACGAATTTTGTGACGGTCGCACTCCTTGGGAGCTGAATGAGGGTGATGGAGCATTTTATGGACCTAAGATTGATATCACCATATCCGACTGCTTAAGGCGAGAGTGGCAGTGCGCTACAATCCAACTTGACTTCCAACTCCCGCAAAACTTCGGCCTCGAGTACATGACTTCAGAGATGGTGACGAAGCCGAAGGAGGACGAAGATGCCGTCGCGGTTGCGAAGGCCAAGGCGGAGGTGGCTAAGGCGAAGGTCGAAACTACTGTTACCCCTGAAGCAGAAGCCCCGAAGGAGAGAGTCATCAAGCCTCTTACTCCGGGGTGTGCTCGACCAGTCGTGATCCATCGAGCCGTGGCAGGAAGTATCGAACGATTCACGGCAATTTTGACAGAGCATTTCGCTGGAAAATGGCCATTTTGGCTGAGCCCTCGACAGATTCTGGTGATTCCTGTCGGAGTAGGGTTCTATGAGTATTCCAAGGAAGTACAAGCAATTTTCAAGGCTCAGCAAATGTATGTGGATGTGGACCTAAGCGGAAACACCCTGCAGAAGAAGATCCGTACGGGACAACTCGCTCAGTACAATTTTATATTTGGTAAGTTTTGGAACCTTCCGTGATTTGGTTTCATTTCTAATAATTTGCAGTGGTTGGCGACCAGGAAATGAAGGGTAGGGAAGTCAATGTCCGGAACCGTGATGACACCTCAAGTCAGGACCGAGGAAAGCCAGTTCCATTGAAGGAGGCCATTGAGAAGCTCACGGCGCTGCGTGATGAGCGGAGATCGGATAACCCATTCCCAGGCGAGACAAAGGCAGAAACCGCAGCGAAGGCTGGGTAAAGAGAGCATTTGTGAAAGGGGTTTCGGGCTGGTAGATACCGCATCTGCGTTCTGTGGGAAGTAGAAGACTTGCATGTTAAATCGAGATCAAAGCCTAGGTATCATAAGACAAGAGAACTCCCAAATAAAAACTTATCCATGGCTCCCTCTCCAGTTTTGATAAGATTGGTATTGCATGCCTCCATATATCGTTGCGGCCTTCATAGGTAGCACATACGTACTTCTCGTCATACCTAGTTGTATCTAGGTCCCTAAGTAGCCATGTTCTTAGTTACAGTACATACCGAGTAGTCCAGTATGTAGATCAGAGCGTACCTTGGGTGGCCTCGGCATGACCGATCTAGTCACGGGGCATGAACGAAGGTATACAGAGCCCACCAGCCAAGACGCAAAGTCATGCTGATCGTAGATACACGGCGTGCTAGCATGACTAGCAATGACTATGTGTGGATATGTGGGAGTGAACTATAACAATAAGTAGTTTGTAGTTTTTTCTAGGCGCCGCGGTGGCTTTTGATGAATGCAGATGCAGGCTGACGCAGTGCAAGTGCAGCGCAGTCTGGGGGAGAATAATAATACTGGAGTACGTAGTCGAGAGGAAGGGTTACGTCATGTTGCCCCGGAAGACCAGAGCGGGCCAAGCGAGGATCAGTCAGGATACGATCATCACAAGCTTGGACTCCAGCGGGCACTGGCAGTTGAAGCCATCACTAGATTATTAGATCCTCCTATCTACATACAGTATTCCCATTCCCCTTTCTCCTATCCTCCGTCCTCCAGCTCTCTCTCTCTCTCTCCCTCCCTCTCCCTATCTCTACCGCTCTCTCGTCTACCAACTACATATTACGAACTACGAAACTACAAACTGCGAATTACACCCTGCGAACTGTACATGTACTTCGACCCCGGCCATCGTTCCTTTTAGGACGCCAACTGCTGTCGACAGCAATCCTACGTACTACCGTATCACCGACGACAACCAGCGACGCCCTATTCGATCTCAGATTCACATTCACATACTCCCTCGTGTGCTCAGCACAGCACAGCACAGCAATGTCGACTCTTAACGCGCACTCCGCAGTCCCTTCACCATCACAGGCCCATCTCGATAGAGGTTACGGTGGAGGGACGCCTCAACCACCACCGTCACATCTTAGCGCTGTCACAGACGTCGATGCTGCAGATTTCGAACCGACCGCAGCGCCCGAACATCGAGCAGACACCCCCTCGCACCTAGCACCACCCGCCGGAGCAGCAGCACATCAGAATCATGGCCGCTTCAACGAGGAATGGGATTCGAGTCAACGTGGCAGCTCGATAATAGACGGCCCAAGTGCAAGGCCCATGCCGCGATCAAACTCGCCCCTCTCCCAAGGAGACACCCTCATCCCTTCGCGCGGAGGCACCTTGAAGAAGAAAGCGTCGCTGCGGAGGACAGGCTCATTGAAGCGCTCTAGCAGCCGGCGAAGTTCCAGGGCAGGAAGTGTCCGCAGTCTGGCTCTTCAGCCTGGAGAAGACGAAGCCCACAGCGCTTTCCACTCGCCCGTCCCCACGAGCGGCAACCCCACAGAGATTCTTGCCAACAGATTTCAAGGTAGGCCCTCAACATGGTGATTTCACTGAATAGCCTGCTAACCCGAGAAATTCATAGCTTGGAGGAAGGTTTTAAAAGATCTTATCACATATTTCAGGGAGGTACAAGCATCTTATGACCACAAGTCCAAGAATCTGATAAAGATTTCCAACCTCGTCAACAACACCTCGTCCCCTCCAGTATTTTTACGATCCGGTGGCATTGATGATGCTCTTCAAGTTCTACGCTCCTACCACAGGTCTGCTATTATGGAGGCCAATAAGGCCAAGGAAATCGAGAACGATGTCCTCTTGGCACTGGTCGGACTCCGCAGTGACCTGAATCAGAAGATCAAGGAGATCAAAAGCTTGTCCGGGGATTTCAAGAATTCCGTAGATAAGGAGATGGAAGGTACCCGGAAGGCCGTGAACAACCTCCAAGATGGCCTGGGCCGGGCTGATGTCGATCCGGCTCAAATGACTGGAAAGCATGACCCTTATCTGCTTAAGCTCGCGGTCGACAGGCAGATTGAAAGACAGATTGACGAGGAGAATTATCTCCATCAGGTAAGTCAATGTGACGTGGTCTCGTGTGACGGCCACTAATGTGTGTGACCAGGCATATTTGAATCTGGAAGCATCAGGACGGGAGCTAGAATCTATCGTTGTAGGCGAGATTCAGAAGTCGTACAATGCTTATGCCGGTATCTTAAAGCGTGAAGCAGAGGGCGCGTATAATACCGTCGAAGAACTTCGAACTGGGCCAATTTCGATGCCCAAGGACCATGAATGGTGAGTCATTGCAAGGGCGCTGTATTCCAATCTCACCCTCGCTCAAGGATTCCAAGAAGAGGAATTCGTAAAGGCCGACCCTTTTAAGAATTTAGTTTCCCTTCATTGATCACCACGACTTTTACTAATCTCTTATGTCGTTCTGATAGGAATGAATTTGTTGAGAATGATGAGCACTTCGTCGATCCTAGAGTACCAGTCCGCCTCCCTCAGAACATCCAGTACCCAGGTCGGGATAATTATTTGGCGCAAGCTATCCGGGAAGGCCTCCTAGAGCGCAAGAGCAAGTATCTCAAGAGGTCCGTACCCTATCCTTACATCGATTGCCCTCGACTGACCTTATAAACGTAGCTATACACCTGGGTGGTAAGTCTATCCTTGAACAAATATCAAAGTCCCATGCTAACTACTTACTCCAAGGTATGTTCTTACTCCGACTCATCTGCACGAGTTCAAGTCCGCCGACAAAACCCAAACCCCTATCATGTCACTTTACCTTCCGGAACAGAAACTTGGATCGAATTCCCAGGAGGGCGCGTCATCCAACAAGTTCATGATGAAGGGCCGCCAAACGGGTGCGATGCATCGTGGCCATTCCTGGGTTTTTAGGGCGGAGTCCTACGAGACTATGCTGGGTTGGCTTGAAGATATCCGGACATTGACTGAGAAAACGCCGCAAGAACGCCATGCATTCGTACGCCAGCACGCTCGCAGCGTCAGTGGAACATCCCAAAGGGCATCTTCTATCAGCAGCGATGGAGTCTTGGACGAGGACGACGAGGAGCCATTCTCGGCCACAACTTCAGCCGTGATGGCAACGGAGCCAAAACAAGACGTGCTGCCAAGACGTCCCGAACCAGGTGGGCGATTCCCGAGTGACCTCCAGGTCAACACGCAGCGTGGCTTACAGGCACCTCTCTCGCCATCTAGTGGAAGTTCTAGTCTCGGAGATGCCCAAGATCGCGATATAGTTGCCGCCGCAACCAACCTCCCGGGTAGCAGCGTCGGTCAGCACTACGGCGAAGGCCCTCCTTCGCCATCGAATGCGGCGAAGGTTAAGCAGGATGCGATGGAGGATGGGATCAATCCCTATACCTACGAGCCCATTCAAAATGGCGCCACCAACCGGACTGAAGCTGGGACCGCCCCTGCCGGTCCTATAGTAGGCGGTGCTGTTGTACAATCATATCAGAACCATGAACCGCAACCGAATCAGGGGGAGGAGGTGGAAGCCGCCGAGTATCAACGACAACAAGAACGACAGGCAGCACTCGAAGCTATCAACATTGCCGCGCCAGATACCCATGAGCAACAGGCTGCCCATAAAGCCAGCGACATTGCTGCACCAGACACCTACAGCCAGCAGGCTGCACAACAAGCTGCCCTCGAAGCCACGATTATTGCAGCTCCCGATGCCCGGCCTGACTCCCCCGGCTCAAACGTTACGTCTGGCGGACGAAGCCTAGGCAGCCCCGCCGAGGTTGGTGCTCTCAATAACGTCCGGGCTGGGATAGATCCGGTGTCAAAACTGGACCGGCCAGCTGAACACCACCAGCAAAGCGAACGGAGCATCAGCCATTTTCATGTTCCGGGTGAATATCCTAGGAATAACCCGGAGTCCAAAGGCTCGGTAGTTGCTGAGATGCCCGTTTAGAGATATATGAAAAGGTTGATGCATTGTAAATAGTTAGAATCTTGTGATGAGTATTGTTAGGCAGACTAGGAAGCAAGGTTGTAGACTATATATTTTTCAATATGACAAATACTCGGTAATGCATGTTTCTCGTGTTATGAAGTAACGTAGATCCCTAACCATTACTCTACTCTCCACTTTTGAATGGCTGAAGCTGGTCCAGGACGAACGGCAATGAGGCCAAATTTACAGGGAACGATTGTCAAAAATGGGCATCTTCGATTGCGCCCCTCACCAAATGTATCCATTACCAACTACATGACATGCTGGTACTTGTACGGCAAGCCCGCTATTATTATGCTGCAATGTCCCAACCCATCAATGAAACCGCCCAAAGCCAACTAAACGCCTACGCTCGTAAAGATGCAGCAGCGCCAAATCGACATGAGATCCTGGAAATTCTATCATGACCAAATTATTCCGTCTTATCAGCACTCTCTGTTGCTATCCCCGGCGCCACATTCTTTAACTTCGTCCGTCGTCTTGGGGGGGCCTTTGGAGGTAATTTCTTGGCTCCGTTGGGTTGTAATAATGGGGGTATTGGGGGTGGAGGATGTCGTTTGTATCTCCTGCTGCTTGGAGTCTCTTTTTTCCCATCCACATTTTCTTCTACTTTCTCGGCCGTACTGTCCTGAGTTCCAGTATTTTTATCACGCACTGCCTCGTCAAACTCCTTTCGGCTTGGGGTCTGCACGCCAGGTTTCTCCATCACACCGGCGACATCAACAACACTAACAGAGCTCTCTGTTTGTGAAGGCGACAGCGAGATGCCGATAAGTTTTCGTGCCATCTCTCCTTCTTTAATATCATCATCACAGAGCCAAGGAACCTTTGTTACTCGTTGAATGAGCCGGACTGTGGTTTCGTCCGCTGGTTCCCAGTGGGCATTTGCTGAACCCCCTAGGATATGAAGGACTTTCATAATCTCATCACGCTTGTAATATGGTGGTTGACTTAGCTGTGTATGTGCAAGGAGGGGGTAGAGGACTCGTAAATATGTGTGCCGAAGAGATATAAGTTCGTCGGGGAGATCAAGAAGGTTCCGTATAATAACATCTAAAAGGACACGGAGGTCATTGGTATAGAAGTATTCGTGGGTCGCTTGGGTCGTGAAAATAAGATAGAGTAGTTTTAATATGAGGAGTTGGAGGGAGGTTTCGGTCTCGCGATTGAGGAGGAGGATGATGTTTTCGCCAAAGGTCATGTAGGAAGGTCCGTGTAGGCTGAGGAGTTTGACAATGCGGTTTGTTAATGGAGGCGAAACAGGTTCGGACGCAGTGGGCGAAGATGTAGCTGCGATCATATATTGTTCGTTCAATACCAACTGCAGAACTGTTAGCACCACTAATTTGCACCACAAGGAACCTTGGACATACCAAGACTCGAATGACGGGATAATGATATGGATCGTCAGCATCATCAGATAGCTGTTCAATTATCCGAAAAAGGCACGCAATGAATTCATCATCCACCTGGCCTAAGTCCTCCGTACTAAGACGCTGCATCCGCGACATTTCGTAAAGTAGCTCCAAAAGAAGTTGATGTAACCGGGGGTCCTTATCTCTCCCCTCCTTGATTAATCCAACAAGGCGCGGAAAGCAGCCTTCCTGGATCATTTTCTCAAAAGTAGCCTCGTTCTGCCGACCGTCGAACAGGAGGAAGCTCGCAATGAAATGCAGTGTTGTAGGCTCATCCTCCTGCAGGAGACTGTAGGCGATCTGGGTCCGCACATATTCCTTATTTGCTTCAAAAAGCTCGCTTTGTAGGAGCTTCTGCGAACAACGGGCGACGCCATCTTCGGACTGCAGGTATTCCTCCTTGAAGTTTGTGGTGAAGTAGAGATAAGTCCGCAGGGCGTTATCGATCAATTGGTGAGAAGGGCATTTGGCCGTGACGATATCGTCAAGCTCTGCAAAATAACATGACTCCTGGTTAGTTATAGATATTCTAGGGTCTGTTGCGAGATGCTTTGCGGCTTACCATCCCAGAACTGTTGTTCGTTGTCGAGGGTATATTCAAACGTCTCCATAGTCAACCGTTGAGGGAGAGGAAGGACCGCAATCGCTATCGAACAAGCATTACGAGTTCCCTTAGGATATTTAAGTGTCGCGTGAAGTCAACAGTGACAGAGGGCGTTGATGTTTGAGGGATGGCAGGATTGTGGGGTGCCATGGAACTTGGTCGTGGAGAGCAGCATGTGGTCAATGCTAGCGACGCAAGGCTGACAATGCACCTGGTTCGTGGAAAGTTACAGGCCACAAGTAGTGTACAGAGTAACGTTTATATATTTTGTAGTTATTCATTTACATGCTCAACAGTGCACGCCAGTTCAGATACCGAAGATGTTTAAAGTTAAAAGTACAGAAATTCCCTATGTGCGTTTTCCTTGGTCGCCGCCAATATAACTCCAGAATCATCAAGCCAACGCCGTCTAAATCTCTTGCTAACCAAATTGAAAACCCCCGCCTGGGAATTTGAAATTGAATTGTTGGCTGCCATGCCCAAAAGGCTGGCCACCGAACGGGTTGCCTCCGCCAAACTGACTACCCTGGAAAGGATTCTGGCGCTGTTGCTCATGGTCATTTGGATCATCTCCTTGGTCGAACCTGGCTTTTAGTTCCGGATCACTCAGCACCTCATACGCCTCATTAACAGAGGCCATTTTCTTTTCTGCCTCCTCTTTTGGAATACCGAGCTTGTGTGCCTTGTCAGGGTGGTGAAGCTTGACCATTCTTCGATAGGCTGCCTTTATTTGTAGCTCATCAGCATCTCGTGGAAGACCAAGGACTTTGTAGTAGTCCTTAGTCTTGCTCCTCTTGAGCTCTAACTGAGCATTTTGCAGTAAATGGTTAAGTTGTTGGGCTTCGGGATGGTGTTCTTTAGCCGTGTTGAGAGCTGCAATGGCGGCCTCGTAGCTTTCCGTCTCCATATGTCTCTGTGCTTTGGAGATAAGGCCATAGAGAGAGTTCTCGTTATAGGTCAGAGCTTCATCACACCATGGGGTGGCCTTCTTATAGTTTTTCAGCTGCAGAAGTTAGCTAAAGTGAGAATATTTGAATCTTGTAGGTGTAAATACCTCGTGGTAGGCTTCGCAAACCATTTCGACAACCTCAGCTATAAGGTCATTCGGCACTTGAAGGGGAATTGTGCCAGCTTCACGCAACTCCTTGACATCATCCCTGATATCCTGTACGARACCAACATCTTCACCCGATGGAAGCAATACCTTGACAGCGCTTGCATATTGATGCTTTTCCATCCGTTTTTTGACTTGGGAAAGCTGCTTCTCCAGCGTCTTCTGCCGCCTATAAAGCTTCTTACAAGGTTTCGAGTCAGGATCTCCGTGCAAGCACTTCCGTAACTGATCCATCCCGTGCTCCAAATCTGCCAATGCATAAAATGTGATAGCGGCAATCTGTATGTGCGGCTCGATATCGCCCGGTTGCATTTGCAAAACGTGCTTGAGATCACTCATCCCTTCCTGGGCCAAACCGCGTTCAAATCTACAATGAGCTCTGATCTTCCGTAGCGCCAAATTTTTGCTTGCGGTCATTATCGCAACACTCGCCTGCGCAACACATTCCTCCCAGTTACCGCTTTCCTCAGCGGCAGCCGCCAACTTCGCAGCACCTTTGGCTTCCTCGATCCGAGCCCTGTCTTCCTCTGAGTTGAGGTCCTCCATTGCTGCATCCCATTCACCATTCTTCTCCCTTATCCTAGCACGTTGCAAGAGCGCTCCCTTGAAACCTGGTTTGATGCTAAGAACCTTGTCGAAATCCTTTGTAGCCTGCACAGTACGCCCGAGGGAGAGATATGTTGCCCCGCGCTTGAAATAGCTCAGGTAGTTTTTGGGGTCGCGAGATATGGCCACGTCATAGTAGGTAAGTGCATCGTTGGTCTCTCCTTTTGCGAGATGAGCATTGGCAGAGGCCAAAAGGACTGATACTGGTGTATCGGAGGGGATTTCTGAAGACGATATAGCGAGGACCAGCGAGTGCGAGGACAAAAGGGTGGCGGCAAACGCCAGCAGGGCTACCTTGACAATCATAGCGAGGAGGTCATATAGACTATGGGGACGAATGTGTCTGGGGATAATATGTAGGAGATCGAGGGCAAGAGAGGTAAATAGGCTTGTGGTGGGGTTCTAATGAGAGAAGATGAGGGACGGTAAGGAAGAAGGTGAAAGGACAGGAAGTTGTCTCCCTCTTGATAGACCCCGGATTTTGTACAAGTGGCCTTAGGTGGCCTGCTACGTAGCCTCCTATCGGCAAATCGTATTTCCGTGTCCGCTTCGCCTTCAGCCTTGCAGACTCTAAATTTAGACTCTCGAGAAGTGGGACCGTGAGCTTGTACCCAGGTTATGTAAACAAACAATTAACATCCACCAGACCAACGTCAACACAACGCCAGCACCATTCGAGCCTTAAAAGTCTATATCTTCTACTTTGCTCTAGCCAACGGAAATGGCGCACCTCTCGCTCTCTCCCTCGGCAATTTTCTCTCCTTCGGTAGCGCGACAGCAGCTCGCCGCAGCCAAAGATTGGAATTACGTCGACATGTGGCTATCATCCAAATTCAACGGCAAAACCCCGCCCGCATTCGAGCGGAATAACGATACACTAAAAGCTTTACTCGCATTCGCAGCTATGAATACAGGCGCTGATGAACAGCGAGAGCTCTTAGCTAGAGCGGAGACGAAAGCCCTGCAGGACTTGCAAGCTAGAGAAGCAGCGGATCTCAATAAGGACATACTAGGCTCCGTTGAAGAATCTTTGACGCGTGAAGGGCAGATGAGCCTCGAAGCATTGTCTTCTCTCAGTGTGGCCCTCAATCAATCAATCCCAGATACTGAGGGTATGGGGCGGGGCATATTTAATTTACATGTTACCACTTGTGACCTAGATCAAGCAGCGGACCGAGTCTCAATCCTCGAGAATCATCTGAAGACGGAACTTGATAGGATAAATGCCTTGATTGAGGAGTTGAAAGGGGAGGCCTACCAGCCGCCCACTGATCTAGCGAAGCAAACGGCCGACTTCCAGCGAAAGATCAAAGGCTTAACTTCAAAGCTACCCGAACTCAAAGAGCGGGTAACATCTCTGACTGCCGCTGCTGGTACACCAATTAGGATAGAGGATGTGAAAACTGAGGAGGCAAGGTTCAAGGAGTTAATGGCGGATGTGAAGGATCTTGAGGCACAGGTCAAAAGCTATCATGGATTACCACAAGATACGGATTTAGCTAGACTTGAGTTGGAAAGCTTGAGGGTGGAATTGCGAGATTTAACACGGCAAAGGGACAGCATGTTTGAAGGCCTTGTTGAACGAGAGAGCCCAAGGAAGACCCGATGAAGAAAAATACTATCCCTACTTCTAACTTTGAATAGACGATCGATTAAAAATGTATAAGCTGGGCATGTTATCTCTTGGCCCTACCTCCAGAGACCGCCCCTCCCAACCGCCCAAATTTACCTAGACTTGATTTCGATTTAGTTGCTTCTGGCTGGGTTCGCGCTGGTGCAGTTGGAGTATCCTTGGGGGGTAATGGAGCGCTAGGCAACCGGGCCAATTCTTTAAAGGCTTTGGTATCCAATCCTTCCCCAGCGCGCCCATCAAGCATCCCCAACCCATCATCGAGATCCCCTCCTGGTCGTTGCGCCCGCCGAACCCGGTCCTGAACGCTCTTGAACTTCTCAAGGAGCTCATTCCACCGGATACCGCCCTCGTCCCTCCCTTTCAGCCTACTTGATCTGTCGAAATTTGAAGGGCCAGCATTAGTAGGGGCGCTAAATGAGATATTAGCGACTGTACTCTTCTAACACGGATATGATTGAAATGAAAAAAAAAAATTCCTCAATCACATCGGCACTACAAGAATTGGATACGTACACTCGAGGTGCGATATGCAGAAACCCTATCGCACTAACACTATTCAATCTATTCTTTAACGCAGCAAAGGCGGCAGACTGGGGAAGCAGCATCAAAAGGCCATAAAGACACTTGTAGAGGTGGGGATGTTTTTCGGGTTCAAGTAGCTGTAGGCGAAGATCTGTGTGGATGTTAGCTAAGTTTGTGGGGAAATCGGAACAGACGTACAAGTAAACACAGGGGATTCGAGTAGTTGAACCAATTTGTCGATCTGGATGAGCATATTTACGGTCATCTCCAACTCCGCGCTATTATTATTAGCAAATGAATCAAATGAAAGAGAAACGTGACATACAATATTTGCAGGAGATTGTATGCTTGCTCATATGCTTGAGCCAGTAGGCATAGTGAGAAAGTGGCTACTGCATTGTAACACCAAGAGCGGAAAAGGGTAACGAAAAAGGTCTGCCCATCCTATACAGCGTTAGCCTAAGTAAATCCGATCCTTTGCGGGGCATATACCTTTGTCTCAAGATTCCGAAGTCGTTTGCGAAGATCAGCTAATTGCGGGGCCGTAATAAGATTATTGTTAAGGTTTTGAACCATGATACTGGCAAATTCTACATCATCTTCCTTCTCAATACAGTCTGCCAGCGTGCGATAAATACGCTCGGGGCTGAGACTAACACACAACTGCCGAATAATTAGGTTACCTCGAGTCTCCAAGAGCTTTCTGTCAGTTGAAAATAGCTGTAGCAAATTCTCCATGAAGGAAGTAAAATAATCATCTCCACTGTTTTTTGAGATCTGGGATAGAAGTTGTAGATCTCTAGTCACAACTGCCTCTGCAGGATCAGAGAGTGTTTTGAGAAGTGCAGGAAAAGTGCCATCGTTGATTGCCAAAACCTTTCGAGGGGCCTTTTTGTGGAGCATAAGCAACCAGGTCAGCGCTGCAACTCTAGTCGCTTCATGGTCGTTCAAGAAGAGCAAGGTGAGAGAGTTGACCGCTGCGGCATAATCAAGATCAACCTGCGGTTGCGGAGTTGACGCGGGTGTCAACCCTTTGTCATAAGGGGGGGATGGGGTTTGAATCTCGGACTCCCGCCTGTCCTGCTCTCGAGCCCCTGAAGTAGGGCCACGAGTGGCGCTGCTTGAGTCTCTCTTTTCGATATTCGTGGTTTCTTTTGTACCCAGGGAGATTCTCGATGATTGAGAAGAGGTGGCTTCGTCAGAAAGCGATACAACATAGTCCATCAGTGATGTGTTGACTCGAGCAGCTGCTTGTCGAATTGGTTCTAGACCACTAGCCATAGCGGGGAGAAGATGGGCAAGTATCCTCGGGGCAAACGGCAGAACTTCTTCAGGGCATATATCAAGAAACTCTGCGATCCATCGAAGGGACTCCTGTAAGCTCTCCTCCTCTACCAAATGTTAGTTTTTAGTGGGTTAGAGAGTAAGATTGCTATTACCAAGCGGAGAATCGAGATTCGCTGTTAATATCTCAAGAATGGCCTTATGGTTGACCTGAACATCTTGGCCAGGCACCCAGTCATCGTCACTGCTGACGTCCCTATCATCAGCAACTGTCACAGATTGATCATCTCCACCAGCATCTGGGATCATAGACGCATCACTGTCCATGGATCCAGAGCGTTTTCGTTTGCCTTCGCTTCTAGATTTGCGGCTTTCCTCAATACCTTTCTTGATGCGAGAAATCCGTTTGATTTCGCTCAAGAATCGCTCAAGAGCTCCCTGCGTGGCAACGTGAACGTCACGGTTTGGATCACTGAGGAACGTAAACAGGCCACCCAAAAACTCTGGTAGATACGAGACGAGCTCTAAATCCGGAATAGAGTCCAGGAGGGTAATCCATCCAACGAGGAAGGTCCGAGTAAAGGGGTTGATAACATAAATGCGTTCTTTGAGGAGAGGGATGAAATCAGCAAGTGAGAAGGCTGTGGGCATATCCATGGACTCGTCTCGTGATTCCTTATCAGTGTCCGCAAAAAAGTCCTCAGACGTGTGAACTAAGGAAACATATGTGGCAGCGGACTCGGAGACGATATCTTTGATCAAACGATCGAGGAGCTCCGCCCCATTTTTGACCGAGAGCTCTGAGTCGGCACCAAGCTAAAAATTATATCAGCATCATTGAAGGCCTAAACGAAAAGATACCTAGAGATGGCCTACCTTGCATAATGCGTCAAAGATGTCGTTGAAATATGGTAGAACTTCGCCCTTCGCCACTTTGGCGATATTGTACATGCTCTCGCAGGCATAATAACGCACGCGAGCATCTTGATCCGTGAAACAAGCCAGCACCGGAGGCACGATCTCGTCCAGATACCGCGCTAATTCCTAGATAGATGGATTAGATTAGTCTCTTTACCTGGGCGGTGACAACTCTAACATACCGGCCCTAAGGCAATAGCAGCGGCTGCAAGGCCAATGAGTCCGCCATTCCTCGCATGAGGCTGGTGAACGGCGTAGGCAAAGTCATTGCAGAGCTGCTGAATAATCTTTTTAATCTTGTTGGACTCCTTTGCCGCAGCTAGATCTCGAATGACGCGCTCGAGACTGTGAAGAAGGTCAGTGTTGTTGCACGAGCGGGCGGGAAGGAGGGCGTGGTTCGTATTCAACATACTCAAGAGCTCCGACCTTCCTCTTATCGTACAGCTTCTCGTTCAGTGCACGCTGGATGCTCGGGTCCATTTTGAAATCAGCAAACCCGCAGGGTCATGTTCCTGTAGGATGCGAGCCAGTCTATTATATTGTGATTGCGATGCGACGGACCGGTTCACAGTGTAGGTATATAGGTAGGTACGAACAAGTTGTCCCGCTCATCTCTGTGGAGGAAGCGTTGGGAGAAGTTACAGGCCAAGGACGTGAAATAATATCGCGTTTTTGCAATTTCCCACTTAACTTCAATTCTCCATTTTAGGGGTCAGCATTTCGAGCAGGTTGTTTTTCGAAAGACAGCAACTAACGAAGCTCAACACAAGTAGACCGGCAGAGAACTAATTGGCTCGACGTTGAGTTCAGTCTTTGAGGTTATTCCATGGCCCGGGCGCTCTGGGGTGCCACGTGATATGTACTTGCAACCTCCTCTAGTCGACTGACGATCGGCGCATAGGTAGCTTTTGGGAGAGGGCATCAGGTGGGATGAAACATGTACCAAGTAAGGCATAGGCAAATAAGGTTAGGATCTACCTGTAGAATAATACTGAGCACAACAAGAAAGGGAACCCCCGGTGGGAATAACCAAGTCACATGACATTGCTACACTCCCGGACACCCCGTTCCCCCACTATGCGAAGTACGCACGAAGTATGTACGTATTGCTCTCGGAATCAATCATCAATGATGAGGATCTCAAAGAGGAGCCATTCCATGATCCAGCAAACTGCCTAGGTACTCCGCACAAAAGGAAATAAGTGACTGGGGCACGGACGTAAGCAGCAATAGATGCTATTCCCATTCGACGTATGGAGTATATAATATAAAAATAGAAATAGCGTTATAAAATGGCACGTTATGATCTACGTACTTTATACAAGGATACGAAGTAACTTATGAAGATTCTACAAACTAGTGACATGTTGATCACCGAGGACGAACACCGAGGAGCGCCTTTACTCCGCAGTGGCTTTGGTTTGGTGAGCCTTAGCTTGGCAAAGCACCAAAAAGAAATATGACGGACATCCGACATCCTGACCCTGAATCCCCCAATCCCTGATAAGCCGAAAAACAAAATATAGTCTCCTCGCTGTTCCAGGTAACTCCTGCGAGAACGGTGGTGAAGCCACCACTGTTCATGTGCGCCCACGCACACCGGCTCCCCGCCCCTCTAATGTGCCGCCCATCGGCCATGCAATGCAATGCCACGCTGCACTCGTCCCATTCCCCAGTGCCCCGGGTCCCCCAATGAGTGGATAGTGTGGCCAGTGTGGACTACCAAGTCACCGGTTCGCGAAGTCGAAGTGGTAATCGCAAGGCTCGTACTGGGAGCAGCGACCGCCGCTGCGGTTCGAGTTCTGGCATCGCTCTCCTTTACTGCCGCTGCTTTGATCTTTACCCTTGTGTCCAGAGTTGCCATTGCTGGCACTGTGTCGCTTGGCTGCTTTCATTGCCGCTGCCGCTTCTCTGGACTGTTGCCTGTGAGTTTCCGACTCTCAAAGTTGGTATTGGGTGGACTTACACCTGGCTTGGCTGCGCTGATTCTCGCCACAGATTTGTCGTCGTGCTTCCCCCGTGTCATGACTGAAGGTTGGTAGAGGGCTGCTAGGTGATGTTGAAAAGTCCAGGGTAGCTGAGGATCCCAACGGCAACATAAGGTAGAGCTTGATAGCTTGAAAGCAAGGTGTCTGAGGCGAAGGTTGACCTCTCAACGTTCGGGTGAGCTGTTTCCCCTAAATAATTATGTCCACGGATTGTAACTGATAAAGATATGTCGTCCACGAACCCGGGTTCTACAGCGGAGCCTTCAAGTGTTTATATGTCAAGGTCTGTGCCGTGGTGGGGATCCGGAGGTTTGCTTTTTCGGCCAAAGCGAGTGACCCGGTCCTTGGGTCATAGGAAATGAGACAAGGCTAGCTAGCGTGTCTATGTCCCTATTCTGGCCGGGATGGATGCGCATACCCGGCGATAGGTGATTGCTTTTAGTCTTGATGACGAGACTCCAAGCCGCAAAGCCGGCGGCAGCGATAATCGTGGGCGACATACGAAGTAACTCTGCCAAATTTCTTTTCTTTTTGCTATACGGAGACTTACTCCGTACTGGCTGCCAAAATTCCATGGCAGAAGTGTCCTAATGATCATTACGATATACAAATCGCGATAATGCACTTCGTCCAATTCGGAAGTTGCGTGGCAACCACATAGGCCTCAGATCCCCCGGTTGGAATTGGCACAGCACAACCCACGTCTTATCCCAAACATGCATTCAAAAATCACCACACGCGCCAATGGGCGCGTAGTGGCTCCCGCATCACTGGCATCACTGGGCGGGTGGCGGCCTGGCGTTAATGAAACGACGTACGAGCTCGTTAAGTACAAACAAATGAAGCTATACTCAAAGAGCTCGCCACATCCCCCCGAAGCACTTGTTTGATGGTTATTGGTGGGCTGTTTTTGTGGCAGGGAGCTGAAGGCAACCTCGAGATGGTGGCTGTAATGAGGTACGGAATGTTTATGGCTTGAAAGTTCAAAAGAAATTTATGGGAAGAATGAGCGCGACCCTACGGGACTACCCGTAGAGCCCCGGACAAGCCACCATCCGGAAGCGTCCGGCCATTTGGGGGTTGTATCATCTGATATGAGTTGATAGGATGACTTGTAACAAGATCCAGGTTTGCGGTCAACTCAAGTCGACTCTTAACCAATAATAGAGGTCGCCCTTCGGAATTGAGGGCTGGATAAGAGAGGCGCAGAGTACGAGTACACATACCCGCTGAGGATCCGCGGAAACTTCTAATCACATCCGGGCAAACCTAAAATAAGTAGCCGCCGACAGTGGGAGCTAGTTGGGGCTCTGTATCCCCGTGCTTGATGCGGTCCAAGAATATTATTATTCGCATGTTTAACTCCTCTGCGGGTTTCAGTCCCGATCTCTAAATATTCCCCGTCACCATTAGAACATCGGTTTATAATGCAGCATTAACGAGATGTAAAGAATTCAATGCCCGTGAAGGATATCGCCTTTCTGTGCCAGTGCCCTTTGGCATTTCGCAAGGACTGCTGCTTGCCTCCCAACTTCCTCGAGCGTACCAATGACTTGTTGGCTACCTTCCACAAAGCCGTAGAGCGCATAGGGAATCTCCACTTCATCGCAGAACTCCTGCACTAGTTTCTGGGTCCGTCGAAGGTTGTGCCTTGGCATCCTGGGAAATAAGTGGTGGACGGCCTGGAACTGCAGACCTCCGTGGAAAAAGTCAAGCCATTGGGGGCAGTCGATATCCATTGTTGTTCTCAGCATCTTCTGTGGGAAAGATTCGCGGGGCCCCAGCTCGGATGTGCTCATCGCGAAATGAGACAGCGTGATCTGTGCATGTAAGGGCATCGTCACCATGTGGCTAACCATCAGAAACGCAATCCGCGCCGAAGCCGTCGGAATCGTCTTGTACATGATACCATAACCAAACCAATACCAGAAGAAGACTTGTCCAACAATCTCCAGCCAACGATGCCACCATGCACGCCCCTTTCTCGGTCCTAGGCCAAGAATGAGATGTTCCCAAGATAGACGGTAAAGATTAAATCGACCAAAGGTGAGGATAGGATAGTATAGATAATGTTGGTAGGGAATGACTAGTTTGGCAAAGGCGTCATAGGCCATAACTCGCTCGTAAAAGGAAGAAGTTAACGATTCGAGAAACCTGTGCGAAATGGCGAGAAAAGGCAGGTGCTCGATATCAGGATCATGCTCCGGAGAATTTGTAACAATGTGATGGACATTGTGATTTCGTTTCCACCACCCGACCGATAATCCCCCCATGAAATTAGCAATAACGATTCCGATCGTTGAATCAATGGTGAAGTTGTGGGTAATACCCATGTGCCCCGCATCATGGACCGTAAATACAAGCTGATGCCATAAACAGCCTAGGAACATCCCACTTGTTGCATACCAGCCCCAGCGCAGGCAAAGCAGCGTCATACAGGCGAGAAATGTGTAACGGCAGGTCTCAATTGCGTATGCTGAATAATTGCAATCATACAAGCCTTCCGCCCGGATGCGTTGCTCTAGTAGACGATACTTTCGAACCACTTCGTCTTGTGTAGCTGGGTCCAACGATGGGTACTTGGCGAGATCTAGGTCGATATGTTCCTTGGTTCGTACGTCCAGCCATGACATGCCATCGTCGGGCTCCGTAACGGATGACACTGACGATGCTGAAGAGGAAACGTCGTTATACCTAGATGCCACGCGGGGGCGAAGAATCGAAGCTTCCGTATCAAACACTGGCGAGGGGCTCCTTGAGCCGGTGTGACTGTGAGGATATGCCTCCGCAATGTCTTCCTCGTTCTCCTGGTCTAATGCGTCGATAATGTATGGCCGAAATTCACCACCCTGTATAGGCGGCACGAAGTTGGCCCAGTGGCCCTCAACCCTACCAATCCGATATCTGTCCATTTGTTTCCGCGCTTCTGGAGAGTGTAGACTACAATGCATGAGATAAGCTAACTGCCATCAAAGTATAACCATTCCGGCCGAGGGAGAACGAACGCATTAACTTCGTCGGTGGCATCACGGCCAACCATGTGCCTGATAGCCTTGTCCCCTCCCGGGTGGTATTTCAGCCATGAATCAACCTTCAGCACCTTCTGGTCCACAATTATAATGGCCCTCCCTTCTGCAATCAGCCCCTCGACCTGCCTTCGGGAGAGCAGAGTCTCGGTGCGCGTGGTGGTGGGCTTCACGGCAGCCATGGCAATGGTACACTATTCAAAAATGGTGGGTGTTAAACAGGTCGATGGGAGGTCATTGGCGGTGAGGTTCAAGTTTGTGCCTCGTAGCACAAGAAACGGTGCTGTGGTGGGCAGATGTGGATGCGGATGCTGACGCCCACCCATCGAACCACGAATGTTTCAAGAGGCCTCGCGTACTCGTACCTTGAATTATTCCGGCGGGAGAGGCGGGCGGCACAGGGGGCGCAGTTCGCCTGCCCTGCCAATTACTTCGGCGTTGATTGCGACGCCCCCTTATCCAGATTTGCCCTTCTACAGTATCATGATGGAGTAGTCCACAAACTGTAACCAACACCTACACGTACCGCCACAAAATGAACCTAAATACATTCATTCAAGTGCTCAGTCGCCAAGAATTAACTATAATCTTTATGAGCATGCAGAAATCTAATGATTTGGTGCTAACAGTATGGTATTCGGCGGGATTTTAGGAAGAAGGGTTTGCAAACACAAAACGCAATTCTTGGTTTACATACTCAAAAAGTGTTCCTGCTAGGCAGCAAGACGGCTCACCCAACCTCTCCCGAGGTCTCTAGATTATTCGGGGTGGAAGCCTCGCAGCCCAGGACATCTGACCGGATGTCAACGTTTTTTGGACTATCTTTCATCGCGTGTTTGCTCAACCGTTGTTCGTCTCTTTTGCCAATGAACCACCGTGACCGGGTCAGAATCAAATATGCCTCAACAGGGCACTCAAGTTGATTGCATGAAAAGTGCATGCCATGGTCTTACAGAAGGGATCTGGGTCACCCTGGCTCAGGTCATTCTGAACGATATATGGCCCGAACCATGATTTTACTTCATGTCAGATCAGACACTTTGAAAGGATGGGCATCCTCGGGGAACAATGAAGTTATCCATATTTGATATTGCATCTTTACCTTTTCGAGATAGATAGACATAACAGCTGGCATGGGTGGTCCTAGTTGGCAATAGTCATACTATCTTCCCGTAACACTTCGCATTGCCGGTTTCGGGGTTAATTCTTCGCATTCCTCTCCCTATCTGGGCTTATCCTGTCAAGCCAAAGAAGTCATCTGCCCTTTACACGCTCTTTGTATGGGTTATGCTGTATCCCTACATCGGGGGGACCCGGAAGACAATCTGGTCATGATTGTATGTTTGCTACAAGTCCCGCGGCACTCAATCCTGCCCGCCGCCAGGCATACCATCTATCGATACGAGATGAAATCCAATGCTTTTCTTAGATTACCACGTTTTAGGCAAGTCTGTTCATTATGAGCAGCTTATTGTCACGAAACCGGATCGACACCCCTTACGCTCTTACATCTCAGAACGGGTCAGGCTCCGCTCAGTCCGTCTCACAGAACGGCTACCAGGGCACCGCCTCCGGAGTTTTGGTGGCATATCTTGCCAGATTTTGGGCAAGCGTCTGTCAAGCACGCAAGCCCTATTGTTGCCTAATGGGCGAACCACTGTGTAGCCAGGAAAGGACCGATTTCCCCTTTCTATATAGTTAGCCCACCTGTTGTCCGTTCCTGCGCCGTCGTCCACTAAGTATATTCTCAAGAACATGATTTGTTCCTCCAGCCCCAAGAACATCTTTCAGAGTACAATCTATTGATTAAAATGCTGCGTCGATTTGGCTTAGGACCTCCGAGCCCGATGAACTACGGGGGGGCCGTCCAGCGTCCCAGCCCTCGCCCCCGTGGGGGAGCTCGATATATGAATCAATACTCTGGACCCGACCCCTGCTATGACTGTGCAGATATTGGCGGGACCCATCTCTGCGGATCCTGCGCCGACGAACTTTATGGAGGTCCAGTATACAACGTTGTAACGTGCAGTTGCCCGCACTGTGAGCACAACGATCCTGGTGGATACGGTGGAGGATACCCCAGTTACCCAAGAGCGTAAGTTGATGCTTTCAGTACTGGCTGTGCATATTTGCAGTAGTACTAATAGATACTTATAATAGGAACTATAGGAGCGGTAATCGAAGGCAAGCCAACCCCTTCGCTGGACCAATGGCGCCCTATTTCATCAGCGGGTACGGTGGTGCCTATGGTGGTGCCTATAGTGGTGGCCGAGGGCTTCATGGAAGAGGTGGAGTGGGCCGGATGGGATACTGAAGATGACCATCATCGTGAAATTTTGCACGATGAATAAGAGAATCACGATTCTAGGAAATCTAAAGGGATCTTGTTGCCGACAAGGGTTGGGGGCTATGGGAATTTCTCCAGTTGGTTTTTCTGTGCTATATGTTTAGTTGAAGTAGGGTTCTTGCATGGCTTCTGGGTTGGTGTCAGTGGATTGTCAAGAAGAGATGGATGGGCAAGTTGGGATGGATACGATGACTGATCATGGCTTGACGACTGAGGAATGGATGATTTTGTGGTTCCGGGGACTTCGGATCACAATTTTTGGCGGCTGAGGATGCGGTGCAAGTAGAATTTGTAATGTGGTCTTTCTGCGCTATATTCATTTGAAGTAGTTCTACCTATCTTACACGGGAATCAACGCCGTCACTTCCACATTCACGTTCAACCCATTGTGACCACCCGTGCCCCATGGTTAGAAATGAATTGCCTTGCCGTACGTCGCCATTGCAGCCTCTTTAAATGCTTCTGAAAGTGTTGGATGCGCGTGACTTGTTCGTCCAATATCCTCACTTGATGCTCCGTACTCAATTGCCAACGTTCCTTCCGCAATCATTTCACCAGCACCAGCGCCGATGATGTGAATGCCAAGTATTCTATCCGTCTCAGCGTCGGCGATCATCTTGACCATGCCGTCAGTATCCATGTTTGTCTTCGCTCTCGAGTTGGCAGAGAAGGGGAATGTGCCGATGTTGTATTTCACTCCCGAGGCCTTGACCTCTTGCTCGTTTTGTCCTACCCATGCAACCTCGGGGTGTGTATACATGACGGAGGGAATGGCACCGTAGTTGACATGGCCGTAGCCTTTCTTGATGAATTCCACAGCGGCAACGCCTTCCTCTTCAGCCTTGTGTGCGAGCATAGGGCCAAAAGTGCAGTCGCCGATGACACGGATGTGTGGAATCTTCGTCCGGTATTCTGAGTCGATGACCAGTCTTCCCTTATCATCAGTATCGAGTCCAATGTTTTCTAATCCGAGACCAGCAGTGTATGGACGACGGCCAATTGCAACCAGCACAACCTCAGCATTGAGCTACATGGCGGTGTTAGTGATTGTCAAAGCTAGGGTAGTTCTTTTTTTGGCCTTACCGTCTCTTCTTTGCCACCCTTAGCAGCCTCGATGTTGATTTTGATTTTGTCACCACTGGCATCACCTCCCATGACCTTCGTGTTGACTTTGAAGTCCATTCCTTGCTTCTTCAAGATCTTTTGAGCAGATTTTGAGATTTCCGCATCCATTCCTGGCCCACCAATTTGGCCGAGGAACTCAACAACAGTCACCTTCGTGCCCAATCTTGACCACACAGAGCCCATCTCGAGACCAATGATGCCACCACCAATGACAATCATGCTTTCGGGGACCTTTTCTAGTGCGAGAGCTCCTGTGCTTGTGATAACTCGTTTCTCATCGATCTCGAGTCCAGGGAAGGGAGTGGCTTCACTGCCAGTCGCAATGATAATGTTCTTCCCTCTCACTGTTTGCTCGCCGCCATCGATAAGGTTGACTTTGATTTCATGCTCGTTTGTAAAAGTTCCCGTGCCCTTGACATACTCGACGCCATTCTTCTTGAACAAGAACTCAACACCCTTTGTCAACCCGGCGACAGAAGTATCTTTCGCCTTCATCATCTGTTCCAGGTTGAGCTTGACATCGCCGACTTCGATACCGCGGTGTTTCGTATCGTGGAGAATTTGATGGTAGAGATAGGAGTTGTTGAGGAGAGCTTTTGAAGGGATGCAGCCAACGTTCAGACACGTTCCGCCGAGAACACCGCGCTTCTCGATACAAGTGACCTACAGATACTTTAGCATATTGCCCACCGATTCTTACGCGGTTGCGTGAGCTCACCTTCAGGCCTTCTTGCGCGGCTTTAATGGCAGCGACATAGCCGGCGACACCACCGCCAATGATGACCAGATCCTTCTCCTCTGCACGGCATTAGCTCGACACTCCTTTCATTGATCCATACGGGCGACTGACCAGCTTCTGTGGCATAGGATCTTCTCGAGAGCCTCCCAATCGCCGAGGGGGCAACTACTGTTGGGAGGCTTTAAGGAGGTGTGTTAGCACGTAGGAATTGTCAACGTTAATTGAGCGAGGACGTACGATGACTGCTGTTTGAAGGCTGACCTTACGGTCGCCCGGGGTACTAATAAGCTTCGGAGCATCTTGGGGAGGAGATTGCGTTAACGGCCGGGAGGAATGGTTCTTGTTCGTGATATTTTTATGAGATGGAAGACGAAGCCGGACAATCCACTGGTCACGTGGTGCGGCCTATATATGACGTCCCGAGCCGCGCCGAGAGCTCACCGAGGATAACCCGCATCTACCCACGCTGAGATTTTTAGAGCGACGATCAGGGCAACTAATAAAGTGTTGGCTTGAGACGGTTTAGTTCAATCGAATGTATTAGCAGTAACGAATTTCAGTTTCATTCAGGTCTCTGAGATGTCTGCAGCATCTATCTTCTCCAGGGTATCTCGCGCTACTCTACAAGCCCACTTCACCGTATCCTTCTCCTCCTTCACGCCCGTAATATCCGTCTTGCTAACAACCTTCTTCAAGAAATATTGCAACCCTCTCATGAGTTGTGGCATATCCTTAATTTTGGAGAAAATGGCAGCAATGGCATCCTTATCCCGTTTGGTCCCCGCTTGCTTCTGGGATTGGAGAAACATACTGACAAACAGCACCTCCATGAATGTCTTGGTCTTGGGCTGGAGATAGCTCCAGCTGAGGTTCTTCAGAGCGCCGAGGCCGAGGCCACCTTCAAGTATAAGGGTGCCGAACATCTTTGCAAGATTGACGATATGCCTCATGTCTAGCGTCTCGTCATCATCTGCCACAACATCATCGTCGTCTGACTCGCCCATGGTTTTAAATAAATCCCAAAGGCAGTATTGAAAGGCTGTTCGGAGTCTCCGGTCACCACATATCTTTTTGGCAATCAATGTGTAATAGGGGTTGTAAGCCTTCTCGGCTCCTGAACAATGGATCAGAACCTTCGGAATCTCATATTCCTGGACCTTCTTGAGCTTGAGCTTCAATAGCCGTAAATATGCATCCTGGTAGTCAGTTGCCGACATGATGGTGACAAATATCGCTCGGCGAACATCAGTATTCATCCGCTGCTCTCGTGCAAGCTGGAGGAGATCGGTCGTCTCAGTATCCTCAACTCGAGTCATGGAATTGGTGGGGGTATCGTCCACCATAGAATCCTTCGCTGCCCCAGTATTGCCTGACCAACTAGCACCCACAAGCCACCATTTACCCTTCTTGTCGGAGTTTTGGATATCATTAAGCCCAATTCGAAGTGGCTCGCTGGCCTTGATACTTCGAGTATTAAGTGTCCCCAGAGTCTTCTTCATACGAATTGTATGCTCAGATGCGACTGCTGACGCGGTAGCACCAGTCTTCATACGGTTGTTTTTGAGGTTATTGATTGTCTCAATCATGAACTTGGTTCGAACGGACATATTTTCTTCTCCGACACTTGCGATTGCTGGTCGCAACATGGCGACAATTTCCTTCAACGACGAGGGGTCGTCTTGTCGTAACTGTGGTCCTGACGTTCGGATAATCTTTAACAGCAGCTCCACATTAAGCTCCGATAACTTGTTCAGAAATGTTTTGATATAGTCGAATATCAGATTGCTCCCAATGACATGGAAATTGTACAACTCGGAGAGTAGCATGATGAGGTTTGAAGTCTCTTTACTGATATCAGATGTGGGGATTGTCGGATCAACCTGATCGGTTGTAGAGAGTCGAGCATATTGCTCATCAAATAGCTCCACAGTCCTTTGAATCACTTGTGCTCCAAAGTCCATACCGATAATCTTGTAGATAGCTGCAATAAACCCTGCCGGAAGAATGATCAGGGTATCAGGCAAGCTCGTAGGTTCGCAGACAGATGTCAATAAGATATCCACAAGCGTAGAGGTGACATGCTGCCGAGGGTGGTCACGGTAGAGCTTCTCTATATCGCCGAGGATGGGAATTAGATTGGCCTCCGTCAGCCTATTAACCAACCCCTGGGTTTGCCGACGTAGACGAACCAATGCCTCCGAGTTCGAAGATGCTGGATTCCTTAGGGAGGGAGGGATATATTTTTGATGCGGCTCGGTGCCAGTTGATGGCGCAACGTAGGGGTTCTCGCGGATTCGGGGTGCTGGGCGCTCTTCATCGTCATCTTCATCGGATCCGAACCCACTGAAATCGGCTCCGTCGTCATCCCTCGCTATAAGAGATTCGTCTTCAGATTCGTCATCCGGGAACGCTGGTCCATCCAAAGACATATCGGAGTCTCCATCATCCTCTTCTGGCCATCCATCTCCTTCACCTTCTCCCGATGAAGCATCACTTCGGCTTTCATCTTCATCCTCGTCTAGTTCATCACTTAGCTGTCGTTTAGCCAGCTTTCGCGCCTCCTTGCGCTTTCTATCCAGCCATTCATCCCCTTCCGCCTTACGTTTCTTGCTGTCCTGGATATCTGAATCCTCCTCGTCATCACCTAGACCCTCCAAGAGCATATCCAACCCATCGTCTGTAAATGATTTCGGCAACTTCTTTTTCCCTTTCAGACCCAACTTCTTCTCTAGAGCCGCAATCTCAGCGTCATCGTCTGCTAATTTTGCCTTGATACCCCTTGGTATGCTCCGAGATGACGGTTTCAGATCTGAATCACCAACAACGACCGGGTCCGCCTTCTTCGTCCTTTTGAGTATTGATTTTGGTTTTATATCACTTCGAGGACTTTCTGGCGTTGGCTTCGCCTGGGCGAGTGGCGGACTTGGTTGGGAGGGCCTTTCATATCTTTCCTCAGGATCAGAGCTATGTTGTAGCTTTTTCCTTTTAGTAGGAGGTGGCCCATTCCTGGAGGATTTCTTCTCCGTCCGTGCTACCTTTCGAAGCTCTTTCCGCGTGTCTGGTCGAGAACGGAATTTGCGCCGGGAGAGGGCATCTACGTAATGAATGTAATTAGTACTTAACCTCAAAATGAAGTTGGCTTTGATAGTATTACCGTCGCCACCGATCTGATCAAGCAGCTGCCTTGGTAACCTCAAGGGTTTCTGGGTTGACGCCATTTGATGTTTGTAAGGACTAAGGTTACTCGTTGGTATCTTTTGGAAATTTAAGATTTATCGCGGACCAAAAATTGCCGACCCCATAGATGCGGGAGAACCCCACCAAACCAACGACAAGTAGTAGCACACACTCTCTCTCTCTGATCACCAACCAGAACCCCAAAAACGCTCCTGCAAACAACATGTCGAAAGGACATCTGAGCCAGGATAATGTATGCCTCCTTTCATCGCATCAATCACCGTCTAATAAACAAGTACAACGAGTGCGCTGGCTAACAAACACAAACCAGTTCTTCCAACGGCTCGCGGAGCTCTTCGAAACCTCCAAACATGGTTCAATATACCTAACACAAAAGCGCAGTATGAACCAGCAGCTTCTCTTCTTCACTAGTCACCCAATCTAACAAAATCCCCCAGTGGCATATGGCTCCGAACCCTCCTCAGACCCCTCAGACCCCTCAGAACAGTTCCCCGACCTCGACCTTTCAAAACCGCTCCCTATCATAATCCGGGCCACGAACGGCAAATCCAAAGCAAACCGAGAGAAGAAAATCAAGTTATCAACAGTAGTGGAGGCCGATGCATTAGAGGGCTTTTTTTTCAAGTATGCGGAGGTTTGCAAGGGAGGGATGTCTGCGCTGAAGAAGCGTGATCGAAGCAAGGCGAAGGAAAAACTCAAGGCGAAGAAGAAGAAACTAGGCGGGGCTACGGGGATAGTGGCTGCTGAGGGGAAGAAATCATAGAGAGAGACGGGCGCGTAGAGAGAATCCACAAGTATTTGGCATTGGAATTAAGGCATACCTATGTGACGGGTTTGAGCGGCGTTATGAATGAATGGGTGTTGGAACAATTCATGGCCGGTTTATTTTGAATGGCTTTCACATACAGAAGATTATAAGGGAATCATGATTTTAAACTGCAACGCGGTTACTATTGTCTCTATCTATGAAGTCCAACGCTCTGGCGCGACCACCGGGGTCTCCTCTCTCAATAGACTGCTCTAAGGCTCGCCTAGGTATGTATTCGCACAGCTCCCCTGGATTGACTGACAATGACTGCCAAATCCGTGCAGTTGATAACTTCATCGAGACGAGATCCTAATCATCGAAAATCATCGAGACCCTTAATATCAATAGTACAATATCTCTTCAGTCGTATACTCCTCTAACCCCATCTAAACCACGAACCCACGCATTCGCCTCCCTCACTATGTTGTATTTTCGAGTATAGTGACATTTAAACACATGACGAACAGAGTAGAAATTACGTGGCGGTTGAATGTTCCTCGGGAGGTGATTCGTAGCCATGTGTAACTTCATCAGATGCCTGCGCTCCAATTGGGTGGTGTTCTGTATTCCAGACTCCCATGGTGCTGTTGATCAGGACACCGTCGATATTTTCAAAGCGTCGTTCGTAATTCATCTAGCAAAACATTCAGCTTAATCGTTACTAGCAAGAGAGCAAGTATAACTCACCATAGCCGATAAATTTCCAGCAGTGTTCTCAATTCCTCCGCCGGAACTTGAATGGTGCTCGGGGCCTTGTGGATAGATGGCAGTATTCAGTGAAGATCTGGCTCCAACTCCAGCTCCTTGGTCTTGGCCATGGCTCATATGAACCTGACCGGACATTTGATGTTGGCCCAAATGGATGCCGCCTGAAGGTCTATGCTGGTACATAAACGCATTCTCATGGTAGTCTGGTCCCGTCTGGTAGACATTCGACAAGGGTCGTGATGTAGGTTGATACGCGGTCGCGTTGCCGTGAGTGAATCCCCCAAATTGAAAAGTCGAGTATCCTCCGTGTGGAGTTTCCATGGCGGGAAATGGAATATCACATCCAGGTGGTTGAGCAGCAGGATATGAATACCCGTGAAATTGAGAAGCCAGAAGGGGGTCAGGATACATTGATGCTGATGCTGTACGCGCGATCTGCTCGTTATAACGACCGTGTCCGACCATTGCTCTCTTTCTTGCGCGTTTTCTGGGAGCTTGAGCACTAGATTCCGTTCGCACTCTCTTGTTCGAAGTAGCGGTAGCTGGAGCGGCGGCGACGGCGGCTGGCTCTTCATCCTTGATATCCCCAGCAGTAACAGGCCCCGCTCCACAATCCTCACAGCCACGCTTCGCACTACAAAACCAGCACTTCCCATGATCCTCCACGGCCTTCTTTCTCTCCTGAACATCAATCTCCTCTAATCCCACCACAATATCCGCGCTGTCTATCGCAGGCCTCATGAGCTCTCGCTCATCTCCAGTCTTGTTCAATGAAGCAGCTTTACATCTCCAGCAGATACCAAAGGCACGATTCTGTGGCTCATATCCATGGACTTGGAGACAGAGTTCCGGGGGACATTTGCTAGTGGGCCAGGCATCGGGGCAGCTTGGGAGCTTGAAGACTTCGACGTAGACTCTTTTGCAGCAGGGGAGCGTGAAGGGGGTGACTTGACACATCGCATGCCCTTGTTATGAAGACTGGTTCTTGATGCTTTGCCCCGGGCGACGACCGCACAATGAGTGTTTGTTGTACAAGTCGATATCTGTTGTATCGTGTTGCTTGCTTTGGTAGGATGGAAGATGTTTAAACTACTAATGCACGGCGACGGTGAGTGGATATATGGAGTATGGAGCGGAGAGTGTGCTGGGAAGATGTGGCTATCGGAGATAATTATTGAGGTTTGTAGCGACGAACAATAGTCACGACCGGAGTGAATAATAAGGTATTTAATACACTGTTCGTGAATCATCACTAGGCTCCATGGCATGTTTGGGATTCAGTGACCGTGACCATGAATGTTTTTATTATACCGATTCCTGTGATTGTTTAGCGAATGATAATGTGGACGTGATAGATCGTGGGGTTTGCTCTGTTAAAGGGGTAGGCATTTGAGGAGGGCTAGTCTTGATCCTTCAGTCAACAGAATCCCCTGCCTCTTACGATTTTACCACCTTACAAAAAAAGAAGCTTTATACAAGCTACAATATTGCCCATAGATGCGTGTCTAGAAATGTGTCACTCAGGATTTGATCAGGGAATGAAAACTTTTGTGATAATTAGACGCAGCAGCTCCCACCCATTTCCCTAGGTGATGGTGTGGCATGCATTCTCGAAACTAGCATAAAGACAAGGAGGGAAGATTATGAAAGAAGTGAGCAGCGCAAGCGAGAAGATCCATTAAAACTTTGGGTGGAGTTCTTTCCGGAACGAATCTCGATGAAAAGTTGTACATGCAATGCTGGCCAGGCGATATGCGGGAGATAATCGTCGCGATAGTCGCTGTCCTAACGGCCCGAGGAAACCGGTATTCTCATCCCCTTATGAGTCCATCTTACATGATCTGGTCCTGTGTCAAGCTGGTGGCCTCCGTCTCCATTGCGTCGCCACCGCCACCAGGGGTCTGATACTTGACGAAAGTCAAACCGAGTGGACGTCCACCGTATTGATAGCCCGAAAACTTCTCAATCGCGGTCTCAGCGGTCTCGGGAGTATCGAAGCGAACAACACCAGTGCCACGGGATCGACCATTTGGCTCATACTGAATTTCGGCCTGCTCGACCTTTCCAATGGTAGTGAAGAGCTCAACAAGATCCTCGTTGCTGGTGGACCATGGAAGCTGTCCACATATATTAGTATTCTTCCAACCAAGGCTCCCAATATGCTGGATGACTTACATTGCGGACGTAGATAGTCTCATTCTTCTCAGTGCCTGCCGTAGCATGGTCGGTGAATGGGTTTGGTGGGGCAGATACCGCTCCTGCTCCAGGGCCAGCATCAAACCCACCACCCATAGCGCCACCTCCATAGCCTCCTCCATAACCGCCGCCACGGCCTCCAAATCCACCACCGAATCCGCCACGGGCTCCAAACCCACCACGACCGCCGAATGGACCGCCGAATCCGCCACGACCACCGAATCCGCCTCGGCCACCAAACCCAGGACCGGCACCAGCAAATCGATCCTCACGAACTTCGAGTGGGCGTCCCTGCCAGTCATAGCCGTTAAATTGTTGGATAGCGTTGCGGGCATCATCAGGAGACTCGAAAACGACGATACCAGAGCCCTTGGGACGACCATCAGGTCCGATGTGAACATCAGCACGTATGACGGCGCCATTACGAGCTACAAGATAAATTGTCAATGGCACGCCCAAAACTGTGTGCACGTTAGCTACAAAGATAGAACTCACTAGCTTGGCGGAACAAGTCCTTTAGATCCTGCCATCCCACAGTGTACGGAAGCTAGATTTCAAGTCAACTCTGCGTCCCAGAGAAAAGGCAAGCGGAGAAGGGAGGATATAACAAACGTTGGAGACATAGATTTGACGGCCACCACCGCCGCCGGCGCCACCTGCACCAGCACCCATGCCGCCGCCATATCCGCCGCCGCCGAATCCGCCACGGCCTCCTGCATCGAAGCCGCCGCGGCCCGCAGTTGGACCAGTGAATCGAGGTTCGGCCTCACGATCCTAGAAGCTCAAGTTAGCCTAGCTCGGATGAGGCTCAAGTGCTGGTGGTATACATACTTCTCGGACGTAAACCAATCTTCCCATCAGGTTTTGGTTGCTTAGTGTGTTGACAGCCTGTTGAGCTTGCTCCCTCGTGGCATATTCTACAATACTGGAAGTAGGTCAGCAACAGAATGGGAAATTGTCGTCCCTTGTCAACGAATGAACTTACCCGCATCCCTACATATCCCACGGAACAGCGTCCCAATCCGTCAATCCAACATTCCTTCAATGACCAAAAAAAGAAAGGATTCAAAAAGCCAACTACGTATAGGCGCCCACCTTCGACATTCCATTCGGAAGCAATAGCACATCAGCATATAAGACCTCTCCAGCTGCGCGGCGATACCCCAGTTAGCCTCTATCCCATCACATCGATAACCCAACCCCCGAGCACTAACCAGATCTCATGAAATCTTTCAGGTGATGCCACTTAACATCGTAGGATAAGTTGCCGACGTAGACACGGCGGTCTTGTTGCGAGTTGTCCCGGAGGCTGCTCATCATCTGCTCCCTTGCGGCGGCGCGCTCTTCGAATGACCTGTGAGGGGCGCCTCCGTAAGCCGAACCACCTGAAGCTGCACCAGCACCGCCAGCTCCCGACATTGGAGAGCGGGATCTGCGGTTGTCGTGAGAGCGAGATCTTCTGGGGGAGTATGAGCGACGACGGCTGCGGCGCGGAGAGCGGGACCGGGAGCGAGATCTCTCGCGGTTCTGGAGCGATATTTCAGTCTGTGTTTCAACCATCAAGGAGATTTTAGTGGGATGATCTGGGTGTGAGTGGAAGGGAAGGGGGGAAGTGAGAGGGAGACAGGGCAGGAATTCTGAGGAGGGTCCCCAGTTTTGTGCCGGTTAGCAATCTCGCCCATGAGGGACTGGGACTGGAACTGTGGCGTAGCTCTGGCAAGCTCAGGTTGCGTGGGACCCGGGGAATACCAGGCTAGGATGGAAATTGTGCCCGACGTTGAAGTGGAACGGCGAGACGGAAGGGAAGGCTAATTCACTAGCGTGAGAGACAACAGACAACAAACAACTTACAGTCGGGCGGTAATTATCGTCAGCTATAGTGATGTCCAGGCAATGTTAGTCAAATAGTTGAAGAGGGTCAAGCCGTCAAGCGAAGTTGACAATCGAGGTGGTGGGAGGACGGGGAGAAGGGAGGAGGAAGGAAGGACAACGGAGGCTGGCGAGGATATCACCACGACACCGAGGATAAACGAACGAGCGAGTGAATGGGGGTAGAGGGGGGGGGGGTGAGTATTGTTTGGGGGCCCGGAGAGACGTACCCATGTTTAACAGGTAGCAGAGGTGCTATTCGAATGCGAACGCGAACAATATGCTGAGCTGCCGGAGAAGTGGATTTTTCGCGCTGCACCGGGATCCAGATGGAAGAATCTGTAGCCACCACGTATTAGTGGGACGTTGGCGACAGACGCAGTTTGCGGGTGAAGGGTGAAGGGGTGAAGGGTGAAGGGGTGAAGGGTGAAGTGAGAGGGGAGAGGTGAGAGAGCGAGTGGCTGCAAGCAACGCCCGAGAGTTGGGGAGGGAGGGATGGTGGGCGGCGGTGGTGGGGGTTAGGGAAGGGGAAGGGNAGGGTGTAGTCTGGTAACGACAGCAGCAGCAGCAGCAGCAGCAGCACTGTAATGTTCTTGTCTCTTATACACATCTAGATGTGTATAAGAGACAGCGGGGGTGGTGGGGGTTAGGGAAGGGGAAGGGGAAGGGTAAGGGGGGAGGAGGAAGGGTGTAGTCTGGTAACGACAGCAGCAGCAGCAGCAGCAGCAGCACTGTAATGTTCTGTCGACGGTCTGTAGCTGTCTGTCTGTCTGTCTGTCTGTCTGTCTGTCTGTCTGTCTGTCTGCCCCTCTCTGGCGCCATAATCAATCTGTCTGGCACCGCGCGGCGAGGCAACTGCTACAAGGCGCTTCAACTTTTGCCTGTCTGCCAGCCTGCCAGTCAACGCTGCCTGTCATCAAAGCCAACCGCCAACTGGGGCTCACAGCCTGCGACTCTGCACTCTGCGTGCACCCAACCCAACGGGGTGGAGGAGTGCTGGGCAAGGAGTGCGCTATTTGCTGCCCGTATCGCATCGCAGCCCCCATCTTGCCTTGCAGACTTGCAGTGCCGTGCCGTGCAGCGCAGTGCTGCTGCTGCCGCAAATGCAACTGCAACTGCAACTGCAGGCAGCGCTGCGACGAAGCTAGAGGGGCGATGCCGTGCAGGCGGACAGACAGACAGATAGACAGCATGCGCGCCATGCCATGGATGGGGACTCGTTGACTATGACTCTGACTCTGGACTCTAGCTCCTCTCTCTCCCTCGCGCTCTCTCTGCCTCTCTCTCTTCACTGTCTCTCTTACCTTGCTCTTGGACTCAAAACCCACTCAATACCAGTCAATCTGCGGAGGCTGCAGCAGGGCTCTGGCTGGGAAACCGGAGAATAGCCAATTGCCTGGCTGGCGAGGAAAAGCGCGACCGTCAAGGCGTAACGAACGGTGGTGACACGAACCCGGAGCCGAAGCCAGCTGGGTGATGGAGATCGGAGGAGGGAGGAATCGGCGCTGTATCGCTGTATCGGTGTCGGTGCAGCAGGTTGGTGGTGCTAGAACACAGGACTGGGAACAGAGCGGTAGGTCGTATGTCGTATGTCGCGGTGGTACTGGAGGAGTTGGGAAGTGGAAGAAAAAGCGCGATGGAGGCAGAAGCGGTACGCGAGACGCTGGACGCTGAGCTGCGCCACCCGTAGGTCGTAGGTACCAGGTACCTTTGCGCCTTAATTGCCCGCCGCGTTCTAAGTAGTGTACAAGGCCAGCCGTTCTGATGCTGATGATTAGACTTCGTTGAATTCGAATTGAACTCCTAGCGGTAGAACTTTTATTACTGAGTTATTATTGGCTGTTATTTGCCCTCGTTGTAACCTGCCTTTACGTATTGTTTATCTGCAGGTGCCTTTAGGTCCCGGAGAAACCACCGCAGTTACCTAGGTACTTGAGGTGCTACGAGTGCAGAGACAGCGAGGTTCCACAACGCAAGCGTCAAATAGGTACAGTAGTGCTTCGTAGTCCTACCCGAAGCTTGGCTAGGTTCGTTTCCAACGCGGCTACGAAGTATTGGGAGTCGCTATTGCCGCTCTACTTGTGTGCTAATAAATACCATCCACCTATGAGCAATCCCCGCGGACTTCGGGTTATTTTCTAGACTTTGACTAAGATGAACCTAAATGCTCCGGGGCATTATCGCTAATAGGAAGGCTCTAGAGATCGGTATCGAGGAAACCCTGAACGGGCGTTTGGAAAAGGAGACTCAATGACATCAAGCCTAAGGAGTTGACTAAGAACCAAGAATCCCTCGCTCCTCTGGGGCGGTCTAGTCTGGAATTGAAGAACGGCAGCCAATGGAAGGGGCTTTCGAATAAATCTCTCAAGAAAAAGGCATTGATATGGGCAAAGCGAAACTATATCCGATTCTCAAACAGCCCAGGAGGATCCCCTCGTGATATTGAGGCTGACTCAGCGTCCTCCAACACTCCAGCTCAATTAGGTTAGAGCAACAGCTACTCATGTCTTTACTTTTCGTGCAGCCTTATTTATTAGAAGTTGTCGGTGGAGTTTGGAGTCTGGAGTCCGCAATACGAAGTGCGGAATACGTACTTCGTACAACAGAAGAGCGGTCGGTCGTAGGATCATGGATGCTAGGTAATTACTGCATAAAGTTGAATCAGCACCCAGTTTTTGAACCTTATCTGAGACGTTACGTTTGTTGTAAAACCTTGGTACTATGTACTATTCCTCTTTACTACTACGTACACCCCATTGCCATTATACCAGAGCAAAGAGTGACTTTACTAGGCATTGCCCGGGTTACGGCTGTCGCCAAGAACAGCATTCCATTACTTCGTACGAAGTATTCACCTATTGAATGTTTATACTACCTTCCCTAGGTACGAGTACCTACATACCTTACATGCCTTAGGTACATAGGTACCTACAGTACATACTACCTTACGTACGCATCCGCGCTATCTTCTCACTCTGGCTAGACCCGGAGCCACCCGTCGTCTACCCGTCCAACCCAGCTGTCTCATTGGCCCATCTTCCACTCTGGCCTGGGTGCCTTGGGCCCCTATCACTTGTCTGTCGCCTTGCAGGGCATCTCCACAACTCCACCAACTCGTACCAACACCAACTCCACCGCTGCAACTCTCCAACTTCTCCAGACAACAACGGCTTCTGCACCAGGGCACCATTTGTTTTAGCCGCCTGGAACGCCCGGCGTGCCCTTCTTGGGCACCGGCATCAGCAGTGCAGCAGTGCAGCAGCATTAGCATGAACTTCAACATGAGCCGGTTGGTTTGGTTCCCCGTCCAGAGACCCACGCTGGATGAGGAAATTATTCCTGTTCTCCATTCAACTCAGGCCCGCCCTTGTCCGTCAATTCAGCACCCACAAGAGGGGCTCGAATAGTTTTGCTATATAGTCAAGATCCGCGGTTCGCTGGCTTGAAAAGTCCCCACAAGAGGCAGGGTGGACAGGAGCAAGAAATATTTCCTTACCGAGTATGGGATCGGTATGGCTACGGCAATTCGCCCCATGCATATATATGCACACTCAGAAGGCCGATGGCACAGCGCCGATAGCTCTAATTCTCAACTCAGAAGGCCCGAGGGCCCCGCAGAGGAGGTCGCCCGATGTCTTCTCATAACCTGTCTTGTCTTGACCACGTTGCCTCCTTTATTCGTACGCATAATACCACGGAAGCGTTTTCGGTTGGGTGTGCGCTGGTGCCCCTCCTCCGCCCCGCTAATGCTGCCTCCGCAAGGCGTAGCTTGGGGCATTCATCCTCCCTGATTTGTGCTGGCAAAATTTTTGCGAAGGGTAATCCTCCTCACCCTGATGGGGAGTCAAGCCCTCGTGGTCAGCTAAAGTCCGTGCAAACAGACAGATCTACTTTGTACGCCTCTGACAAGGATGATTGTGATGGTTTATTAGTCGCATGCTGGTTTCAATCCCTTTTTGAGGGCTTATGTTGCTTCTCATCAAGGCTCGAGTCAGGGGTGCTGCTTGGAGGTGCTCTTCCCCGGGTCACTCTGCGTCTCGCGTGGTCACTGGTTTCCGTTGGTGCTTTCAGCCTTTCACATAAATTTATTACTTGCGCCAAATCCGCGGGCATGCCCGTATGTCCGAAACCTATGCGGCAATATTGCACCAACGAAAAGTTGCGATATGAGGTACAGGTAGCCAATGCACCGTACGGCGATAGGATAGGGATGACAATGAAGGCTGGGGGCTTGGAACTCCTGTAAGCGCCTAGCCACCTCCGCTGCAAGTTTCAATAGCTTTGGAACGGTGATTATACACCAGAGTATGACAGATTACGTGCAGATCCCCTGCTCAAGTGATACAACAGGGCGGCTTTCGTGGCCCCGGAGACTATTGCTCCTATTGCACAAGAGATCTGCCTTGTGCTCTACAAATACGGACTTGATTTCTAGCAGTCCCACACTCCATCCGGGCCGCAAGTTAACGAGCAGGCCGAAAATGCTGGCCCGCATGCGAAATATTCTTTTAACCAGTGCCGCAGGCGTCCCAGCGCGAGACACGCTTACTCCAAAAACGAGCTGAATAGTTTATGCAGCAGGGGGCTTTGGGCTCCCATACACAGCAGGATACCATAGAATATGTATGGCCAAAGGCAGCGGGAATAACGCAACCGATACTGACTACATATCCAATGAAATGGCACGATTGCGGAATCAACGGCCCGCACGTATACCTGATACTGTGAAAAATATTGTCAACACCCTTCCTTCAGAAACCAGGGTTTCTTGAGCCTGGAGGACCTTCAGATTGAGAGTGCCAGACTCAGAGGCTCTGCGGGTCTGCAGGCCTGCAGGCCTGCAGTCGCCCACCCACAAGGACATGCGCTATAGTACTCGTATAATCTAGTACAACACCGCTCAGCGAACGATATCTTTGCGGTTCTCCGCGCATGAAACTAACCCTACTTAACGGTTTATACCGTTCTTACTTAGCTGGCGACAATCCCAGCAAAGGTCCAAGTTATCGAGCAAGAATCTGCCTGGCTGCTTCTGGCGCTGCTGCTGGTGTGAAAATGGTGCCTTAAACAGTTGAAGGTCGGGGTAGCCCGAAGGCAACGCCCACTCCAGCAATACTAACATTCGCGTGTTGTAAACAAGGCTACAGTGCGAGTAGGTTACGAGGGCGAGCCTTGATTCACGTTGCATATGCCATGCTTCCTTTGCGTATACATCGTTCTCTCCGAAATACATTTTCCCCCCCGATTTCGACAATCCTATTGCTACTATCATCCCTCATACATTAAAATTTCTCGCTCGCATCTCTTCAATGACCCCTTAACCTAATAGTACCACCCTAAGCACAGAAAGGGGACGGAAGGCATACACGGAGATCCCCATTTAGCAGCGGGATTAAGACCAATCAACCGCTCCACCCTGGCCAGGAGGGGGAATAGAACCAAGATAACCCAGTTTATTTGTTAAGAGAGGAATATTAATGGATATAGAATGGTGCCCTGGAAGGTAGGTTTACGTGAATTGCTGAGAGCAAGGTTTGTTATAGCTATTATAGTGATAGTTTGTAATTGAAGAAGTAAAGAAATTGAGTTTTAAGCGGCTGTCCTAATAGGCGCTAGCTATACTAGAGAAAGCCTGGTTCTTTGCCTCTTAGAACTTGTTGAGATTTGTGTGTGATCCTGCTTAAGCCTGGGTCGACGAAGAAACATCGGAAGGTTCTCCAGTCGGCTGATCATGCAAATTTGATTTGTGGGTTTGAATAGTAGAAGTTTGTTTTGGGATTTTTGTATTGCATGAACAATACCTATTTGAAGCTTTGGGATTTAGTTAAGCAACAAAGGACTGTATCTTAGTTAAGCAATTTTGGGGCTACAGCATTTATTTGTACTCCAACGATCCTACAATTAATATGTCCTTTTATTGTAGTTAATTGCTATATCCCAATTTTATATTATTTTGCATTGCCGGTGTTCAACCATAAATTTCCGTCTTCTTTATTGCCAAAATAACACCTGTACAAAGTAATATTTAACCATACGATCTCCCTACCTAAGTAGATCCGAACTCAGAAGCAGCGCTCCTCAAGTCCCTCGATCCGCCAGGCAGTCGGCCGGCACAACCTCGCCACCCAACCCTCACTTATATCTTCAAATAAACAAAAACCATTTAAATACAACCTAACTCTTTAAGATACTCCCCACAAGTATCACATGACACCTCATATCGCAGAGAAATATAACTAGGTCTAGCGACAACTACGAAACGGCAGAGATTAGTTGGGTGTGGGCAACGAACTCTTTTGCCATTTTCACCTTCTGCAATTTTTTATATATATTAAGGAGGAACCACAACCAATTTTCTTTGACAGATTGCTTATTCGCTACAATGGCCCCGCTAAAAGAACATTATGAGACCACATTAACATATCTACTATTTTCGAGTTGGTAGCAACATATCACGTGACAAGGTAAATATATATTTTGCACACGTGATTATCTGGTAAAATTCGAATTCTTCCTCAAGGTATTTTCATCATTATCAACAAAACTAATATCGTGATCATGGGAGACCAAGATAAAACCAAGCCCAGGAGGCATAAGAAGCGGAAGTCAAGGACTGAAGGTGTGTCATAGCTGTTTTATGATTAGGGCCTTCAAGCTGATGTTATCTCAAGTGTCCTCGGACAGTGATAGCGAATATGAGAAGGAGCCTGAGCAAGTCGACTCACAACCTTCGCCACAACCGCAACCGCAACCCTCTAAACCGGTCAGCACCTTATCAACTTGAAACCCACAGCACCATGGACCTTCTAACTAATGAATTATTTAGGTCATTAAGCAAAAACCCAAAATCTCGCCTGAAGCAGAGACCTCCGCAGCCTTTACTAGTTTCTACATGCAACGGGCCACGACGGAATTCGCTGAGGATTTAGATCGTGTGAGAGGAGCTGGGGATTTTAAGGGTGAGGCGCTTGGGATTTTGGTTGATGCTTTAAAGCAGGGTACGACCGTATTTTCACCGGCGGAGCAGCGACGGATTGTCAATGCTGGGAAAGCGGCGGGCAAGGATTTGGGTGATGAATGAGGGGAAGAAGTACGCGGGAGCATCTTCTACGACTATTGAAACCTTGTGTTCACGATGCAAATGAGAATTATAATGAAGAGGTAACGGCCATTTGCCAGTGGTTGGTGTGGGTACTTCTGATTATACAGCACATTTTTAGGTGGGCTTTGACGATACCTCCAAGAGGATACGCCAGACCTGCGGAACCGCTTCTAGAGTCGTTGCTCTAGGCCTCGAAATAAACCACCTATTGGAGACTATTTTGACCCCTTGTGTTGATTAGCAATATTCCTTCGCTCCAAACATTCTGGCGGACCGCGTCGTCGATAACCCTTATTGCAACAAGGTGTTGCCAGCAGACACCATTTCGGAGGAATTCAATGGCATCCTTTGATTTGGCCCTAAGAGCGCCCCATTCCCTTTTGTGGCAATACTATGCTTTTCCTATCACCCGCATTTGTTTTCTCCCACGTACCTGTTAGAACCATAGCTGTAGTTCCTCCATCACCTCTCCGCGAACCCCCTAGCTCTGGTTTTGTAACATTGAGTGCTTTCGAAAAGATTGAAGAAGAGCATATTCCCTCTTATAATCTAGAAGATTATTGCCCAGATTATATTGGGGAGCTTTCTATATCTAAATATCAGATTGTGGCAAAGCTAGGATTCGGTGTGAATTCTACGGTCTGGTTATGTCGAGATTGTGAGCACGGGTTGACCTCATTGTATCTGGATTATCAATGCTTGCGCTAATTTATCGACGGAGAGCAACGATATATCACACTTAAGTTGCGAGTCCGGACAAAATAGCTTGATCCTGAAAACTAGCAAAGCGATTAGTCATGGCGATAATAGGTTGGATATGAGTTGATTCTGTTGAATCGAGACATGGAATTTTCTAGAAGGCGTACACTTGTTCTTCACACGGAGAAACCAACTATTAGATGATGAGCAGCACCTCGCGGAGATGGTAGCGCTTATAGGCCCTCCGCTTCCTAAATTTCTTCAAAGAACCAAAAATGCCAAAGCGAATATGCCAGCATTACTGGGATGGTCGAGGTATTTCGCCCAAATCCTCTGGCCGTCCCTGAAGATTTATAGTTCGCTCCATGTTAGGAACTGGAAAGGCCCCATCCTACCTAGTCCACAAGCAATCGCTCGAGTTCCGCGAACGTCACCTGGATGATGACGGCCAGACTCTCTTTTTACAGTCCATGCGGGGGATGTTATGTTGGCTACTAGAAAAGCGACTTGTTGCTGGGGAGATGGCTTTCGACGATTTATTGCTGCAATTAGAAGCTGCCTCGTGAGTAAACATCGAGGACAAGGAAGGAGACCATCTTAAAACTGGAAATGCAGTCGCCAACCCCGAGGACGCAACGCCGGGACATGGTGGCAAGGGAGCCGCATAAGGCCGGAAACATTGAATTCGCCGCATGATCAAGCGCATCTTCACTCAAATCCTCGCCGGAACCCTCCAACAACCCCAAGAAGCAACCATGAGACAAATACCTAGAGCAGCCCAATAATAGATCAAGGAGTACAAGAACGCGAGCGTTTGGAAGTCTGGAAAAATGCAGTAATGCAGTAACATATGGGGAGATGAAGCAAGTAAAGTCGGTCAGGAGGATAGGAATGCTTGGAAAACAGCGACACTGCGACAAGGGTCATGATATGGGAGTGATTGCATGGTGCGGAGCGTATCACTTGTTCTATACCTAGGTAGTTCACTTTGAAGGCGACGGAGGGCTGGTTTAATACCAATGGCGTTTTAATTTTGAATTGAGAGGCTTTCTTCGAAACGTGAAAGCAAACTTGATTGGCACTGTCCCGTTCTCCCAAGCTTCAAATTCCCCGACACTGCATTTAAGCAGCAATCGTGACTTCAACCTCAACACCAGCCTCGATGTTGATGATGATCTGCTTGACAACCTCTGTTGGGGCGTTGAGACTATAACTAGTTAGGGCCCGTACCAACAAAACCATACGCCATCTTCTACTCACTCAATCAATCGCTTGTGGATTCTCATCTCAAAAGTATCCCAGGTCTTTGATCCTTCACCGCAAGGGGTCTTTCGGGTGGTGATCTTGAGGGTCTTGGTTGGGAGGCGGACAGGGCCCTTGACGCGGAGGTCCTTGGACTTTGCGCGCTCAATGAGCTCCTGGCAGACCTTCTCGAGGGATTGGACCTTTCGGCTGGTCAGGGTAATTCTGATCTTGTGTTGCTTCTATAGTAACGATGTATTAGCTCCCTGCCGTGTAAAATATTATTGAAATGGGATTTTATGCGACTCTTCCTCCCCCGCAAAATATTATTTGAAAGGGAAGTTGCGGAACTTACTGGGCCCTCGCCGAACTCCTTCTCTGGCTTTTGGTAAGACATTTTTGTGGGTGAGGTTTTTCTTCACGACTCGAACGGTCAGTTACGGCAAAGTGATGAAAAAAAGGTCGGGTTTCGTTGGTCGACTTGGTGCGATGGAGAAAGATGGAGATCGCGATAATTTTGAATCGAGATGTGGGATGAAGTCTTGGCGTCACCGTAAGCGAGAAACGTTCTGATTGGCTGCACAGCTTTTTCAGCCTCGCCGCCAGACACGAAATGGCAAAACATCGGCACAATGCCCGTCGGCGTGAGTCAGCAAAGGAGGCGTGCAATGCGGCATGTCGCTCTTATCAACTTTGTGTCCTGAGATATAAAGGTGGGAGTGAAGGGCCTGGGCAATATCAATGTTATGTCAATGACTTGCTTCACGGCTACATACAGACCTCTCTAAAACCCTGTTTCCAACTCCATCGATAACACCAAGGCGCCACTTCCATCCTTCGTCTGCCTTTTTGAGAATCATAAGCATGGCTACAAAGTCGTCGAGTCTCCCTCCCTTGGCACCTTTCCCAGAAGCAGCATGGAGAGATCGCCTGGTCCCCGCGGAATGGGAAGCTTGCCTTGATGCCTGGATAAGCATTGCGGGAGCACACTTATCGTTATCAGTCACACAGTTCACGCAGGTTTCAGTTAAGGATGAATCTTTGCCAGTCTTCCTGGCCTCTTACTTTGCAGAGATAGCCAAAGCTCATGAAGCCACCTACTCGGTAGACAGCTCTAAGGCGCAGTTGTTACGGAAACAGTGCTTTTTGCTATCCTACCGAATTTTGGATGCTGGTCCGCCACCTGAGGCCTTGGTTGACTGGCAGTTCCTTGCGGACCTTAGCAAGGTCTATGGCCGACGCCAGAGCGCAAAACTCATTTCAATGGCCTGGAGAAAGTATCCTTCCAAAATAGAGGGGTCTTTAGGTCCAGTCAAAATATCCTTGATCAAAGAGCTAGATGCTGGGTTGAAGGGTGATCTGAAAACAGCAGAGCTTCAGCTCAAACAGCTCAATCATCTTCTACACGCATCTTCTCAGGCCGCTATATACTTCATGGCAGGCAGCGACTTTCTTGATGCTCTCATAACCTGTTACAAGATTATGAATCCTCCGTTGCGAAAGGTAATTATTTCAACAACCTACCTTTGCTTGATTGGTCTTACGGACGGCGAGAACCCTAATTTCTCTTCCCTTGTTGACCAACTCTACTTCTTGAACAGTGCTGGGGAAGCACATAAGGCGGGTCCCACGAATGTCAACGATTCCCTTGTTGCTGAGTTGGTTACTGTTAGCCCTGTTTTGAAACAAGTCCAGCAGCGGATCGAAGAAAGCGGGACTGGGTCCAGCAGAGCGAAATCTGTTCTCAGCTCGTTGGAGAGATTTAAGAAACCTGGCGGTTTCCAGAGACGAGCCAGACCTGTTAAGAAGAAAATCGATAAAGGGAAAGGCGTTGCGAATGGTGCAACTGATGATGAATACGGGCATGGGTCATATGGCCAGATTCACGTCCATCGTATGAGTCTGATTTCTCAAGTTCAGGATTTGTTCCCCGACCTAGGTTCAGGCTTTATTGTGAAGTTACTGGATGAGTATGGCGATGATGTAGAGCAGGTGATAGGTCATCTTCTGGAAGACTCATTGCCTACACATCTCCAGAGTGCTGATCGATCCGAATCTCTGTACGTATTATTATCAATGTTGTCGATAAAAAGGAAAGCACTCTGACAAAACCTAGAAAAACAAACCACCAACCTTCAAGTGACCTTGTGCCTAATCTAGCGCCTCGCTCGACACCTCCACAACTCCCTTCACGTCGTAACGTATTCGATGACGATGAGTTTGATCAGCTCGCAATAGATGCTTCAAAACTACATTTCGGCCGCCGAAATCCAAATCAAACAGCGGATGACGTTCTCCAAGACAAGTCAAATGCTCCAAACAAAGCTGCCATTCTCTCCGCCCTTGCAGCCTTTGATTCCGACGACGACGAGCGTGACGATACCTACGATGTCGCGGACGTAGGAGGAACCGTGGATTCAGCAGCATCAGGTAACAAACCCGAAGAAGCAAATAACGAGGTTCGAGATGCCCAAGATGAGGCTCTATTCCGAGCCTATAAAATGACGCCAAGTTTATTTGCCCGCGACGCTGCTACACGTAGGAGTAAGCCTAGATTTGCTCTAAAAGAGGAGCTGAACATGACGGATGAAGCTATTGAGGGATGGGCCGTCGTGCTTCAACGAGATTCTAGACAGATGAGGCGACTGGAACTCAAATTCTCGACCTTTTCTGGTCAGCAGAGGGAATTAGCGCCGTCTTCGTGGCGGGATACACCTGCTGGTTCTGGTACTGAAGACTCGGATGCTGATGGGAATGCCCGGGGCAGAGGGGGATTTAGGGGCTCGGGTGGACGTGGAGGGCGAGGTCGCGGAAGGGGACGTGGAAATGTCGCTGGACCTACTGGGGATAAGGATACTGAAGTTGCCCGGAACCGGAAAGAGGCAAATAAGGGATCGAGGGCTAATCATAATCGGAGGGATCAGAGGGCGAAGAAAATGGCTAGAGGGGGGTTTCCTGGCTGAGATCACATGCGGAATCTGAGTTGAGAGGAGAGATCCCATAACCATGGCTTGGGCACACGGTTGATTGGCACCTATTGGTAAGGTGGATGGGATCATATTCACGAAGAATCGAAGTCAATCACTTAGATTGTGAATAAGCCAACGTGTTTGTCTAGATTGCTACATAATATTTATGGCGACTAGATAAATTGATATCCTAATTCCCTAATATGCTCTTAACATACTACTTCCAAGTTGTACAAATCCATGAGCCCGAAATCAATACGCCGAAACACATATATCAGTGGCCATATCAGCCACGTCCCCATTATCAATACAATATCGGTATCTCATACAATATCATCACAGGTCATACATAAATATAGAACATTAAATGCAATAGATGGCCAGGACCTATACTTAATCAACCTCCCAACTACCGCCAGTTTCGGTGGCGTGTGTTTTGCGTGACCGAGACGGAGCTTGAGGAGGGGTGAGGCTGATTCCATAATCGTCCTCAGCCCACGCCCCTCCCGAATATTCGTCTTCAAAGTCCCAAGAGACTTCCCCATATCCAGAAAATAGAAAGCCTCTCCACTCCCCAGCGGCAATCTTAGACGCTATGTTGAGCATCAAGTGAAGCAAGTGGCTCGGTGGACTGAGGAGAATTTCGCAGGTTTTCTGCACAATTGCGGTAGGAAGATGGCGAGCCGTTTGGAGACGTCGCGGGCGTCGTCTAGTAGGGGAAAAGAGATTGACGGCAGGAGGCAATGGTGAGAGTTCTCGTCTACAGGAGTTATTGCTGGTGGTGGCCCGATGTCGAAGACTTGGCTTGGTGGTCGAGGGTGTAATAGCCTCAATTCGCTCCTCGTCCGACTTTTCGCTTAGATCGACAAGTAGAGGTGGCGTTGTTGGTGGAGGCGGTGATGAGCTCAACGATTCTGTCTGCTCATCATTAGGCATCGTTGGACTTTCCCACGCTCCAGGAGTTTGTGGGGAAATGGTGAGGTCTGCTGGCCGACGGGCACCAGCGCGTTTTGGGAGCACAATATCGTCGAGTGGATAAGGATGTGTAGAAGAACTGGCAGGGGAAAGATCACTCTCTGGTGACGGGGGATCCAGAGGAGAATGCCATGATTGAATGGAGTGGAAGGAGTCAACACTAGATGAAAAGCCAGAATCTGATTCAGCTACTGTTGAGCCTGTAAGATTTGAGTTGCTGCGACGTTTTGAAGGTGGACTGGTTATAACGGATAGTACAGGCGGAGCTGTAATCGGTCGGCTACAATTTTGCAACGCAGGTGGTCGACCTTTCGTTTCTGGGTCTAAAACTAGGCGTTGGAAAGTCGGGGCCGAGTGAGTCGTAGGTGTGATATTTGTATCATCTGTGGCATCACTAAAGCTATCGCTATCCGTAGCTTCTAGTCGATCGCCACCTGTGCATACAGGCTGGACAGCTAGGCATTCCAGGGGTGATGGGGCTAAGGTGTTAACCTGCCGAATTTCCTCCTCCTTACCAGACGGTTCATCGGTTGAGGGCGAATAGCGCAGTTCTCCAGGTGAAACGGTTGGAGAACGAGGGAGGCGAGAAATTTCGGGTTCTTGAGCCTTTGCCCATGATTGAGACTCTGGGAATTGAGATAAAGACGGCGTCGAAGGCTGTAGAGAATTGCGAGGTCGCTTGGTGGTAGGAGTTCTAAAAGGTGATGTAGGAAGAGGCTGCGTTGGAGGAGAGTCCACAGTAGTTGAAACCAGAGCGCTGTCCTCTAGGTTCAATGATCTTATGGCAGCGATTGCAGTTTGAGGTCCCTGTACCGGCCGCCATGGACGTTTCTTGACAGGTGTTTGTGGTGCTTCGGGTAGTTCGACAACAAAGTCTCTTTGGAACGGACAAGGGGTCTTTTCAAACAGTAATATTTTCGAAAGTATTGCTTTGAGTTCCTCTATTGTTGTTTTCTCCTCGGCAGTGGTGTTAGGCACCTCAATGCGCCAGTACTGAGGGCGCCGTATCTGAAGAACGAATTTGCTGTCTCCGTCTACACACCATGACTGTGACTTCGGTAATATCGGTTGTAGAGCATTTGCACAACTCAAGAATGCAACAGACCCGGGAGCTCGATATATTCGTAGTGGGCCTGCAACCAGAGAATTTAGCTGATATTCAAGGACGACAAACGTGCAATGGATAAGGAGCAAATGGGAGACGGTAGACTTTGGCTCAGAGAGTCAATAAACAGCAGCGCTGTGCCAAAAGGCTCGACAGCCTAGAAGCAAAGCATTCCAAGGAGTATGCCCAGCGAAATTGTATTCCGGAACCGCTAACTAGCCCTATGTCTATTCATGATCGAAGAAAATCGATACGTACCAACAGCGATTGTCCTTTCAGCCCTGGATACCCACGGCAATGTTCCGGGCTCGTCCTCGACGATAGGACTCCCGTAACTCAAGCTGGTTCGCCTGGCAGAGTTGGTGGAGGTGGTGACAAAGGCGACTATGCGGACGGAGGGTAGATTGTACAGGATCTCGACCTGCGGATCCGGCGAGGAGGGGCCTTTTGAGTTCGAGGGGGGCAGACTGAACGAGCGGCGAACGACGGGACTCGACGCGGAAGCCATTGCAAGTTGGGTAACTTGCTGCTACCGGGTGACCATGGCTGGCAAGCAGCGCGACGAGGGATTGAGCTGCTCTGCTCTCGAGAATTCGTAATATGGATGTACGTTGATGTGTTCGTCGATGTCCTCTGCGCAGAAACCCCACTGTGAAGTTGTACTCCGTGCGTAGTGGTGTTGCTGGAACGGAGAACAGGCTGGTAAAGGCGAGACGCCGAGCAGGGAATGTGAAGCTCGCCAGGCTGCGCCACTGGGATTGCAATCGCGAATCGAGGATTTGGAGTGCGACAAAGGATCTGCAAGTTGCGAATTGCAAGCTACTCTATAAATTGTCGGTGCAATGGACGAATTGCCATTTCACTCGACGCGTTTCCTCCAACAACAAACACCAGGACCCTCGGGGCCGTCCCGAGCCGGAGAAGCTCGCGGAATCACGTGCTAGGCCTTGGTGTGGTGGGAGGCTGGGACAACTACGAAGTGCTACGTAACTTATTAAACGCTCCGATAACCACCTAGGTATCTACCCATCTTAGACCAGGTACCTTAAACCATATCATATTTTGGGCATGCGGAATCTCTTCATTTTGATAACGAGGCTCTAAATCTTATAAACGTACCAAACCTCCAAAACCGACCATGGCACAGCGACCACCCCTAAACCAAGAACGACTCAAGAAGCAGCTCTCGATTTCAAACTTTGAGCCGAATGCAATCATCCGGGGTGCTCAATTAACCTTAGTAGGAGGTTAGTGCTCAAGAAATGAATCAATGATGCTCTTTTACTTACCAGTGCTAAGCTCATCGCGCCCTGCAAAACCCTGCGCTCTTCACTTCGTCACATTACAAGCAAGCGGCTATAGCTGTTGCCGTCGGCATCGGGATCCGCCTTGCCATATCTATTCCTGTGAGGGCCACTTAAACATTTTGTCAATTGTGGTGCTATTCCTAGGCTAAACTGTAATCATTCTGTAGATTATCGGAATCAAGGTTCTACTATGGTTTCTCTCGTTTATTGTCAACTTCGACCATGTCACATGGGATGATACGATCGTCAATAGCCTAGATTTCATCCAGAATTATGTGCTTCAAGTTCCATTCTTTCTTATGACATTAATGAGATATGTTACACCGACGTTGGACAACATGTAAGCACCCCAGTCCCGAATTAAAGTCAATATTAACAACGGTAGGTTCATGGACTCGTAAGCACCTATCCACTATTCCGTATATTCAAATGCTTACTTCCCTCTTGTGTGGCTTGGGTGGACAAAACATATGTAGGTGACCTTGGGAATACTTATCCTCATCATCCTTGTTTTCTAGCTTACCGCATGACTACTCGAGACGTATATCATAATATGGATAGCAGCTTACTCCCCACCCAACGAACCTTTTGACCAATTGCTAACGATCTGGCTTTAGTATGACAAGCACGAGGCCGAGGACCCCTCAAAATTACGGGCCCCCTACTATAATAACCTTCGGAAATATAGTATTCGAGACGGAAGTACTCATTCCAAGAGCACAGTTGAAGCCGTTACGATGTTCCTGATGCGATTCGGCAAGAAGGCTGGAATCTCTCTTGCAATCTTCGCTCTATCATACGTTCCGTATGTGGGACGTCTGGTTTTGCCTGCTGCCAGTTTTTACACTTTCAATCGAGTCGTAGGTCTCGGACCGGCGGCAATCGTCTTCGGAACTGGCATCCTTTTGCCTCGCAGGTACCTCGTGATATTCCTACAGAGCTATTTTGCCTCGCGAAGTTTGATGAGGGAGTTGCTCGAGCCATACTTTTCTCGGGTACGCTTTACTAAGGAGCAGAAGAGACAATGGTTCCGTGATAGGGAGGGGGTTCTCTTTGGATTTGGAGTTGGGTTTTATATCTTCCTACGGATTCCCCTTCTGGGGGTCCTCATCTACGGGATTGCTGAAGCATCAACGGCATATTTGATCACTAAAGTGACCGACCCGCCTCCACCACCAGCTGAGAGTGAGGGATTTGCGGCAAACCAGCAGCAATGGAAGAACAAGCATGAGTTTTTGAACCTAAGTCTGACCGACATCGACAGCGCCAGAATTTCAACGCACAGTCAAGCTGCACAATCCCCCATTGGCGCTCAAGGAAGTTCCTCGGGGGTGCCGTCTGAGCCTCCACCCCCTTACACGGAGATTAGGTCAAGATAAAGATACGGATATAGATAGCTAACACGACTAGCGGCCGGTTCTACGGACGTGCGGAACTCTTTTCCTCTAAAGATGGGGTTGAAATATTTTGATATCTAATAATGCGATGGTCGACAGGACATGGAGGTGGTACTTGGTACTCGTGATACATCATATCGAAAATATTGATGCATGTAGCCGAATGAATGTCGCCCATTGGGCTATATAACACACCAAGCCCAAGACAAGACACAACCCCCTCATTAATACGGTTTGGCAGCTGCGGGGGGAGGGCTGAGGGATGAGGGCGATCGCCATTTAGGAAGTTTGTGGCAGGGCACGGCCGGAATGGAGGCCGGAATCGTTCCTGATAAGAGAGGGGTCTGCTCTAGTCCTTATCTCGCCTGCACCAACCACTATCAGTGCCTCTGACGTTGATATGTATTACCTTATTACCAACTCTATCCCAATCAATCAATGTCCATGCGGGGAAACCCAAGGTTCCATTATTAACAGCCATCCGGTGCATTTATTATTCCTTCTTTCCTTTTCATTCCCCGATTGATCTGTCTTCTCTTCTCTCACTTCATCAATTGTCTATCTCTAATTATTGAATTACCTCGTAATTAATCAACAGTTTCCCGCCTCTCAATATGGGACTAACAGAGATCCGAAAAGCGTGCGAGGTCTCTCTAGATATTCCTGCCGAACAGCAACCCAAGCTTCACAATCGATGGCATCCAGATATTCCCTTTGCCGGAACTATTAAAGATGGCGAGACAGTCAAGATTGAGTGTGCAAGTACCCCTCATTTCGGAAACCATGCCTCGAAACTCTAACATGGCCATATAGGTGGACTGGACCGGAGGGCAAATTGGTAAGATATCCTTACCGAGACGACTTCGACTACTTACATGTGTGTAGGAAATAATGACAGCGCGGATGATATGAAGAATGTCGATCTCACCCGTATCCACTATCTTTCCGGGCCGTTTGAGATAGCGGAAGCAGAGCCTGGAGATGTCTTGCTTGTTGAAATTATGGATGTGCAGCCGATGGAGAAGGCACCATGGGGATTGTGAGTATACCTCCTCGCATAGATTATCTACACCATGCTAACTATATCCTAGTACTGGTTGGTCGTATGAATGACCATAGATGTCCCGCTGTTGACAATCTTTTAGGAGTTTTTGATAAGAACAATGGCGGTGGATTCTTGGATGAATTATATCCCACTGCGTACGTTGCTACTCTCTTTGCATCTGTATTACTAGCTCCTCCCATATATTGCTTTCACATGTTTGACTTAACCCAATCTCCGGACCATTTGACTAACATAGTTACGGTACAGAGCCAAAGCTATCTGGGACTTTGAGGGCATATATTGTACATCTCGCCATATTCCTCACGTTAAATTTCCGGGTCTCATCCATCCTGGAATATTAGGCTGTGCACCTTCTGCAGAAGTTAGTTCCTTCATCCCACTTAGCAACGATAACTTGCATACTAAAACCTCAGTACAGGTCTTGGCCGAATGGAACAGACGTGAAGGAGAGTTGATTGCGGCAAATAAACTCGACCGCATCGTTGCTCAGCCTCCCAACGCCAAGAACGTTCATGCAGGCAGTGCTTCCGCCGAAATCAAAGAAAAAGTTGGGCGTGAGGGTGCCAGAACTATTCCCGGTATGTTAATTATATCTAAAGTAGATAATTTAAGGGTCAACTGTACTGATAAGTCTCCAGGTCGACCGGAACATGGAGGAAACTGTGATATTAAGAACCTTTCTCGTGGAAGCAAGATCTATCTTCCAGTTCATGTAAAAGGCGCCAAATTCAGTGTTGGTGATCTCCACTTCTCTCAGGGCGATGGTAGGGTTTCCGGGCCAGATTTCATCCTTCTTGTCTTAAGACTTTTAAGGAGAGAAACTAATAGCTTCTCAGGTGAAATATCATTTTGCGGCGCTATCGAGATGGCTGGCGTGGTAAGAATCCTCTCCATATAATTTGTATTTCTCCAACTTCGTACTGATTTATGCCCAGGTTACTATGAATTTCAAGGTGATGAAGAATGGCGTTGCAGACTTAGGAATGAAGTCACCTCTCTATCTCCCCGGACCAGTGGAACCTCATTACGGGCCTGGTAGATATTTGACATTCGAAGGATTCTCTGTGGATGAGCACGGGAAGCAGGTGCGCGCTCATAACCTCCTTTCTTTTCGAGTTACAAAAGATGCTCAATCAATTATGCTAACGACTCTGTTTACAGCATTACATGGATGTCACAGTTGCATACAGACAAACAATCTTGCGTGAGTTTACACTCTATCACAACTCATTAAACATACCTAATCCATTCGCTTTAAAATAGGCTGCATCGAGTATCTCCGTCGTTTCGGCTACTCCGACTACCAAGTGTACCTCCTACTCTCGTGCGCCCCAGTCCAAGGCCACATCGCCGGCATTGTCGACATTCCAAAGTTCGTCTACCCCAGTTTCCCTTTTCCCCTTTTCCCCTTCATTCCCTCTCTCCCTATTTTTCTTTTCTTTCTTACCCTTATATTAACTCTTATCTACAGTGCCTGTACAACTCTCGGCCTCCCCATGGATATTTTCGACTTCGACATCTCCCCCAAAGGTCCAGTGACGAAAATGGACATGGGAAACTGTGCCTATGAGACAGGTGTCACGGAGGGCAAGATTACAAGTGGTGGAGAGAATAGCGAGATTTCTTGGGGTGGAGGCTTGACTTATAAGAAATGAGTGAGGAAGGCGAGGGATTGGTAACTGAGTAACTGAGTAACTTGTGGATAATATTAGGAGGGAAATATTGTGCATATCTGTTATTTAATTGTCTATGGAGGCAGGAAATAAATGGATACCACACGCTCATAATAGCATAACCCTCTAATATCCTTCCTTGCTCCTTTCCATTACTACGCTCTCCTTTTCCCCTTTTATCATCCAAGTCTCTCTCCAAATGCCCTATAACTAGCAGCCTATTAATACGCCAGGTAATTATCTCAATGTCCGAATACCTCGCTATTTTTGGTATAAGACGGGAGGGAAAGCCAAAACATGAAGCCCCTTTTCTGCAGACAAGGTGGGGGAGGACGCTATATTTGTAGCACCTCTCACATAAAACGGATCGCACTTGCTCACTCACAGCACAATATCGATTACCAAAAAATACCATTAAGCTCTACCATCGTATGTAGTGCATTTCCTCCATCATTAATCCAAATACCTGCTCTTTCAGAGCGGAGAAACAAACATCCTATCAACCAAGTAATCAGGGGGTATTCCCAAGACCTGCACCTATAATGCCTTGCCAAACACACACCGTAGAATCAATCCAGAGTTGAAATTTGAGGATTTCCTTCGCAAGTGTCGATGCGCTGTCCACACCCATTCGTATACTCCACTACGCTACGCCGTTTCCACTCGGCGATATCCAACAAAGGTAGAATTGGTGGCAGATCTACCTTTAATTTTAAGGGCCCAGCCTTTAATAGCTATTACTAGGATGATCCAAGCCATCAGGAGCGTAATGACGCCCATGGAAACGGTGAAGACGAACATAGCGTCAAGATCGTAACTCTCCAATGAGGTTACCGTGTCATGGGACTGCAAAATGTTAGTTCCGACCCCTAAGCTCAGAGTATGTCCATATGAGGGGGAAACTTACGCTAACCATGAATATCAACCCACCAGCCATCAGGCAGAAAGCCGTAATCAACTCCGTCGGCGGTCTCCCAGGTAAAACCGAGGTTGGGGGGGAGATATAAGAGATGATGTATGTTGCTGCACGCGCAAATGCTGCTCCGACGAGGAGAATTCCCCATTGCTGGTGAATCATGGAAGAGAACATCGAGTGTTGGTGGTGGGAACTCATCATAAGGCCCAGGAGAAGGATGATTAGAGCCGGTATGGGATTCATGGAAAATCTGTAGCTCTTCGGTTCTAGTAGTTCAAGCTCCTTATTTGTAAGGTTTGAAAGATGCGAATTGGGAGGTGGGCTTGTTGTGTTTAGGAGATCCCGGATCCGTTTTGATTCAACAAGCATGCCACACTGAATAAATTTAGTTCATATGTTGACTCATAGATTGAAGTGGTACTTACGGCTCCGCCACCAATAAACATGACGGTAATAGAGATATGCTCTAGATCTTGAGCAGACCATTCGTTCCCCCAGGCTGCCAGATGCTCGAGAAAAATATTGGTCGAGCCGTAGATGAAAATGAGCAGGCTTTCCACGAATTCCGCCGTCGGTCTACGACTTCCTCTCGACAGGTTAATATTCCATGCCTGGAGAGCGAATCAGCTAATCATCGCAAGAGAAAGAGTGGACTCCACTAACCCAACCAATATCTGCAAAGCTGCCTGCCCACCGCCCTAGTGTCAATATTCCATACCAAAAGAATACCCCGCCCTTGATCCAATGGGCCAGCCCGCTGAAAATTTGAGCACCCATCTAAATAAAAATCAGTACTACCTTTCAATAATTGAAGTATCTCGACTTACGAAGAGGCCACCGTAAGTGACTATGCCCGTTGCAATGCCGATGAACCCCATGATCAATATCACACGATCAATAAAGCCATAGGCAAGCTGCATAACACGGAGTGCCCTCGCAGAGAGCAAACCTGGGATTTTCCTGGAGAAGAACCGGTCTATCCGGCTGCTGGGAATTAGACCTTCCTTTTCGCTATACTCATCTTCCCGCTCTAGGTGAACATCACATAGCTGGTGCTGATCCGACCTAGTCGAAGACGTCGAGTGGCTCCTTAAACGCTCGGTGTCCGGTTCGGTGCCTTGCCCACTATCATTGGAGTAGCGGAAAGTCTCCTGGCCATGCAGGCGCTGGTGCTCTTCCATTGCAGCGGTGGAAATTTGGATGAAAGATCCGCGCTCTTCATGCTTGAGGTCTTCCCTTCGTCCTGCGTATGCGCTTACAAGGCCCATGAGCACATGTGCGCTAATTACCCAAGTTAAGATCCATCCGAGCTTGTGGTGGGCGTTGTTGGGGTAGAGATCAGGCGTGCTTGCGTTATATATGGTGGCTAGGAGCACTCCCACCGCATTGATCGCCAGGAAGACAAATTGCATTGGAAGGCTGTAGTGCGATTGTGCAAGGGACAGCATAACCCCTGGAAAACAGCAGTTAGTATATTGACGTCGCCAAAACTCAACCTTTTCTGCTTTTGAAAAATACGCACCTATTGGCAGAACAAAGACCCAGCCTATTGTCATAAGCACTATATGTGCTACTATCCATCCCGAATATTCGCCATACTGAAAATAACTCTGCGGTCCCGCAGTCGCTTCTGGAGCGACTGTATCTAGAGATAATGTTGGGCGGCTTATGGAAGGCTGGCCCATGTCCATTTCCCTACTGGTATCGTCTCCATGGCCATGGCCATGTACACTTGCTACTAGCGCAAGCCCGAGGAGCAACGCACCTGTGAGCTGCGTGTATTTCTGCAATGTCGGCCGCATGTGTTTCGTTGTTATAGAACGCCCTCAGAGGAAACGGGCCCGGATTGGACGTGGGAAAGAAACCGAGAGCGGCTGCGACTTGGGGGAAATTTGGGAGATGGGAGCCTCGGAGGTCTGTCTATCAAGGCAAGATCGATCTATGGGTATGATGAGGTAACAACGGAAACTCAACAGTCAGGACAAGACCTAAGCACAGCTGGGCCAAGCTACTGGATTTGTATCTGGGTATATATCTAGGTAGATATGTACCTTGTATATATAGGAGCGCAGGGCAAGCAGCAGACAAAAGTCAAACGCAAGAGGAACCAAAACAAAATGTCATACGGAATGACGCGGAAATATATATGACCTATGATCCAATAGTTCGAGTTGCGGTGAAAGACCGAAAGGCCGAGCATGGGAAAGTGAGAAAGTGACAAAGCGCGAGTAAGTTCTGCATTGCATTATTCATGGTAGAGTCATCCGGTGCTGGCGGTCCTGCTGCTGCTATTGGCTGGCAGATGACCTAAAGGCTGGAGGTGGTTCGTTTTGATGTGATTCTGTGTCTGGGCCAGCCGGAAGCGGCGGAATGGGTTGACAAGGCGGGATGACAGCCTTATTAATATATGGCTTGGTATGGCTTGATGTCATTTTGGTGTCTTGCGTCTTAAGATACAGTACAGCAGATACTTTGCTTAACTTGTCCTAGTGCAACATGCCAGTGCAACGGGGAGTGGGTGGGTGCCCTGGGCGGGAAAAGTGTTCTGCTTATCGTCACTCAGCCAAGTCAGCTGTCCATGACGATCGCACTCAGTGGCCGTGGGCCGATGTAACCGTATACTCTCCTGTGCAACAAATCAAAAGAACAAAACCGGGCAGGGCCGGCAGGGGCTCTGCGGAGGTGGCTCCGTGTATTTCTCATGCGTTTGGTCTTTGGCATTGGGACTACAGTAAGCTCCGGAGTAATACATACTTGGTAAGTGGGGGAAGGCTGGCGAAGTAATTTTGTACAAGTAGTTGCCTGGCTTAGCACTGGGGCCTTATTCTTAAGGAATGTGGCAGGCAGTTTCAACTCCCCCCATACTCCGTACTCGGTGCTGTTTCCTCCTTCCACCTCTCCGCCTTTGCTACTACCTAACGAGAGTACTTCACGTCTAGCATTAAAGTTGACTTGCTAAACCACCCTTACTCCGTAGATGCTCTCCTCCCTGGGTACGCCAGGTATTGAGTGCTCGCTATCTAGCCCGACTACCCGACTATCACGTGATACGATCATCGTAAGACTTTTATTTTAAACTCTTGTAGAACAAAGTACAAGAGATGGTATGGTAATTAATTAAAAATGTATGTTGGCCTCCTTTTTGGTAAACATTACACCTCAGGTCCGTCGTTTTTCTTCTGGTCGAATTCCATCAGACTGTGGAGGTACTGTACTCAAGTACAGCACCCAATTCGTTAGCATGCCACCTCCTTTCCTATCCATCGCGAAAAGAAACATCCCAACTCTCCGTAACCAAGCCAACAATACTTCTTTCTTGATCAGCTTACCATGGCTCTACCGATTCGGGGAGCTATGGATGCACTGTCGAAGACTTTGAGAAATCAAATACGCCCATCCAGAGCGATGGAAATGTGACAGAAATACTAACGGGTCTATCTCTGATTAAGCCTGGGGCGCTGATCCCTGCCCGCCTCTTAGGTGTGCGTTAAAGAGGGTCATAAGTCAGCCGGTTTAGGTCAGTTAACTTTAGAATTCGAATTTTACCAGTCAGTCATTTCGTATATATAATTCGGCCTAAACTATGCCCCTTTCGACTTATCTCCACCAGACACCAGGAACATCGAAATCCTCAGCAGCAGGTCACGCAAACGTACCAACACTCGGCGTTGCCCCATCGAGAACAATCATGAAGAACCATTCCGGCTAGATCACGTGCAATCAATTGCACAAGCATCTCCTCAGCTATATAAGCTCTTTTTTTGTACCTACCTATTCTAGCTCTTTAGAAATCTACCAGGTACCTACGAATCTCCCTTTCATTGAATGAATCGTCAAGTTCCGCTTGAATCTGAGCTCGAACCATCTGGGGTCACTTTCAGAAACTTACAGGAAAAGTCAGGTAATTCATGCACCGAGCCATTGAATTCACATGGGTGAATATCACTGCTCCAAGAAGAGATATCATTATCTCATGGCATGCCTAGATTAGACGTTTGAGGAGGTTGTAGGTTGTGAGCAAAGATGGTGAAGTGAAATGGAGGTCGAAAGTATAAGAAGTTGAAGGAAGGAGAGAAGAACTTGACGCAACTTTGAGAAGTCGCATTTCAAGTCGGAAGCACCAGCGCGGAAGGAATATCAAAAGACCGAAGTAGTGAGAAAAAATAATGTCTGAGGCTGAATGGATACTTCTTCCTACTGCCCACATTATTGAAAGGTGTGTTATTCACGCTCAACGATTGAAGAATACTCGATGGAGGTCGTCACCGGTATGACCTCCAGACGCCATAAAACTTTTAGGACCCCGTTGAATAATTTCCATCACTGCATTTGAAGTGGCACATTCCCTGCAGTACCCTCTGGAGTCTCGTTTGCTACATCGCATGTAACTCCGGCACCTGAGCTCTCAGGGGCTTGACGTGCGGAACCTGTATATGCGAGGGCGCCTCAATATATCGGCGATATGTTGCTTTAGGGGAATCTGAAAGAGGCCCAATAGAAGTGCGAAGCCGTTACTGCCAATAAGCTCCGAACAAGGTCTCATTCCTTCTTGACGGACATGTTTACTGCAGTATTAGATTTCTGAGAGTGAAAATTACTCGAGCAGTTATTTCGAATAGTTTCGAATGGGGAGCCCGAATATCCGAATTTCCACGGAAGCGTCTTGAAGGAACTGAATGCAACCATCGAGACGGAACATTGCAGCTTCGCAGTGAACACGACAGTAAGATGACCCCGCCGCAATTCAAAATCTTAAAAGTACTTGCATTGCAGAGTGCCTTTCTGTTATGCGACTGATTTTGTATTGGAGTTGGTGGTGAATGACGAGGATCGAAACGAGACGAGACGGATGAACTGATGTAGCGAGGGTCGAGAAGTGCATCGTGGCGACTTTGAAAGAAGAAACGAACGATGGCTCTTGGAAGCTCGAAGCTCTGAACATCTATTTAAGCTTCTATGGCGTTCAATTTATGTTATTCAAGATCCCCCTTATCATCTTGGTTCCTGGGTGATCTTTTTCGGAAGTCGGTTTAAGGAGATGCATGATCTCGTGTTCAAAGAAAGCCCTACTGCAAAAGCGGGGCTTCCTCCGCCCTTTGAGCGACCCAACAGATATTCAAGCTAAAGAGGATTGAGGCGTCGTGTTAGGAGTGTTCTCTTAAGATTGCTGCTCCCACATGTCTTTGCGGGTCGCAATCGACTAGTCGCATGCCTCTATAGAGAGGGATGTCCTCCAACTGGTCTTTGGTGACAAAGCCAACAAGCAAAATTTGGATGATGTATACGAAAATTGGCCGCTCCTACACTCCTGCTCGGAGATTTCCTGGCGAAAGATCTCTCCGATTCCAATGGAAGTGGTAAATTTCGCATCCTAGAAGTTGGAGCAGGTACGGGCACGACTTGATATATCATAAGCCATCTCAGGAACCATGGAATTGCCTTCGAATATACTTTCACTGATTTGTCAGCGCGCCTGGTTGCCGATGCGAAGAAGCGGTTCAAGGGAGTTGAGGGCATGGCGTTCGAGGTCCTGGATATTGAGAATACACCGGTAGATGAGCATATAAGGGCTTTCCGTAGGATAATCGCCACCAGCTGCACCCATGCAACAAGAAGACTTGATCAGTCACTGTTATACCTTGGTAAGATGCTTCGCGAGGATGGTGTACTGACTCTCGTTGAAGCCACAAAGAACATATTCTGGCTGACATTTCCCTTGGCATATTTAACGGATGGTGGTTATTTGAGGATGGCCGATCGCATGCTTTAGCTGAAACCCATTGGGAGCGGTGCAGGAAAGAAGCCGGGTTTAGAGAAGTGGCATGGACTGATGGGAGTACAGCTGAGGTACAAGCAGTCCCTATCATTGCTGGTTTTCAAGCGGTGCGTACAGAGCTCAAGCTCAAAGGGCGGGCTACTCGACGACGCGGTTGCATAGAGGATCGCTGTAGATGCTAGGACCGAGGATCGCGGTGGTAGAAGGCGGTGAGACGCTCGACTCGGTCTACCCAGCGCTTGTACAGTACTTGTACTTGGGCGGCCAACGGAACGGAAGGGGCCGGGCCGTTGAGAACCTCCCTTCATCCAAGACGCCTCGAAATAACGCAAAATATCTCATTGTAACCCCGGTGAGAGTATGTGCGTACTCGTACCACTTGAGTTGCGGCGATGCCGATTCGGCTGGCCATGTCGCTATCTCGGAAGCTGTGCATTGATGCTGTGGGGTCGTCGATAGAAGAGCCATTTTACAAGGCACAATCCGCTGCTCGAGTAATGCAGAACGAACGACCTTACGGAGTACTCTTCATCGTACTGTGTACGGAGGTACCCGTACTGTGCAAAGATGCAGGAATTTTCTAGACCATCTGCAAAAGAAAAGGCCGTGCCTACGATGCGTTCCGTTGCATTGACGTCAACGGCTTCCTCGGAGGGAGGAGTGAAAGCGAAAGTAACCTGGTGAATGCCTTAACGCACTGGCCTGTCGCCTGCGCCATAATCCATAATTCCACCGTGGCAATATCGAGGAGCGGGGGATTATTATTATCTTGGACCCGCCGGGAAAGCAGGATTACTGGTACGTACATGTATGGTGAATGTAGGGTAAATCCCGTAAATCACCACCCCCTTAAGGATTCCACTCGTAGAGCACAGACTGTTGCGGATAGATCGGGCTGATTGACTAGTACGAATGAGCGAGCTGCTTTCATTCCACGACGGTAAGATCTTGCTTACTTTCCCCAATTAGGTAAACAGTACCAAGAGTAACAAAAGCATCAAAATTATTAATCTCTATTCTAATACTTTGTACATCGACCTTCAGTATCGATTACAGCTTGATAGCGTGCTAGCATACTATGAAACAACTCCTGACAGGCATGTTTCCCTCCCGTATAGGCTTATCCTATGCGTCTTGTACTACCGCCATTAGTAGAGATCGAGTATCGACGCCTCGAAAGCTGTGTTGATTTCTATTACTTAAATAAGTAAATGGTAGGGAAACCCCCTACTAGTGCTGTACGAGCACGAATACTTCACCGATGTACCACCGTATTCTAACTTCTAAAACGCTCGTTAAGAGCATAGACCCCTATGACGCAGCCGCCAACTCCGAGCAGCCCTTGCGGCTCTTCCGACCCATGCGGTAGGGCTACTGTACGTTGTCTGCGGGTACTGTAGTATATCGATAATGTATCCGCATAGTACTGGTAGGGCGTAGTCCCTTGCTTTGTTTGCTTTCCTTAATTAGGTAATAAGCAACAAGAGTATTAAAAGTATCAAAAGTATTAATCTCTATTCTAATACTTTGTAAATCCACTTTTAGTATCGATTATAGCTCAGTAGCGTGCTAGTATACTATTAATTAACTCTTAAAACCTCCACCTACCTTATATTATGCGTCTTATAGTACATCCCTTAGTAGTACAGACTACGTCGCCGGGTATCCGTGGTCACGGAATACTACGGGTTGAGATTCTCATGGCCAAGGGCCATACACGCCTATCAAGATCAAATTCTATCAAACTCTCCGGTTCGAGATCCGGCCATGGAATTGCTTTGCCTCATTGCTAGACTTCACTTGTCTATTAAAGCAGTCTGCTCCCCCTTCGTTTTCTTATCCATCCGCTTCTTAATCACCAGTAGCCATCATTCTCTACTTATTCTGTCGTTAAAGAATCCCTAGTCACCACCGCATCTACTTGCATTCCTCAACCTAAACATACTCTTAATTCCTAGAGCAGTCATTTATCAACTTGAAAATATGAGTCCTTTATCCGCCATACTTGCTTCGCTCCTAGTAGCCAATGGCGCCTTCGCTGCACCCGCTGTCATCGCTCGAGAGACCCCCTCCGGCTTTGACCCAAATAGCTACCAAAAGCAATTCGTCCAATGCAATGCTGTTGAGCGCAGTGGACTTACACCACAGAACATTACGTTGAAGCTGGGGTACCTCGATATTAACCCTACGGCAAAGAAAACTATTGTCATGGTTCACGGTTGGCCCAGTCTATGGACCACGTACCGCAATCAGGTACGTATTACACAGAACATAATCTCGCGGTAGAGTTTCGTATTGATCTAGCCACTAACACGTCGAAGATCGAAGCGTTCGGGTCCGAGTATCGATTGATTATCCCCGAGAATCGTGGCTACGGCGATTCAGAACACCCAAAGGACCTCTACTCGTCTAACACTATGGGCGATGTAAGCAAGGCGATTCTTTCAGCCCTGATATTCTCCACGCTGACCACTTTCGTAAATAGTTTGTCAACGACATTGAATGCATGATGGATAACGCCGGCGTCGCCTCAGGCGTCTGCATGGGCAACGACTTCGGCGCCCAAGTCTGCTGGGAAGCCGGCCTCCTAAGCCCCAATCGCTTCAAAGGTGTCTTTAACGTCGGCGTCCCGGTATGCCCTCTCTCTCATCTCTCCTCCTCTATATATTAACTTCCTGCTAGTTCATATCCTCCGCTCGTGAATTCAAAACCAATGAACAATTTTCCCAAGTCGCCCCCAACCTCGGCTACACTTTCTACCTATCCAATAATGCAACTGGGGCCAGCAAAGAGATGGATGCCGATCCACGCTCTGCTATCCGCGCTTGCGCTCAAATTGCCGCTACTGTCCCTCCTCACGATTTCTTAAGCAGCAAGACCAGTTTCCTAGAACCGTGGAACGAGTGGGAGAAAGAGAACAACGTTACCACGATCCCATTCTCTGGAATCATGAGCCAAGAGGTCGAAGATTATATGGTGGAGTCGTATCAAAAGCAGGGATTTTTCAATAGTAAGACTCTCCTCAACCATATGTCGCCTCCGACAGTTACCCCAGTGAACCATCTTATACCACCCTTCCACATCTGTTTAACTCTCTGCTAGCTTACAATGGCTATCAAGCCAACAACCGCCTCGAAACCTACCTGAACCAGAAAAAGCTCGGCAAAACCAGCCTCTCGCAGCCCGCCTTCGTGCTCTTTCCTACACGCGATCCAGTGGCTAATTGGCATGACTGGTCCCTGCAAGAGGAGTCGTACAAATACTTGGCCAATTTTTATAATGCCGTAAGTGTCTCCAACCTCTCACCAACTCTAGCCTTGTGCCGTGCGAGCGGGCTTTGTGGCGCGTGTTGCACTAGCCAAGTTGAGACGGCGCGTTTGGGCCGGATTGTTGCATAGACTTTCACCATAGACCTGCTGGCTGACCAAAACTTCTTGCAGACAACCCCCTCGGCACATTGGGCGCATGAAGAGCTGCCAGAGGAATTCAACCTCCATTTTACCCAGTGGATTGGCAACGTTACCTTCGACGCCTAGCTGATCCAGACAACACATACAGCACCATAATCGGCCCACCTACGCTCGCTCTTAACCTTACACTTATCAGAGGCATTTGCCTCCTGCTTAATGATTTCCTTTTAAAACTGCTCCTTTGTCTTGCTCTTTCTTTTCCTAGACTTTATAGATCTCTTAAGTTATATATTAGAATATGAATCATTTATCGCGAATATAACTACCCAAGTCATCGAGCAACACATAGTGCGCGGGCTAGAGAACATTTTCTCTCCCGTGATTGTAAATGCCATGACGCATGCGCAAGTTAGAGCTATTGCCTCTGTGTCATTGTCTGCAAAGCGCCAAAGAGCATTCTTGGAGGATCGTGTCAAGAAGCTACAAGATGGCCACGAGATCTTTAGAGGTGTTATAGGAAGTAGTATAAAGTAATGGATTCGCTAAAAAGGATGAAATAGAGGAATTGGCGGTTGGGCGTAGGGAATGAACGTTTTTATGCGAGTGAAGCAGGCTTAGGAAATAATGTTTGTGTTAAAAACTTTCGCTTTTTTCATCCAAGGAAAAGTGTAGTACCTTGAATTTAACGGATATGTGTGACAGATAATAGCTCAGGAGGCATGATTTGATCTCTCCGAGGCATATTTTCCAAAAAGAAAAACAATTACATTCATGCTTTTTGTGATATTTTCCCGCTGCTAAGTCTAAGGAGCGTATCGTGTCGAATTGGTTCGATGTCAAAATAAGAACATAGTCTTGGCATCTGCTTACTTTGGCACCTGCCTATTTTGGCACCTGCTTATTCTGCATCTGCTTATTCTGCATCTGCATATTCTGCATCTGCTTATTCTGCATCTGCTTAGTTTGGCACCTGCTTATTTTGGCACCTGCTTATTTCGGCGGCAGCCATTTCCGAGGGATCGGCGTAGACCTCCAAGCAAATTGCACACTTATATACCGTCTTGGGTTGCAGTGCGTACAAACTAGGCGGTGCGTACAAACTAGGTGGAGCATACACACCAAATGCAAATTATAGACCTAGATGTAAGGGCCTGTATAATAGGGAATTACAATTGATAGTAAACCCTCGTATTATTATATAAGCTAATCTCTAGCCCCCTAAAAGAAAGGGGGCCGTGGGGAGGCTCCCTTTTAAGGAGTCGGAGCGCCTCGGTTACAAGTCAGCCCTTAACTAGTTATATCGACTAACTTTAGTTATAATAGATTTATAGATCCCTTGTTTTATTAATAACTATAATTATTTTATAAAAAGTATCGACTTTGTAAATTAATATAGAGAGTTATATATAAATTAAGGTATAAAAGGGTATTAGGAAAGTGAGACAAGGTAAAGAGAGTAACGCGCTCTACCAGCGGATGCACGTTCTATAAAGTCGCAATATATTAGGAGGGGCACTATTAGGAGCGATTTCAAAGGCGCATCTTGGCGATGTCTGTTACTGGAGGACTACAACTCTGCTGCGATGCGATGTTCTGCGGAAAACCAGACCCCTGTCAAAATATCCCATACTAGTACTTAAACCGCTGTACCTCCGTACAGCTGGGGCGTCCCCCCGCCTCTCAGTCACTCTTCTATTCTCCCGGATCCTTTTGATCCTTTTGATCCTACATTAAAAGCTTCCCCGCCTTGTCAAAGTAGCAAGATATAGCTTTGACTTTACTTCTTCACTTCTCTTTCTATTATTCCACGGTCTCCAAAATCCAAAGATATCACAGGTCTATTGTTCCGCAATCTTCCGCCAAGATGAAGCTCACAACCTCCCTTACCGTTGCTCTCATCCCAGTAGCAATGGCCCTCCCAACCCTTGACACTATCAAAAACTACGCCCGCCAATCCCTCAACACAATCACAGACAACTACCTCTTTAGCATCTCCCTTGCAGCCTTCACCGCAAACCGCAACGCTTTGAACCCCTCAACTCTAGACTGGAGCTCAGATGGTTGCACCGCGTCCCCAGACAATCCATTCGGCTTTCACTTCGTGCGTGGCTGCAACCGACACGATTTTGGGTACCAGAACTACCGTCTGCAAACCCGTTTCACGGAATCCGCAAGGTTGAAGATCGATAATAACTTCAAGGCGGATTTGTACTTCTTGTGTGAATCAGAGAGCCCGAAGGGCGTGTGCCAGGCCCTAGCAAATGTTTATTATACGTTTGTGAGGGCATTTGGTGGCGGTGATGCTAGCCCCGGGAAGAGGGATGTGGATTTGGTGGCTGAGTATGAGAAGGCGGTTAAGGAGTATGATGCCCTGGTTGTAGAGGCTCAGACTGCGGGGGAATTGCCAGTACTCCAGTAGAAAGGGCACGGTACTTTGCTGGCTGTGGGGGAATCAGAGGTTGAGAATTTCACCAATTGCTTCTCTAACCAGATGAATGAAACTTGATGACAATGATGTTCAATATAATGACATGTGATCCGCACCCCGACAAACACAACTTAGAAGCATATGCATCAGTGCGACGCAGAAACCTAACGATAGGTTTAATCACAATGATCCTATCCCTCAACACCAGAGTCACGCCGTCTCTAAGCCGGCACCACCGACATATCATCCAAATAGTAAGCTGTAATTCTGGGCCCAGTACAACTAAGACTGATATTCAGCACTACAGAACTGCCAGTTGGCGTGAAAGCCCCCGTAGGCTCGACATAAATAGAGCCTACTGCAACATTCGTAATAGTAATTTGAGTCTCATTAATAGTAAAAGTAGCAATATAGAGAGAACTAGAATAGAGTCCCCTAGTCCACGCGGAGAACTTGTACGCGACGCCAGGACAGACTGTTAACGTTTGTGAAGTAGCTGTTAGAACTATCGGATTAAGAGAGTAGTATCGCAAAGCATTGGCTTTGCTTTTTGGGAGGACGTTGAGTGACATGATAGTCATGAATGTTCCATAGATGGAGCTTGTCCAGGGGATAACCCCTATGCCTACTGATGATTCGAAGCCAGAGTTGAGAACGGAGATTGCAGTTGGGCAAGATGGGAGAGTGGAGGTGGTTATTGTTGGGATATTAATGGTAGAAGTAGTCTGTTTATCCAAGCTAACTATATTCCAAGGTAATATTAGGTTAAATAATGGGTACCGTTGTTGTGATTATCAGAGAAGGAGTTATGGTAGTAATCGTAGATGTGGTAAAGGATGAGCTACTGAGGCTGCTCGAAGGGATTTCGCTTGTTGTTGTTGTTCACATTGAGACAGGATAGTTGCCAGAGGAAGAAGATAATTGAGTCTAATACACATCAAGTCAGCGGCAACTTTCCTAAATTCTGGAGGATTAAACTTACTGTGGGTTCAGATAATAGGGTAGTCAAGGAACTCGAGCTTGTAGCCGGGCTTGAAATGATAGATGATGATACACCCGAACCAGAATATAAACGCTCAGTCTATCTGTTAGAATATGGGAGCTCCCTGAGTATCTGTTTTGGAGGCTCAGGCCTCCTGCCAAGCCACTCAATAATCATGACTTAATGCAAAGACTTAAATGCACGACCCGCCTGTTTCAACCTATCTGAACACCTGTTTTGCTAATAATTAGTACTGGTATCGGGCGAATAGGTCAGTCAGGCAAGGCTTGGAAATCACGGACAACGGCACATACCATTAAGTTGGCACAGTTGACTTATTCCATTATTTGCCTATATATAGGAGCCTTTCACCCCATAGCATTAGACTCCTTAATCAATACAATTACTTCATTCCATGACCCATTCTGACCAATCCACTGGCTTTTATTACCAATCCACTGCCTGCATTACATGTGCCAATTTGGGTCCCTATTATCAACATTATCCCCAGCACCACACGTTTCCAACTTGTCTCCTAAGCATCTAAAAGAGCATTCCGAAGGAAAATTATCCAGAACACTTCCAGTGTTAAAAGCATTCCCGCAGTAACATTCCCGTCCATATTCAACTCCAAAAACTTGTACTCCGAATAAACCGCTTCGCACTTTGCAATTGTCAGAAAGTCGTTATAGAAGCTTCCTCCAGTGAGCGCACGCTGATCTGTTGCTTCTGTGTAACATCCATAGGGACGGTATGCCGAGTTTGAAGTTAGTGTGAGTGTTGGTAAAGCAGCAGCGGTCGATGAAGAAGTTAACTCCCAAATAGTATACGTGTTGGGTCTGTAACCTCCGCCACAAGTCTGGGTACTGTCTCCTGTGCAAGGAAACGAACATTCAGTCGAGGCGACTTCCCCACTGCCAGTGTTTATATTATTCCCACAATAGAATTCATAGTAATATTCGAGTCCAAAGGATTTGTATCCAGCACAAGCAGCAGCACACTTCTCGACCGTCATGAGATCCAGAAATATGGCGTTACTGGTTAAGGCACGGTCACCAACCACCGGCTCATTGTAGCACCCCAGAGCCACAATTTCCGTCAGGGTAGCCAAAGGTGCGATGGTGCTGAAGACTGAGGATGGAACAACTATGTTCTTAGTGTAGAGACTCGAACGATTTCCTGCTCCACATTTCTGTGCAATATTTTCAGGACAACCGAAAGAACAGTCATTTTCCGCAGCAGGAACGCTTCCCCTATTCAATTAATTCCCACAGAAGCATTATCATCCATATTCAACTCCGAATGTCGTGAACGCTGAGTATACTACTGCACACTCGTTTACCGTTATTAAATCATCGAATAATTAAGTGCCGGTCATGGCGAGCTAGTTCGTAGCTTTAGTATAACATCTAGTATATAAAAATAACGTCTATATTACGAGAGTATAACGAATGTGAGTTATATAGTAAGCTGGCCGCCCCAGCGCACGTGCAAAAAATAGGTGTAGTACTAATAGATGTAGTACTAATAGATGTAGTGAAGATTATAAATAGTATAGTTAAACCTACTCATTAAAAGAATATTTTCAAAATTACTTCTACTTTTAGTTACTAAAATTAAAAGTTACTTATTTTTGTCTTATAGTAGGCTTCCCCCCTGCCCGGATTTTCCGACTCCTTGCTCACCAGAGTTTCTTAGCCTGCTGTTTGGACGGGCCAACGCCAAACGTACTTTAAGTGCCTCTTTCGAAAGCCAAACTTGTCAATCGTACGAAGTACGCAGCTACTGCATTTAGTTGAACTAGAAGTCTTGAACTATTTGGTCAGAAACATTTGGTCAAACTCGTAAAAGATCGACAGCTCTTCGGGCAATGTGCTATTTATATTGGGCTTTAAGATTTGGCCACTCCAAACCCTGCAATATTGATTATATCTCAGATACGTCTAAGACACAGTCGCATCAGGGCTTTGCTCGCTGGTGCCTGCCGCAGTCTGCTCGAGGCAGCGATATAAAAGAGAGTACACTACTTGGTTCCTACCTCACTACCGCGTCCTTGCTTTCTTGTGTCGTCGTGCATCAAGCCATCCTTTGTTCTATCCTGCAAAGACGTTTTGTCTCTCATCGACCTAATTCCATTATTTATCTTTCACCCCAACCAGGACTACTTGTCTCGTCGTACAAAGGAGAGGAATCGATCACGCCTCTAGCGACATGCGCGCGTCAGCCATCATGATGGCCTCTTTCTCCACAGTCCTCGTGGCCGCCCAAGGCATGCAGGATGCCCCTAAAACCTCGGGAAACCCTGCTGGCGTCGTGTACGAAGCCGATCTTCCACCAGAGCCATTCTTCACAAATGGTGCCCTCAATGGTAATATCAAAGGCTCCATCCGTGCCGAAGCGCCTGACGATGGTAAGGGCGTCCGGTTCACCGTCAGGTTTGAAAACTTCCCCACAGAAGGCGGCCCATTCCGTGAGTCACCGTGACCCTCAAGTCTCCATTTACACTGAGCTGACAACGGCTGACTTGCCAGGTCGGCGATATGAGCGGTAAGTATGGCAAGATCACGCAGGATCCTTTTGAAGCTGAATACTTGGACCCATTCACCTCCCTCCAGGAGGGCAACGCGGCTTTTTTTGGAGATCTGTCCCTTGTCGTCCATCTTGGCAACAGGACACCCATAACCTGTGCCAACTTCATCAGGACAGACTCTTCTGGCTCTTCTGACCGACTCACCTAGCATCCAGTCTGCAGATACTTCGGGATCAAGATGCAGGGACCATGCTGCGGCCATGTAATTGCTAATTAGGGATACTCGAGCTATAAATTTGTGAGTGAATGTGATGTTTTGCAGGCAGTGTCTTCTAAAATGTGCCAATCGCTAATAAGTTCACACAGAATATCCTGATTAGTTTGGTGGAATGTTTTAGTATTGGTCCCTTGTCCCTCGCTCGCGCGAGAACATAGGTTTCCCACTAGTTGTTTGGAGGATGGGGCGCTATAAGTACGAATAGGATTAACCTGCTATTGTAACCTTAATACATATCTGTGGCTTCTGAAAGAGGAACTTGTCGATCGACTTGACCTGGTCAAATTGGCAAGATTATAGTGCTTTCCGCTTAACAGTATTTGGACAGTAGGCCGAGAATCCCTCGTTAGAAAGAAGACAAAAGATTCGGGGCAGGGGAAGCCGGCCGTGCGAGCGACTATATTAATCCACAGGATAGTGTTATCCTTACACGTATCTTCCGGGGGATGATAAAGTATTCAACATTCTAGTAGACTTAATTATAGTAATATAACAGCAAACAACTTCCCCTACAAAACTTTTCGTTGACTCTGCTTGACCCTGTGTCTTAGTTTGTTTATACTTCTTGGCCCAGTGTTCGACATAGCCACGACCCGCTGGGCAATGCCCTCTTAACGCCCGCTATCTTCTCTAGATCGCTGGCAACAGTACGATCTTGATAGATTAGCTCGAGGTCCATGGCTTCGCCGATTAGATAATCACAGGCCTTTTGGTAATCTGCCCTCTGGTCTGTCTCTTAACCTGCTTTTGCTGCCACGCGCAGTACTCTTCCACCACCTCATCTCGATTTCCGGGAATATCGAGACGGTTAATTGCCATAGCAAATCCATATCTAGGACCAGAGTTAACGCCGGTGAAGATCCTAGAGAGGCCTGATGAGGCGGTCCGGGTAGCACGTTCGTGATATTTATACGAGGAAAGTTTGCCGCGGGGGCGCTATTGGCTCTTTGGTGCCCCCCTAAGCCGTTGTTGATCCTCCGCGTAAGGTTGATCGCGAATATGTTTAGGAATGTCACAATGTGCCTGTCAGGGTCACCCCAGCAATAAGGCTCCAGGTCACATAGAGGGTCAGGACAGCGCATAAGATTGTACACGTTTCGCCAAACAGAGGGCCGTCCGGATGGCTCCTCCGCGTCTAGTTGAGCGGCATGTTCGGCGAGCCAATCTTTAATCTTATAGAGTTTAGACTGAAGCTGGTCTGAAAGTCCTGGTCTGCAACTGGCATAGTCCCATCGGGGATATGTTTGTAAAGATCCGACACCTTGTGTACATCTCTTTGAACGGCTTCCATGTCATCACCGTCTCCCCATAATTCGTCGAGGAGGGATGCTATATCTCCAGCTTGACTACTTTCTTTGTCGATCTGTTGCAATGCTATTTCTCGGTCGAGAATTGTTTTGTTGTACTGCAAGATTTTCTCTCGATACTGGGCAAGGCAGGCATATATTCTCCCTCTTAAGTCGTCTGTTTCGAGGTTAGTATTCAACCCATGGGCTGGTAGGTGATTAACTTACTGTTGTTTGCGCCAATCCTCACCTCCGTTGGGGGCGCGCCGAGCCACGGCCCACGTGACCCCTCGCCGCTCTGCTCACCCTCAACCTCACCCATCCTCACCAGCCTTCTTTGTGCGCACTGCCACTACCTCACCTCTACTCACTTCTCTTGCCTAGGATGTAGTTATCCCTGATCGTGCTACAGTTGAGAGCGTCAACTTCTAGCGAGAATGATCCAAGGGAGCCTAAACTGGCTTCGGGGGCCGCAATAGGCTCCTTGAGCTCTCAGTGCAGCTGGATGTAGAAGCGGCGCGTTGGCATTTTGGTGGTGGTAAGCTTAGTCAGCCTATTATCTGACCCTGGTGACCCCTAGGGGTCAATGTATTAGAACGCCACTTTTACTAAGGGTGTTGGTAAGCACGTCAGACTTTGAGATTTGATATCGGCAGCGACTGCAGTACGAATTACTTATTGAAAGCTGTTTGTTATACGACGAAAGGCAAAGGTAGCTATTCATATGTCTGCATGAATCTTGTGTATTGTTCACCCCAGCTGCCGTGACACGACATGGCTGAACTACAACCACTGACGGCGACCCTAACTGGGCTCCTTGCTCAAGCTGAACCCAAAGCCGGAGATCCGTCTGACCTCAAGCCTCTTAGTTGTACACACTGTCGACAACGAAAAATTAAGTGTGATAAGTCCAATCCGTGCTCTGCCTGCAAGCGATCAGGCACTGACTGCGTATTCCCGAAACGAATTCGTGTCCCGAGAGGGCGACAAGGGGTTAGAAACTCCAAACCCAGAGACGACGAGCTTCTCCGACGTATTGGAAAGCTTGAAGCTCTTGTCGAAAAGATGGGAGGGGACATTGCAACCCCTTTGACATCTGGAGAGTCTAATGGCCGACAGACCACCTCTTCATCTGACTTTACCCCTTCTATCTCGGGCGACAAGGAGAGCAGTAATCTTCAAGCTCCAGCCACGGGAAAGACGACGCTTCTTGAGAAGAAATATCTCAGAGGCGACTTTTGGGCAAACCTGGGAGGAGAAGTCGATGGGCTACGCTGTTTGCTCGAACGGCCTTCAGACGATGATGACGACGACAACGAAGAAGTCGTGGAATCCGCTCAGTTAACTACTGGTCCAACGAACCATTCGTCACCACTTAATTTCGTCTTTCATGAAGCTGAAAGCCGCCCAGAACATGTGGATTTTCCAATAACATACCATCACTTCAAGGCCCTTACCAACACTTATTTTACGAATGTCGATCCAATTTTCAAAATTCTTCACAGACCAACGACCCTCTCTTCTATAGCTGCTGGTACGAGCGACTTTTCTGCGCCGCCAAATAACGGTGTAATCGAGCTACTGATGCTATGCATGTATTTCGCTGCAGTCTCGTCACTGTCGCCAGAGGAGTGTCAGCAGACATACCATCAAGACTCTCAGACCTTGCTTGCCAAGTTCAGACATCGTGCAGAGCTCGCCTTTGCACGAGAGAATCTTCTTGATACAAATGAATTTACAGTTCTGCAGGCGTTCGCCCTCTACCTTATTGCACTACGAGTACACAGCAAAACCCGGTCCACGTGGACTCTTTTTGCACTCGTACTCAGAATTGCTCAGTCATTTGAAATACACAAAGATGCCGGTGGCACCAACCTATCATTTTTTGAGACTCAGCAAAGGAGTCTCCTCTGGTGGCAAATCATGGTTCTTGACCTTCGCTGCGCGGAAGACCGAGGTACTCAGCCAATGATATTTGATGGCTCCTTCGACACTTCTATGCCTCTCAATATTAACGACGACGACTATGGGCCCGAAACAAGTGAGCCCTTTCCGGAATTTCCGGGTTTGACAGACATGACCCTGAGCCATGTCACTCATAAATTGGCATTTACGTTCCGAAAGCTTCTATTTCCCAGCCATATCAGTGTCACGGAGAAAGAACAGATGATCAAAAGCTTGAGCCTTGAATTTGAGTCGCTCTACTTTCAGAAGTGTGACACAAACGTTCCCATTCAGTGGTTTCTCTCAATGACTGGACGATTATTAATACTCAAGATGTGGCTATCACTGAGATATCCGCTTCGAGCTCGAGATCAACCAATATACGCGAATGTGACGCAAGATCAGACTCTTCGCACGGCGGTCTCGATCCTCGAAATTATGATGAACCTATACGAGAACAATCCGAAGAGCTCCTATTTCAAGTGGGTCGGAAGAACATGGGTGCAGTGGCATCCACTGGCCGCTATATTGACCGAACTTTGCATTCAAACAGAAGGACCGTTAGTAGACAGAGCATGGGCTGTGGTGGAAAGTATTTGGAATAAGTATGGGGAACGAGTTGCCGATACCGAGGGAAAAATATTGTGGAAACCGATCAAGAGGCTGCTGAAGAAGGCACAAGCTGCATACCAAGAAGCGGCAACCAAGAGAGAGGTCCAAATCGGAGACATAGCCGCTCAGGGTGTTGCACAGCCTCTTCCGGGCCCTGTGTTTGATCTTAGTCAAATGGCGATCAATGAATACAACTCATCACTGCTGTTTGACAGCTGCGCTCCGGTTGATCCACAGGTGCCTCCAGGGTACAACTTTGATACACCTTACAACATGATTCCAATTCCGCAGAACTCCATCAATACGGACTATGGAGATCAAATCAACTGGGCAGATTGGCAGCAATTTCTGATGTATTCTGAAGCCTCAGATTCGATAGAGGAAAATGAATTTGAAGCATGGCCACTTGCTTTTGATGCTCCTTGAGCTAAGGCCGCACGCTTGTCTAGGCTACAAGTAGCGGAGGGAAACTCCATAGTGTAGAAGATGAATTACATGGCCAAAAAGAGGTGGAGTGGCGGCAAGCAAGACTACGAGAAGACAAAGCGGAATTACACCCAACTGAGGGGGCACAAGCAGAGATTCAAAGGCGTGGATCTGAAAACGTGGAATTAGGTCGAGAAAACTAATTTGCCGCCGGTTTTGGTTCGCGCTAGGTTCACGCAAAACAGCACCCTCTACCTTGGGATGAGACCACCCAGAACACCAGGATGGCACAAAAGGAGAACAAGAGGGGAAATTTTCAACACGAAAATAAATTAGTCTCAATGAAGGTGACAGAAGTCAAACCAAAGCACCCCAAGGGACACTTACGCTGTAATTGCATGCGAAAATCCCTCCACGCTGCAGAATATAATCCTTAGTTCTGAAGTGGGGACAGGATACAATCGCCGTCTTCCGGCGTGTTGTGTAAGATCAATAAATTACATTATATTCTACACTTCTGTATTTTTTCACATCTTAGATTTGGAAGTGAAATTGGTTTCGGACAGAACCGCATCCTTGAGATATATACGGTGCAACGTAATATTGATATGCATTGTTTTCGAATCATAGCTTTGTCCTAGAAGCTTGTTGCGGACTCCACAATGGTCCTCGTCAGAAGAGCGAATTAGCCTCAAGAACCAGGGCACTAAGTCCAGCTCAGTGTGGATGTTTCGAGCTGCCTCTAAACCACTCAGCCCAGCACCAATAACGACAACGTCATACTCAATAGCCGCAAGTTGAATTTTAAGTGGGACTTGCACAGCTGCAGCTGGGATGGCGCCCATTTGAGATGTCTGGGGAGTACTCTGGTGATGCTCTGATTACGCAGGCCCTGAGCCTTTAGAGACTGCTTAGGGATCATCAGAGGTCTCCAAACTTTACGCGACCTTAGTGTAAGCAACAGGACAACTGTAGTCCGAAGTCCGTGCAGCCACACGGACTCTCGGCCTTGCGAAACCCGTGCAACCAGACGGACTTCGGACTATACAGTTGGTGGCCGCAACAGGGAGATTGATATAGGAAACATCCTGAGCCTCACCTACTTGCGGTAGCTGAGCAAGCATTAACTACCTAGGCAGAAGCCGAGTCGTGTCGTAGTAACGCATTTCCACGACTAGCCATGTGTTGCAACATGCCCAAGACCTGTTGTAGGCAGGCCTTAGGTCGAATCACCCTGACACCCTCGATAGAGTTTGTGCCACAGCTATATATATCTAATGGGAGCTCGCTGTTTTAATGTCGTTCTAAAATATCCAGTTTATCATCCGTTGATCTCAACAAAGCCAAAGGTTTCACTAAAAGCATTGTACCACGGTCTCAAACCAAACCACCCCATAGCAATTGGGAACAAGGTCAGCATCCTACCTCAGCGCAACAGCATCTTCAATTATGCGTATCCTCGTTATTGGTGGCAGTGGACAAACTGGTCGTCTCGTCATCGATGAAGCATTGCAGCGCGGCCACAAGGTTACAGCCTTGATTCGGAATCCCTCTGCACTTCCAGCCAAGGAGGGCCTGAACATCGTGAAGGGCACACCACTGGAACCTTCAAACATTGAAAGCGCTTTCAACGCAGTCCAAGGCGACTTCCCAACTGCCGTGATCGTCACGCTTGCATCCCCGAAAGAAAAGGGGACTCGAGTCCTGTCTGACGCGAACGAAAACCTCGTCGCTGCTATGAAAAGGCATAACGTTTCCAAAATTGCGACAATGTCTTCATTTGGAGTTGGGTCTTCGTTCGCCAATATTACAGTGATTATGAGATGGGCAATTTCCAACACCGCACTTGGGCATACATATGCAGACCATAATCATGTTGACGAGATACTCAAGAAGAGCGGATTGAAATTCGTGTTGTTGAGGCCAGGGAGACTGACTATGGCCAAAAAAGCGCCCGTTCACTTCTTTGGCGACGATGGGAAAGGGCTTGGTGTGTTCGCGGGCTTGGGGGGGATTTCGAGGTCTAGTGTCGCGGCGTGTCTGGTGGATGCTGTTGAGAAGAGCACTTGGGATCGAAGCACTCCTGTGATATTGAACTGAGGGAGTGGTAGGGTATGGGTCTCTGTACAATACAACAGAATAGCCAATCTACAGGAAAAGATACACTATGAGAGATTGTACTTTATAAAGCCTCACCTATTAGTTAATGTATGCTTTCGGACATAATATTGTTCAACCGGTCATCTACTTAACTCTGCATTTGCCTGCAGCTTCTACCTTACTGAGGGGATCTTGCCTAGCTTGATGCATAGGAAGTACGCGTTAGTATAAGATCGGGATATGAAGGAAAAGATGATTTGCAAAGGGAAGGGGTCGGATTGGTGAGGACGTGTTGTATAGAGGAGAAATTCCATTCTGAGATATTTTACCAGATATATAGGGAATATTGCGATAGAGCTTTCTGTTTTGGATGTATGATGTCGTAAGCTAGGTCTGGGTAGGAGAATCTATAGATAGCAACTTTGGAAGGTATTCAAATTATAAAGGCAAGTAGATGAGAAGAAGATGTCTGGGAATATCGCGGGTTTTGACTTTAATAAAAAAAGCTACTACTTAAATAGAAAGATTCGCTTACAACCTGATAGGGTTGATATTCTGTGTTATAGGCGAAAGAGATGGGGTTATAAAGGAGGAGCGACCGGCTTGAATACTTCTACGATATATAGTACTTCCCCGTAAGACAAAATAAAGGAAATAGTTTCTCTCATTATACTCTTCTCCCTCTCCAACGCACACGTCCAAAAGGCCCCCATTAGTACCCTACTTCGTAAATCGCTATCGTTAAATTTACTCGCTTTTTTTGTCGGTTCCCTTCTATCTTTCTTCTAGTGGTCTAATTCCAATCTTCTATAGCAAATCTCAATCGCTAACTACTACGTACAAGCGCTGCAACTTTGTCAATTATGCCATAGAGAGGAAATCACCTGATATCTCAAGATTGGTCGTCCGCGGTAGATCAGGTATATTAATACCGACGATATTAGCAAGTATAATGACTCGAGATAGCCCACCGCCTACGTTTACCCCATTTTCTCGCCTCCCTACCGAACTCCAAATCAGAATCTAGAGGTGCACTCTCCCAGGTCCTCGTATTATTCAACTATATAATATAAATAGTTCCTTCTACTTTGATAGTACTCACCCTCCACTAGCACTTCATACTTGCTAAACTTCTCGAGCCCGCTTTTTCTCGTAACAAGCTACTATTAATATATATCGATCTCGATTACGATACTCTGTATCTTGCTATCGAACCTAGGATGTTTGCAGATACGGCTAGCTCATTCCCAGATATCAAGGAGAAGATCTAGTCTTTAGCCGTTGAAATTTCCTCGGTGAAGATCTCGAGACACTACTTATCGCTATCAAGCATTTACCTCCTAGCAAGCTTAGGGAAATCATCCTTATCTAGGCAAACAGAGGATAGGTTCCTTAGGCTGAATCAGTTCAAGTATGTAGAATATATCAGGTTTCTGAGCTAGATCTGCCTTCCTGGCGGATATGGCAAAACATAGTAGCACGCCAGTCGGAAGGGCGTGGAGCGCGAATTGCGGGAGCCAAGGCGGTCTTCCGATAGATAATGTAGAGGTAGTAGGAACTGCAATCAATCTAGTGCTATCTAGATAGTTTCGCAGTAGGTCGAACGGATCGAGAGAGAGATAGCGGAGAAAGGAAGGGGCAAGGTAGTCCTCGGAGACCTACTTAGAAGGCAGGCTAGTAGATAGTCAACGACTATTTCAATCAACTACCTTGTATTCGGTGCACGTCGCGTAACTCTAAGTAGGCGACGCTAGTTAATGTTGTAAAGAAACAAAGTAGTATTTCTTAATTCAAACGCGCGGGATCTTTTTCCTTGATTCCTTGCGCTTCGTCTTGCAACTAGAATCAATATACACCTTGATATAATAAGCGACTAGTTATAAGTAAGGGATCCTAGCCCCTACCTTCTATAACAGGATAATTATTTATTACGTGTACCCCAGAAGCGATGGTATATTTTGTTTTATTTCGTAAAAGAGCGACTTCAGCTATGTAAGCTCTATCCCCGACACCGAAGTTAGCTTTGTATACTTCACGAGTTGTAGATGTTTATATCTTGGCGAATTTCAACCGTCGCCGAAGCTTTGCAAAGCGACCGGAAACTCCTACTCCTGGGTTATAAACTCTTCAAGGGATTTTGTAGGCAGACGACAATGAAAGTAAATCGGAATAGTGGTGGATTCGTTGTAGCTTGATGTCTTGTAGGCCAGGCCTCAAACCAGATTTTCCAGGCAGCGGAATGGGCTAACCAGCACCACCCTGATCGGGTGAGTGGCGGGTGCTGGGGTCGAGGTCGGAGCGGAGGCTGCACATTTCCGATGAATTTCCGTTATGTGAGTCTTGGCAAGGTTTCGCCTGATTCTGTTGCTTGCTTGGCGCCAAGATTTTGCGAGATGGTTGGCAACTGGCACGTGCAACTTAGGTAAGCAAACTCGCGTAGGGTGTGCCATAACTTCTCGGCGCACGAATAAGGCTCGAGCACCCTTTGAACAGCAACAGCACAACAGTCGCTGCTTTGAACAGTATCCCAACCTAACAAGGGTGTCATTATATTCTTTTTTACCAAATCGACTTTTGAGTACTCGAGTAGGTGCGCCACGAATCCTGGCTTACCCTGGTAGATCTGGTTGAAGTCTCACCTGAGGTAAGGTCCCAGTGATGAGCGACATAGCCGGGGATGGCTAGTGTACCAGACTTCGATGAAAATATGAGCAATAGGCAATACCCTATTAGCTGGCCCACAAACTTATCCCCTAAGGTTTGAATCTTTTTTATAGTAGACTCGAGTCTTGCTATCCTTGTAACATCTGAAAAATCCTCGCTCCACCATCTCTCTTGCTCCGACTTCACGATGGATTATCCCGCTATCCAGAGGCCAAATGCACCGGAAAACTGCTTTTTGGTAAAGCTTCCAACAGAGATACTGCAACAGGTTGTCAGCCATCTTCCTATCGCATCAGTTGGATCGTTTTCTCTCTCTTGTCGACAAATTTACTTCTTGATAGGAACTCGGTACCTTGAGGACCTAGTGACCTCGCATGATTCACTTCACGAAACACTAGTGTTATTGAACCTTTTAGAGCGTGATCTCCAGAACCAAATAGTTTGTCTTTCTTGCAGGAAGCTTCATAGGATTCAAGATGCCAAGATATACACTCCGGATAGTTACAATCGGAATAGTTACACTCAGAATCGTCGCCAGCTTTGGCCATTGGTAGAGCCTGGTTGTATCGTCAATGATAAAAACGCATCCGTTTCCCACTTTATCCACGAGCAGTTCAGCACTACTGTTTTCAAGATGGCGATAAAGCACTACCACCACTTTGGTTATGATGCTCAGACCCGCCGGCTCTTCAATCTTCTATCAGGGGAATTCCGCGGACGCCCCTATGGTAACTGGGTCACAAATGAAAAAGCAAAATGTCAAATGGAAAATGGTTCCCTACACACCTACAGACGCAGAACTTTCCAGGGCACATGTGGAGCTGTCAAGGGGCCCCCAATATTTCTCCGGATATGTGGGCATATTGAATTCCAATTGATCAGGCGGCATTCTAGTCGACATAGTCGTCGTATCGAAACACCATATCCTCACCCACTTGAGGAGAAGTGGTTAATGTTAGTATGTGATAACAGTACTAAGATAAAGTCGGCACCATGGGATCTCTGCTCGGAACTTCAGCAATGTCAATACTGTCGAACAAAATATAGGACCAGTTTTGAGCACGAAAGTGGTTGTACTATAAAATTCACAATCGCTACCTGGAAGGATCTCCGGCAAGGGCCGGAAACTGAAGAATGGAGGGCGCATTTCCCCGCTCGATACCATTTTTATTTTCCACAACCAATTTAGCTCGAAGGAGGAGAGATAGCGTCTGCCATTTAAGCGGGGGGGTATAATTGGGCTAGAGATGAAGTCTCATGGTTCTCATCAAAAGGAGTCTCTTAGGCACTGAGCCTCCTACTAGGAGCCTCTGTTTGTTGTTTCCTCTCTTTAGCTCTTTGTTTCTATTCGGGCAAAGCACCATCTCATAGTGGATATCTAGGAGGCTTCCCGCCCTGGATCTCAGAATACAAGTCAGTTGCTTCCTACAATAGAGCCTGAATTCTGTGATCCATAAACTTGCGTATTTATATTGGGCTGGTGAACACAAAAAAAGTATGTTGAGCTAGCAAAGACAAAGTGCAATTAATGTATATACATGGAATAAATTAAGATACTAACAATTCATTTAGGAATCTATACTCCTGGAACACCAAGACCCGTCAAGCAGAATAACGACTTTTCTCTCAAATGAGCATGGCCGTCTCATCAACTATCAACTATGTATATGCAGTCATGGACAGTCACTACTACAAGGCTATGATTATTTAGTTCGGCTGTTGCGAGTTATTGTATGGGAATTCTCGACATCTTGCGATAGAGCCACGCCGATTGATTCACACATAATGTCTGCAAATTCTACCCCGGCAGCAATCATATCCATGACTTCCATATCATACGATGTAGCTTTTGTGGAGACCAGGCGCTGCACCTACACTAACTGTGCTCGCCTTGGTACTAATACACCGGCATTACATAATAGAAGACGGAGCTTTGAATAATTGTACGCATCAATTTCAGCTGGACGATGAGTATGAAGGGGGGAATTCGCCTATAAACAACGGCAGCGTATTATAGCAGCCTGCTTATGATATAGCACAATGCCAATTATTATGCTCCTCGGAATTATATTGTGCAAAGTTTGAACCAAGTCGGGAAATTCCCACCATGGCTGAAATTACCGTACGCTAAACTTCATGTGGCCAATCTCCGACAACCTGCGTCGCCGATAACCTCCGGGATATAACTCTGCAGCGACTTCATCTCCAGACAAAACGCCATACGCAGCCCAGCAACCCACCCGTGAACACTGAATCGCCCCTCGAGACGGCTGTGCGCAATGCTTAACACCGAGCCCGCGCATGCCGGCCAGAAAGACGGGAAAAAGACTCGGCAACGCAAGATTCGTGTCTGCACCGAGTGTCGGAAGCGCAAGCAACGCTGCGATCAAGCGTGGCCATGCCACAACTGCACCAGACGGTACCCTCCGGTGCTGTGTACTTATGCGGATTCCAGGTTAGCACCGCCTGCTAGAATTGTTTGGCTGTCAAGTGTTTCCAGAGTTTGCTAAGACCGCCTAGAAACCCTAATAATAAACACAATCCAAATTCAGAAAAATTGGTCCAATTGGGCGGTGACCCGCAGGCGGGAGATGGTTTCACCCCTCAAGCCACGCAAAATGTCGCCCGACGTCCTGGATCAACAGCCAGTATAATCATACCGTTACACGAGACCCGACAGCCTCCTATTGCTCGTGACCCTTCAACCACTGGCCCTTCCGCTCTCATGAGACGCGAAAATGGCTGGGGAGCGACCTCGTTCCGAAAGGACCCCACCAAAATGGAACATCTTCCCCCTGAATATGTGTTTGGCGGTAGTGACATCTTGAATGTTTTTCGAGTGGACCAGAGCAGCCCCTTCTACCCGCTTCGGGACTCCTTGCCTACACCGAATGTTCGAGTTATGATCGTGAAAGTTAGGGATGTTGCAATAGAGCCCCTGCACTATCTCCCCATCGAGCCTTCAAGGCGAAATGCGGAATTGCTGCACTTCTGTTAGTCTCTCCCTTCTAATCATTGGTAGGTTACTCACATACGCAGTCCTGCAAAAGTTGTCGTCATTTATGTCAACAATAGATGGCAAAGATCCACCAGAGGATTTTATGGCCAGGTGGCTGTCCTTTATGATCCAATCCCCTTTTATGATCCACATCACAATTTTGGCCGCCGCATATTTCCAGGCTGTAACAAATAATATTGACGTCAAAAAGTCTGTCGATGTCGCTATTGCGAAAGTTAACCTGATATCCCTGATCAATGATCATATTACTAGCAATAGCAAGGGTGTTGACGATGAAGCGATCGCTGCGGTCATGTCCCTAGCTTATAATGAAGTAATTCAGGACCTTCATCGTTCAATATCCGCTTTGCTAATAACGTCTTACAGTTAATATACGCCGATAAAAGAAGTACCCTGGGCCATATGATAGGGCTCCGAGAGATGATCCGGACCCGGGGTGGACTGGAAAATGTTAGACTCAGTGAGCTGCGGGTAATGTTGATGAGGTAGGAACAGTTATTTAAACCCCATACATAATACGCGTAACTATAAGCTAAAACAACTAGAACTGATTATCAAGTGGCTTGCACCCTTGAATGCGATCCTATTATACAAGGGGTCCAGGAGGCAACTATCCTGATGGCTTATCCAATCCAGCTGGACAGCCCATTGCTAGTCTCCAGCAACCTTTTTGTTGACTCTATCGATTTCCACAGTATCAACACTGCGACAGCCACTATCCTCGACGACATGAGGTTCATCACCACATCTATCATGACTTTAAGTGGCGCCGAGCACCCAGAGCTCGCGAAAGTCAAATTTTTAGCCACGGTTCGGTGGATCCATCAACGACTCACATCCGAAAAACCAGAAGCCCATCTTGCCAACGACTTCGTCTACCAAACGTGTCGAGCTACCGCGATAATTTATACCACAGCTGTCTTATCTGGACAACCGTTTTCGGAAGCGTGCACCTCTGAGCTCCTCCAAAACGTTTGGAGAGTAATGTGGAGGGTTCCTCTTCCTCGCTGGAAGCAAATCCCGGGAGTATTCTTTTGGGTCGTGTTGGTTGCTAATCCATTCGCGAGAAATCGACCGGAAGGTCGGTTTCTCAAGGGTGTTATTGCTGGAAATACGGTGGCGATGGGCCTTGCGGATTGGGATGCCACGACAGCAATTTTAAAGACCTTTCTAGCTTTGCAGAGGTGGCTCGGGGGCAAAGACCTAGAGAGCTCCATCATCCTAGACAACAGGCTAGGGATATCTCGTTCTCCGGAGGGTGGACTTCCAGCGTGGGCATTGACTCAGTGAGTGACGGAGGCAAGGGGATACGTTTATTAATCTGCCCTGTGGATCTGGAATCGTCAGCCAAGGAGTTAAGAAGGTGTCTAGAACGCTTCCCAGAACGGCTTATTAGGAACGTTTTGAATGCGAAATTTAGCGAAAAGCAGTATGAAAGTGTGTTTACCAGAAGTCCTGGAAGTTGCGCAAGTACGCGCTTGAAAAAACGGATCAGGAATTTGATAATTAGCGTCTATTATACCCAAAGCGCAAGCAAATAATCCTCATATATCACTATCAATCTATCCTTGTGTTTTTATTTAGCCCTCTCCATCTCTAGCTTTTGTCGTTCTTGGAGTTATTCGCAGTTGCGCATCCTTGGTTGGCTGACATTTCTTGTCAACCTTAATTATATCTTTGTTTCGACTGACAATTCACCCCTAAGCGCTGGGTATTATAGATTAATATGTTCTTATCTGAACTTAACCAGGCCTTCTTTTCTGGTTGCCTACAGCTATCCGTGGTTTTCTTGAAGATGAATATATCTACGACCGCGAAATCGCGAGTTTCCTGGCGGCCATGGAGATTGTCATCTTCTCGGAAGCTTAACTCTTAAGTGCCTCTCCCCGGATCGACTCAAATTGTATGCTATCTCTTATATTCATCTTAACCCTCAAGCTAACTTTTACGTTAGCAAATTTTAGAGGAAGTCATTGACCACTCGTTGCGTCGCCCGAAACTCCAAGCAATAATTTTCCAAGATCTTCCACGGCAACTTTGGCCTACTGTATGTTCACCTCAGGAAATACTAGCAAACCTAAAGGTGTGCTAGTGGAGCACGCAGCCTTCATGTCTTCGGCAACAGAGGTCGCAAAGACCCTCCGTCTGGACTCCAGTACTCGATTTTTCAATTTTACCAGGCTCACCGCGGATGTAAGCTGTCTCGAAATTCTTGGAGGCCTTTGGTGGTTGCACCTGTATTCCGAAAGAAGAGGATGTGTATGGAGACGTCTTTGCATTCCTACGAGAAACAAGGGTTACTCAGCTTGCTGTCCCTCCGACCTACTTGAAACTCTTTTCCCCGCAGCAGGCGTCCAGTACGCCCGATCTCCAGGCCATTGTTGTTGCTAGCGAGCTGGTTCACGGGGATCTCATTGCGTCCTGGGCGCCTCATGTGCGCTTCAACATTGCTTACGGACCGACAGAAACCTTCTACTCAGCCATTACACCAACGTTGAAGGCCACGGACAACATCATGGGTTTGATTGGGGAACCTATCGCTTGTAGATACTGGCTAGCCAACATTGAAGATCCCGAGGTCCTGGCACAGGACGGAGAGCTTGCGGAAGTGCACTTCTATTCAGAGGCTATTTGAATGATCCTGACAAGACAAGGAGCGTTTTCATTGAGAATCCTTCTTGGGCAAAGGCAACCCACGGGGAGAAACCAAGGCGATTCTTCCTCACGGGAGATTTGGTTAAAAGACAAGCCGACGGTCGACGTCTTGCTTGCGGTCGTAAGGACACTCAAGTAAAGATCAATGGGTATTGCATCGACCTCGGCGAGGTTGAGCATCATATTCATCAACACTGGACTGCATGAAGCTGGCCTGTGGCCGTGCAAAAGATCGACTCTAGCATCCTTGATTCGAAGTTGGTTGCATTCGTAGCGACAGGCAGCCCTGAAAGTGACAAAAGTACAGCCCCGCAAGTACAGTGGCAGACTGTGGAGGCCCTTTCGCTTATCTTCCAGGAGACGAAGAACTTTCTTGCGGCGATTCTACCTGCTCGCATGATACCCGCCTTTTTTGTTCCCCTCAGCCACTTGCCCATTGTAACCGCCAACGGCAAGCTCTCGCGGCAGGTGCTTGTGTCAATGGGTGAGAGATTTGATAGACAAGAAGTCGATATCCTCCTTGAAGCTGCGAGAGAGCACCGGCCATCTCCTACCGGAGCGATCAATGGCCTACCTAAGTCAGAAGTGCCTCAGCTCTCAGATATGGAGGTCCAGTTGAGAATGTTGTGGACCGAGGCCCTTCAATTCAGTACAGAGATCTGGCCCAGTGACAATTTCTTAGCCCTTGGTGGGGATTCTATCGCAGCTGTGAGGCTCTCTGTTGCCGCAAACAGGCAGGGTCTAAAACTCCGTGTTGCTGATATCCTACGAAACCCAATACTGCGCGATATGGCGGTTAAAGTCCAGCCACTGCCGCCACGAGATCTCGCTGCTAATGGGACATCTGTTGGCCCATTCTCCGTTATGGGTGGACGTGAAGACTCATCTGTTCAGGCACTCATCTCTCAAGCCGCCGCAATGAGCGGTCACCAAGAACCTGACGTCCTGGATATTTTCCCTGCCATTTCCGATCGGCCTTATATGATTATGCAGTCGATATCTAGTCCAGAAGCTTTTGTATCGACTCTGACTTTTGATTTGCCAGTGGATCTCGATTTTGACCGCTTCAAGAAGGCATGGGAGTCCACCTTTGAGCTTGCTGATATATTACGTACCCGCTATATACCCTGGGAGCAGAAGGGCTTCGTTTGTGTCACCTTTCAGGAGGACTTTGTTTTAACAACCCATGATAACTTGAACAGCTTGCTGGTGGAGAAGAAAAAGGTCGGGCTCAGCCTCGGTCAATCTCTATGCCAATTCGCGATCTGCACTGCTGATTCTCCAGGTACGCAGCCCAAATTCGTCTAGACCATGCACCATGCGATATGGGATGGCTAGTCTGTTGCTTTGACTATCGATACTATCAAGCAGTTCTACTATGGCGAGACACCGGCGCCCTTTGTTCCATTTAGGAACTTCGTCCAGTCCGTCTTGAGTGCTGATACAGAGGGAAATTCCAGCATATGGGTTCAGAAACTCGCTGGAGGTACTGCGGCTAGCTTTCCTGCCTTAGTAGGTCCCAATGGACCGAAGATGCCAGTAGCCTCGGAGGTTGAGACGCATAATATATCCATTCCACGAAACTTGCAATCTGATATCATGACAACAACTATCATTCGGGCAGCTCTAGGCCTCACAGTTGCTCACATGTCAAACCCTGGTACACATGATGTTCTCTTCATTGAAGGTTGGTCTGGGAGGGACGTAATGATAGATCATGACCCGGATCGAATTCTCGGCCCAACAATGTTTCCAGGCGGCACGAGGATTAACTTCGAAGCCGAGCAGTCCGTGAATTCTTTCCTCAAAGACGTTCAAGAAGACAACCTCGAGCTCATTCAGCACATGAGCATCGAGCTCCCTATGCTTCAAGCAGCGTTGAACCCATTCCCACGTGTGGGCCTCAACATCGAGCATGCTTCATCCGTTGCTTGGAGTAACGGATTGTTCGAGTTCGTCTCTGAGACAGCGCATGGCATTTGTCGTGTCGGTATACCGTTGTCTGTCATCTGCCGTTTCGATGATGAGTCTATCACGAAGATCGAGCTACATTACGACCCTGACCTCATTCCCAAGACGAAGCTACATGAGTTCTTGCAACTCTATAAAGCGTATATGTCTGAGCTCAGCCAGCCTTTAAATCGAGGTGTAGCTATATCGGAGCTTCAACGAAAGATGTCGGACGAGGACCATCTACGAACAGATTAGCTTGTCTCTATAACGGGCCTGCCTACTCTCGACGTTTCCAAGTTCACTCGTGGTGAACAGGCGGATGAGAAAGCTTTTGCGGTTTCCCTGATTGACTCCTTTAAAGACCATGGATTTGTTAAGCTTGTCAATCATGGTATTGCTGAGGAGAGAATTTCGAGTTTGTTAGATTTGGTGAGTGCCATTGCTAGGCCCCTGCTGAGATAGTCTTCATTCTGACGCGTCTTCCGTTGAGCAGTCGAACCAGTTCTTCGGACTTCCGCTTAGCGTATGGAAGGAAGTCGCCTGCATTCGGGGTCCACATCCTCAGAGAGGTTGGAGCCATGTAGGCTCGGAGCAGACCTCGAAGCTGCGGAAGGACCTACCGCTCATAAGTGAATATACCCTTCGCTTATCCCACATAGGCAGGTACTTGGCAAAACCAAACTATCTTGTACAGCACACTAGCTACCTTAGCAGCTTAGAGTCTGTCGGGGATTCGTTGTCGTCCTCTTCGAGCTTAGCTCCCGACACTGTATTTAGCCTTTCAATCCCTGGAGATCTTACCTCTCCAGAGCATTCTATCCATCCACTTCTCCATCCTCCTCGTTGCTCCCCCCTTCACTTTGCCTCCGACATATAATATAATATTTCATGAACTATATTATATTAGGGTCTTACAAGTCAACTTAAGCTAGAGTGTTCTTCAGGCTCTTCAGGCGTGACAGTAACATATGTAGATTTTCTTAATTTCTTCGTACTGAGTAGAATCAAAATAGGTATAGGGGTTGGTCAATTAGGAAATTGGGATTTCACTACTTATTGGATACTGATATACAGGTCAATGCATAACAAAATTACTTGGTGCAATAGTTTGATTTAGTTCCAATACGTAAGTGCGTTGCGGCATTCGTTTTCTTTGTCCTCGACATACATGTAACACAAGGCCACCTAATTACTCGAGGGGTTGTATTATTAACAGGCACACTTATTACTACTTTCTACTATGTTATCGGTAGAATTTACGAGGCAACTACAAAGGAATTCCTCAGTTAGACTGAAATATTCATGATTCCTGGTGTTTGTGTCCAGCGATACTGGCCGCTTTGATTTTGCAAAACATATCCGAGTGTAAACTTATAGACTTCGCAGCTATAGTATAAATATCTCGCCTGTGCGGCCACTATGATCCCCCCTCAACAATCAGCAGCCTCTAAAGTTTTCAGTGAAGATGTATCTTTCGCGTCCATTGGCGTTTATCAGATCGGTAATGGCTTTGACAGTTGTGTTATTAGTAGACAGCGAATTGTCAAATGCATTACCGATCTTATAGATGCCAGGTATAAATTCCAGGATCTTTCTTCTGTCCCATTCTTATTAGTCTAGTTTGATAGTTATATAAGTTCGAAATTTCTATAATGTGGCCCGGGAGTAGTGCTGATTTTTCCTACTAATCGTTAGTTTGATTTCAAGGGGGTAGCATGTTTCGGTACTCAGCTTCTTATACGGTTATCGTATGCTAGTACAATTTATATAAGTCAAGGGCTAACTCTCTCTAAGGTAGTTCTTAATCTAAGTCAAACCGAGTTAGATTAAACCGTATCCAAGTTCGGCCACGCTTGTGGCCAGTAGGCATGTGGCGGTGCAGTCAGGTCTGTGGCCTTCTAGCCCTTCCTGGTGATACAGTACCATAATGCCCTGATAGATATAGTCGGACGCTACTACAGCGGACCTCTCGTAACGGGCACGTCGAGGGCGTTAAGCTGCCACTCGAGAAAGGCGCTGATTCGAAAGCGAGTGATAGTTGGGGACAGACGCCGCTACACAACGCCTCTAGAGATCAAACTATCGCCCTGTGAGAAAGCTTATCGTTGGTTTTAAGGGTTGTTCTAGTGTTCCGCCCACTTTAGTTGGAAGACGTGGGGGCTGTATATACGTAAAAGGCTTAACCTACTTAACTCAGCCGCATATACAAGGGTCCATGCTTCAGCTGAACTTTCTCTTTTCTAATTCTCCACTCAAGTTTCACTACTCTGTCAATGTATATATCCTGTTTATCTAAATAGTAAATACCCCGCCATGGTTCTCGAATTTCCAAACTCGCGCAATGACTGGAGATTAGACGCAGTCGGCCTCCTCGCTGTCATCGGCGAGACAACCACAGAAACATGTGTCGAGCCCATGACAGCCTCATATCTCTGTCTCCTCCCTCGCCTCATACCAGCACCTCAAGCACTTATTCGACCCAATCGCCGTCTGACACTCGCAAACGTGAATGCCAATGTCACCGGTATCCATAATGGGACGGTAAGACCTGTGCTTTCATACACCGCCAATCAGCTATATCCAATCGCAAATCTGGCACCCTTCAGTGTCCATGTTCTGCGTGTTAGGCACCGGGAGCAAAATTATGAGACCAGCATCGAAATGGATCCTCCAAGAAATACTTCAAGGACCGAAGGCGACGGCGAACGTGGTCAATTTCGACCCCTACGCAGAAGGGCGACTTCAATCATAAAAAATTACACACCTCCACAGCCAGTTATGAGGGCAAAGAACATGGCGCCTCACAGCATTCTCAGTGTAGCTTCATGCCTCTTGACGATTGGTCTCCTCGTTTGGGCTATAGTAATTGGAGATGGACCAGCAACATTATCTATTGTCCTTCTAGCCACGGCGACAACTTTGTTCTGCGCAGCATCACTCTGGAGTCTTCCACTAAGACAAAGGTCCTTTGCCTCAATAGCTCCCGCTGGCGATGTGGTGATACGAACGAGAGTGGGAGCATTCCTTATCATTCAGTGTGATGAGGATGTAGCTCGAGAGTTATACTACGGGACTGACGAAGTTCGCCAACTTGTCACCACGGGATTTGGCTCTTGTGTTGGTGGCGGAACTGTTATATTCATGGTTGCAGTAATCTTGATGGGAAACTCTACCTGGACAATGCAAGCTGCCCTGGCTGTTGCCTACCTATTGCTCAATGCGGTCTACTGGTTCGTTGCGCTCATCCCATCTACAACCCACTGGGAATTTCCATCGTACGAGATAGACGACGTAACTCCTGATGATGTGAAATACAGCAACGCTGGGACGATGAATTCCCCTCCGTCGTACACTAACTCTTTGTGGAAAGCCATTCTCGTGTCCAAGAAGATAGGTTGGGTCAGGAGAAGTAATGCTCTTCCGGAAACCCATGAGTGGGACCATTGGTTGAAACTTGCCGAGCAGAATGCGTTGGATGACAATCGGGGATGGGATGCTGTCAAGACGAGAGTGGAATTGCGCGGGGGGGGGCTTTAAGGAGTGGATTTTAAAGGCTCTATGATATCGCTACCTTTCAAGGATCATAAATCAAATAGTGTGCACAAACCGAAATGGTGCGTGCAAACTAGTCGCTCAAGATGATCTAGATATTAATGAGAAGGTGATGGAATCGGCGTCAAAACGAGAGATAGGATTGCGATGGCAACACAATTAATAAACTTGAGCTATATGTACTTTTATGATTCACAATATCCCTTCTAGTACCGCATTTCATATTCTTTTCCTTAACATCCATAAGTTAAATGGGCAAGGCATCTTCATACTAGTGTTGAAGAGGTAATTTGTGGAGGGGATACGTGTTCCAGTCAGGTATATCTTCTTCATTTGAGTGCCAGCGACCATCCGGGAAAGTCAGAACTGCTCCTTAGTTACTAGGCGGCGGTTCTGCCCGCCAATCGTCGTCTTTGGAATAATAATCTTGGCCTCAAAGAGGTTCCGAGGTATGGCCTGGCTCTTGTGTAGGCAAGATATCATCCTGGAAAGAAGTATACGTAGAGTTTTGCTGGTCAATATCCCAGAGATAACCGGTGGAGCTCTGAGTGGGATTGGTTTCAATCCCATTCTCAATTCTACCACTGTTAGATGGCCACTCGGGACAACCTAGAGGAGAGCAAGGGGCTTTCCTGAATTCATGGTGGATAGCCTTCGAAATACCGAGTCGTGTCCCTGTTCCGTAACTAGCGGACTACGTACTTGAGCACGCCAGTTCCAGTTACTATGTCCTCGAAGGTAACTTCCTCATTGTCTGGTCCTCATGTATGCGAAAGTATAGCGTAAGGAGGGATTTGATCGTCGATAATAAATTCTTTGGTGAGGCGAATCTGCTAGTCTCGCTGTGTAGTAGAAGACGCATGATTAGGTGCGGAGCCAGACGCCGGGAAGCGGTTGAAGTCGGGTGATGGGTTCAGAGAGAGCAGGCTGTGCTAGAGTTGGCGGTTATTGCAATCCATCTTGGGCTTCCGACAGGAGCCTCCTGCCAGGAACCCTATTTGTGGTTCTCTCTCGTCTGTTCTTTGTTCCTACTCGGGCCTAGCGCCATCTTTCTGTAGATATCTAGGAGGCTTCCCTCCTAGATCTTAAATACAAGTCTATTGCATCCTGCAATAAGTTATATCGTTATGCTCAATTCTAACCATTTTCACCTTCCTGATTCTGTGGCAAAATATGGTATCGACCTTACGAAAGCGTCAAACTCTTTCAAACCTACGCTGTTTAGCTATATTTACTGTTAGTGAAATAATCGGACAACTCAGATTGTGTAATAAGAATCTTCCTATTGAGAAGCTAATAGAGAGGCCTGAGGTGAGTCTTTCTCTCTCGCGATCGAAGTAGCTAGCTCACTCTTCGAGGTGGTGACCCTTCTGAGTAATATATTCGATTCCCTACCTTCAAAATTGAAAAGAGCTGTGCGAGGGCTATTCTCTCGCACAGCAAATGGCCCCAGGAAGAAAACGAAGAAGAACTTTTACCTAGCCAAAATCCGCGAGCTTGAGTTGTCCATCAGCAACCAGGAAATTCCGGAGGGCAATTTCATCCGCGAAGACCTTTCCGTGAATGAACGTAAAATAAAGTGTCAGTAAGGGACAAAACCCATCTTATCTTGAAGGATTTATGCGGCTAGGGGTAAGGCTTGATATATGTTTTTAGATCACCTTGCTTCGCAAAGGCTAGCTCAATCCCATAATCAGACGCTTTGAAGCAAGTGATGATCCCCCTATGATTCCCTAGCCGCTCGTAGATGTTATTCTCATATTTCAGTGTATTGCGGTTGATGTCATTAATATATTCCATATCGCCCCAGGCGTTTCCTGTGTATTGATCGAGGGGGTAGACCTTTGCAGTTTTGACAACACGGTTCTCGTCAAGCTTAAGAATGAAACCGGTCATTCCTATTCCAATCATTCCAAGGCCAGCGTAGGGGTTCACATCCAGGTCTAAATGCCGAGGTAGTTTTGGCGGCGTTGCTAAATCAGCCGTATCAGAATATAAGTATGATTCGCAGGCTCTGTGACAATGATTGCGTAGCGAGAGCTAAAATTTGAAGGGCGAAGGGTAGTCGATCAGGCTGGTAGGCGTCGTCTTGATGCCAGAATAGGAATAGTGTTGCTGAGGCAGATTCTGTATTAATAAAGGGCTGCCTCCCCTATTCCTTACTCAACCAATCACTCAGTCGTTTTTGACTCTCGCAGATATTCAAGAACTTCTCACTCGTTGCTGTTCTATCTAAAATAAGCAAGCTTCAATCGAGTTAGTTTGCATAATATTAGGTCCGGCAATCGATGGATAATGTTGATTCGTCGAACCATTTTTTAGCGCCTGTGTCTCAGATCTAAAATCTAAAGTTTCAACCTGTGAAGACACGAAGACGGGGTTATCAAGACGGCTCCATGCCGAGATCATATATGCCCTCAAGAGCTCCTCAATATAAATTAGCTTCCTTGTCGCTTCGAAACCCTATCACTGACACAGTAGATTTTAAAGAATCTTTTTATTTTGAAACGACTGTAATGGTGAACAGGGCAGATATCTAGACAACACACCAGAAATAACGTCCTCCACTTCACCACTCATCAATCAACACAAAATTGCTAAAGGAAAATTTGTGACCTAAGTTCCTACCACGCTATACATCTCAAACTAGCAATGATTTCCAGTACCCTCGCGTTTGACCGCTCGTCCCATACCTCTACCACATCATCGGCTCCTGCCTCTCGATAGTGTGTGGAATTGATCTAGAGAGCTATGGTATATTTTTAATCATCCTGCGATGCTGATCTCGTCACAATTGGAATTACAATCGTAGGCCACTCGGTCGGTCTTGGAATGTTGGTTGGCCAAACAAACGGTCCACTGGGCAATCCGAGTTCTTGTGGATTACGGGCAGCGTGGACGGGGACAGTGAGAACGGGAGCTGTTCGAGTGGTGCCTGCACCGCCGTAGCTTGTAGATCTACCGATGGGGGCTGAGGTAATATGCGTCGGGCATGAGTGAGGATGTGGGTGATGGGTGTAGACAGGGGGCGTGGGTAAGATAACTGTTCGAGTCGGCGATCCAAGCTCCTGAGGCTCTCTCTTGTCAACGGGAACTTCCAAGACAGGCGCTGTTCTCGTAATAACTGGATCCACATAGGTTACCCGGCTTGTTGGTGGATTCGGGGCAACCGTATGGTGAGGTGGCGGTGGGTGTGGGTGGAGAGTGAAAATGGGTGGCGTGGGTAAGATAACCGTCCGAGATGGTGATCCAAGCACTTGAGGCTCTCTCTTTTCAACTGGAGCTGTCAAGACAGGCGCTGGCTCTCCATATGTTCTGGTAACGACAGGGACAAGGCCGTCCCCGGATCGGGTGCTGACGTCCGGTGTTATGAACGAACGAGTTACTGGTCCCAAGTCTTGTCGGCCGATAAGGACGGTCCTCGACACATGGCCCAATTGTTGGGGCTCTCGAACATTGACTGGCAAAGCTGCTCCGTGGCATACCACCGCCACAACTGGCAAGAGAAGAGCTGAAGTCCGCATGATAAAGTCTGACTCTTTGGTGATTTGAGTTGGTAGTTGTGCGGATACAAAACAATCAGGAATATCGCTGCCTTTTGTAGAGACCGAAGACGTAAGATACTTGTTGATCTTGTGATGCTCCGAACGCCACGATAACAAAACGAGCCAGAACCAAGCCAGAATTCCGGGACATCAAGAAAGAGCAAGGCAGGCGACCTACAAGGCCCTGCAGCAATTAAGGCAACCCACAAAAGCGATAAGTGTAAACGAGGTGAGGCGAATAAGGTTAATTAAATAAATTAACTATATGGAAACAATAAACTTAAAATAGAAAGGGAGGTCCGGTTGGTGAGTCTGGACAAGACGTTTTTAATTTAGACGTTTTAGCCAGATGCCGAACCAATAGGCTGATTATATGAACATCAACGATTCGACTATCAACATAAAGTGGCCGAATTATTTTTCTACCCTGGGCTTCCAAGGCTTTTGTTTCCGCCACTACTTTCGGAATTACGTTGAAAATAGAGGAAATAGAACAGTAGGCATCGTAGAGCCTTGTGGTCCGGAAACCCCTCCCATGCGCTTCGGTTCATCCGGCAGAAGCCACCTAGGACTGGGAATGGTCAATACATTTTCGGTTGTTGAACTCTGGGTCCGAATTAACCTCACCATAACAAAAGCTTAGGTACGGAGTATCATTAACCAACCCCGCAACTAGGGCTTTAGAAGCTGCTATTGCATGTCGTGAACTATGTTTATCACCGCCATGGTTCCTGGCATCTCTCGCACTAAACCCCGGAGCACATGGCAATGGCCGCTTTTGACCAAAGCCAATTATATCTTCCGGGACAATGACGAGGGACTTGAAGACTCAAACTACCGGATGAGGGCTCGCCGTAACTGAATGGTAAACGTGGGTTCTAAGCGGAGTTGACTCCACGCCACATTTGTTAACTGCCTGTTGTGTCATTTCGTGATGTTTTCACCTCATTTACTGGGGATCGACCTTTCCCTAATCCTGTTCCAGGCCACGACGATACATTGCACAGTACCTGCAGCCAAGGCGCAGATAACCATGGTGTATATTATCGCTGCCTTGATGATACTGCGGAACTTCGAAATAAAACTGCAGCTTTGCATCGCTGCCAGCGTCGTATGAACATGTTTTTATTAATACGAGATGCAGGTCGTTCTAGTGAACGCGGGCTGGACTGATAGCCGTGCAACGTATAAAGCGGTCCCTTTGGCACGCTCCGAGCTTCTAATTCCGTGAAGCTTTAAACTGCGTGTGGTTCCGGCTGCTGCCTGGTATCTGAAGGCTTGAATCCCGACGCGCAAGGTTGCTGATGCTCGAAATCCATGGGTCCTGGATAATGTTTGCCACGTGGGAAAATAAGCTGCCTTCGGGATTTGCCATTTGTACCGAGATGAGCAAAATCAATAGTAAATTATGGATAGGAGGAGTTCTGAACTATACTCGAGAGGTTGTGTGTGAAAGGATGGCGATAGCTGGGTCTAAAACTCTAGCTGCTAAAACGTGGGCACGAGCCTAGAACGTCTGCTGCTGAAACGTGGCACCGAGGATTGTGGACTGTGGTATATTAATATCCCCAACCAAGCATCGGTCTGCGATGTGTGACAGCGAGCGAATGGGAAGTGCAGGAGTTGAAGGCGAAATATTGCGAGTGGTCTGCCATTCATTAACTGAAATATCAATCGATCGAAACTGTGGTGGGCTGAGAAGATTTGAAACGATAGAACTTTTGGTATTCCATTAATAATCACCTGATGATCCACTTGGGAGGGATAATGAAGGCTCGTGTTGGAGTAGAGATTGGAGGAGATACTCCAAAAGCTCCCAAGGGCCCATTTCTCATCCCAACCGTTCGCATTGCTGTACTCAGATGATACAATCTTGGAAGGACGACTGTCTAATCTGCGATTGTCCAATATATATCTCAGTAACTCATAATATACTATCGCGTTGAAATGAAAAGGCTTTGGAGTGTTCATCATTCTGGTAATAATAGGATCTGGTGGATGTATGGGCAACAAGTGACCTGCAAAATACGGGCCAAGGGAAGTTTCATTTCCATAGCCACCCTCGACTTTGCGCTCTAACGAGTGAGATAACACCACCAGAATTGTACGTAGGGATTCCCAAAAGGTCGAAACGTGTTACGTCCATCGCGGACGACTCGGGAGAATCAATCAAGCAGGTGCTGATCAGCGGCACACCAAGTCGAGCAGTATTGATTGTGACACCGGAATGTTGCTAGTATTGTGGGTTAGAAGCATAATATAGTGAGGCAGAAATGAGCACTCAAGAAGCAGACACCATCTGCTTATTATATTATTGAGTGCTGGAGTTTGACGTAAGCTTGCCCTCGCCGCAGGCTTTGGGGGCCGTCCAGGTTGACTGGTGGAAATGGAAATGGAAATGGAAATGCAACCGCAAACCTTAAAATTTGCTGTACACGTGTTCCGAAAATCGCGACCTCCATATTCATTCTGTATCAGGAACTCTGCTCTGTGCATTTATCGACGTCGATTGCATGGTAGGTGTACGGGGTTCGTCGGGACGCTCTGACGAGACTTTCCGACAGTTGTAAAACCCCAAGCCTCATCTCGCGGATCTTGCGTCACAGATCTCCTCTCACCCTAACCTCCGTTTCGACAGTCTCAACATCCACCTCCTCCAATCTATCCTACACGCATGGAAATTTGCTGCCTCGCCATTTCCTGCGCGGAAGTCCTCGTCTCTTGTCCATTTCAGGCCATAAAGGACCATGCTATGATCATGCGACCGGATTGCCGTCCCAGTTCCAGCCGCGCTTGTCCCTCCAGTTCCAGAGTGCCCCAAGTAATTCTGTGGGCCGGATTGTGCGCCCTGGTCATGGAGTAGACGGCCAGCGGATAAAGGAAGTATATGATCACTCTGTTTCGTTATCAGAAGCTCTATTCGTGTATAATTCTCTTGTCTTCTTTCTCCAAATTTCTCCAAGCTGTGCGTCTGGCTGGTCCCTTCATTATGCATTTCTCAAGTCTTGTTATTCCATTCCTATTACCTGCGGCATATGCTCAGCTTCATACTCTCGCAAAAGCAGCTGTAAGTCACCCCCGAGGGTTTCCGATTGGAAAATGATACTAACTTATGTATCTGTAGGGCCTGAAATACTTTGGAACCGCAACAGACAACAACGAACTCACTGACACGGCGCTTGTTGCTGCCCTCTCGAACACCAGCGAATTTGGCCAGATCACGCCAGGGAATTCACAAAAGGTCGGTTATATTTGATTAATCGGATTGCTGTATATTTGAATTACACTACCTTTGAGCCTGGCACTCAATATCAAAGGGTCACGGCGTCTGGGCTATTCAATGCCCCAAGGACCTTCTGGTGCCGTGACCGTTTAGAAGTCCTGAGTCACAAGCCTGCTTTGTTCGAGATATTGCAATTGTTTTATGTCTATTGATTCCGGTGTGCTGTGGTACCAATGCTTAATATCTGGATAGTGGGACTCGATCGAACCCAGTCCGAATACGTTTGCCTTTACGAATGGCGATGTCGTGACCGCACTGGCAAAGAAAAATGCACAAATGCTACGATGCCACACTTTGGTATGGTTTCAACAGCTGCCGGCATGGGGTAGGTTTATCTTCTAGAGTGCGGTCATCATAATACTAACATACTCAGTGCAAAATGGCACATGGACAAAAGAAACTCTCACTGCGGCGCTTCAAAACCACGTCACCAAGACCGTGACCCACTACAAAGGCCAATGCTATTCATGGGACGTTGTAAATGAAGCGCTAGAACAAGATGGCACATTTCGGAAGTCCGTATTTTTCACGACCATTGGAGAGGATTATATTCGGATAGCATTCGAGGCTGCTGCTGCTGCTGACCCGGATACGAAGTTGTACTATAACGACTTTAGCATCGAGAACCCTAGCCCAAAAACTACGGCTGCGCTAAATATTGTGAAGAGCCTGAAGGCGTCGGGAACTAAGATCGATGGTCTGGGTTTGCAGAGCCATTTTATCGTTGGGTCTACCCCATCAAAAGAAGTTCAAATTGCCAACTTGAAATCCTTCACTGCGCTCGGTGTTGAGGTCGCGATCACAGAGCTAGATATCCGCATGACGCTGCCTAGTACCGCTGCCCTCAACTCTCAACAGAGCGTCGACTACCAAAACTCAGTCGCAGCATGTGTTGAGGTTGAAAACTGCGTCGGAGTTACAGTCTGGGACTTTGATGATAAGGTGCCTTAATCCACCTTGGCCTGCAAGCTTGATATCCGTGTCTAACAACTGCCTTAGTACTCCTGGGTTCCATCCACTTTCCCCGGCACTGGATCCGCATGCCTCTTTAATGAAAACCTCGTCCGAAAGGAAGCGTACTTCGGCGCCGTCGCGGGGATTACAGGTGCCTCGGGTACTGGCACGAATTCAACAGTCGGTAATAAGAAAAGCTCAACTGAAATCTCTCAATCTGGGAACACAACAACTCTCAATGTACCGGGATGTAGTTTTCCGGGCTCAACTGCACCGGGTTCAAATAAACCAGGGTCCAGCCGGCCGGGCTGTAACATATCGAGGCCAAACGGAGCTGGATCCAACAATACGGGCTCTACCGCAACAGGCTCTACCGCAACGCCCTCCAAAGCACCAAACTCCAATGCATCAGGTTCCAACTCATCAAGCTCTAATGCACCATCATCTAACCAACCGGCTTCTAATACGACAAATTCACCTATCTCATCACAGCTCCCTGTTAGCAGCTCATCGGCCATCCTTGATAATCCACTATTTATCCTCTTGACCGTATTTTCGGCTTCCATGTCTGCATTGTACCTTGTATAAAATAGCCTAATACCTCGTGTTTACCTAGCTAGTTAAAGAAATGCAAAAAAACAAAAAGAAAAGAAAATGGGAAATACTCTTCCCGACATGATCGTGATGCTAGAATATCGATGTTGACACTGAATTCGACCTGCAGAGATTAAGTTACGCAGACGTAAAGTAGCAGCATTTGAATTCATCTATAAATAATATAATAGACGGTTTTCCTTCCTCGTCCATTGGCAGGTGTTGCCTCAATTCATTGTGCCCATCAATGCAAATACTTTAGATACCCAACCAAAGCTTCCCCCTCTCATAAACATAGAAGCTGACAGCGACCATGGGTACAACCTTCACGTACCCAATAGTTAAGCCAATAAAGAATCCCGGCACACCCCGTTCCTTTAGGATCATCTTCGCTGTTTCTGAGATACGCAGCCTATGCCCATCTCCTACAGCACCACCAACCTGCATACGCCTTCTAATAACTTCAAATGGGTATGCTGAGGTCTGCGACACAAGCCCTGCTATTCCGCCTGCTAATAGCTCTGCCCACGAGCGAAGAGGTGGTGGTTTGTTTTTCGGCGACTGGGGAGGTTTTGGGAGCATGGTGTGTTTGGAGACAAGCGGGTGACGCAATAGGTCTCCCACTGTGTCGTGAGTCAAGAATGACATTCCTGCGTAGGGCAACATGCCCATCATTGTCGCAGAAAATCCTCTATAAAAATTCGATAGACCGGACCTCGGGGTTACTTTCGAAATTGTTGATGACGCCCCCGCAGGAGGCGGTCGCGATTCGTTGTAAATCCGCTTGCAGATTGAAGACAACGAGGATCGCGAGTCGCGTTTCGTTTCGAACGCCAGCCGTACACGCATGACTTCGAGAGGATAGGTAAAAAAAACGGATGTCACGCCAGCTAGTGAACCGCTTATAAGCCGCCTGAAAGGTGTTTCATGCTGAGGGCTATGAATAATAACGGCACGTATTTGCTCATAGGCAAGAAATTTGATGGCCGCATAAGGAAATATCCTGAGGAGCGTGGCAGAATGGCCACGGAAAAGCCCTCTTGTTCCGTCTTCTTTATATATATCACTCATTGCTGTGATAACACCGAACCAAGAACCGGCGTATTTTGCGAATAGAGGGTTTCTGGCTTGGAAAAGGATCTTGACCCGATCAAGAGGGGCAACTAAAGTTTTTGCCTATACAATTGCAGAAAATTAACATTCTGAAATAACACAACAATAGGGGGTTCGCATCAACGTACCGCACATCCTGCCAACCCTCCAGCTACTCCAGTTCGCCATATATAATCAAAGCTCTGCTTATGGGCCTTCCCTTTGTTGGACACTATCGCATCGCCATTGTCTGTGGAGGCGGCATTGATGGCGACGCCCCTCCTTTGCACTTCATCCATCGCTCGTGGTTTGTCGGTGGAAATTGTAGGTGGGGGAGGGAGGGCATTGTTCAAGAGGGCCGAGGGCATTCCTCGCCGTCCAAGAGGCTCGTCAGTCGCTATCTATCGCTGGAGTTTTGGATGCTCATTTCATCCCGCCAGGTCAGCAGGTAGAGATAGAGCGGTGAGCAGATGGGACGCGAATTTGGCCGGTGAAGGTGGATGCGATCGGTGTTTAGGGCAATTGAAGGCGTTAAATGTTGAGGCTGCGTCGGGCTTCGAAAATGCGAGAAATCCGGGATATGATGCTTGACTGCCTCGGACGTCATCACTAGCGTAACCCGGTGTCGGAAATTTAAATGGAAATGTGACCCCGTATTATTTTCGCGCGGGGAAGCGCTTCCATCAGGGGGGACTATATTGCAAATCATGTAAGCCGTATTTATAATAAACCTATTAAGAAGGCTTTTTTCAACCCCGAATTTAAAATCCTTTTATTTTGTGCTCAGGGTCCAAGGGACGAGACCTTGATAATGTCCTTGATACGGATCGTTCGGCTATTCGCGGCATTCAGAACTAGGTTAAGGACTGACTTAGCTTACTAATATTAATTTGACTCGCCTGATTCGTCAAGACTCCGTTCAATGTTGCTATTATCGCCCATCAAAGTACCCTCAGAGTGGTAAGAGATATATTGACAATTCACTCTTTATGACTTCATGTATACTATACCAGCGCGAAGATGAAGGTACATATGTCACACTACTTGACATTCCTCGTTCCATCGAGCTGGCCCAAGCGGAACCCGGACCAGGACTGAAGATTATTTCCTCGAAGCCGTTACAGCATCCATATCCGTCAGTCGAACCGAAATCCGCCAGCGCAAAAGCGAAACTGGGAGAGGTACCAATAGAGGAGTTGTTGCTTCAAAGACAAGTGGAAATTGCTTTAGAGAGCATCAAAGAGATTCACGCTGGAGAATGGTGTCTACCACGTGCAACCGAAGAACCTGGGGTATTGGCCCCAGAGAAGAAACGTAAGAGGGAAGCTTCAAAATCCCCAGCAGACGAGCCTGAGAAGCTCAAAGATGTTCCGAAAACTCCCATTGTCGAAGTGATACCGGTACGATTTGGAGGCAGTCAAGAAAACCAAGCATTTGTATTCCAGAATACCAAGAATGAACCTGCATACATTAGAGTGACGCCAGGCGAACCGCCAGCTCGAGTGCCGCCGCAGTCAACAGCTTTGTGTGGAGATATCACCACAACAGTCTCGACCTTCAATATGTCGGCCCCAGTGTTCGAGCTCATAATTATGGATCCACCATGGCCGAACCGCTCAGCGCGCAGGAAGAACTCGTACTCAATATCTTATTCTACCGCTGAGATACGTGCCTTGCTCTCATCCATTCCAATATGTGACCATCTCGCCAAAGAGGGATTCGTGGCAGTATGGGTTACGAACAAGCCCGCTTTCCGTGACATGCTTCTTGAGGAAGGTGGCTTGTTTGATGAGTGGGGTATTGAGCTAGTGGAGGAATGGGTTTGGGTGAAAGTCACCGCGAGTGGGGAGACAATATGTGAATTAGATTCGGTGTGGAGGAAACCGTACGAGATTCTGCTAGTAGGACGAAGGAAACAGGCCGAAAAGGGTGTAAAGAGGGAGATCAAGAAGATGGTTGTTGTTGGAGTTCCTGACTTGCACTCAAGGAAGCCAAACCTAAAAATATTGTTCGAGAGACTGGTAGGAAGGGATACCTATGACGGGTTAGAGATATTTGCAAGGAATTTGACTGCAGGATGGTGGAGTTGGGGTAACGAAGTCCTGAAGTTCCAAGCAGAAGAGTATTGGACCAATCAGTTCACGGATTAAGGCCGTTAGAAAGTCTAATCCCGCGTGGTTGATATTTATACATACTATACATCCTTTCAGCGCGCTAACCTAGAACATTCTCCCGTATACTAACGCCGGTTGTCAGATTGACCATCTCCAACAAGGTAAGCGGGCTCACAAAGCTCTTTGCATGGATATATGCAAATTGCCAGCTCATATCTTCACATCCTGCTCCACCTCCACAGCACTACCCACATCCTCCCATTGGTCCTCCTGTTTTGCTTCCCACTTCTCTTTTGCTTCCAAATACGCCTTTGCTTGCTCGGCGATGGTCCCTCGCTCGGAACTTGGCAGTTCCCTTGCACCTGGTCTATATTGGGTTTCGTTGTCCTCGCGCTCCTTTTGTGCCGCGTCATAAGTAACTTTATCCCATCTGTAGGAAATAGTTAGCCTCTATCGTGCACGAATCAAAAACAATTGCAACTCAGCACGCCAGAATGCTCTCCGATGCCAAATCGCGCAATGCACACCTGCAGCAAAACACGGACAGCCTGCCAAAGGGGTACATACAAATCGTAGTCTTTTGGCTCCTCGGGCCACACGAAAGGCTGGTCCATCTCCACCAGCATCTTCTTAATACTTCTTGGCCTAAACCACTTCCTGGGAAATGGACGTTTCTCCCTCGGTTTATCCTGTCGGACTTTCTGCATCTGGATGTATGATCGTACTCCGCGAACTGGGACCCCGTAGCAGTTCCATAGATAGTCGCGCAAGTCGAGCTTATTGAGATTTAGGGGAACGATAAAAGATGCGAAGGTAGGTGGGAGCTTAGGTGTACGAAGGAGGGTGAGTGTGAAGTTTGGTCTAGTAGAGCAGTTAGCATGGGCATGCAACAATGGAGATGGAGGAGCTATGCAACGCACAAAAAGACATGCTTGTTTCCCAATCTAGGCGCACGTCGAGCAACAGTTTGTGCAGCCATTGTAGACGCCGTGTAAGATTAGCACAAGCTAACGTACAGGACTCGAATTGGCCTTGGGATTTGATATGGAGATGGATATGAATATGAGGGTTCGTGAGGCTAAGCGCGACAGGGAACAAATTCGAAAAATGCGCGCTTAATTGGCAAGAGGCGCACCCACGGCCATTGGCCAGGAAGTTACGGAGATAGGAGCGCCGGCACAGGAACCGTATCTCCATGTGGATATGACCCTGAATTTATCAGCGCTCATCCTTTCGGACTTTAAACCTTCGGACTTCGAAAATATACCATGTACAAATACCTTCTATTGCCTTACAATAAACTCCCTAAATTACATTTAAACTCAAATAACAACATTGCAATCTCGATACAATAGAATGGCTTCAAACCCCCCATCCAACTGCTGCACTGTCGGCTTTAAGCATGAGTGCGTTCCTCTGCTCCCATCGTCCACTCCACCTCTTCCCTCTTCCTTCCTTGCTTATGTTTGCCATTATTTTCTCATTCTCTCATTCTCATGAGTTTTTCTATACGGTTCTTGCTTCTAGTTGATATGGTTTGCAATTATCGTCAACTAACAGTGTGATGTTTAGAGGCCAACCTAGCGGTAGCTCCGCCAAAATCGGTAATATCGACGCCTATGTCTCTGAGCCCACAGGCAACACAATTCATAAAGATACCGCCATACTTATTCTAAGTGATATAATTGGTATCTGGCAAAACAGTCAGCTTATAGCCGATCAACTGGCTGCCAATGGCTATTACACGCTTCTGCCCGACCTCTTTAATGGCGATCCTGTAGAGCTCAACAGACCCGACGACTTCAATCTCATGGCTTGGTTGGCCAAGGGAACCAATGGAGATAATCCCCACACTGTCGAGGCTGTGGATGTTATCGTTGAGAAGTCGATTGCTTGGCTAAAGGAGAAGGGATATAAGAAGATTGGTGCCGTTGGGTATTGCTTTGTAAGCTACCATGTCTGAGCCTCTGCCTTGAACAGCTAATTAACTGATAATAGGGTGGCAAATATGTGGCTCGCTTCATGTCAAAAGGAAAAGGCATTGACGTAGGATATGTCGCCCATCCCTCGTACGTGCCTTAGCTTTTCCCGATCTTGATTTGTGTCTGCAACACATTGCAAGCCCACTAATCACTTGACAGATTTGTTGAAGAGGACGAGCTGCGTGCTATCGAAGGTCCCTTATCTATCGTGGCTGCAGAAACAGACTCCATCTTCCCGACCGAGAAGCGACACAAATCAGAAGCAATCCTAATTGAAACCAAGCAGCCTTACCAAATCAATCTCTTCAGCGGCGTCATGCACGGGTTCTCGGTGCGTGGCGATATGAGCAAGAAAATTGAGAGGTTCGCTAAGGAGCAAGCCTTCTACCAAGCTGTACAATGGCTTGATCAGTGGTTGTTTTGAAAGCATACGGCAAATGATCAAAATGACCTGATCATAGAGTAAAATACTTTCCGAGTAGCAAGTCCAAAGTTGAATTCAAACTTGGCCTTGCTACCACACGAAGGTACAAAATGGCGACATGAAACGAAGGTCTAAAGATAGATTGCTCAATGACAGTAGCCTTTGGTTTCCACAACTGAAATCCTATTTTCTATTCATCTCATCAACTTGACTCATGAGCTTGTGACTACAAACGGATGACAAACGGCGAAGCACTTCTCAATCAAATAACTTAATTAATTCATCGCAATTAAGGCTAGGCACCCATTACCCTTTGTTTGTTGGGCTTGCTGCTACCCGGGTACCGGGCATGTTTTGAACAAGTCTTGAGGCGAACGGAAGTGAGATGAGGGACGCTGCTTATTAAATCGGCGATAAGCGTGTTTTATCTTATCGGGCTCGCTTCCGCACTCCAGGTGAAAGTAGCCCCATACAAGCGTCACCAGTTGCAACACGATATTGGTTCCGGGGATTGTACTGTCGAGCCTCTGCAGAATCATCTCTCAACCTCAATTCTATGAGCCGCTATCGAGGAGTGCCGATATCAATGTGTGCAGATCTAGAGTAGGAAGGCTCTTCCCTGCCCAAACTGCACGCCCCCCTTAATACACAATTGAGAGCTCAACTCAACATCCCAGCTTCAATTTAATTCCTGATCAACTCTTTAATCCGCGATTCAATCCGCAGGGCTCGAGTTCGATCATCATGCCGGGGTTCGTATTATTCCAGATTCCCCCTCCACTCAGGTTACATTTCCGCGTTGCTAATCGGCTCGCAGCTCGTTGAAAGGGCTCACCAAAGCGATCAATACCTCCCTATCAAGCTCCGCCCCCGCCCTCCCACTACCAGACGATGTTGTCGAGATTATAAATGCATACCTCGAAAAGCCTGCCGGCCACGATGAAGCCGAATCACAGCGTCTACAGGAGGACCTCCTTAATATTTATCAGACATGTGTCGTTGATAGCCCCCATCGTCTAGCACCGTTCGTCGCAATCGTACGGATGTTGAAACCTGCTATTCGTGGAGGCGGTAGACTGCTACAATGGTGGGACAAACTCTCAGTGCCAGTTCTGAGCAGGCTGGGAGAAGAGAAGGGGTTAGCTGTGGAGGCGCGGGAGGCACTCCTGGGGACATTAATATATGACGAGGATGAATCGGACAACGAGGATGCGAAGATGACGAGCAAAGTTATGGGCGAGAGATTACTATTCATCTGGCTCGCGAAATCTCGGGCGGCATCCGAAGCGGTCGATTCGGATGCTCGTTTTGTGGAGGGACAAATTCGATTGATATTGGTGGCGTACGGAAAGAAACGTCCAAAGGTTAGCGATAGCACCGTCACCCTCCCAGTGCCTTGGTTCTAACTGCTGTAGTATCTCTTGACATTGATCAACAAATTCTTTGTGGACAAAGAGAACAGGATACTAGCACTATCGCTTCTCTGCGAGTTCGTCCGACATGGGCCTCCGCATTTGCATCAAGTGAGTTGCTTTGGAATTCCTCAACATGTTTACGGCATTTATTCAATTACGGTCGGCCCCATTATCTCCATCTAGGTAGGAAGTTAGACCTCCGTAGGCAGACTTTGGATCCTAAGTCTGCCGAGGTGCGTAAACCGCCCATTAAAGTCGGAATACTAGCAGCGCAACAATGATCTAATCTGCCGTATATATTGTCCTCAACACCGCTGACTGTAGATCCAGATCCTCGAAACACCTCTCTTTGATAACCTACTTCGCTGTCTCCAGATAGATACCTCGACGAGAGTTATTTCGCTGTCCTTGACAGCTTTGATTATGTGCTTGCCTCACATTCCGACTGCGGTAGCCAAATACCTGCCAGCATTATTCAATATATATAGCCGAATGCTCTTCTGGGATCGAGAGCGGCGGAGACCAGATGCTCCATTGGGTAGTGATGACGATGAACTCAGTGAAAACGCACCTACACTTGCCTCACAGGCCTCCGAAAAGGAGAAGCCATGGGATAAACTCTCATACCTTCTGGAATCTGATGACGAAACGGTCCCGGAACTGCTACATTATTTTACATTCTTATACGGACTCTACCCTATCAATTTCATGAGCTATATTCGAAAACCCCAGAAATACCTCCGACATGCAAAATTTTCTGGCGCTGATGAACTTGATGTCGAGCCCACAGAGATCAGGCAACGTTCCGACCCCTTTAGGCAGGCCCACCTTCTTCATCCTAACTTTTTCACCACAACGCTTGAAACCGAGCTTACGGACAACAACCGTTGGATGAACAGTGAAGCAGCAGATGTAGTCGCTGCGTGTATGGCATTATACAGCCCAGTAGAGGGTGGCTCAACACTAGGAAGGGGTGCTCTGAGAAACATTGAGCCAAATTCAGATGTCCCTGAACAGCCTTTACTAGACGAGGATCCATCGACTTCATATCCATCCGGAGCTAACAGCTGGAGAAACACCCAGTCAACGGCAGTTGGGTTATCAGATGAGTTTCGCACCTCCAGTCTACCCAGGAAGCTTTCGCATCAATCCATGCCGTCGGTCACCGACTCTCCAAGCATCCAAGCCTCTGATCGCGTTGATAGTCCAACTATCCCAGTCCAACAAATGCCTCCATCACCTTCCCAAAGCCAAATTCAAGATATGCTCCGCTCGCAAAAGCCCACTCGTGGCAGCCTATACCAAACTCTTACCAACGACTCGGTTACCTCGCTCACCCCATCTCAGAACATCAATTCCAGTTCCGGCCATGTAGATGCCTACCTATCGTCGCTATCGAGAGAAATATTACCACGATCATCATCTCCCCACACGTCGGACGGAAAGATCGCGTACCTACAGCGCGAAATACAGCTGCTTTCTAATGATCTTAACTTCGAACGATATCTCAAACAACAGCATCTATCACATATAGGTCAATTGCGTAGGGGCCAAGTACATCAGTCGAGATTAGAGGCAGAGACCCAGAATCTGATCAACTCAAATCGTGGCCTCAAATCAAAACTGGAGGAAGCCAAACGGCTGAATCTACAAATGAAAAAGGAGACCGAGAAAAGCAAAACACATGCCAGAAAATGGGAAAGCGACCTCAGTGCCAAATTAAGGGTCTTGAGGGAGGAGCAGAAGAAGTGGAATGTTCAACGAGATGAGCTAAATATAGATTTAGCGGAGGCGAAACAGAATATTGAGCTGCTCAAAAAGATCGTGATTAGTAGCGAAGCAAATGAACTGGCAGCGAAGCAAAAAGTCCAGTCTGTGGAGTCGAGCCGTGAGGAACTGACCCAATTGCGTGGCGAGGTGGATAAGCTTACGCTATTGATCAGCACATATGAGGCGGGAGAAACCGAAGCAGTACGCGCGAAGGAAAATGAGGAAGCAGCCCTTAAGCGTGTCGAGATCCTCGAGATGGAGCTCCGTGCTCGCGACAAAGCGCTAGCCAATGCTAAAGAAGCATTCGAGGCAGAAACTCGTGCTTTGCAGGCGAAAGATAACGACTCGGAAGATAACAAGAGAAAGCGCATCAGCCAGGACATGATAGACGGCGCATTGGCAGCAAGTCGACGCCGGATTGTCGAGCTCTCAAAATCGCATAATCGTCTACTAAATAGATTCAACGCACTTGAATCTGCGTACTTACAACTTAAGGAGATTCAAGACCACGATCGACATGCCCGAGGACATGAACCACTTGGTTCATTTATAGATGGGCCGAATTTTGTTGCCGGTAGTCCCAGTCCGAGTTCGATGAAAGGTTATAGTGCAGGGAGGGCTTTTAATACCGAGACCGATACGTCCGAGAGCTCGTCATCAGCGTTCCCTGTCAGGTCCGCAAGACTAGACTCGTCATATAACTCATCTAACCCCTCAACGCCCATTGGGCGAAGCCCAACCCTCAGCAGCACAAATTTCTCAACACAGCAGTTTCAGTCTCCTCGCCCATTCAGCCCGTCAGGACCAGCCGGAATGAGAGAAAGGAAACCCAGTCTCGATGGCGATGCCCAGAGTGATACTAGAGTGTATGGCCGAGGCATGTTATAATTTTGCCAGATACTCTCTCCTTTAAAACGGAACAAGACTAACGTGTTCCAGGTGGAATACAAAATGCTAGCAAAAAGGACAAGGACAAGAAGGATAAGGATAAAAGCAAAGATACCGCAAAGGACGGTTCCGATGCCAAGAAGGAGAAGAAGAGCGGTGGCATAAGAGGCATAAGGGCATTTGTATGATAAACGGGGCTCGAACACATACAGCGTCATCTGAGACGATAAACTTGATTTCTGCCTGAAACAGATATGGCTGCACAGTATCGATAACCCGAATTCTTGCCCAGAGTATCCGGGCGCGGCAAGCGGAATGTACAACAGCTTTAGTTCAATGATTGAAGTTCAGTAGCCTGTCACAACTTATCCGGGTTACGTTGAGAGGCTCAGAGTGCAGAGGAGCGAGGACGTTGCGGACGCATGTTGGAATAAATATATCCTTTCCTCGGCCATCGTTGCTAGGGATGACCTAAGTCTAAAATGGCCTAATGAAAGACTATACGTAGAAACCCATACATGAGAACGCCTTTCTGTCTGCTTGGGTTGCCACGATTGCGTTTCGAGACATTGCTTCGACATGAGTGAGACATTGAGTTGAAATTTGAATGATTACTAAGCAATCAGTGAACTTCGTTTTTGAATGCGCATTCAATTATGCATTCGTTATACTGCGTATTACCGCCGTCCAAACATGCTTCGGCTCAGCGAGCACATGTGCCAGTCCATCAATCGACCATAAATGAAGGCAATCTTATTAGAGAACAATCGTGAAACCTCCTATCTTCTTCCCAACCTTCACAGTAGGCGGAGCTAAGATGTCAAGCTCGCGTCCACAACAGCTGAAGGACCGTATCGTGCAGTCACGCGTCCACCGCGAACGCGACCAATTTATTGCAGCCATCCATGAAGACGACGTCTGCCACCTGGCTTCGTCGTAACACAACGGCGATTTTTGCAGCTTTTTTAAATCGCCAGCTCGTGGGAGCTACAATATCTGTTATTTTGTGCATTTTCCGTCGAATAGCTCCAATGAAGATACGGAGAAGTGGGTAGTACGTGTGCCTCTAGCTCCATGCCTGGCGTTTGGGAGCAGGACTAAGCTCGAGAGCGAGATCGCTACAATGCAGTAAGACCACTCTATCTTGATCTATAGGAGCGATACTAATAAATCCTATTTGGCAGGCTAGTAGCCGACAAGACGACGATTCCACTCCCCAAAATCTACGCTTACAGCCTCGGTGACAGTCCTGAGCCGCTGTCATCGTTTGTTGAGGGTCAGAAGCTTTCATGAGTCCGGCAACGGAGCCTCACGAACGAGCAACGACAACACTTATATACTTCACTTGCCGATATTCATATGCAGCTAAGGAGGCTCGAATTTCCTTCAATTGGATGCTTCACTCGCGGTCCAGAGGGCTTCGACGTACGTAACAATATCGCTACTATCGATATTAATATGCAAGAGCTGGAAGGCCTACAGCCTTCTAAGATCCAAACATCCTTTTATAATAACAATAGTCTTACTTCGGCCAATGACTACGTGGCGATGCTACTTCAGATTGCCGATAATGCGTTCGCGGAGGGTCGAGGCAGTATCTTTGAAGAATACCAGGGCGAGGATGCTCTATACCATCTCCATATCTTCCGCGAGTATGTCAAGGGCTGGATGGATGGCAGCCTTGATCAAGGTCCGTTTGTCTTGGTTCATGGTGATTTCGAGCCCTTTAACTTAATAGTGAACGAGAATATGGATATTATCTCGGTTCTAGATTGGGAATGGAGTCGTGTAGTTCCTCTTCAGTTTTTCAAGCCTCCATTATGGTTAAAGATTCCTGATACTACAAAACTAGCATGGGATTTCGTCTATAACGACTATTTGAAGAGCTTTGACCGGTTTTTGGAAATTCTACGGACTCGTGAGCGCGAGAAATATGGAAATGAGTTGCTATCGGACGAATGGGCTAAGGCAAAGGAGAATAGCGGATTTCTTGTCGCCAATGCCTTAGAAAACTGGACGGACATGGACTGGTTCGCAAACCGATATATTAACTGGAAATGCTACCGCGGCAAGGCTGACTTGAACGAGCGGGTAAAGGCGTTTATGGAGAATCCAGATCACAAAACCATGATTACAAGAAAACTGCGCGAAGGAGTTGCCTATAGTGTCCAAGTGGAAAAACTTGAGGATACAACTATCGAAGTAGCTCCTGGTTAACCCGTTTCTGCCTTTGTGAAAGACTTCTTTCTTTATCAGCTATGGAAGGATACTATCTCATTTAGTCCGACTGGCCCACAACTGACTTTGAGGGGTGCTATAATCATCACTAGGACATACCTTCTCGCCAAGTGCATTATCCGATTTCTGACTTTATGCTGCTAAGGGCAGTCAAAACTACAATTATCCCAAGGCTATTGAAGCTATGCCAAGCAAGAGGTAACTCCCTTCCCTCGTTGGAGCCAAGCTGATATCTGTGCTTGCACTTCTCCTTTCCTTTACTACTCCCCTTCGGTGCAGCATTTTTCTCCTCATACCATTCGCAGGATCCGTCCTGATGCATATGATAATACCTCACGCACTGACATTCCAACAAAACCGTGCACTCGATCAAAGAGGATCTTAGCATAGTTAGAAGAGCTGATAAAATTTCTACGTCGGTGTCTCGGTCGATGCCCCCGAAATTGCGGCGGCCTGTGGCTGCATCAAAAACTCATCAAATGCCAGCTCCTCCGCAACGGGCCTCTCCTCTGGCATCCAGCATAACATCCTGCGCAAGAAATGTACGAAGAGGGTCCGGTCGTCCCCATGAAGCCACTGCTCACGGGTTTCGAAAGACTGATCAGGAATTGGAACGGAGCCTTTCCAGTTTCCTATAGTAACATGAGCAAATTATTACCGTATAGTGACCTAAGAAAACAAAACTATCTTTTACGAATTAAAAGGACTGGGATTTTAGTACAGTACCTTGATTGTCCCAGTATTGATCGCACTTTTCACTCCTTTTCAAGAATTCTGGAGGTGGAGGCCCCAAAAGCGAAACCATTTCTGCAAGGTGCTGTTCATCATCTAGTATTCGGTTTTTCTTCGCGAAGAATAAATGGCCGCCTTCAAGAAGATCCCACATCTAGGTAGATCAGATAAAAGTTAGCTCTGTTTTAGCTTGTTCACGGCCTAGTTGTAAAGGGTATCTAATTTTTGATGTCGAAATGTCTTCATCACTTCAGCCAAGTGGGGTAACCCAAATCTTATGGCATACTCCAAAACACTCCCATCAGACAGATCAAGCAATGACTTGTACTCACCATGACACCAATCGCCCAAATATCCACTTTAGAATCCCAATCCATTCCCAAAATTACCTCCGGGGCACGGTAAATTCCAGGCATAATGTCACCTCGATGCTTTCGGGTACCAATTCTAGCCTCACCAAGATCACAGAGGACTGGTAGGCCTGCACTTAAAGGCATCGGCCGAGAGTTATAGATAGTACGATCGTGAAGGACCTTCCGGGCAATAGGCCGTTCCAGTTCGCCTTACTCAATCTGAGAAATGATTGAGTCATCCTCAATACTTTGGAGCACGTTATTTGGTGAGATATCTAATAACGAATTAGCCTCTAATCACCACAAGAAGCCTAGACTTATATTGTTAAAGGCTTACCAGTATGGACGATATGGCATTGATGTAAATAATCCAGGGCTATGAGGAGGAGTTGAACACTTCTTTGGGCAAGGTCTTTTGGAAATTTATTCTGAGGAAGAAGTTTTAGATACTCGGTAAAACTCATTCCAAGCGGTTGATAGAGCATGCATTTGTGATTTCCATTAGGACCGTCGATTTTAAACGAATCAAGGACTCTTCGAACCATACTTTTCCCTAGATGTTCAATAGCATTACTGTTTAGGTGCTCGTTGATTGTGATTTCGTGGTCAATATGAAGGTCCACAGGATCATGCTCTTTGGTTCGAATACGCACTTTGAGCGTTAGATATCGGTGTTCACTATTAATATATTAGAAAGAATCTCCACTTGGCTAAATAGATGCAGTTCATATCCTTGCCTGAGATCTCTACACAGCCAAACCGTAGAATTCACCCCGAACCCTAATTTTGCTACAACCTGGTATCTAGACCTGATCACCTCACCGATACAAACGGGATAATAATCCTCCGGGGTGTAAGAGGGAAGATCTTCCTCCTCGATATTCTTGGTCGCGTCTAGTGCCACAAACCCGGAAGTGGGAAAATTGCGGGGAGGGGAGTGAGGAGTAGTAGCCATGGTTCTAACATATGATTGAGGCGAATATGGAAGAAACATGTAGGGACTGGGCGATTGACAGATGAAGGAACATAGTGGCCTGTTGAGGCCCAAGTAACGCCTAGTCATTTTAATTGAAGCGCAGACTATCAGAAGATCATTTGGCCTGCCACCAAACAAGTAAGCAAGGTGGCTTCCCAGCCACCTTGCGGTAGCTTAGTCATATCCAACTCAACAAAACCTCCGAATGTGCCATTGTCGCTACTATTAGAGAAATCTTGAACAAGTCCTTGCCAGGAGCATATTAGGAGAGATTACGAAACCCCACGCTATAAGGGTGCCCCACGGTAGCCCTCGAGCCGTGTATGAAATATAAATAGGTAATCTCTTACAGAGTACCATTTCCATTTTTAAAACACTGCCCACAAAAGTTTTAAGCAAACCAAACCCACGACTTAGTATGCTATGGTCCTTTTGCTACTCATACTCAATGGCCCTACTAGTTTTATGGACCGAAACCTTATGCGCTCAAGACAGTATATGAAAAAGACCCAGGGCAAATAAGGTTTGTGCCCGTGCGGATCGAATATGCTGTGAAGATTATAATGACCATAAGGTTTCCCGCTAACACTCCGCCGCGAGACAAACCTATGCACGGGGTACTGTTCCATGTTTTCGGGAATTCCAAGGCAAAACTTCCCTTTCTCATTCCCGGATCATATTGGTTCACTAGATGGGTACAGAGAAGTTGTGTAACCGGTTTGGAAACTACAATACATGGCATGAGAAGTTCTGCGCACTTGATGTTTGTAGCGTTAGGCCCGCGTAATGCAGGAGTTTCCAGGGCCTTGCATTTTTGATATTGAACAAAGCGTCTTATAATATGCCATGAGGTTCTAATTCTTTTATGCTTTCCCCGCATCCAGCAGTTAAAACATCTGACAAAAGAGGCAGGGATCGCCCGGATCGAGTTGCAACTTCAAGGGCCACAAATTTATTGTGCAACGGTGGCGGTCTCGAGGAAGAGTGGCGGGTGGTGGCTTCGGCGCCGTTCGATCACCGACTTATGCCATGCCATTGTGGTTCCGAGATATTCCCTAGCATTATCACCGTCTGATATTTATCCTTGCCAAGATGAGCGCTATGCAACACTCCCCGCTCCCGCTGTCAGCTTTGGGATCTGGTTTGATTAGGGTGCAGCATGGGGCCCCATGGGGTGGGTTTTGAGATTTCAACCTACCTATGGGGTGGGGCGTACTTTTACGACCCAGCCTATGGGCGCCCCATGGGGGTAGCTTATGGGGCAACGGGTGCCCATGGGGCATGTGAGTTATCATGTGATCTCTTATATAATAATAAATAGCGATTTATTCTAGAAAAAGAAATTTATAAACTCTTTATATATATTTTCAATATAAAGAATAGAGTAAAATATAAATAATATTATTAATAATTAAATCAATAGAGTTATAAATTAAATTATTAAATTATTAAATTATTATTAAATTATTAATTAAATTAATATTAAATTATTAATTCATTAATTCATTAATTCATAGCTTTTAACTACTATGACTACTATAACTACTAGATAAATATATTATTCTATCTATAACGTTGTAAAAAGTTAAATAAAAACAATTATAGTTTATATTAAATACTTAGTACTTCAGATCTTGTTATAAATATCTGCAACTAACATAAAAGTTTCATATCTTTCTATATAATTGTTATACATTTTCTATAAATCGCTAAGAAGTTTGCTACTAGTAAAGTTAGTAGAAAGTTAGTAGATAGCTAAAATATACTTACTTTCGAATTCTTTAGTAAGAAAAGTTTCAGTTACTAATTGAATAACTTCTAGAATACTAGTTTAGAATCTTATAAAATAATATTATAGATTACTATATATAATTTCATAGACTAGACGAACAAATAATACTTTGAAGAGAAATATTAGTTCAGATTTCTAGTAGTAGCGAATTTCACGAAATATAAAAACTATAAATATTAGCAAATTATATAAAGTTAGTAGAAAGTTAGTAGATTTACTTCTAAGTTTTATATAGTAAAGTTATATATTAGGATTTTTATTTTTAATAAAGTAAGTTTTATAAATTAGTATTTATAAGTTTTCAGTTTTCTTCTTCTTACTTTTTACTAACTTCTTTCTACAAGTAAGTTTAGAATAGCGAAGTACTTTAGTAAAAGTTTTTCGTAGTATTTTTTTTACTTTTTTACAGACTCCCTTTTTCTTCTTTACTAGAATACTAGCTAAAAGTCTTTATCTAAAGACGAATCTAGTATCTAATCTAAAGTTATTATTGTTATTTTCCTCTCCAACTTAGTTAATACCGAAATTAGACTCAAAGTTAGACTATTATAATTTAGTATATAATAAAATTAGTAGAGAGTTAGTAGACTTACTATAATAGAAAGTATAGTAGTAAACTAAGCGAAAACTTGAAAGTGAACTTTGTTTTTATTTTCAAATATAATACAATATAATAAAGTAACTAAACAAATGAAGTTAGTATTCTATATTTAAAATAATAGTAAGTAGAAACTATAAGAATTTACTAGTTTAGTTAAATTAGTTGACTAATAAATAGAAAGTAAAGTTATAAAAAGTAGGAGAAATTTACTTTATACTAACTAGCTACTTGAATTTGTTTAATCGGTTTACTGTCTAAATACATTTAGTTTAATTTCTTCAACTTCTCCAGTTTTCGAACTTTTAAACTTTATACTTCCGCTCTACAATATTCTACTTTAAACTTTATATTTTGCAACTTAAGTTTCTACTAATAAAATACTTCCAAAGTACTCTACAACAATAGCTAGTCTAAATGACTAATTATACTCTATAGTAAATAACTTTAGTATCTACTAACTTATTTACTAATTTGTCTACTAACTTCCTCCACTTATATTCTCGACTTCGTTAAATAACTTGTCTATGAACTATAACATTGTCAAAGTATATACTCGTCAACAAATACTGAAAGTAGACCTAGGAAAATAACAATACGAAAAAGCCCAGGAATGTAATAGAGTAGTAAAAAGCTATATAGTTAGAAAGTTAAAGTGTACTAATAAATATAAGAACTCAGATCAGATATAGCAGCGAGTACTTATTATATATATAGAAGCTGATATTATAGTTAACTAGATTAGAGATAAAGTCGATTATAATTCAGTAGTTTAAACGTAGAAAGATCTACTAACTGAGAATTAGGACGATATCGAAGATAAAGATAAAGAACTTACAAAAGTAGATAATTTAACTAATAACGAAGTTATTTCTATTCTTACAAATAGTAAAATTCAAAACTAACTCCAGTTAGTAAGTTTATTCTTAATTAATATTTTACCGAATATAACTAATATTTAAATAGAAAGTTATATTATTTAGATATAATTTCTAGAAAAGTTACTAGATTAGTATTTATATTAGTTTTCGTGAAAAATTATACCGACTCTCTCGATATAACTATTATAAGATTAATATAACGTTTTATAAAGTAACTATTACTCGGTAAGTTTTTTTATATAAAGTTAGTAGACATCTACTAACTTTTGCAAAATATTAACTATTTGTTCAATTTACTTCTATAGATTACTTTGAATTATCTGAGATTATAATATAGAACAATATATAGTCATAGAACAGAAAAGAATAAATTAAATTACCTAGTTTTATATATTAGTAGAATAGAACTAATAATATAACTTGTAAGTTTATTAGATCTAAAGATATATAAATTTATATAAATACTTTCTTATTTGTATTTATTCTAGAGTAGTTTAAAGTAATTATAGTATAGTTGTTTTTTCACTTTTCTACTATTGTTAATAACGATAGTTTCTTAGTAGATATTTCTTTAAAACTCTTAGTAGTACTAGTTTAGATAATTAAATAAAGTAGATATAAATAACTTTTACTAAGTTTTATATAGTTGTATATTATAAATAAAGTATAAAGTAATATAATATATTTATATAACTAATTCTATTTAAAGAATAGTTTTAACTTTTTTTATTTTAGTAAACTTAACTAGTCTATACTACTATATATAGTATATAATAGATATCAATATATATTAAAATTCGAAGTCTCTATTATTAT